TAATAATAGCTTTTTATTTAAGATTACGTCTATAATTCTATCTATATATTTATATTTTAGTATATATAGTTTTTATACTTTAAACTAGACGCCGATAGTAAGAAAAATTCTTAATCTCTAAATAGAATTAGAAGATATTAGATATTTTTTATAGTAAATCTGAGCACGTATAAAGTTTTAATATTTACTAAGATCTTAGCTATACTAAATATTTCTTAATAATTAGTAACATTTCTAGAAGGATAATATTTAATATTATCTGTAGCAACTTGCTTACGTATTTTATTCTAACTACTATATTATATGCCTGTATATTTAGTTAGTCAGCGATTTATTGTATTTTTTCTTATAGACGTCCGCTAAATCCGTAGCGCTAGCTAAACTTTTTTTAATATTATTTTAGCAGTAATGAGTCTTTTAATGACGTTAGAAAATTAATAAATAAATAACTAATATATTATAGATCGCGTTAAAGTCTTACATAATCTCCCGCGCTAATATTTATTAATAGTTAATAGAAATCCGCTTCGATAGATCTCTCTATTTAAAATATAGGCGTATTATCTAAATTGTCTAAATACTATTACTCTAGTTCTACGTAGAAAAATTTAGATTTAATAATTCTATCCGCGGCGTACAGTGTTTCTTTAATAAACTAGTATATTTAGATGCACTGTTACTTTAGTATAAAAGTAACAGCTATTATAATTACTAAGCGTATTTAGTTTCTTATATTAGCAGTATATAATTCTTCCTGCCTAGAACTAAACTTTGATTATAGACTACGACTCCGGCTTCTTTACTAAAATAAGAAATCGCTGCTATATCTAGAAAGAATAGAGAAAATAAGGAAGGTAGCTAATCTAAATATCTAAAAATCGGAATCTCTATACTATCTTTCGCGTAAAATAGTTAATTATTTTCTACTATTTAGGATACTTCTATTAAATTAGATTTTTTAATAGAGTATGTACCGCCGTACTATTAAAGTAAATTTATCTATATTATAGGGTCTAGCCGAAAGCTATCTGATATAAAAAATATTTATTAGTTCCCCTTTCTCTAGAGCTATATTACTAGCTCTAGAATTTTAATCGCCGTTCTATTGGTTAAAGAGATAGTTTTTAGAGTAGGTAAGTAGATAGCCTACTCTAGCTAGTCTATCTCTAATTCTGATATAAGATTCCTATTAATAACTGGTGACGTTCCGTCGAACGGTATAGCTAGAAGAATAAACTAATCTTTATTACTCTCTACGGACGGCAGTAAAGAATATCTTAAGATAATATTATCGCCTTCGGCCGACTGTAAGACGAACAACGGATCCGTCGCTAAGTCTAAATTAGATAAACTACTAGTCTAAAAAATAATAATACTTATTCTAGAAGTAGTCTCACTTTTATAGATAATATTAATAGCCTAAAGAACTAATATAGTGAAGCGGGGAAACGCGGGAGAATGCTTATTTCCTATTTCAGTTTAGTCTATTTGTTTAGTAGGGCCCTAGATTGTCTATATCTCATTAAGAGATTTGCCTAATAGTTAGAAAATCAACTTCTTCTTTTCTTTCTACTTACAGTACCCTCTATCTTATAGCTACTATAGCTAAGGGTACGGCAGTATAGTAGAATAGATACCTGTCTTATAAACCTAAAAGTTTTTTCTTAATTTAATTATTTTAGTTAGTAATAGTACGCTATATAATAAAGACTAAATATACTAAAAATATATAGCTAATAGCAGAACTAAGTTTGCTAGTTTTACACGGAGAATTAAATATATAATCAATATACTTTTTATTTTTAAGATTACCGCCGTAAATATGTAGCTTTAGTAATGTGGCACGCTTTAGTATGGAGGTGGTAAGATAATTGTATTGGAGATAGTTCGGTCGGTTAAACCAGTGGTTAAAGATTAGATGTACGGTAGAACATATAGACTGTCTATGTAATCAGACTAATATAATATATTATAGAAGATTAATATAAACAATACTCTTGTTACGGAACAAGAATACAGAATAGCTAAATACTAAAGAGAAATAAGAAAGCAGGAATAGATATAGGAATAACACGATTTATAAAGAGCAGGCAAATATTAATAAGATATAGGAGATTATATATAGAATTAGTTAGGTATATTAGATATTAGACTAATTATTAAATATCTTAATTAGGTTTTCTAAATCTCTAAGATCCTTTTTATAAATCTATTAATTATTCTCTAGTTTATAACTAAGCTAATATATAAGATATTTAATATATAGTAGATTTTAGTTATCCTCGTGCTTGAACTACTATACTAGCAGGTTGCACAGCTTAGGCGGATCCCAGGGTTTAACATTTTGGCCAAGTAGTGTCTTGTCAAAAACATGCCTCTATGAACTCTGTCAGTCTTCTAAATCCTTGTTGATGTAAAGATACTTGAGAATATAGGGACTCCAAAATAGAAATATATTAGCTATTGCCGGAATCTTGAAAAGGAAATTTGACCTAACGGACGTCCTAAGGCGAGTCTATTTGACTTGGCCGCTGAACACGAATGTTTTAGCTTTGGGATAAAACCATAAAAACGTATTTACTGGTCACAGCTATCCATTTATTCTATAAAGGTATCTAGGGGTCTACATTAGCCAAGTTAGCGAAGATGTTACCACAGCTAGATTAAATCTTAGATAATCCTATCTTAGTTAAAACATAGGAGCTGTCTTGCGAAATTTCCAGCTCGGTAAAAGAAAGCTTAGTATTGAGGGTTTCTTTCAGAACACCCGTAGCTGTATCCTATGTTCGTACAGACTTATCATATAAGTCAGACGCCAGCTGGCCATCGCATAATAAGGCCACGGACCGAACCTAAACCATATAGCCCTTAAGCCTCCGATGGAAAGCGCCTGTGGCTGGATCCCGGAGCCGCACTGTCTTATCGTGCGAACTAGACGCTAACAGCCGGCCATCGCGGGGAGAAGGCCACGGACCGAACCAAGCCCTGTATGCATACAAGGTGACTTCGGCTGATTTTGAATATGGAGGCCATCAGTAGATTTGAAGCGGCCTGACGCGTGATATGTAACCATTGGACAAAAGAATGATCAAGGTGCGACAGTACTGAGCTTCGAAAGATTTCTCTTCTGACATCTGGGTTGAGGATGACGACATTTGCTAATAATTCGGGACGTTGGTATTACGTGGAGCGCTCTCTTCCCAAACTGTCGCACAGGAGGGACGATGTGTAATTCGCTCTTCAAATATGCGTCTTGTTTTAACCGCTGAACTGTGCTGATGCCAAGAAGTGTTGGTGCTACCTTGCGGCGCAGTTGCCTTGCATATCCAAACCCCTCACGCACGGCAGGATAACAAATGTGGGCATAAGAAGTCTACTTCCTTTGTCAAACGGGAAGTGCGATCCGACACACCAGGTGGCGATCCAGGCATTACGACATTCTTGTTTAGCAATATGTCAAATGTTTTCCAAATAACTACTTCCAATAGGACGCCATAGTTGCGTACGGTATACTACCATTTCCTAAGAGCACGGGTAACACAGGCTCAGGTTTTGGGAACTACGGATATTCAACTCTAAATTACGGCATCTATCCGGTACTCTCTGGCCTCAAAGCAACTTGGCGTTCCCCATGGCACCATGTTTCACTTTGTCCTTGTAACTTCCCAGGATCTGTATCCTTGCAGGGTCATCGCCCGCTTCATACTATTATAATCTTATGTCTCCTCAGCTTTTCGCTTTCCTCTCCCTCCCACTCGCACTGAGAACCTAATTCATCACAAGTGCCGAGGGATAACACGGTGACTATTTTGGCTACTGTAAGGTTACAGATCGTGCTTCGATGTAGTCCCTAGTCGTGACAAAATGAGTTTCGGTATCGAAGACTACGAGGAAAGAAGGAGGATCCAGAGTCTCCTCGCTCAGCGTAAATGGCGTGACTTCTTGACAGACTTTTAGGAACCCGTTTGCTTATCTTTCCTGAGGTTGAATATCCACAGGCAAAAGGGCGAAGAATAGAAGCAGAGCAAACTCACGAATGTGCACTGCCCCGAAACCGAACCGGGTCTGAAATGAACAGCCAATACAGCGCATACAAGGCCACCAGGCCACGGAATGTTCAAGTGGACCAAGATCTTACCATAGGCAAGCAAATGTGTGCTTCCTAGACCATACAGTGGTGCCGCAAGTGAAGGAGGCCCCTGAGCAGCCTGTGCTTGGATTAGAAGATGAGGGAAATTCTCTGGAATATACTCCTCGATCCGGGCCATTACTATCAACCCCACTGACTGTATGGACGTTTATATCCTCTGTATGGCAGCGAGAGTAATGGCTAATGATGGTAAGAAAGGCCGTAGATACCAATCCAAGTTGGTACAGGCGTCCATGGTTTAAGAAAGCAAAAGGCGTGCGTGTCGGGATTCGACTCCGGAGGCTAGGTAGGAAATCATATATGGTGCGCGGCTGCAGGTGGACTGATCCTTTAGAATCCGCGTAAATGTCGCACATCATTGGGATACCCTGCACCTGAGGACTACAGCCCACCTCCGCTGCCTGCGTTGCTTGCCATGGCTGTTCACTCTCACTGACCCAGCTCGCTGAAAGCTGCTGATGCTTATGCTTATGTTGAGATGGATTTGAGACATATAGTGAAGGGACAGAATCTCATTCTCTCCAGGCAGCGACATTCAGATAGTTTTTATTGGCATGAATATCGAAAATGTAATTACCAAAGTTGCCTACCTACCTTAGTACCTACCTAAGGTACCTACCATACACTCGCGCGAACGGCCCGATCCAACTCACCCTCTTACTCTCCAGCTCACACGCAAACTCCCTCTCTTTCCTTCTATCAGTTGCCTTCGTTCTCTTTCGTTATCATCATCCCTCGCCGAGTCAGTACTTCGGCTCTCGGGCTGAGCGTGGGTTGCAACTCCCAATCAACCAAAGCACTGCCGGTTGTTTGTACGCCGACAACACGACGTTCCACTGTCATGAGAGCAATGGATGGCTGCCGGCCAGAGGCCGACAACGTGTTCGGACCTGTGGTGGCATCCTGCCGCGATGGATTTGACTTCACTCTGCTTTTCGAACAGGCCATTCTCTCGGTGGCACCGTCCGCGCTCGTGCTCGCAGCATCGGCATATCGCCTTCGGGTGCTCTATCGTCAACCCAGCAAGACCATCTCCACGGCGTCAGTGCCCTGGGCAACAGCGAAGCAGGTGAGTTTGACTGATACCGCCGGGGAACTAGCTGGAGAGAGTGGCTGACTCGCAGATGCCAAACTAGGCGGCTATACTCGGCTTTGCGATCACGCAGTTGATCCTCACTATCCTGTGGGCGGTACCGGGGCACAATCCCACGCAACTGTCCATCGCAGCATCTGCGCTTTCCTTCACCAGCAGCATCGTGCTCGCCGGGCTGTCGTATGTGGAACACGATCGGTCGGTCCATCCGTCGGCCATCCTCACCACCTACCTGCTTTTCTCTATTCTCTTCGATGTCAGTCAAATGCGGACGCTCTGGCTTCGACGGACAGACACTGCGATTGCGATTGTATTCAGCGTCGGCACCGTGATGAAAGCGGGCATGCTTGGCGTAGAGATGGTCGGAAAGCGCTCCATGCTGCAGTCGCCCTATCGAGATTGGTCGCCGGAAACTTTGGGGGGAGTAATTAATCGGAGTGTCTTCTGGTGGTTGAATGACCTCCTGCGCAAGGGCTCCGCCACTGTACTGCACCTATCTGATCTGTACCCGCTGGATCCAGGCCTGGAGTCAGCTCGTCTGCAGTCGAGCCTGAAAGCCGCCTGGGAGAACGCCGCTCAGCAAAAGACCTACGCGCTATTACTCGCAACCTTCATCTGCTTCTGGAAGCCGATGGTGGCGGCTGCTATTCCTCGAATTGCCCTTATCGCCTTCAAGTTTTGCCAACCGCTTCTCGTCGACCGCGCGGTCTCCCTGCTCAGCGAGCCTTACGGCCCTAAAGAAACCAATATCGGTCGCGCTTTGATCGGCGCAACGACCTTGGTTTATGCCGGAGTGGCAGTATGTACGGCGCAGTATAAACATAAAACATATCGCTACATTACTATGATGCGCGGTGGGCTCATCAGCTTGATATACGATACGACCCTTCAGCTTGATACTCAGGCAGCGAATGAAGCAGCTGCGATTACTCTGATGTGTACGGATATTGATAGAATTGTAGCCGGATTTGAGTGGGCTGATGCTCTCTGGGCTGGACCTATCGAGATCGCCGTTGCCATTTACCTGCTCTACACTCAGATAGGACTGTCTTGCCTTGGGCCCGTGATCATCGCTGTCCGTAAGTGCTGTACTTCAAACACCCAGAAGAGGGAAGGGTAAGCTAACCCAATCTGCCGCAGTGTTTGTGGTGACCATGCTCGCTTTTGGCAAGCTCTCCGTCAAGTACCAAAGGGACTGGATTGAAGCTGTGCAGCGCCGCGTCACCGCCACCTCCTCAGTGCTTGATAACATGAAGGGAATCAAAATGTCCGGCTTATCAGACGTGTTCAATGCAGAGCTCCAGCAGCTGCGAGTTCTGGAACTCACAGTTTCCTCGAAGTTCCGACAAATCATCGCGCTCTGCGCGGTGCTTTCAAACTTTTCAGGCGCCACTATCCCCATCTTGACTTTGATCATTTATGTCTTGGTTACTCGAGCGACAACGGGGGTGGAACTTAATCCGTCTGTGGCATTCACATCAATCTCGCTCGTCGCATTGCTGGCTGCCCCAATCCAACAATTTGCGACGGCCCTCATCCACTTTGCCGCCGCGACTGGCTGTTTTCAGCGAATCCAGGAATACCTGTTAAAGACCGCCCAGCGAGAGGATCACGTCTCTAGGCCACCTTTCACAACAGAAACTTTGAATGAAGTAGAGCTCCAGACTATGAATCCGTCCGCACGCCGGCACTTGCAAACGGAGAATCTTCTGTGTCTCCAGGGTACTGCGTTTGCCTTCACCCCTCGGGGAACCCCGGTTCTCCATGACATCTCACTGGATTTACCGGTTGGTATACGGACAGTAGTGGTTGGGCCTACTGGGAGCGGGAAGACTGCACTGCTCTTGGCTTTATTGGATGAACTGTATACTATCAAGGGATTCGTCTACTCGCGCTCGTCGCTTAAAATAGGGTATTGTGCGCAAGCGACGTGGCTTCCGAACCTAGAAATCCGTTCAATCATTCTGGGAGACGCTGACTATGACGAGAGCTGGTACTTGAAGGTCCTTTGGGCTTGTGCATTGCACCAGGATCTTCAGGCTTTACCAAAAGGGGACAGATCGATCATTGGGAGTAAAGGTACTAGTCTAAGTGGAGGGCAGAAACAACGAATCAGCTTAGCTAGAGCACTCTACGCGGGGACACAGTTACTTTTACTGGACGATGTGCTGAGTGGGCTTGACGCGAACACAGAGCAAACCGTGCTTGACAATGTGTTTGGGCGACATGGAATTTGCCGCAAGACCGGAACAGCTGTGGTTTTCGCCACACATTCAGGTATCACAGACTTTCTCATTCGTTGGAGAACCTGCCTTTATGTGAAACAAGATACTGACTTTGTCTCAGCCCAGCACGTCAAGAAGGCTGACCATGTGATCATTATGGGACCCGGAGGAACTATTCTGAAGCAGGGCACCCCATCCTCTGTCAACTTGGTCAGCGCGTACGACGAAGAGAGCGACTCTGAGATGACGGATGATGATGATGCTGCTAATCTCCAAGGCGCTCTTCCCCCGCCGCGGCCGGAAATAGGAGAGCAAATGGAAGGGGAACCAGAGGGGGCAGAACTTCTGCGTAAGACCGGTGATCTCCGTCTGTATTCGTACTATTTCCGAATGCTCGGTTGGGAGGCCACAACAGTCATGGCAGTCAGCTGTGCCCTCTTCGCTTTCAGCGCCAAGTTCCCAACGGTCTGGCTCGATTGGTGGTCCGATGCTGAGACCCAGCACCCAGGGCAGCAGACAACCATGTACATGGCCGTCTACGGCATGTTCTGCGTAATCTGTCTCATCGTCCTCATAGTGGGCATCTATGTACTAGCCATGGCGGGAATACCTCGGTCGTCCAACAAACTCCACGCTATCCTGCTTCAAAGGGTGATGGCCGCTCCATTCTGGTTTTTCGTCTCGACAATTGGCCTTCGAACGGCGAGATTGTCGTCTCAAATCTTAGCAGCCATTATCGGTAAGTCGATTAAGGCTATTATAATTTGCACCGCCGACACCTAACTCGGTATCTTTCTTCCTTCTAGACCAGGCTCGAAGGACGTTTTGCGGGACATCTCACTCAAAATACAACCAGGTGAGAAATTGGGTATCTGTGGCCGCACGGGAAGGTGTGATTCCATTGCAAACAAATTTTTCACAAAGCTGACTGTCATTCCAGCGGGAAGACATCGTTTATCCTCACCATACTTCGCCTAACGGAGATCACCAAGGGCGAGATCTTTCTGGACAGTCTCCCCCTCTCGAGCCTTTCGCGGATGCTCGTACGGCAAAGCATTACGGCCATTCCGCAGGAGCCACTCATTCTGCGCGGCACGGTCCGCTTTAACGCTGACCCATTTTCACGACACTCTGACGGACGGATCGTCTGGGCCTTGATGGAAGTGGGAATCTGGGACCTCATTACTACACGAGGCGGCCTCGATGCCGAAATGGACAATGTTGCCTTGTCGCGCGGTGAGCAGCAGCTGTTCTGTCTAACTCGCGCACTCTTGGCCAAGCCGCGTATTCTCATACTGGACGAAGTGACCTCTAGCGTCGACAGCGTCCGTGAAGAACACGTAATGAAGGTGCTGCGCCGCAACTTTGCGGAAGCAACTGTGCTTATGATTGTGCACCACTTGCAATTTGTGCGACAGTTCGATAGGATCTTAGTGCTGAATCAAGGAAAGGTGGTCGAATGGGGCGAGCCGGAGCAGTTAATGACGCAGGACTCGGCTTTCCGGTCTTTATTGAAAAGTCAGCAAGGCACCACGGCATATAGACACCCGCGAACCTCAGGTACTCGTGGCACTCTTGCATGACTGAGGGGGATGACTCAATTCTACCGGACGAGGGAATCAGAACCCACAACTCAGCACAGCTCTGAAACTCGGTACGGAGTAACGGGCCATGAACTAGCCAGCGTGGGGAATAGTAAGCCGCATCTGCCTGACTGTCAAGGTCCTGAGGACAGAGACATATCAGGAGCAAATCGTCGAGGGTCTTCCCGGGGGGAAGGGGTTGTTCCAGACAGCATTTTCACCTGTAGACGTTAGCCAATCCCAGAATAAATTTTGAAGCCAATTTACCAATCTTTCACAGTGAATCGATGATGGTAAAATGCATTCGCACGACACCTGTTGCCAGGTTGAGGTCTCATCAATTAGTCTAGCCCGCCACCTCCAGGAACGACGTTTGGATTATCCCAATGGATAACACCACCCCAGCAGGAGTCGTTCGGGTTACTACATCCCTGCTTCATTTAGCGAAATGCATGCATAGCTAGTATCTTTCTATAGACAGTTTCCAACAGTTTAATGAAATCTTGCTTGACCGACAGACTGACCGATTGATTAGTTGATTGGCAGCTCCCGGCCGCTCCGATACAGCTTGAGATTCCTAACAGTTACCATGTGGTGGTAGATCCTTACCGTAGAACAGAGGAAATGGCCCCGTTAACTATGGCGTAAACACCACACAAGCCGGACGTACATTATACAAGTGAGTGAGTAGCGGGAGTGAATAGCGTAGGGACAATCGGCAACTACAAAACCGGTTATCCGAAGCTGCCGCGAGCCAACTCAACTAGCAGGTGTAATGTACGGGCATTATTTGATGTAATTCGAAGATGTTGTGCCTGGGCCGATTATCAAGAGTACATGTGGCAGTGTTGGAATGCAATCATGGGGAAATAGGTCATCAAAGTCGTGGGTGTATGAAGTTTCTAGCAACAACAGTTCGCACCAGGTGGAAGATATCTAAACAAAGTTGTCCGGGTGGGGGATGAAGCAATCAATTACATCTGATGGCCACACTAGTACAAAAGATACTCAGCCAGCCCACAAATTCGCCGGGTTTGTATATCTATCAAGCCTCCGCCAAATGCAAGTCATCAATTAGGGTCCGCTTACGTTCTTCAGTAGCATGCAGAGCTCCTCGATGATCGTTCGTCTGTTCCTCGAGACTATCACCCGCCAGCAAAACATAACCTGTTGTTCTGTAAATATCCCTGTTTTCATCCCTTTGTATTCCCTAAAGTCTCCCAGTGCTCCTAAATCGAGGAAAGGAAGGATGCATGTGATGTCAAATGAGACCCACGGAAACGACCCTCGGGCGGCTGGTTGTAATTGTTCAAGATTATCATACAGCATATCGTCGTCCCAAGATGAATACAACTACTATCCAAGACACTTGGTAGCGGAATTCTGGGATAGGGGGATAAGAGAGGTCTTGGAGGTAGCCATTTCAGCCGCTTTTGAATGAATGCAATGTTTAGACGAGTCAGTTGTCCAATCGCAAAGGCTAGCTGCGTGTATTTCCATCAAGGTAACAGGCATATTCAGAGAAATGTATAAAACCAGACATTGGAAATTGGACTGGAATGGTATCCCAGATAGCATCAGCCAGCGTTTGACACCACCTCAAGCCTTCATCACGGAGAAGGCACCGTGGGTAGTGATGAAGATCACTTGCGCATCTCGATCTTCCAAAGCAGCATATTCTCTGCCAGCGTCACTGTCAATGGCTAGAGTGTACTTGGCAGTTTCATTGCGATAGAACCAGGTGTCTGCACTGACGACTTTTCGTTGCTCTGACAGCGCTGCAACAGCGGCCTGGCGTACAATCCCCACCACACTTCCACCACTGATAACATCCAAACCATTCTCGACGCTAAAGCATCCGTTGTTACTGCCAAGTATCACACCACAGGCATCACCGTTCTGGCTGCTGTAGCCCCGGTTACCGTCCTGTCCCACAGACACAAAGAGCTGACCAGCTGGTGCTGCACAGCATGTCAACTCATCAATGTCACCACATTCTGCGCCCACGTCTTCGTAAGAGCACCCCTTCGCGTGAAATAATGAGACCGTATACGAGCTTGCCTTTGGTAAAAGTGCCATGGTCGCCATGAGCACAGGTATGATGTCTTTCGTCGGGAGCTTCATCACGAAGATGACCTGAATCTGTCCGCACAACATCGTACACCCAACTTAGCATCTGAAGACATTGCCCACAGGCCGACTCACGTTTGAAATAAAGAGGAAAATGTCCAATAGGAACTTCCTAATGTAATGCAGTATGCACAGTCGTTCCCTAGTTGTTGTTGCTTAGGCTCTTCGCTATAGGGAAACACCGAGACCTTATATGTTACGACTGCCAGAATGAGCGGTACAATGCAAACAGGACCTTCATTTGATAATAGTTTGGTAGACAACACCAATTCTATAAGCACTATAAGCACTATAATCACTATAATCACTATAATCACTATAATCACTATAATCACTATAATCACTATAATCACTTTGATTACTGGGTAATCTATGTCTCACCTTGGGGCTGTGCGCACTCGGGCATATTGGTATCCATTGTCTCCGAAGCGCGGAGCCAAGTCTCCACAGAGTGTCAGACTAGTAGGCTACTCGCACATTTTCATTAGGGTAATCAATGATTTTCTTCCAAAGCTAGTCTCCATATTGTGTACAATGTATGTCAAGGTATACGCTGATCTGTCCATAAGTCGCATTATTCAGCACACTAATGGTCCCTCCACATGACCTGCAAGTTCAGTGACTCACTTGTATCATCACAGTACTATAAAGGTTGGCTGACATCATTTTTTCATCTCGGTGACGAAAAGTTGTAGCCTGCTTATAGACACAGTTATCTCTTTACCTTGTGAATAACCACTAGCCCTTACCGTAATCGTACTGCCATCTTTCTATGGAATAAAGTCAACCTTGGCTCTTTATATTCTGTATTCGTCTTCTGCAACCATTTGAATCTTCTCTTATGTCTTCCAGAAAGACTGTCACGGCACTTCTCCCACCGTCTGTTGACGTCGCGAAGGAACGCGATTTTTGGCTGTGGTATCGGCAGAGTTTGGAAAAGGCTGATTTATTTGATGACGACGATCAGATTCCGGGATTCTACATTCTCAAGGTACGTCTTAAGAATCGTGCTTTTCAAAGGTCACCTGACCATTTACCATGTCTGCATTTAGCCAGCATCGTATGCCATCTGGGAGAGGATCTGTGCATCTCTTAAAGACAAGCTTAAGCGCATGGGGGTGCAAGATTGCGCTTTTCCGTTGTCTTCACTCGAGATTACAGGAACTAGCGGCGATAATGGAGATCCCTGTATGGACACCGAACCGAGACTACGAAATCGGCAAAACGCGACATCCACCATCTATTCGTGCTGTGCGAGGTGGATTGCGAACCCTGGGGACCTTCCGCTACGATTGAATCAGTGGAAGACAGCGTTCAGATCAGAACCCTGCCCACAGCCTTTCCTCAGGTGCCGTGAGCTTCTGATACAAGAAGCACATACGGCACACATGACCCAATATGAAGCCCATGAAGAGATGCTGCAGGTTCTTGATATTTACACAGCTGTTTATGAAGAACTCCTTGCTGTTCCACTGATCAGGGGCCTGCAAAGCGACCCTAATAGCTCGGATGAAGTTCATACAGCTGTCTTATTTGGGCTTGTTCCCGCTCTTGAACAGTGCATCCAAGCTGGTGCCTGCCATGAGCTAGGCCAACAGATGAGCAAAGAGTATAACATTACTACCTCCGACGTTCCGGTTGGCTCGCAAACCGTTTCGAATTCCACTGTACATGTATGGCAGAATTCGTGGAACCTTTCTATTCGAGCTATCGGTCTCATGGTAGCTACGCATGGTGACAACCGGGGCCTGGTTCTTCCACCCCACATTGCTGAAACACAGGTGGTAATAATACCTCACCAGGATTCACGCAATAAAAATGACCATCATAAGATTCGAGCAGAGATTTTGTCCATTCAATCAACATTTGCTTCTCTGGGAGTTCGGGTTTCAGCGGATTTGCGCGACTGGCGTTCCACTGGCTGGAAGATGAAAGAGTGGATAACACGTGGTGCTCCAATACGCCTAGTTTTTGGATCAGAGGAGCTGGCTGGTCGATATGTCACCGTCTGTCAGAGAGATCTTCCTAAGCCGAATGAGGAGATTACTATACCTCTTTCCCAACTCCCCACTGCTATCCCGACACTTCTCGCAGCTATGCATAACCGTCTCTTCAAGAAGGCTCAAGATACCATTCGCTCGCGTCAAAGGCAACTTGCTGACTGGGATGAATTCGTCAAAACAATTTACAACAGGAAGACGGCCTATATCTGTTTAGTCCCTCATTGTCTGACGAAGGACTGCCAACGTCGGATTGAAAGTCGGCTGAAGTTTGCTATTGAGAGTAATCCTGATTCTGAGACTAGCTCCATGGCTGCTTCTGTCAATTTCTTATGCATACCATGGGACCAGCCTTCCGGAGTCGGTGAAAAGGATGCCTCCAAATGCATCTATCCCGAATGTATCCGTAACGCAAAGAAATGGGCTATGGTTGGATGTAATTTTTGAAAAAATACCCCTCGTGATCTGGGATATGTACTAATACACGCTCCTTTGTGTAAGACGAATGTTAGGGTTACGCAGAACGATTTGGCATTCAGCTTCTTAGGCTTATCACAGCAACCTGGAAGCAATACGATTGCCGGGAAATGTTTATTCCCGAACTGGATTGTTCCAGAACAAACTGTTTGTACGCCAATTTCTCTACATATCTTCACAATCGATTTTGGCTTCTGCATTGCTCTGAACTAGGTTCCAGGAAGTTAGAAATCAATCCTCAATTGACTGCTTCCCACCTTTTTGGTAAGGTGCTGCACGTCTATGTCGCTATTTGTAGGAAGAGGAAGAGGAGTCGACTCATCAGATAACCAAGACGGAAGTAGTAAAATATAGAAAAAAAAGAAAAGAAAGAGGCAAAATTAATATAGCTGCTAATCGTATTTATTATTTATATTTATTATATTTATTTTATTTTGCCGAATCTAGTCTTATATAAAGACTTTTCGAAGCTGTATACATTAATTCTTATTTAGATACGGATAATATATATTAGCCTATAGCATATTCTCGATAAAATCAAAACCTCAGACCGACATAGCTGTGGGAAAGAATCCTAGACTTTAGAGCATATCCTTATACAATACTCGTTATATTAGAAGATACGTGGGGCAATAATGGCATTGCTGTAGGCTATAATGATCCCTCTAGAGGAAACTATCAGACTATAATATGCTTATAATATCTAACTCGCAAGTAAACTTTGTTACATCACTGAACATATACATCAAACAGGCCTGCTCAAACAGTTCTGCTACGCGGAGGTCGGAATGCAAAAGCCTCCTCCGAGGCTCTGGAATAAGTTTAGAAGCGATAGTTAGAAGGAATAAGTCAGCTGCCTACAAAGGGATCTAGCTCGACGCGGCACCGCGTCAATTTACTAGAATCATATATGGAATAGAGTGGGATAGGTGTTTGACGCGCAGGTGGCGCGGGGGAGACGTCTCGCCTAGTATCGAGTGAGTTTGGTGGTGTTTTACTCTATCTTTAATGTTTCTTATGTCTTTTCTGTATTTGTGGGTTTATATGGGCTTCAGGCGTTCAGGCACCAGATTTCTGCTTCATTGGTGAAGCGCCTGCATAGCCAATCGCTTCAATAGATAGGCTTCAACAGGTTAATAGAATCTTGATTGATTGATTGATTGATTGATACTCATCGCACGGGCCTTGGTGCCAGATGGCCCACCAAAGTATACGGAATCGCTCCCGCAACGACGACCTCATATCCTAGACTGGCACCATCAACCAGCCATAGGAAAGAGGCGGTTGAGCTAGAGAATCAATTTATATTACAGTGCTTTCCTTCTTGGGCATCAATGCATGTATGGGCAGTAATAGGACCATCTGCCTATGAAGAAAACAAGCAGGACGGCTGTTGGCAGGGAAAATTGCTCGGATTCATTGTTCTACAGTTTCTGATAATCCATGTATTATTGAATAGATCCAAGTTTCTCAACCCAAAGCAGCATCGTGGGCTTAGCGAGCCAACCACACCAGTGCTTGGCAACCATCACCTGTTACCAGGCAATAGTCATATTTTAATGCCCAAAGCATGGGTAGCCACTGCTTGAAGAATGTAAAGAAGCGGGTTTGAGCTATAATTTAAGTCCCCCCCAGTTCTTTCACCCACCTACAAACAAGGGTACAGTTCCTGTAAATGCAACCACCATCACAGAGCATTATGGTATAGTTGGCTAATTTCTGATTTTCTGTCCACTTCTAGTATGCCCCAGAAACCTTCCGTTCCAATCAAGGTCATCGGCAAGATGAACCCTGGTGTAGCTTACACCGAGCGCCATGCAGTCCGTGCAGTCCTGTACAATCCAGCTTCTCAGCAGGTCGCGATCATTCACATTGTCAAGGGAAACTACTACAAGCTCCCCGGCGGTGGAAATCGAGGTGGATGAAGTTCATTGCGCGGCAATCAAGAGAGAGGTCTTGGAGGAGACTGGTTGCAAAGTTTCTGTGGATAATACCGCATTCTTTGCTCAGAGCGAGGAATGGCGGAATGACCTGCATCAGATATCCCTTTGTTATTCTGCTAGACTGGTTGAGGATACGGGTCGGCCAGAACTGACCGATGTCGAGTCTTCCGAAGGCCTCTCGCACTCTTGGGTCCCAGTCGATCGCGCCATCAGCACCATTAGGAACGTTCAGCCAACTTCCGAGCTTGGCAACTTCATCCAAGAAAGGGATCTATTCTTCATCAAGACTTTTGTATCTGCCCAAGGTGGAAAATAATCAACGGACGAAGTTAGGATGGCTGTTCATTCATTCTAATATTTACATGCTGTAGTTAGCAGTGCCAAGGAGTCAGCAAGTAGTTACCTAGTAGTTAAGGGTTGTCAGCAGTGGTCAGACTAATAGATAAAATTAATATTAACAATTATACCATTGGTGACCCAAACCCTGCTTTATACTAGATGCGAGTGTATGGGACTGATCGGGGCCCCGAGGGCAACTCTTCAGGACCAAGTCACCAAGTCCAAGGTCTCCACCACTCTCCTATATACCACAGCTCTTCCAATCTTCATAACGTCCTAGCTGACCCTTTTTGGAGGCAGAGAGAGCTCGTGATTCCTCTCCTGCTTTACTTCCCCTCTGCACCAAAGGATATTCAAGGCAACGCTAGATCGAATAGACATCAACTGCCAATGACGAAACAAACTTCAAACTTCGTCTTCTACGTTCGGGGAAGGAGCCTTATGTTCGTTGCCATTGCTGTAAAATAGCAGACAGAATGTCTCGATCAACTTCACAGTGTCCTCATAAGGGGAATGGTATGCTCCAGTGTCTCCCGCATTATCACTAGCTACGTACTTATTGTCAGGTGGAATAAGAAAGTAGTCTACTTGGGCTGGTTTGTAGACATCAATACTTGGTAGATAGGTTACGGTACCTACCGGTACCTACTAAAGTAGTAGGCAATAGGCAACAATGACCTCAGAACAGAAGGTGCACCAAAAACTCTTCCCCCTTACCTTTCTTCCTCTCACTTTACTTATTTCTCTCACTTCACTCACTCCTCACCTCCGTGACGGCCTTATTTCCTTATTTCTCCCTTACACTCTTCTCTTACCTCTCTCTTCATCTACCCTCCTGTATCCTAGTCTCTGTTTATCAGAAGATGGATCGACCCCCAGTCATACCTGAACGGGTGTCCTCCTTGATGTCTCCATACGAGAAGTGGTCGGTGAGCGCTGCCTCCAAATGCTCACAACTCTCCACCAAATCAGACGCCTCGGAGATTTTTTGAGGCCAAGCTAGCCCATATGCAATCCAAGCTCGTGCAGGAGCTCGAACATACCCGGCTGACTTCCGAGACACGCCCAGAGAGCTCAAGTTTCTCAAGCGCCAGCGACGAGAAATTTTAGCTGATATAGATGAGGAAATGAAGACTAAGGTACAACGTCCTGGGGGACCTGACAAAACGTTTAGCAAAAACGCCTACAAGAACTCTACTGTCTCTTGCGTCATGACCTCTAGTTGTAGGCAAAGGGCTTTGATTTGTGTGGATTATTTACGCACCATAGAATCGCGATACTCATACTTTATTCTTTCATGCAAATAGCCCAACAACTGCTGCCAACAGGTTTGTACAATATAACATGGGCAAGATGGAGCATGTCGACCTGAGCGAACCAGGAATGCCTCCGCGCATCTACCGAAGAGAGAACTGGAAGGAACAAAGTAATACAAGAACCTGGCGGGTATGGTTCTTGGAGTTCACTTCTGCCGCGGGGACTTTCGCCGAACAAAAGTCCTTTCCCCCAAAGGATCGGGCAGCCCTAGAGTCCATCCTCAAGAATACGTGACCATAGGTATGAAAACCGGACCGTCCGGCAGAGCCCGGAACTGGACTTTCACTGTCCGTCCCTTCAATGTTGTCCGGGTGACCCCAGTGCTCGCCTGGCCTGACAGGCTGCCCCCGTTGTAGTATTCTGGGTGCAGCTTCACTGCCGTATCATGGTCTTTCAAGTTCACCTGAGCATCGCACCAGGGATCGTTATTATGAAATCCCACAATCACGGTGAAGATTTCCCCTGATGAGGTCTTGATCCGAAGCATGCCCGACGTACCGCTCCCACCCATCTCGAGCACGTTGTCATCGGTCCAAGTGGCGCCATTTGCATAGTGCCAGCAGGTCCTCTCAACGACTCTGAGGGACTCATTAGTCTCGTTATAGATCTGAACCCCGAGTTTGTAGATCATCCTGCTATCATGGAAGTGTGAGATGGGTCTCCATCGAAAAAAGCGAGAGGGACAAACCTCTGTTTGAAGGTAGGGGGTATCAACTGGAGAAGATAGTGGTAGCAGAAGTGAGGGTGGCAGTAGGGGTTCTCAATGTATGAACGTGAAGAAGAGACATGGTGGTCAGCAAATTGCCGCGGAACTCAACTAGGTTAAATATAAATAACGTGGAGGCGCTGTAGGTTGTAGCTGAGCTCTATCGGGCAAACCGACCACCCCAATATCTGCCACTTTTCGTATGTTGCATGCTGAAAAGTGGCTGAGCTGAATGAGACATTTTCAGCGCTCGACGCATTCGCCTGATCTGCCCCTCCGGTTGGATTCGCGTCGGCTAAGCTAACCTGACGGCGTTCCCCGGCGCCTCATGGGTGTACAACTCACTCAGCTTGGACAAGGAGTAGATATGATCACAGAAGATTATAGTTACGGGATTCCGAGATTGTTGAATATTATCTGGCACATTCGCATGCTTTTGTAGCTGCACCTTGATATACTATGTATAGCTACAAATAGTAAGTAACATGGATTGCTCAATAAGCCCTTTTAATGGTCTAGAACGGATACCGAAGAGAGGAAGGCCATGTAAGTGTCACTGGCTTTGCAAGGGTTACTGCAGCAGCGCTATTTTCATAGTAATGACTTTCAGCTCACATTAACCGCTGGAGATAGTAGATGCCCAACTGTCTTCCTTCACACCACTCCACCATGATATCTTGCACTAATCCTGGCTGAATACATCTCTTCTTATTAGTTAACATGGGTTGAGTACTTTGCAGGAAGGGGGGACAAACAACCGATTCCTACATAATGATATGCCTGATGATCAGGTCATCCTGAACGGTAGCGGCTTGTCCCTCCCCATAATGAACTATGCTTTACAGCAGACCACATAGTGAACGCTGGCGTATTATGAGGCTAGCTGAGTCGGCCGTGCGTTTTTTAAGGGAGCTGACCACAGGGGAGGGTTGCAAGACGCTAATTGATCTTGAGCAAGGGTCTCCTCGTCCCTAATGGAGTGACTACTTGGCAGTGTCAAACACACTGCGGGGCCAGGTAGCATAAGCGCCAGGGAGCAAGAAGTGCGGACATTTGAAGAGCGTGCTCATCTATAAATTTCGAAGGGTCAGCAGTCAAGACCCAACATTACAGCCTCGATATACCCCAAAGTTGAGTCTTTCTGCCAGGTACTCAGATCGCAGCCTTAGTCCTTGGTTTCCTTAGTACATACGCAGCGCTTCATCAAAGGTAACAGAGTGCAACTCCTCTTGATACTATAATCCTGGGCTGACATAGACTATCAGGCCCAACAGGATGGCGAACCAGACAGTCGTCAACCCACGAAACAGCTACATCAGCACTACCCTTGATCCGGGCACCTGGTACCGGCTCACCAATGCCTATCTCGGCCCCTCCTTCTCCCTTGATGTGGGAAATGATGGCGTGTTGAAGATGTCACCTTCTAGCAACTCCAGCGGCCAACACTGGCAGCTTCTCCCGCAGTTTTCTTCTGGAACGTACAAGATACGAAGCATGTTGCTTGGTGCAGAAAATGTCCTCGATATTCACGGGAACGACAAAACCAAACCGCATGTGGCGCGGGAGGGCAATTACTCCGGCCAGATGTGGACGCTAGACGGCTGGGGAGACAGCACGTGGCGACTATTCAATCCATTTTCCGGGGACCATCTACGCCTTGACACATACGCGGACACACACGAGCCTTTCATGTCCGATGGAGACCATTCCGGACAGCATTGGACTCTTACACCGATTAGAAGCATGTAATTCGCTATGCTTGTGTAGTGAGGGCAAAGTAGTGGACGGTGAACGCAAGCTGCTGGTTGCTCCTGTTTCTTCTACTCGAGAATAGCATGTCTCTTGTACCTACCTTCTTTTGAAATATGTAACAAAAATAAGGACGATAAAGGTTAGCACCGACTGTGGTTCGAACACAGGACCCTAAGATATACACAACCAGAGGTTACTGCAATCTCATGATCTACCACTGATCTACCGGTGCAGCCTTATGTAATCATTCAATTAATATCCTTCTATATATGTACACTGTAAATAATGTGGGGAGATGGGGTGGAAGGGTAGTGACATCATGTGTCCGCCACGAGTGGTTCGATCGCTTTCAGACCCCGCTTTCTCCATGTTGTTATTGGAGGAGGTATGAGATCACCCGGAATGGCGATGGCAGCAGTACAACCATCAGGTGACTGGGAGATATCGGATTCACTTGCCTTCACAAGTCTCTCTTCTATTCTCTTCTCTTCCCTTCCTTCTCATCTCCTTCCCAATCGTCCAGCCCATTGGGATCTACTGTACAGTCAAGCTGTTGTGTTGATTGCTTCCAAGCTACCAAGCATATACTTGCGTGAGGCTGTACAGCCTAGTCAACACGAGTCACACGACTAACCTCCTTTCAAGAACAACTCCTGCCAAATACATCTTCCTGGTCTCTTTCGACGTCTCAAGGTAACGAGCTCCATCCACTGACTCCAATGCATCTCCAGGAGACACAATTGAAACACTGCCTGTACCATACTCCATACTGGTCCTTGCTCCCTGACCAATTGAGGCCGTGGAGGAACATTCCAAGTCTCTTGTCAGGCATTCTGTCCTGGGCCTTCATCCCTACCCTTCATCTCGCCTTGAACACGTGCTTTCTCTGCAGGCAAAGGGTGATGTACCACTAACTCCGCAAGGGGGCAGGTCTTAGATCCATCTCCAGCTTCACACCTATCTCATCAGATCCTAAGATCAGTCGAGCTTCAACAAGTGAGTGACCCCGTTCCATCCACCTGAACCGATTACCCCGGGTTTCTTCACAGACCCCAAAGCATTGAGCAATTTTGAGATGAGATAGTCGCCATTGCACGATATAACACATGACTGACCCATCCAGTGACTCGCTCCCACAAAGCCAACGACCGCGACCATGTGAACGATCGTGTCGCCCCCGACTTGCCTAGATACTTTGGAAAATCCGGGCCCGTGGACGCCGACCCCCGCAAGACCAAGAAGGACGGTGGCGGCAAGGGAAACTGGTGAAGCGCCCTTGACGCCTCATACATCGAAACACTCGCTAACTATGCGTGCAGGGGCCGGTCCGGTGACGAGGTCCAGGACTACGACTACACCTTCACCAACGCCCGGCGTTACTCGAACAGCAGCACCCAAGGACTGGCTGATTTCAGAACCAAGTTCGAGGCGGTTGAGACCGAGCCTGTGTTCGAGGAGCGCCTGCATGGTCCTGAGACCGAGGATAGCCTCGATGAACACATGGTCACCAAAGTGGACAGCACTAGCAGCAGCAGCTCCAGCGGAGCCAACGACATGAGCAAGGTGTAAAGTAATGTCGTCGACGGGACATGTAGTCTTAGTTCCCTGGATGCTCCATTAAGAGTACATTGACATGCGTATGGTTTGTTCATAAGGCCCAGAAACCAAGAGCTTATATTAGTTCAATACACAGTGGTCTTTGATTTATGTTAAAAACATACAGTACATGATCCTGCGAACCTAGTCACCTGCTTAAAAGACGCATCTGCCCTTGTTCTTCCAACTCCGTCTATGTTTGATATTTCGCAACGTGTAGGTAGTTTCGCAACCAATTGAATCAGCCGTGCGCCCAACAACCCCAGAGAATGTGAGAACATGATATCACTAGAGCCAGCTGAGACGCGCTTTTTCGTTCGATTCCTCTACTGACTCCGGCGACTGAGCCTTGGGTTGTTCATCAAGGCTGGACAGCTCAGCAGCGGTCGTGACGGCTTCCTCCCCAGACGTAAAGAGATTGTTGAACCAAAATTCAAGCTTTCCCTGTTCGATGTAGCGGCTCAAGATATCGCTTTCCTTCTTGAAATCCTGCGTGAGTCGACCACGTTGCTCCGCACGGAAACGGGAGGCAAGCACTTCAGCATCTGCGTCGTTCAGCAGAACTTCTTGCGGTGATTTCGGAATATACAGCGAGGCAGACTCGGCGCTTTCATTATGTCCTATACAACGGTTAGTCAGAAGGCCCATCCGTGCAATCCCCGGGGAGCAAGGAGCGGGTGGGGGGTACGTACTATCTCCGAGGCAGAGGCTCAGCGTGCGGAAGAGCGAAGTCTCGTAAGCTGAAGCTTCAGAATCGGCGCCCAGTCTTTCTGCTGCCTTTCCAGTTTCCACCCAATCGTCCCTGATCATGCATCTTCGCCATATCAGTCTCTGCATGGCTGCATGGTAGCGCGAATCTTGCTGAGAAAAGGACGCAAGCCGAACAACACGCAAAGCAAGATAGAATTCCTTGCCCAGAAGATCACTGTGGTCGTATTCCATAGTTTGACTCGGGTTCATAAGTGTTAGTAGGTCAACTAACCGCTCGGCGCCAATGACTTGTCTTGCAATCACCATGCCGAGGGTTTCGCTGAGGAGCTCCAGTAATGACGGTCGATCGCTGGAAATAGATTTCCCGAAATGATCGACTGCCAAATCAAGCTCTGCTTTCTGATCAATTGCACCCTGCAAAAATGGAGTGATGTATGCATAGATGACCTCCTGAACTGCATCGATTTCCGTCAAGTCTTCGAGGCGACGAATGTCGGTATGGATAAGCGAGTCGGCGGGTGCAGTGTTCTCCTCCCAGGTTGCTAGCTTCGCAAGCTTCGCTATAGAGAGTTCAACGCGGTGACTCCAGAGGTCTGTCTCGTGCTCTACCGCCAGAGTCTGTAAAGATTCTGCTGCAGCGTTGTATTTATCTTCGCCGAGCACATCATTGATCCAGCCTAGGCGTGAATAAACTGGATGCTTGCGTAGGAACCGGGTGATGAAGGGTTGGAATTTTCTCATCGAGAACAGAACTCCTGACTGCCCCATTGAGATTTGCCGAGAGAAGAAGGCATCTGCCCATGGCTCGCCGAACTTTTCGAAATAGAGAGAGATCTTTTCACCGAGTTCGTGAGAATCGCGGCTTAGAACGTCCCCGTTGCCGTCCAGAGAGTCTGAATTGTCCTCGACCTTCCTCTGATCTTGTAGTTCGATGATGAGCTCCACCAGGGCGTCCATGTCTCGGAACTGTTCAGCCAACGTGATAGCATCTTCCAGCTGTCCGATGCCAGCTAGTTTGAATAGTTGCCACTTGCGTTGTTTGACATGTGACTGATCAGTTGCGATACTCTCGTCAACCAACTTCGACTCTTGCTGAGCAGACAGCCAGCGGACTCGCTCGGAGTGCATCTGGCCAAGAACACGCAGGAGTCTGCTACTGTTCTTGCTGATCTTTTTCACGATCTTGTCTTCTGGCATCTCCATGTTTGAGTTCCGTTGCTGGATCCAAGCCCGGCAGCTGTCAAGTTCCAAGTCCAGCAAGTGGCCGGTTTCCACGTAGCTTATGCTCTGAGACGTCCAGAATTCGGGGAGGCCATTGTAGCCCGTCACAAGCACACCGTCCTCTATGTATCCATCGCCAAGGCCGTATCGGCTGGCATGTTCGTCACGGAACCGAAAAGCCGTCTCTAAGACAGCCAGGGAGAGTTCGCTGGCTTCCAATATTTGTTCCGAAATCTTTCGTCCCTGCCGTGAGGAGAAGCCCTTTTGCGGCTTGACGGCATTGAATATCCAAGGTACGATATGCTCCATGCGAAAGGTGTCGTAGAGAAACCAGTTTCGTACTGGATCATCGCCGTCAGACCTGGCTTTCGTCCTGAATTTTTCGCTCATTGATTCAATAACATGCGTCAGGAATGTTTTGTTGCCTTTGGACTTCCTCGCATCTTCCTCTATTTTCCAGATAGCTCTCTGGGCAGCGATTTTCTCTGCGCCCCATAGCAGCTCCCACCACGTTTGGCGATCAAAAGCTTTGTTTTGCTGCATCAGAAGCGAAGCGAGATCATCCAGCGCTTTCGCTCTGGACCTCAGGTTCTGTTGTATAGAGATTGCAGTTGCTGGGATGAACCTCGACGTGGACCGCAACAACTCACCGCAGATATCTAGGGCAGCTTGTTCTATCTCTTGAACGGGGTAGTCCAGGTTGGTCCTGCTGTCTAGGTTCAGTGGGTTCCCTGAGATTGTGCCGTAGAACACAGCTTGCTCGATTTTGTGTTTGGCAGTGACCTGAGCGTTCTCCCCGTCCGTTTCTGTCTTCAGGCGTGGCAAAGCAGAAACGCGAATCACACCAAAGTCTCGAACCATAAGCAGGCATGCTGGGTGCGGAGATTCGGCAGCTTGATCCTCAAACCCACTGCCTAGTATCTCGTAGCTTTGGCCTGACCGAAGGTTGATGATATCTTGAAATGGCTGAGGTGCTCGGTCAGAATCAGCCAAAAGCTGCCTACTTGGCGAGTCTGAGACAGGAGCCAGGGATAGGAGGATAACCGACTGTCCGATCAACACAAAGGCCGTATCCCCGGGCCGTGGAAGCATCAGTCGCGGTTTTGGATATTCCGGGAATGTGGCAATGCCGCGGAGATTGATAGAGTTGATGGACGAGACATTCACATCTTGAGTTATATCAATTTGCGCCAGGAACAGCTCCGTCGGTGCTGTGCCTGCCGGCGCGACGATAACAGATAGGGATAAGGCGTTCTGTCCCTCGGACTGCACAGCATCATCCAGGCTTCCGCGGGGTGTAGGCGTGAAGTCGAGAACCCTGATGTCGTGATCTCCGCTTCCACTGACAGATTCGGTACATAGACGATAGACAGGAGCAGACTCGTCATCAAGTTATTTTTTCAGCTCGCTTCCATGGTTGCAATGCGTGTCGCCAGATTTCAAACATCACCAGTAGAATTAGCAATGATGACATCTAGCTGACCCCTCTGGTGAGAATCTCCGGCCCGAACGGCCACCAGGTCCTTCCTTCCAAAGCTGCCACCGAGGACACTTTTCAGTCCACTGAGTAGCCCAACTCTACCACTGCCGAATGAATTCGAGAGGAAGTGGACCGTTATCTTAGCTTTTCCCTGGGAATCCCTCACAGTGACATGGGCGACACGTCCGGATGAAAGTGTGAGGATCACGCCAGAAGGTTCGGCATTCGCAATGTCGGTGATGACTTCGCCAGAGAGCAAATTCGGCACAGAGCCCTGGAGACCAGTTTGCTTCTGCCTTGGTAGACCCAACGATGCGGCGCTTGAAACTGTCTCCCAGTATATAATCTTTCCAGATTGGCGCATAACAACCATCAAGCCGGGAACCCCAGCTGTGGCTGTAGACAGAAGAACGCCAAGAGGCGGGATGTTGTTGGGCTCTCTGCATGGTTCGGGTATGGAAAGGGTAAAGGTGTCAGAAGGAGATGGCGACGAAGCTGGAACAGAATAAGGCCAGACTATAGCCTGCGTCTGTGTAAGTGCCAACGCGTGGCCGCAACTAGCACCGAAAAAGCACCTAAGATCGCCTACGGAGGCATTAGTATAAGAAATGCGAAATGACTGATGCTACTTGCCTGACTGGGAGCTTCGAATCTGATCTGGCAATGCTGGCAACTGAGCCACCGTATAGAACTCTGTTTCCGACTGTCATTGGGAATTAGCTTTGAGCTCCAATGCCTGCAAGAAGTGAGCAAGAGCAACAAACCAGTAGCACAGTTCCATCAATGTCATCTTCTCGTTTCTCGGCCTTCTTGAGAGACCTGATAGGGAGCTGATTATGCGCGGCGGGGCCTTCTGAGAATGTATCTTCTGTCTCGTCGGTTATCGGCGTTGGATGATCCGGCGCATCGTTGCGAAGGCGATCTGCCAGGTTTTCGGAGGATGAATCTGGCGCTTTTTGACCGAGAGTAGACCGCTGTCTTTTGGCTCTGGGAGGTTTGACGGAGTCATCGGAGCTGGTACGTTGGCGCCTTCTAGGGTTGCGCTGGGACCCGGCCGATCGAGGTAAAAACATTGCTGGGTCTTGGTGAAGGTTGTAGTTTGCAATTCGGTGGTTGATGGAATGGGAGAAGGGCCTGTTTTAGTCCATCGGAGACTGGCTGGGTTCCGCGGACTGAAGGACGTGTATTCCTCAGAGGATAGTCGTTCTCAGGCTGGATCGAAGCAAAGTACCTTAGTAAGGCACTATTCTATGCTTCATCTGTTGCTTGGAGTCTTCCTTTCTTTCTCCCTGCTCGCGCGGGAAAACAATACAGAAACACCAAAGGCGGTCAGTCGCGTAGAGCCACGTGACGAAGACATGCGGCCTCCCCTCGTTTGGATGTCGTACTCCGGACTCCGGACTACCGATCGTCGGCAATTATCAAGACAATATGCCAATGAAGGAGACATCTTACATCTAACCCATACCGAAATTGCTTTCCGGGTTGAATCACAATGCCCGAACATTGTACTGGCTATGTTGAGAAACATCCGCAAAGGGCCACTTATCTTTGATTCCGCTAGAAACCATGACGTCCCTGATCTTTCTGAAACCTAGACCTCATGCGACGCATATAAGAACCTCTCTACACTATGCTCACTGTCATCCGCGGTCAGCTAAGCGGCGATTACATTCGGATTCCACGGGCAAGCCGTTGCGCACCGCCCTTTTCTTCCCTGGTCTGGCCATTCCCTTCTTGCCGGCTTGTTGCCTTCGACTAACATTCTTGGTAGGCCATGGGGTACAACGCGTGGGCATGGTAACCTCGTGGGTTAACAGTTTTCCGGTGACAGCTACCCGGTTCTTGGACGACATGGATGCTATTTTGGGCTTCCGGCTATCTCGCATTATCTTTGACGGACCGAATTCCGAACTGAACAAAACGGAGAACTCACAGCCGGCTATAATGGCGACTTCGATACTCATTCTTCGAATTCTGGAGAAACATTTCGGGTTTGATACACGATCCCGTGTGGACGTGACTCTTGGGCATAGTCTGGGGGAGTTTTCGGCTCTTGTTACTGGAGGCTACCTTGATTTCAGCGATGCTCTGAAGCTAGTGCGACGCCGGGCGGAAATAATGGCCGAGTGCACGCGGCGTGCGCACGAGGAGTCTAGCGAAGAATATGGAATGGTGGCTCTAGTCTGCGAACCCCACCGTCTGGATGGACTGCTCCGAACCATTCATGAATTCCTGGGTCTTGCGCCCTCAGGCTTGAGGGACGACACAAGTTGCGGAACGCCGCCGATTGAGCAAGTAATGATTGCTAATATCAACTCTAAAAACCAGATAGTCTTGAGCGGCAGTGTCCAAAGAATAAGGACTCTTCTGATTCAACTTCGCCAATTTGGTGGCCATGATCCTCGTGCAGTCCGGTTGAACAGCAAGAGCCCCTTCCACAGCCCTATTATGGCGCCCGCCGCAGATTACATGAAGCGTGCTCTTGAGGAGATTCGAGTCAATTTCCCAGCTGATATGCCGTGCATATCGAATGTTACCGGTCTGCCCTTCAGATCAAAGGAGGAGCTCAAACGGTTGCTATCAAAGCAGTGTGTTGATACTGTCAGATGGTGGGACAGCATCCGATATCTAGACCAAGAGCAGGGTGTCAAACGATGGATCGGTATTGGACCAGGAAAGGTCGGGCGAAACTTGGTAGGAAAAGAAGTAGGGAGAGTCACGGCCAAAGGCGGCGGCGTTTGGGCTGTCTGCGACCCTCGTGAGGTCGAGGAGATGATTCGAGGTTTGGAGCAGACAGAGTCTGATGTGAAGCTGGTTGTTGATTGAAGTTCCGCAAATGGATTTGTAAATATGCTCCCTACGACACTGTACATACCTATGTAACTTCCTACCCTAGCGAAATGAGATAATAGTCATTATCCTGCGAGCCGGATGAATGGCCCATGACAAATATATTGCTTCATGGAATGTCATCATAAAATCCGCAGCCATTTTCTTCGTAAGAGATTTTGACGCAATGTTTGCGCTTCAGTGTCGGGTATTAATTAGAACTGTCCTATCCCAGCCGGCTGTATGCTGGGCTCATCAAAACGAAGACATCCCCGGGGCCCACGTTTCGCCAATGCGCTTCACTTCTGAGATGAATTTTTGGTCCGTAACACGCATAGAGGAAGGGGCCGAGGCGCCTGCTTGGGCTGCGGGCGTATGGTCATCTGGAGAGTAGAATGGATTCTGTAGAAGCTGAATATACGCAGCTTGTAATGCCCGGAAAACCTGTGAGGTTGGAGACTTAGTTTATAAGTTCATCACAGAGATGTAGACCCTTGCGAAGCCAAGTAGAAAGACAACAGGGTTCTGTGACTCTGCGCACGCACCGGTTTGAGATCTGACTCTTTTATGCTGCTCCCTGTAGGGAGCCGACTCTCCTCATCGCTAGTGCGTGATGGCTGGCCGAGGAAATCGACTATGACGAGAAGTTTCACACCAGTGGTCGTGAGCCAGCCATATGCTGCTAACCGTTCGTCGAAAGCATGTAGGAGACCCAGCTCTTGGTCAACTGACGTTTGCTTTTGGCGGATGTCAAAAATATCGAGGCATGAGTTCAATAAGAACGAAAACTCCATCGTGGAACCTTGGTGAGGGGGGAATAGCGAGATGTGAAGAGGGTTGTCCTTAAGCCGTAGGGTTAGCGCCCATCAACCATGAATGGAGCAATAAGATTATACATACAGCTTTACCAATGATGCCTATGCAGGCGATCCTAGGCACAGGCATTGTGGTAAACCTCTTGACGGTGGAGGGTACGTTGAGTGTCAGGGGAGAATTGTCTGGTCAATGCGGGGGACATTAAACAGTTGTATCGCCGTAACTTGAGGTCGTGGCAACGTATCAGAAGGCTTATCGTTGGCTGAACAGACGCAAGAAAGGAATGGCTAGGCCATAAAGCAGTTGCGACTAGTAAAAAGGAATATATCAGGAGCAATTGAGAGTTACCATAGAGTATTTAGTGAGATCTCCTCTATCTCCTAGATGGGGGAGAGCGATAACTTATGTAAGTACTCTATGCTGAATGCAAGGAACCAATGAAGCAGCCCAGAATTTAACTTACCATGGGGCGACAGCAACAGTGACAGGATAGTTACGGTATTATACAGCGATCTCCTGCATAAGCGGAGGGGAACGCCCACAATTTTCAATACACCATGTAATAACGAATACCGCAACCACCCGGGCAGTCCACTCCGACCACTAACGCAGAATGTTCACCAGTGCGGAGCGGCGATTGTCTTTCGCTATCCGGACCAGCAGTTCGAAATACCGACTTGCTTGCCCCGGCTCCTTATCTTCGACCCTCTACGCCTTTCGCTTCAAGTCATCACTTGAGGCTCTCGCTGGGATTGTATCTATTCTTTCTCTCCACTCCGTCCGACAGCCTATCGGTCATGCTGCCCGTTATTGCGCGCGCCCGCCCTGGGGCTTTTGAAGCCGGGCACGTCACCAGACTTTTGTCCTCCTCCCGTCCGACAGTGCAGCCTCGCCTGGCCTCATGTGTCCCTCAGATCCAGCCCATTGCGCTCCTGTCCAACTCTTCGAACAAAGCGGCGACGGCGCTTGAGCGCCAGGGACAGACCGGACAGTCTCTGACGGCATCCGGAAAGGTTCGCAAAGAAGTGCCTCTGGCGAGTCAGGAGAAGAAGGAGGGTGCTATGCAATATGTCTTGTTCGTATTTCCGCAGTGTTGAGAAATTCGAAGCTGTGTTTTCCTAATTGCCTCTCCAGGACCACGCTTGATCAAGTCGCCAACTGGGCCCGCCAGAGTTCGCTGTGGCCCATGACCTTCGGTCTTGCTTGCTGCGCCGTCGAGATGATGCACCTCTCCACCCCCAGATACGATCAGGATCGTCTAGGAATCATTTTCCGAGCCTCGCCCCGTCAGTCCGATGTTATGATTGTTGCCGGCACGTTGACGAACAAGATGGCTCCCGCTCTCCGGCAGGTCTATGACCAGATGCCCGATCCCCGTTGGGTTGTGAGCATGGGAAGCTGTGCCAACGGTGGTGGCTACTACCACTACAGCTACTCGGTTGTTCGTGGATGTGATAGAATCGTCCCGGTTGACGTCTATGTCCCTGGATGTAAGTAAAAGCACGCCGTGTGTGTGTCAACGAGTTGTTCACTGACTGAATTCCTACAGGCCCGCCTACTTCCGAGGCTCTGATGTACGGAATTTTCCAGCTGCAGAAGAAGATGAGACATACCAGAATCACGCGCATGTGGTACCGACGCTAAAAGGGCTTGTTGGTCTTGGAGAAGAACTGCGGAGGATGGATTGTGAGAATATCTGTTTTATACTTACCGATTAGATTCGTTTCATTGAAGTACTGTTTAACTCAAAATTTGCCGCTGGCATTGTCTTTGATATGTTCTACCTTCCGAACAGGACTTTGTTCCTTTGTGGTGACAGTGTGACTCTAAAAGTGCATAGATGCAATGCATGATCATATACTCTGAATGAACCGAGTAAGGGTGAATGGTCGGAGTGTCGTCAGTCAGGGATTACATATACGCCTCGTTACCCTTGACTCTACTTATGCTGCCTAACTAAATAGGTATATTAACCTGGAACTCCATATATAATGTTATAGAGAATCCAGACCTGCGGTTAATTCCATAATGACTGCTCACAATCATAACATTGATCAGCAGACGTAGGAAGAAGATACCTAACTTGATCTTGATATTCGAAGGTCCATACCTGTGCTGCATAAGTCGTACTGAATAAGCCCAGCATAAGTAACTAACTACTCCGTAAAGTTGCCGCACATAAGGTGAGCGCCCCACAAAAGTTCTCCCGACGAATCAGCGCCTCTTATCGAACTTTAGGCGGAATGAACCCCATTTCCCAAGTAGGTAAGTGCTTAATCTTTTTTTTCTGCCGCTCATCAGAAGTTTTGCTGGTCAACGTTGGCGCTCCGTTCATTCTTTCGCTCTTGATATATTCTGGAGTCGCTCAATACTTCACACCCTTCCACCAGAGCCTTGAATACACTGATCAAAGAGCACTCGCCTCCACCTACCATGGGAAGGAAAAGCTCTTCGCGAGGGTCCGGGACTGCCAATCCCGGGGCTGTCTCCCTCGACGGAGTGTTGTCTTCGCCTTGGACTTTCCTATGCCCAACAGGCGAATTGCGCGACTCGGTCCTCAAGTCTGCGAAATATTTCCTCGACCCTCTCGCGTCCTCCGTCAGCGACTCTCAAACCGTTCGACAGCGCATCAACAGAAAGCGCAAGAGATCCGCGATCGATGACCCTTCTATGGAAGACGTCCTCCAGCTGAAGCAATTATACGCCGACGGATTTACGCCTGATCAGATATGGGAGCAAGCCTCGAGGATTCTCACCTCCGCCGGACAGGAAGTCGAGTTCGACCATGCCTTGTATATGCGAAATGTTGAGCGCCCTCGTGGAACGTCATCGGACCCTTCCGACAGCGCATCTGATGGAAGCGAAGAAGACCAGCTTTTATCCGATGCAGAGAGCGACGTCGATGGGCTAGGATCCGATGACGATGGCATGGACTATGATATCGACGATACAGACGCTGCGATGGAGCATGGCGATCTTGCTGAGGATGATATGGACTACGACATGGAAGGAAGCGAGGAGGGTGCGTCGGATGATGAGGCTGCTGGTGAAGAAGAAGTTCGAGACACTTACACGGAGGATCCCTTTGGATTGAACGACGGCTTCTTCTCTATCGACGACTTCAATAAACAATCCGAGCTTCTCGAGCAACAAGACGTCAGGGGTGAGCCGGATGATGCTGGAAGTGAAGATGATGACATTGATTGGCATGCTGATCCACTCGTCGCCGGAAATGCGACTTCAGTCACGGCTGCGACGTCAAAGTCGAAAGGCGGTGATGGAGATGATGATGAAGAGGATAGCGAGGAGGAAGGACCGACCTTTGACAATGTTGGCTTGAATGCTGCTTCGGACTCAGAGGAGGAAGACGATACTTATGGAGGAGCTGCCGGCATGAGTGGATGGATCGACACAAGTGACATCAAATACGCCGACTTCTTTGCACCGCCACCTCGGAAGATATCGAAAAAGGGATCGCGCCCCCTCCCAAAGACACAGCCGGACCACGTTATCACGGAGGAGGATGTGGACCGGGCTATGGCGGATGTACGCCGCGATCTCTTCGACGACGAAATGTCGGGCGAGGAAGACGAGGATGCGAATGAGGAAGGCGTTCCTCCAGGCGAGCGTTCGACCCATGAACAACAACGAGCGCGTATTGCAGATGAGATCCGTCGTTTAGAAGCCGCCAATGTTGCTAAGAAAGAATGGCAGCTCGCTGGTGAAGCCAGGGCGGTTGAACGCCCGGTCAATTCGCTCATCGAAGAAGATCTAGAGTTCGAGAGGATTGGAAAACCAGTCCCAGTGGTTACAACAGAGGTCTCGGAAGGGATTGAAGAGCTTGTGAAACGCCGGATCCTGGCGAAAGAGTTTGATGAGGTGATACGCCGGCGTCCTGGAGTGGCTGACGGTCAAGTCTCCAAGAGGGCAACCTTTGAACTTGAAGATACCAAAGCGCAGCAGAGCCTTGCAGAGATCTACGAGAACGAGCATCTTCGCACAACGGATCCCAACTATGTGGACCCGAAGAATCAGAAGCTGATGCGCGAGCATGCCGAGATCACCAACCTGTGGAAGGATATCAGCTCACAGCTGGACACGCTCTCGAACTGGCACTACAAGCCCAATGCACCACAGGCGAGCATCAACGTGGTCCCGATGTGGCAACAATCCTGATGGAGGATGCGCAACCGATAGGAAGAACAACGTTGGCGGAGCGGCGACTCTGGCGCCACACGTCATCTACAGGCCGGGAGATGAGGCCCAGGCCCCAAAGGAAGTGTCTCTGAAGGTCGGAGCTGCAGTTTGACAATGGCCTCTGTCTACCGAGGAGAAGGCCCGGCTTCGGAGACAGAGCAAGAAGGCCAAGAAGGCGAGCGGCAATTCCAATGCCGGTGTCTGGCTGTGCGGCCGAGAATCAGCATATACTATGACATGAAAACCAGGAAAGTGCCAAGTTGATTGAAAGGAGGGCGAGGTCACGGACATCCAGGGTAAAAAGGTCGGGACGGAGGGGAGAAATGGGGGCGATGTGCTGAAGCTTTAGCGCGAACTGTCTGTCAAAAGTAGTTTCTACCAGATAATAGATCATTATTCAGTTCTATGGTCTAGTCTAGCGTCTCATTGTCTATGTTCATATCAGGCATGCTCTCGCTCCCCTCCGTTCCTTTGCGCTGTTTCAAACGGAACGTATAGAGGAAGATATTCTCTCGACTGTACGTCTCTGCGTCGGGGTCATCGCGGATCTCTTGGATATCGAAGGCTTTCTTTGCCATTTTCATGAAGCGGATATCAGCTCGTCTACGCTTCTTGAAGCAGAAATAACACACGGAGTCGGGGCCCATGAGGTGCTTGAGCGTCTCAATCAGCAGCGGAAAGGCCGGTTCGAAGTAGACGCAGTCGGCGGCCAGGATTATAGATGGGTGCGTTGGGATGTCGGAGGGCAGGGGCTCTCCCCCAGTTCAGCACGGACGCCTTGACCGAGGAGGCGAGGCCGTTCAGTTCGATATTCGTCTCCATTAACGACAGCATCGGGACTTGGTCGGTGATGTGTATCGGGCAACGGACCGCCTCTTTAGATTCGTCAGTCGCAGGGTGGGACGCATCGTCCCTCTGGCCGAGCGCCACGGCCAGTCCCACCAGGCCACCACCGGCGCCTAGCTCTACTCTATCAAATTGTCAACCACGCGCTCATAACAAACGAACAGCGACAACGGGGGAGGGGGAAGAGGACGCGCGAAGCGACAGAAACCGACATTTGCTTGTTCACCAGGTCAGCGCGGCGTTGTCGCAGGAGATATTTGGCGAGGACCATGCCCGCCGGCCAGAGCTGCCCCCCGCATCCTTCTTTTAGGTCCTCCTTCAGGAGGAGGGGCTCTTTGAGGAGACCGCCGAAGGAGACTGTGCTGTGACCGGCGGCTTTGCGGTCTCTTACGGGGACCAAGGATTCGCTGATATCGAAGGCATCGACGTCAATGTCTTGAGTGGTGGGGTCGGTCTCTGCCATGGAGGTCTATTCGGTTGTGGGACGCGGGGTGAAAGGAATTTCGGAGGGTAGGAGTAGAGAGAGGAAGGAGGAGGGTGCGATATTAAGGGCGTAGACGGTATATAATAGTCAATTGGAGAGTTGAAGATTGAATGGGGGGATGAGAAAAGTGCTGAGGGGCAAAATGAGGGAGACTAAAATAAAAATAAAATGGATTGCAGATCGGCGTTCTAGAAACTGCCGATAAGACTGGGGTCTTTGTCATTCTTATGCAAAGATCCAGCAATTGATTCCACTTGAGATTCCACTTCAAGTTGACTCTGTAGTATTTTCTTTATCCAATCTAGAGAAGTCCAATTATGTTGGAAATGTTATATTTAAACACCGAGATATAGCAGATCTGCGGTGCATAAATCTGTGCGGATCGAGCCGTGTAAATCATAACTCAAGATAATAAGTTTAATGCCATGTGTGCAGCTATTACATAATCACTAGATGCACCTTATGATTCTTCAACAAATGCTGAATAGTACATTCAGTAAGGATTTACCTCGGTACCCAGAGAAAGAAATTTGACTGGAATAACCTCATATACAATCAAAGAGATGGATATTATATGCTCGAGCTATTATAGGATCCCTTAAAGCTACGGAGTATGTAGTAACACATACTCCGTAGATTACTTCCTAGACTCGACAGAATTTCTTACAGCACCAATCAATCCTATTCCTAAATGGTAGAACAGATAAAAGAACACCTTCATGCTCTATACCCAGTTGGTTTGATCTCAGGATCGGGGACATACGGAGTACTCGTGAAAAGCGTGCCGCTATACAGAGGCCGATACATTCAAATGTCCACTGGGGCTACACTGGATGATACCCCACAGATAGCCATCTTGCCTTACCACTCTTCCTTTTCCACTCTCCCCGAAGAATCCAACATAACTGGAGTCGGGTGCAGAGGAGACAGTATGACGCCCGCCAGGACTGCGAGGAGTCGACTGCCTGACGTCATACTTCCACTCCACATCCAGATGCGTCGATCTGGTCGCATGAAATCATTGGCTGCCAGGTCGCTCCCCAAGGGATCTTTCCAGACTCTCTCTTCTCCCTTGACGTACTCTGGTCTTTTGGTCATGACGACGTCACTCTCTGGCTGGGAAACTTGCCATCTGACCTTCTTAGGCCGTGCTTTCAAAAGGCTCCTCTCGCCCTTCGTACCACTACATCTATCAAGCCTACCTTCAAGAATCCATCTCTATCAGCTTTTCTACGCACTTAACAGAACATCCTCTATCTAACAAGCAAAATGACGACCCTTCACTGTACGTCCATATATCCTTTCCCCTCAAACCTCACTAACGCAGCCAGACCTTCCCCCCGTGAAGCCCTCCGCGATCGCGATGGGCACCTTCTTCACCCACACCGCGTCGCTGGGCATCCTCGCCCCCGTCTTCGGCGACACCTACCACCGCGCCCAAGCCGCCAACTCGAAGGAGGAATTCCTCAAGTCCAAGGAGGCTGCCGGTGCCGCCGCGGCCTGGGGTAGCTCCCTGGTGGGCAGTGCCGTGCAGACGTACGGCGTGGCGGCGTTGATCAACGCGACTGGAACATTAAGCTACAAGGGCGCCGCCTACCTTGGCAGCTTGATCTTTATGGCCAGCGCGGCTCCTAGTGTATGTTGTGTGGCCCCGTATGCCGCCGTGCGACGTGCTAACCCGTGCATAGTTCATCAGCCAGGTCGTGACGGAGAAGAGGCCCCTTGATACTGTCGCCGTCGGTGTCGTCAGCAGGGTCTTTGAGACGGTTGGGCTGAGCTTGTTCCTCACCTGGTGGGGAACGCGCACCAACCCCTTCGACTAAACGCTACTTTCTGATCAGCTAAGTTGGGATGGTCCTATGTAATGTTTATGAGTTTGAAGAGGTTCTTTGTGATTCGGTCCTGTCTTCCACAATGTATGCTATGAAACTGGAAAGGAAAAGGGCAGTCAATTAGATAAGGTTAAACCATATTAAAGCATACTGGTCCAATTTCTTGTATCGCGTAGGCCGTGGCACCCGTAAAACACGTCCGAGGTGCACAAACTGGAATCAGTTTCGCATGATAAGCCATACACTGACGACTGCGAACTGTTTCTATTAGTATCTTCAGTACTCCCATGGGAGGGTCCAGATCCTGCAATATATAGCCGAAGCTATGTCCGCACCCTAATTGAATGCGGCAAAGCCATCACCCGGAAAAGATGCCCCACGCCTACAATGACAGTCAAGATTAAGACGGCCGAATCTATACTCAACAAGGAGAGAAAGAAAAAGACTTCATATGTATATTCACTCTAAGCTGATCAATAATTAAACAAAAGTGCGGCAGGGGTACCTTTCCTCTCGTTAGTTAAACGACAACCGACAATCCGCGGAGTGAAGGAACTTACACCTCAGGATAGCCATGCGATCCATCCAACTGGTATTTAGACGCCGAGGAGTTCATGTTGCAAGGCAACGGCGGCATGCCGTTCGGACCCAGCACACCCTGGATGCCGGTCTTGTTTTTCTCAAAGAAGGCGGCCAGCCCACGCTCCTCTCCCTCCTGCTTAACTGAAACAAGCTGCTTCTCGCCAGCCTCACCAGCCTGCAGGACGTTCTCCTTGGGCGCGGCCTGGCTGCCCACGGTCAGGAGACCGACGGCGTCCGCCTGGTTCACCGTGCTAAGGCGGGGGTAGTTTCTGCGGACATCCCGCTTCCAGTACGGGTTGTCGGCAATGTCGCCGGCGGGGATGGTGACCGGGTCATCGTACGACAGCGGAGGGAGAGCACCGGGGGTCGGCAGGCGGAACTGCGAGTTCAGAGGGACACCGGTCGAGCGGTTGGGGTCGACGGCAAAGATACGGCGGATGCGTTCCCACACTCCGGTGGACTGGACAGTGTATTTCTGCGGGGTGTTAATGCCGGAGGATATGGAGATAGAGAGGCCGGCGCATAGACTGGCTCACCTTGTGGACAGCGACCACATTGGATGCGGACTTGGCCGCCTTCAGAATGTCGCGAGACATGATAGACCCTGTCGATGCATTTATTAGACACAATTCTCGTACAGGGAGATTGCAGATATCTTAGAGTGAGGGATATCATATCCGTACCTTCTCAATTCAAGAATGAAAGAGAGTCTGACGCTAGAGGCCGCAATGGTCCTTAGAAACGCTTGGGCTTGCGGAGGATCAGGGTCGTGGAGTTGAAGCATGAGCGTCGGGAGTCTGCGGAACAATGATATTTCCGGTCATCGCACAACGTATAGCTTATCTAAGCAAGATACACAAATACATCACAGTATTGGAAGTACCCCATAATCAGGGGACTTGATGGTTGCAAATCATAAAAAGACTGTTGATCCAAGAGCCTTACAGATTCATACCTAGTACTCCTTAAGAAGATATGTAACTAAAGCGCAGTCCGCGCATCAAGGTGCATTTCCGACATCGACCGAGTTACTCCTTCGCATCCTCTTGGGCATCATTCTTGACTTCCGCCTCCTTCTCATCCTTGGATTCGACATCCTTGTCGCTTGTGGTAGACTTGATCAAGTTGTGCACAGCTGCGACTGTGGCGTCCGGGCCACCGGGCTGCAGTAGAAGCACAGTGCCTTTCTTGTCGACGGCAAAGACACCTCGGACTGTGCCCTTGGGAGACTTCTTCAGACCCAAGGCCGCAATTAACGTGGCTGAGGTATCGCAGAGTAGAGGGTACTGTAAATTCTGCTTCGTCTTGAACGTGGTATTCGCTTTGGGCGAATCCGCCGACAAGCCGAAGATCGACAATCCAGTGGATGTCAGATGGTCGTGACCATCCCGGAACATGCAGGCTTGCTTCGTACCTTGGAGCGCATGAGCCACTGCGACAAAAACATGTTCCCGCGAGGGTGGAAAGAGCACGGTTGGGACTCGACTTACAGCCAGGGGTCGAAGCTTTGGGATAGGTGAAAAGCACAACACCAGCTTTGCTCTCGTCGACGAGCTTCTTCAGGGTCGTTTTCGCGCCGTCATTTGTTTCGATTTCTCCGCCGAAATCATCCAGAGAGATGGTATCCCCGACTTTGGGGATGGTATCAGGCGCGCTGGGCTTTTCTGGTTGCGACGTCTCCTTAGCTGGTTTGGAGGCTGTCGTTGCGGGTTTTTTCTTTTTCTCGGCCACCGGCGGTTGGGTAGGGGCTTTGCGCTTGCGCAGCTCGACCATTGTGTTGATTTGGCTGTTTTTGGGGATAGAGGGATGGAAGATTGACTGGGTGAACGATGAGTGTGGAGGAGGTATGTTGGTGATGCGCGCGCGCGGGAGCGGGTGGTTATCAACTACTAAGGTACCTGAGGTATATTATTAGCCGACTGGGTTGCAGTTTGCTTACTCCGACACTGTTATTGACCGTGCGGGGATTAAATTCATATTAATGCTCCTGGTTCCTATAGGTATGTGATTAGTTATGATATGCCATATGAAATACAGCGGGTTGACACTTGAAGCAACAAGAAACGAAAAGATGGATGGATAGCTATGATGTAAGTTATGGAGTCCCTTCGAGGACGATCACTCTATAGGCATTTATCAAGTCATCCAAACCCAGTCACACTCTTGAATTGCGCATGACAAGATGATGAACACATATATAGTTTCGGAGCCGTAATCCGTAGTGGTAGTAGTACTGCGTAAGTATACTTTGCAATATCTACAAGTACTGTAGATATTCCGGATTATCACCCCAAGGACAGTCTGGTCAGCAAGTAAATATGATTTTCTATTACATCCATATCTTATTCTTTTTATGCACTCTGTATTGATATGCAAAGAGAAAAGGTACCTGTCATTGTACCTTACCAGACCAAGGATCCGGTGTACCGTAGGCCGGAAGTCTGGATTCTGCCGAGAATTCCCGACCCGTGGCTGGTCGAGAGTCCGGAAAAAGAGGGGAACAGGGCGAGAAGAAAAAGGGAAGGGAAAAAAAAAAGAATAAAACATCGCTGGATCGCCACCCGCGCCGTCTTCTCCAACGTTCTCCTTCTCCAGGTGTTTGATTATTCAGGGTGTAGTTTAATATTTGCCTCCAGTCCTCTTCTGTAGTTTTCTTCGTTCTTCATCTTCTCGTCCACACTATCTCGCCTCCAGCATCCCCTGTGCTTTCTCCCGTTCTCTCACCGGAAAAGCAAGACTAAAGAGTCATTCTTATTATCGCTCTCTTCGCGTCTACTTGACTCATCTGAGACACTCTTTGACATCGTCCGTCATCACTCAAAGGGGTCAGAGGAATACCTCACCTCGTTCACCCTCGTTCGACCTCGTTCAGTCATCCAAGGTCCCGACAAAAGCTGCTGCCGTGTGTCGCGTGTCACCATGAAGGTCTTCTCTTCGACCTGTACGTTCGACTATTCCTGGGACGAAGTCTCCACTGCGAACTGGCGCAAATACTGCCCATGGAACGACAAGTCCACGCATGTCGTGGCCGTGGACACGATATCGCGGACGGTGGACAAGGAAACCGGCGTGGTATGTTGCTCTCCAAAGCTATTAGCATCCACAAGCTAACCATGTACGAAACAGCTGCGAACTGAACGTCTCATCACATGCAACCAGTCCGTACCGCAATGGGTTCTCTCGCTCTTCGGCGGCAACGCCACTTCCCACGTCTATGAGATCTCCTACGTCGACCCCAACTCCAAGACCGTCACGATGTGCTCTTCCAACCTCACGTGGTCGAATGTTCTGAGCGTGCAAGAAACCGTTGTCTACCGTCCGACGCCGTCCACGCCATCCTCGACGACGAGTTTCCACCAGGAGGCCAAGATCACCGCGCTCTGCGGTGGATGGCAGAAGATTAAGAACAAGGTCGAGGAGGCGAGCGTGGAGCGCTTCAGCCAGAACGCCAAGAGGGGCAAGGAGGGATTCGAGGCCGTCCTTGAAATGAGCCGACGGGTGTTTGGCGAGCAGCGCGAGCGCGAAAGCGGGAAGCTGTGATCTTGACAATACCCCTGCTTCCCCCACGGGGTTGACATCCGGACCCTGCATCACCTTATTCAGCGATTGCATCTGTTGGCGTCAATCGGTTCTTATTTCCAAGCGTACGGTGCGATTGGCGTTACTTCTCTCTTCTATTCCGTTATCTGCGCCGCGTCCTTCGACTTGTGACTCATTGGCCTTCCTCCCTTCTCACGAGGCATACGACATGGTTAAAAGTTGTCCCATTCTGCATTTTGTTGAGCGAGCTGTTCTTTCAATCATTATTCTGGAGCGGACGAGATGTTTTCTGTTGCCATAGAACATAGACTCCACTTGAAATCACCATCTGATTCACAAGTATATGCAAAGTAAAAGGTATCCACACGTATATAAATAAGCCTTCCATATCCAAATAGAACTCCAACTCCATTTACATAACATCCCGAAATTATGGTATATCGTATCGGCGTGTTCCTAGACAGCTCTCTGTCCGAGATAGCTCCTGTCCAAACAGCTAACCCATGAGCCCACCGAGAACCACCCGACTGACCCCCGCGACTTCATTCTTGGCGTTATTCCGGCTCGCATCCTCGAATTCTCTCACCACGCCGGCCACCATGATCTTCCGGAGCTTGGTATCCGCTTTGGCGAACATCTCGCCCAGGGCCACTGTGCACAGCGACGGACTCGAGACCAAGGCAACCAGCCGCGTATAGCAATCGATCAGCACATCGCACAGGGTAATGAAGGTCTCGAAATAGTCCGGTTCAAACGGCAACGACGGCGTCAGGAGATACGAGTACTCCTCTCCGGGGAGCAGCTCCGAGGCCTCGGTGTGCGGGAACGAGACAGCCGCCGCGGTGGACGAGGCAATATTCCCGGCCATAGCCTTCAGGTCTGACGGATCGCTGGACTGCATGGGCAGACCGATCTCCGTGGCCGAGCTGGCGCGGCGCGTCTTCCCGCCGGCGTGGGCGGCCCGCTTGAACATCTGCGGGATGCGCGCGCGCGCGAGCGTCGACGACGAGCTTCCATCCGGCGGGTGGACTTGCTGGAAGGTCTCAAACTCGATCAACAGGGCGTTCAGGGCGCGCAGGTACTCGGCCGGGGTGGAGCTCACGTCGAGGATCGGGGGGAGGGACAGTCCGAGGAGGAGGTAGTTGATTGCGCGGCGGGCGAGCTTTCGGGATTCGAAGTAGGGGATGCGGTTGATGTCGGCGCGCGAGAAGTGCACCGTGTTGAACCAGTATATGCGGCCTTCGTGACTGGGGGTGTCGGATTAGCGGCTATGGTGCGAATACGCCGGGGTACCGTCACTCACGCTCTTCGCAGGTAATCCAGGGTGGAAATCCGTTTCGTAGCCATGTCGTGGATGTGTTGATAGATGGCGGCAGCGCTCTGGGGCCCGAACGAGCCCCCTCCGCTGGTTAAGGGGGGAGGTATGGCCCCGGTTGCGGTTTCATGGCCTATGCTTGACTTCCCGGTGTCTCGCCGAGTGAGGCTAGGCGCAAACGACGAGGAGATCATCTTGCCTTGGTCTCAGGAGAAGAGGTAGCAGGCTCGATGGATATTTGCATGCGGGGAAGGGAGGGTTGCTCGGAGAAAGTCGAAAGGTTGCGGGAAGGGGCTTCGCTTGGGGCGACTGGAAGTACTATACATCCATACATAGGAACATAGGCAGATACCTAATGACGGCTGATCTTTTTGCATAAATGGATATGAATACTTGAATACTGAATGTTTATTATTCGTATGCATAGCTTTGCATCTAGATTTAGTGCTGCAATTCTGCGATTGTGAGATTCTCTTCTACCAGTGGCTATCCATCCATGTAAGAATATTTCTAGAATCTATACCAAACAATCCCATCTCCTGCACATCTCTAACGACAATATTTTGCACAAAATTGTCCAGAATAGGCCGTATGATGATATCAGACCTCTTCTCGCCGGTGACCCCTTTTCTGCCATTCCCCACAGCCTTAATAAACATCCCCTCGTTTCTACCCCTCTAGCCGCCAACTGCTCTTTCAACCCCTCCATCCACTCTATACGGCCCAACGGAACGCAATATTCTTTAGTAGCCGACTGCCGAAAGCGCCTATCCAATACCTCCCCTTCTATTGTATATTGTCTGATCCCAAGAATGAGCGCCGGTCCTGAGGAAACCGTCCCCGCTCCCGGTCAATGGCCGGTCGACCCCCAGGAGGACGTTCCTATCTCGGAGGACCGCATCTGGGTCGACGGATGTTTCGATTTTAGCCATCATGGTAAGAATTCTGCCTTTGGTGTTTAGGAAGAAGCGCCTAACGCGGTGCGAGGGGTATAGGTCATGCGGGTGCGATGCTCCAAGCGCGTAGGCTGGGAACGGAACTCTACGTCGGCGTGCACTCCGACCAAGCCATCCTCGAGAACAAGGGTCCGACGGTGATGACGTTAGACGAGCGGTGAGTATCGACTTCCAGCCCGGGTGTCTGTTTCGTGACTGACTCGGGGATATCCAGTGTAGCGGCGGTGGAAGCTTGTCGCTGGGTGACGCGGTGTGTCCCCCACGCGCCGTACGTGACATACCTCCCGTGGGTCTCGCATTATGGGTGCAAGTATGTCGTGCATGGAGACGATATCACCTCCGACAGCAACGGCGACGACTGCTACCGGTTCGTCAAGGCCGCGGGGCGGTTCCGCGTGGTGAAGAGAACCCCCGGGATCTCCACGACGGATCTGGTGGGTCGCATGCTGCTGTGTACAAAGGGGCATTTCGTCAAGAATGTGAACGATAGTCTCGCCGGTGTGGAAGGCTCTGGGAGCCCGCAAGAGCGGAAAGAGGCTGCCGACAATCTGATGCAGAGGATCCGCGACTATGCTACTGACGAAAGTGGTCTGCAACCGGGTCCGCAGGTTTGGATCTGGGCTGGTTCTAGTTCTGCAAAGCTTGACAACACGGTGCAAGAGCCGGGTACGTTTGAAACGCTCGTGGGCGGAAAATCAGTCAAACCGGGCCAGCGCATTGTCTATGTCGATGGGGGATTCGACCTCTTCTCTTCCGGACATATCGAGTTCCTCCGACAAGTGCTAGCACAGGAGGAGTCGGAGGGTCGCCAGCGGGGCTGGTACAACCCGGAGCAGAGGGAGAAACGGCTGAAAGAGCATGGGGAAGACTATGGGCCTGCTTTCGTCGTTGCGGGTATCCACGACGATGATGTGATCAACCACTGGAAGGGGCTCAACTACCCTATCATGAACATCTTTGAACGTGGTTTATGCGTGCTCCAGTGTCGTGTGAGTAACCACCCCACATGGATACTCGTATCTCCTCGCTAACAGTGCGCAGTATGTCCACGCTGTCGTCTTTTCTGCGCCCTTCTCCCCGACGGAGCCGTACCTGAAAGCGTTGCCCATCGGCGTGCCAGATGCCGTTTACCATGGACCGACAACCTTCATTCCCCTGACGTACGATCCCTATGTCGCGCCGAAGCGCATGGGAATCTTCCGCGAAACGTCCACCCACGCCTTCCAGCATGTCAATGCCGGCGAGATCGTCGGACGAATCTTGAAGAGCCGGGAAGCGTACGAGGCGCGCCAGCGCGCCAAGCTGGAGAAGGCCGTGGTCGAAGACCTGGCCAAGGCGAAAGAAGCCTCGACGTAGATGGAGATGGGATCTTGTCTTAAATTGTAAATACTCTCAACACCAAGCTCTTGTGCTGATGTACATACGGTTACCAATCAACTTGACAACCTCGGTCGTACTCATATGTAGTCGTACTAGGGAGATGAGTAGTTGTTCACTAGCGTAATGTTACATTTGCAGCGCTCTATGAGATTATAATACTTGACGGACATGGCAATCTAACAACCGCGGACGCCTAGTCAGCAGCAACCAGCACGCCCTTCTCTTCAAGCATCTTTGCCAGATCGCCGTTCTGATGCATCGACATCAGAATATCGCAGCCACCGACGAACTCCTTGTCAAGATACAATTGCGGGATGGTGGGCCAGTCAGAATATTCCTTGATACCTGCAGTCGAAAGTGTCAGTTCCAACAAAGCTTATAATACCGTGAAAGGACGGTGGTGCAACATACCCTCGCGCAGCTCAGGATCCTCCAGAACATTGAACGCAACAAACTTCTTAGGGTCGACTCCCTGCAGGCCCAGGATCTGGATGCTTGCGCGGGAGAAACCGCACTGCGGAGTCTCCGGGGTCCCCTTCATGAAGAGAACGACGGGGGCGGAGGCAATCGCCTTGTCAATCGCGGACCTCGTTTCGGAGGACAGGAGTCGGGCGTGGAGGATCGAGGGGAGCTGGAAGGCCGCCGGGCGAGACGGCAGGATGTATGAGGGCCGGGACAGCGGCCGGAATGCCTGAAGGGTCTGTTAGTTAAGCCGGGAAACGATTTGATGAAGTCGGGGAGCTCTTTTTCGCAAGAACCCAGATGGGATATGCAAACTGAACATACCGAGGCGAAGGCTGTTCTGGAAAACATGGTGGCGATGTTGTGTTAAGGTTGAATGATAGTATGGAGAGGCATGGAATGACGATAACTGCTATCCGATAAATTCGTGCTCACTAAGCATCAATGCCGAATATCATGTGACATCCATCCGCCAATCTTCAGCCATACTTTGTCAGCATAAACGATGTAAAGCACTAGAGTACATTCTATATGGTCAAGTATTGTACACATGAAGAACTAATTGTCCGCTGGTTTATCCTCTTCCTTGTAGATGCCGAAAGTCTGCGCCATGTACTCCAGGAACATCCCCAGTGTAATTCCTCCCCCCGTGAGAAAACAGCCGTTCTTGAACCACCACCAGCAATTCTGGACGTTCTTCAATTGAACCTTCCAAATCATGGTCCCGAGAGTAAGCGCAGCGCTTCCACAGCTACCAACGAAGAAGATAGGTCCCGCGCCGGCAGCGACTCCCGCAGCAGCGAGTAATCCCACTTGAACAGCTGCTAAGCCGGAGAGGACGGTCTTGGTGTTGTGTTCATGACGGAGGGCGATCGATTTGATGCCTGCTGCAACGTCATCTTTAATGTCCATGTGGGCATAGATCATGTCGTATAGCACCGTCCATGCGACGCAGCTGGAGTACAGCGCCGCCGCTGCACCCAGAGCGTCGTGGTTGGAGAGAAGATCGATACCCAAGGCGGGGAAACCCATGATGGCACCCCACGAAAAGGTCAATCCGAGAACGGCTTGTGGATAGTAGGTGACGCGTTTCGCAAGAGGATATGTCGTCACCAAAAGGAGACTGGGAATCCCGTAGTATAGGCATTGGAAGGGGAACTGCAGGAGGACTCCCAAGCCTGCCAAAAGGTTGAATCCAGTGAATATCACGGCATTCCGTGGGGATATTGCGCCGCGAGCAATTGGGCGGAATTTGGTGCGCTCAACATGAGGATCGAGGTTTCTGTCCCATAGATCATTGATCGCACACCCCGCACCGCGCATTATCAAAGCGCCAGTGAAGAACAACCCCGTAGTCCAGAGGACTTCCAGTGGAGTAGAAGATGCCATGGGAGCGGCAAGAAGCGTTGAGAATGCGCAGGGAAAGAACAGGTAGTATGTGCCCGCGGGCTTGTCGAGTCGCAGTAGCTCGGCATATGGTATCCATGATTGAGGAAGAGATGCAATCAGGCCAGTCTGCGGGGGACGATAGTGAGTCACAGGGTTTAGAAATGCTGTCGTCGATGGCTGGTTCGAGGGCGCTGGGCTACTGGAGCTGTACTTGGCCAATGCGACTGGTTTCGGTGGGATGGTACGGAGATTAGTGTTTGTAGGCCTGCATAAGGCATTGTTATTGGCAAAATGAGGCCAATTGGCGCACCGCGGCTGCATACGAATATGAATATGTCTTGTTGTAGATAGTGACTTCTGTCCGAGACGTTGGCGCAATTGCGCATGTCGGAGTAGGGCGGAGGTCGTGGGACGCATTATGGATGATCACGGCGGGTTCAAGGAGCTGCAGCAGGGGACTGGTTTTCGGTGGCGTCGCGGTCAGATAGAATGCATGTTCGTCGAGCTATTCCGGGGAAAAGGTGTGAGAATAGATTCGCGCATAATCAGCTTTGGTAGAGAGCTCATAGACTGGTGATGGAAAAAATCCGGAAGTCCGGACAGAACGCCTTTCGTTGGTGCGGCCCTATGCGTGACAGTGGTAGTCGTCAGTTCAGCTGCTATACATTGCGACAATTCATTTGGGGAGAGAGTACCTATAGTCAATGAATGCAAGAGTAGGATAAACACAAGAAAGTGTCGAGATCTAAGGTGGTGGAAATGACGCCGGCCCACATGACTGAGCGGTGCCTGGGACTAACCCGCCAGCCTCGACCAACACCACGCCTTACACACTTCTTACACTCATTCCTCAGACAATAATGCGCTTTCCGCTCCTCACTGCGCAGTCATACCTCATGGTTTCCTTTTCGACCGACTCGACAATCTAGCTGACGACGTGATTTCCGCTTATCTTCGACTCGGTTGCGCCCCGCCCTTGTTGGAACGCGCCCACCGAAGTATGGGAGCTCACTCCCACCTGTATGATAATCCGCCTCAGCCTTGTGTTGTGTGAATGATATCTGTGGCTACGCGCTTTGTGTTGTCACCCCAGCAATAATCAACCGCCTCCACTATCCTGCAAATTATCTGTGATCGGGGCCCCAATCGCGAAAATGCTTCACTTTCGCCTCTCCAAAGCTGCCTTTTGAACTCCACAACTCTTCGAGAACACCGTCCCATGACCCCATCTGGAGATTCCTTCGTCCGATTACTGCGCCGCCGTCTCGATCCCCGAACTCCAAATGCGCTCCCAACGTTCTCGAGCGGCTTTCGAGCCTATCTCCCCCGATGTGGACATCGCCGCGCTTGTTGATTCTACACCAAACTTTGAGTATGCCCACCGAATAGACTGTCACTCCATTGATGACCTTGGCCTGGAAAAATTCGAAAAGATGGTTTTGGGTCTCGTGATACTGGGTGGGAAACCGCTAGTCATTGGGGGCTTCAATGAGAGGCTGAATGGCTCTATATTCTCCGCCAAATGGCTACGTTCACGATACTCTAAGAAGAGTAAGTGGCACGTTCCTCCGGGTAAGGCCATTCTAACAATGTACTCCAGCCGAGATTGCTCGAAATTTAGTCACAAAGACTGACCTTCCACTGACCATTGGCCACTATCTGGACAATATGCCGATGCTGACCAGCCAGTGGAACGCATACAATTATCGAGACCCGGACAGGCAACGGCTTTATCTGAAAGACATTGACTGTCCCACAGAATGGCATAGGACGCTGAGGCAAATCATTCCTCCAACCCTTTTCTATCTGAACAAGTCACCAGAACCATTCCAGGGACCAGGATCCTGTACCGTGCCGTCCTCTCAAACTATGACCCCCTCCGGGGTGCCCGTAGCACCGGCTGGTGATCTGATGAGCTGTCTACCGGTGGATATGCGTGCACAGAACTTGATGTGCTATATCGGTCACGAAGGCACATATACTCCTGCCCACCAAGAAATGTGCGCGAGCTTGGGACAGAACATAATGGTCGAGGCGTCTGACGGCAGGATGGAAAACGGGAAGCCAACTAAGCCTGGGTCGTCCGTCTGGTTTATGACTGAAAGCAAGGACCGCGATGTGGTCGCCGAGTACTGGATGTCTGTCCTCGGGCATGACATCGACATTGAGGACCACTTTGCTCAGATTAACGCCTGGAAATCTGCCCCCTTTACAACATACATCGTTGAACAACGGGTGGGGGATTTCATTCTGGTTCCTCCGCTCGCGGCACACCAGGTGTGGAATCGAGGTACGCGAACGATAAAAGTAGCGTGGAATCGAACCACGGTGCAGACTTTGAAGCTGGCTTTGAACGAAGCACTGCCGCATGCCCGAATGGTGTGCCGGGACGAACAATATAAGAATAAAGCCATTGTGTTTTACTCCCTTCAACACTATTCCGGCCTCCTCTCTCAAATTGACCAGTCTCAGATGTCGAGCCGAAAAGTCCAGCAACTGCTCAAGGATTTTGAACAGCTCTTCAATCTATACACACAGATTCTGCTCTCTGAAAGTTTTGTGCTCGATGCGCCGGCTGAGAAGGATGTTGAGTACATCGAGTTTGACAGCAATATCACGTGCTCATATTGCAGAGGTAACATCTTCAACAGGTTTCTGACCTGTCCATGGTGTGCCGGCGATGATGGCGAGAATGCCTACGATATTTGTATGGAATGTTATGTCCAGGGGAGGAGTTGCGCTTGTATCTCCAAGCTCAAATGGGCCGAACAGTTTCATTGGGATGACCTTACCGGAAAACATGAGGACTGGAGACATCTATTAATGAGGCTGACCGGAAGCTCCGAGGAAGCATATCCGTGTCTTCCGGCGAAACGAGCGCAATTGGGCAAAAAGACACTCGCCGAGATCTGTCAGGAACAGCTCAGAGAGCGCCCGTGGGTTGACATCACAAAGCCAGTCGTTGAAAAAGTGGTAGAAATCCCTAGCGACTCGGACGACGTTACGCCAGCTCGAAAACGACGAAAGACGCGCCCGAGTGATAATGACGGGAAAATCGGGCGATGCCATGTTTGCAAGTACGCTGATCCGTCGTGGAAACTTGCTTCGTGCTCCAATTGCCGTCTGAAATACTGTTACGGCACCCTGTTCCGGGCGTTCAACATCAAGCCCCAGGATGTCCTTGAGCTGTACCACTGGATTTGTCCGAAGTGCCAGAAGTTCTGCAGCTGTGCCAAGTGCCGCCGAGACCCTTCGATGACCCCGTACGAACCGACGAGCACTCATCTCGGCCATGACACGAAGAAGATCGCAGACCCCCGCAGTGTTGAGAGTCTCGTGGACCAACGGCATTCGAATGCTCGATGGCTCAAGAAAGCCGGCGACGACGAGATCAATCGGCTGAGGAAGCACCAAAGAGAGGCCGACGAGAAGCGCAGCCAAGCGCTGATCGAACACAGTATTCAACTGGAGGAGCTCCCTCAGATGCCCCAGACACCCGAAAACTACTTTTTCCTGCAAGAGATGGCAGGACGCGGTCTGGCGGAAGACCATGACATTCCTGTTGACCCAGCTCTGCAGAGCTTTGACGAATTTTTCTCCACACCGCAAACCTCACTCAGCTAGTCGCGAGCGATAAGCGTTTGATTATGAGCCGTTGGAATCAATGAGACGAAGCTCCATTTGATGGATATTATTGGTACATGGAAGCTATGTAATGCATGAATCATGATCAATCAACAGAGATAAGAATCTTTGTTCCTAGACTCCTCCTAGGCACCTTTGTAGTCATATCGAAGGGTTTCCAGATGGCTCAGGTCAACGGAAACCATGACCCTCCGGGCGATCACGATTATGATTAACATTGCTGAGATGTGAGCCTGTGCTTGTCGAGGAGTGGGGGACAAGACTTACCTCCAGGGAGCAAATAAGCAGACGACGGAACCCCAACAGACAAATCCATCGGCGTCGAAAATAGATATATCAGCGCCAGCAGCCCACAAACCGCGGCGTCGATAGGCAGGACCAGTTCCTGCAGCCGGGCGACGTCCGGGTTGCGGACGGGCCGCTTCCCCTTGGGATCGGGGTGCCGCAACGGAAGATACTTCATGGCGTAGGCCGTTGCCACGAGGGACAAGATACTGAGGAAGGATGCGAATGTCTCGCGCGCACTTGCTCCGCTGGAGAAGAGCGAGGGGATAAACACCACCGTCGAGAACAGCGGGAGAACGGCGAAGATGATCTATATAGATGGTTCAGCAGGCAGTCCCCACGCAGATCACACGGACGCATACACGGTACTCCGAGTTGCGCTTGTCATTCTGCATGTGCAAGCGCTGAATTACTTTCTCCTGCTCTGCAGGTCGTCAGCAAGCGAGATCAGACATGCATCGCTGGTAACCGACTGACCCTCTTCGTCTAGCTCCTCGCGGCCTTGACCATCATCCGAGTCGTCCGGATAGCGGAACGCTTTGCGTAGTCTTGTCGTAGCCATAGCAGCAAAGAAACCGTCTCAAACAGATATAAAAGTAATATTCCTGTGACTTGGAGCCAGCAGAGGTGATGAGATGTCCATGTGGTTGCGCTGGCGGATTATGATCATACTACGACGAGTTTGTCTTGTTTGGCAAACCAACTTTATCATTCCGACTTCGACATCAACCCGCCCCGACCCTCCACACCCATTCCCTTTCACCACCTCCCTCAGCCGACAAAATGACCCTCCAACCCCTCCAAAAGCGCCTCGGCGCCCGCCTCCTCGCACATACTCGCACTCGCACTCGCACCCTCACCCCGCGGCGCACGCTGATCCCCGCGCCGGGCGCCAACTCCGGCCCACTGATGGAGCGGCGCGCAGACAGGGAACTACCGTCGGTCGGGACAGACCGCAAGTGGCTGCGGACGCTGCCGCTGTTCGCGGTGGCGGTGGGCGCGGCGATGCTGGGCATCTTCAACTACCAGAAATCGTCGAGCAGCGTGGTCAGCAGCACGCTGTATGCGCTGCGGACGTCGCCGCGGGCGCGGGCCATCCTCGGCGACGAGATCTACTTCGCGCAGCAGATCCCGTGGATCAGCGGCGAGATGAACCAGCTGCATGGGCGGATTGATATCTCGTTCTGGGTGAAGGGGACCAAGGGGCAGGGGAAGATGCGGTTTCGGAGCGTGCGGCCCGATCGGATGAGTTTTGTATGTTCCTCTCCTTTTCCTTACTATGGGTATGTGTATGGGCTGTTTTGCTAACGTGGGTTGGTGTAGTTCCGCACGGAGGAATGGAGTCTGGAGACGGAGGATGGGACGGTTGTGCAGCTGCTCGACGAGGGCAGTGATCCGTTCCGGCAGGATTGAGCTGAGATGCCATGCATCGTTTGTACATCTATGTCATGCATATTGGCGTTCGGTTCGGACTATTCGGCTTAGCGGCGCTACGCAAGTGGAGGTGATGGCACGAAAAGGATATCATTTATGTATCATATACAACGCCGCTCTAGAAACAGTAATAGTACATCTGCGAGTATAAACACGTCCCGCGCACCGGCTATGCCTCGGCTTCCGCCATCTCCGGCCACGGCTTCTTGATTGCATCCTGGATTCTGACCACGCAGCCTTTGGGGCCACTCACAGCACCTAACTCAGTCAGCACAGCACCTCACATACACCACGAGGAGGACATACCTTGCACAACGACAATCCCATTCTCCGGATCCACCTTGAGCACCTTCAAATTCTGCACCGTATTCTGCTCATTCCCCATATTCCCCGCCATCTTCTTCCCGGGATACACTCTGGAGCCACCGCCCTGACTGGGGCCCGCCGAACCCATCGACCGATGCGTCAGACTGACACCATGCGAGCGGTCCTGACCGCCAAACCCATGGCGCTTCATCACACCCGCAAACCCCTTCCCCTTAGTCGTAGACCGCGCATCGACGAACTGGCCCTCGCGGAACCAGCTGGCGGGGATGTCGCGCCCGACGGGGAGGAGGCCGGCCTCGTCGCGGACGCGGAACTCGAAGACGTGGCGCTTGGGCGAGACGCCGTGGGCGGAGAAGTGGCCCAGCAGCGACTTGGTCACGTTGCTGGGGTGTTTCCAGCCGGCGCCGACCTGGACGGCGTAGTAGCCGTGCTGGGGGCGGGTCTTGTGCGCGACGACCTGCACGCGGTCGAGCTGCAGCACGGTGCAGGCGATGCGGCGGCCCGTCGCGGCGTCGTAGACGCCCGTCATGCCCTTTTTGATGGCGACGGCGCCCGTGCGGAGCGGGAGCGTGTTCGCTTTGCGGTCGAGCGCCGCGGTCGGCGTGGATTTGAGCACTGGGAGGTCGGGGCCGACGTTGAAGCGGGAGGGTTTGGGCGGGTTGAGCGAGCGGATGCCGAAGGATCGGGTCGGTGTGCTGCGGGAAAGGAGGTGCTGGGGCTGCACCCAGAGCGTCTGGGAGAGCTGGGCCAGCGGCACTGGCAGACGGGGCGGCATGGCTGCTGCGATGGGTTGAGGCTGGCTTTGAGTGTCTGTTGGAGTCGAGATTTTTGGTGTACGGAGTAGGGAGGAAGCGGAAGGCGGTGAGCGTGGATGCCTGAGGATGCGAGCATCGGACATGCCGGGCCGAGAAAATCATCGATAGTAATATTTTGATATGCACGTCACACTCATCTATACAATTCTGACTCCGACTCATTCACACCGTCTTAATCCTATCTCTACCTAATATATACATCCCCTCCTCATCCATCCAATTCCGCAGACATACACCCACCACACCGCACCCCTCCTATACACAACTCAACTCAACTCAACCACACAAAATGCTCCGCCCCTCCCTTCTGACCCGCTGGCTCCCAAATCCGCCCAGCGCAGCACACCACCTCATCCCAAGAACCATACTCCGCCCACAGCCCTCCCTCCTCTCCACATCTTCTCGAACGACCCTCCGACCCCCGCTCTCCATCCCTCGCCGCTCGCCGCTCACCCGCCCCTTCAGCGCATCGACCTTCCGCGCCTCCGCCCAGCCCAACGGGCAATCGCTCTCGCAGCGCCTGAAATCGCTCTCCCGCGAATACGGCTGGTCCGCGCTCGGCGTGTACCTGCTGCTATCGGCAATGGACTTCCCCTTCTGTTTTGCGGCGGTGCATTTCCTCGGCGCGGACCGCATCGGGCATTACGAGGCGGTGGTGGTGGACTCGTTCAAGGCGGCGGCGGGGACTGTGTTTCCCAGTCTGCAGGAGCAGCAGCAGGCTGATATCGATGCGGCGGCTGCGGAGGGTGAGGCTGTGAAGGAGGAGGCCGAGGCTGCGGAGGAGAAGAAGAAGGCGGGCGAGGAAGCTAGTATGTATTCCCTGGAGTGTTGACAAGTCATGGAACGTGCTAATCTGGTTTCTTGTGTAGGCCTCTGGACGCAGATCGTCTTTGCGTACGCCATCCACAAGAGTCTGATCGTCTTCCGGGTGCCTCTTACAGCGGCTATCACGCCCAAGGTCGTCAAGGCGCTCCGGCACTGGGGCTGGGATCTTGTCAAGGGCAAGCCGAGGGGGATGTAATATCATCCTGGATGAATCTGTGTCCTTCCAATCTATGAGCATAGCGTGTACAGTATAGAGTATGTTTGATGTACATTAGTTAGATAATAGCAGGGCGCTCCGGCGTCTCCCCACTCGTACATTTCTAGTCTTAGCTTAGAAGAAACAACCGATAGCAGTACAACATTCACATCCTCCATAAACAAACTCCATCGGTACAATGCACCAAACGAAAGATCCATTCTCGGATATATACCAACCAGGCGCCGTAAATGCAAATGAAAGCATCACATGTCAATCGTATCGTTGAACCGGAGGATGCCGTTTGCTTTCATCACTCCATTCACGCCATCGGGCATCCGGTATGCCCACTCGGCCACGCCCATCGTGTCGGTGGCGGTCAGAGCATCTTTCTGCTCCGGCGACTCGACCTCGTCGGATGTATCGGCTACAAGAACAAGACCGAGCTCTTTGATTGTCTCCACCAGTGCAGGCACGACATTCTATCCCGGTTAGCATCGTCCATGGGAAACATAAGAGGAACATACCAATAGACTGGAGCGGCATATCAGGCCCATAAAGTTGTTGCTCTGTGCGATTCGCGCGGATTCTTTGATAGACATGGACGCTCGTCCGCTGCTATCAATATCCGGAAGCGAACCGACGTCACGGGCCAGGTCTCGAATCTGGCCGAGATCGTTGCATAGCAGGATAGGATCTGGTATCACACTTAGTCCGGCTACAGGAAGTCAATAGTTGTGGCGGACTTACAATTGGGTTGCTTCCAGTTCAGAGCAATGCAAATATTCGGGTTGTACGAGGTAAACACCACCGACCGCATGAAGTCAGGGTTGTTTTCTCGTGCAACGCGCGCCTGGTCGAACACGTCCGTCAGAATGGCATCGGCAAAGCTGTTGACATCCAACAAGGAGGTCATATTCAGCGCCCGCTCCTCGGCCGCAGACGGATACAAAATAGACAGATTGACATTGACACCGAGCGGAAGATGCTGGAAAACCTCTTTCAACGAAAGAAAACTGGTGGCGAGCACGCGATGTGCTTGAGCCAGGTCTTCGACTGCGCGAGTTTGGAGGAACTGGATCATCTCGGACCGGTCCACGCCGCGCTCGGCGCCAATGGCCCGGAACTGGGCTAACGTGAGGTGGCAGACGGGGATCTCGATGCCGTGGTGGTCCACGGTAAATCGAGGATGGAGAATGGGGACGCCATCTTTCGTGAGCTGCACGAACAGCTGCACATGGTCTCCCGTCAAACTCGACCCAGTGACCAATCCATTGTGCTCCGAGTCCACTGCACTGGTGGCCTTCCAGTATGTCGCGAAGTGCGTGATCTCCAGCGGGTCGCCGTGGTAGGGTTTGATGACCTGGAAGCCAAACCGTAGCTGGCCGATCGAACGCAGTCGAGGGTCAAACAGCGGCAGACAACACGAACCCGTGCTGGAATCCTCTGCTTTGAAGACTACAGGCAACGCGACGGTCTTGGCAATCACCTTCGAACCGAACGTAGGGAAGATCTCGAAATCCACTGCGAACGTCTCCAGGTTATCGATCTGGAATGATATGATCCGCGAGTCTTCCTGGATGGGCAGCATGACTGTGCGCGGGATCAAGTCCGACAGTTTGGACGAGATGGTCAAGCGAGCAGCCGGATGACGACCCGCCTGGTCAAACAATATCGAGCCAGCGCTACCCGGCTCGAAGAGGATCTGGACAAACACCTTTTTGTCCAGAAAGTTGTGGCCATACCGCCGGAGCGGGATGATGGGTGGCGGCAATTCCAAGTCTGGGATCCCATCCGCCGTGTCCATGCTGTCTGGCGCAGCAAAGTCTGTCATCTGGGAGTCCACAGAACCGCCGGGCCCTTGTAATTTCAACCCATTCATGATGTCCAGTGGTCTTTGCGGAGGTTTCGACTTGGCTCTTTCGGCCCACAGGAGGAGCATGCACTCGAGATGGCCCTCCCATGCAGCATAATACATCGCTGCGAGGCCCTTCTCATCGATGGCGTCCGAGTCGACTCCGAGTTCAAGAAGCGTACGGAGGCAGTCAACACAGCCTTCGCTGGCCGCATGGAAGAGGGGCGTCCACTGGTACAGTTTGTCCCTTTGGTTCAGGTCAACCCCGTGCTGTTTGAGCAACAGCAGCAGCTGAGGAGACTGTGAAGCGCGTGCCACCATGTGCTGAGGGTAGAGGCCCTCTGCGTCGGGGAGCACTTTTGCTCGACGCTCGAGGAGCATTTTCACAATCGGGAGCGATCCATGCTGGCACGCCAGATTCAGGGGAATATGATCGGATTCTGAGGCCGGATCAATACGAGCGTTGTTGCACAGGACCTGCTCGGCGCAGGCTAGTTGATTCTTCACGATGCTATGGATCAATGGTGTGAAGTTGTCGTGGTCCATCATGTCGACCGTGTGAGGGCCGGCCGCCAACAGTTCTCGAACCATTTCCACGCGGCCGTGCATGCACGCATAATGCAAGGGGATTCTGCCGTAGACATCGGACCGGGAGATATCAACGCCCGCGGCAAGGCCGGCTTTGAAGACGAATTCCCGCCCTGAGATGGCGGATTCGTGTAGGCAATTGCGCTCGTTGATGTCATCTTCCGCGTACACGTCCACCAGGCCGCTCTCCAGAAGAACTTGGAGTACGTCATCCGAGAATTCATTGATGGCGGCAAGGAAGGTCCGCGTGGCACGATCACGGGCGTCTGGAGAAGACTGCAGCTTGGCGGTCCACTCACGCAGGGTTTGGAGGTTACCCGTCGTGGCCGATTGGAGGATCTGCATGTCTAGATCATCTTCATCGGGGCCAAACGATTGAACGACCATGCGGTCCGCGGGGCGAGCCGCATCGAACTGGATGTTCTCTCCCTCAGCCCATGCTTCGAGTTCTAGCCGCGCGGTCGTAGCTCGATCCGACAGATCCCGTAGCACGTCGCGATTAAAACACGGCTGTACTTCGACTGCACGATGCAGATAGAGTTCTTTCATGCGCGACTACAGGTAGTTAGATATCGAAGATACCTACTAGTGGAAGGAAAGAAGCGTACCTTTGAAGTTTTATCCCACTAATTCTGTCAGCTATCGAACGACAATGATTCTTAGGGTAACGCACCTTTTTCAAGATCTTTGACATGGCCGTCTCATTAATCTCAACAAATTGCTGGACGTATGTCAGCACACCTTGTACCGTATGACGAAACCACCCAAACGCACCTGCAGCTTGTTCAGGTCACCATCGAATTGCTGGAACCCCTCGAACAGCGCCACAAAATTGGCCGGAGCCTTCGAATTAGTCACAGCCCGCGACTGAATGACTCTCTTCTTATCGACCAGAGTCCGCAACCGTAGCGAGAACTATACCGAATCAGCCCTCGTCCAGCGCAATCAGGCAGTGTCCAAACCTCGGCTTCTTTCTGCAGATAAAACGCATTGACCTTCTCGATTTCTCGTTCCTACCAGCGGTCAACAAGCGCATCCTACACATCATGATCTCCGATCCATACCAGTCGAAAGAAAAAGACCTCCTTGTTCGCGCGGAGAGCAGCCTGGGCCTCGGGCACATTTTGGGGTTCGCCAGCGGCGCTCTGGGCGGGTATCGTCGGGGTGGCGCTCAGTTGTTTGATGAGCTGTCGCGAGTCAGCTTGCGCACGGTAGTCAGTGGCATGGGGATCAGAAGACGGACCTTCTTCAGCGCTTTGTAGTTGACAAAACTTGCCGCATATTCCGGGAGATCCAGCTGTCGGCGCTGGATTTGCTTGCCGAACTTCCTGCGTCGGTGTCAGTCTCATCAGGGAAAGGCATCGCGTATAGTCGCTGCAGCACGCACATCTTGGAGGGTTTGTCGTTGCAAGCGCAACACTTGCTTTGCTGTCTCTAAGCACGCAGTCGCAGTGTAGAGCCCGGTGAGTCGGCGGTGGATCTCGGACTGGCGGTGTGTAGGTATTTATGAGGTAGAAGGATTCGATCACAGTGGTCTTGCGACCTAAACAGGACGAGAAGGACAGTTGAGAGCAAGTGGTGGGAGTGTAGGTGTGATGCGGTAGTCGGAGGTCGAAGTCAAAGACGACGTTGGTAGACGGCGGAGCGACAGTCTAGCAAGATTGAACAAATCGAAGTCAAATGTCGATGCGCTGTGTGGCCTTTCACTTGGTGGCAGCCTGGGCGTGCAACAAACTTCCAAGCTCAGTAGACGTACTCTGTAGGTAGTATCGGACGTGGGGGGAGGAGCTCGGAGGGGGACCGCGGAGTAGACCGGAGGATGAAGGACGATCCGCGAGAGGGATGCAGGGCATCGGCGAGCTGCAAGAAGGAGACTATATGGACATGTCTCTCGGGAAGAAGGATCGGGAGAAGCGGATGCGAAGAGTTGCGAGAGTGGTCGTGGTGGTGGTAGTGGTAATGGTGTCGCCGGCAGTAATTGCTGCGGGCGGAACCCACCTAGGTACTGGAACCGGACCTGGACCTGAGGGGCCAGGAGAGAGGCGACGTGCGGGGCACTCACTGGCAGGCCCGACAGAGCGACGGGGAGGGAAATGAAAAGCAGCAGCAGATTTGGGGGAGAATCGCGACTCGAGCAGGCGATCGAGGGAGGATGATTGGAAGAAGGGCGCTTTGCACGCCAGCGAGAGCAAGCTGCGCCCGGACCAATCATCGCAATCGGTGTGCCCACGTTCCCACCGCCTGGCCAACCAGCGGCCGCCAATGTCGAACGTGTCAAGCTTGATCTTCTAATGTACCTCCATCTCCCTCTTATGTACCTAGTATTCTCTACCTAATTCTCTGTAGCCGCATCTGCCAAGGACAAGTCCCTAGTACATAGAGTTACGTTATGTGTCCATTCACGTGCACGAGATATATACTAACTACTAACACAAGTATCCAGACCCAGCAGAGCACCGCAAAGAAGACAGAAAACGATCGACCATCAAGCACAACACAGTACAGCTATACAATGCATCCAGAAGAATTGAACAACACAAAGAAAGATAAACGAAACGACGGCAATCGGGATATATAAAACAAGTTCACGCAGAAAGAAATGTAGAAGGCGGACGGAGTATAATCCATAGCCGCGAAGGAGAAGATTCTCCAGGGTATGAGAAGATCACAAAAGAAACGTCAAAACGAAAGCAGATCGTATGCCTCGGCAGGAGGAATGGCGCACAAGGCGTGGACCATATCCAACAAGCGAATGCAGAATGTCCAGGAATACCCCAACGAAACACACCAGCTTAGATGTCGGGAATGCAGATAAAATGCATGGCTGTTCGCTTTTATTTAACCGCTAGGAAACCCGGGTCTACTGGGCAGAGTCCCGGTTCCGTTGAAAATGCTCAATGCGCGATCAAAACCGACTAAACGAACGTAGCGAGAACAAGCATCACCCACAACTCAGAAGTTCTGGGCAATACCAGCATTTCCGGAGCGAGGGAAAACAGCAGGATTCTCAATACGGGTGTTACGCCGGGCTTGGACGTCGCGAATCACGGGCTGATTCGGCACGTACGGTCCGTCTCCATAGGCGGTATACTGCTGGTGCATGTCGGTGTAATACGGATTCTCATCGTAGTAACCACCCGTAGGATGGGTCGCAGACATGTGGCTTTCTTCAGAGATATCCGAGCGGTTGGCGGCCGAATAGGCAGACGACGCGTTGGACGGGCCCCGGTGGATGTCGCTCGTGCGGTGGTTGTTGGCTGACACCGGCGCGGCGCCCAGAATTCCAACGGGCTCGGTCTCGGCCGCGGTCAGCTGTCCTTCGGAAAACTGGATGGTCCCGTCGCTGGGCGTCGCGGCATGCTGGTAGCCAGGCGTGCTGCCCGCCTCGGACATGGTCAGGCCGACACCCGCACCACTGGACAGGTTGGTGGACGCCTTACGGCCCGCCGAGGTGGTGCCCCATCCGCGGTACCCTGAGACGTCATCCTTGGCCTCGTACGCGGCGGCGCCCATGACCGGTGGCAAGGTCGGGTCGTTGTTCGGGTTGAAGCCGTACTCCTCCACCTCCTTTCTCCGTTCTTCCTCCGCGGCCTTCTTGGCCTTCCACTTGCGCCAGAAGTACAAGGCCGCCAGGATGATGATGGCCACTGAGACGACGGGCACCACCACGGCAACGGCTATCGTGCCACCCGCGGACAGCCCCGAGCCCCCGCTGGCACCCGCGGCGGCCGTTGTGGAGGTCGAGGACGAACCAGTCGAGGTCGTGGAGGCGGCATTGCCAGTTGTGGTCGGCTTGGTCAGGCCCGAGGTGTCGGTGGAGGTGATGGTGAGGGTCTCGGGTCCGCTCGTGCCGGACGAAGAAGTCGTGACAATTTCAGAGGTGGTGACAACCGAGGACGTTGTAGGTTGGGAGGTGGTGGTGCTGGTGGTGGGCTCTGAAGTCGTGGTCGACGTCGAGGTCGAGCTCGTGGTGGTTGGCTGCTGAGACGTGGTATGCTGCGAGGTCGTCGACGACGTGGTGGATGTAGACGAGGTTGTTGATTGCGTCGAGGTGGGTTCACTGGTTGTGGTAGGGACCGAGGTCGTCGAGTGTCCTGCTTCCGTTGATGTACCAGTGGCGGCCGTCGCGCTGGTGGTCTCCACCGCGGCGGATGGTGCAGCCGCTGCTCAGAGTTAGATCAAATAAAGGGATCAATCAGAGGAGGTTGTACCTGAAGACATGTTGAAGTCTGTCCCAGAATCTAGTTGCGATTGACGCGTGGGGAGGCTGATTCAAATGTCGAATGTCGGGAGGCAGGCGATTCTACCTAGCACCGCCCCGTCGTCACGGTATGTTGATTATCGAAAAGGAGTGACTATAGTTGAAAGGGTAGTTGAAAGAAGCGTGTCGCCGCCAGAATCATAAGAAGGCTCCACTAAAGGGAGAGCAACGGGCGATGGCTGGAAGCATCAACCGGCCGACAATGTTGGAGGTGATGCTGATGGGAGGCCTGGAGATGGAGTCAGGGGAAGGGACGGACACGGCGTAGGCGGACGGTAGGGGGGATGTGCATACCCAAAGCGATCTGAATCTCATGGGTTCATGAGGAGATAGATGGATTAAACCAGAAGTAATGATAACCCGGGAGGGAAGATCGAAGGGAGAGATCCAGACGTAAGGGAGATCTCTGGTGTTATGTTAATGAAAGCGAGAGAAAAACGATGGGGGGTGGAGGAGGAGAGTGGAGAGACTTCGCTCTGCATCCGGCCTCGCTACCTGTTAGCCTGTCCCCGGAGTGGCGCCGTTCGTATTGTGGTCTCTGAGTACGGAGTCTGTTTATTTTTATTTCCAGCGTGTTCGATTGAGAAGTGGACGCATTAGGTCATGTCAATGAGATTGTCCAATCCGTCAGACAGTTGACATGCTGAATTCCGTAGAAGCGTACTCAAGTATCTACTGGGTGTGTACCTGATGTTCTGAGTGCGGTAATCCCGATACATAACTTGTACATAACTTGGCTGCGATCGGCACAGATGCCTCCACTGGGTGTACTCCGTCCTCTGTACTTTCTCTAAAAATAAGATCAGCGGAAAAGAAGGAATTCAGATTCTCATTCTTGTCCCCTCCGTAAGCAAAAAATCGGATCCGAACTGGTTCATTTATTTGAGTTTGCTGATACCGGGGATCCATCCAGTCGTCTCCCACTCTGCTCAGACGTGGCCGTAAGAAATCGTCTTTCCGTACCTAGTAGACAAAAAAGCCCACCCGATACTACGTGCATCCTGTACGTAGGTAACATCTATGTAGTATCACCTATCACCACTTGTACATACTCCATACAAGTTATCAGTCTCCGCATACTGTACTCTGTAGATTCGCTCATGCACCAGCATCCTGCAGCGGACGTATCACCACTCTCGTCATTTGCATTGGCGCAGCCGGTCGGAAACGAGACAAATTCTCCGGTATAGTCCTGTAAACACGTCGTTCCAGAGCTCGGCGGACGAACCTTTCCATCGACCCATGGGCTTTTCTTGTCCGGTTCTGTGCGTACTCCGTACGCGTATCTTGTATCTCGTTCCTTGGGTGTGTTGCGGATATCGGTCCCATGGATGACATAGATATGAGACGATACCTAGAATAATAACTCCGTAGTTATCCCGTTAGGTAATCTTCTGTATTCAAACAGTACAGTAGATACTTCGAGACATTGAGAACTCTTCGCCACCATGGTCATATCTCATAGGGGTTTGAGGCTCCTGCGAAACATCATGACGATGCTGGTGGAGACAGTCAACGGTGTCGGTCGCGTGTCTCCCTACCGAATTGCATCACCACTTCGGGACGTCCCCGACACCCAATCCAGTAACTGATTCTTACTCCGTAGACAAGCAGTACAGATAGGTAGATACCTCCTACAGAGTCTACATTATCCATGGTTTAACATGGATCTCTCATGCACAATCACACCATATTCAATTGTCAACAATACAATACATACAACCGTCAAACGCCCGGATCCACCCAATGTTCTAGAAGGCTGGAAGTTGGAACCATCCCATTGAACATGTAATACGTCCAGAATTGCCAATATTTGCAGATGGTGACGAAGAAAATGGCCACACATGGCATTCAACCAGTGAAAGATCAAGAGAAGAAAAGAACAAAACCCCTTGTATGTTGTGTACGCCTTGGCATCAAACGATTGCTAAATCGGGCCAGGTTGCGGAAACGTAGCACCGATGGAGAGTGGACAAACAAGCGATAGATCGTAACGTGGTGGGTGGCCACCAAAGGGAAAAAAAGTGGAATGTCATGACATCGCCAAGGATATGAAAATAAGATTAATCAACCGTGGCTAGATCTATTGCCGCATCTCCCACTTAGGGTGAAGAGAGGACATCAAGTCCTGTTTCGTGCCCACGGTTTCCGCGGGCAGGCGGCTGACACGGTACGCACCAGTGCGGATGTTGTTCAGATGGGTGTTCGAGATGCCGGTCCGGTTGCTACGGATGCTACCCGCATCGCTCATCGTGTCGCCCGTCTTGAAGCGAGGCGGAGGCGCAAAGTCGAGGTTGTCGTACGTTCCAGACTTTCGCAGGGCATGTCTAGAATTTGGTCAGTGTGGCTCTACGTCAGGTCTCGGAGACGGTCAACATACGGGCTGGGAATGGGGGCAAGATCATCGAACGCCGAGGCGAGAGGCGTGTGGGCTCGGAGGCCCGGACTGAAGGGTCGCATGCCGCCCATGGGGGTCTCTGGCCGTCCTTCCCGTTGGTCCTTGAAGGTGCCGGCGGGGGCGAAATCGATGGCCGACATGATCGCGTCATCCTTGAGCATGTGAGGCGTAGGAAGGATTTGCAAAGGCGCCGGGGGAGGCACGGGTCTACGCGGAGCACGAGGACCGGGCAATCTGCCTGAAGCCGAAGAGAAGGCGCGCGGTCCGGGAGGGTGGAATCGATCGCTGATCCCACCCATCGAGCCAGTAGGCATGTGCATACTTGGTCCTTGGAACCGGGGAGGAGCACGGGGAGGCGGCGTCATCGCACGGCGATTGATCGGCTCGGCGAATGGGGCGGGGACGGCATCAAAGTACTCGCCAGTGACCGGATCATAGGCGTAGCTCTCGTCAGGATAGAACTCCGGACCGTAGTCCTCATAGTAACTTTCCCGCCCGGCTTTGCTCTCGTCGAAGTACTCCTTGTAGAAGGATCGGATGCGGTTGGCACGCTGCTCGGGGTTGTCCGACGGGTCCTCTGGGGGCAGCGGACGAAGCCCAAGAGTCATCCGGCGAGTGTTACGGCGGGGATCGACCGTCAGGTTCGTGTTTGCAGCAGGCTCTTCCGGCAGCGTGGGCGGGACGTCTGGGTGAGCTGGGCCACTCTCGTGACTCTTGTCGGTTTCGTGGACATTGACCTCAGGGATGACGAACATGGACTTTCGGTTATCGCCATAATCGCTTCCCTCACTGAGGGGAAGAGAAATCCGCGGGGGAGCAGATGTAGGTTGCGAGGTTGGCTCTGCTCCCAGCTGGGTAGGCAATGAATCGCTAAGCGTAAAGTCCAGACGGTGTTCTGCGGGGGTATGGGCGTCAAACGACTTGTCGGCGGGACCAGAGTGGTCCACGGAAGGTGAAGTCGTATGGGCATGCCCCATTGACGCAGCACTGGTCGATTCCTCTTTTCCGGCATGGGTATTCGTGGATGGTTCAATGATGGCCGGAGCTCCAGGTATCAGGACGGGGCTAGGGCTTCTCGGCAAGTCCAACTGGAAACCCGTATCTGCTGGGGTGGAGCGACCATTGGGATCGCGCCTGGTGCTCTCGTTCGGAGGGCTGTTGTTGTACAGGGGCGGAGAAGAACGGGACATCCGTTGAGCATTGCGCAGGAGGCCTTGGTTCATATCATCACCAAGACCAGCCTTTCGGGTCGAGCCACTGAAACTGGCAGCATCATCATGCAGGCCACGTGGGTGCGAGCGAATAGAAGCGTTGTCACCGAAGAATGAGGCTGCGGGGCGGTATTTGTCGCCATCGCCGACCATAGATCTCGACAAGGAATGGAGGGAATCGTGGGAGCCATGCAGTCCGGGGGGAAGAAGATAGGGGCTCGGGCCGATGTCTAACGAGATGCCCTTTCCATGCATATGGGCTGGCTTTTCCATCTGGCGCATCGACTTGTTTCCAGACGTTGGCTCCATGTCCAGTCCGAAGTCGAGGGATTTATGTTTGTCATTGGCATCTTCGCTGCGCAGTTTCTTCACATTCCTCCGATGCAAGTAGATCAAGACGATGATAGCACAGACGATCGGGACCCTAGATCACGTTAGTCCCCAGTCCTCTCGATGCATAGACGGATGGGGGGACCTACACTGCACCAAGTACAACGGGCAAGGTGGTGGTGGATGCCGTACTGGTCGGTTTCTCACACTTGTTAGGGTTGTCGGAGGTACAGGTTGAGTCCGATTCTGACGTCGGCATGGGCGCTCTTTTCACGACATCAGGAATGCCGGGGACGACAAAGTCTGGGGATTCGTGATGGGGAACAGGGTCGGGACGATGGGGAGACCGGGTCACCAAATGCGCGCCATGGTGGGCTCGGTGTCGGTGACGCAGCATGGTCGTCCTAAGTGGTGTTCAACGCAGCTCGTAGACCATGAAGTGAATCTATGATGTATCTAGAGAAAGGGTAGATCGACGGGTGTTGAGCAGGATAAGCAGAGAACGACCGAAATAAGGGTTCGAACGGGTTTGGGGATGAAGGAGTGAACGGGAATAAGAATCCCCCTAAAGAGTGGCGGTCCAGGTTAAGTCTGGACCATAAAGGACAAAATCAAGGGAGTGTATAGAGGAAAATCCCCGGGGAAGAAAAGAGTGACGGAAATGGGGAGAAGGAAATGAAAGGAAAGGGAGAAAGAGACGGGACACGATGAAGAAGAGAGGAGAGGAGAAGAGAAGAGAGCGGATGAGAGGAGACAAGCACTAAACTCCCTTGTCTGCTAGTGAGTGGTCTAGACGAGGTGCCTATCATTTACCACCGACACTAAAGCGTCGTGTGGGGAGGACGGAGGGCTAATATTATTGTGCGAGGGGGATGGCGGTGCTGGTACCGTACGGTTCGAACACCAAACACCAGCGCATTGAACACTGCAGTCCAGAGAGAAAGAAACCCTCGTCTTGTCACCGCATGGGACAGTTTGGGACGGTTCCCCTGAGCCGACAATCATCATCTACAGGACGAATGGGGAGGAGTTCTTTAGATAGAAACTGGTCTTATCACGCACTAGGAGGATATTCGATCCACGGCTCTCCTGGTCTTTCTTTAGGGTATGGTATGATATGATCATCTCGATCGTAATACACTCTTGTCTCCTGGCTCTACTACTACTCCGTACAGAGTAGTACTACTCCGAGGACGATATGATGATTTCTCCTGTTTGAGCAACCATTTGATCCCCTGAAAATTTCAGGTTCGGCGAGTGGGGCGCCCAGACCTTCTAGTGTCAGGAACCCGCAGGGCCTCCACCAATCAGCGGAGAGATCGGCGGTTCCATTTCTGTTTTCTTGCGGCGACTCCACCGAGGTTATTATTATCATTATTGGTTCTTATTTCTGATTATTATTATTATTCCATCCCCTTCAATAATAATAATACTTCGTATAATACTATATATCAGACCAGGAGTAACGGATATCGAGACCGACAAAATAGCTCAATGCTCCTCAAAGCCCCAACCCCAAGTTGCCTTGTTCCGTCTCCTTGATCCTGTCGGTAAGGGATCACGCCGGTGGTCACAACGAAAGTGGGATGGACACTGCTCTCTTCCGGACGGGCCAATCATTTCCGTCTGGCTGTTGCTAATGCAGTCCCGATCCGGAATCGTTAAAGCTGAGACATCCTGGCTTGTTTGGACGTTGGATCTGGAGTCACTCTGAATCCGCTAGCTTATCTTGAATCAGCCTTCTTGGCCTTCAACGTTTGCTTGTTTCCATCTTGGGTATTTAGGGGGAGTACGGAGTACTCCGTAAATAAGGTCTTCTAGTCTTATGATGCAGATACATATGTACATGGAATATATGCTCCGTATATATATACATATATATATATATACGTACATGTCTATGCATAATCTCAACTACGCATGATTGATTATGGGCTATAACCAGCTATACGAACGTCAAGATATATAAAGATGCACAGATATAGTATGCAATGTCAGGACTTCTTCCAAACTGTCCACCAATACAGAATATTGTATATGGAGACCATGACGTCATCTCCGTTGTTAAGCGATCGCATCGGAAAAATGTGCTGCAGCCACCACGAGTTCAGTGTCTACTACTGAAGTAGGTGGTACAGACGAGCATTGAATGTTCTAGAAGAGAGACTGATTGAATGTGTACTTGTAGATCCATATAGGGAGTGGAATGGAACACCTGAATGCGGAACTATACCCTTACAGTACCTACTGCCCAAGTATGTTGTCCCTGCGGTAGTTTATTCCGCATCTCTAGAATCGCATGATATCTCCTCTGTATACTTCTCCCGTCCACTCGAGTAGACTCAATGCACTAACATATACAGATCGTCGACGATCCCACGAGAGAACTCTAGAAAGCAGTCCCTCTTCATCTGCATCTCCATCCACCCCGCTAATCCAGACATTAATAGCAAGTGGCAAACTGGTCGGGCGCATCCGCCGACGAAGCTTAAAGGATCCAAAAGTTGCCTCCGCTGCTGGTCTTGGCCGTCCATCGTCAGTGCTCCGCGATCTCGACTGGTTCGAGCGTCGACACTAAGAAAATTTTTTCTTCGCGCATTGCCTCGATGACTCCGTGAGTGAGGGCTTAAAAGCACGGCGTCCAGCTTCAACCCGCCATACATTAGCTCCCTATACAAGCCAATCGCCATCATGGATGCGACGTCGCACATCGCGGACCTGGAGAAAGGCTCCAGGACGACCACCCACAGTCGAGACCACGACGACCATGACTCCCAGTCAGACTCCTACTCCCTGTCGACCAGCTCCTCCAACTCGTCGCAGTCGCAATTCCAGGAAATCGACTTCATGTCGCGCACGCAGACCGCGCAGACGCAGCCGGGGACCGGCCTGGAGCGACACCCAACCGCGCTGAGTCGCATCGCGACGCAACGAAGCCAACACAGCGCCACCGTCGGCGCGCTGAAGTCGCGGCCCTCCAGACGCCCGCTGCCGGAGTTCGGCGCAGGGAAACCATACCCGCCGCCGCTCCCCGAGAAAGAAGAATACGTCGTTGAATTCGCAGGGCCAGACGATCCCCTACACCCGCAGAACTGGCCGACCAAGAAGAAGTAAGTCCCGCCAATGCCGTCGCCTCATCAGGACCCTATCTAATCGACTGGTAGAATCGCCATGTCAATGCTCCTAGCGTGGACGACGTTCAACTCGACCTTCACGAGCAGCATCTACTCGACCGCCAACGCGGCCGTCTCGACGCAATACAACGTCTCGACCGAAGTCGGCACGCTGGGCCTGTCGCTGTACGTGCTCGGCTTCGCCTGCGGGCCGACGCTGTTCTCGCCGCTGTCCGAGCTGCTCGGCCGACGCCTGCCCATCCTCATCGGCGTGTTCGGCTTCACCGTCTTCCAGTTCGCCGTCGCCACGGCCGAGAACCTGCAGACCATCATCATCTGCCGCTTCTTCGGCGGCTTCTTCGGCGCCTGCCCCATCGCCGTCGTCGCCGCCGTCTTCTCCGACATGTACGACAACGCCCACCGCGGCCTCGCCATCACCATCTTCACCATGACCGTCTTCACCGGCCCGCTCTTCGCCCCCTTCATCGGCGGCTTCATCGTCGACAGCCCCGCTCTCGGCTGGCGCTGGACCGCCTACCTCCCCGGCCTCACCGGCGCCTCCGCCTTCGTCCTCGACCTCCTCTTCGTCCGCGAGACCTACCCCCCGGTCATCCTCGTCGAGAAGGCCGCCGACCTGCGCCGCCGCACCAGGAACTGGGGCATCCACGCCAAGCAGGAGGAGATCGAGGTCGACTTCGCCGAGCTCGTCCGCAAGAACTTCGGCCGCCCGCTCCGCATGCTCGTCGCTGAGCCCATCCTCCTCCTCCTCAGCCTCTACATGGCCTTCCTGTACGGCCTGCTCTACCTCTTCATGACCGCCTACCCGATCGTCTTCCACCGCATCCACCGCTTCTCCAACGGCGTCGCCGGCCTCGCCTACTTCGGCCTCATCGTCGGCGAGCTCCTCGCCGGCTTGTTCATCCTCGCCCTCCACCCGGCCTATAACCGCAAACTGGCCGCAAATCACGGCGTGCCCGTCCCCGAGTGGCGTCTTCCGCCCGCCATCCTCGGCGGCGTCGCCTTTGCCGCCGGCCTCTTCTGGTTCGGCTGGTCCGGCTACTCGTCCGATATCCATTGGGCTGTGCCCGCCGTCTCCGGGCTGCTGACCGGCTTCGGGCTGCTGTGCATCTTCCTCCAGTGTCTTAACTACATTGTCGACGCATATCTTCTCTTGTAAGTGATTTCACCAGGCTAAACTCTGAGCGAAACTGACGGATTCCTAGTGCAGCGTCGGCCCTCGCGGCGAATAGTATCTTGCGATCCACAGCGGGTGCTGGGTTCCCCCTGTTTGCGACGTACATGGTACGTACCTCCCCCGCGCTACTACATCTGTCCGTATGCTAACTCCGTCAGTTCGATGCGTTAGGAGTCAACTGGACGGGCACATTGCTGGGCTGTGTTGCTGCCGTCCTAGCGCCGATCCCTCTGCTCTTCTACTTGTATGGGGCGAAGATCCGCGAAAAAAGCAAGTTCGCCAACGAGTTCGTTGCGACAGCCCAAGCTCATGACAATGAGCATATGGAGTGAGCATTACGATGCTTGACCCCAAGACGACTACTCTTCATGAGTGTTACGATTGATACGAGTTATGTGATGACTAAAAGTGCTGATAGAATACTTGCCATACATACCATAGACTAATGTATATACCACTACTTAATGCCATGCATATCTTGCGCTATGTTGGAAGCGATATTGAATGCTCAATTCTCATTACCAGACTTCGTCTAGAAGTGACATGATTCGTTCCACGAATGATGTTGCCATACACGCCATTATCCCATAATATATCCCTCTTCACAAATCAACCAAATATCCGTACACCTGCCATGAACTGAAAAGAGTGAAGAAAAGAATGTGCCAATGGGATCCTTGACGACCCAAAGAACGAAGGAAACAATACCAACATAAAGACAAGACAATGCCGCCAACAATACACAAACATACAAGTCCCTAGGGGAATGTACACCAACAATTCACTTGTACAAAATAGAGGCGTATTCAAAGGAGAATATCGCCCCAGGTATCATCCTGAATGACGTGGGAAGGAAATCCATTAGTTGGAAAGGGTGGACGAGTCGTCGGATCGTGTCATCTCGCATGCCGATTTTCGTGTTCAAAACTTTTGATGGTACATAAAAGGACGTGAAGAGTGACGTCGTAAACCAAAGCTCTTGTAACGCTCATGCAATGCAGCGAGTTTCTATGGGAGGGAAATTATCGGACGAGGACGGTTGGTCAAAGATGCGACGGAAGGGCGGATCGGAGGGAGGCTTCTTTTCGTCGGCGTCGGTTGTAACGCCTTCCGCCTTGCGAACTACTTCTTTCAGCGCACGAGTCACAACGCCCGCTCGAACCACGAGATCTCGTAGTGACTGGGTGTCGAAAGGGAGCTTCTTCGACCTTGCAAGATGAGAGCTCATGAGGGTGGGGTCGTGGGAGGCGCGTTGTTGATAGATCAGATCCAACACAGAATTTGGTTTCGAGGAGTCTTCTTTGATCTCGGGTCCAGGGGTCGTCGGACTCGCATTGAACTGCTCCGAGAGAGAACCATGCCATGACCCTCCACTGACCCGCTTGGAGGGATCGTTCGAAGATTCGCCTTCGGAGTCGTCGAAGCTAAAGGTGAGCGATGACGGCGATCCTGGAGGGGAATGGTCGTGGTCCCCATCGTCCAGTGTCGCCAGATTGACAATGCCCTCTGCCTCCTTCCATAGTTCACTGGACGGACCACGCACAACCCCTAGGAAGCTCCCTTGGTGTCGAAGACGCTTAAGCTCCTCCACAAGTAACGTCAATTCTTGCACTTGCCCAAACTGACCGTGGAGACTGGCCTGCCTCTCCATGATCGCTTGAGGCACAATCATGCCACGCGAAGGAACCGTCTTGTTCGGCTTTAGATTCTCGCTGATGGCGCTATCATCTGCATCCTCGAACTCAAAGTCGCTATCCCAGTCTTCACTGACGCCTTTACTGCCTAGACCCCATGTGCCAAATTTGCCGGATGTCTGGCGCGTTTCGTTGGCGACAGCTGACTCCCTTGCCACAGGAACACTCTGACTTCGGAGATGCAAGGTTGTTGGCGCCCTGCGCATTGGCGGACGGCTGCCCCGGGCGTCAGGGCCATGCTTCCCGTTAACCGCCGTGCGAGGACGCCCATCGGTGCCGGAATTCTCGCGATCATTTTTGGGCTGCTCAGACCAGTCGAATATGTTCGACTTGGGGCACGCATCGCAAGCTTCTGTTGCGAAGCTGCGTGAGTCGGAATCCTTCAAGTCCAGAGGAATCTCGGGTCTCTGGTACGAGAATAAGACGTCACGTTCTGCGGGTCCATGGTTCTGTAGTGACGCATGGGAGCGCCCCAGGTATCCGTTTGATTCACTCGGCAGAGCCGCAAGAAGGCTGCGGTTGTCTTCCTCATCGGTAAGATCCGATGGAAACGAGATCCTACTATCCTCTTCTTGGATATCTTGGTCCTCACGAGGCTCAAGTGAAGCAGAAATCGGATTTGCGCCGGACTGCGGGTACAAGTCGCTTTTATTCTGTCGAGATTCGAAGGTGCTCAGATTTGCCGCATTCAGCGGTTTCTCATCCCCAAAGCCGAACGAGAAGTCCTGGTCAAATATCGTCTCGATCCGAGGAGTGCGGAGGCCCAAACTACTATTGACAGTGAGATTGGTGCGAATAGAGTCAAAAGCGGTGTCGCTCAAGAAATCGTCCTCATCTTCGTCTCCGGATGTGAAGATACGGGTGTCGTCAGACCCAATGATAGTGGAAGCGGGGTCCGATGCGGCAATCGAGTGTCTTTTAGGGCGCAGCCGAATCGAACCGTGGAACGAGGACATCGCGGCAGTATCCGAACTCAGCGGTCGCCAAGTCTGGCCCATATCCATACGCGAGTACGAGGGGATGATTCTTTGTCGCGGCGCGATCCTCCCACGGAGCGGCATAGGTGCTTCTGAATGCAACAAGGCCGAGGGTCGGCGGAAAACATTGGGGTCTGTGATGTTGCGCCGTTCATTTGGTCGGGAAGGAACGAGGATAGGTCCTTCCGATTTGGGTGCGCTAGGCAAGGGGGTTGAAATCGCCCTTCGTTTCGGGCGTGAAAGGGTAGAGTCGGCGATTATTCCGGTGTCTGTAGGGGCTATGCTTGCGGTTGGTGCTTTGGGATCTGCCTCGGTTTGTTGAGTGAGTGGGCGTTCTTTGTTGTCCTGGGGGTTATTTTTATCCTCGTCAAGCGCGGCGCCGGAGGACTTGAATGGATCGCGGAACTGGACAGGAGACGCCAGAGCTGATGCCTCCAAGCTAGCGTCTGGTGTCGGTCGCGTATTCGAAATCGAAGTGGACAGCATAAGGGCCCGGAACAGAATCGACATTCGGAAGAATCCGTCGCAAACCTCCATCCATGGGCCTCGTGGCAGTTGAAAACCTGCGCGACCACCTGTCGGATAGCTCGTCGAAAACGGATTTCAGATATGGCTGCCAAACTTCCTTATCGAGGGGATAGTCGGACTGGGAAGCGGTGGTCGGGAGGGAGGTTATCAAGCTAGGTTCAAAATTGAGGCTGTGAGTTGCTTTGTGTTTTTGAGTTTCTGACCGCTGATAGCTGGTAGCTGGTCGTCGCAAAATCCCTGGTATGGATGGGGAGGGGGGCGCCGAGCCGGAGGTAGAGTCGTTCAAGTGCTGGGAGGGAGGCCGTTTGACCAGCTTGTTTGGTGCGCGACGTTGGCTTGCGGGGCGCGGGTTGATGGAACCCGTGCCGGCTTGGAACGATGGGGACACCGGACTTTGACAGGACCAACGGTTCTCCGGCTGGAACGAGAGTCGTCGCACCCAGGAAGAAGATGGACGCCGGAAATGCGACGGCGACGGGGCGGAAGCATCCTCCGGAGCTCGAGGTGGGGGGATTGATAAAGTCTGTCCGCGACGACGCAATATTATGCCCGCAAGGGAAGACTTTCGGCGTGACGCGGGTGCTTCAGCAGCGTCTCCATTGTGAGGACCCTCTCGATTTACAACGGACGGTTTCCTGCTTGGCGGTTGTGCGCTCTCTGGGGACGCGATGGATTGGAAGGGGGGTGACTGCACGGTGTCGGATAGCGGCGAAAGGGGTTCGTCTGTTGTCGCGCGTGCGCACTGATCATGCGAAGGGGAGGTCTTTTTGCGGAACCGACCCGGTTTGGGGACATCTCGATCTACGCGACCGAGAGCAAAGCCGGTCGCCGCGATTCCGACGGTGCTGATAGCACAGAACTGAGAGGTATGGTGGTCAGAAAAAGAAGTTACCACGGTGGGAAGTGGGTGGTTAGTGTTGGAGCACACGTCGCACGAGTTGGACATGGCGCGCGCGTCCGGGTGGAGCGCGGTCAACAGAAGAGACAGAAACGAAGGCGAGGGAAGGGAATGCAAAGACTCACCGTTGATACATGCTCCATTCTGAGAGAGCGCAGGGGACAGTCTTGGACACCATGAAGCTCAGATTGGCGACATTGAAGATCTTAGATCGAGACCATGAACCACCCGTCGGCATTATCATGCATGAGAACGATCACGGGGCGGGAGACATCTAGCAGGAGAAAAGAGGTGAAGAACCGAGTCGCATCCAGTGATAGATTCGGACGAGAAGAGAGAGGTTCACTGGACTGGAGTGGTGGGATAGAGGGAGAGGAGGGATGAAATGGCCGTGTTTTAGTGGTGAGGGGGACGAGGGGGGTTGAGCAAAGGAATGGGGACCAAGCTAAAAAAAGAAGGTAATTAATGGACGGGGGAGGTAAGGTAAGGTAGTGAAGGAATGAATGAATAATGAGGGGAGAGTGGGAGGACCGGAGGGAAGATGGTGAAGAACACTGGCTGGTGGAAGCCAGGTAACAGACTGGCAAGAACTGCGACAAGAAGAAGCAGTAGAAGAAGAGGAAGAAGAATCCCGATCATAACAAGACCAGACAGAAGCAGACCGAACGAGATCATCGATCCAGCGCAAGTGGGACACACGGCCACTCGGTTTCCTGTTGAGTTCGAGTCGCGCGGCCAAACTAAATCAGAACCCAATCGACGGTCACGCTAGGAGTGCCCACCCCCAGCAGCCGCAGAGCGATTCTTCAGAGTAGTGGCTAGTAGGTAGGTGAGGATGGATTCTAGGGATTCTTCAGATTCTTCTAGGGTTTGATATGGACAGGAGGAAGAAGGGAAGTTACCCGTCAATAGTCAAAGAAAGTAACTTTCTCTGATCAACATCCAACGGTCAATATCAGGTGGAAGGGATGGAGAGACGTAACTCCGAAGATACTAATCTACATCATTATTATCAGGAATTGGCCAGGAATTGAAGTATGATAATATTTAATAATTAAGAACAATGTGATTGAAGTACCTACAAGTACCTGCATACTCTGTCCTTGTACAGAGGTACCTACAGGTACCCAACTACATAGTCCTAATTTGTCACAATCCCAGTCCATACCTAACTATTATCAGGGACACCATACTAGTACACTTATCAAACTGAAGTCTCAAACACAATCATACGAATAACAACAGCAACAACAACAATAATAGTAGTAACGCCATTATCCAATTCCCATAGTAACAATCACCAAAATAATGTGATTGCTGCAGGTGAGGGACTAGGGGTGCACGATCCCCCCGGCTAAACCACCAGTGAGGGGGAGAGGTAAAAAAGCAAAGAAAAAGAAAAGAGCAAAAAAAGAAAAAGGGATCGGGATTTCTGCCCCAGCGCGGGATGATTGATTGCTGGGCTTGTATCCGCCAAGATGCCAATGATAGTCACCACTGGACCTCCTGGAATCGGCCCAGCCCCGACTAGTGGATCTTGAGATATTTCTTTCAGCTCGTCATCCAGCGTCATCGCCCGGAGTACGGAGTAGGCGAGCTGGGCCGAGATGAAGGCTCACCACGATGGTATCGATACCATCTCATCAGTACTAGGTACTAGGTACCTAGGTACGCCTTGTGTCTAAGTAGACCAGCTACGAGACCAAACAACAAAGCCATGTTTGTTCTCTACATGCGCACCAGTCTCAGTATTCCGAAGAAGCAGTTATCTCTCTTCCACCGTGAGCAGGATTTTCTAGACGATCCATGCTTGATTCAAGTGGTACCGCGGCTGACCACCCAATTTCCTAGTAGTACCTCGTAGGTAAGCGATCCCCACTTCTGTGTCCCCTCGGCTGGCTGAAGATGTCACTAGTTACGATAGCTCGAGGGTGTGGATTGTGTTCCCCTTGACTAGCCAGGAACGCATCTCCGTCGTGAACTTCAGATCAAGATGCATACTCCGTACATCGATCCCCAGGTCGATCGCTGGAACAGAGCTCCGGACGAACCATGGGAGCGAGCCCTTTCCACCCGTTATCACAACTCGGTTCCAAGGAACGGCTCTGAAAGGAACAAGCGGGATAACTAGTCAGAGAACCCATCTTTATCCCAACCGTTCAATTTCTCCCGTCTCCATTATTTTTCCACCGTATTTTCCTTCCTTGTTTAGACGCGCTCAACTTCCCGCTTCTCCAGAGATGACGACACACCACCCCGATCACTTGTCGCACCGGGCCTCGATCCGAGGGGTTTCACAATTCAAGCGTAGATTGATTCCATTTAAAGCTCAATAGTTGAGTCTTCGTCCTGCACGCCAGCGAAGCGAGACCTGACAGAAAAAGCAAAATCTCTCCGACTAACGGGCCCCGTACCTCTCAGATGTCAAATGCCCGGCCAACGGTGGATGGATACTCTGTGGTAGTAAGCTTAATTAGGAGGTCCAGGAGCAGATCGGGAATGATAGATCGAATTTGTCGGGAGGGAACGTGGTCCTGCGAGTTTCTCGAAGGGAAATATCTCCGACCAGACCGGCCGATGATGGGGCCTCATCGGTCGACTCCGGAGTCGCCGATGGGGCTCTGGGGGTTTTGGCGCCCGTGTTTGTTGACCCATCGCACCAAATCGGTCTGTCGGCTCCAGGCGCGAAATGAACCTCCTCCTCCGACAGGGTTAGGGTCGCGCGGTGGTTTCCCTGTCGGGAGCTTCTGATCTGCTGTTGCTAGGATACCTTATCCTTGGAGGCTGAAGACCAGGTCAGGTTCGGTTCTCTTCGGCGTCTAGTTGCCATTGATGATTATTGCCAGGATATCTCTTTGTTTGGTCGCCTAACACACGAACAATCATATTGTATATAGGTAGCTTTAATTTACGGAGTAGCACACATTTGTCATTATCGATTTATCCTACCTAATGAGTATCATTTTCAATCAAACTACACTAAGCGACTATCTCATGACCATACTATGTAGTACTCAAATAGTTGTGGCCACAAGGCAGGGTAACACATACCACGTAGTACGTACCTTGCAGGCCGCAAGGTGGCACCCTTCTCTGCTTCGAGATCTTAATAACGAGGAATTCGAAACCATTGGAATCGACACACTCTTTCAGGCAGTTCGGCATTATGTATGATCCCCGCAACAATAGCCAGAATATTAATAGGAATCCTCCAGAGTCAGTCATACGTGGCACCCCATCCCCAGCGCATCCCAGACGGCTGAAAGTTAATAGTCACCTCTAGACCCTACGCGGTTAGCCTAAGCGATATCCATTGCTGCAGCCAACTCCTGGAGCCATCGTAGACCCTCGCAAGCAGAGCCCCCCGGCCACTCCCCTTGTTTCAGAATAATGATAAGTAACTAGCTCCCTTGTTGACCGCCCTTGCTGCACCGTCCGCAACCACTGGACCAGAGGCCCCGCGAACCTATGAGAAGAGCATCGCATGATGATCGTCGGCTTCTCCCTTGTCTCGACAAACAATCGAGTCGACTATTCCCAACAGGGATGAGAGCGAGGGCGTGAGGCAGGTCAGGTCACCAGGGACGACCGCTGGGTCCCGCCAGGGATTGATCCATTGACTATTAGCTCGACCATCTCGTCTGGAGATGGACCATGGCACAAGGAAGGCTGTTATTTTCCTTCACACTCGACGGGGCGAGCCAGGGTTGCACGGTTCCATGGACAACTGTTCAGCGCCGATCATGAGCAACTCAATTCTCACAATCCCTGCAACACCCTATCAGCCGTCCCCAACCAGTCCGACTGTCGTGTTTCCTTCTTGACTTGCGTCTGCAGGAGGCATTCTGTCACCATGGTTTCCTCTTCTGCGTCTGGTCAGAGACATAGTGCTGTCAGATGTTGCAAGTGAATCCAAACACAGGCCCGGCCATGACATACTTGCGGTGGGCGAAGGCCATGATCGTCGACAACTTGGCGGCTGCCTCATCATGCGCTAAGTACACCGCTTGAGTGTGTTCCATAATGTTCGACCCTGTGGCATATGATAGATATAGTCGTCTCCAGATTTCCCGCTGTCATAGCCACTCCGCGCCTAAGCGAATGTCAATCTGGGGCAATTCATGATGCATCAATTCGAGTCTGCGAGATTAGTAAGATATGCTGCTGATAACTAGTTGACAGGCGGTAAGATATGGCAGAATATGATAAGCGTCTGGTGGGATGAAACCAGCTATCTCTCGTCGCAAAATTACAAAAATCGAAATATGAGGAATAAATATTTGTAAATTAAGAAATGAACAGAGCATATTCATCCATGTTTAATGTAATTTTGAATCGATGCGATCTCATTGTCGCCGCCGTAGACTTTAACGGCGTGCCTGTACAAGAGACCACCCGCTATCGGGACAGCTCCGACTCCACAAACCGCCGCCACTTCAAAAAAAGTGGTCATCGCGTACGACAAGTTGAACCCGTCTCCAGCCCTGGACCAAAAGAGCCTCAACCGAATCAAGCTTTGGACATTGGACTCATCGTCATTATCTCGTTCGACTCTCTTCTTCTAAGTCTCGGAGCCCATCCCTCCTTGTCAAAATGGAGGCGGAACTCCAATCTCAGATTCCTGGTCTCGACCATGTGATCTCCGAATACTCCGTTGTAAGTCTCTTGATACATACAAGATCACCGTTATAGTCGCAGACAAGTGCTAAGTTTTATAGGGCTACTTGACCCATGCGTCCAAGGCCTACGTCGAGGATGCCAATGCACCTTCTCCGCTGGCCGAAGCCGCCGACATGGTCACGGAGCTGCTCGTCTCCGCGTCTGGGGACTTCTCCGAGCAGAACGAGAAGGCCATCCGCAATCTGGTGGAGAAGTTCATCTCTTCCCTGAGTGCCGCGGATGGAGTCGATTCCGAACGCCGGCAGATGCCCTTCACGGCGAAGAAGCTGGACCAGGCCATCAACGTCGGCTCGCAGCGGAACATGTCCTCGACCCTGGGCCTTGCGGGCGGTAACGTCGACTTGGAGTCGGCCAATGCCAGAAAGGTCGAGTCGCGGGTCGACAAGAAGAAGCTCGAAAAGGCGGAGCGCAAGATTCGCGCCAAGCAGGAGAAGAAGCAGATGAAGACGGTCGAGTATGAAGCGTCGCGTCTGCTGAACCAGCAGGATGAGGCCATGTCTTATGAAGAATTCTTCATGGCTGTCAACCCGCTTCAGCTCGGCTCGGATTCGCAGTCCAAGAGCAAAGATGTCAAGGTCGACAGCATTGACATTTCTGTCGGTGGTAACCGCATTCTGACGGATGCCTCGCTGACTTTGGCCTACGGTCATCGCTATGGTCTGGTCGGTCAGAACGGTATCGGAAAGTCTACTCTCCTGCGTGCGTTGAGTCGCAGAGAAGTGGCCATTCCCAGCCACATTTCCATTCTCCATGTCGAGCAAGAGGTAGGTGATTTCATTCAAATTATTGATATCGCATATTTTTCCTTCCGTTGGACGGCCTGGATGGTCTGCTAACGGTTGAATAGATTATGGGCGACGACACTCCAGCTCTACAGGCTGTTCTGGATGCCGACGTGTGGCGCAAACGTCTTCTCGCCGACCAAGATGTGAGGACTTCCTGTTCTTGTACGGTACCCGACAGCTATACTGATCCCCACACAGAAAATCAGCAAACGCTTAAACGAGATCGAGGCCGAAAGATCCTCCATGGCAGATACATCAAAGGACGCGGCGATACTCGACCATGAGCGGGAGGGTCTGGACATCACGTTGAACGACATCTACGCCAAACTTGCAGAGATGGAATCAGATAAAGCAGAGTCGCGCGCAGCTAGTATATTGGCTGGTCTCGGTTTCTCTCCTGAAAGACAGCAGTATGCTACGAAGACTTTCTCTGGTGGTTGGCGTATGCGTTTGGCTCTTGCACGAGCTCTGTTCTGCGAGCCAGATCTGCTCCTGCTGGACGGTAAGCCTTCTCATTCCCGCGCATAAATTAGGCACTCATGCTGATTCTACATAGAACCGTCTAACATGTTGGATGTTCCATCCATTACTTTCCTGTCCAATTACCTCCAAGGCTACCCCAGCACAGTCCTTGTGGTCTCTCACGACAGAGCCTTCTTGAACGAGGTTGCAACCGATATTATCCACCAACACTCAGAACGCCTTGATTACTACAAAGGAGCCAACTTTGGTTAGTTTTCCAGAACAACCTCCAACTGCAATGACTAACAATAGCAGATTCCTTCTACGCGACCAAGGAGGAGCGGAAGAAGAATGCGAAGCGTGAATATGAGAAGCAGATGGCGGAGCGAGCCCATCTTCAAGGTTTGTGCTACACTTTACTCCACTGCACCCATTCGAGAGCAATGATACTGACTGCGATCAGCTTTCATCGACAAATTCCGTTACAATGCAGCCAAGTCGTCCGAGGCGCAGTCAAGAATCAAAAAACTCGAGAGAATGCCAGTCCTGGAAGCTCCCGAGAGCGACTACGTCGTGCACTTCAAGTTCCCCGAGGTTGAAAAGCTTTCTCCGCCGATTGTCCAGATGTCAGAGGTTTCTTTCGGTTACACTAAAGACAAGCCTCTGCTCAAGAACGTCGATCTCGATGTCCAGCTGGACTCTCGTATCGGTATTGTCGGGCCCAACGGTGCCGGTAAGACAACCGTGTTGAAGCTGTTGACCGGCCAGCTTCAGCCGACGAGCGGTTTGATTTCGCAGCATGGAAAGCTGCGTATTGGCTTCTTCGCGCAGCACCACGTGGACGCTCTGGATCTGACCACAAGTGCGGTGGGCTTCATGGCGAAGACTTATCCCGGAAAGACCGACGAAGAATACCGTCGGCATCTTGGAGCGTAAGTCCGCTTCTGACACATTCGATGATTCCTGCTAACGAGAGACTGTCCCATAGATTCGGTATCACTGGAATGACTGGTCTCCAAAGAATGGAGCTCCTGTCCGGAGGACAAAAGTCCCGTGTGGCATTCGCCTGTCTCTCGCTCACTAACCCGCACATCTTGGTTCTCGACGAACCTTCTAACCATCTGGATATTGAAGGTATGGATGCGCTTTCGGAGGCGCTGCAGAAATTTGAGGGAGGTGTCGTCATGGTTTCCCACGATGTGACCATGCTGCAGAATGTCTGCACCAGCCTTTGGGTTTGCGACAAGGGAACTGTGACCAAGTTTGATGGCACGGTCAATGCCTACAAGAAGTTGATCAGCTCCCAGGCCAATGAGGCGGGAGTTGCGGTGCAGCACTAAGTGGCTTTGTGAGGGCGAAGTATTTATGAAGAGGAATGAAATGTCAGGATTAGAGAAGTAATGTGGAAGTTAATATCTAGACAGACGTAGTAGCATACTCCGTATGCTGGTAGTTCCACTTGATCTAGTCCGGAAAGTTAAGTTAGTCAGAGCCGGGGAAGTGGGTCTCGTGAGCTCCAACATCCGCGCAACATTCCGGAGTAGCCGTCGACAACCTCAACCACACACCAGTGGAATGTCTCCAGATGACGACGCAGAGGAGACAGAGCTTCGAGATATGAATCGCGGAGACGATAATGACCGTTCGGACCCGAACGCCCCTCTCCTGCCATCGGACGCGGCGGCCGTGAACTCTCCGAGCCATGGCGACGTCGGACGGTCCTCTACCGGTCCAGATACAGATTTCTCAGGAGGATGGTTTATCTGGGCTTTGACTTTCTCTGCGGGTATTAGTGGTTTATTATTTGGCTATGAGTGAGTGGGCATCTCTTTTGCAGGACTTCGGCGCTGACATTCGAACCTCTAGCACAGGTGTCATTTCGTCGATGTTGGTGTCTATCGGATCCGACCTGTCAAACAGACCCCTCGATACACTTGATAAAAGCCTTATAACTTCTTGTACAAGCTTGTTTGCTTTGATAGCAAGCCCGCTCGCCGGCGTTTTGGCCGACAAACTCGGTCGTCGAAAGGTCATCCTCGCTGCCGACACACTCTTCGCGCTGGGTGCCTTTATACAAGCTGTGACGAATAATGTGTGGGGTATGATAGCTGGGAGGAGTATAGTGGGCTTAGCGGTGGGCGGCGCAAGCTTGGTGACTCCACTGTAGGTCATTTCTCCGTCGAGCGGCCATGCGACAATGGGGGTTAATGGGTTTCCAGTTATATCTCGGAGCTAGCACCATCTCACGCACGAGGCCGTCTAGTGACGATACTGTGTCTATTTATAACCGGGGGTCAAGTCATAGCTTACATTGTGGGCTGGATGTTCTCTTCCGTTACCGGTGGCTGGCGCTGGATCGTCGGCCTGGGGATTATCCCGGCACTCCTACAATTTGCTATTGTTGTCTTCCTCCCAGAAACTCCGCGCTGGCTTGTCCAGGCAGGGCTCGACACGCGAGCAATGGATGTTCTGGCCAAGGTCTACCAGGAGCATCCCGATTGCGTCCAAATTACCAAGCGCATCCTCCGTGACATACAGCAGGAAGTAGCCGAGGAGGAGGAGGAGCTTGGCCATAGCTCCCACGATTCGGGAACTAAGTTTCAGTGGGCGAAGAACGTCTTGCAAACATCCCGGGATCTCTTCCTTGTGGGCGGGAATCGGCGAGCTTTGACTATTGCAATGATGTTGCAAGGCCTTCAGCAGCTCTGCGGGTTCAACAGGTACTATCTTTCCTGGTGCATGTGTCGTGGTGTGTATATACTAATATGTCGTGAAATAGTCTCATGTACTTCAGCGCGACGATCTTTTCGATTCTGTCCTTCTCATCGCCGACACTCACCTCGCTCTCCGTGGCCCTGACCAACTTTATTTTCACGTTGCTTGCGTTCTCCCTTATTGACAGAATCGGGCGTCGTCGCATACTTCTCTACTCGATACCCGTCATGACGCTATCTCTCCTCGTTTGTGCAATGATTTTTTCGTCCTTGGATATACCCAAGTCCGCCTTTGGGCCGCAAGCCCGAACAGAAGAAGATACCCACAGCTCGCTGCTTCCACTTGGAATTTTACTCTGCCTCACCGTCTATACAGCTTCATACGCCTTTGGATTGGGCAATGTCCCATGGCAACAGTCAGAGCTGTTCCCGTTGAATGTCCGTTCCATCGGATCTGCGCTGGCCACGGCAACGAACTGGGGCTCGAATTTCGTCGTGGGTCTGACGTTTCTGCCCATGATGGAGTTCTTATCCCCGGGATGGACCTTTGCTGCCTACGCAGTTGTCTGCTTCGTTGGCTGGTTTGGAGTGTGGGTAATTTACCCAGAAATGAGCGGCCTCAGCTTGGAAGAAGTCAAAGGGCTTCTTGCGAATGGATGGGGTGTCAGGGAGAGCTTGAGCAGGGGCCGTCACAATCTTCAGGCGGCCTGATGATATGTTTCTGCGTCTTCTTCATGTACATATTATATATACGGACTCTGTCATAGACCAATAGACAATTGCATTTGCAATGCGAGAGCCTTCCAACATTATTCCAATCAAGATTGAACAGTCAAGCCGTTGATGTATTGGGAGAAAGTTTATACTCTGGTTATGAATGTGTTATCATTCTGACAGAGGACTGTTGGTGAAGAATCATATTCAAGCCCAATCGTCTAAAGTGAGCTCTCACTAACATTGCAGACAGCCATACTCACCTTCACACTTCCGACCACTTTCTATTTCCCTATCCTCATCTTCGAATCAGATGAAAATTACTCACTGATCTCACAGATATAAACCCCATTTCAAATGCACACCTCAAACCCCAAGGCCTCCGGGGGAGCTCAACCCCCAAATTCTCTCCTGAACCTTCCAACAGAGGTACGTCATCTCTCCTTGAAGTACTGGTTCAAACCCTTACTTATCGAATGATGCAACAGATAATCCAACGCATCGCCTACCTCCTCCCCACCGACTCCGACATCGCACACTTCTCATCATGCTGCAAATCGCTCGCCGAGCAGACCATCCCAGCTGAATCCTCCATCTGGAGACAGAGATTCGGCGACATCTACGATACACCGCCGGACAGGAGCTCGGCCGAGCTCAAGGTCGAGTATCAGATCCGGGCGGTCGTGCTCGCGCAGTCTATTAGTTTCAAGCAGGGAGAGAAGGAGTCGCAGACGCTGTGGTTGACTGTGCTCCGGGACATGATTCTGGAGTCGTTTCATCTGGCTGGGCAGAAGACAGACGGGGGTGCGAAAACGCTTAGGCGGATTCGCGAGGCGCTCAGGGATTCGGAGTTTCTTAATAGGCCTGTTTCGGGGCATGGGTTGAAGCAGCTGGAGAGACCGTCGGAGTTGTTTTGTGCGGTGCAGTTGGTAGGTGTTTACTGATCATTGAGAAAGTGCGGACGTCTGATTATATCGTCTGCAACAGAGTCTGACCGGCGTGGCCTTGGATCCGGATATGTCTGTGCAGTGTCTCCGGACAGACTACGACATCGGATCGGTCTACTCCTACCGGTCTGAATATGACCGCGTGATACTGGCGGGGCTGTTAGATATGGACCCCTTGGACATACAAAGGCTCCTGCACATTCGGAATTTCTGGCTGCGACATTTGCTGAACCCGGTCGAGGCGACCTTCCACGCATCGTACGCCAAGTTGGCTCCAGAACACAGGCCTGCAGCTCTTACGAAGAACGATAGCCCTGTCCTCGAAACGCAGTGGCTGGGCTATTACTGTCAGTCATCGAAGAACCCTCAAGCCCTCTGGTGATGTTGTATAGCTAACGAGCAAAGCATGCATCCATCCATACCCGGGATCGCGGAGCGCTCTCGACAAGCGTCAGTCGTGCGCCGATTTGGACAACCACCTGACGCAAGTGGATTGCATGGTATGTATCATCCATCTGGGAACCGCTCGGTGCTCACAGAAATCCAGTCTCTTATCCTCAAACCCGACAACGATCCACTTAACTGGCCGCCCGTGTTTCAAGAGCTTATTCCTCTCGGTGATGGCGCGGACCGCTTGTACTTCCGCGGAATTCAAAGATACCATAATTCCGACGACCAGGAAATCAACTTCGTACGCGGCTTCATGGAACCTAGTCAGACCGCTGAGGGTGGATTCACTGCTTGGCAGCGGATCTGTTTCGTGATCTATGAGGCGGACCGGGAGATCCTCCCTGTTCTCGCGGACGACGGCAGCCCTAGCGACGGGGAGGTTGATTGGCTTCCTAACGAGACGTGGCCGCCGGTGGATCTAGGATTGGACTTTGCTTGTATTCATGGGTATGAAGCGCGACTCCTTCCAGGCGGTAGAATCATGCTGGGACAATGGGTTGACATGTTGGATACGACGGGAAGAGGACCGTTCATCTTCTGGAATATTTGATGGTGAATCTGCGTTTTGGTTTTTATCTTTCCCCTTCTAATTCAGGTAGCGTTGGAGCCTGCATGCAGGCAGACTTAATCCATTATGGCGAAGTATGGCATTTAGGGCAGAAGCATAGCAAATGGGGTGAAAAAGAAATGCAAATAAGAAAACCAACCCACTACTCCTCAATGTCCTTTACCTTCTCCCATTGTCCCTTGAGGTTCTCCTTCCACAAGCTCACCTTGTTGTCACCGCCACTGACAGCGAGGATGTTTCCGCTGGGGCTCCAGCTGACCCTCCACAGGACGGAATCAAACTCGAGTTGCTGGCTAGTCCACTGGCCCGGGTTCGACGCATCGGAGGTCCAGATCCGGACCGTCTTATCTTGCGAGGCAGACGCGATGTAAGACTTGGACAGGATGCTCGGCGACCAAGCGACATCGCGAACCCAGTCGGAGTGACCCTCGAGGGTCTGCGAAAGATTGTAGGTCTTGGTTTCGGGGCTACAGTCCTGTGTCAGCCGTGTGCAAGTGCTGTAACTCGTCTTCGAACATACTTGTAATCCCAGATCTTGAGCAAGTTGTCACTACCGCCAGTGACAAATCGGCGCTGCTGGCCAGGCCCAGGGTTGGCGCTGATCAAGCTACCGGGGGCAGCTGCGGGAGCCCAGCTAATGGAGTTGACTCCCATTCCATGAGCATGGAAGATCTGATGGGTCCAGCTGTTGTCTTGGAACTCGAGGACGCTGACATGGCCGTCGGAAGAAGCACAGCCAAGGAGGCACCCGCTCTCGTGCGGCGCCCAAGAGACCATGTTCACGGAGGCAGTGTGAAGGGAGAAATCGAAAACCTTGGTCCAGGCACTACCGGCGGCAGGCGACGTCGTGTTTTGGTGTTGTTCGCGCCAGATGAGCACCTTTCCATCGTACGAGGAGGAGGCGAGGATCGTTCCAAACTTGGGGTGGGCCTACAGCTCCAGAGAATCATGTTAGTCGACACCACATTGCGGAATCCGGTTAGGAATAGTGGTCTTAACCAGGAGACACATACCCAGGCCACGCACCAGACGGCACCCTCATGTCTGCAGTTGTTTGTCCCCGGTCAGCGACTAGTCGAACGATTCCAACCGACAAAATCTCTCACCCTTTCAAGGTCTCTACCAAGCGATGTGCCTCTCCCTCGATTTCGAAAACCTTTATCGTCTTGTCCGACGAGCATGTCGCCAATCTGCGGCCGTAGTAGTCCAGGCCGGCATCGTGCTGCGGGCGATTAGCGTCACGGAAAGGATGGAGTGGAAGCCACAAGTGCTAGAGAACCGGTAATACATACAATCATATCCTCATGGCCAGAGTTGGAGATAACCTGAGCCGCCGCCTGTATCCCCGCGTGGTTAGAGAGCGGACCAGGAACGACTTAAGGGGCCAAACACACCATTTTGTGCGATCTGCAGCTTTGTAAAGGTGAAAAAGAGAGACGTAAACCTCACACAATCGAATTGACCTGACACGGGTATAAAATTCAGTACGGAGGAAAGGAGGGAGCAAGTGGTGATGAAGTGGCCGGCGGAGATCGAGACAGCAACGAGTCGCAGCGCACAGTAAAGACTGCCAGCTTGGCCGCTTTGAGCCTCTCGGCGCGCGCGTTATCTTATCGGGCAAAGCGGCCGGCTGAGTCAGCTCCCCAGAGACACGTGAGTCGGGGCCTCGGTAGTTCTCGGTCTCTTGCCCCACGCCATCTTCTGTTCCTCTCCTCGTCCTCGTCTCTTCTCGCTTTCGTCTTTTCGTATCTTCTTCTTCTTTTTATTCATCTTTCGGCTCACTAGATGTTTGTGTGGTAATTTAGCCCGACGTACATACGATATTCGCCGTGTTGACCTTCCGTGTCTGACCCCCGCTTCAACCGTCGACTGCTTCTATAACAACCGTCACCATGAGTGATGCTCTATGTGGCCCGTCGAATGCTCTTCAAAACTTCCAGAAGCATGCCTCTGTCGACCGTACTCTGCAGCAGGACCGCATAGTCTCGCGGTCGTCGCCGTCCCAGGTATGTTCACTGCCATTCGCCTCAACTCCTTCTGCGCGTACGCTAATATCTCTTAGGGATTCCGATCTCCAAACCCACACGAGGGCGTCTTAGACCCCGAATTTGCTGCCTTCGAGTCCAACATACCTGGCGCACCCCTTCCCGAGCTCCGTCATGCTGCACCTTTTACCGCGCAGGGTCCGCATTTCATGCACCCCGCGGAAAACCAGAGCTGGGCCGCGGATTTCCAAAAGTTGCAGATCTCAGGACCATCCCATCCGATTCATCAGCAGCCAGGTCTATCGGCATCCTCGGCACCCATGATGGCTCAACAAGGGTGGCAAAACGAGTTCATGAACCAACAGCAACCCCAGCAGCGACACACTCCAAACCAGCAACACCAGCCTTATACCCAGGGGTTCCAGTCCAGCTTTGCCCCGAGCTATCCCATGCACGCAAGCCCGATGAACGCTTTCCCTGCTGCACAAGAGGCGATTGCAAACCAGCACCCCCAAACGGAGACATTCGATGAATCTGCATTCGAAGCGGCGTTCGAACAAGCCCGGGCGGACATGGCATCGCAGGCGGCCGAAATCACGCAGGAGCACACCGAAGAGACGACCGTAGAGGCTACACACATTGAGACGACCACATCTTTCGAACCACAAGAGACCGTCCGGATCGGATCCGATACTATCCCGCAGTCGAACAAGGAGGACCCTCAATCACGGGTAAACGACGCGGACGAACTAGCTCGAACGGCCGGACAGCTACTGGATAGCGTGAGCCATGACCAAAGTCAGAAGTTCCGAGAAAGCAACTTCCTCGCCTTAATGCGCCGCATTCGAGACCGGGAGGTGCATGTCGAGGGGGATGAATTTCGCGAAGTCAGTACCAGTTCGTGATTTGTGGAGTTTGGCTGGCGTAGCACGAACGCTGGTATACTGGAGTCTATCACACCGGCCTCTGTTCCCGCTAATGAAGAATCAGACTTCACAGTCTCTACACCCTGGCGGCAAGTACTATCCGGGCGGACAGCGAGCGCAGGAGAAGCAAACGAATCACGACACGACCACGCACAGTAAGTTCAAAGACTTCGACATCAGCAGCGCAATGACCTGACCTCCGAATTCGCCATTAGACTTTGATGGCAACTCTACCGTTCCGGATGAAAGGAATCCGACACCGTTCACAGGCTCCACCGCAGACGATGACACACTCTATGCAGCTTGGAACCACGGTGATAGCTGGGCTTAGTTGATTGTCTAGTTTTATACCCCTTTCTTGTTTATTTTATTTGTCCCGGATATAGGCTCCAGCCTCCCGAAAGAAGGAAAGTTGGTCCCAAATTTGGTCCTGGATGACGAACACATCTTGTATTTTGGTTACACTGCATACCTAGGCGCCTAGGCGTTTGTCGGTCCATCACAGGAGAATGATGAATTCCAGCCACCGTTCAGTTCAAAATGCGGCATCCATGTCGAGTTTCAACCTAGACGGCCTGAGTGTTTCATTCTGGTCTATGGAGTATATATCACGTGACCAGATCGCCTATTGACGGGCCAGGACAATAGAGACGCTGCTGTCCTCAATAAGGGCTGCCCCATTGTCACTGCTGCCAGTCCATTGAATCCCCGTTCCGCCGCTTGATTCATTGCCTCTGCTGGCTCTGGCTGACACGCAACGGTCGCATGATGAGTAGCACCGCACCCTGCTATTGATGCTCTGCTGTCCAGGTACACCCGGTCTACATATTGGGAATGATTGATTGACGATTGTACTCTATTGTTCGGAATTGCGCAGATTTTGTTTTTCTGTTGGACATACACTTACTATAAACTGGCCATCTCCTGTATACTCCCTCTTCAGACTCTTTTTCATATCTACTCTACTCTACCCTCCTACATCCAAAAATAATATAGACACCTTTGCATACATCCCATTACTCAAAATGCTCCCTCCCTCCGACTCCCTCCGCCATCAATCCCACAAGCGCTCCGAAGCAACAGCAAACACCCAGCGCGAGGACCGCCGCCCCCCTCCACCCCCATACTCCCCCTCCATACGCCTCCCCCCGAGCATAGAAGACTTCCTCCATGGAGCAACCGACCTAGACGAATACGACGAGGCCGACGAGGCCGACTCCCGCGCCCCGCGCATCACAATCCACATCGACGCCTCAATCACCATCATCGGCGACGCAAACACAGTCGTCATCCCGCCCTCCAGCACATCCTGTCCCACCGACCTCCCAGGCACGAGTTCGACTTCCGACCCGACGACCGCCCTCCAGGCCGTCCAGCGAGCGCGCCAGACGAAACTGTCCGACATGGCGACGGCCATCATCGACGCCCTCGGACGCCGCGGGCTGCTCGATCCAGACCGTGCGGGCTGTCCCGCGGCGCAGGCGTCGGTGGAGGTTAAGATCACCCCCGGGATTCGGGTGGAAGGGAACCGCAATGCGGTTTGTGTGGGTGCTTTGCCACGGGCTCTTGGACGGAGGAGTAGCGCTGGTGCTGGGGAGCGGGATGGAGGCCGAAAACGGCGGGCGTGTTCGGTATGTTCGTTCTCGTTTGTGGGTTGCTGTGTTGCAGATGGGTTGAAGCTAATGTGATTGATTGTGTAGGAGCCTGTTCAGCCGCCGGCGCCGAAAAGAGGTTGTTAGATTGCGTTGCGTTTTGTAAACTAGAGTATTCTGTACACTACTTGAAATGAATGAATGATATGGGTCTGGCTTACCTGGGAGACTCTTTCTCATACCCCGTATACCTCTTGTTCCTTTCTAGGGGACAAGTGCTTCACCTGGACATTATATTTGCAGAGCAACGCTACTGAGTCAAGTCTCGCATTCATGCCCACTACTCCATAACCTAAGATCTAGAAAGATAAAGAAAATCTCCACTCATCAAAATACACATCCGTACTGTAACAGGCACAGTTTTAGTAGAAACCAGACCCAATGACCAGACCGGTGCAGACAACAAACAGGAAAGAAGCACGATAAAACATGAATGCGCCAAGTCACCCCTGAAAGATTCATTAGAGATATCATCGCCAAACTATAAAGTACATGGGCTGTGTTCAATAGACTAGTCCATACGAATACCGAATGCGGGTCACGTTCGTCCAATTGGGATATCATGGCGGTGGAGGTCCCTTGACCATTCCGGAGTGACCTTGTCTCGCTCGTAGAGAAGACCGCAATTGTGACAGAGGGTCTGGACGCATGTTAGCAACAATCAAGGCATATCAGGCTATGGACATCAACTTGACAGGACTCACCTTCGGGCCAAAAGGACCATCCCGTACCGCCCAAACTGCGGTGCCCCAAACCATGCAGTTGCTGCATCTCCAATTCTGTCGCTCCCTGTAGTAGCAAAAGTGTCAGCAATACGCCACTGATAGACGATCAGACAACGAACCATTCTGACAATGTACCACCACCTCCACCATAACCAGCCCCCGAGCCGGTATCCGGGGTGCCGCGTCCACCTGGGGTACCCCCTCTGCCCAGAGGACTCAGGCTGCGGAACCGCCGCTTCCGCTTGCTTCGTTCGCCTCTACCGAGCGGAGTTTCGCTATCCACGTCAAAATATCCACTACCTTGCCGTGATACTTCAGGAGTGATTCCGGCAGTGGATGAGAACCGTGCTGTTTCGCGTCGGAGACGCCGGATCTGTCGTTCGCGATCTCCTTCTCGCTTTTCAATTTCTTCCTTGGACAACGTTTCCACCTTCGGCTCCCACTCATCACCAAGTCCCTCTGGATCGTATCGCCATCCTGCTTCAGCTCCGTTGGCAGCCTGGTTATCGATTTCGTTCCCATAACCGCCCATCCCGCTGATGAGACCACCACTTTCGCAGACCTCCTTCTTCAACTTCAGCACGGCCTCGTAGATACCATGTGCGATAGCGCCAACCCATTCACCATTTAGGCCCAGGTCAGCACAGGTGATGTGAGCGAATTCCTCTGCCATGCCCGGAGGATGTAACAGGGACCACTCGAACTTGTCTGTGTATAGTTTGTTCTGCAGGTTGATGTTGAGATTGATCATGCACCGGTAGGCATCGTCGGGATTGAGGATGCTGTCATTGACCAACGGCTCCTTGGTGACCGCGACCGCCTGGACCCTGCTATCCGGGGTAGCGGCCGCGTGAGTCGAGGCAGGGGTCGCAGACACATCTCGCGAGATGCCATTCTGCGGACCTGGGGTAGGTTTTGGCGGTGTGCTCTGGAACAGTGGGTGCAGCGCGACTCCGGCGTACTCTTCCAACTGCTGGCGGATCTGGTTGCTGATAGCCATGGTCATAGCTTGCGGGTTGGGTAGGTCCATGTCGCGCACGAACCCAATGGCGAATTCTTCGGGGGTCGAGAGCGCCTCGTGCAGGTTCCACAGGAAGGTGTCTTTGATTCGATAGGCGGGCAACGGGTCCGGTCTCTTGTACCCAGGGAGCGTAGGGTTGATCGCGGGGTCTAGCACCGTTCGCGGCAGAGGAAATGGCTCCAATGGCTGGTGCGCCGGGACTTCCAGGTCGATGCGAATCGGTATGAGGGTCAGAGGGAGTTGCGCTTGTATTTGTAGTTGGTCCGCACAACTGGAATAGGCCCTGCGTGTTAGCAGCGGTGACCGACGCCTGAAGAATAGGAAATCCATGCACATACGCTGGTCGCAGCATCCTCTTGATCATCCAGTCACGGAACACTCCTTGTACCTCCACAGGGGCGTGTATCTCTTTCCCCAGCTTCTCGGCCAAAGAGACCTTGTCGAACGTGGATTCCTCTCGCCGAAGGCTCCTTAACCCCGTGGGGCGTCGGGGACCATCGCTATCATCAAAGTCATCATCATCGAACCCATCTTCTGCGTAATTGATCGCAACGGTTCCTCGTTTCGTAGTTCGCGGTGTAGGGCCGACCTGGCTGGGGGGAATGACGGGGGTGAGCAGCGCGTTTCCATATTGGCGGATTCGCGGAGGGTAAGAGGTGATATAACCTCTAAGAGGAGGCATGTTGGCGACTAGATGGACATAAACATGTCCCTTTCGGGACTGCGGATGGACCTTCAGTAGTCGCGAACAGGTTGTCCGTTTGATCGATTTGGTGAAAGGGCGAATCGCAGGCGATTGGCGCGTCAATGGGGATGTCGCGTTGGGATACCGGAGATCAAGCAAAGCTGACAATTCCCGGAAAGAACTCTGAGAAGATCAACTTGCACCGGTGAGAGACTGGATGAAGCCAAAGCTTGGTGCCGGGAATCTGCCTTTTCTGCTGGGGAAAACGCGACGCAGCAGAACAAGTCCGCTAATCCCATTCCAGTAAGAATGTCACGTGAATCACGTGAGCTTCCAGACGAACTACATCCAACCATCTACCGTAACTAGGTGACGTTCATCTTCTTTTGTACGACTCAATTGTTCTCAATGATTGTCGAATACTAAATTTGTACAGCCATTACTACCTAGTAGAGTTGCCAATTACCGTACTGACAAGCCACGACTCATAACGCAACATGTATTTCACAGCCTAGGTGCTATCAAACAAACAATCGACAAAATGATCCTTATAATAGGTACTTATATTGGCTGCTTCTAATTGAAGTTGGAGAAATTGTAAACTGCTCAGCAGTCTATCTGCCAGGCCATCGGTATGTACTGCCCTGTCCGCCAACTAAGTGTTGCATTACTGTCGAAATTCGGATTATAAGTAAGAAAGGGGTATTGGTGACGCTTGAGGTTTCTGGCCCTGTTCCAAGGGCACCGTCTGGGAACGGATCGAAAACAATTATTGTCGGGATGCGGCTATCGAAGCCCAATCACGCTCTGTGAGGCGGTTAGTATCACTCAGCCCGAGGACAAACATCGTGGAATCGCACCATTTCTAGAGTCCAGACTCTGCGGATCCAGATCTTGACCTTGCCTTCAACGCCTTCGATATCGTCGAGTTCAATTCCCTCCCACCAGCATCTTCTCGCCGGCTTCCGCCAGAACAGGAGAAGCTTCTGCGCCATTCCAACTGTATTGTTATTGGACAGATCTCCCCTGATATCTGTGCGAAGCTTGGCCAAGGCAAGGCTACAGATCACTGCCTTGTTAGGTTCTGGCGCCCGGTGACCCCAACGGTCGTCACGGTCAAAACCGCTATTGAAGTGTCAGTGATTATAAAACGTATTCGATGGCTTTTGACCTACCCTGCAGTCAACATCTCAATCAGGTGCTGTTCCGTGGAACCGGGTTCGTCACTCTTCCGCAAGCCCGAAAAAATCCCGTCCTGCTTGAGCAAAGCCTTTGCTGCTGCACGCTTGACCTCAATCATCTCCGTGTGATCTATATCCGGTCGCGGTGGTATCGCGTAGAAGTCGAGATCCTCGCGCAAGACGATAATCCCAGCCCGATCATGGAGCATATCTCTGGCGGAACCCTGCATGGAATCGGAAGACATATCTAGATCTGGCGATGTAGATGCCGACGGCGACGAAGATGGGATCGATTGGGCGACAGAACGAAAAAAGTCCAGCATGTATTGGAGCGACGCCGGATCGTACTAGGTAGACGAGTCAGAATGCGAATGCAAGACACATTAACCCGGAGGTGCCCAATAGAGATGAGAATTCCACTCACGTCGACGGGGTAGATATCGCCTTCATGGAAGGTTCCCATATGGCCGTCGGGAAGCAGACCATTTGGAAAGAGGGATAAAAGCACGAATTCGGGGAGAGTCAGAAGTTCATCGCGCGACAAAGTAAAGTGGGTTCCTCTGCAACTAGAGTCAGAGGTCGAATATTCAGAAGTCTCCGCTTAACATCCTTACCGGAGTTCCAGAGTGATATGTTCATCTCCACCGATATCTAAGGAGTGCGATTAGCTGTGTTCATTCCTCAAACATTCAGTTTCATCAAAACCGTACCACCTAGTGTATTGATTGGAGGACCTCCCACTTGTTGCACTTGCGTGATAAGACTCGACGCGCCTCCGGCTGCAGCCATTACGTAGGTAAATGATTGAATGGGACTAGATCCTTCGGTATAGGGAGGAGGGGGCTCTCCGTCTTCGGCTGATTTTCCTGCAGAATCTCCCTTTGACTCGCGAGTGAACGAAGCCTTGGTATCGGCAACGATGGGCAACGATGGGTCAGGCTCTAGCGGCTCCTCGTCTAGTGGCGGCGGAGTAGAGGTCGAGACAGAAGCTGGCCCAGGCTGGGAGGCTGGGACCTTGGTATGGCTGGATTCGGAGACGGGACCAAAAACGAGGGACGAAAAGGGCGGAGGGTGCGACGAGGCGAGGCTGGATGATGACGCCTCCAGATAGGAGGGATCTCCTGGCGGCGCGGTATAATAGTCGTCTTCTTCCTCCACAACGGAATCTGCTAGACAAATCGGCCGCGCCCTTGGAGGCGAGCCAGGGGAGTCTGATTGCCGCGACAAGGTGTTGGGATCTATGGCGATGGATTGGAATTGGCTGACGGCGATCCTGCTGGCCGATGGGTCTCGTCCCGAGTTGATCGCAAGCACACTGTTCCCAGGTCGATCAGGGGTGTGCCGTGTCACTGAAGAAGCAGGAACATTGGTGAGATAGGCGGAGTGGAATAGAGTATATAAGTGCGCTGATAGTTGTTGGTGCGAAGAAGACGATCTGGGGTAAAGGGGCAATACTTGAGGTCGTCGGAGAGGAGGCCAGCGCTTACCTTGTTTGGATAAGAGGGCGCGTAAAGGCTGAACAGATGACTAACCATCCGGTCACCAGCCAAGTACATACAGAGTACTATCTTTTCAGATTCACTTAATCGTCTCATAGTTTATCTATTTACGATCTCAAGCTCGATATTTATGTAGTCTTCTAAACATGGCGTTCGACATAGCTCTGAATCATTCCCTCCAGGGTCGGCTCGTATTCCTTCAGGGTCACCTCATCTCCATTGAGAATGGTATTTGCCTGCACAAACACCTTGCGAGGGATCTTATTCTTCAGAACAATGTCACGGACCTTTGTTCCCCACCATTCGTCGACCGACGTGATGTCATCATAGAGCTTCTTGCCCGCTTCGACATCCGCTGTGCTCTTGTAGACATGGAGTTTCTGCAGATACTTCTCGACTGCGGGGCGCCCGTGAGTGAGAATCTTGGACCGGTCCAGATGGATCTCCAAGTCAGACAGATCCTCTTTGGTGTAGGCGAGCTTGACAAAATTGTCGCCCGCATCGAGGAAAGTCCGTAGAATACTGTAGCGAGCCTGCATATGCGCCTGACCCCATTTCTGGGTCTTAGGGTCCCAGAACTCGAGGGCAACGAGACCCGCACGAGCCATTTGCAAGTATGCGGCAAAGAGAACGTCGCCCGCCTCGTTATTCAGGTCCACGGTCCCATCACCGAACCCGAAGATTTTCAAGATGCTGAAGTCGCATCCAAGAACCATGGCAACGCATTCCGCGCGGCACTCCTCGTAGGAAGAGGCAATGGCCCCAAAGACAGAGCTCCAGGTCTGGCCCGGCTTGTACCAGCTAGACACAGGCTTGTTGGTGACCGGGCTGACCGGAGGGTTCGAGATGTCGAAGTTGTACTGCCCAGGGCTGGTCTCCTGGAGCAGCTTGCCCGTTCCATGTCCCAAGAGCTCATGAATGCCAACCTGGACTTCAAAAGCCGGATCGCGACACCTGCGGTACACCTCCAGATCCTTCTCCGCAATGAACGGCACCGGCTCATTGGGCGCCTTTGCACCGAGCACGTTTCCGAGAGAAACATTCTTGAAGCCGAGGTTCTGACGAATGTCATCATAGTTAGGAAGGTTAATGCCGGCAGGAATTCCGGACGACTGGAAGCTCAAGACCTCAAGTGACGTGAAGTCGGGGCTCAGGAACTTGTCCTTCTCAAAATCTTCACCCCAAGGAAGTTTGGGAATCATGCTTTCAGCGCTGTCGACCAGCTTTCCAAACGCTCTGGTACGCTCCAGATTGACCTATAAGGATGGTAAGCAAAGAACACAGGATATGGCGGTAGTTATCACTTACGAGAGCGACAAATCCCTCCCATTCGCCTCGGACACCGTGAGGATCTCTGTAGGTCTCGACGAAACCAATGTTGGACTCCAAGGCCGGCTTCTGGTCCTTAACCCAAATACGCTGGCTCTCCTTGAACGCCTCGATCGAACCGGTACCGAAGGACTTGGCATACGCATCAAGCATGCGCTTCTGAGTGTCGTTTGCGGCGTTCTTCTCCGCCAATTTTATGCTGTGGGCGATCTTTGCCATCTCTTCTAGGTGGTCACCAAAAACCAGACGCAGCTTCTTTCCCTTTAGACTGCCCTCTAATTCTAGTGTATCGACATCACCCAGGTCCCTGTCCCGGGGAGGAGGCGATGAGATTCCCGACGCAACAAGCAGCTCGTAATCGCCCGAGGAAGTCTTCTTCAGCCTTGTATTCTCGAGAGGCAGTCCCTTCTTCTCCATGAGATCACCAATGGCCGTGATTTCATCCTTCGTGATAGACGGAGAATCCGGGTAGTAAGTCGTCATATGACCGGCTTCAGAATAGCCCAGGTGCATGAGTGATTGTTCCTTCGTCTCATAGATACCCCCTCCAGTCGAGTTCGCCTTTTGAAAGGCGGCCTTCGTCTCGGGAGTAACAGAAGCCAAAGCCTCCAGGGACTCGACGGGCAAGCGAGGAATGAACTTCGAGTCTCCGAAACCCTTGTAGTTGCCGCAGTTGCCAAGGAACTGAGCCGCGTACTCGAGGAAAAAGCGAAGGTGCTCGTCGCTGACATTGGTCTTCTGAGAAAGCTCGGTCCAATTGCCATTGCAGGCGCGGTAAAGGGACAGGATCAGATCATAGATGGGCTCCGACTCTGGTGAGACTTGACGCAAGGTGATGCGGGTACCTTCAAAAGCGGCCCTGGAGGAGTTCGCAACAGGTCAGCGCTGTGCGACGTGGAACGAATTCGATGAAGAGAGTCAAACCTGCTCATATAGTGGGCATATTTCCGGAGCTTCGGGTCTGTGAGGTTATCAAAGTGCGATTTGATCTCCAGGCGGACGACCGTCGGCGGCGAGTCCGCCAAGTAGTGCTGTTTGATCTTCTCATCCATCATCGCAGACGATACGGACGCGGAATTGGAGCTGAAGGAAAGGTGCTGTGCAAGGGATAAGTTGGGTTGTAAGCGATTGAGGGGTAGACCAAATGCGGAGGGGCGGTGACGGCAGAGAAAACGATGTTCCGACGGCAAGCGCCTAAACGCGCCACGAATGGCGAGCATTGATCTAAGAAGAACGGGGTATGACGGATACCTCTGGAATGAGGTTGTATTCGCTGAGTGTCGCATGTCGGCAGGCTCCACCGAGAAGGCCGCTAGTACTAACTACCTAGCAAATGGTGGCGAGGCACCGGGTTGATCAGTACTCCGCAGACAGTGTACCAACTCATCTAGTGCACGCATCATTGTTCTAATTGCTCATACTATTACTCTTGCTCAGCGATCGAATGGTATATACAAAGGTGGCTCTCGCCTGGAACTTTTCTTTCGCTCAAAAGGCAGGGGAATAGTGCTAATGCTAATCAGATGCATGACATACGGGTCCGGGAAACACAAAGGCTCGTCATTAGGAAGGAAGAAGTATACAAAAAGGACAAAAAAAGGGTGTAGAGAGCCATTGGCCACACCAATTTATAAGAGGCTCTCATACTTATCAAGGCCCTGTTTGCCTCCTTGAGGCTGTGCGGCCTGGTTAAGGGCGGGCTTTGGGATAGCGTTCCCACCAAAAGGTGTAGGGATGGTGGGACTCGTTAGGCCACTGGTGCCTGAAAACGCCCCCATGGAGCTCTGGGAAGCAGGAGGGGGTGGGATTGAAAAGGCAGAATAATTGGGAGCTGGCGGAGCTGCCATAGTGCTTGCTTGGAATGGTTGTTGAGGACTCGCCGCACTCGCCATGCCCCAAGAAGCCGACGGCGATGGTTGCAATGCGGGAAACGCTGGCGTTGTCGGCGATTTGTGTCTTGACGCGGGCTCGAGAGAGGGAAATGAGCTCAAGTTGTAATCAGGAGTGATGGAGCGCACACTAAGGGCGGATTGTCTAGACGGGGTGTCGGCTCTGTTTGCTGAGCCTGGCGTATTGGACGCCCAAGAGAATGCCGTGGAAGGCGCCCTCTGTGTGGAAGCTTGGACAGCCGGGATTTCAGACCCCAGACTTCCCCAGGGGTCCAGGTCTTGGCTATTCGATGGCGCAGAATCACGCCCCAAAACCAGACGTTCGAAGTTGTTCCTCGTCGAATCCATATCAGTATGTGCAGAATTGCTGGGCGCATTCACAGAGCCTCTCGTGCCGTTCTGGAAGCCACCAGAATCCCCTCCAGAGGAGAGCTCTTGAAGCTTTTTCGACTGCTCGCGTTCGATTCTGGAAGAGAGACTCTTGATCAAGGCCATGAACTCCCCGAATTGCTGTAGATTAAGAAGCGGACCCAGACTGAAGCTCCATAGGATGGGAAGAACCTCCAGAGCAAGAAAATCAGAATCCGCAACAGTACCAATCTGTTGGAACACGGCCAGTGCGGCCATCATGACAGCAGGCTCTTTCGTTTTGATCGCTTTCAAAGATGGTACGAGCTTCTCCTGTATGGTGTACTTGTCCAGAATAGACGACTTTACCGACGGGGATTTGTTCTTCGGGGCAACGCCGGACAATTCATCTTCCAGGGCCACTTCTTTCTCGGAAGACCCGCCACAGAGTACAGTGAACGCTTCGAGGCACCGCACTTTGATACCAAGACTGTTGGTTTTGCTAAATGTTGAGGCGATCGGCGGGAAGACTTCGTTTTTCACCGTACTGAAGTCGAGAACAGGAAGGATCACAGGCAGGCATTTAATGGCACCATCGACCAGCGAGTGCGTAGGCGAATCAAGACCCAGTCGTATCAGTGGCAGCATATCTATGATGGTTAGATGGGTACGTACAATTGAACTCCCGAGAGAAACTTACCATCTTTGAATTCCATCCCCGAGCAATTTTCTGCAATGAGGTTCATATTCTCGAGAACGACCATGAGGCCGGCATCTCTCCTGGAGTCGCGTTCCTGCAGAGCTCCTTTGCCCGTAGGAAACACCTCTTTAAGCTGGGGTATTACCTTCTCTGGAAGGACACGGCGCGCATTTGGAATGCGTCGTAAGATCGCAAAGATGTTTTGTAGGATCAGAGACAGGAGCTCACGGTCTTTCAATTCCTCCAGCAGAGCCCCAAGAACCTTTCTCTCAAGGACAGAGACAGGGAACTCGGGAAGCACACGCTGGAGTCCGCGCATGAATTGTGACTTCTCGTTAGGGTTCTTGGCTGGCAGTGATTCCAGGAACCGAATGGTAGAGACCAGTATATTATCGAAATATTGAGATTGCTGGAATTCCTTGGCGTTCATTCGCTCGGCTGGTCTTCTGGTGATCAGCCTGGGCAGTACGTGGGCCAAAAGGTCTTTAGGGATCGAGCCAGAGCAGAGAAAGTTATTTCCTTGCGAGGGAGTGGTAGAGGGAGAGCTAAGTAGTTTCTTGTACGACGTCAAATTCGAATGAGCTTGCAGTGGAGAGGCGTGGGGCGAGTTGTAGAGGGCTATGATGATGAGCCCGAGAGAAAACAAATCGGCGGCGGCCGTCACATTGGAGTCCATCGCAAAATCTGGTGATGTGTAGTCCAAGTCTAACTGGACTGACTTGGGTAGACGTGGGTCCTGATAGAGTACCTCTGACAATGCTAACGGGGGGAGGGATGACCGTGATTCTGTAGAATCAGGGGGCCCGGCAAACCCGAGACCGGAGATCTTCCAGTCGGACTTCGCATTGATATAAATGGCTTGAGGGTTCAAGTTGCCGTGGACAAGGCCCGCCGATTCATGGAGGAACTCGAGACCTTTTGCGACTTGGAGAAGCCCCTTCTGGATTTCAAGTTCATCGATCTCCAGATCTCTCCGCCTGCGTGTTCCATCTGATTCTTCGACCATATAGCGACTGGTCCGCGAGCCGACTCTCGAGGTGCTTTCCTGCGTGTCTTTCTCCTGCAAGAGACCAGATAACGAAGCAGTGATCTGCTCGGTTGCGAACATGAGACCATTGCGGGTCTCTTCTACAGGCTCCAGGACCTGTAGGATGGACGGGTGTCTTAGACGGGCCAAATTGCTGGCTTCTCGTTTCAATCGTTCAACAACATCCTCCTGTAATTTCTTCACCGAGGAGGAGCTTGAACGACCACCTAGTCCGCCTGATCGAGGTTCAAGGACCTTCTTGTCAAAGATAAAAATGGACGCCGAGGTCCCTGTCGACTTTTTCTTCCCATCGTGAATCTTCCAAGGGCCCGATATTACCGACGGATGCGGTGAGATTTGGTAATTGGCCGATATGTTGGAGCTGAGAGATTTGAGCGATGAAAACATTTTGTCACCAGTAGTCCGATGTCGCCCACTTGCCGAAAGCTCTTGATGTGTAGGATAACGAACTGAGCGGGCTAGTTCACTGCATCCAGTGCAACATTAGACGATGAGCTGGAATGGTAGCGCTTCGACTGCAAGTGGTTGAAGTGCGACAACGACTGACGGCGGCCCCGCAGGCGGAAAAGAATGTGTAGGTATAAGGAGAACCCGACTCGGAAGCACCAAAGCCAAGGATAAAAGACTGAGAAACAGGGCGCGCTAATTCCCACCGCTTAGGAGCCTAAATTGAATTTGACGCCCGTCCGCCGTGCAGAAACAATGATCATGTCAGAACACATGGTCGTGATGGAGCGGGTATCTGGAATTCCCGATATCATCACGTGCCGAGAGCTACCATAGCGCGCAACAAACACCCCAGTTGGGTAAAGTCAGGTGACTCACCGCCCGGCGGTTCGTTGGCGAACTTTCCCAAACAGGAAGGCCAGATAGGGTTGCTCGTTTGTCAGCGATATCGGACATGTGAACAACTCGTTTCCCACGGGGATAATTTTGTTCGAATATGCCGGAGAATATACAGAAGTTCGATAGAACCGATGCTTTGGGAACCGTCACGGATATCGGCATCTCCCAGAACACAGATAAAACACTTGGCAAAGATTAGTCCTGAACTGACTCATCTAGATCTGCCGGAGTTGGTTCTGGGGTCCGGTGTGACTGAGTGATCGATCCGCTTTTAAGCTCCGCGGCTGCCCGCTCCCCGTTACTCCTCCAATTTTCTCCTTATTAATATCCCAACCCTCGACTTCATTCCCTTCTCGTGTTCAATTGCGTGGATCATTCCAATTCACAAGCGCAGTCATGAAGTCGCTTCATCAATTGACTCGCCGTAAGGCACTCGCTAGTTTGGCCGCTCCTCGTGTGCGATCCCAGATCCCCGCGACCAACCGGCTATGGCAAAGATGCTTCAGTGCCACCCCCATGACCGCGTCGCAAGCCGCTGGGGTAGACGCTTCCAAGCTCACGATCACCAAGACCACCACGCCCAAGGAGCTGACTCCGGCAAAAGACCTCGTGTTTGGAAAGACCTTCACCGGTATGTGTCTCGTTCCAACGACGGAAGACTATCCGCTGACAATATTTTTATTACACAGACCACATGCTCTCGATTGAATGGACAGCCGCGAATGGTTGGCAGACTCCTCGTATCGTCCCTTACCAGAACCTCAGTCTGGATCCATCCGCCTGCGTGTTCCACTATGCGTTTGAATGTTTCGAAGGGATGAAGGCCTACAAAGACAGCAAGGGCCAAATCCGACTATTCCGCCCTGACAAGAACATGGAGCGCCTGAACAAGTCCACGTCACGAATTGCGCTCCCTACCATTGATGGCGATGCGCTGACGAAACTGATCGGAGAGCTTGTGAAGTTGGACAATCGGTTTATTCCCGAGTATGTTTTTTCTCACTGAATCTTCGAACCCCGTCTGACTGGTGACAGCGCCCGCGGATATTCGCTGTACCTGCGTCCCACTGTGATCGGGACGCAGAACACCCTCGGCGTTGGGCCTCCAGGATCGGCTCTGCTTTTCGTCATTGCTAGTCCTGTCGGTCCGTACTACCCCACTGGTTTCAAGGCCATCTCGCTCGAGGCGACCGATTATGCGGTCCGTGCTTGGCCCGGTGGTGTTGGTGACAAGAAGCTGGGCGCCAACTATGCTCCCTGCATTGTGCCGCAGCTGAAGGCTGCCTCTCGTGGATTCCAGCAGAACCTGTGGCTCTTTGGCGAGGAGGAGTATGTGACTGAGGTTGGCACTATGAACCTGTTTATTGCCTTGAAGAACAAGGATGGTCAGAAGGAGCTGGTGACTGCTCCCCTCGACGGTACTATCCTGGAGGGTGTTACCCGAGACTCCGTGCTGGGCTTGGCCCGCGAGAGACTGGTGCCCAAGGGTTGGACCGTGTCCGAGCGCAAGATCCGGATGTCGGAGATTGCTGAGGCGTCTGAGGAAGGACGACTCATTGAGGTGTTCGGATCCGGCACTGCTGCTATTGTGAGCCCTGTGCGGTCTATCAGCTACCGCGGGAAGTTGGTGGAATGTGGGCTCAAGGAGAACGAAGAAGCCGGCGAGATTGCTTCCCAGATGAAGAACTGGATCGAGGGCATCCAGTATGGTGATGAGGAGCATCCTTGGAGGTGAGTCAGCCAGTCAGATTCGAGAGCTGTCTACTAACTGCGATATAGTTACGTTCTGTAAATGGCTGGTTGAAATGCGATCTGGTCCCTGACCCTGGTTATGGTACGGGCATGATTGTGTCGAAAGACGATTTTGGGGATGTTATGTTTTATGTTTCTATGGTTTCGGCTGCTATACCTACGGCTTTTGATAGCATGAGCGCTGCTTTATACAAGGGCATTCGAGTCTTTATCGGGTCTTTTATTTCTTCTGCTTTGGATGACGGTTCACGCTCTGTTCGGCTGCGAGAGACTTAAGACTAATAGACTTGTTCACTAACATTGTGCTCCGGGAATGTGCTGTAGATGTGGGAGTCGTTGTGGGTGTTCTCTCTACTACACCCACATGAATGTTTCTCTTTCTTGTTTGGGTAACTCGTATCTGGGCTCGAGGGGTGGTAGACGTGCACTCTAAACGAGAGCGGACGTCCAATGAGCGTAGGAAACGCCAGCTTGAGATGGCGTACAGTAGCCTGGAACCCAACTGACACAGCCGCACAGCAAGCTTCTGACTGTCGAATCAACGAGTTGCTTCATTGGCCGCCTAATTATAGATCTACAACCGACATTCTTTTGGTTTCATACGGAACGTACCGATATGGACTCTGGGTATTGGCGAGTATGTATGTGCAACGTGCCAGGCCGCCCGCCCGCCTGGTGCATGGCCATCCAACATATTTGAACTTTACAGCCTCTAGACGAGTATGTTGATCCATTAAGCCTGGATACCGTCGTGCAAGGCCAGTGGGACGCCTAACCGGTCTCAGCCCTGCAGGAGGTACAGGTACATACTCTGCAGCGGGTCCTCAGGGCAAAGTAAGAAGGCAAGACTGTCTGGGTCGGGAGGTCCTTGGGCAGGATAGTTATCAGTCAATGAATCATGTTTATGGGGCTTTATCCACCTGGACTAGCCATATATCGTACGTCGTATATCGTATCCCCATGTACAGGTATTACGATACAAAACAGCGCATCTGTTGCATGAAGCAAAAGCGCGTGTGCATAAGCACCACCACCGCCAACCAGCCGTCAACCCAACAACCTCGATAGACTTTAGGCAACCTCAGGATGATCCACATGCGCCTTCAACCCGACCATATACACCGGCAGGATTCGTTCCCGTCCGTTCCCCCTTCCAGAACAGACCCAGCATCGCCCGCGCATCAGGGGGTGGGTGTGAAGATCCAACCGTCGGGGCGAGTTTCGCCCGGTTCCCGTCGGGCGAGATAACCCCCCGACTACACTACAGTACACTACACTATCCCGTCGTCCAGGGTAGGGGCATCGTCCTTGGTGGATTGCGAATACGGTGAGTGAAACCATCTGCCTACATAGGTTAGATAGGTAGGTAGGGACCTCGTCTCCCCTGCTCTCCCACCATGAGGGTCGAAAGCAAACGCCTGTTGAGCCGCAACTCCTATGATCACCGAGTTGATGGACAGTCTCGATGTGGCCAGTGGGGGTCATGCGAATGCAGGCTGTTGAGTCCCTGTCCCTGTCCCTGTCCCTGTAGTCTAACTACCTAGTTAGTTATCCCCTCGCGGACTTTCGGATTTAAATGGCCGATTTTGCCGTTATCCACCACGGGTATCGCGCTAATGCGGCGCCAGTACGAAGAGGGATATTGATCAAGCCGTTTAATTACGACGTGCGTCGAACGGGGTTTGAAAAGAAAACAAAAAAAGACGGCTTTCCCCGATCCCGACCCCGACGTCTCCGAGACGGCGGCGTCTGGTTGGTGCGCATGAGGCTCTTGTTGTGCCGCGACGTGTTCACGCTGGCTGCCAATCCGACCCGCTGCGTGAGTCGATCGTTGTCTTGACGGCTGGATCCATGCCCAATGGGGCGACCTGGTGTGGGTGATGAGAGAAGTGACAAGATGATAGCTCGACAGCCCTTTTGCTACGCCTTGCCGATCCGAGGCGCTGCGTGCTCTGCAATACGCTTACACTGAGGTGTCTCTGTGTGTCTGCTGTCAGGGAGATCTGCGAGGTCATTGGTATCTCCGCTCGGGTCGGTCTTTTGATAGTAGGGTGTACCATGGCTCGTCCATCATCTGCTGTTTGCGCTGTCTTCGGCATTTGGTTGCGTGTTCGGGGATAATGGCTCTAAAGCCGCATATGATGCCATCCCCTACACTCCTCAGGAGTTTCCCATCTAGGTAGGAACCTGATCTGATTTGAAATCAGGTGTGACTCTGTCATGACTAGGTAGTTAGTTGTGGCTTACAATAGCCATTATCTCGCAAACGTTGAACCGCCATATCCGGGGACCTGACAAATCTAGCAACCACTGACTAAAGATACAGATTATCAATCCAGATTGCAGGGTGACAAATATACGGTACATGTGAAGCGTATCAGCGTATTCTGAAAGGGATCCCCTTGAAAGACCTCAGACGGCCGAATAATGAACAAATCCCCATACCATAGTCCCCAAATTATTACCTAGTTACCTACCTAGTAGGTAGGAGGACCGTGACTCAGTCTCTCAGACCCTCCCCCCCACGTGCAACCCCATGTTCCTCAAAGCGGCTGAGATTCGTAATCTTCTCGACCCCCCGGGCACGTCACTGCAGGGCGTAAATTCGACGGGACCCAATTCCAGCGGAAGTCAAACCGGCTGCAGCCAAGACCAGGGAGGGGAGCGTCGTGGCTATGCCGCCCGTCCCAACCCTAGGTCGAAGTATGCACGCCGGGTCGTCGTTTGACCCAAACAATCCACGCCTTTACGCCATAAGCATCCTCCCAGCCGATACAAAATCAGAGACCTCAGACAATGAGGGGCGCTACCTGCCGTGTATCCGATCAGTGGCACCGCATGCGGCCGCCCCCTCCCCCCGGCGTGGCTTCTAGATGTTTGCTGGAAGATTCGAGTCCGTCGGTCGGGGAATATCGACGCATGGCATGGTCGGTGTCAGCGCTATCAGCCGCCAGGATGATGATGGGCGCTGCGGAAGGCGATCTAATGGGAACGACGTGTATACGAGTGGGTTACAGGATTACACGCCGTCAGGTCGCCGGGCGCTTCTGCGGTGTAGCTGATGGGGAATGTTGGGTGAAGGCATTGTAGGTATGTCTTCCAGGATTTACCAGTACTTTTCTACAGCCAAAGGCTCGCGAAGCGATTGACCTCTGTCGGGTATGCACATTCCCCGCGCCAGTGCTACCATTCTGAGACTCCGATGCCATGCGAATCGACGGACAACACCGACGCAGCATGAGCTGAATCAGTGGGTAGCACATGGCGTGGAGGAAGGGTTGCTGGCTGACTGGTTTCATGTTGGAGCACGACTACCGGTTTAGGCAAATGGAGAGGCAGTGGGCATCATGTACGGGCGCTGCAGAGAGTTTTTTTGACGAGGAAAACAAATCAATTGTGAAACAAGGGGCGTCATTTGTTGAAGGGCAAGCAAGGCTGTCCTCGAGGAGGGTGGTACTGAGTGCACTGGTCAATCTGTGCATGCCATCAGCCATCAGATGACACCGCCTGTGTTGGGAGGACTCCCCTCTACTAGTCGAGCGTCTAAGGGGGATCAGGGAATCAGTCGACGGAAGGATACACTTGAAAGAAAGAAAATAAAGTACGTGACAGACGATCTCTCCCACCCGCCCGGAGAGCGTGAGATCTTTATCCTTAGCGCTGTTGCCAAGATCAAGGGGGACAACGTGGGAAGTCGAGACCCGAGCAGCGATGCATTCAGGCTGCAGGGAATCCTTTGTAATAATCATCTATAATATACGTACACAGTCGACTCGCACCTGATCCAGTCCCGATTCGAGCAACTGGCCAACACGGACTGATTGGCCACAGGCACTGACCCTGGCAAGCAGTCGCTAGAATTAGATACTACCTAGTACGTTAGTAGGTACTAAGGCACCCAAGGTATTCGTCACGTAAGGATCCATCGCGTCAAGTCCTATAGTCCAACTTCTTTCAAGATAACATCCAAGGTTGAAGGTGGGGTAGCCAGCCCGTTGCTTTGCTGCCTCGCTCTCTCGGGCGTCTGGTGCACCCTCGCTCTTTGTCTTGTCTTGCAGCATACACGAGGCGAGGCACATGTTCCGCCGAACTGCCCCGGACGGGCAGAATGATGTGAAACGTCTAATGCTCTGGTCAGGAGGATCATATTGCCAATCCATCTGGCCTGAGCCCTGAGGCTCTTGTCGTTCTGGGCGGGGGAGATTGATTGGAACGTGTTCAGGCGGGCAGCATGCATGCCCGCTGATTCGCGAGATGGACATTCCCTATGCGACTAGACTCGCAACTGAACTTCGGTCAAATCCGAGACTGGGACAGAAGAAGGTGACAAGGTCAAACTGTATCCGCAATCCGCAACCAGCCCGAAAACCCCGAACTAACTCATTATGATATTCATCATGAGTAATGGGACCTTTGAGGGGATTAAGCGGATGGATCGGTGCTCGGCCTGTGTAACTGACGGAGTTACGTCTTAATACCGATGTCCTGGTACTTCAGGGTCTTAGTGTCGATGGGCTCGTACGAAGTACTAACTACTACCTAGGTAGTTAGTCCCTTAGACTCTAGTCTCCACTGATTCAGCCCCCTCCTTGCAACAACATTCTACTCCGTATCAAGCCACGCACCATCTTGTTTCACTCGTGGGGTCCTCGCTCTAAATCGCCAACTGCGGAATGGATTGTTCTGTAGGATTGTTAGCTACATATGCCAGAGCCGCGGCGAGCAAGGGGAGACCTCCCTAAGTGGACGCGGGCATCGACGAGGGAGGAAAATGCCCGGTTGTTGGTGACCTGCATGACATTCCTCACTATCTTCTCTTCCTATTCTCATTCCTAGTTCTGTTTCTATTTCTATTCCCAAGAACAAGGTCTTGTACCCAGCAGATACCCATCTTGGGAACTCCTGGCGACCACATGGAGATTGGTGGACCATTGCAGACCCCGGGGGGGTGGCTGTTCTGTTGGCCTTGCACTGCCTGATCTCGTCGTGTCCGGCCCCCTCGGCCACCGGGGGCCGCTAACGAAACAGCCTCAAGTCCTGGCCCATTCATGAGGAGGGACGAGGGAGGTAACTAGGTAACTAGGTAGTATTAGTGACGCAGCCCTGCAAGCGGTGCGTCCACTCGGGAAAAGTTCCTCACCAACACATGGTCAACCTGCATCTGAAAATATTACCACCATCAAATAATAATAATTCTTGTTATTATTTATTATTTTTTCTGTTATTCGATTTAATCATTATTCATTTACCCGATAGTTTATTATTTTTCTTACCATACTAGCCCCTCGGAGCACGGACTAGACCTGGTATCGCAACGGTTCGAATCACCGCCGTCTCAGGCCAGCCGTGGTTTGCATCGAGTGAAGCCCGGGGCTTAGCTATTTCCAGCTGATCATCCAAGGCTCTCTCGTCTTTAAATACCTCTCGCATCCGTTGTCCGGAATCCTGATGGTTCTATCAAGCTGACGGCTGCTTGATAGCATCTGCTCATCATAGTCTTTTCTTACTTCTAGATCTCTCCCTCATAAAACTTCTGTCTCCCGTATCTAGTGCTGTTCTATTGTTCCCACCATGCATCGGTCCTCCAACTACTCCTATCAACACTCTACCAGATCCTCGTCCTCCCACGGCACGAGTAGCGCCTTCAGTCCCAATGCCAACCCCAATGAAGACTGGACCAAGATCTCTGATCTGGCTGAAAGACGCCGCATCCAGAATCGCATTGCCCAGCGCAACTACCGTGAGTACTCTCTCCCGCGCTCTGCGCTCCGAGCTTCACGCAGCTAACGGAAAGACACAGGCAAGAAACTGAAGCGTCGTCTGGAGGATCTAGAAAAGAGAGCCGGCTCCGCTTCCGAATCTCCAGAGGCCACGCCAGAAGAGAAGCCGGACCCCGTCAAGACGGCGTCCAAGTCTCGCAAAGGCCACCATCGGGCATCCAAGTCGACCTCCGACGTGAACAGTCGCGGCGCAGGCGCGGACCGCTCCTCGCCCTACGACTGCTACGCCGCCCAGGACGACCGCAGCCAGATGTTCACCAACCAGTATACCAGACAGCTCTCGGCCTCGCCGCCCCCAGTCCTGTCCTACCCCTCCTACTCGCATCTGGATCCCTACGGCCAGCAGTCCTACGCCCCGCCCACGCCCGCCTACCACTCCGTCTCGGGCGGCGCCTACAACGACATCTCCTACCAGGCTGGCGACTACGCCTCGCCGCTGCCGTCCATGCTGCCTATGCTCATGTCCCCGGCCAAACGGCCGCCGTTGCCGCACCCTCACCACCCTCATCACCACACTTACGCCGACGACGACATCGTCAGCCCCTTCCACATGAGCTACGCCTCCATGGCCGGCATCGATCTGCCGCAGCAGATCGCGGACGCCGCCGCGCTTCCGGTACGCGCTGCTCTTCCTCCTCCTCCTCCGCCGGGACATCGCGTCCCAACCAATGCGCCGTGCTAATCGCTGTCCCCATCTTCAGATGCCGCCCTTGTATAGTGACGACCAGTCGTCGCCGTCGACACCACCAGACCCGCCGCTCCTGGGCTACCCGCTGACGCCCGAGTCGGACCCGTGCTCGCCGCACGCATACCCTCCGTTATGATGATGGATTGGCGGAAGGGGGTGATGACGATATATTTAATGACTGCTATGATTCTGCTGCGATTTGTGATTTATACTGAGATTGATCTCTCTCTCTCTCTCTTTTTTGTGCAGGGCGCATGCAATGCATGAGAAGCCTGGACTCCGCGTGGAGTTAGTTTTACTGCGACCGATAGATGCATTGTCCGGGGCGTTGGGCTGCAGCGATATGATTGGGACTCGGATTTTTCATCTCTTCTCTGTTTTCCGTATAAGAAATGGAACCTGGACTCTCTCCGATTACCTCCTAGACGTGTTCCCCTCCATCGTAAGGTAACTTTGCTCTTCCATGGATGTCCTCAAGTGAAACCGGAACGCCCAGCTCGACCAGTCGGAGCCTGTGGTGAGTGTTGGTTCGAGCTAGCGCTAGCGACATAATCTACTCATAGTACGTAGGGACGCCGGAAGTGGTCGTTATTCGATCGGTCTTGGCCCCCAAATCTGCGGGTCCATCCGACAGGGATCGTCCGCTGCTCCGGCGTCTCTGATTGGGTCGTTCGCATCGGGCTGCGATTGGCCGGCCGGTGTTCTAAGTCGTTTGTTTGTGGGTTTATTGCCCGATCGTCAGATTCATACATCTTCTCTACAGGAGTGTAGGTGTAGAGTCCCAGGAGTGGACAAAAGATGAAGATGAAGATGGTGGAGGGGATGATAGCTTAATCCGGTCGGATCGAGATGCCGACGTGGACCTACTGTATTTCAACAGGAACAGTTCCCCATGATCCCCTCCCCGGCGCAATCCGACGATCCACGGACCGCTGTCTTCGCAATCTGGGCCCAGACCCAGGCCATCAGACCAGATCACCGTCCGGTACTTTTCTAGGTCGGTAGACTGTACCGGCGATATGATAACGATACTGATAGAATAATAGATAATAATAATACAAGTACATATAATTAAAATTATAATCATAATGGCTGCGCCTCCACCACCGACGTGGTACCCCTACACTACATGTCGACAACCCCCAGAAGAACAGCACTCCTAGGCGCCGAAACTATCGACCCTGTGTCACGGTGCGTCTGCATACCTATAACTGCAAAGGGCAGTATTGACGACCCCCCGTATGAGTCAATGCATGATTTGCCGGCCCATGTCTCTCCCTAACTCCATACAGTAATAATTCATCCAACCGACCCGATCGGCCGGCGCCACATGTCCGTCTGTCCGACCCGTCTAACTACCACCAGTTTCCTTTTCAGTCTTCCGAGTTCATATCACAGCATGACAAATGCCACGCATCACGCTGCCCGTCGCGCACTTATCGACTGATAACCGATATGGTCAGCCTTATATCACCCGCTGTTATGATCCCCAGTTTCGGCCGACCACAGACCCGGAGCCCATGCAGTGCCCAACCCGGCTGCTAACCGGCCAATCAACCCGCCCGATCGCGAATCTGAATGCTGACGGCCAATCTGCCACTTCGGGGCCGCTGTCTGGGGGGCGGGCGTGCCGTTTAGTGGCTCGAGCTGGGACGCCTAGTCCCATGTGCTTCTTCACCATCCACCGTGTCCCAAGACAAGGTTGCAAGGTTGCACTCTCGTCCAGGGAGGAAAAAGGTACTACTCCTACTTGGGTTACATACGCAGCAAAGGCCGAGGGGCCCCAGCCCGTCTTGAATCGCCGGCCGGAGAATCAGATTAACCTGCCCCCAGACGGGGTTCGACCTCGTATCCCGTTCCCTGTGCGGCCTCGTCAAGCGAAGTGACACAGACGCGGCTCAAAGAGGCATCCAATAACGAGTCGTGTCGTGCAACACGCTGGTCCAGCGCGGAGATACCGTACCACCTGTGGCACCTAGATATCGGCGAAATCCGAGCCCTGCATCTGGCCCTGTCCGTCACATCGCATTGAGATGGGAGGGTGTTGATAAGGCGTTAATCATGCGTGGTCTGTCGTCGGTGGCATGCGTCCTTGGTGGTTCGTTCTGGCCAGCCACTGTCCGGATGAGGCTGTTGCTGTGCGCCGATACGAAGTACCCCTGCCCAACTGTCCACTCTCTGCATGGTACGGCTGAAGAAAGGATAATAGAGGCTGGATCCTTGCAAAAGTCAATGTTGTATGCGCCTGCAGATTACCCTGAAGCGCATGCTGTCTGTTCGCACCACATGATTATTGCTCAAATTCTAAGTTCTTGTTGGAACATCTCGTGCTGATACTGCAGTCGATATCTATGATGGACTTCACATTCGGGTATGTTATCCTATCATCGACTATTCTATCTGTTTACTAACGATAGGATAGGACCACTGCAACTTGATGGCACTCGGTCAATTGCAGCAACAATAGAACCCAACCTGGCCCTTGCAGACATTAATCCAATGCAACAAGCACCTTCAACAAAATGAACAACATCACACACCTGGACGGGTTATCGCGTACATACCCGCCATCTCTTCCACCTGCGACATACCCGTGCATCGAATCCGACAAACTATAGCTGGTCTCTTAGAAGCGACAAGAGCTGTCTTCTGTGCACGGCCCGACAACTCCAAGACTTGATGTCATCTTCAGCCTGGCAGTCTACTGAACGCGCTCGATCACCGTCTGTGACCGATATTTGGAAAACTAAATTACTCGCTCACTCCGTGCGAGGTGCGAAGCAGTGTCCCGAGTTTGTCTTGACCCAAGCAGTACCATCACCTGGACTGTCACAGCCGGCGATTCAAGTCGGTGGCTGAATCATTTGATTAGACGCACAGAGGGTCGAGTCAAACAAGGTATGCAGAACAATATACAGCCTATTGCATAGGTCGAGAAGTGCTCGCTGCAGACGGCAGGTACGCCAGCCATCATTGTCGATCATCATCTGGACAAGAAGTCAGTCTCAGAAACCGTCCTCATAACGGATCTCCGACAGAATACGAGAAAGCTTACAATGATATTTGAAGGCGATCCAAAGAATGTCATCGGCGTACAAGGCATGATAGATCCACGGCAGACTGGGCTGTCGTCATCCGCTCCTGATACTGAAGACTTCTAGGTACATGATCGTACACTATATCTGTCTCAGAGACTGCAGACATGCCTCGACATCACTCCGTATTCTATCCGGGGCTATTCCTGAGCATGATGAGATGTTCGGGTGTCATAATTTGCTAATGGCAGTCCTATCTTGAGGCTGACAAATCTCATCAATGGATCATAGAAAGTGTGCTTCGGGCCTGGAAGAGCATGCGCCGCAACCTCTACCTGGAAGCATCTCGGTTTCTCTATGTTTCAAATAAGTTTCTGCAATGCGGACACTACACATCGATATCCTGGATGAGATGGTGATCTGCCTATGTTCACATTATCCGACAGTGTCTATGCTTCAAGACCTGCATGGAGTCGGTTCCTCGAATGTACCATACGACAGGAATTTCCCAGGTATATACACTGACTGTACACCAAGACCAAATTCGACTCTACCAGAAGGACCCAGTCCTCCCAATCAAGGCTCTTCTCTCGGGTTCAATGAGCATACCCCCCGGGGCGCACGTGGCAGTCATGATGCGCTCTTCAATGGGGTATTTTGATGGCTGAATAGACCTGGCTGGGATTCTGTCATGTCTTCCGGTTGGCCATTCCAACCAGGGAAACAACTGGGGTCCAACGCTTGTGACACGGCTACTCAACAAGTAGGATCTGGGACCGCTGTATATTGCGTAAGTTGGTGCATAGGTAGAGAGGAAATGTAAGCTCCAGTTGTGGAGCCCATATCTACAGATCTCCTACTATCTAGAGCAATTGAGCTAAACACAACCAAAAACCATTGATTAGGCAAAATGAATATATAAAGTACGTCGTTGCCTCTATACAACCTTTTATCTCTCTTCTGATAGCTGGTGGCATTCCTGACCGCAAACATTGTCGAAGGCACCAAAGCAGGAATTCCACCTCACAGTGCATCCGCATGCTAAGGTAAGAAATTCAAGGCTACTGGACAAGTGATACCACGTGAAATACGCCCATCGATGTAGAAGCCTTGGAGTATGGTATGTAACATTATCATTAAGATGAGTCTGCCTCAAATGATAACCTGAAGTATGCGGCAACGCTGATTGTGGCCACATATGACCAAGCGAATTCTACGGATCACATTGGCTGTTCAACCTATTGACATTCAGACCGTTGTGTTTGATAGAGTCTGATGAAACCTAGGTTGTTTGTGATTATATCTGACAGAACCTTCTGACAAGCAACATATCTGATGGTCAATATATATATGCCCATATCTTCCCTATACTCTATACTGGAAACCATTGTCAGCAGTGATCCTATGCAAGACACTGATCACTAACAAACAACGCGCAAATCAAGTCTATGCAGGCACAGGATTGAGATATATAAAGCCTGGAGGGGTATGCACAACCAATGTTAGGATACAGCACAAACACTGCAAATGTGTTTGTCACAAACACAACAGATGTGTCAGGTTGCTTGTTTATGATGTAACTATTTACTGATCTGGTACCTAGCCTACGCCACAGCCACGGCAGACCCTTACAGAGAGGATGAGATCATTGTACAGCAAGAAACCCCAAATATAAACTGATCATCATGGTTGTGCGGGTGAGCGATGGGAGTTGCTATTTAGAGACCCTGTGTGGCTAGCACTGTTTTACGCGATCGGAATACGACCTATGAATCATGACCAATGGCTGGACCAGCAGGAGAGACCGACAGAAGAGAGACATTTTGCCAGGTCACAGTCTGTTGGTCTATATATAGAAAACTGTCCGATCAGAAGCAAACCTTACAGCGATGGACAGTGAGTAGATGCAGCAACAGTGGTAGAAGGAACAGACACGGGACGATTTTGGAATAACAATCCTACGGATGATATAATAATTATAATGAAGCGGGACGGAAGGCGGGAGGCGAGTTATGACTTATTAATTGATCATTCATAAGAATAGCAACAATCCTGGAATCTGGATGCTCGGCGTCTCATATATATCGACGCGAATCTGGTAAGCTGCCCCACGCTCAGACCCGAGTAATGGGAAGGGTGAAAAGGATCAAGGGGGAGGCCGATGGAGCCAGAGTAGTGGGGGAGAAAAGGAGAGAGACACCGTAGACCATTCGATATCTACCCTAATAGTCTCCCAGGAATGATCGATGATGGATGCTGAGTCGCGTGGTACGTGGACAAGCCCCCTTCGAAGGCAGTCAGTGGATGGTAATGGAGGCGCTTCATATCAGGGCCCGATCCAGACGCTGAAGCTCCACAACTCCATCTTCGCTTGATCTGAGGCTTGAGCCCTGCATCATGATGGCCCTCAGTTTCAGAGGAGGTACTGGAATGTGATCGATGCTCGAATATGCGAAGAACACAAGCTTTGCAGGAGAGAAGGTCCGATTATTGAGGGCAAGGGGGTTATCACCGACCTAGTGGCCAATAGTGGTGAATCTGAGACGGATAGTGTTTAGAACAGAGTGGGCTCGGGCTGTGGCGTTGACTCCTGTGGCGGGTGGAGTGGGGCAGCTCGTCTTCATCTAGATTCATACATAGTTGCTTTAAACACGAAAAGTGAAGAGGTAAGACATTGTGAGCTGTTCATGCATATCTATTAAAGAACATATGCAGCCGTCTGTACCTGCTCCGTATATACCAGGTTTAGATATGGATGAAAAAAAAGAGTGACGGAAATAAACAATCAATAATCCGGTCTAGATGGATCCAGCCGGCGCCATTGGCCCGCAGTGGAGCTGTACCAACACCAATCAGCCGCGTGGCCAGGTCTGGACTTGAGACATTCAGGGGGCGCCAAACGGGGGGCCAATGGGGCAGAGTCTCGAACCACTTGACGTCGTGGGATTATTTTTATTTCTGGCCCAATACGGATACCACCGATTCGGCCCTACAACTGGCCAGCTCAGGCACGCGATGGCCACCGAAATCTTCCTCTCGTTCTCCCACCTCTGATCCTCCTCCACTCTTCGTCTCCTCAGGTGGGTGGTGGTCTTACAATCCTTCTGCCAGTTTCAACCGTTCCGTCGGTTTCTCCCTCCACAGTCGTTTTGCATCTTTTTCTTCTCCTCGCTCACTGGCTTTTTGCCTCATTCGTTTCGTCCTGTTTGTCCTGTGTGTGCTGTGTGATACGGTCGTTTGTCTGTCTATTCACTTCGGACCAGCTTCTCCTTGGTTCTCCACCTTCTCTCTGTCTAGAGACAGGACCAGGAGAGACCAGTCCCTATACAGATCACTTCTTCGCTCGCTCTTCGCTCGCTCATCCTCCTCCCTACTCCATATACATCGATCTTCCTTCCTTTCAAAGCGGGTTGACCCTGCTAGACCGCCCCTATCGACAAGCCTAGTCGCTACTTCGATATTCGGTTTATACATCTACCTCTTTCTAATCCAATCGGTCGTTGATGTCGTCGTTCCGGTCATCCAACCGCGTCTGATTAAAGATACCCGCCAAGATGTACCCCCCGTCGCTTGCGCCGTGGGCATTGCTCGCCCTGGGCTTGATGCCAGCTCGAACTCTTGCAGCCGACACCCTCAGCACCGACGGAGTGTCAACCTGTCTAGATGGTTCCGACATTGAGGTTCAAAAGTTGAACATCACCTACACACGTTCGACACGGCAACTTGTCTTTGACGTTGCTGGAACCAACGAAAAGGAACAGAATGTCACGGCCTCCCTAACCGTGACAGCATACGGAAACGAGATCTATAACAAGGATTTTGACCCATGCAGCAGTGATAACTACATCGAACAGCTGTGTCCCGGTATGTATCTTCAGTCCCTTATCTATCGGAGCAGCCCTCCTAATACCAGTCACCCCCTACAGTTCCTTCCGGCCACTTCGCAGCGACAGGATCCCAGGAAATTCCCGAATCGTTCGCTAGCCAGATCCCCTCAATCGCCTTTGCCATTCCCGATCTCGATGGACAGGCAAAGCTCGAGTTGAAATCCAAAGACGACAGTAATGAGGTCGCCTGCATCACGTCCGAATTGACCAACGGCAAATCCATGGAGATGCACAGTGTCACCTATGCCGCTGCGGGTGTCGCAGCAGGAGCTTTGGCCCTTAGCGGATTGTCCGCCCTCGGTACTGCTGGACATGCCGGGGCGCCGTCCGCAAGTCCTGGATTTGGCGATGTCATGGGTTGGTTCCATACCATGGCCACTAACGGTATGCTGAGCGTCAGCTACCCCACCGTCTATCGCAGTTTCACCAGAAACTTCGGTTTCAGCACCGGAATGATCCCGTGGGGCCAGATGCAAGAAACCATCGACAACTTCAGAGCATCTACCGGCGGTAACATCACCCAGAACAGTTACCAATTTCTCCAAAACGCGACCATTACCTTCAACGATGTATCATCCTCGAATTCGTCCAACACTAAGCGCGCATTCAACATGGTCGTGACCACCGCGGACTTGGTCGCACGAGAACTCTCGACTTCCTTCAGTCAGGACTCGAACTCTACTGACAGCAGTGATGATGATGACACCCTAAAGGAAAAGCTCTCCGGTCTCGAGGCGTGGGCTGCGCAGTACAAAGTGCCCGCAGCAAACACCTTCATGACCGTTCTACTCTTCTTCGCCATCGTTGTTGCCGCCATCGTTGTCGGAATCTTGCTCTTCAAGGTCATTCTGGAGCTGTGGGCTCTCTACGGCACATTCCCCGAGAAGCTGAAGACGTTCCGTAAGGACTACTGGGGTTACATGGCTCGGACGATCACCAACTTGATCATGATCCTCTACAGTATCTGGGTCTTGTACTGCGTGTACCAGTTAACCAGTGGTGACTCGTGGGCCGCCAAAGTCCTCGCTGGCGTGACCCTCGTCCTTTTTACCGCCGTCCTGGCCTTCTTCGGCTGGCGAATCTTCCGCATGGCCCAGAAGTACAAGAAAGCCGAGGGCGACGCGTCGGGTCTGTTCGAGAACAAAGAAACATGGCGCAAGTACAGTCTCTTCTACGACAACTACAAGAAAGACTACTGGTGGCTCTTCGTCCCCGTCATCGTGTACATGTTCGCCAAGGGCTGCATTCTCGCCGCAGGCAACGGTCACGGCCTGTTCCAGTCCGTTGGCCAGCTCGTCGTCGAGGCCCTGATGCTGATTCTGCTGCTGTGGCACCGCCCGTACGTCGCCAAATCCACCCAGTGGATCAACATCAGCATCCAAGTCGTCCGCGTCTTGTCCGTCGCCTGTGTGCTGGTCTTTGTCGAGGAACTGGGCCTGTCGCAGACGACCAAAACCGTCACTGGCATCGTCCTGATCGCAGTGCAATCCGCCTTGACCGGTATCTTGGCCATCCTCATCGCCACCAACGCCATCATCCTGTGTGTCCGCGAGAACCCTCACGCCCGTCGCAGAAGAGAAGCCAGTAAGTACCACCACATGCAGCAAGTCTTAAACCAAACTAACCACCCCCCTCAGAAAAAATGGGCCGTGATATCGATGACCTCACTCCCCTGGATGCCCGCGAATCGCTGCTCATGGACCACAACCCTCGCAAGGACAACTCCGAAATGAGCAAGTTCAACTTCACCGGCCCCTACGCCCCCTACCACGACCAGCCCCCGTACGACCCCAGGTCTCGCCAGAGTCCGACCGGCAGCACCGACCGTCTCGTCGAGCCCGGCTACGGCTTCAACGACCACCATGGACGCAGCGTCAGCCGGGAAAGTCGACAAAGCCGCGACAGTCGGGGCTCGCCCGATGGTCGCCATCCCACGGCCCCGGGCTACGGGTTCGCATATTAGGACATTGCATTACGATGTGCCACTCGCTCTTTATATATAGTTTTTGTCGAATTCGTTTCAAGCATAGACACATTCCATTCTGGGAAGCATTTCTGACGAATTTAGCGGATTTGATCTTGTTTCTCTGCCCTTCGTTGTACTTTATTCATAGTCTTTCCCTGCTCACATTACCTGCGCGAAAGCCTCATTTGCTACTGTTTTAAGCGGCCAGTTCGTTTTACACATTGCCTTGATATCCTTTTCTCTTGTCATATATATAAGCTTGGATAAAAATAGTGTATCTAGCAGGTGATCTCCAAGAATATACCCATACTTCAAACTTTGCCGTGCAGTAAAAGAGGAGCATGATTCGCCTTGCCTAATATGTAGATTCAGAATATCGAAGGCATCAACCAATTACTTGAGTCATGAGGCTTTGTCTTGTTTTCCTGGACTATTCGCAGCTATCCTCAAGCTAAGCCATCAAGCAGACGTGGATTGCATTGTAACACCATTTGAGAATACATCAGACACATCGTCGTTTTGTCGCTCTGGACAACCATCTAGCCCTCGAGAAAGACAGGGCCACAAACACGTTTTGGGAAAGAGTGCAAACAATTGATAACCGTATCGACAAGACGTCCCAGATAATTAAGATAGAGAAGACAAGAACTAAAGGAAGAAGCAAAGAAGAAACCAAGAAACAGATCAGATCACTGCATCCGCCACAACTTCATCCTCATCAGCGAGCATACGGGTGGAAACCCCGATGGCCGCCACGTCCACCGCCGCGGTAGTTGGCTCCGGGCTTTCCGGCGTTCTTGGGTCCAGTCGGCGCGTTTGCGGGTGCTGCGCTCTGGGGCTGAGGTGTCGTTCCTATAAGCTGGTCAGCTACAATTCCAGAGGATCATGAACAGGTCAAGAGGCATATGATACATACCACGTCCCATGCTACCGGCACGCGTCATGGCCTGAGGACCGGTGGGAATGTTGGGCTGAGGCACTTCATCGTACATGCCTTCCCACGAGGTCGGACCTCCCTGCTGGTATGGCGAGAAAGCACGGTTCTCCATGGCGCGTCGGGCCTGTTGTTGCTCGTACTTCTGTTGCTCGAAGGCAATCTGCTCGTGGGCATTGTAGCCGGGTCCTCCGCGCGGCCCAGAGTAGTTCCCGCCCATGTTCATGTTTCCAGGAGGGCTGTTACCCCCGGTGGGCATGGCACCCATCTGGCCGCCCATACCGCCAGCACTGCCACCGCCCTGACCTTGGTTCTGCATTTGCTGCATCTGTTGCATCTGCTGCATCATGGCTGGGTTCATCATGTTCTGCATCTGCGGGGTCGAGCTCTGTGACGGCGGGCTCATGCTGCCTTGCTGCTGATTGCTGCCCATCTGCATCTGCTGCATCTGTTTCATCTGCATTTGCTGCATCATGGCCGGATTCATTGCGCCCATGCCCATGCCGCCCATCCCCTGACCCTGCGCCGCGGCGACGGCCATCTGCTGCTGCATCAGGGCGAAATACTGCTGCATCCGTTGCCAGTACTGCGCCATCATCTGGGGCGTCATACCGCCCGCCATGCCGCCCGGTCCTTGGCCACCCTGCTGCTGAGACGATCCATCACCGCCCTGGCTGCTTTCGCGAAATCCGTCTCTCCGGCGACGACGATCTTCTTCATCACGGAGGTTGCCACGGGGCTGGGCCTTCTTAACCTCAATGGGCTTACCCAGGATCTCGAGTGGACGGGAAAGGGCCGCTTCGACGGCGGCTTCACTGTCGAACGTGACGAATCCAAACCCACGAGGACGACCAGTGTCCTTGTCGATCATCAGCGTGGCATCAACAACGCGGCCGAATTGCATGAAGAAGCTCTTGAAATCCTGCTCGTTGGCCTCCTGGCTGACACCACCAACGAAGATCTTGCTCGTCTTTTCTTGCTCATCACGGGGGATTGCGCGCTTGGGATCGATCTTGACATAACATTAGTCTGTGTACACTTTTGATGAACTAAATTTTAGAATGATGCTTACAATCTTTCCATCAAGGTAGTGTTCCTTGACCATGACTGTATTCACTGTCTTCGGGTCTCTGAAGGTCAGGAACCCGAAACCTCGGGAGCGCCCAGTGGCGCTGTCGCGCATGACCGTGCACTCTTGTACCTCTCCAAACTGAGAGAAGTAGTCCTTCAGCGATTCTATCACACAGGTCAGATCCACCTCACTATAGGGACTTTGGGGGAGGGTACATACGATCCGTTGTTTCCCAGTTCAGACCACCGATGAACATTTTCCTATGAAACTTTCTATCAGTATAACATGAACTTGCACACGGGACGAGCAATATAAAAGGCTAAACAGTAAACGCAAGGTGACAGGCTATGCAAAACAGAAAAAAAGGCTTAATGGAGAAGAATCGAAGTGGTGGTGGTGCGCGAGAGTGGTGGCTCATGGTGATTGGGAACAATCTTGCTGAGCTGGTCCAGATCTCAAGTCGAATGTATGCTCAAGCAATGACGCAGGCTTGTACGTTTATGTCTGCCATGAAGCAGCCGAGGCATTATGATGGACTCCGGGTGGTTTGAGGTCGTATGGTTGCTTGTGGTTCCCAGGCTGAGCAGCTCAAATCACGCTCGTATCATGCGTATACGTCGACGAACTGACGGCGGTTGTTGTGATCGGCGGTCTTCCTCGTCCTCTTTTCTAGTCAACTATCCACTGGTTTACAAGGCAACCCAGTGGACACGCTGGACATCAAGGAATGGTTGTCCAGGACCGAAAGGCATGTGGTGGTGATCATAAAGACCACGAAGTTGGAGTAGCATGTCAGGCGGAATAAGTGAATTGTTTCTGTCTCTCTCTTTCTGACCAAAGAACCTTTGCCTGTCTAATGAGTCCGAAGCTAGGAAGGTATTCTGTTCGACAACGTGCAACCACACAGCCAAGGCTCCTACTCCTTGCTCTGCTCTGCTCTATGAAGAATATCGACAAGAAGCTATATAGTATCGGCCGTACTATAATCGCTCGTGACAAAGGTTCGTGGAGTCAGGAAACCGAGTATCGTCTCTTTGTTGACTGTCACATCGATGTGGCTCGTTCATCTGTACGCCATTGGGCTTGGACGACGGAAATGGTTTGGGCCACCATCAAAGTCTGGCCCCTTTATAGCTGAGTAATGAGAGACTAGAATATCTCTATCAAAGGCTGACTGCGATTTCGTCTCCTCTATCGGAGAAGACCTCGACTGGGACCAAAGCACCCCATGTTGCTCTCCATCGCGCCATGCTATCATGATTCAATTGATTCCCTCCAAGAACCCGGGGAATCAACTCATTGAGCCACGGGACCAACGTTGCGCAACCACCATCACCGGATATTGTTGCCCATCAGAAATTGGAGATGATGTAGGAGTGGCACATAGGAAATGGGCGGTGTTGAATGGAGGCATGGCCCAGTATCGACTCACGCATGTCATGCATCGTCACCACACAATATGTGGCTCAATTTCGAGGGGAAAAAAAAATTCTCCATTGCAAATGCACAAGTACGAAAACAGAAGAAAACAACAAAGACTCTGCGGTTGTAGTTGGTCAAGACTTACCCGTCTTCTTTAATGCCGGTGCCTTGGGGTTCGGGCTCCCCCGAGGGAGGACCAGCTGCAGCATGGGCGAAACCGGAACCCGACTGAGCACTTCCACCGTTTTGATAACCGCCATCGTGTTGGTTCATGCTTTGCGTATGATCGTATGTCGACTGAGGGATGTGAGTCTGTGCTGTGGGCTGGGCCGGGACAGCTGTGGGTGCGGAGTCGGAGGGCTTTGGAGGCTGCGACGCCGACGTGGGTTGGTTTGAGGACTCATCAGCATCGTAACTAAGAGACCGATGATGTTAGATGAAGGGAGCGACATTGGAGGGGTTTTTTGGGCGTCTTACAGATCAGCGAAGAGATCTTCTTCGACATCCTCGGGTTCGGCCATGGTGAGTAAGAGGGGGAGGGTAAAATGTGACGCGGGTGGCGGCGGTCGCGAGAAGAACTCCCAGATGGGCTTTGAAGGAGGAAGAGAAGGGGGAAGAGGGTGTAAAGGGTGGGAGAGATGGGAGTTGATGAATAGAGAGAGAGAAAGAGAGAGGAAAGGAGGAGAGAAAGAAGAGGAGGCGGCGAGGTGGAGGAGGTTCCCTTCCTTCCCGTTTAGTTCCTCCTTCCGCCGGCCGACCGCAAACTGTCTTCTCGGTGCCGAAGCATTCAACACTATCGCTTCTCTGCGGCGCAATCTGCAATCTTCGTGAATTAATATTGTTCTCCTATGTTGGACATGACTGTGAAGACTCCTACTGTCTAGCGCACTATGGGACAGCCATCGTCACCCTGTCTCTGAGCTTTGAAGAACAAAACCGCGCCCAAGTGCCGCAGCGTCCCCCGCACTCTGTGGTGAAGTCGACGTATTCTCCCTCTCTCGTCCCCGTCTCCATCTACTCCCCTCCACAATGGCGGCAAAGAAGTCTCAGCAACAGGTATGTATTTTATGAAACTACCCTTCGCGCTCATTCGAGTGAAATCACTGACCCGAACTCGGAATTCCTCCAGGAGATGGTCCAGGTTGGTTCGTACTTCTTTACCCCATGTTTATTGGAGTCCATGCAAATTCAGTCGCTGACCCAGTCGATTCCACGCAATTGATAGACGCTTCGGAGTATGTGAGAGCCCTTGCTGTTTGCTATATTTTGAATTGTCGGATTGCTACAATTCTCCGGCGTGTTGTTCGGTCCCTAACTCTCGTGAAGACGGGCAGGTTCACCTCTCTGGAAGACTACATCTGTTCCGCATACCCAAGGATCCTCAAAAGCCCACGACCAGGCCACAATTGTCGGCGCCTCCTACTCTCATGCGGATATCCTAAAGTACGTTCGCAAATATCTGGACCATCATGCGGTGGCGGGGGCTGGATCAGCTAACACGTGTGGTTCCCAACAGAGGCATGTCCCAACAGTATCCACGCCCACGAACACCCCCGCGACCCTCGTCCACCAATTCACACAATATCTCGCCATCAGCTCATCGCTCTAGCCCATGGGTCGCCTCGCCTCGTGCGTCGTATTCGGGCATCATGAACCAAGAAATCGAATCGTGGAGTCGAAGCTCTTTAGGAGACGACGACGACGACGACGATGATGAAGAGGAAGCGGATATTGTCTATGACGATGATGAGGATGAGTTTGGTCTACCAAGTCTTAGCAGCATGCGTAAGAAGCAGGCCAAAAAAGCCGACACAGCTCCGCCGAAGCCTATCAATCATGGCGGGGGATTTGGAAACAATCCTTCAATGCTGGGAGTAGCTGCACCCAACCGTCAGCGCGCCAACAGCTCCGATATTGCTGAGGAACGGGGCCCCTCCATGTATCCGACAGCACGAAAGGGAGAAGGCAAAATTCTACGACCACAATACAAGGAAATCCTGAGAGGTAAAATCACCGGGAATAAGTAAACTGGGACATAGCTAACACCCCCAGATCCTGCAAATGCCCTAAACCTAATCAACCATGCGCCGCCCCCTAAGGATGCAACACCGAAAGAAATGGATATGTATTCCAGCCGGATCTCGAAGATCAACAAATTCAAGCGTCTGTTGCAGACCAGCACGGTCCCTCTAACGGAGCTAAGAAACTTAGCGTGGCAAGGTGTGCCTGACGAAGTACGTGCGATGACATGGCAGCTTCTGTTGGGATATCTTCCCACAAACAGTGAACGACGGATTTCGACCTTGGAGAGAAAGCGCAAGGAGTATCTCGATGGGGTCCGACAAGCCTTTGAACGCAGTTCAACCTCTGCAAACCCTCCATCGTCCGTCACAGGACGCGGCCGGGGTCTCGATGAGGCAATATGGCATCAGATCAGCATAGACGTGCCTCGTACGAGTCCTCATATTCAGCTTTATAGCTATGAAGCCACCCAGCGTTCCTTGGAAAGGATCCTTTATGTGTGGGCTATCCGCCATCCAGCCAGCGGATATGTTCAAGGCATCAATGATCTCGTCACTCCTTTCTGGCAAGTGTTTCTGGGGGTATATGTGACAGACCTTAATGTCGAAGAGGGCATGGATCCTGGTCAGCTGCCAAGAAGCGTGCTGGACGCCGTCGAAGCGGACTCGTTTTGGTGCCTCACGAAGCTTCTTGATGGCATTCAAGACAACTATATATATGCCCAACCAGGCATTCATCGACAGGTTAGGGCCCTTCGCGACCTAACCGCACGAATTGACGCAAATCTTGCGAAACATTTGGAAAGCGAAGGGGTCGAGTTCATGCAATTTAGCTTCCGATGGATGAACTGCTTGCTCATGCGGGAAATGAGCGTCCGGAACACCATACGGATGTGGGACACATATATGGTATGTTGGATTTTCCCATGACGGAAGCACGTATGCTGATCTCGACTCAAGGCTGAGGAGCAGGGCTTCTCCCGATTCCATCTGTATGTATGTGCAGCATTTCTGGTCAAATGGTCGGACCAGTTGGTGAAGATGGACTTTCAGGTAAGTTCCAACATATGAATACCTCCATTAGATTGCGATACTAAGTGCGGCTACCACAGGAAATCATGATGTTCTTGCAAGCGCTCCCAACAAGAGACTGGACTGAGAAAGACATCGAACTCTTGCTAAGCGAGGCATTCATCTGGCAGAGTCTATTCCAAGGCTCGAGAGCACACCTCCGCCCAGCCGGCGACCGGTCTCCAGAAAACGGCTTCCAATGAAGATAATCATTATTCATTAATAACTTGTGGCTTCTAATTTTGGCATTGAAATGAACAAGGTGGTATCATCTTCCGCGGGTTGATCTTAATTGAAATGGAAGCCCTTTTGGTTGAACGCCCATAGCAGTTTGAGGAAGTCGTTCTCATCGCACATCCGTGCACGCTTATCCGCAAGTCCTGTATCGTCCTCCAAGACTTGCCGTACCTTCTCCCGTACCAACTCGGCCACCTTTCCCTTCTTCTTCCGGGCCGGTCGGTTTTTGAGGGCCTCTTGCACCCGTGCATTGGCCTGCTCCTTGAAGAAATCTGGCACATCGTCTTCGTCCATGTCCATATCATCCTCAGGCTCCATATCTTCGTCGTCCTGGGCATTGCCAGTATCCATCTCCGTGTCGTCATCGGCCGGTCCATCCTCCACCGGAATGTCGTTTTGCGCACACCACGTGCGATAGTTGGCTTCGAGCAGGTCCATCACGGTGTGCTTTCCGAGAAAGCTGGAACGAATCGTCTTGTTCTTTCGCACGAAGCAGATTCTCAGCAGACCGTCCCACTCTTCGTAATTGATTTGCGGTCGTGGGTTCTTGGGGACGAGGCGGACAACACTGGAGTCGACAAGCGGCGGAGGCTTGAAGTTGTTCTTGCCGACCTTCATGATGTGGTCGATTTTAGCCCACATCTGGGCATTCACGGAGAGTCGACTGTAGAGTTTATCACCGGGTTTGGCAAACAATCGCAGAGCAAACTCGCGCTGGAACATGAGAATGCAGACTCTGGGGGCGGGTGTGGTGGCGAGGAGCTTGAATGTGAGAGGGGACGAGATCTGGGTTGAAATGTTAGGCAGTTGGACATGGAGGAGCATCTTAGGCATAGACCATACCTGATACGGAGTATTGCTAATGCAGACATCGAAATACGGGAGTTCCGTCTTCATGAAATCTCCCAGAATAACATCAAGTCGCTTCTGCGCTGGCGTTCCTTGTACACGCTTTGTGACTTCTGCAGCCATTCGAGGATCCAGCTCGACCGCGATAACCTTCTTTGCCTTTTCGAGGATTCGGACCGTAAGGTTACCAGTACCAGGACCAATTTCTAGAACGACCTGTATACCCGACAACACCGATCAGCACGCTACGATATCATGGACCTGTTGAGATATGGAATGCCACTCACGTCACTTTGCTTCAGATCCGCCTTGTCAACGATAGCCTAGACATTAAGAATTAGCGCCTCTAGCTCTCCTGATTTTCGAAACAAATCAAAACATACATCCGATACACCAGGATTACGCAAAACGTGCTGACCAATATCCTTGTTCATCTTGAAGATATTGCTAGCGGCCTTGGTCTTCGCCGCAGCCTCCGCGTAGGGACTCGACTGCGGAGCGCTGTTGCGCTTCTTCCGGTTGACTTTAGGCATTGTGGATAGGAAGACGATGGAACAGCGATTGAAGCCGTTACGTATCAAAACCACCGCAGAGTAAGAGAGAGGGAGGGAAATAGAACGAGGGGTATACCGAGAGCGAGAAAAAAAAATATCCAGATTGCGGAGAGTTTTTGATAAGATTAGCGGGGACCGGAAGAAGGTTGTTGCGGGGCTGTCTTGCCGCAGCGTAAAGCTCCCAATAATTTACTCCAGCATTATCCCAACCTTCCATCTTCACCCTCCCACTCTCGCCACTCCAAGCGCATCGCCCACGATGGCGTCTGGACGCAAGGACTTCCTGAGCCAGCCCGCTCCCGAAAATTACGTCGCGGGTCTGGGTCGAGGTGCGACGGGTTTTACGACTCGTTCGGATCTGGGCCCCGCGCGCGAAGGCCCTACACCGGAGCAGATCCAGGCTGCTCTCGCGAAAAGAGCCCAGCTCCTGGGTGCTGCACCGCCAACGGCGTACGGCGCAGGCCGTGAGAAGGGCGGAAAAGACGAGAAACCAGAGGAAGAAGAGGAGGACGAGCGGTTCCAGGATCCTGACAATGAAGTTGGGTTGTTCGCATACGGACAGTTTGACCAGGAGGATGACGAGGCCGATCGCATCTACCGGGAAGTAGATGAGAAGATGGACAGACGGCGGAAAGCAAGAAGGTTAGTGCATCCACCTTTTCTCCTTTGCGTATCTTGGCTTTGTGCATCGGGTTCACCCCGGACATTGGACAGAGTGCCGACTTGATTCCTTCGCCACGTATAGGGAAGCCCGTGAACTTCAAGAACGAGAAGACTACGAACGAAAGAACCCGAAGATCCAGCAGCAGTTTGCCGATCTGAAACGCTCCCTAGCCTCTGTGTCGGAGGACGACTGGGCCAACCTCCCGGAAGTCGGAGATCTAACGGGTAAAAACCGACGAGCGAAACAGAACTTGCGGCAACGATTCTATGCCGTTCCCGATAGCGTCATCGCTGGCGCCCGAGACTCGGCCCAGTACGAAACGACCGTCGCAGACGATGGTGCCGGTGGCGATGCCCAGGGCGCGGACGGAACGATAACGAACTTTGCGGACATCAGCGCTGCGCGTGACAAGGTTCTCCAGGTCCGACTGGACCAGGCTGCTATGGGTTCTTCGGCAGATGCAGCATCGGGCAGCGCGACGAGTATCGACCCCAAGGGATATCTTACGAGTTTGACGCAGTCGGAGATGAAGGCCGGAGAAGTCGAAATTGGTGACATCAAGCGAGTCCGTGTGTTGCTCGAGTCGGTGACGAAGACCAATCCGAAGCATGCTCCTGGATGGATTGCGCTCGCTCGTCTGGAGGAACTTGCAGGCCGGATCGTGACGGCGCGGAATATTATCGCTAAAGGCTGCGAGTTGTGTCCGAAGAGTGAAGACGCATGGCTGGAAAATATCCGGCTTAACGAGGGCCATAACGCCAAGGTCATTGCCGCCAACGCCATTAAGAACAATGACCGCTCTACGCGACTGTGGATCGAGGCGATGAAACTGGAAACCGAACCTCGCGCCAAAAAGAATGTTCTGCGGCAGGCTATTCTTCACATCCCTCAGTCTGTTGCCATTTGGAAAGAAGCGGTCAACCTTGAAGAAGACCCAAACGATGCCCGCCTCCTTCTGGCCAAGGCCGTGGAAATGATTCCCTTGTCGGTCGAGTTGTGGCTTGCTCTAGCTCGTCTGGAAACTCCTGAAAAGGCCCAGGCGGTCTTGAACAAGGCCCGCAGAGCTGTTCCTACTAGTCATGAAGTTTGGATTGCCGCTGCCCGACTGCAGGAGCAGATGGGCACTTTCGAGAAAGTAAACGTTATGAAGAGAGCTGTCCAGTCCCTTGCTAGGGAAAACGCCATGCTGAAGCGCGAGGAGTGGATAGCGGAAGCTGAGAAGTGTGAAGATGAAGGGGCTATCTTGACGTGCGGCGCTATCATTCGCGAAACATTAGGCTGGGGATTGGACGAAGATGACGACCGGAAAGACATTTGGATGGAGGACGCCAAATCTAGTATTGCCAGAGGCAAGTATGAGACGGCGAGAGCAATCTACGCATACGCATTGCGCGTGTTTGTCAACCGCCGGTCGATCTGGCTGGCCGCTGCCGATCTGGAACGCAACCACGGCACCAAAGAAGCGCTGTGGCAGGTTCTGGAGAAAGCGGTGGAGGCTTGCCCGCAGAGCGAAGAGTTGTGGCTACTTCTCGCCAAGGAGAAGTGGCAGACAGGCGAGATCGACGAGGCCCGGCGTGTTCTCGGTCGCGCTTTCAACCAGAATCCCAACAACGAAGATATCTGGCTGGCTGCTGTCAAGCTCGAGGCCGATGCCCAGCAGACCGACCAGGCGAGGGAGCTTCTGGCTACTGCCCGTCGCGAAGCAGGAACCGACCGCGTGTGGATCAAGAGTGTTGCGTTCGAACGGCAGCTGGGCAATGTCGACGAAGCGCTCGACCTCGTCAACCAAGGTCTCCAGCAGTTCCCCAAGGCTGACAAACTTTGGATGATGAAGGGCCAAATCTACGAAGCCCAGAACAAATACCCACAGGCTCGCGAGGCGTACGGTACCGGCACACGGGCCTGTCCCAAATCCGTACCTCTGTGGCTCCTGGCCTCTAGATTGGAAGAAAAGGCCGGCGCTGTGGTCAAGGCGCGCTCCGTTCTCGACCGGGCCCGTCTTGCCGTTCCTAAGAGCCCCGAGCTGTGGACAGAGAGTGTCCGCGTTGAACGACGAGCGAACAACATCGGCCAGGCGAAGGTCCTAATGGCGAAGGCGCTGCAGGAAGTCCCTACATCAGGCCTCCTGTGGAGTGAGAGCATCTGGCATCTTGAGCCGCGGGCACAGCGGAAGGCCCGCAGCTTGGAGGCCATCAAGAAGGTGGACAACGATCCGATCCTGTTTATCACGGTGGCGCGCATCTTCTGGGGTGAACGTCGTCTAGAGAAGGCGATGACCTGGTTTGAGAAAGCCATCGTCTCCGACAGTGACCTTGGTGATGGGTGGGCTTGGTATTACAAGTTCTTGTTGCAGCACGGTACAGAGGTCCGTCTTTCCCCATTATCTATCTGCCATAAAGAAGCATAGAGCTAACTTGTCTTTCCTACAGGAGAAACGAGCCGACGTGATCTCCAAGTGTGTGGCCACGGAGCCCAAACACGGCGAGGTCTGGCAGTCGGTAGCCAAAGACCCAGCCAACGCGCATAAGTCGACGGAGGAGATCTTGAAGATGGTTGCCAGCCAGATTTCTTAGACGGGGTGATTCATGAAAGACCGGTCAATGTATTATTATCTTCTATATCCCATGAGCTTGCGGTCCAGTAGAGGACCGAAACACCTAAATGAGCAACGAAAGCACGTCGGTCCCTTGTAATGGAATTGGATAGACTTATACCTAGACTAATAAACCGGGCTGCGTAAAACTGTCTTCGTCTATAACCGAAACAAGCCAAAGCTACGGCGAAAGGAAGTAATGTACAAGCATGAAGCAGAGATCCCCTCATCCACACGGATAGAAATCATAAGCAAGCACCAAAGACCGTTCTGTCGGCCGCGTCTCAAACAAAGGTGTATATAGCTCAGTAGACCAGCGGCAGACACTTGAATCCAGAATTTCAAGCCAATTGAAACCCAGGTGATGCTACCCGCGGTCTTTTCAAGTAATGCGGATGGCGATGGAAACCGAATCGAATCGAGTAATGGGTATCGACGAGTTCGCTGTTCGCTGCATATCCTGAGACCTTCACGTAGTGGTTTTCGGCGGGACATTCGAATTCCTATTCAGGTCCTAGATGTCCATGCGAATGTGACGCATCAATCGTTGCATGAGTAGGACACGCCCGGGACGCGTTGGAAGTGGTCAACGCGACACCTCGAGGCGCGCTTCGCAGAAGACAGATACAACGGCATGAGTCAGAAAGAGGAGGTGAAATGAAGAAAGGGTATGAAAGACACGTGAACTCCAAGCCAGATGCAATCGGCAATGCCATTCCCATGACAGTGCCAGTTCCGGTACTCCTAGGACGCCTGACCTCCCACGATGGGCCACTTCTCGGGCTCATCGGGGTAAAATAGTGTGTCGATGTAAGAAAGGTAGTAAAGGAAGGTTGTGATGAAGTGTGATGACGGGGTGTGTCGGGCTCTTTGTGTGTTGGATGGTGGTAGCAGGACGGTTGCGAGGACTCAAGCAGCCATGGACAAACACTCGTCTAGTAATGAGCCCAGCTGTTCTCGGTCTTGCGCTGTGCCGCCTTCCCAGTCCAGGTCTACTTCGTCCACGTCCATCTCTTCGGGGAACTTATTCAGTTTTGGGTTCTTGTCCGGCATTTCCACCACTTCCTCCACGCGGTCTTGTTTGTCCGTCTCCAGCTCGTCTTCGAGGTACCCGCCCATGATCTGATCCACGATCAGAGGCATATGGCTAAGGACACCACCACCGAGCTCCAACGACAGCCGTAAATCCCGGACCCCAAGGGGCTTTCGGACGCTGGCTTCCTTCGCTTCGACCGGAAGTAAGCCTGTCGCACTGTCTTTGACGATCTCACCCCGTGTGAAAGCGAGTTCTTCCATTTCGAGCTGCTGGCGGTATTTCCGCATCATCATGCCGTTGATCGTCCCCGAGGGCCCGTTGCACCGCGTTCGTGAAAACACAACGGAAAGGACCTCCTTCACAAACGTCTCCGTCGCGATCGCCATGAACTCGGCACAGGGGAATCCCGCACCGCCGACGACGGACTCCTCATAGCATATTGGAACCATACGCTGGTAGATGGACTCTGCGTCTGGAAATTCACCCGTCTCCGATGCGAGTGATTGTGCGTACCGTTTCCGAATCTCCAGTTCCCAGTCTGTGGTGCGCGGGTATGGTCAGCCCCGTCCACTCCAGATATAACAATATATGCGAAGACCTACTTGTCTTGTTCAATCCGCCCGCACTGGCGGGGACCTGACTCGGTAGCTTGATCTGCTTTGCCAGATGGTATTCCTCCAACTCATTGTGGGTGAATTCGCTGGGGTCGCGCTAGAGCAAAGACGTTAGTACAACGGCATGACTTCGCCATCACTCGCGCGGTTCTATCATACCTCGGGGATCGCCTTGATGCGTCGTCGGTCCCTAGGCGGCAGTTGCATCACCTCCGTCTTCAGACGCTGCTCAGCCGCATCGCCTGACGTCGGCTTGGACACCACAGACGGTTTGTCGTTTGCCGACACCCAACTTGCCACGCCATGGTCCGGGAGGTCTCTCGTGAGGTTCCCGATGATCGCGCATATGAAATTGTTGTGAAGATGTTCGGTCTTTTGGTCGGCGCATATGATATGATCGACAAGCGACGAAAGTTCGCTCTGGTTTAATTGTCCTGCGCGCGACGGCGACGGGTTAGTAGAGGTACAAAGATAGCCTATACGCCTCCACAGGATTCAGAAGCTCAACTGCGATCCCAACGTACCTAGAAGAAACAGGGTGATGGCCTCCTTGTACTCGGCCCAGTTGTCGCCGATAGCGGCTTTCAGGTCCGTGTAGATAGGCTCGAGGTCCAGCCGCGGGACGGAAATCAGCGCCTTGGTGGATTTCTGCGTAGACGGCGCCGTGGGAGCGGCGCCTTTGGAGGAAGAGATCGCGTTTGATGGAGAGTCAGTCCGACTCAGGGCCGCCGGGTCGATCTGCATGGTTTGGTTGCGAGGGTCGCCGAGGCGCGACGGGGCAGCGCGAAGCCGGGGGTGGGGAGAACTAGGCGTTCATGAGGCGGAGGACATGCCAGAAAAAGACCGAGGGACGGCGGAGATGGGGCAGATGGCGAGGGCATGCGAGGATGGATGGAAGGGCGATGGGGAGGGCGGAGGGGAGATGGATGAGGGGATGGAAGGAGGGAGGAGGATGAAATTCTGGGGTTTTGACTCCATCCAGCGATTTTCACGTTCCCCGCCAACAATGCGACCTTACCATGGCTGAACGACGGTCGTCTGCAACAACTGCTACATGTCGTGCCATGACTGCTACGGAATTGCTCATCTGCTATTTCTAGATGGATGTCTTGTTCTGCTATTTTACGCGACGAATCGCTCTACTAGTCCAGCTTCACGGCCTCCTCATCCAACACCCCGAATAACCGCCCAATTTCCGCCATGATCTCTTCAATCTCCTTGGACAACTGGCCCGTCACGAGAACTGAAGGTCGTTAGCCCATGCCGTTTCCAATTTACAAAGGAAGACCACCTACCGTACGCATACAGCAACGCATAGTCTTCGTCGGTGGACAGATGCGACGCCTCCAGGTCTTTGCGATACCGGAAAAGACGTGCCAGAAGTCGGTCGCGGGCATGTTCAATATTGGGCAGCACGTCGTTAAGAGGGTATTCAAGCTTCATAGACGACGCCATGACTGTGTACATGTCAGCGAACCCTTCATCCATCATGGGCACGAGCAAACCGAGGTAATTGCACTCACCAGACAACAGATGGCTGATCCGGGAAGACAACTGCCGTCGTTCCTGCAAAGTATACCGGAGAATCGCAAGTTCACCTTCCGAAGCGGTCATGTTCTTAACCAGCTCCAGATTGATCGCAAAAAAAGCGTCCACCATGCTCCGTGTGCGACGGAGGATATTGCTGTATGCGGCATCGGGAAAGGCTCCCTGCAGCTCAAATTCGGACCGCGCAGATGCCTGGAGGCCCTCCAGACGTGACAAGAACCGCTCAATCTCCAGCTTCTCCCGCGGAGTCATGAATCCAGGCTGGTCCGCGGCGTTCACCATCGTGGACAACGGACCCTTTTTCCAGGTCAGGCTCATCCGCAGCCACAACAGACTCAGTCCATCTTTCAACCTCTTGCGTGCGCTAATCGGCCAGATGATGCGGGTGATGATGATACCCCAAATGCAGCCAGCAAGAACAGCGGCCACGCGGTGGAGGGCGATTTCAGTGATGATCGGCTTGTCGCCGCCCTCGTCCTCATCATGATGTCCCTCCTTCTGCGTAAGCGAGTAGGCATATAGCACCGAAAGGTTGTATGTGAGCATAATGAACCGACCCATGGGACCCTGGCCTCTCACGATGATGATATATGAAGTCCACGTAGCCATGAGCAATCCCAGAAAGGCCAGTGCAAATACGTTCCCGGCTGACACATACCATGAGATGATTGCGCACACGGCACCTAAACAGGTACCCAGGAATCGCGCATAACCGGTGGTGTTGGAGGCCCCAATCGTCATGGAACAAACAAGCATGTAGGACAGTAAGCCCCACTCGCCTCGCCAGTGGGAGTAGAACGGTCTCGTCGACTGGAGAAAGGACGGCAACGCAAATAGGGCCGCTCCTGTGCCGACTTTGATGGCGAATTTGGTATCGTCCCGTCGAAACACCTCCAGAGATTTCCAGAGCCGATATGTGAGGGTTCCTTTGGCAGACTTATCTAATGGAGTCCTGCGCGTGGAGGAGGGTGCATTGGAACTGGATGAGTTCAGTCGGGCTTCCGCACCGTTTGGTATAGCGACCTGTTCCGCCAACGGTGCTTCTGTCCCCGGTTAGAAACATTCAATATAGTGCATGAAATCAGGCTGGTCCACATACCAGTTTCGCTGGACTGCTGTCGCCAGCGCCAGAATTTCAGCCAGTTCCACGATCTCCCATTGGGACGCTCTTCCGATTCGAGTTGCAATTCATCCAGGATTGCCAGCAGCTGCTTCAACTGCTCGCCGAACTCCAGCAGTGAGAAACTGAAATGTCCGCAACTGGCCGAAACTTCCTCCAAGTCTGCTTCCACCTCCATCGTTTGCACCTTAATGACTTCCTTTTGCCGGTAGATTGTCTTCAGCGCCTCCTCACGGGACTCCCGATACAGCTCCAGCGCACGATCCAGACTGGTCCGGAAGCGACTATTCACGGCCACCTTGTAATCGGGGCCTGGTTTGAACGGAATTTCCTTGAAAATCTCCTTTAAGGTAAAGGCGAGCGACCGCTACGGACAGTCAGTCAGCAGGTCCAACAAAAGCGGCAGTCAGTCTTACCATAGACGGCCCCAGGTGGCTAATGAAAATGGCAAAGATATCAGCAGGAAGAAGAACATGGTCAGGGTCCAGTTCCGTCGTATCTGGAGCGGGATTTGAGCGCGGCCTGTCTCTATCAGTAGCAGAAACAGGCACTTCCTCTTCTTCCTCATCTTCCGGCCGTTCATCGATGGGCTCCAAGAAGGCCCGTTCTTCATGCACCGACCAAGGACTGCCCATGGGCTCAGAACCAATCCCATTCATCTCGCTACCAGGCCTGATCGACTGAGGTGGACTGGCAGGATTGGTTTGCTTTAGGAGCTGAAACTGAAGAAGCGCCGCACTGCGCAGGCCTCCCATGTTATGAGTAATATCCTGCACCCAGCGAACGAGCGTCTTTTCCAGCCGGTACTCCCTCTCCGTGCCGACAACGAAGTGTTCCAGTTTCGCTTCCTTGACGAGATTGTCCAGCAGACCATATGCCTTCTTATGGCGCGCAGCGGCGACGATGTACTCCTGCGTCTGCAGATCCTCCTCCGACCCGCTCAAAAAGCTCTCGGTGATCAGGGCCAGCATGGTCGCCAGGGTGCCGGTCACGGTTGTGACGTTGGCGCGAAGCTTTTTCCGCGCGGAAATGGGAAAGATGGCGAAGGACACCGCCATGGTGGCTGCGACCCCCATGACGACCATCTTCAGCACCTGGGAGATCTTGTCAAACGACAAATCCCCGCTCTGCACCTTTCCCTCTTTCGTCAAGACGGTGATCGTCGAAAGGGACGCGAGGGAGCAGGCAACGTTCACGAGCGGATCTCCGAGTCTCTGCTTCGTCCAGCCGACGAATCCCAGACCGCCGCCGCAAAACACAATTAGGACGACCGCATGACCGAGCGGGAGCAGGTCCAGAGTGTCCTGGAAGAACATGGACACGCACATGCTCGTGACGGAGATAAAGGCGGCGTAGAGGAAGGCCAGCAGGGCGCAGATCAAAGCCTTGTACATGCTCCCCTGCGACCTTGCCGGGTGGAAGTACACCGTGACGGTAGCCACCACATGCTTGCCATCTTGATTGCCCAGGAACGCCGCAATAGGCGGAACGAATGTCGCAAGAGATCCCAGCAAATATGCCAGACTGCACTTGAGAACCCCAATTCCTTGTTCTGAGGTGACAAACGCCCGCACCCAGGACCCTACGTCAATGGCTTTTTTCCGCGCCCGCTGCGGGAGAGTGTCGCGATGCGCGGAAATCTCACCCGACAGAAGACCGCGGCGCTCTTCATGCTCGCCGCCATTCGAGGCAGAGTATGGATTTCGTAGGCTAACCAGACCTTTCAGTCGTTGACCGGTGGTGGGTAAAACGAACGTCGCTTGTCGGAGCTGTATGAGATTGCCTTTTAGCTCACAAATGCGCATGACGGGGACAAAAAGCAAGGACGTAGGGGAGATACCTTCTTGGGACGCAAAAAGCGGCGGGAACTGGTCGATGAGTCCCCCGATAGAGACATATTCTAGCTCATGGCTTTGGATCGACCACCGGGCGAGTTGTAGACTCCATGGTGTTGCTCAACGGTGTCGCGGTCCCCGTGTTTGTTGGAGTTGTCGGGCACCTGACGCTGAGTGGAGGCGCCCATTCCACGCGCCGGCAGGGGTTACTGCCACGCACCATTCATAACATCACCAAATTTATTCGCTACTACAGACAATAATAACATGAACCATGACCAAATCGCAGGACGCTCTCTCTATTTAAATCCCTCTACCTTCCACACCTTGACCGCCGCATCCGCTCCAGCAGAGGCAATCTTGGTTCCTCCCGCAATCCATGCGACGCCGTTCACGCCCTCCTTGTGGGCGTTTCGAACCTGGAGCCAATCTCCCTGGTTGGTCAAGCTCCACACAAAGATATTGGTGTCCAGCGCGCCACTAGTAACATGGGTGTTGTTCTCATTCCAAGCAATCGACGTGATCCGCGCTGTATGCGCCGTCCACCGATCTGTGACAACACTGCCATCCGCAACCTTGTGGATCAGTACCCGGCCTCGAGAATCACCCACAGCCAACATGGAGCCGTCTGGAGAGAAAGCCAGGGCTGAGACGGGGTTGCGCGAAGGCTTGAAGTCAACCTTTGGTGACAAGCTGGAACCGGAAATATCGCAGATCTGGACGGTGGAGTCCTCGCCTCCGATGGCTGCGACACTACCATGGGCGGCAACAGTAGTGACGGGGAACTTGGGCTTGAACTCGCCGGCTTTCTGTCCGTCTTTATAGAGCTCAACGCTCTCAGTGGTTCCAACCACCACCTTGCCATCCCCGGCAGCAACACCTTTAGGCTGCCCCGCCAGCTTGGAAGCAGTTCCAGTGTACGTCTTGGCACCAACGTCCACCGATCGAAGGGTATCGTCCCATGCGACGCTGTAGATCCGGCCATTGCCTTCCTGAGTGGGAGTCAGGCCTGCAATGTATGCCGAATGACTGTCGCCATCGATCTCCTCTCCAGCGCCAGTGGGGACGTCCCAGCTGCAGACTCTACCATCGAAACTACCCGTCCACAGGGTCTCCTGGCCGCTGCCAGAGCTTTGTGTCAGAGATGTAATACTGTTTTGGTGACCCTGCACCACCTGGCGCGGCTCCGGGGTGCCTTCGACAAGGTAATTCAGATCACCGCTCAACGAAAGACTGATCAGGAGGTTGTCGCTTCTAGCCGGCGGCCAGACGACTCCAACCTGCTGGTCACGGACATTTGTGCTTCCTTCTCCTCCAATGTGCCAGGTCTGCGTGGTCTTGCCCGCTTCAGCGTCCCAGATCTTGACCGTCCGATCCGCGCTGGCAGTGACGAACTTACGCGAATCCTTCGACCACGAAACCGCAAAGATACTGCCCTTGTGTTCGCCGTCCCCAATCTGACCTTTCGCCTCTCCGGTCTTGCCATCGTAAAGCCAGATCTTGCGGTCCGCGCCCACACTGACCAACGTCGAACCGTCCGGGCTAAATGAGACGCCGTAGATGTAGTTGGAGTGCTTTTCACGAATGCTAGTGTTGAATTTGAAGGGTGCGCCGTGGTAGAAAACGATGTTCTTGTCGTCACCGGCAGCGGCCGCGCGGAGGGGGCGCTGCTGTCTGATGGACACCGTGTTGATCTGCTGTGTGTGGCCGATGATTTCTCCGACGGTGTTTCCGCTGTCCCATGTGATGCAATGACCATAGCGTTGCTTCCCGTTTCCGACGGCGATGATGCGCTGGGAGTCACCGTCCCAGGCCAGGTCGTTGATTCTACCGTTGATGATACTGTACTCGCCCTTTGTGAGTCCCTCGCCACAACAGTCCCAGACATGGACTAAACCGGTACTGTCACCACTAGCGACGTAGAATCCAGAGGGAGAGAAGCGAGCGACGGTGGTCTGTGCCTTGTGTTCGATGTACTGTCTGGCGACTGCGGGGTCGTCGATGGAACGGATAAAGATGGATTTGTTGGACTGTTTGTGTTAGTGACTGCGACAATATCTTTCTATCTTTTGTAGGCATCCAAGACATACCGCATATGCAAGCCGCTCACCCTTGGAGTCCGAGGACAGCTGAGTAGGCTGACCCCTCGCGGTAGAGGGGTTGGCGGCCCAAATGGAATCTACCACGTTTAGCCGGGGATCCTTAGTAAGAAATCGAAGAAGGGCTTACCATTAACGATTGACATGACTGAACCAGCAGGCAATATCGGGGGAGGAGGGAATTGACCGACTGAAACAGGAGAGAAGAGGAAGAGGAAGAGGGGGGGAAGCGGGAGACCGTCGAGTGTTTATTTCGCAACAGCGGAGCGACTGACGTATCGGTGGGGAACGCGGGTGCCTTCCAACGGGCCCATCGCATCTATAACTACCACTTCACGTCTTGTCTTCCATCCTCGTTTCACGAGTCACGGCGGGCTGTTGCTCAATGGCAATGGAATGACAGATCTTCCAGCCGTTCTAAAGCGCTAGATATGAATGTCCTCCGGGGCCGCTTCCTGAGAAGATCCCAGGGAGCAACGCTTTCTCACCGCTGTAGCCACCACAGCGATACACTTATGGGGGCTTCTATTCCTTCCAGCAATCGGAAGATGAGTGAGACCGAGGGAATTACAGACTCAAAGCATGTTCTTGAGGCGCTCAATCGCTTTACCTCGGGTCGTTGGCTTTGGAACGAGAGACAGCAATTTGCCTGTCGCTATGTCAAGTTCGACCTCTCAGCGCTTCTGCAACTAGCTGCCTCTGCGATCGGATCGAGATCATGCACCAAAGTGCTCAAGATCTCCGAGGATCAATATAACAAAGTGTTCCAGCTTACTATGGATGATGGACGTGAGGTTATCGCGAAACTTCCAAATCCCAATGCAGGCAGACCGTACTTCACCACAGCTAGGGAGGTTGCAACTATGGACTTTGTATGGCCCGCTTCGCTACTGCGATTTCTTCTTGCGCGTCAGTACTAACTTAGCTAGTTGAGGAATGTCCTGGAAGTCCCTGTTCCAAGAGTGTACGCGTGGAGTCCTCGAGCGTCAGGGAACTTCCTTGGAGCGGAGTATATCCTCATGGAGAAGCAGGCCGGGGTAGTACTAACTGATCTATGGGAGTCCCTCAAAGGAAAGCAGAAAGCCCACATCCTGGACCAAGTGATTGAAATCGAGAGGCGCTTAGCAGCAACCAAATTCTCAAAATTCGGGTCGCTGTACTATAAAGACGACCTTCATGACAGATCGGACTCTACTTCGCCTCTATATCTCGATTCAACTGGAAACGAAGTGTGGAGCAAAACATTCGCCATTGGGCCGACTAATAACCGTTCCTTCTTGCTTTGACTTCGGGAGAGGTGATTTGGATATTGAGCGTGGTCCATGTAAGTCCGTCTCCGACTCGTATAATATGGTTACTTTGTGCTTATCCATGCACCACGTTTAGGGCCAACGCCCACAGAAGTTATGACGGCCATTGCGAGGAGGGAGATTGCGACTGCAAAGGCAGGTCTCCGGTACCCCTTAATGCCTGAAGGTCTTTTCTATGGACCCCGACAATACCAGCCTAGCCTCTCAAAAAAGCTCTCCGCGTTGGAAAACTACATTAAGGTGGCACCTTATGTTTTACCAGAACATGAAGCCACTCATGCCTCAGTTTTATGGCATGGTGATCTTCATTCTCAGAATATATTTGTCGATCCTAAAGACCCAAGCCGTATTCTGGGGATTCTTGATTGGCAGTCCGTCAGTGCCCTTCCACTTTTCATGCAAGTTGGGCGCCCAGCGTTTCTCGATTACAATGGGCCGGTTCCTGAAGATTTAGGGAAGGTCCCTTTGCCAGCAAATTTTGACTCCATGGATCCAGATGAACAGCGGAAAGCAAAGGCACTTCATAGAGCACAGACCCTGCACAATCTCTATCTAGCTCGGTGTCTTTAGGTTAACAACACGGTCTTTGAAGCGATACAGGGCCAAAACACTCTCCGGCACCAGGTCAGTGTGGTTCCGGGATTAGTCTTGATGGACTACGAGCCGCTTCTCGACAGCCTATTGAGAGATGTCGAGAAAGAATGGGCACATATCGTTGGCGTAGGGGTGGATGGCAGCACTCCTGAAACGCCGTTTCCATTGCAGTTCTCGGACGAAGAAATTCAGCAGCAGGAGCAGGATGCCGAGTTATGGGCCCAAGGGGTTGAACTCATGGATGCATTTGTTGGCGACACTGGATGTTTTAAACATTGGGATGGTAGGGTCACTGATGGAGACTATGAAAAGTCTAGGAGAGAGCTAGACGAGGGGTGAAGAGGTTCTTGGATCGTGAAGCCAGGAACGATGAAGAACGCAGGGAGTGGCTCAAAGTCCTTCCGTTTGTGGATCACTAGAAGATATCACTCATCCTAACAACACCGTTGCAAGTTCTGTGTATCATTACAGGATTTATGAGCAATCTTTTGATAGGAACCTGCTAAACTGTACAGTTAGAGCGCTTGAGGCATTGATTCGTATGCCTAAATAGGCTTAGCGTTGTTAGTGTCTCCTACAGATTATCTTCGACAACAACACCAGGTATCTGACTACTGACTATCACCGACTTGCAGCATGGTTTGCCCGCATAGTACTCTCAGTGGAAGCGTCTCGCAACATGCTAGTGCTGCAGGATACAGACAACCATCCCTGAGGCAAAGAAAATTAGCTACAGGACAAACATCGCCTCAGAGGAACTCATTACCCTCAGTCGACCTCGACCACCTGCATTTTCCAGCTCCTTTAGTCCTCCCTGATGATGACCTTGCTCTGGACCCTGACCATCCCCCTCAGAGCTTCCAGGAGTGGCTGGACGATGGGGATCGGAACAAGATCACACCGTCTAGGAAAACGGTGTACGTGGTCGCACCGCCTCGCATTGGTGACGGCCTTGCTTTCTTACGCGACTGGGCCCATCCAAAAAAAGGGCGTGCCTATCCGAATGCCCTCCCTGCCCAGCCAACAGATATCCTTGACTACGTGGCTGCGTTCTATCGCGGCTTACCCGTCAAGCTTCTAACAAGTAACATCCAGTTTCTTCCATGGGATAGTGACAAGGCATCATCGAAGACGGCACCAAAGTATGTTGGTCTGGCGGTCTCCGATGAATGTATTCGCATTCGCACGCGTGCTTGTCCGGACAAAGTCTACGCTCATCAGTTGAATCTAGATGATCTGCTCGATGCGGCCATCAGCATGCTGCCAGAAGATGCCTACGCTCTCTGCATGCTTGTCGATCACGACCTCTACGAGGACGATGATGATGTCTTCGTCTGTGGACGCGCCTACGGCGGAAGTCGCGTCGCGGTTGTCTCCAGCGCCCGCTATCATCCGGGCCTAGACAAGGTCCATTCCGTTGAGCGTGACCATGCATGGCCAGCATCCCATTGTCAAGAGTACATCAACGGCTGCTGCAACGCGGCTCCGGTTGCCAAGCGGCAGAGGACCACCCCGTCGAGGACACCTACGCCGTCTGAACGGCTAAAGGTTTCGGTAGCTGCAGCATCGGCTGTGCCAGATATAGATTCATCTTTGGATCTCCTCTCCGCGCTCTGGCTCTCCAGGATGTGTCGTACTGTCAGTCATGAGCTGGGCCATTGCTTTGGTATAGACCACTGCGTGTATTATGCGTGTTCGATGCAGGGCAGTGCCTCGCTGGCAGAGGATGCGCGTCAACCGCCTTATTTGTGTCCGGTTGATCTGGCCAAGGTCCTTTACGCGACTGGCACCACCGCTGCTGAGAGGAATCGCGCGTTGGTTGAGTACTGCAATCGTGCTGGAAATAGAGGGTCGCAGCTTTTTGCAGCACTTGCTGCATGGTGTTTGTCTTGAACCAGGGGTTTGTGGATGATACGAAGGTGTGGAAGGTACCTATGCTGTGCGGGTGAATAGCCCTCCTTCGCCGGAGAGCTTCTAACTGCCGGGGCTTCTCGTATACAATCATTGCAATGTGATGTACTTCAACTGATAATCCTTTTGAGCCACATCTATGCCTGCCTTGTCTGATTGGACTGAGCTCAGCTCCGCCAAGAAATATCCTAATCAGGAATCCCGTTGTCCTCCCTTCCGTTGAATAATGGTTGTTTTGACGCCGTCTAGTAGGCAAGAACAACCCATGCCAATGATGTTGGACTTCTTCATACATCTGTCTACTTTCTCCAAGTCGTTATCAATGCAGTTAGCCCGTCATAGCAGGATCCCACTGTCAGGAACCATCCGCCGCCCCCTCGGACAACCGCTTCAGAGATGCATCGTGTCTGTAGCGCAGTCTAATACGGAGCCCATCGCTCCAGCTACACTCCTCAAGAGTGACTCAGGGCAAATGTATAGAGTCGAAGAAATTCTCGCTGATCGGCGACAGCCCCTACTGTGTGTGTATCGTGCCAGGCGTGTTGGAATAACTCCTGGTCAGTGAATTGCGACTGACTGAATGGCGGGAAGAGCTGAAGGAAGGAAGTACATCTTGAAGAATATGATCCCAGGAGAGTTCGAGTACCAGCTGGCTCTGCAAAAGCGACTGTCTTCTTGTCCAAATGTGCGAGCGGTTGTTGATACTATCCAAAACCTCGATTTGTTTATCTACTCGTTCTTGGATGGCGACTTGCTTCGTCTAAGTCAGAGATCTCTGTCTAAAGATGCGCGACGTTATATTCTTCAGAGCGCGCTACATGGCCTAGCTAATATACATGACAGAGAAATTCTCCACAATGGAAAGTTCCAAAGTCCTAATATACCTTCCATGCTACTAACATTTAATAGATATCAAGCCTGACAATATCCTCGTGGACTACGAGGAAGATGCGGCCGGTCAAATCAGGGTTAAAGAAGTCCAAATTTCTGATCTGGAAGACACGGTCATTGTGCCGCCTGGAAAATGGCTGAGAGGTCCTCTCTGTGGCAATGCTATCTGGAGGAGGCCCGAGAGTTGGTGCAGATCCCGCCAGAATCAGGCCTCGGATGTTTTCTCTTTCGGTATCGTGGTATGGGTGACTTTATAATAAACAAATATAACTCCAGCACGTCGCTAAAGTCCTTCGCAGATGATTTATGTCATGGTTAACGACATGGTCTTTCGCGTCAGTGACAGCCAGCTAAATGCGCCGGACTCATGGCGCTATATACTCCGCAAACACATATCTTACTTCGCCGATCAAGACGGTCTCAATGGGCTTCTCCAACATATTGGAGAGGAGAACGCCTTCTATGAGCGTTTAGTATCTCTTGCCAACAGCTTCACCCCAGGCGATCTGAGACAACCCTTCCACACTTGGGATTATGTAGAGCCGGACCTCAGGGATCTCGTGGGCAAAATGACCAATCTAGACCCAACAAAACGGATTACTGCAGGAGAGGCGCTTCAGCACCATTGGTTCACCCAATCCTCTTGATTGCCAGTAATGGTCGATATGAACAGCTGAAAACAAATATAGCTTAAATAATGAGCTAGATCGATTTACCCTCGTATTCTCGCAGGACAATGTATCTTTAGACCTCTATCCTGAAGAGGCCAACTAGCTACTTGGCTGCGGCAAAAATGACAGAGTTCCGCATGACAGGCGAATACACCTTTACCTCCACAGCACGCAGCCCTGCTTTGTCAAGGATTGCATCCCATTGCGATGCCGTCCGCTCCATGGTTCCGAACAGAGTATACATTTGGAGATCCAGCCCAGCAGGCCACACGTGAGCGTTCTCATCCGGCACCACCACCTCATATATGGCCACCAGCGAATCAGCTGACATGGCAGGCACAATGTTGGCTAGTATCTGCACTGCTTTAGAATCATCCCAGTTGTGAAGAATGGCTCGCAGATAGTAATACTTTGCCCCTGCAAAAACGGTCAATAAAAGTGAATCATCCTTCATGTCCATTCGGAGTAAATGGAGAGCCAATCTCTAGGCTTCCGAGGCATCTTCTCATGGCCGCAGATTAACCGGATGGCAAGCCTTGCGACAAAGCCACGCATCTTCCGGCTCCGTAGATAGCGCGACAAAGAGGGGCGGCGCTTGCTGTAGTCGGTGGGTACCTGATCTCAGGCTAGCAAATCCCCCGATGTATGTGTAAAAGGACTAAACGCGGGGACTTACCAAGATCCATGCATTCAAAATCCCCCGAAAAGACAATACTGTACAGCCCCCGTTCATTATCGGTTCCACTCCGAGTGTCAAGTAACCTTCGATCTCACTGAGTTATTTTATTTAGCGTGGAATCCAGTATCCGAAATGATTGGTCAAAACATCAATACAGAAAGTACCTGCATGGAACCAAGATTGAGGCTAAGAAAATCACGCTCGCCTCCGGTCTCCGAGACAATGAAGGCGTCTGAGGGACACCCAGGGGATGGTCAGCGACCAGGTTAAATTCACTAATGTTGGCCTCCTCTCGTACTCTGACCAGCCATACTCACTCACCTCCGTCTGTACTTCAGCCGGTTTGTGTGCTATTTTGTGTGCTCTACTACCTATCCATCGCTTCAGAGTGAATCCTAGACAGTTATCTATTTGATTATTTCCACACTCGGTCGTTTGCACTACACCACCACCACAACCAAACCCACACAGAGACAAAGAGAAGCCCACGGTCTGACAGAATGGCAGCGACACCACCCTCCTATACCAAAATCACTCACTCTGCCACGTATGCCGGCATCAATCCAACTCAGCCCGGCCTGTCCACGGCGGGCAAGGTTGTGCTGATCACTGGCGCATCTGGCGGCATCGGCCGGGCCACCGCCGCATCCTTTGCTGCATCGCGTCCCCGAGCTCTCATCCTCTTCGGTCGACGCGCTGACGCCCTGGCGGAAACCGTCACGACTGTTCGAGCCGGCCACGCAGAGGTGACCTTTCACACTCACACGGTTGATCTGTGCGATGCTTCGGGTGTACGCGATGCCATGAACAAGGTGGCTGCCGAGTTTGGCGGTATCGACATCCTCGTCCACTGTGCCGGCTCCCTGGCCCCCGTGGTTCCCCTTCTGCAAGCCGATCCGGCTACTTTTCTGGACGGCTACAAGACTACTGTTGTCGGTACGCTGGTGACAGCACAAGCTGTCATCCTGGCAAACAAGACGGTCAGCGCAGACACGGACAAGCCAGTCACCTTCATCAATCTGACCACAGCCGGCATCCTATTCCCCCCTTTTCCCGGCATGGGCGCCTACCGGAGCAGCAAGATGGCCGCAGTTCAGCTCTTAGACTCCTTTGCCGCCGAGAACCCGCAAGTGCGTCTTCACAATGTGCATCCGGGACTCCTCCAGACGGCTATGTCTGCCAAGCTGGCTGAGACGATAAAATTGCCATATGCCTATGATGACAGTAAGTATAAACTGGACCCGTCCTTTGTCGCCCATATGTTTTCGATGCAAGGAACTAACGGTCATTCTTTCGTGTACAGTGTCTCTTCCCGCCGATTTCCTTGTCTGGATTGCCTCCCCCGAAGCAGAGTTTCTCAGAAACAAGATCGTTTTCGCCTCTTGGGACGTTGATGAGCTCAAGGGTCGCAAGAATGAAATCGTCGGTTTCCGGCCGGGAGCCGGCGAGCTCGGCATCGGCTACCAAGGATTCCCTCGGTTTATGGCTGGGGAGCCTTTGCCCGGCACCCAGTAGGCAACCGGCTGAAGGCACTGTGATTGCGCGCGTGACTGAACAAGTACATGAAGTATTTTCACCGGGGAGAACTAGCGCGAAGACGCCATGAAAGGAATGTATGCCAGAATTATGTTGCGAAGTTGAACATAGCTTTTAAATGATAAAGATAGAAGACGGATAAAGAGTAGTCATCATCATCAACCCAAAGTAATGGATTTGCGGACTGGTGTCATCCAGTCTAGTCCAATGCCTACGTGCAACTACGTCGTCTCTCGAAAATCTGCAAGATGTCCCATGTGCTATGTATGATACTATATAAAAATACGACCAGACTCATGAGACCACACGTCTTGCCACTTCCTGAGTGACAAAGTGCAATCTGCACCGACAGCGGGGTTAGCTATAGCCGCAGCTAGCGGGAGTTCATGGCCCCTGCTCCAAGGTGCATGGCAACGTGTTGCTAACAGCTCTAGTTGGCCACCGCGGCCGATTAGGTGGATTCTGTTAACTCGTAATGCACTAAGAATACAAGTATCGTTCGCGAAAATTAAGTACTAGGAATAGATTGTTGCCGCTACACCAAGCTACGGCAAGCCCTGGCAAGCCTCGACCACTCATGCTTGTAGCCACCAAGCTTAGGGCCAGATATTGGCAAACACGGTGAACTGACCAATAATGGGCCTACACATCAGTCTTTCCCCTATCGCCGTCGGTTTATCAGCGGTGGTTAGTCGTTCGTGTTGGATAATGGATACTACCTTGTGCATATGAAGCCTAGATTGACGCGTACTTAGTTCGGACGGACGCCTTTTGGGCTAGGTCGTATTCATATTAGAATAATATGGAACGTGGCTGAGGCTGATAAACCAATTTGGCCCTGTAGGTTGTCTGGTTGTAACATATACCTTGCGGTGCTGCTCGTACTTATTCATGGATGGCGTGTATGGCTTCATCTTATCACATCCATACCAGGCCTGACCTCGTGACACTATCACAACACCACCCCGAGAGCACTCACCACACGATGGAGATGGCCGATGAACCAGAAATTGGATATGTCGGGGATCGTCTTTCTCCATCCGGTGGCTTTCTGGATCCCGAAATCCCCTTTTCATCAGTTCACGCCCTTCTCCCGAGCAACTCGCACGTCGATTTCACCGCGTTTGACATTTTCAGTTTCGAGAGCAGAAAATTACCGCCCACGTGGAGAATGGATACGTCCTCATCCACAGACAGTCTGTCCGACAATTCCGCTCCGATGCTAATCACGGAGGATAACGGCATCCCATCGATGCTTGAAGCCACTCGGTCTCAAGAGGACCGGCTTTGCCAGAACCCCCAAGGGTGCTGCATCAGCGTTGCTACAGGGATCCTCAGCTCCATGCACGTCGAGTCAAGCTCGTGCACTCATGCCCAGGGTAGTGGTCGCCATCCTCAACTATCGCGTGCAGCTGACGCTATCCTGTCCATGAACCAGGCTGCCTTGCGGGCGGTCGTCTCCGTAGTCCAATGTTCGTGCTACAGAAGGCCGCAGGTGCTCCTCATTGTCACCGTCATCTGCTCTGAGATTACTGCTTGGTACAGGCACATTGTTGAATTATACAGTCACGGCCGCAACTCAACCGCGGGCCGCGCCGTCCTACCCAGCAGTAAAGGCAAAGTCGAGATCCGAAGACCGGACTTCTTCATTGGCGATCACTGCTTGGGCAAGGACTTAGGGACGGCCCTTATTCGTCAAATACTTTCGGGAATGCTTCAAGAACTACAAGCCGTTATTGAAGACATTGCTTGTCACGCAGGACAGTCGGCTGCTGTCAACGAGCCGAGGAGCGACCTAATGCTGGGTAGTGTACAAGCCAGAATGGTTACATTTCTTCGTACACAGTTACGCGCGCTTACTTCTGCGCTGGACAACTCAGAAAGCGACTCGGCCACAGTTCATGTATAGGAGGATCAGCGCTGGCGCTTGGGCTGCGGAATCATCATGAATTAGTACATACCGGCCGTATGGGACGTCTACAAAATGCGTTGCAAGCCTATTCCTTTTTGTTTCTTCGGATTAGACCTTACAAAGGAGCGTTCATACATTGGTGTAGCTACTGGTTGCTGCTTGGCAGGTCTGGGTAATGTCACATGACGTGAAGCTTCCTTCCATTGCACCTGCTGCTCTTCTTGACTGCTGATAAATCCCTGAATGATAGATTGTGTATCTCAGGATCGTTGCTTGGAGTGCTATATGAAGGTTGTAACAGAGGAATGCGCTGCAGGGAGCAAAGCCTGATGGTTGTTATGAACAGTAATCAGCATAGAATAATGACCAAAGCTGTAGGCCACCTCCGTCTGGGTAGAGTATGAACTGAACATCAAAGCTGTTAGAACAAAGGAAGGCTCGCATGGCGCCCAGGATGATCGGAGCCGATAGGCTGAGACGTGCATAGTACATACTCTGTAATGCTGTGTAAGCTGTGTATTACCACTAGGTCCTTGCTATAATGCCGCAATTTAAATCTCAATATACTCTCTCATTAACAATATCACGGCGCTTTACTAAAAGTAATCACTGTAGATGCAGTTATACATATTTAGGCTCTATAGTGTTGGATAGAATCATTATAAGCTTCATAGAAAGCATCATAATATCGCTTTTATAGGACTATTATGACCGCGAGTTGTTGAGAATATATCTGGATCCCTAATCAGGCTCGCGGTAAATATTTTGGATTCAAACATTTGGCGTTCCCCTGTAAATTGACCTGCAGTAGCTTTGCGCGGATGTACGGGCGTGCGGCCCAATCGAAAAGTTGGACACTCGATTTCCCCGTCTAGTGCTTATTCTTACTTCTTTGTCTTTCCGGTCCCTAGACGTGCATTGGCGACAGCCGAGGGTCTTAGTAGTGCCCACCAGAACCTGTTGGTTGAGCGAGCAAATCAGATTATAGATTCTATGCCCTAGTTGGCCGGGGAGTCCGTTGCACATAGATTCGGTTATTGTTAGGAAAACTTTTGCTTGTTAATTATGGCTGCGCAGCCTCCTTTGTACAATAGTATAGCGCCCACTCCTTACTCAACACCCAGTCAGTGTCAACCATTTATGATAATTCATACCGAAAGCGGCAAAACTAACCCGGAAGGGAAAATTCACCAGGTGCTCGCCTTTAACAAGTCTAATTCCCATCCTCACCCAAACGCAGTTCAAGATATATAGTACATAACCCCATAGATGCTATCCTGGAAACCCAGGAACAGGTTGATAAAGAACAAGATAAAAGAAATAAAAGTCCGAATCCGGCCCGGCCTGCATGCTCAACTCGATATGTTCTAGAAGAAGTGACCGCCTCCGTCCGCGCGCGCCTTCATCTCCGCGGCCAGAATCTCGGGGTGCTTGTGAACACTGGGCATGAGACCAAGACCGATAGCCCTTCGGATAGCCTTTGCGATTTTCCGCTGGTTGACTGGTCGCAGACCGGTGGCGCTTCTATGCTTGATACGACCCATGGGGGTGATGTATTCGGACATGATCGAGAAGTTCTGCACAAGCTTATAGTCAGTCACTGCTCTCTGCCGTTGACCTCGCTTATGATCATCCATACCTTATACAGATCCAGAGGGTTCATGTTCAGAGAATCAAAAGCGTCCGTCGACGGACTGTAGCGCTTCCTCCACTTCTTCATCTCGGCAGGACTCAGGTCATGAGGCGCATAAATATCACCCGCTTTCCAATCACGGGTCTGGAACTTTTCGAGGACGCGGCTTTCTCCCTGGGCCTTCTGGTCCTGGAGGAACTTCTGGCGGTTCTGTATCCGACGGCGGCCGAAGGTTTTGGGGACTGTAGGATGCCACGGTTAGCGTCTGTTTCAACTCCGTTTCCATCCTAGTAGCAACACCATCCTGCAGATCGACTCCGACAAAATGGGAGACATGACATACCCCGACTATGGGCGGCATTGCGCGGAACGACAAAGGGCTTGGGAGCCGGAGCCGGAGCAGAGGTGGAATTCCACCGACAGGCGGCCAGCGATCCCATGATGGTGGGAGAGCCAAAGGTCCGCAGAGGCGACCAGGACAAGAGATGGAGCGCCATTGTGAGAGGTTTTGCTTCGTGAGGGAGCGTCGAAGCAATGACGATGTGAGGGGATTTGGCGGAGAGACGGCTGAAGAGAAAGAGAGCGGGAGTGGAGCGCATCGAGACGGATTTCTTTTCGGCGCGCCAAGAGCCGCATCTCTCCCGCCAACTTCTTCCTCTTCCCCCCAGACTTCCTACCTTTAACATCTAAATCTATCTCTCTCTTCCATTTGACAACTGCCTCATGCGTTCCTGATTGACATCAACCGTCCTCATTGTCTATTCCTCTAATTATCACAGTCTCTCCCCATGCAGTCCCATCTCACTAGGAGGGTCTTCCGGGCCATTCTAAACAACGAGCCACTATCCTCCTCGCATTGTCGCAATCGCCTGCTGCATACTCTTCGGACGCATCGATCTCGAAACCTCATCCTCCCCAGCGTTCACCATGTGCACCGGCGCAGCTTCTTCGCGTTCGCCATGACTCCTCCCTCCGCACCCCCAGCGGCAACAATACAGTCGGAAATCGGGCTGAAGCCGATGCGGGATTTGATGAGAGCACTGAAGGATAAAAGTCGGGGTCCTGCGCATGGTGTGCTCGCCAAGGCTTTTCAGGACTTCTTCGTCGCTCGAGCGGACACTCCCGGTGTGATCACGGGCTTCCAGGCGCGTCTGTTAGTCGTGACGTGGAAACATTTGCGGGCTCAGGAAGAAGAGCTGGAACCGGAGGATTGGCAGCGGATCTTTTCGACCGAAAACCTGGAGAACGTGCTCTACGTTCTGTCGGAAGCCAAGTGTCTGCCGGAGTCCCGCGAGGTGGTGCAGAAAGTCGCCCGTTATGCGTTTCTGGAGCTCTGTGCGGATCATGGATTCGGTCCGAACCATATCGGTCGCCAGGCGCTTTTGGCCTACATCAATATCCAAGCGCTCAATGGGAATCCCGAGGAGGCAAGACATGTTGTTGAGAAGTTCTGGAATCGGCTGCAGAAGACTAGCCCCTCCCCGTGGCTCACCGTGATGAAGGGATTTGCCCTGAACAATGACCGGCGGCAGCTTCGTCGGACTACCGAGAGACTGGAGGATCACGGCATTCAATTTGACTCTGCTTCTCATGAAGAACTGGTCAACATCCTCATCGGCCAAGATCTGTTGCAAGCCGTCCAGACTATCTATGAATGCCCACTGTCAAAAGGCCAACAACCGGCACTTGCTACGAAGGAGGCTGTCATCAAATACGCGATCCTAAAGTCTGAGACTGCCTGGGCCGAACCTATCTTCGAGTCCCTCGCGCAGGTCCCCGTTACAGAAACCCTGGAGATTGTGCTGCTCTGGCAAGCTGCTCACGGAGCAGATGCATCTGCTATCTCCGAAAAGGTCCAGGAATTGACAGCCAAGGACCCGGAAGCGAAGGCGTCTCTCACTATCGCGTGTGTGAACAGCCTGATCGAGTACGCCAACTGCATCAAAGACCCCGAACTCGCCGCAAACTTTGCGTCGCTGGCTTCCGAGTGGGGATTCGAGCCCGATATGCGGACCCATCAACTGCGACTTGAATCATACATCCAGGCGGGAGACGTCGAGCAGACACTTCAAGGCGTGGAAGAGCTTTACGATGTCAACATCATGGCCTTTGAGAACTTGCCCCTTATGAACAAGCTTATTACGATGCTCTGCCTGTCCGGACAGGACGATGCCATCTTTGACCGGGTTTCCTCCTTCCTCGACCCCGTGTTCGAAAACAATGTGCGTCTTGAGGCAGAGACTGTAGCGGCACTGACACACATGCTTCTCTACCGACACGATTGGGAAGGGGTCTCCGAGCTCCTCCGGCCGCGCCTTGCGTCGTACGACGATGAGGAGCGTACAAAGATCCGGAACGCCCTCACGGGGTTCATCACCGACCGCACCCAGGACAGCGGAGACGCCTGGGAGGCGTATGGGCTTCTGCAACTGGCGTTCCCTGAAACCGGCGTCAGCATGCGCACGGAGATCATGACCTCATTCTTCAAGCGGGACCGCAGTGACCTGGCGTTCCTGGTGTTCGGCCACATGCGCCAAGCGGAGGACTTTGCGCGACGGCCGAAGCCAGATACCTACGCGCGTTGTTTCCAGGGCCTCGCGCGCACGCAAGACGCGAAAAACGTCGAAACGGTCCACAACATGCTCAAGCTGGACACGGAGGTGGACCTCAACACGCGGCTGCTGAACGGGCTCATGCTGGCGTACGCCGTCTGCGACATGCCGGAGAAGAGCATGGAGATCTTCCGCGAGATCCTGCAGTCCGAGGAGGGCCCCTCGCACAAGACGATTGCGATCTTCTTCAAGCTGTGCGAGAAGCACCATAACGGCGTGCAAGAGGCCATGAAGATGATGAGCAAGGTGAAGCTGCTGGAGATCAACGTCGACCGCCGGTTGTACATGGCGTATGTGGAGGCCCTTGCGGCGCAGTGTGAGTTCGATCTGGCCACCGAGGCTCTGGACCAGATGCACAGCGAGATTGGCCTCATGCCCACGAGGAATTCGTACGTAACCCCCCACACCCCCCGGATATACGCTAATTATGATTGTTCACTGTGAACAGGATCGGTCTTCTCTACAACGCGATACCCTATCAATACTGGAAAGACGAAGTCGAAAAGTGGGCCAAGGCCAAGTATCCCGAGCTGTGGACGCAGCTGGAAGAGATCGAGCGCACCGAGTACGAAGAAGGACAAAAGTTCAACCTCAACGTGCCAGATATTACCATCTAATTTCTCAGTATATATATGAAATTCACGTCGCATTGAGAATCACCTCAGATTACATGAAAAAGAGACCCGCCAATAACCAACCCATACTTGTACTCCCCCACAGCCAACTCCTGCTCCCCTCAGATACGCTCGGAGTATAAGCCGGTCCACACCCCGTGAGACTGACAGCCCCCATCGCGACCCCAAAGCTGCTAAAGTGGCCGGGGCCCACGCTCGCCAGCCCATTTCCGGCCGAACACTGCGTGTCGCGCTCGCCCTCACACCGGACCGTGGTATTCGGGGCGCCGCCGCTATAGTACTCCTACGCCCGTCAGTACGTCCCACTAAACAACGGCAGACAGGGCACTCACAACCCCGTAATGCTTATAATCATTCGGCGACAAGACGTACATATTCTGCCGCTGTCAGCACAAGCTCCTTTCAAAAACGCTAGGACCCCACGAACCGGCACCCCATCGTCGATGTTATTCCCTCTCTTCATCGTCCCATTCTGCTCAGTGCCAAACGCAGCAAATACCTCATTGCCAATGGGGAACGCAGCGAGCGCCGTGCTCACAATCTCTCTACCCGGGAAGTTCTGCGCCAGCGCAATGTACGACAGATACGTCAGGGAGCCGCCGAGCGAATGCCCCGTCGACTCGAGGGTGTAGTCTGGATGCTGGGCGAGGAGCGCGCGGACCTCCGTGAGGATGTCGTCGTGCACGACCGACCACGGCTTGTAGATGCCGTTCATGACGGTTACGTTGGGGGGGAAAGTGACGCCCGACAGGACGGGGTTCACCGGCGTGGTGTCGACGTCTGTGAGGAGGTTCTGGACTGGATGTGGTGACGGCATTTAGCATGCCTCTTGCTGTTTTATCGTGGGGGTGGTCAACGCACCGTTGACAGAGCCGCGCATCACCACTGCGATGGTCCGGCGTTGCTCGGAGTATCCCACGAAGCCCTGGTGCGGTTCAGATACTCGCCTCAAGCATGGCAGACGGGAAGGGGAGTAGAGTACCTCGGTATCAGCCACGGGGGATCGGATCGGCTTGGTGATGGTCACATCGAAGGCTCGCTCGGTGCAGCCGGCGTACGCTGCGGAGGCGAGCAGCGCAGACCGGTGCAGGTCGTTCCATGCGGAAGGGTCTGGTCGCGGTTAGTGAGTGCGGCGGGATACAGACTGCGACGGACCTGGGACGGCTCGACCTGTGAGAGAGGCGGTAGCAAAGGCTGGGGGTGCCAGGATCTTGATGACATGCATGGTGCTTGCTCGTTGTTGCGATAAGAGAGGTGTCCAGTCTGCATCCAAGCATGTACCTAGTATTTATACAAGACAGTCATGATGGCGTTGAGTAGCGTCATCCCGGATACACCACCAGATAAACCGAATAAGTAAAGCCCCGCGTCTGTCCCTTACTTCGTGCTGCTGCTGCTGCTCAAAAGCAACCATGCCGGCAGCTGCAGTAGGACAAATATGGAGGACCTGCCTGCGTATAAATACCAATTGGGATTCCATGCCCACACTCGCCGGAATCTACACCTCCTCGGACGATAATATAACCTGTTAGGTGCGGCTGCAGAGCGAGGGAAAAGAGTACCATGTCTGGGCGGACCCGCGTGGGTTCAACCAGGACAGTAGCGAGGTAAGTAACATCCCCAGTGACTGTTATTCTATGCTGATTGTGGATTCAGTACGGTTTGGTGGTACCGCTGGGAAGGAATATAGCAATCGGTTGCTTGCTGTGACTGAGCTGGGCGAGTTGGTGGTCCGGGAAAGCTGGACGGATGAGGCGAAGTTTCGGTGCGTCGAGTAGCTGTCGAAGTAGAATACAGGTGTTTGCTTCAAGGTGTAAGCTGAACGGGGTATGAACTATGTCTGCTACGGCAGCCACCGACGAGGCACCGACATTTCATGTATGTGAATTGGAACTTCATGTGATATGCATTACACTTACTCCATGGCATTGACTTGATGCTGCGGTATACATCCTAGTATACGCAGTCTCTCACTCCAGCCAACAGCTACGCTACATGCGGAATTCTTGCAGACTCAATCACCAGGAAACCAATCGTTGTATTATACGATTACTCGTGACTTTTCTGTATCCCATGCCTATGGACATCCCTCATTAATGGTCGTAACACTGCCTATGTGCAGTCATGTAAACACCGCAGATGCACTCATGCAAAACCGACAAACATTCCATCTAATCTAATCATTCATGCCTTCGATTGAGTAAGACGCTTGGTCATACTAATGCCAGTCAGCATCTCCGCATCATCCGCATCATTCTTCAGGAAGAACTTACAAGTCAAAGAAAGAGAACTGGCTGGGGCTGCTGCCGTACTCGTACACAAACCGACTCGCCAGGTAGCTGCCAAAGATCGCCCGCAGGTAGTTTTCAGGAACCTATGCACGTTAGCGGCGAATTCAGAACTCCAAAGAGAGGTACCTACCCGATGAAGAATAGTATCAAGGCCAATCTTGTCCAGAAGAAGCTTGGGCAGGGCATCGTTGAGAACAGACCGGCGCAGCTCAACGTTGTCCCACAGCTCAGTCTCCTGCAGCTCTTCGTCGAGCTTGGTGATCGCCACACTGAGACGGTCACTCAGCACGCTGCGGAGCATACCAGTCTGCTCATGTTCCCGCCAGATGGCCTCGAACTCGAGCGTCGCGTTCTGCTTGATGACTTCCTGCACCTGCTTGACATAGTTGACGTAGAATTCCGGCGCACTGCCATCCTCGCGAATGCACATGTTCTCCACAAACTCCTTGTCGTCAAAGGACAACGAAGCCAGAACCTCCAACGAGGACGAGGTCACACCACCCTTGTTGGCCGACGCATCCTTGAACAAGATACAGCCAGCCCGCTCCAGACGCAGCTTGCTGTCCTGCGTAATGAACAAGTTGGCACCCTCCACGATGAACGGGATCACGGACTTGCCATCCTTGATCAGCTTGCCAACAGTGGAGAGATCGATCGACTCAGGGCGTCCACCGCAAGGAACGAACACGTCGTATTGCTGATCCCGGCGGAGATGGAAAGTGTTGCGGAAGATCATTCCATTGTGGACCAGCTCGCCATTCGGCAGCTTGACATTGCTCTCGTCCACCAGGACACGGTAGCCCTGCGGAGACAGCTTCGAAAGGTCAAACTCGGAGATGGTCACCCGCTTCTTGGCAAGTCGCACGAGCTCCTCATGGTTGAGTCCCTGAGGGTCAACAATGACGCCAGATCCGTCGACGATGGCCGTGTACTTCTCGTTGGCGAGCAGAATCTCGTTGGATCCCAGGTCACCGTCAGGGCCACCAGTCTGCAGTTTGCGCATCGTCGAGGGGTCGATCTTCAGCTTGCGATAGATACCAAGCACATACTGACGAACCGACAGGGTCGTCATGCCGTACGTGTCGTGGGGGATGCCACCCAGCTTGGGGCTCTTGCCAGTGAAGAAAGACTTCCACCACGGCGCACCTCTGTTGCGAGCGTGCTCCGTCGCCCAGTCCACCAGTTCGGCGGTGTTCTCATCGGGACCCATAAACAGAATCTCATCCTTTCCATGGAGGTCGACAATCGGGTCCTTGATACCCGGACTGGCCGGGGGAAGCAGGAGGTCGAGAATACTGTCAATGTACTTCTCGAAAGCGACGCGGGCCTTGTCCTGATGATCCACATCCAGCAAGATCACACCCTTGGCACCGCCTTCCGGAATGTCCTTGTTCTTGCGCTGCTGAGTGTTCGCCAGATTGTAGTTCTCGTCGAACAGAGACCGGGCGTTGATGCTATACGCCTCCTTGTTCCGACTCTTGACGATTCGGATACCACCTCGCGCAATATCGCGGAAACGAAGGTGGAACCCACGGAATTCGGAACTGATGACGAGGAACATACCGTAAAGGCGCTGAGGGTACTCGTGCTCCGGAAGGAAATCGGGGTTCAGCCGGAAGCTGAGGGCCACTTTGGTGGGAGTGAAGAAGTTGGTCTTCAGGATCGAAGCATTGAACACGCGGAAGGCGCTCATGACCATCTCGTCGTGCTCGTTCGCCGTAGTGCTCGAGATGAGCTGCTTCAAGCGGGGACCATCCAAGACCTCATCGACCTGCAGACGCAGGTAACTCAGGGTAGGGAGGAAATCGTCTTCGGCAGGACCAGCCGTCTGCACATAGTGGGTGTTGGCAAAGTCCAGGTAGAGCTTATGGATCAGCTCGGGGTACTTGTTGACGATCTCAGAGATGTAGTCCGAAGTGAAGGTTTCCGTACGCAGACGCTTCTTGATCTTGGCCAGAAGTTCCGCGTGGACGCTGTTGTTGGAGTCCAAAAGATCCGTCAAGGAAGTGTATTCCGAGCCGAGACGATTCAGGAACTGCTGCACGAACACCCATGCGCAGTGGGCGTAGATCGTTTCTTGTAAGCTGAGACGGCCACTGGCAAAGTGATGCTGGAACCGGTTCTGGGGGATACAGTAAAGCAGCGACACTTCCTTGATGATCTGGTGGATAGCGGCCTCGATGGGCGGGTACTTGGACGCGATCTCAGAATCCGGGAGGGGACGCAGATAGAGAGAAATGACGGTAATACCGTTGGAGAAGTTCTCCAGGTACTTGCGCGAGCTGGTCAAGCGGTAGTAATGGTACAAATCAGAGAGGGCGCTGAAAAGACCCATGGCCGAGCCCTGACGGTAGGCAATGACCAGTCTCTTTTCACGGCTCTTCTCAATCTCGAACATTTCGATGACGGGACCGGACCGATTCACCGCATTGGTGATGATCTCCTGGTAGATAGCCTTGGTGTTGGCCGTCGCCTTCTGCAGGAAACGCTTCTCACCGATGATGTCGATGTTGGTCTCATTGGGGTCCGGGTTAGGGTTGGCGAACTGGCACTTGTAGACGAAGTAACAGCGGAGCTGCTGGCCATCATCACCGGGGATCGAGGTGGGAGAACGGAAGGTCTCAACACGGTAGCTGTTTTGGGGAGTCGAGTTGTTGATGTACTTGCGGTCAATTCTCTGCTCGTAGCGCGGACCCTCGACCGTGGCGACACCCGGCTTGCTGGTATCGATGTAGACGGCGTGGTCTTCCGCTTCCTTGTCCAGACGGATCTCCAGCTTCTTGTCGTCGCGAGCATACGCCGCGACCTTGGCGGCGTAGAGAGACAGAATCTGAGTGACGATCGCATCGACGGACTCGGTCTGGAAGTAGGTATCGTCGATTCCAAGCTGGTTGTAGAACCACTCGGTCTCTCCGACGACGAATTCGCTGGGGAGGAAGCCTTTGCTTTCCAGCTGGTCCATGACTATGGGGAATAAAAGGTTAGACGAGAATCGTGGATCGCGGATTGAAGAACGGGCTTACCTTGCTCCATCTGCTTCTCTTTGCCTTCAAACTTGGCGGCCACATAACCCGGATCCTCTTCCGACAGAACGCGATGCGGACTGCCACTGGAGGGGAAACCCAGATGGGTGGGCTGAGGTGACGGCTGGCGCATATTGGGACCAGTTACATTGTCGAAAAGCTTGTTGTGAGGGTGTCTCTGGAAGCCGATGGGAGTTCCCGTGCCGGAGGACGAGCCATCGTTGCTCCCAAAGAGTTTGGGCCCCGGACGGACAGGAAGGGCGTTGGTGCCATTGACATGGCCGTCCGGTTGTGGGGATGAAGTCGCTGGGGACACCATGATGCGGAGGTGGGGGAGGGTTAAAGCGGAGAGATTTCAATTGAGAGAGAGAGACGGAGGGAGAGGTGAACGGAGAGATCTTTTTATAGAGGCGGTGTCAGTCATCGGCAAAGGGCACTTTTTTTTATGGGAAGCATGTGGCGCAGGACCCAGAGATAGGGAAGGAATTAAGTTTGGGAGGGACGAAGGCAATGATGGAACAAGGGAAACAAGGGGGCAGAGAGGACAGAGATAAGAGCCGTGGAGAGCAATTGTCGGTGGTGATAGTCGTAGTGGTACAAGCGAAGAGGTGGACGAAGGTGACTTACCGCTCATGCACGGGGAGGGTGTTATCAAACCGATACTGCAATGACGACAGCCAACAAGGAAGGTCGCTTAGTCACAGCCATGCAACCAACTGAGGTTGTATCTGGATAGAACTGGTTCTAAGAAAGAATCACTGTGATAATAGAATCGAGTAACGCGAATGACACATTCTGGAGAACCGGCTTTATATAGCTTGGCCGTCAACCCTCACGTTCATGACCCCAACCGGCCGGTGCTATGCGATCGGCCAGGAACGGGGCACCGGTCCGGGGCAGTAACGATTCGAGACTCGCTGATCCACCGCTATCCCGGTCACCGTGGACGCGGTGGAGCCGGCGGTGGAGAGTGGGTTTTTTCTTTGAATAATAATAATCATCGCTACTATTCAACCAGGAAAAAAAGCCGTCCAGAAGGCTCTCGATGATGCAAGAGTGCCCCCAATCCTGCTGGGCACTAGGTCCGACTTAGAATCAACGACCTTCAATCAATCCTACGAGTATGGTCCCCTTTCAATACACTCTCCTCACGATATTTGTCCTTCTATTCCTCCCCTATACATATCCAAAATACTATTCAGGAAAGAAAACCCTGAATACCACTGCTGTTATTGAGTAAAAGAATTCTCGACCCAAACGTGGAGGGGCACGCGGCCCCCAATCGGGATTAGCGGCACGAGGCAAAAAAGGAAAAAAATGCCGCAAGGAACCCGCATGATTGGCCAGCGCTAATTTTGGAACCTGAAAAGAAAAAAATGATGGAAGAATGGAAAAAATTGCCTCAACACCTGACAAGTTCCCCGTTGTGGCTGAGAACCGCCGTGAATCTCGCCTCTGCCCGCTGATCTGAGACAGCGACCAGAGGCGAATAGGATAAGAATAGGCATACAGGAGAGTCACGTTCGTCAAAGACATTCTAAGACTATTGACAGAGTACTCCAATGGATACTCTGTACATACTCCGTACGTACAGGTCCACTGAGTCAGCTGACACAGCCAGTCTCGTGGTCTGAAGGACTCCACTTAGTAGGGCTGTAGGCTTTGACGCGCATTTTGGTGTGTCATGGTGGCTAGTGACCTGCAAATCATGGCCGCCAGAGATGGCATGCGATGTGAGGCCGCATGTTTCTCTGGCGTAATGAGCCTGGAGAAAATGCCTCAAATTTCGTAACGGATACCGACATTGAAGACGACATTTGGAGTACGGAGTACGGGGAATGCGGAGTCATGTCGACATACTGCGTATCTGCCGCATCTCAACGTACCCCGTATAGAGAAGCAGACTGATGCAGCAGCCGGAGTCTTAGTACATTCAAAGTCTTCGGCTGTCGTGACTATACTACCTAGGTAGGTACTAACTCTAAAGACAACCGCCTCTAGTGATAGATAGAAAAGACAAAGAACCCCTCCGAATGGCGTCGAATCCAAAATCTCTTCATCAGAGATTTCACCCGACTTGCGGGGTTGGTCGATCCCACCACTTCGATCCGTACCTGGATCAACCGCCACGGCCTCTAGTGACTTGCGGGGTGATACCCGCCCTCCGGAGTCCTCCCGCGCCATCTTCCCAACCCCTTCTCCAGATCACGCAAAGGCGACCAAGAAAAAATGGCTCACCCCATGGGACAGCTTCTCCAACTGCAAACTTTGAAAACAAAAGAGGAAAGGAAAATTCTCAGGGCGGGGGGTCACTCTTCTGGGGAGCATCCCCCGTAGTGCGTTCAGACTTTTCCCCCTCGACCCAACCAGCGGCGTCCATGTGGACTCCACCGTCCAACATCCAACTCCTGGCCTTGTCTCGATGGGCCTGTATGAGGTAATCCCAATCAAAGCGCGGAGGCCCCTATCCACTTCGTGAACAATAATGCATCGCCAGAACGTCCGAATGGGTAAGGTGGTCCCGACAATAGCGCAATCTTCTCCCATTCGGCTATGCAATGACGTATTCCGGCCATGCGGCCCCGGAGACCACGTCCAGACTTCATGACAGCTCAACAACACGGGCTGCGCGCAAGGTGCTGTACCTGGTTGATAGGGTGTCTGTCGCCTTGCTTATCACACATTATCTATCGTGTGACGGTGTCCGAGCGGTTGCAGCTGAGACAGACATGAGCATTGGCTGTCATTTCGTATTCATCGTCTTGGAGACAGCAGTGGTCATGTTCGAGATAGATCATGAGACAACCAGGGTGAAAGTAGTATGTATCTAGATCGATCGAAGGTAGTGCCATGTGTAAGAGCCTACGTGTTGCCAGTCCGAGTGAAAATCTCCGATATCCAGATAAGGCAATCTCTTGCGTTGAGCAGATACTGATTGTCTGAGGTGCGATGTAAGCCTCAATATTTCTTTCGTTATAAGAATCTACAGTTCTATCGGATACTATATGCGCACGTGTTATCTTGAACTCAAAGCTGGTGTTTCCAAGGTACCTGGAGACAGGTACCTTGTTGCTTGAACATCTAGACCAATCAGACTCTTACACTTTGAAGTCCCATTAGGATCCCCGTGTACCTGCGTACCTATTCTACCTAGAGCCTCTCATCGCGGTATTCCGTGGCATATTAAAAAAAGACTCTCTACTCGCGAATACGGTAGTATAGTGCAATGTCGCCGAGCGTCTGATTTGTGGCCAGGATATCCTGCAAGAACCCTCAGGAGTTCGTTGTGGTCATAGTACTCATGCATTTCTGGCCTCCTGATCACCGCAGGTCCATAGTTCATGATGGGCATACATGTGATGTGTCGACCCTCACGGAATAACTATTATAATTCCTCTAGATTCCAGAACGTGCAGTCCAGGCAGCAGCCGTGTTGGGTCTTTATTTGGGTTGACCACCTCGCGGCTTAGACCCAATACAGTGGCGTCAAATACTGCAGCCAGCTTTATCGTTCTCGAGACTGAGGTTCATCGGCGAGAACAGCGTGCTAGTCCATAGGGCTATAACTGGGAGCCTCGCCTGTGGATCCCGTCAAACAACCAATCGCAGAGTCAACTCACAGCGGAATAGTGTGCCTGGAATGGTTCCCTTCTTGTTCGAACAGACATGCAAGTTGGTTGTCAGCTAAGAGCCCGCTAAAAGCCACAGCGGGTATTTCGGTACCACTTCTCCGGGCTGTTGAATCTAGATCAGCAACGGGGACTCCTCCGTCGTCTATCACTGTTTGCGGCTTCAGAGTATTTATGAAGACTCCAAGATCGGTGCAAAGAGCTCTGTCAACACTGCCCAAAGCTACTGAGTATCAAGAAGAAATACATACATGGAGATGGCTCAGCCAACCACATTGCAGTTCATTCAAGTTGTGTTTTTCTTGCGTGTGGACTGCATTGGGTGACCGCTTATCACGCCTTATCAGCCTCGCAGCCTGTCCATTTAGCAAGGCAGCAAGAAACTTCGTGTGTGATTATGAAAGTAAAAACAACGACCAACAGAGCCATAAACGCATTTTCACAGAGGCATCGAGTCTATGCAACAGACTCGCCTTATTCAACGACTTCAGCCCAGCGCTCAGGTATCAAGTGGAGGTAACTTGACGTGCATTCAGCTTACTACTTCTGCAGAGGCGCTGGAGTAAGCAGTCCATCGCGTATTTGCTCCCAGATGAATATCGTCTCTTCGACTTCATCTCATCTGTATTTTTTGAGGGCATTTTGCACAATTACATTGAAAGAAATCAATATTCTTGAAAGTACTACCTATTGTGTTAAATATATCTATAGTTAGAAAGACCTGCAGAACAACGCAATTTTTTCTCATTAACCATAAACGAATAGCTGCAGGTAGATACATATCTACTCCACAGTCAATCAACGACCGAACAACCATACCACCAAGAGATATATCCAATGCAAGTATCCCTATCTTATCAGTAATGCACCGCATACAGCATCATAAATGCAGCCTTGTTTCTGGCAGCTAACAGCAAATAATGTGAGCTGGTACCTGCCAGCAATACCATCAGCTCCCCAACCCGCGACTAACGCGACTAAATAATAATAAGTGTAAGGATGTTTGCTAGGAACACCGCCTTGATGCCTTACAAACGGTAAGGCCGTCAAACCGATGTCTGAGGAAGACCAGGGCGCTGACCGCCAAAATCCGAAAAAAAGCAAAGCCGATAAGCTGATAAGTGGTAGAAATCTCGGCATTCTAGAAGTTCCGGGGTGTTCGACACGACTACGGAGTAAGTCCGGAGTAAGGCTTGGCGGGTCCGCGGGACAACGGACAAGATGAGCTGTCCTCAACTGGCGGTGAAAGCATTCCCTCAAGCCAGCAATTGCGGTAGGAAAAAAGAACTAGTCAGAAGCGTAAATGACACGGTGGAATCGACGGGTCGAATTCCCAGGCCCAGGTCTAGGTCCATCGAAGGAGGCTTCTGATTGAACTACTAGGGCGATGGATCAACAAGGGGGATGCAAGCCGTGATGAGAGCTCTGGCTTTGTTTCTTCAAATTACCTAGGACTACTCTGGTTACTGGGTCCACTTCAAAGAACTACGGAGTACGGAGTACTCCGTAATGAGGCTTGAACACAGTCAGCCAGCCCCAGACTGGCTTCTTTCAGAGGCGAACCATCGGTATGGAGTCTGTTCCGTTGTGAGGCGGAGGATGGGGCTGGGAAGACGCTACTAGCCTGCTAAATGACACGGACACTTTCCCAGTCCGTAACAATGCGGATGGAATGGAGGTCGATCCCAGACTGACAATTCCAGATGACGCCCTCTCCTCTGTAAACAGACTACAGTGCACTGCAGACTACTGTAGTAGACTGATGCAGCGGGTGTAACCAACGTCCCGGCCTCCCTATGCCAAGCGCCCCATGATCCGTCTGACACGGAGGAAATGAGGGTGTTCCGTGTGAGGACCCCAGGACCCGACTAGGAAACCCGACTCCTCCGTAGGAGGAAGCTAGCATGTTTGGCTTCAGCTCACCCCTGGATACGTAGATCGTTGTGACAAAAGTACGGCGGGCTCGGTTGGGGCATGATAGCCCCGATTCGGGCACAGTGACTGAATCGTGTTGAGTCGTTGCGGTCCAACTTCAGTTTCTCTGACCCAAGTCTCCATAATTCAGAATACAAAACCAAGGCGCTTCTGGCGGCGAGGCGGTACCGTCCAGGGGCACAAACGAACGGAGGAAATGTGGCCTCTAGGCCCTGATCTCCGACAGAGTGGTAGGCCCCAGAAGGATCGCCCCGTTTTCTGCTGGACCGAGGCGGAATAAGTAGGTAGTTAATAACGGAAGGACGCCGTCTGCCCCGGAAATCCGGGAAATCCCCTGCCGCGGCCCTGCATGGTGGTCGTATCCATTCTTCCCCTTGCCCGATGGGATATATCCGACGGATCTAGATGCCTGCCTGGGTAAGCGGTTTGGGGAGGATGATCTCAGCATGAACAAAATGAGTGCCTAGTACACAGGTCGTTAGCTGGGTGTCATTCTTCCATCATTTTCCGTCCACACAGGCGGTGTCGATACCCCCGTACACATCATAATAATAGCCTTTTTTATAGATTCGATGGGGATGGCCGGGTAAAGTGCGTGTCGTGCGTGTCCCATGAACTCACTCGCGCAGGCATCAGGATAGATCCCGCACTCACGGGGATTCCCGATGATCTGGAGGCATCTGTATGATTTCACCCGGGACGATCTATGTTTCCTGGTTGAGGGATTCACTCCAGCTGGGGGGGACGCCCTTGACTCCTGAGTTGGTGTTGTGCATACGTATGTGTCCCGATAAATGCCTGAAAGAAGGGTTAAAATACTTTAAAAAATAAATAGAATCAAAATAAATGAATCCTTTATCCACGATTTCCCACCGCCATCGGCCGCTTTTTTGCCTGGTTTTCCCCACATCCCCTACCTTTCTTCCCCAGTTTCCGCCCTTCCGTTCCGTCGTCGTGGCAAGCATGCACACTAAGATACCCGACTCTCCCTAACAAGTAGTGTGGACGAAGGCAGGGCGAAGTCGATGATCCCTCCACGCATCAAACACGCTCGACTAACGATTCTAGCCTGGAATCGGGACGAAAGGGATGCCAGAGTAGCGTGTTTGCTGATTATCCTCACGGAGGAAAAAAAAAAGTTCTTAGAAAAAAAAAAAAAAGACAATAATAATATTCCATAATTAATCTTCCCCCTACATCCCCCAGATATATAGGAGCTGTCTGGGCCCGAAACAAATCTGCCGTCGTCACATCCGGCTTGCATCTGTCTATCCAACAAACACCCTAACGTCCTTCGGTTCTACACCGTACTTTGCTTTGCTTTGCTTTGCCTTTATAAAAAGCAGTCTCTTCCCGGACACTGCTCAGTCTCCACCCTTGAAAACCTTCTCGATCAAAGAGTCTACCTACGGAATACTATTCTTCGCCTCTACCGGTTCTTGTTCGTGACAGTCGCTGGGATTACATCACCACCGAGGTCAGTCTCCATTCCCTTCAGAAGAAAAAGACTCTGTCCCCATGCCTCTCCCGAACCATTCTCTCAGCCCCATCACATGTTGGCCTGGTCCTACCTATTCCCGGGGAATCCCGCACCCGACAGCGCCAGAGTCTGGTGCCATCGCCGACCTCAATATAAAGCCCAAGACTGACAGCCAGACCAGGACGCCTGACGCCGCAAAAGTCAATTCACCAGTCCAACTGTCCTCCTAGACGTCCCTCTGTCGACCGGATACCTCCTTCCTCTCGTCGTCTCCAAGAGCACCAAACAAACCAGTATACGAAATCAAAGTATACGACAGTACACAATGTCCGCCCCCATCACCTCCCATCCACGCTCCCGTCCTACCATCATCACCCCCTCCACCTTCACTCAAGACATCTCGCGGGCCATCCTCGCTTCGTCACAAATGCCCAAGTCTGTCGACGCCGAGCCGCATCCGCACCTGGGCCTGCAATTCCCGCCGCCGCCGCCGCCGCCGTCCCCCGTCGAATCGAGAAATCCGCACGCCCTGTGGGGTTCGATAGACGGGAAGCATACCGCCTGAGAACCCGGACCAAGGCTATTCCAGAATCACAGTTCTCGGGTCGCATGGGTGGTCTGTCTTTGTCTCTACGGCTCGGGAATATCGGGCATTTTCTTCTCTGGGCTGGATGCGATTGGGTTTGTTTTTGATGTTATTTAGCGAGCAGCTTGTCCATGGGTCTTGGTTTGTTTATTGCGGGTTGGGTATCGGATGGGAAAAGCGGGTTGCCATGATGTAATAGTCCTAATAGCATCGACACATTCAATAACCAGATTTGGTATATCATCAATTGATCAATTGTGTCGCAAGCATCGACACCAACATCGAGAGACATACTCAGTAGTGAAGTCATCCTCGGCCGATCACAACTCAGTTGCCATCTCTGGTATCATCACATGCGGTGTCGCCCGAAGTCGCATGACGCCACTCTCCCTGGGACAAACCGGTTCTTGCGGGTGGGTCATCCCATCAAGCAACAAGCTCCAGACTAAAAAGATGTTAAACCATCGACGACGGCCGAGGCTGATCGTCATCCACGAACACCGGTATGCATGCCGGTTGATTGTTGGTGGTTGCGGGAATGGTCACGTGATAGCCATCGCATGGATGAAAACGTAGCTGGGAATTCCTGAGGGAGGCAGGCAGTCCGGGGAAGTGGGTAACGCTGCACCATGCCATCTGACAGCGTACAAGACCGGCGTTACAATCAAGCTTTCACGTTCGGCTCTTTTCAGGTGAGCCCTTAGGGTTGAACAGTTGTGTCCAGTGGGTCAACCGTCAGCGGTGCTGGGCATCGGACGACTCGGCCTCCTGACTCCCGAATTGCGCGTAGAGATGCTCCAACTCGGACATGGCGAACGAATCGCCTTGCATGGCCGCATCATTCAGCCGCCTGATCTCGGCGAGTTGTTCGTCGGTACGCGCCCAGCCGCGCAGCCGTTCCTCCAGGTTCTGTGGGCGCTTCGCGGTGCTGAACACGGTGCGCACGGAGTCGGTTTCGCCGCGGGCCTGCTTGATCAGCCGCAGCTGCTCGAGGAATCGCATCTGGTTTGTGGGGGGACCGGCGCGGGACGGATAGGGGAGTGGTCCGGTCGTTGTCGCACTGGCAGCGTCCGACGCAGCGCCCGTGCTGGAGATCAGATTGGCCTTGCGACCGAGGAGCTTGACGCTGTTGGCGGCGATGAGGTCAAAGTCCGGTCCGCGTTTTAATGGGGGTGTGGTGGTGGTGGTGGTGGGTGGGACAGCGGACGCAGAGGCATCACGTTCGGGGTCCGGATGGTCCGATTCGGGATGGGTGAAGAAGAGCTCGGTGCCAATCTGGTCGGCCCAAGTACAGCTGAAGATTTGATTCTGATAGGAGATGATCGGGTTGGAGGTGTGGAGGCCAAGGATTTGCAGGGGTTCGGCGGGAGGGTGGTCGGACTCGGTGGTGGTCAACGTGGGCTCATTCTCTTCGTTGGGAGGCGCACCAGCGGAAGACGCCCGGGGGGTTGAGGCGGAGGAATCATTGCGACGACGCGGCGGGCGGATAGGACCGTGCTGGGAGGTCAGGTCGAGATTGAGATAGAAGGTCTAGAGAGAAGGGAGGCGGGGAGGGTCAGTTGACGATTCAGGAGGGAGGAAACGAGCATACCTCGGTCTCTTCAGGGTCATATTCATATTCGTAGTCGGAGTCCTCGTCGGCTTGGGAGGCAGAAGGAGGAAGCATGGCCGGGTCGACGGCCAGCATTGGTTCGTGCTGCATGATGGTGACTGTGACGGATTGAGAGGGGGGAATTGGCTGTCCGGCATTTCTGGCTAAGATTTAGGGCGAAGTGGGACGATCGCAATGATCGACGAGCGACTGCAGAATGGGGGACCCTGAATAAGCGGATTAATTAAGGGTTAATTAATCCTATTCACTGTCGGGCCGGATTGTCTATAGAAACCCCAATCAATAACCAACTAACTACTTCGTGATGACATCAAATCCCCGTGATCATCAGCCCTACTAGGCACCGTCTATCTCTTCCGCCTCTTCCGTTTTCCCTCCTCTTCCCCTCTCCTTGTCCCTGTCCCTCTCCCTCCTCCGGCTCTGCGCGGAATCCCCCCAATTCCAATCCATTCCTGACCCATTCCTGAGTGCATCCGTCATCCGGTGCTCCATTATCTAATCCCCTTCCGTCGCTCCCGGTCCCTCGTTCTCACTGGACAATTGCCTTTTTGTGTCAGAAGGCATGCGTGCATCTCCACTCTCTGCTGTTCTCGACTGTTGCCGGCTGAACCATTTGATATAAAATCATGTCTGGCCCTGCGTCAGGCCGAATGGCCTGTCGCTGTCACTTGTCTGCCTTCTCCTGCTTCCTCCTCTCTCTGATCACCCTTCCCTTCCTCTTGGCTTCTTTGGCTTCTGGCGCTCCCCGATCCCATGCGTTTCGCTCGCTAGATCCATTGTCCGGTCTTCCACCCTCGCTGACCACCGCCGCCTCATCTACGCCTCCTTCTCCGACTCAGAGTCCCACCGGCGGTTTCGCAATCGCCAACGCCGTCGCTCTCTCTTCCAACTCCACCGACCTGCAGCCCGGTCTCTGTCAGCAGATGGTCCAGAAAGCGGGGGCCGCCATTGTCATCCTGACCTCGCTGATCGCCTATGTGTCGGTGAACAGCCTGGTGCGGTCGGTAAATCCGTCCGCTTTTGTTTGGTACGACGAAGACCGTGACGAACCCGCCTGGATTGACTCATCTCGGTCGTGGCTCGACCGGAAGGCCTGTCGGTGGTTAGGCCTGTGCGGGACCGCGCACTTCCGCCCGGTCCGGCCCCGCTTTGGGCACCGCAGGCCCGCCGCCGTCCCCGACAACAACACCGATGCCGCCTCTGCTTGGCAGGCCTTCTGGTCGGTCGATCCCCGGCACCCCGATCATCCCACCAACGAGTCCGACCGCAGGATTCCAGACTATGTTTTTGAGCATGCGCCGCTTGTTCATCTTTTCTCCGGCGAGCAGTTTTGGCCCGGCGACATCGCCGAACATCTCTACCACACCACTCCGGCGCTAAACTACACCCCCATCCAGTCGCAGTGGCAACATCCCACCCTCCAGGACCTAGACCGCCTCAACGAGTGGCAAGATGGTCGCTTCGTCTTCCTCACCAGTAACGACAACGTTGAAGACCGTCCCGAGTGGATCGAAGGCGAGAAGAACGTGCCCAGTGCGCCCGACTCAGAGCCAGACTACCGCGACGGTCGACTGGACGGCGATCTCCCGGAGGATCCTCCCAACGAACGGGTGCAGTGGTACGACACCGCGCATACCCCGCAGGGCGATGAGGAAGACATCGACGGTCTAACCGCCGAGGCGCTCGGCTATCTCCGTCCCGGCGATCGAGATGCCGAGCGAATCCACTGGGAGCTGCGCAAACGGTACGAGGGCCATCCCGTCAAGGAAGGGGAGGCCGGGGGCCGCAGCGAAGCACCAGCCGTGCTCCTGGTGATGGACAAGGGAAATGGTATAGTCGACGCCTTCTGGTTCTACTTCTACAGCTTCAACCTGGGTAACGTCGTCTTGAACGTCCGCTTCGGCAACCACATTGGCGATTGGGAGCACTGTCTCGTGCGATTCCACCATGGCAAACCCAAGGCGCTCTTCTTCAGTGCGCATTCCGGCGGCGAAGCCTACAGCTACGACGCCGTCGAAAAGATCGGCAAGCGAGTAAGTCCTCACCCACAGAACCTTCTCAGACCCGAAGCTAACTCAAGCTCCAGCCCGTCATCTACTCTGCCATGGGCACGCACGCCATGTACGCCACCCCGGGCGTGCACGACTACATCTTGCCTTGGGGTCTTCTCCATGACCAGACCGACCGCGGTCCACTCTGGGATCCGCTGCTCAACAGCCATTCGTACACCTACGACTACGACAACGACACTCTGCGCGCCTCGACCGCCAGCCCGGACTCCCCCACAGAGTGGTTCTACTTTAAAGGCCACTGGGGAGACAAGTTCTACCCGCTCGGCGACCATCGACAGTACCGCTTTGCCGGACAGTACCATTACGTGAACGGCCCGCTGGGTCCGCGGTTCAAACACCTCAATCGCCGGAAGGTCTGCCAAGGTCCCGATGACTCTCCGTGCGTCATCAAGAACTACATCTGGGAGAAGAAGCGTGCGAAACGCTGGGACAATACCGGACCTGGTGACACTCACGTGTAGCTCCCAATGATACCCCACGTTCATATTTTTGCTGAAAAAGAAAAAAGCGAAAAAAAACGTCTCCATGAAGATAAGATCCACGATACCTGGCGTTTGGCATTCATTCCTTATATCTGTTATACGATTTCTTGATTTTGGTGCTATATCATTGGATATACCCCCTACGTTTGTTGTTTCATTCATTGACTCGTTTTTATTGATTGCATGATCGATAGTCCTAGAGTTGCAGTGGTGGAGTCCACGAGACCAATGATGGCTGATGAGATACATGATTTTTAAAGACGATACAGGTATGCCTGCTACGAGATGGATTGGAGTAGCTGAGGCTGGAGTTCGATGGTTCATAGTTGTCTCTCCTTGCGATTTTCTGTTTGATATCCCTCCTTGTGTCGTGCTTTGAACCGTTCCTTAAATACACCATGCACTGTCTTCTGCGTTAGATCCTGATATGTTTGTTGAACGGTGAATTGGCGCCTTTTGCATAGATACTCGACTCTCCATTCAATTCGAACATGGTCTCATTTCATTATGGACAGAAATATTCAAACATTGACGACTGAAATGCCTACAGAGCACTATACGACAGACAACGTACTATCTTCTTGCTATTACATACTCGATCCAAACAAACAGATAGACAGGCCACGACAAAAGAAAAGGATATAGAAAAGACCAACCAACCGAGCCGCAGTTAGAAAGATCAAAGCAGGACAGCCAACGCAAGACGATGTGAAACGCCATGGAAACAAACGAAGAGAATCCGCGCAGCAGCAGCTGGGAAAGGAATGGTAATATGAATCAGTGGCTTCACGAACGAAACGAAGACAAGAAATGGCAAGGAATGACCCCGATCAGCAGATCCATCCCAATTACACATCAAGGCTAACAGTGAGCCAGAGAGACCGACTGAGAAATGAAAAGAAATTCAGTGCAAAACAAGGGAATCAACACCCCATGTAGATATTCCGGCCTAGCAACAACGCCATCACGCGGGTAATTAGAGATTGAAAAGAAAATATGAGAGACAAAACCAGATCCCAGACTCCTCCATCCTCTTCAGAACTCCCCAATCCCAGATTCCCGGCAACAAATGATCAAATTCACTCAAGTAGTATCCCATCCTGATTGTACGGCAAGTCGATATGTTTCAGTTGCCCGATGGAGCGGTCTAGAAAATAACAAAGAGAGAAGAATGCAATCCCAAAGGAACAATGGTGCAGCTCATGTCCGGGTGGACCGCTTTCGCAACCCGAATTCTTGCTCTTGTAGCTCCCGGATGAGGCGCAGACTCTCAGCATCGGGCGCGTCGTCAGCGGGTCGGTCGCGCTTCGCGCCCTTGCCGGGTTGATTTGGAGACGTAGACGCGGAAGCTTTCTTATCGGCCGTTGGTGTCTTGCCATGCGAAGATGTTGGCCGCGACGAAGCTTTCTTTGGGCCAGGAGTGGTCTTTCGCGTCCCGCTGGTCGACGCACCAAAAGACGCCCGACGCGCAATCGGATGCGTCGACTTGGCTATCTTCGCATGAGCCTCAGGCATGTACCGCTCAACATGGCGAGGTTGACGGGAGGAGTGACGAGAGCTAGAATTAGGCGTGTGCAGAGCTCCATCCCCATCCGCTTGGTCATGCAAGACATCAGTCTCATCTGCAAGAGATGTCGGTGGCGACACCAGAGAGTCTGTTGGCTTTGGCAGAGATGCGGGGTTCACATCTTTCGAGACGAGTGTGTCGGACTGGAACGCAGGCGGAGAGGCATATGATGTCTGCCCGACGGGTGCTTCCTTTTCAGCAGAGTAAGTCGCCGAAGGAACCGTGTTCAAATGCGTAATATCCATAGCTTGCGCGTGAGCAGAAGATTGCATTGTCTGCGCATCGAAGATCTCTCCGTGTCGGTTGAGTTGTATCGGCCTGGATACCGGCGAAGTGCTCTCTTGTTTTGGCCTCTTATTCGACATCGAGCCAAGACTATCTTCGTTCGGGCGTGGCCTCTTCGTAGAAGACGCAGCTCGTGGCTTGGATCGCTCCTGGGCCTTTATAGGGTCGATTCTACCAAACTCGTCGTGGATACACCGGCGCTGTGAGAAAAAAACGTTAGTAATGGCAGTTCCCCAAGAGAGTGGTGTTGACGAACCTTGCTCTTTCGACAATCATCACAGGCTTTGCTACGCCCCTTTTTGCCTTGGTTAAGGCCGTCGGGGCTCATGTCGTTAAGCCGAGGGACCGTGTGTGGGGTGCTCAAAGCGGCCGTGCCGTATTGTCCGGTCTCAAACCGATCGAATGCCCGACCGTTATTGTCCTGAAGACCAGCTTCAGACGCAATTGCTGCCAGGGAATTCAGTGCCGACGCGGCATCGTGAGCCAGAGACGACTGGCTAACAGGTCCGAAACCCCCCAGTGCCATATGTTTGGCCGTGGCGTCAGCGTGTTCATCCTTGTGATGGCACCGAATCCTGCGTTTGCGACAAGCATCACAAGCAACGCGCTTGGGCCCGAGTCCTGACCCTCTGGGCGTAGTCCGGGGCTTAGGAGCAGTCTCTTCTTTGACTACGCTCGCTCCTGACGCATATGACGGCGTGGTCGCATCGCTGTTCAACGGCATGGCAGGACCGCCATTGTTCGTGAACGTGCTGACAGGCTCTGCGACTTGCTCTGGAAGGCGTTGGACGGCTTGCCTCTCAGCATACATCCGTTGATTGTCTGCATTGCGCTCTGAACGGCGGCTTGGTCGCCCGGCTGGTTTCTTCTCGGCGAGGGTGAACTTGGGATTGTTTTCGACGACTCCCGGACGTGTCCACGCTGGGGCCGGTTCATTCCCTCGCTTCCACGCAACCCAGATTCCGAACTTTCGAATGGTTTCGACAGGGTCACCGGCGTTCTTTGGAATTGACCGTTTGATTGCATTCCTCGCCTCCACGGTCACCCCTTCGACGATGTATGAGTTGGCAATCAGAGCCGTCCGCAGCAGATACTTGGCGAGATCCGGGAGGCCCTCCACTTCTGCTTGCGAATAGAACCGCGAGTTATGGTAAGGTGAACCAGGGGCCGCGGTGTTGGCGAGCTCTCCAAATTCGTAATAGACAGGGTACTCTCGGTGGAAGCGATAGTTCTCGTCTTGGGCAAAAGCATCCAAGACGCTTTGAGGGACCGGGTCCTCTTCCAAGTACTTCAATGCCGTATACCATTGAATTTTCTGGAAGAACGGATATCGGAATTTCCGGGGAACTTTAGTATCCTTCTCAATTTTGGCCACCTTGATTTGCATGCCATAGTTCAACCGGGTCAGGAAATTCCCGCCAATCACCAAACTATTCTCAGGAGTCCATACGGCATGGATCCAGCCGGATGGAATCAACATCGTGTCCCCCTCGGAGAGATCCACGCGGTAGCACTCTTTCGTTTGGTCGCCAAGGAAGGTCGAATCCTGGGCGGGAGAGTTGCACCATTCTTCGTATTTCTTGAGGTTCTTGTCCTTGGGAGGAATGAAGAAGAACGTCTTCTTGCCTTTCAGAATGTGGTAATAGACCGAGGACCCTCCGAAGTCGATATGGAAATCCGTATAGCAGTCGGCGACGGACATCAGGCAGTAAAACTGGACCTTCGGGTATTCACCAGCGGCCTTAAGCTCTTCTGGCCACACAGCATCCTGCAAGTCAAGATCGCGAACGACCTTTGGCCGACGAATGAGCTTGCCCAGTTTGCTCTGGGACACTTCCAGACTGATGACATTCCGAACCACCTTCTGACCGGTACTCTCGTAATAGTCAGCCCACTTCTGCATAGTCCACCTCTTGTCTTCTCCCTGTTGGGATTTGACATCAATCACCTCCACCCTTTCCTCGGGCCCATAGAGCTCGGCGACTGCTCGGACCGTGAGGCCCTGAGGGATCACCATGTCTAACTGGTCCTGACCACAATCAATCACTTGCTCCACCCCTTGCTCTTCTTCAGTGGCATGTTCCAGCAGCTCGTCGAACATCTCCTGTGTAGAGGCCTCTTCGACAAGGGCATCAAAATCCGGGGTAGTTATCGGGATCGAATCACGAGTATTCAGATGCGCCGGGATCACAATCGGCTCAGTCATACCACTTCCTCGTTCAAAATATTCGGCAGTGACCAACTCCGGGCGCATTCGGGGGAAGTTCTCGGGGAGAAAGCGGATACGACCTTGTCGAATAGGTTCGATATAATGATGCTCCAGTGAGTCCGTGGCCGCCTTGACGAGGCCTTGATTGAGACCAGCATAGTCAATGGCCGTGCGGGCCCGAGACGACTTCCGCACGAAGGTCGTCTGGCCGTGAATTGGTCGGCACCCGCGGCAGATGAATTTGTCCACAGTGCGGATTTCACGATCATTCTTGAACCCGGCGCACACGATATGAAACCATCGTTTACAGCCATCGCAACTGATCCAGGTATCATCGCCATAGTCGCCCGTATCCATGGGCATCCGTACGAGGTTGCAGGCCGCACAGCTAGCCTGGCTAGATTCTTCAGATTCCGTATCATCCTCTGTTTTAGAGGGTAATTGGAATGCCGACTGGGGAGCGCTGAGACCCATTGTTCCGAAGCCTTGCATATTGTAGTGCATCTCAGTCATCGGAATCCTCGAGGTCGAAGACCAGTGGGCGTCCATTCCATCCCGTTCGTCCTGCCAAATGGTTGGCAAGGTGGAAGAACTTGTGTTGGGACGTAGACCCTGGATGACCGGACGGGAGACCCCAGCGGAGCCATCGGATTGAGATCGCATGCGCGACGGCGGTATGCCATTGTTTCCGTGTATGTATCGTTCATCGTTCGAGCCTTGATATGCGACACCAAGCCCCAATTTGCCTGGTTTGACATCGCTCGCGAGCTGATGGTACGACTCGTCGATGCTCACTCGTTTTGCGGGACGGGCGGGCGGTGGAAAATTCGAGGGTCTCGCGAAGTTCAGCAGAAGTTCCGCATCGGTTTTCATACTATCAAAGGCCGAGGAAGGGTTCGCATCGGAGACGGAACTTGTCCGAGGCTGATGGAACGGTGACGGGTCTTTTTCCGACCGCGGGCGCTTGGCTGGACGTTCGGTATACTCGGCGGGTTCGGAGGGAAACATGGACATGGCGGGGGTAGAATTTCGAGATGGAGGACGGTAGGTGAGAGGTGCAAAGGTGGGACTCGTCGCGAGAGCAATCGTCGCAAGGGTGTCGATGGTCGAATTGGACCGACCATGACCGGCCCGGTGATGGTGATGAGGATGAGAACCACCGTCGGCGACGGGCGGTCGACTCGTACCGGGTACAACATGATCGTGACGAGAAGTTGTTGGTTTGGCGATCTCGCGGCGATCGACCGCCGCTGAGGGACGGAGGTCTGCGGTGGCACATGGCGAGATGGGCTCGACGGCGCGTCGCGGCGGGGAAGGGGTGCGATAGCGCGGCGGTCGGCCCTCTGGAAGATTCACAAAGGACGTAGCACTAATCATATTGCGCTAGGAGGATATGAGGGGATAGAGAGAAGATCCAGGGCCCGGAGGAAGAGACAGGAGGTGGTTGCGGTTGGCGGGTGCAGAGCGGGGAGGGGATGTTTCGACCACACGGGCTAGAGATAGGCCAGCGACGGCACAGGGAGAGTCATTCCTGACAGAATGAGCGCAACGCGATGGACAATGAGAAGGGATGGGGTCGGCGATGAGAGGCGAAACTTTGGGAGAAGGAGATTGAGGGAGCAGGGAGGAAGAGTCGCACGGCGGAACGCTGGGAAAGGTTGAGGGGTGAAGGTCAGCCTGCCGACTTTCTGTCGAGAGCGGCGGGAGGACGCAGCAGCACCGAGGACGCACCGCAGGTGCGGCCAGAGCGAGAAGAGACGCAGAATCCAACAAATGAATTCAAGCCCACGGGAGAGATAAATCCAGCGACTCGGAAATTGAGCGACGCAACGGAGAGGGATATAGCGGGGGGAGGGAGGATGGAGGAAGAGAAGGAGAGGCGCGAGGGAGACGAAGTTCCGGGAGGGACGTTGAAGGCGAAGCGGGCGCGCCGCGGGTGATGCCTGAGGCTGCAACGAACTTGTCTGTTTGCGGCGTACACGGGGAGGTTCACCACCACCCTCGAGGAAATCGAGGACGCCCAGCTCATATGGCGGTGACTCTTCACTTCCTAACCTCCATTTTGCACCTTTATAGAGACTCTAGCTCCTGAGTTGGTGATGCTCTTCTCATCAAAGTGAGGCTCCTCTACGCCGCTAGTCCCAAATAGGCAAGGCAGCACCCGTCCCGAACTCATCGCGGATATCGATTCCTAATTCCCTTCTTCTCTTCTTCCTCTCTCCTCTTCCCCATACCAGATTCCCATTCCCTTTGGGTATCACTCGATATCTTCCATCATCTTCTCGCGATTATCCTCTTTTAGGATCCTTACTGTCCCGCCTAAGAATGAGCCGGAAGCTCGCCCCCGAAGCCAATCGGTAAGTCGTCCTCGAAGAATTCTTGCCCCTCCTGACAGTCACTTGCGAATTCCTTTGGCGCACATCCTTCGCAGCAGAAGCACTCGCGATACACGTCTCTTCAGTGGCTCTTCCGGCTGAGATGCTAACTGCGCCCCTAGGATTCTCTTTGTCAAGAACCTCAAGTATGTGCAGCACCCTGCATCCCGAACCTCGGATTTCTCACGCCGATAATCGCACCCCACCCCGTCAACCTGCTTGCATGCAACAGACAGGCACCCCACCATCGCAGCGAAACGCACCTACTAACCCGTTGGACTCCATTTAGCTACAACGTAACGGCGGAACAACTGTTCGATCTCTTCGGCAAGTTTGGCCCTATCCGGTAAGCCATCTCCCGGGGTTAGATCTGACATACATTTTCCCCTCACTCTACTTCTCCTCCGCTTGCCAGAAACTAACACTCTCTAGACAAATACGTCAGGGAATCGCAAACAACTCGAAGGGCACCGCATTCGTGGTATACGAAGACGTTCACGACGCCAAACAGGCATGCGATAAGCTCAATGGATTCAACTTCCAGAACAGATACCTCGTTGGTATGTTTCGGATAATCAGATTATGTGGGAAAGGTTAGAATAGACTCGCTGACTATGGTCTAGTTCTATATCACCAGCCGGAAAAAATGCTTAGGTCGAAAGAGGACCTGGCGGAAAGGCAAGAGAATCTGGAACGTCTTAAACAGCAGCACGGTATAGAATGACGTTATGATTCTCTTTTGTCGCTTTTCTCCTGCATACCCCTTCTGCAGGCATATGGCTGTGTGTTATCATGGGATGGTTGTGGGGTTTCTGGCGTTCATCTTCGATTTTCTACTCTGATGGGTTCGTGACTATTCTACATGGGTATGAGGGTGACTGGCGGGTAGAATGATACTTTCTGGCTGTCACCCAAGGACATGGTACAGATTGGGAATCTTTCAGGCTGGATCAGCTCTGTTATACCGGTTAGTCGCTACGATCAATCTAATCTTCTCGACCGGTGGCCACTGCTGGCTGTCGCGATCAACCTATGGGATGTATTCTTTATCATCTGGACTGGACGATTTCAAGCTGTTGCAGCCCGGTGATCTACCAGTTTGCGCACTGTAATGAGATGCGATTCCTATACCTTCCTTGACACAGTATAACGATGGAATTTACCGGGGTCTACTTGGAGGGATGAGGCCTAATCCCTGATGATCTACGGAAGCTTGTTCTCACTAGGCGACGCGAGTTTGTCGGGTGTTCATTAGTTAAGGCAATAGAGCGCCGATTATGCCATGACAGAGACTAGCATCGAGACTTACCTAAATAATATTAGAATAGGTACAGAGAGGTACGACTTAATTTTCTCGGATGGAGCAACCGGCTTCTGGCCTGAATATCCAGGCATCAATAAAGATCTCCCCAAAACGGCCTAGCGCGGGTCACCCCCCACCGCCTTCACAAAATCTCAAGATTTTCTTCTTCGCTTTCGCTCTCGATAACCAGACTCATTCTCAACCGCCACCATCCCGTGAACCACCTCTGCACCGCGGCAGTGATCCTTCGCGTGAGCCTGTTTGAATACGCCAATTTCATACTCACCTATAACCATGTCCGGTGAACCCACTGCTGGTAGGTTACTTTCGAACCCGACGATGGGCGACTATATACTAATTTTTGGTCCCTTGTAGCCTGGCCCGTCGCCGACGAGGCTCTCACCCAGAACCTGCTGGATCTCGTGCAGCAGGCGTCGCACTACAGACAGCTCAAGAAGGGCGCCAACGGCAAGTTATCTTGTTCCTTGGGGGTTGCGGAGCTTTGCTAACTGGTGTTCAACAGAGGCCACCAAGACTCTCAATCGTGGTACTTCCGAGCTGATCATTCTGGCCGCCGACACCAGCCCTCTGGCCATCGTCCTCCACCTGCCTCTCCTCGCTGAAGACAAGAACGTCCCGTGAGTGAAACCGCCTATCGGTCTGGAATTGCGGACACTAATGTGTGCGGATTAGTTACGTTTATGTCCCCAGCAAGCTCGCCCTGGGCCGTGCCACTGGTGTCTCCCGCCCCGTGATTGCCGCCAGCATCACCTCCAACGAGGCTAGCGACCTCACCGGACAGATCCGTGCTGTCCGCGACAAGGTGGAGAGACTCATGATCTAAGTCATGGGGGGATGGATGTTCGGGTCTAGAGTTGGAGGTTTTGGTTTGGTGACTGGGAAGTTCGGCACCAAATTTTTCCTTGCCTTGTTCATTCACGATGTGAATGACGAATGGAATAGACTGCAGACTTGAGAACCGACAATTCGCGCCGAATGGAGGATTAATATCACTATTCGGAGATTGGCCATACCCACCTGTTTGACTAGTCGCTAGACAATGAAACCAGTGTCTTAGATGTCTGTGATCAAAAAATGCTTGGCGTATGATGGGTATTCGTGACAGAAAATCCCAGGAAGAATGACGTTGAATTGTATGGACCGAAGGACTTCATCAGAAGTAGCTAAGTAGGGTTTTAAATCACCACCATCACTACCTAGGTAACTACTATAGATATTTAACTAGTGCTGATGAGAAGAATCCCAAAATATCCTGACTAAGTGCGACTAGTACGGACCTAGTGACCGCCTGCGCCCACCGTGCGGGGACACCATCCATAGCTGTAGTTTCATCGTTTTCCCTCCCATCTTTCATTCCCCTCCCTCCGCACACCTTTCAAATACCTCACGTTCTCCTGGCTGGTTCAGGCTCCTTGCTGGTAAAGGAGAGGTCAGAATCCTGTCATCAACTCGTCCCCCTCGTGTTCCAGCTTCATCAGCTCGTGTTGGCATATTAACTTCGGGCTGGGCTGAGGCTGGTTACGTTACATGACTGACTGACGGATGACTCGCTCTGTCTCATCGCCACGAATTGCCCGTAGCTTATTCGACTTTTCCCATCGGTGTCATCTTCGTATTGTGCCTGGGTGACTTTCTCCCTTTTCATCTTCTCTCCTCTCTTTCCATTTCTCTCGCCCAACCCCCCGCGGTGGACATGAAATGACCATGTCCTTCGCAACGACGATCGCCGTGATCCTCACTGCTACCCTGATCAGCTGCGCTTCCGCTGGACCCTTGATAACGTCAGAGTCTACCACCACGACCGCGCCCACTTCTTCCCCCTCGGCGCAGACCATCCATTATCCGCTGGCTGGCCCAGAACCTACGGGCGATGCAGACGACACCGGAGAATGTCGACTGCTAGGACCATTTTCGCTCCTCGTACAGGCCGCCCTTGGCGCGTTGGCGCTGTTATCGCTGGTGTACAAACGATGGAGGGAGCGACCTCAGCGACCGCTCAAAGTCTGGGCGTTCGACGTTTCTAAGCAGGTGTTTGGTTCTGCAATGCTGCATCTTGCGAACTTGCTCATGTCCATGTTTTCGGCCGGTCAGCTCGAAATCACGAGTGAATACAAACCGAATCCGTGCTCCTTCTACCTGTTGAACTTGGGCATTGATGTAAGCTTCTCTCTCTTACACTCCTGAAGCAAATCGCTGACTTAAACTAGACTACTCTGGGAATTCCGATCCTCATTTTCATCCTGCACATCCTCAACCGCATCGCGCTGTACACGCCGCTCGCCAACCCTCCCGAATCCATCAAATCTGGAAATTACGGTCGGCCTCCCCGGGCGCTCTGGTGGTTCAAACAGTCTATTATCTACTTTATAGGCCTCCTGGGCATGAAGATCTGCGTCTTTTTCCTAATCCAGCTGCTCCCATTCATCGTCAAGGTGGGCGACTGGGCGCTCCGGTGGACCGAGGGCAACACCGCCGTGCAGATCATCTTTGTGATGCTGCTCTTCCCCGTCATCATGAACGCGATCCAGTACTATATCATCGATACTTTTATCAAGAAGCCGTCGCGCGAGCTGCTCGAAGAGGAAGTCGAGGACGACGTTGATGCACGGGGCCACGACCAGGACCACAGACATGCCCTGCTGGGTCCGGAGGAGGATGACACGATCGAATCGGAGGATGATTCGGTCGGCAAGGCGGCCGGCAAGGTATTTGACAGTCCTCAGTCCAAGGAGACTCTGCCACGGTATTCCGTCGAGCCCGCCCCGGGATACAGTGTTGGGTCGTCGGCGTCAGTGTCGGCCTCAATGTCGTCCAGCTCCAGCAGCGCCCGTTAGGCATTACGATTGATCCATTGCAAGTTATGAAAGGCGTTATTGTTCGGCGTTTGGTAGCATGGAAAGATATGGGGGTCTGGGATTACATAGCTGTTCATATTCTTCTTTTCACTAGCAAGATGACAGCGAGAGCTGTCCGTCCACTGGAGATATAGTACATACACGAACTGTCTGTTGATGATAGTATTGTGCCGACCTTTATTGCATTCCATGTCGGGAGACATCGAAACACCTTTTTGAACCCTAGGCACATGATGGTCTAATCCTAATAGGGCTGCTTCTATAGTATTCAAAGTCCCGTTCCAGTCTTGAACGGGAAAGATGAAACCTGTATAAAATGTAGATAAGTTGTATAGCCATGTCCTCTCACTAAACATTCTATCGGCCTAAAGCTGGTCGTAAAGCCATGCCCAGCTCCGTCTACCATACAACATAGTATAAGCCAAGCAGCACGAGTAACCCACAGTAACACTTGTGGAAGCCTGTGTGTGGTTCTTAGGCCGCACTGATCATCTCTCCACCTGGGCTGGACAAAAACTAAAGTCATGAACAACCACATATCTCCTCCCATAAACTACATATTCAGGCTTCAGTCATATTATCTGATGTTTTCCGATGATCCCGGATCTGACTCAACCATAACAATAGGACATAGGCTGACTAGCTGGTTACTAGTTCTCTTGACCCTGGCCAAACGGGAAGATTCTATTGGACTTCGTCGCATATATACTGTATACCTTCAGTGGTTACTGATTCCACTTAGCACCACGTGATGCCAGCCTCATTTTCATCTCAGCCGCGGGGGGTATGTGCCCGGTCTCGTAAAAGTCCTGAACCAGGCGTCTCGCTCTTCGGGCTAGTTATCATCCTCGAGCCTACAGTTTAAGTTGAAGCCAGTTTTGGCTGATTTCAAAGCAAGATGGCCCGCCGCCTCAGTCACCACGACTACACAGTCGGATGGGTATGCGCCTTGCCTGTCGAGCTGACTGCCGCTCGGGAGATACTTGATGAAGATCATCAAGACCTCCCTCCGAATCCCAATGATTCCAATATATACACGCTAGGATCTATAGGGGACCACAACGTCGTCCTGGCGTGTCTGCCTGCAGGCCAGACGGGCACCAACTCCGCTGCGGCAGTGGCTATCCAGATGAAGAACACGTTTCCGGCCATTCGATTTGGGCTGATGGTGGGAATCGGAGGCGGCGTTCCAAGCAAGAAAGCTGATATTCGGCTTGGCGACGTTGTTGTGAGCCAGCCGGGAAACGGTCATGGCGGAGTGGTACAATACGACTTCGGAAAGTCAATACCAGGCGAATTCACGCGGACAGGGTTCCTGAATGCTCCACCTATGATCCTTCTCGCCGCGGTTACAAAACTTCAATCCAACCTTGACCTACGGAAAAGTGACCTGTCGCCACACCTCTTGAAGCTTGGTAACCTCCCCAAGTTCGGCCGCGATGAAGCAGGAAGCGATGAACTCTTCGAAGCGGAGTACAATCATAGTGAAGGGGATAGCTGTCTATCATGTACGGCGGAGAGAATGATACAGAGGGAGGAGCGGACGAGCACTACGCCTATAATTCATTACGGTACCATTGCGTCGGGGAACCAGGTGATGAGGAACGGTATAGAACGGGACAAGATCAGCTCGGAATTCGGAGGGGTTCTCTGCTTCGAGATGGAGGCGGCGGGCCTGATGAATACTTTCCCGTGCCTGGTGATCCGCGGCATCTGCGACTACGCTGACTCGCACAAGAATAAGAAATGGCAGCCGTACGCGGCGGGAACAGCAGCGGCATACGCAAAGGAGCTGCTACGAGTGATACCGGCGGTGGATGTGGTGAAGATAAAGACTGTCGATGAAGCACTGCGAGGTAAGCCTAGCTATTCCAGCTTGAAATTCAAAGGCCTGACTCACACGCAATAGAAGGAAAACGTACTTTCTACCTCCCCTTACAACGAAATCACAAGTTTGTCGGCCGAAGTGCAGAGCTCAATACACTGAAACAAACGCTCCTTCTAAAGAAAGATTGTCAGAAGCTCACACTCAGCGGCCTTGGTGGTGTCGGTAAGACACAAGTCGCGCTACAGTTCGTATACTCCGTTAAGGCGGACTATCCAGAGTTCTCCATCTTCTGGGTACAAGCGTTGAGTATGGAGACATTCGAGCTAGGCTGCGGGGAGATAGCAAAGGCTATAGAAATTCGCCAGACGCAAGAGAGCGTCCAAGATGTGAAAATCCTAGTGCAACAATATCTGTGTTCAAAAAGCGCAGGGAAATGGTTACTCATTGTCGACAACGCTGACGATCTTGACTTACTCCGTGGGACCCAGCACACAGAAGGCTTGCTGGCCTTTCTGCCAGAAAGCGATGATGGCTTAACTATATTTACAACTCGACATGGAGCCGTGGCGCAATACCTGACCGGAAGCGATGTGATTGAAATAGGAAAGATGACGAAACAGGAGACGACCGACTTATTGGAAAAGATGTTGATTCGAAAAGGTCTTTGTGACGATTCTGAGGTCGTGACGAACCTTCTTACAGAGCTGGAATATCTCCCATTGGCTATCACCCAAGCAGCAGCATATATCAACATAAACAAAAGCTCGATCTCTGAGTATTTGCGCCTATTGAAGAAGACAGACCATGATGCTGTTACCCTTCTAAGCACGGACTTCGGTGATAAAACACGATATCGGAACTTGCCAAACACAGTCGTGAAGACATGGACGGTAACTTTCAACAAGATTCTCGAATGCGATCCCTTGGCGGCAGATCTCCTTGCATTTATGTCTTGCATTGAGTGGAGGGCAATCCCTTGCTCTATTCTACCACCAGCCTATCCAGAAGCCCGGCTGGTAGGGGCAATTGGTTTACTCTGCTCCTTCTCGTTTCTGGAGAAAAGAGATGGTGGCTCTAAGCTCGACATGCATAGACTAGTCCACTTGGCGACCAGGATATGGGTTAATCAGAATGAGCGGGAAGAAGAGACGAGAATGGCGGCTTTAAAGCACCTCTCGGAAGTCTTTCCCTCCGACGATTACACTAACCGTTATATCTGGAGGGATTACCTGCCACATGTGGCACGCATAGGGAGGCATGAGCAAAGCAGAGACACAGAAGAGATAAGTAAGCTCTGTTTGAAGGTCGGACGGTGCTTATACGTTGATGGTCGGATAAGAGAATCTGTTCTCTGGCTACAGGAATCTTACGAGTGGAGAGATAGAAATCTCGCCCAGGATAACGCGGATCGACTAGAGTCCCTGCACGAGCTCGCTGTAGCATACCACGCAAACGGACAGGTTAAGAAGGCAGTTCAACTGCTTGAATATGTTGTCACGATAGAATCCGGAGCCGTTGCAAAATACCATCCCAATCCACTGGCGTCACAGCATGAACTCGCTGAAGCATATCGAGCAAACGGACAGGTCAAGGAGACAGTCCAGCTGCTAAAGCATGTTGTCGCGATAAAATCGGACAATATTTCAGGAGACCATCCTGATCTACTGGCGTCGCAGCATGCGCTTGCCATAGCATATGAAGCAAACGGACAGATTACGGAGGCTGTCCAGCTGCTAGAGTATGTTGTTACAGTAAGATCAGAAGTGCTCGCAGAAAACCATCCTGATCGACTGGCGTCGCAGCATGCGCTTGCTATAGCATATCAAGCAAGTGGACAGGTTAAGGAGGCAGTCCAGCTGCTAGAGCATGTTGTCGCAGTAAGATCAGAAGTGGTCGCAGAAAACCATCCTGATCGACTGGCGTCGCAGCATGCGCTTGCTATAGCATATCAAGCAAGTGGACAGGTTAAGGAGGCAGTCCAGCTGCTAGAGCATGTTGTCGCAGTAAGACCAGAAGTGCTCGCAGAAGACCATCCTGATCGACTAGTATCGGAGAGGGCACTTGCTATTTTCTACGAATATTTGAGGAAGAGATCCAAAATAAGCCAGGATTCTGAGATTCCGCAAGCAATGTCCGACAAGGACACACCTTCCAGTGCGTTTTCAGATCAATCACCAGCAGAACAGGAATCGAAGTCGGGCTATACATCGAAGAGGAGACTTCTCGTGAGGAAGCTAAAGGCAATTCTCAAGGCGGCGGCTAAGTAGTCACTACTGGACTTCATTCTGCACACAATGAATCGACGGTTGCCATTTCCCTAACTAGCACAGTCATTGCTCGGTCTGACATGCTGCTCGCCTTCAGCGCACTAGAAACGGAATGCGTAGACAGAACCGATATTTCGGAGCACCACGGTTGATCGATTCTTATGTGGAACAATAGCGATTGATGTTCTTCAATTGGATTCCTTAATGGCCACACGGAAGTGTACATGTAACAGCATCGACACATGAGTGGAGGGAGGGTTAAGGTGGCCATCACTCTCCACCGCAGATCTCACCGCCCGCATCTGCCGCCGCGCGAAGAAAAATTATTGTCACGCCTCATCCACTCTCCACAGCGGCATCTTCTCTCTTTTCTAAAGTGCACTCGTCTCATTGCACCTGATTCGGAATCGTCTCGATTCACCGAGTTAGTCCAATTAGCCGCCGGCGATCGCCACCATGCCCAAAACCGCCGTGAAGCAAAAATCCCGCCAAAAGCCCAACCCGTTCCAGAAGGCCGGGCTGGTGCGCCCAGACGACGACGTCGACATGCACAACGCCGCCGAGACCGTTCGGGAGAAGGACGAGGCCGAGGAGAAACTGGAGAGACTGCTTTTTGGCGATGATGACGGGTTCACAGGGGCATTGAAGAGCCAGAATGCGCGCGGGCTGGTCGCCCTCGGACGGGAGAGCGACGAGAGCGACGCGGACGACGACCACGACAGTGAGGAGGATGATGTGGAGGGAAAGGATTTGGACGATGTTGACGATGCCGATGTATGTGGCGCCTTTTCATCCGTGAACTGCTCCGACCAGGCTAACTCCCACAGCTGTTCTTCCTTGACTCGGGCGCCGGCCCCGTCTCGACAGACGCCGCCGAATCGACAACGTCAACGACATCGTCCGAGGCCGAGAGCGACGATGACGGGCCGCCGGCGCTGTGGCACGACAGCGACGACGAGCGCATGACCATCTCGCTGGCCAGCCACCAGCGGCTGCGCAAGCTGCGCGTCGCCGAGTCCGAGGACATCATCAGCGGCAAGGAATACATCCGCCGGCTGCGCCGGCAGTTCACGCAACTACACCCGGTGCCCGGGTGGGTGGAGCAGGCGACACAGAAGCAGCGCGACGAGGACTCGGACTCGGACCGCGGCGACGGCATGGACACCGACGACGACGAGATCTCCCCCATGCAGCCGCTGGCCAAGTTGCTCCAGGGCGCGACGGATCTGACCAAGCTCGAGGACACGCGCGGCGGCAAGCGCAGGCTGCGCCAGGAGATGCTGGATATCCACCGACTGAAGGATGTGGGACGGGACCAGCCGGTGAGTTGCCCCAGCCTCTACAAGTATACTCTACACGGAAACTAACACTCAGCTTCAGTCCTCGGTCGACTCGCTCATGTTCCACCCGCATTACCCGCTGCTTCTGTCGTCGGGCCCGGCAGCGACACTCTTCCTGCACCACATTGCGCCGTCCGCACCGGCGTCGAACCCGCTCCTCACATCGCTGCACATTCGGCGCACCCCCATCCACACGTCGGCGTTTGCGCCGCCAACCGGCAACAAAATCTACGCCGCCGGCCGCCGGCGGTTCTTCCACATCTGGGACCTGGACACGGGCAAGGTGGACAAGGTGAACAGCACGGCCGACCGCCGGGAGGAGCAGAAGTCGATGGAGCGGTTCAAGGTGTCGCCGTGCGGGCGGTTCGTGGGGCTGGTCGGGTCGTCGCGCAAGGGCGGCGGCCTGATCAACGTGCTGGACGCGACGACGGCGCAGTGGGTCGCGCAGGTGCGCGTCGACGGCCGCGGCGGCGTCGCCGACTTTGCCTGGTGGAGCGACGGCGAGGGCCTGACGGTCGCCAGCAAGAACGGCGAGGTGTCCGAGTGGGACGGCCGGCTGAACCGCGTGGTCGCGCGCTGGATGGACGCCGGCGCCGTCGGCACGACGGTGCTGCGCCTCGGCGGCCGCTCCGGGCGGACGCAGCTCGGCGGCGATCGCTGGGTGGCCATCGGCAGCTCCAGCGGTGTGGTCAACGTCTACGACCGTCGCGAGTGGGCGGCGGCGTACGCGGCGGCGTCCAAGTCCGACGACGCTGCGTCGGCTATCCCGCGCAACCCGACGCCGGTGCGCGCGCTCGACCAGCTCACCACGCCCATCAGCCATGTGGAATTTGCGCCGGACGGACAGTTCTTCGTGATGGCGAGTCGGTGGAAGCGCGACGCCTTGCGAATCGGTAAGTACTTCCCTCTCTACAGGTTTACTTCCAAGCTAACCAGTCTAGTCCATCTGCCGTCGTGCACCGTGTACCGCAACTGGCCGACGTCGAATACGCCACTGGGCCGGATCTCGTCGGTGGCCATCTCGCCCAACTCGGAGCAGCTGGCGGTGGCCAACGAGCAGGGGCGGATCCGGCTGTGGGAGATCCGGGGGTAAAAGTGATGTTACATAGAATTGATCAGATGAATATAATTGATACAAGCCGAAGTAATTAACAAGAAGCGGTGATAGAAGCAAGCCAGACCAACATCTAGAGTCCCCCGAGGATATCGCCCTACACTGCGTTAGTAGCTTACAGGGGAGAGTACCTAGATATGGATTATCACATACAAGCTATGAACGCATTAGCCTTGTCCAGAACAAACACAGATAGAAGGGGACGAACTCACCGGCACCGGCAGCTCCTCCATAAGCTACCCAAGCAAACAGTCAGTCAATAACCCCCTGCCTCCAACCCAGGAGATCAACTCACCTTCCCAACCAAGTTCTCATCATCAGTCTAGACCCGTCAGCGCACATCCTCATCTCATCCTCATCCATGGACAGCTACATACCTTCTTCGGAGCCTTGGTCGCCGCCAACGTCGAGCTAGGGCTCGCGCTCGCGCTCGAGCTCGCCTTCGTCGGCTCGTTCTTGTCCTCGTCCTCGGGCTTGTAGCCCGGCTCGTCGGGGGTGAGCGGGATATCCTTCAGCGGCATGGTGACGTCCTTGCTGGAGTTGTGGTTCTCGTCCTCGCCGCCGCCGGGGGGCACGGCCAGGACGCCGGCGGCGAGGGTGGAGAGGAGCAGGAGGGAGAGCTTCATTTTGTTGGAGGGTAGTACGAGGGCGTGATGATATGTATGTAGACAATATATGTATTAGAAGGATAGGTCAACGGTGGTAGTTACGGACGGGGTGATCTTGGGATCCTGCCTATATATGCCTCCCTCCTGGATGCCTGTGTAGGGGGGCCCCGACAACAAGCTTCCGTGGGGGGTAATGGGGCGGACGGAGGAATGGAATGGTATGTGGTCAGAGGTGTGAATCAAGGGACACGTTGTGTCCAGAGCGGATCATCCATGACAGGTCTGGATGGACATTCCATTGGATGTCTTATGCCTTTTGTCAATAGCCAATACAGCAGCGAATGTGTCCGTTGTAGTGTTGACTTAAATCTCAACGAGCTAATGTCCTCTCAGCGCGGTATCAAAATAACCCGTATCCTTCATGGGGGTATCAGGGAGAGAAGATGGGATGGACAGAAAGTTGACCCTACATACCTCGTCCGCTGATCTTGTTTGTTTTCTTATTTTCTGGACGTCCACCGTCCCATGTTTGCATTCCGGCCCTTGGATGTGTACGTAGGTGGGAGTACGTATGTACGTGGTGCATGCAAGGCACAAGTTGTATCCCTGCGATCGGACGCCCTGCATCGATGAACGGGTGTCATCAACGTGTTCCGGTAGACTTGAGCTTTTCTCCTAGATAGGGATGGTCAGAATGCGTGGGCATCGCTGATGGACATGAAACTAACAAGGCTTACTTCGCTCGAGCCTTCGCAACTCAAACCATACAGCTGGGCCTATCTTCTGAAGTAATAGATTCATTGATGCACTCAGTATCGTCTCTCTATAGTCCGTCCTATCGTATATTAATTTTCTCTTTCCGAACATAAACATTACCCCCATGTATAAACGCCGTTCAAGTCAATCTCTTCATCTCATCCAGGCTGCGAATACCAGCCAAGTTGCCCGCCTTGACCCGCTTCAGCGTCAGCGCCGCAATCAGCGCGGCGCCCACACCTGATCCGTCCTCGGCCGCGAGGATCTCCACCCGATCGGGCTCGTTGGGTGCCCAGTCCAGGATCTCGCGGAGCGCCTGGGCTCCGCGCGCCTTGAAGTGTGGGTACTTTGTGAAGACAGAGCCATCGGCACCCACGTGGCAGGACTTGATGTTCTTCTTGGTGCAGATGGCGGCCACACCACATGCCGAGAGGCGCGCGGCCCGGGTTCCGATCAGCTCGGCCAACCGACGGATCATCTCCAACTCGGCCTCGGTCGCCTTGATGTTCAGCTTGCGCTCCAGCAGCTCGGACGTCTCCTGCAGGTTCTCATACGGATCCTCCTCGATGGCGGCCAGGAAGGACGAGTCGAGCAGGTAGGGCTTGCGCAGCAGGGACGTGTCCTGGCCGTTGAAGATGAGACCGGGACGGCTCTCGAGGAGGTCCAGGAGCGCCAACCGGAAGATCTCGCCCAGGTAGAGACCGGCCGTCATCTTCTCAAAGGCCTGCTGGCCGGGACGCGGAGAGTCGCGGTCGATAATGTGGTCGTACTTGGTGAGGGGTAGCACAACATGCTCGTTGTCGAAGGCTCCGTACTCGCAGTTGATGGCCACCGGCATGTCGGGAGGCAGGTTCATATAGGCGAGCTTGGGGACGGAACCGACGTCCTCCATGTAAGCAGCGTTGACGCCGGTGCCGAAGATGCAGCCGATCTTAATTGCAGGGTCGGTGTAGGCGGAAGCGATCAGGGTTCCGGTAGTGTCGTTAATCAAGGCAGCGACCTTGATGGGGAGACCCTATACGGTATCAGCGTTGTTCAAGGCAACTAACCACATGTCAGTTGTAACATACTCTCTTCTTGAGAATCTCCTCCAAAGGCGGAACCACGTCCTGGCCCTCGACGCCATCAATGTCGAAGCCCTTGGTCCAGCGTTGGAGGATGCCGTGATCAATGTATTCCTGAGTAGCTGGGTAGGAAAAGGTGAAGCCCAATGGCAGCTTGTCGAGGTTCTCGTTCTCGTGGTGGGCGTTGATGAATTGTTCCAGACAGTCGGCGATATACTCCCAGAGCTCCTCGGCGGTGCCGGTCTTGAGCTCCTCAGGCATGCGGTACTTGGACTGAGTGATATCGAAAGCTCCCTTCTCCTCTGTCAGGGTGATTTCACAAACCCGAAGGTTGGTACCACCCATGTCGAGTGCGAGGAAAGTTCCCTGTTCGTTTCCATCGGGGAAGCCCATCACCCAGGTGACGTTCATGGGCTGGAGCTGTTAGCCCAAGAGTCAAAATAAAGATGAACGATTGAATGGACTCACAATGTTACCACCCTCGACGGTGAGACCTGATCAAACGAGGATGTCAGTCCTGATCCCGCGGTACGGGAGGCGGAAACGCACCCTTCTCCAGCTCCTTGACAAAGTGAGCGACAACCTGCTTCAATTTGGCGGTGTCGACGGTGAAGATGTCCTCGAACTCCTTGATCTGCTGCAGGAGGTTCTGGGGAAGTTCATGGCGGGAACCTGACGAAGCCGGAGAGTGAGTATGGTGGGGGAGGAACCGTGGAATGGAGGGGACGTACCCTTGCGGGAAGGGGGACGCTTGGGACCGATTCCGACCATGGTGCTGATGAATTGAGTAGAATGGCAGAGAGGGATTTGAAGAGACAGAGGGGAAAGAGAGTGGGAGAGTGGGAGAATGGGAGAATGGGAGAATGGAAGATGGAAAAAGATGACGAGGGGAGAAAAGAAGGATGATATCAGCGGGCGGGCGGTCGTGGGGCTCGCAGCAGCACTAGAGAACTCACACCGATGACGATCTCACCGAGGCTTGTTTAGGATGTCTCTAGAGTGTTAGAGGGTATTCTTCTTCCTAGGAGTAGTGTTTGTCTTGTTTCTTCTTCTACATCAGTATGATCATACTAGACTATTCCTCTAAACTATTCTTATTGTCGTCGATACTCCCAAAAGACGGTGAGCGTGTGATGTATCCTCCCCTTGGCAGTCAATACTAGTAACCCAAATACTGATACTAGTGCGAGTATAACAACTGACAACAATAACACGCCACGGAACGGTCAGATGATCATCTTCATTCTAGAATTCGAAGATTCTAGACCCCCAAACGGGAAAAAAAAAGGCAATTCTTCCTTCTAGTTAGTAGACTATGTCCGGAACACCGCATTACGTATCGTACTTCTAACAAACAAATGAATTTCCCTCGTTTATCGCGCCAGGTGGGGAAACACATGCTTCAGCGTCCCCAGACTTCGGCGTCGCTCTGCACGCACCGCATCCTCCGTCTCGCGAAGCGTCTCCTCGGAGTCTGCATTGGCCTGTGCCTGGCCGCGGGGGCGCTCAATCTGCTGTCGCACGCGGTCCTGATACGTCTCGGAGAGGCCTAATGCCCGGTCCACCTCCTCCGTCAACCGTTCCACCTCGTCATGAAGCCGTTCGTCCCGAGTGCGAGCCGGCGCTTCTTCGGCCTCGCGACTCGCCGGATTGGGGTTGGTGCGTTCCCAGATCTCCTCGAGGTCCCGCTCCCATCCCAACGCCCGCGCAAACTTGCGCACCCCGGCATCGCAGTCGCCCAGCAACAGCACATCGTCCGGGCGCGAGCCCAATCCCCCCACCCGCTCCATGTTGACCAACACCCGCGGGATGCCGTCGCGGCAGAACGCGGGGAGACTGGCAAACGGCTGTACGGAGAGACTGGTGCCCATGATGATGCACAGGTCGGCCTGTTCGGGGAGCGTGCGGTTCTCGAAGAAATCCTCCGGCAGTGACTCGCCGAAGAAGACAATGTCTGGCTTCACGATGCCCTGGCATTGAGCACAGCGCGGCACCTCACCCTTTGCAATCGCCTCCTTCATCTGTGCTTCCGGGTACTCGGCCTTGCAGTCGATGCAGTGTTGGTTCGCGAAGCTCCCGTGCGCTTCGACGATCAACTCCCCCGGCACGCCCGCCAGTCGCTCCAGACAGTCAATGTTCTGCGAAAAGTGTTTGAGGAGGAGGCCCTTATCGTGGAGCAGCTTGATGAACGAATGCGCCAAGGTGGGTCGGTATCGCCCGGGGGCCAACTCCCGCGCCAGCGCGTAGAACGGCCGGGGGTTGTTGCGGAAGAAGCTGATGTCGAAGACGGCCTCAGGGTCGGGGAGATCCAAATGGGCTAGATTCGCGTAAATACCGGTGTCTGGCGAACGGAAATCCGGAATGCCCGCCGAGGTGCTGATGCCAGCTCCCACCTACCACTGATTAGGCCACGGACCACGAGAGACCTTAGGGTTAATGCGGGGACATACCATGACTACAATATTGCGCACATTTTTCTCTTTGATGTATTTGGCCACCGCCTCGATGGACCGCGATTCCAGCACGGAGGGAGGGGTGTTCTCATCGACGACGGTCGACGGCTCGTTACCCATGATGCGAGGCAAAAAACGGCCGGGTTTGCGCCGGGCGTGTTGGTGGCGGGGTCTGCGACGGCGGCCAATGGTGACGATGAGGGATGATGAGAAGGTGAGGGGTGAGTAGAAGATGAGAAAGACGAAGAGGGGGTATTCTAGTGAATGAGATTCTTGGAAATCTAGGTGAATGTCGGAGAGCTGAAGGACGCAAGAGAGGGATGATAGAGATGATCGCCAGTGACCGTCGAAAATTATCCAGATGACGTCGGATGGCGCGCCTAAGGCGACACAACACGGCCACAGAGGATAGATATAAGACGAATTATGTTGATTCTATAGCTTAGGTGATCGTCTCTATTCAGTCTATTTCTACAATTATTACTATTATCTAGTAAATTATTCACTCGCAAGAGAAGCGAGTATCAATATCATATCGTGCCACTCACCGCCTGCCGCTCTCGACATACTGCCAGATCTCTCCCCTGATAATCAATCGATCATCTCTTCTCTCTCACTCCTCGCTCATTCTCTCCGGACCATGGCCAAATCACCTCCCCTGGCCGTCAATGGCCATGCGGGTGCTTCGGTCTCTCTAGCGGACCCCCCGCCTCCTCAATCCGCATCGCCCCCTCCGGACATCTTCAATGCCAGCTCCGTCGCCGAGATCAAGGCCACGTTGTCGCACCTGCACGAGCAAGAAGCCTCCGTCACAGCCCGTCTGGACGCCCTAGTCGCCTCGCAGAAGGATTTCTCCCGTGAATTCGGTCGATTGGATCTCCTACGTGCCCATCTCGGCTCCCAAACCACCACCACCCGCGCCATCAGCCATGGGATGCTCTCCGATGCCGCGGCCACCGCAGACCGTATCTCCAGCGCCGTCCGTCGTCTGGACCTCGAACAATCGCGTGTCAAGGCTACCTTGGAGATGGTTGAGCAGGTCGCCGAGCTCAAGGCCTGCGTGCTGGGCGTCGCCGGGTCCATGGGCGCCCCACAGGACTGGGAGACGGCGGCCAGCTACCTCAACCGGGCGTCCAAGATCCCATCGGAGGTCGTCCATGGTGCCTTCGCGGCGGAGATGGTGCCCACCGCCGAAGTCCCCGATCCGCCCAACGTCACTTTGGACAATGCCGCCGAGTCGCTGTGTGGTCTGTTCCTGCGCGAGTTCGACAAGGCCGTCAAGGAGAACAACGGCGCCAAGATCACCCGGTTCTTCAAGCTATTCCCGCTGATCGGCCGCTCGGAGGTTGGTCTGGACGTGTATGGCCGCTACGTGTGTCAAGGAATTGCGTCGCGCGCGCGGTCCAACCTCAACGCCGGCACCGGAGCGCAGGGCAAGGATGGCTTCTTCTACGCCAACGCCCTGACGAAGCTCTTCGAGCATATCGCGCAGATCATCGACGGCCATGGCGGCCTGGTCGAGCGCCACTACGGCCCCCGCAAGATGAACCGCGTCATCGAGCGGTTGCAGCTCGAGGCCGACGTCCAGGGTGGCATCATCCTCGATACCTGGAGCGACGAGAGACACGTTGACCGCCGACTGACCGACATCAAGTCCTACGCCTTCACCTTTCTCGTGCAGAGCTTCCTCCCCCAACGGAGCGGCACGCCCCGGTCGAACTCACCAGCGGCGCGCGACGCCGCCGCGGCTGACGACGAGGGCGTCGATATGAAAGAAATCGACGGGCTGCTCAACGAAATGACCGTCATGCTCGGCCGCTGGTCGCTCTACTGCCGGTTCCTCACCGATACCTGCAATGTACATTCATCCCCTCCTTCCCCAAGCAAGAACAGTACTGACACCCTGCAGCCCCCAGATGAATCCGCCAAGCGCACCGCGCCACAGTTCCTCCAAGAGTCAAGCCTGGCGAAGAAAATCAGCGACCGCCTCGTGGCCCCCTTCAACACCATGACGACCTTCTTCTTCCGCCGGTCTGTCGAGAAGGCGTTCCAGCTGGACGAGCAACCCTCCGGCCTGACCCTGCACCCGCAGCGGCCGCTCAAGGCGGACCCGCCGCACATCACCTCCGCCGTCGACGACATCATGTACATAGTCAACAAGGTACTGCAGCAATCGCTGGCGACCTCGCAGATCGCCGTCGTCACCAACGTCGTGCCGACGCTCTCGCGTGTGCTCGGCTCCGACTTCATCGGCATGACCCAGCGCAAGATGCGCGACGAATGCTACCCCCGCGCCGCGGTCCAGGGCGGCCACCCGCCCGAACACCTCGTGCTCTCCTTCCTCGTGCTCATCAACAACCTCGACGTCGCCGTCGACTACGTCCGCCGCATCGTGCAGAACCACACCGAGAAGAAGCCTCTCGCGGGCCCCGGCCCCGGCTCGGACGGCACCCCCCAACAGGACGAGACGGACCCCCTGCGCTCTCTCTTCCCGGCCGCCGACGACGCCGCCCTCGCCGCCCAAACCGTGCACAGCCTCGCCTCCTCCTTCGAGTCCAAGGTCTCCGACCTCCTCTCCGACGGCATCCAGGTCGTCTTCAACAACGTCGTCAAGCACCGCCTGCGCCCCATCCTCGCAGACGCCTTCCGCGACATCGAGTACCACCCGGACGCTGACAACAACAACCCCAGCCACGCCTACGACTCGCCCGATGACGACGACGCAGGGGGCAAGGAGCTCGTGCGCCCGCGCTTCGCGGCCAGCTGGACCGAGCTGCTCCTCCCGCTGTCGCGGATCCTGACGGCGTCGGCCTTTGACCGTCTGCTGACGGTGACGCTGGCGTATCTGGCGCGCCTGCTGGAGAAGCGGCTGTGGTCGTACGCCGGGCGCATCAACGCGCTGGGCGCGGCGCGGCTGGAGCGCGACGTGTCGGGGCTCGTCAGTGCGGCGGTCGATGTCGGCGGGGCGCAGGCCGGCGCGACCGCGCGCTATCGGCACCGCGAGGCGTTTGCGCGCTGCACGCAGATGACGCTTGTTATGAGTATGGACGAGGACGAGTGGGAGGATGTGCTGCGCGGCGGGGAGACGGCGGATGTGTTGGATCGGTTGAGTCGCGAGGACCGCATCCGGGTGCGTGGCATGGTGCGGCGGTCTGCGATGTAGTATGTCGTCTGTATATAGATACGATAAGTGTATAGTTACGTCTTTATCCGCAAGACAGGCACTTTAGTCTACACATGACCAGAGTGAATCCAAGATCAGTCGATTCTATGCACATGGTATCACATCCGCGATAACCCTCAAAAGCATCTATTATATACATCCGAACGCCAGCCCATCCCAACAGGTATAAAGAAGATACATGCATAGTGGCTCAGCCAACCTAGACATGACGAACAAAGGTGGATATCTTAAACAAGGTAAATCAAGCACAAATTGGGAATTAACACAGGTAGAAATGGGAAAATGCGAATAAGAGGGTTTTACTCCGGCTTCTCGTTCTCGGCCGACGTGCCCTCATCGGGCCGATTTTGCTCGGCAACTTGGCGCGGCGCCGGCGGGATGGGAGCGGCCACATGCGCGGGCGCCAGCTTGACCTCTTGAATGCCGGAGTCGGGCTCGCTGCCGCCGCGGCTGGAGAAGCCCGCGGGCGGGTGGCCCTCGAGCATCATATCGCTGTGCTCGCCGATGCCGTAGCGGGCCGCGGCGGGCACCTGGTGGCCGTCTTCCAGCTGGTCGTGCTTCTGCGGGGTCCAGGCGAGGTAGTCCCGACGGACCTCGACGTAGTCGTAGGCGAACTCGCCCAGCTGGTCATCATCCATGCCGAGCAGCTCCGCCTCCTCGGAGGCGCGCAGCTTCAGGCCGGGAATGGCGTTGACGGCATAGGCGATGATGGCGGAGACCACGAACGAGTAGGCGGAGCAGGCGACGATGAAGGCAACCTGGATGTACAGCTGCTTGTAGTTGTGGATGACCCAGCCGCCCATCCCGGAGCCCGTGTTGACGCCGTCCAGGCCGACGATGGCGTCGTCAGCGAAGAGGGCGTTGAAGATGAGGCCGACAATTCCGGCGACACCGTGCTCAGCGAACACATCCATCGAGTCGTCGATGCGGATCCAGTACTTCACTTTGGTGGCATAGTTACACACGATACCAGTGACCACACCGAGAATCACGCTGGCCCAGGGAGTCAGGAAACCAGAGGCGGGAGTGGCCGCCACCAGACCGGAGATCGTTCCGGAACACCAACCGACCATCGACCACTTGCGAGCGAGGCGCCAGTCGAGCAGAACCCAGGTGATGGCGGCGAAGGAGGCAGTCAGGTTGGTGTTCCAGCAAGCCATCGTGGCACGGATGTTGGCACCAAAGGAGGAACCACCGTTGAATCCCAACCATCCAAACCAGAGGAAGACGGTACCGAGGAGGATGAGCGAGACGTTGTGGGGGCGGAAGTTGAGCATCATGCGTTCCTGGCGACGACCGAGGACGAGCGAGTAGGCGAGAGCGGTCAAACCGGAACCAATCTCGACGGGACCACCGCCGGCATAGTCGAGGACACCGTACTTGTAGGCCCAGCCGTTGCTATTCCAGGTCCAGCAGGCGAGGGGGCAGTAGACGATGGTGGCCCAGATGAAGGTGAAGACCATGGCGGGAAGGAGACGACCGCGCTCGGCGACGGAGCCCATGACAATGGCGGCTGTGACACCACAGAATTGCATCTATCGGTTGTGAGTAAGAAGCGAGAGAGAGAGAGAGAGAGAGAGGTGAAAATGGTCACCGTACCTCGTAGAAAGCGAAGAGGAGGTGCGGAATCAAGGGAGAGCCCGGACTGGGCTCACCCAGCGTCTTCATCAGGCCGAAATTGCGGAGGTTGCCAATGAAACCATTGGTTGCGGAGGGAGAGAAGGCCAGAGAATAACCCCAAAAGTACCATTGGAAAGTGATGACGGACCAGGAGGCCATACAGGCCCAGATCATACTGAGGGCGGACTTGCGTCGGGCGAGACCGGAGTAGAGGAAACCGAGACCGGGGATCATGACCATGACCATGGCGGAGGAGACGATGATGTATGCCTGGTCGCCGGGCTGGAACCATTTGTTCAAGTTTTCGAGTCCTGAGGGGGGCTGTCAGAGGGATTGAAAGCTACACAAGCACCGGATACAGGCACGACATACGGGAGTTTCCACCGAGTTCATTGGTCATGAGTTGTTCCGCGTCGGAGGGGGCGCCGGTCCAGTTGTACGAGGCATACTGGGGGAGATAGTTGGCCTTCACATCGGCCATGATGATGGTGGGGTGGTGGACAGATGTGATGTGAGGAAGTATTCGGGTGTTGCGTGGTCGAGTGGTCGAGTGGTACAGATGGAAGCGGCGAGCGATGGAGGACCTGTTCTCAGAGCCTCCTGGGAAGAGGAGGGGTGAGAGGCAGGGATTGACGGGTCGCGAGAAGAGAGACGGAGGTGAAGACGAAGACGAAGAGGAAGACGAAGATGGATGAGTGTGGGGAGAGGGTGAAGCACGAGGGAAGAGCCGGGATATAAAAACGAGCGGCTGATTCTGGAAAAGGCGAGAGAGGGTGGGCCCTGCAGCAGGGAACGATGGATGGGATGGACTCGATCGGCGCGGCAGCCAGAAAGGTGGAGCCGCCCGATAAGAAAATGTAATTGAATTAGTGATGGCAATCCGCGCTTTATCTCATGCTTTCCTTTCTTTTCGCGTCGTCGTCTTGGCTTCGTATCAGATTTCTTTTCTTTTTCTCCCTTTTCTCTCTTGTTCTTCTTGTCTCTCCCGCTAGTTAGTATGATTGACCTTTTTCAGATCGAAATAAGAGAAATCCCATCAATTGATCCCATTTCTGAGGAAAACGCGGACGGACCAAATCCAGCCCAAAGATAAGTGCTTGCGCCCAATCATCGGCCGGCAAATAGACTCGGCAGGGGATCTCCCCGTCCAGCCAATCAGCGGGGAAGAAAAGCTGAGTCAGGCTGATAATTGTTTTCACTGAATTGGTGCAATGCAATTGCTTCATTCACCTGAACGTCCTAGGTAAATAAATACCAGTAGATACCTAAGGCAGGTAGATAGCATCACACATAGATGGCTTCTTCAACCAGATGCTCAGGTTCAACAATCGTGTACATTGTCAGGCAATCTCCATATGGGGTCGTGGCAAATCTTTGCTCTCTGCCAAGCCTCTAAATAGCCTGCAGAACCAGACCTCCGGCCGTGGCGACCCAACCGAAGTTTCCATGAATCATATCGATTGCCTTCCGATATCGTGGTCGTTGTCATCTTGTCATCACCATCACGGTTGACGGGCTGTTTGCTTTTGCTGGCCCTTGGGTCTAACCCAGCCGAGCATAGTATCATGGATCTGGAGGCATTCCTCGCCGATGGGTCTGGGGAGACCTAATAATCTCCTATGTGGGATGGCCTAGTAGTCAGTAAACATTAGCCGTTAGTCCGTCGACTGTAGATGGAGTATGGAGTCGTCAGGTCATCCTTCATCACGACCTCTGCCATAGGCCATAGGGCTGGCTGGTGGCGGGCACCAACAGGCTGGGCGAAGACCCGTTATAAATAAGACCGATCCCTTACTCCTCCATCAACCCTTCTCTATCTATGTGCCTACCTATGTAGATAGATATCGAGAGACACAACGTCCCCCAACTATCTATCCTCGGCCTCCTCATCCAATACAGACGCGTCTCGCTATCTCCCGCATGCCCGTCTATCTCCCTCCGCGGATATCAACCGCTGTTGCCCCGTACTCCGGAGCGCAATCTATCTTACTTTCAACAGGGGTGGGCACTCCTAGGCACCCAGCACCAGCCGTGTTGGCAACCACGCCAGACCCTGCGTATCGCATCGAAGCTATCAGCGCGGGTGGTTATCAGGACGGGTTTCTCTCAGCTCATCGATACTGCCCGCATCGATTGGCTGAGAAGGCCCGATAAGAACGGCAGACGCCACCAGACGCCAAGTGGGTCCGGCCAGGGAACTCCACGGATCCCGTCAGCCATGCTACTGATAACGCTCCCCGATCAGCCAATGACCGGCCCCTCGGGCATGCTGCGCTCGGAAGTTTCAGGAAGTCGTTTCGGTCGGCTTCGGGATGTCTGGCTGCGGCGGCTTGCTGATAAGCTTAGCTTGGCTTTGAAGACGGCCGGCGGAGAATGCTACCTATTCTGTAAACGTTCAAGTAGGATTACGCTTGTTAGACTCTCGGGTAGATGTGTCAATACACTATACAGATGGTTTAGGTACCTGCATATTTGTGCAGGACAGATGAAGTCGTTGTACTCTGTACTACCTAAGTACCTAGGTACTCGACTCCGAATGAGCTGAAATAAACTATCCCGCCGCACTGGGTCGGGTGGACCTAGCTCCGTTCCACTTTCAGTCTAGCTTCTCCCGGATTAGGCGGCTCAGATAGGACCCTGTTCATCCTCCATCGCTCACCCATCACCAATGTCAATGAACCGCTCCATCTCATTCCCCATAGTCAATACCCGCGTCGATGGAGTAAAAACAGTGGGTCACGCCTCTCGACGGAGTAGTGTGTCCCGTGCCTGGATGCCTTTTCCGCCCCAGTGGGTTGATTGACGTAGGGAGTGGTACCTTGCATATACTGTACTACCAGTAGGGCATTATAATATTAGATTATTATTACCTTGTCGACAGTATTGTTCCCCTGGAGTGCTGATCTGGGGTGGCCTTATCCTGCTTACTCAGACAGTCGTTTCCCAGCAAGGAGCAATGCACTGTAGAATCAAGACAATCAGGATAGGCAACTAGAATCAGAATGGCCAACCGCTCATACATTATGGTAGGCTTAATATACCAACGGTATCGCTTACTTCAGGCCAATCAGTGTTGCCTGTGAAATCTTCCACGATGTCCTTCTCGCTCAACCCATGATCTCTCCGTACGCAGATATATATCTTACCGCAACCACTAAACATCAGATCAATCATCAGTCAATTACAGCGACCAAATAATCGGAACGCCCTCTATACAAGTTAAAATACACCATCACACATTCACACTGTACCCCACCCCCACGGCCCGGCGCCGTTGGAGGTATCTATAATATTTCCGCGCCTCGTCCACCCAAAACACACTGCTGGCCACACACACCAGCTTGAACAGATGCGCCACGTTCAATGCCTCCGTCTGGAACACCCGCTGCAGGAACGGGAGGTAGATCACACACGCCTGTCCCGCCAGCGACCCCAAAACCGCGTAGTTGAACATCTTATTGCCAAACAGAGGCAACTCCCCCCGAAGCACCGATTTGCCCTCGCTGCGGCACGTGAGCGCATTGAACATGTCAAACAGCACAAAGCACGTAAACGTCATCGTCGTGTCGTGCGCCGTGACCACCCGAGACCGCTTCCCCGGTGTCACGTCGTCGTCCGCGTCGCCCATCTCGTAAACATAGATGGCAAGAGTCCCGACCATGATCATGAACGCCGACGTAAGCACCCGCTGAATTAATGGCTTGGTGAGCACCCGAGCTGAGCGCGGCCGTGGTGGTCGGTTCATGATGGACGGGTCAACCGGTTCGACTCCGAGGGATTGCGCCGGCGGGCCATCCATAAGAATGTCTAACAAGGGTTAGCCAAGAATACCCGATCGGCGGGCACACATTAACTCACTAATCCACAAGATTTGCATAGCATTCAGCGGATTCTTGAACCCGAGTGTAGTACTCAGCAGTACCAGACTCAAAGCAGCAACGCTGGTACTGAGCTGGAAGGTTATAAAGTTCTGGATGTTATAGAAGATACCCTTGCCCTGTTCGATTGCCCGCAAGATCGTGGAAAAGTCGTCGTCGGTCAGGATCATGTCCGCAGCCTCTTTGGCGACGTCCGTTCCCAGCTTGCCCATCGAGATTCCAATATCCGCCTTCTTCAGGGCGGGTGCGTCGTTGACACCATCACCAGTCATCGCCACCACATCGCCGCGCGCCTGCAGGGCGCGCACGATCTTCATCTTGTGGTCTGGACTGGTGCGGGCGAAGATGGACGTCGAGGAAATCGCCTCGGTCAGCTCACCCATACTCATACGATCGATATCCTCCCCGTTGAGCACGGTTCGGGATCCCGGGGTATCGCTAATCGGCATGCCGAGTTTTCGCGCAATCGCAACCGCGGTGGTCTCTGCGTCGCCCGTAATCATGATAACGTGCACACCGCCGGCCATCAACCGTCGGATAGATTTGTCGACCCCCTTCCGAGGCGGATCGTTCATCCCGACCAATCCAGCAAACACCAACCCATTATACCGCTCATCGTCGTCGGCCAAGCTGGGAGATCTTGATACTGGGGTGCCAGATCTACTACCCATGGGTCGTCCTCTCGACATATCTCGAACAGCCCCGCTGGCAAAAGCGAGGACTCTCAGCCCTTCCGAGGCCATCTGTTCAGCGGCGTGCCTGACTTCACGACGTCGCGTTTCATCCAAAATAACCTCGCGGCCATCCTTGGTGAGGTAAGTGTCACAGCGCGTGAGGACCTGCTCAAGCGCACCTTTGATGTAGGCCATATCGTTGGACTCGCTGGGGTTTGTGCTGCCGATGATGACACCCATCCATTTGCGTTCAGAGCTGAACGGGGTTTCGGCGACCCGGGCGCTAAGGCGGTCGCGAACATCATCCTCGCCAAAGATGTCCAACAGATCCAGAATGGCGACATCAGTGGGTTGGCCAACCCATCGACTGCGGATGGAGCCGGAGGCACGGTCATCAGTCGAGGACAACACGGCGGCAGACGATGCGCTTGCCGGCGAGTTGGCGTGCACCCGCGATAGCCTGCCATTGTTGGCAATGTTGCCGATGCGGAGGACTGTTCGGGCTGCCGGCCCAGGGGTCAATGAAGCAATGTCGTTGTGGACCTCAAACGGGTCCGCACAATCAAAGTGCCACATTTTGGTGACAGTCATGTGGTTGAGGGTCAAGGTTCCGGTCTTGTCGCTGCAGACGACGTTCACGGAGCCCAGGGTCTCAACACTTGGGAGCCTCCGCATGATAGCTCCCCTCTTGGCCATGCGCAGGACTCCAAGTGCGAGAGTGACGGTGACAATGATGGGAAGACCTTCCGGGATGGCAGCAACGGCAAGAGAAACGCCAATCGTAAACATTTCAAGAAGCTTACGGCCTTGGATTAAACCGATAACAACAATCAGCGCAATAACACCGAAAGAAATATAGCTCAGCTCTTGACCAAGCCGATCCATGGAGAGCTGTAGCGGCGTTCTCGGGCTTTCGATTTCCTGCAATGAGGCAGAGATGCTGCCAAACTCTGTTTTCGCACCCGTTCCGATGACAATGCCTTGTCCATACCCCGACCGAACCAACGTTCCCATAAAGGCAATATTGTGTTGTTCATTCAGACGAATATCGGCCCCCACAGCCCCACTGGCAGGAGCGTCGTAGAATGGTGACCGCGGTGGGCTGACAATCTTGGGTGAGTGTGCAGCAGCGTGCTTCGGGTTGCGGATTGCATCCGCATATTTCGCGACGGGCTCATTTTCACCGGTCAAGTTGGACTCATCGATAGTGAGGTCTGTTGCAGCAGTGATGCGGATATCTGCTGGAATGCGATCCCCCACAGTGAACAGCACCAGATCACCTGGGACCAGTTCATTTGCCGGGACAGTCGAGGAAGCCTTCACCGCCGAGCCAGGACTCTTACTTCTCAGATCCTGGAGCTCCAATTCTCCACTGGGAGCCGCTGGCACAGCACCGGCCATCGGCGGGGCCTGCGAAAAAGGAACATCGCGGATGAGATGGGCATGATGGGGCACGAGACGGCTTAGAGCCTCCAAGGATTTCTCCGAGCGATACTCTTGCACAAATCCGACTGTAACAACAATTGTGACGGCCAACGTGATACTGACGGCGTCGTCGTAATTTCCCATGATGAATGAGATGGCGGCGGACCCGAGAAGGAGGAGAATCAGAGTTTCTCGAAACTGCTTGAGGAACCGGAGCCACAACGGCTCGGGTTCGTCGTGAGGAAGTTCGTTCGGTCCATCGCGTATTAAACGAATCTCCGCCTCAGCGGGGGTCAGGCCATGGGTAAGAGAGGTCTGGAGATGTTCAGCGGTCTGTTTCGGATCGAGGAGTGAATATGTCGAGGTGGATGTCTAGCCAGATGAAGCGATCAGTTAAGCGATGGTTCCAATAAGCGCCTCCGTCCGGAGGAATGACCGAAGATTCACATACCGAAGGAGAACTGCTGACGATGGCCGGGGTGGTCGACCGAGGCCTGGACACAGGGACCTGGGCATTATGGAAAGGAAGCGCAGGCGTTGAGGACCTTGACATCTCTCATGCTTTGTTGAAATCGATCCCGTTAGGTCAGCTTCAGACTTGCTATCATCCCGTCCGAACCAGGGGATTCAACGTTGACGAGAAAAGCCACGTTCTCAGACGCGATCTGGCCGGAGCTGCATCAATCAGAGGGAGGAAAAGAGACTAGCGTGGACACTAAGCAAGTACAGGGATCCGCGCTGGAGACAGGCAGGAATACTTGCGCCACGACAGCGACAGGAGAAAGAAGGAGGGATGTAGATGTCAATTGATCAGCTCTCATCGACAGAACAACACTCGATTGGGATCCAGCGTCTGTCTACTCCGTATTCATGGACGTCTGCAACTGGCAGCTGCTGACGCTTTACCCAATTGGGGGTGATTCGAGGCGCGGAAGATCAGTTCTCCCGGGCGCACCGAATGCGGCATGCACAAGTCAGGTGATACACATACTCGTTACGTAACTATTCCACCGCACGTGACCCCAGCCACCACCATTCCGACCAATCAGCGCGAGAAAATTCCGTGGCGGCTGGTTCCTGTAGTAATCAACAGCGAATCCTGAGGCATTCTCTGCCTGACGCGCCGCCTCCTCTTCCCGTCCTCTTCTTGTTTCCCTCTCCTCACCCATCGCAACCCACACTGACCAGCCTCAAACCCCTTCCGTCCTGCACTTCCCCTCTGGGCCGTTTCCCGTGCGACCACGCTCGTCTCGACCGACGCGATCATTGCAACTCTTCGAATTTGCGTGAATCTCATCCTCACGCCTGGGTACACGTCGTTTCGATCCCATCATCAGGGGCCGCAGCGGTTGATCGCTGATCCCGTTGTTTTCTGGATACACGGCGCGTCATTGTACCGACACGCTCAGTGATTTCCACCACCCATCACCCCCGCATTGGGCGGGTTGTTTTTGGACCATAGTCTTCTTGGACTGAATACTTCCAGCCTTTTGGCCATCGTGCTTTCATATTACCCCTCGTCACCATGTTCTATTCCGAGACCCTCTTGTCGAAAACCGGGCCGTTGGCTCGCGTTTGGTTGTCTGCCAACTTGGAGCGCAAGCTTTCCAAGTCGCATATCTTGCAGTCCGATATCGAAAGTAGTGTCAGCGCTATTGTTGATCAGGGTCAGGCCCCTATGGCTTTGCGTTTGAGCGGTCAGTTGCTGTTGGGTGTCGTCCGTATCTACAGTCGAAAGGCGCGTTACCTATTGGACGACTGCAATGAAGCGTTGATGAAGATCAAGATGGTATGTCTCGACACATGTCGCGTCCACTGACCGTTGCTAATATATGGATTTTGTAGGCCTTCCGTCTCACAAACAACAATGACTTAACAACTACCGTCGTCGCGCCGGGTGGTATCACTCTGCCCGACGTGCTCACCGAATCCGACCTTTTCATGAACTTGGATTCGTCCCTGCTTATGCCCCAATCTCTGAACCTTGAACTGGACGGTAAACGACCTGCTGCGCTGGATTTTGGCAGCCAACTCCTTCCCGACAGCAGCTTCCGCCGCTCTGTCTCCCAAGAGCCCGCGCAACTCGAGGACCACACTTTGGTTGACCTGGATCTGGGAGACCCCTTGGGCCATGACATGAGTGTCGAAATGGGTCGAGATGCTCCTGCGCCACGGCCGATGGAAGAGGATATGTTCAGCGATAGCGGAAAGTTCAACGATGTTGACCTCGACCTCGACCTCGGTGAGGATGGTGCTCCCTTGAAGATGGATGTTGACCACAACGAGCCTCAGGACGGGCCCCAGGATTCTTTGCTGGGTGACGCCATGGATATGGGGGATGATGGCCTCCCCCTTCCGACGGAGGAACACGGGTTCGACCATGACACTAGTGATGATAATCTAAGCGAAGTTTCTGATGCAGAGGTTGAAAAGCTCAACCCCGATCGCGAGGAAGAACCTGCCCACGAACCGGCAGCGGCTGATGCGGAAGAAGGTGACGACGATGTTACTGTTCAGCACGCACAGCGCGCGAAGCGACGCAAGGTGGTTCTCATGGATCTGGATGATCTGACTAAGGGAGTCGAATATAAGACCGGGGAGATGAAACAATTGTCAGCGAAGCGCACCGAAATCATGCAATCTGCGTCTTTCTTACCTCGTGATCCCGTCCTTTTGACCCTTATGACCATGCAGCAGAATGGCGACTTCGTGTCGCAGGCGCTGGGCACAAGCCGTGGCCGCGGATGGGCCCCGGAGATCCGTGATTTGCTCTCTCTCGAGTCTATCAAGAAGTCTGGCGAGCTGAAGCGCAAGCGGGACAGCGGAATTGCCGACATGGACGTCGAAGAAGCCACCGCTCCAGCACTCGACCTGGGCGAAGAGGAAACCATTGTTCATTTTGATGAGGGCGTTGGTCTTGACGCGGGTGTGGGTCAGTCTTCCGAGATCGATTTCCCTGGCGACGAAGGGGACCAGGCGGTGCACCCAAGTGATGACGAGGAGACGCACCAGCCCCTGGAAGATCACGACGAAACAATTCAAGCGGCGGACAGCGGGCCTGTTGCCATTGGGACGAAACATGCAGTTCACATCCTCCGTGACTGTTTGGGTGAGTCTGCCGCGGAACAGAAGAAGACGGTGAAGTTCCAGGATCTACTCCCGGAGAAGCAGGCGTCTAAGGCGGATGCTACCAAGATGTTCTTCGAGGTCCTCGTGTTGGCCACCAAGGACGCTGTCCAGGTTGAACAGCGACCTGATACTGTCGGAGGACCTCTTAAGATTCGCGGCAAGCGTGCTCTTTGGGGGTCTTGGGCCGAAGAGAGTGCCAATGGCGAGGCTGCCAGCCAGCCGATGCAGGTGACCGCGTAAATGATGTGACTTATTTGGTGGCGCCCATGTACAGCTTACGTTCTTCTTCTCCTGGTGTTGATTCTAAGCCTCGGCTGGTTTTAATGATTCTTTGGAGTCTGGAGTTTGAGTTGGGAATGAAAAGGAGGATTGATTCTTGACTCATTGGATTTCTTTGTCTTTCGCTGGACCTCCTATTCCTGGCTTGGTGTGAATTGGACGGTATTTTTTTCCCTATGAGGATGGTTAGGTAGTTATAGGTAGCCTTTAGTACTTCGTATTATAGAAGCGAGTTTGCTATCGAAGTGCCTTAGTACGTTACGCATGGGGGAATTTTCCGAGAATTAAGCTTGCCAGTGGATCCCCCGAGTGTCGTCATGTTCGGCTTTGGCAATCTCCGACGATCTTTAATCAGCAAGATAGCGTTATGTCGTTAGTCATTTTTTGAGTCCACTTAGCAGGATTCAGCCTTCAGACACAGAAAAATACTTATCCGGCCGTCCTCTCGGCTTTTCTTTCTCTCTTGTCACCGGTGCTCTGTTCTTTGACTCTTCGGTGGGGATCTATTCCACAAGTTAGCCGTCGGAGCTTCTGCGGGAGCCCCGAGTTCAACTTTTCCACTTTTTTAGTGCTCACCTCTTCTCTTCTCCTTTTGAGCTCAAGGGCCTGTTTTGTTCGAACATGAGCAGCTCGTATCAGCTCAACTGACTCCGCGAATTCACCGGCTTCTTTATCCCAAGCTCGAGTTTTCGACAAATCGCAATCAGTCCACACCACTGTATCACACCACTATACCACCAATGCAGACTTAATCGCCACCGCCTGTTTACCCTTTGTACAGAAGAATCCTCCATGTTGATTGTGACTTTCGAGGCGACCTAAATGATCATGTCTGCACCAGTAGAGCGGCGGAACAGCGCAGATAGCCGACAATCGACTCCGAGTGAAACGAGAAGCGAGAGAGCCCACGCTCAGCAGGAAAAGTCCGACGACGATATCGACGGCATCTTTGCGCCGATCAATACTCCCACTGTCGATGATGAACGCATGCACAGATTGCAGTCTACCTCGTCGCGTCCCGTCGAGCGGAGCTGGTCGTTGAACGACGGGTATAGTTGCCACACGGTCGACGAGGAAGCGGCCGAGAAGGTTTCCCCGGGAGAGCGAACGGCGGAGGATGAATTCCTTGTTGGTTGGGAAGAGAATGACCCTCTCTGTCCGCGCAATTTCAATAAGCTGCGCCGATGGTTGATTGTGGTGATTTGCTCGACCGGTTCGCTGTGTGTGTGAGTAAATACTGCGTGGGTTGACGTAAGGGATGCTTGCTGATCGCTTCTAGCACGTGCACCTCGTCGATGTATACCGTCACGTATGAACAGTTAACGAAGGAGTTTAATTGCTCGCGCATAGTGGCTACGTTGGGACTGTCGTTTTTCATTTGGGGTCTGGGTGAGTTCAGATTGCGTCCTTTGGTTTGTGGGCTTCTTCTGATGGATACTGTCAGGTGTTGGCCCGTTGTTTCTGTCTCCTTTGTCGGAATTCTATGGCCGAAGAAATATATATCTCGTCTCCTTTACATTATTCCTCATATGGCTCGTCCCATGTGCTGTCGCAAAGAACATCCAAACCATGATCGTTTGCCGTTTCTTCAATGGCCTTTCGGGGTCGGCTTTCTTGAGTGTGGCGGGAGGGACTGTCGGAGACCTATTCAATCGCAATGAGCTCAGTGCGCCCATGATGATCTACACAGCGAGTCCATTTCTAGGACCTGTGGTAGGACCTGTGTAAGTTGGCGTGTCAATGGGCTGAAGACGTGAGTATAGCTAACAAAGATAGGGTGGGCGGATTCATCAATTCGTTCACAACCTGGCGTTGGACGTTCTACGTTCTGCTTATCTGGACCGGAGCCATTCTCGTCTCGCTTGTCCTTTTCGTCCCAGAGACTTATCATCCAGTGTATGTCGCTCTTGTCCGGAGCTGTTGCCATTTACTAATCATAACCAGGCTCCTGCGGCGCAAGGCCCAGAAACTCCGCAAAGAGACGGGCGACGAGCGATGGAAAGCGCCGATCGAGAAACTCCAACGTTCGGTCGCCCAAACCGTCTTGCGTTCCATTTACCGACCTCTTCTGCTTCTGACGCTCGAGCCGATGTGCTTGAACCTCTGCATCTTCTCAGCCATTCTGCTGGGTATTCTGTACCTGTTCTTTGGGGCCTTCCAGCTGGTGTTTGAGAATGTCTACGGCATGGATTTGTGGCAGCGGGGACTGGTATTCATCGGTCTCTCAGTCGGCATGCTGTTTGCGATTCTGTCTGATCCATTCTGGCGTCGCATCTACGCCAAGCTCGAACATAAGCATGAGGCCGCCACTGGCAAGGCTGACGATCCGCAGCCCGAATGGCGGTTGCCTCCAGGTATGCTGCTCTTTTCGATTCTTGTAACGGACCAGCTAACAGGGATGTGTAGCGATTCTCGGAGGACCGCTGGTGACTATCGGGCTGTTTATTTTCGGATGGACCATCTATCCGCATGTACACTGGATCGTACCGATCATTGGCAGTGCATTCTTCGGGGCCGGGTGAGCGTTCCCAGTACGTCCATTGTAAAGCTGTTGCTGACACGTCCGCCAGGACGATCCTGGTCTACTCGGGTATCTTCACCTTTTTGGTCGACGCGTATCCAATGTACGCTGCAAGTGCTCTGGCAGCAAACAGCTGTGCACGTTCGTCGTTTGGGGGAATCTTTCCCCTGTTTGGCATTCAAAGTAAGCGAGCCATGAGTCTTTTAGATTGTGTCGGCTAACCGGGCAGTGTACAACAATCTGGGCTATCACTGGGCCACCACGCTGTTGGCTTTCCTGACTCTGGCCATGATGCCGTTTCCGTAAGTTCTCCTTGTTCTCTATAGTTTGTACCTGCATGGTTGTGGGTTGGATTTTCGCCGGCTGTGCCGGTGTACCCCTTGCGTCTGTCGTCTCTTTAGTGAGAATGGGCTGACTGGATGTTGATAGGTATATATTCTTCCGGTATGGAGGACGGATTCGGCAGAAGAGCCGATATGCTGCTGCATAGAGTTGATTGCATACATATATAAATATAGTTCATTTGCTGGGATTGCAGATATATCAGCTACGATGCATCTGGGGTGATCATTAGACTAGCATCTTCGTTGGACGGATTTAATAGAATGGTTTTGACCACCGCCGAAGGGTTCTCAGACGCCTTATACAATGACGTAGCTCCTACTTGATACACCCGAGATTGATTTCTCATATATCTTCTAACCCATAGACTGACCCTAAGACATGTCGCTTGGCACATGCATATATCCTTGGCCAGACCTCGACCAAGTAAATGGCGCACAGCCTAGGTACCGAGGAGCCGTCGTGCGCACAACTGTCGACACGAGACAGACCAGATCACAATAATACAGGGGGACTGAACGCACCACGCAATACGGGAAGCTGATGAAACCGGTTTATACATGCTGGACATGCTTGGAGTATGGACATCAAGAGAAGGTCGCTCAGCCGAGGCATGGAGAAGGAGATGCCGGGGGAAGACGGATGGCAGGGCAGAAGACACCCGAAAAGACCCGAGGTCTGGAAAATGGCTCATTTGCGCCTTTGGCGACACGGTGATTGGATCAGGGCGAACGGATCCAGACGAACTAGTAATCTGGTGGTATTGCGCACGTGGAAGAGGCTAACAAGATGATATCGACATACCTACAGAGTAGATCACAGGCAAGACTGCCGGAGGTATAACCTCGATGTGTTTTTTATTCCTCATATGATAGTCTTCCCTAAGACTTCTCTTTCTCTCTCTATCCAAAGTTTTCAATCGCTCCAACTACAGATACTTCGTCTTACGCGGAAATACATGGTTCACGCTGGGCACCAAGTGAGGCTGAAACCAGGTCCGCTGGGGCTCATCGACACCGTCTCGCGTGGATTCAGTCTGTTCTGGGATGCAGCTGAGTTACACAGACACACACACAGACACGCGAGAGAAGGGAAAAAAGAAAGAAAGATAGAACCCTCCCCCCTCTAAACGTGGGAGGAAATTGACTCGATCGAAGCACGCGACTGCTCGTGTTGAAGCTTATTGCGATTATTATTAAATACCTCTATCTCATACCTCCTTTTCCCCGCGTTTTCCACCACGTCTTCTTCCTTTCTCCCCTCTTCCCCTCATCATCATCATCATCATCTCCCCCATTCTCCTCTCCTCTCTACGCTACTCTCTCGTCCGATACATCCTCATCCCTCTTCATGGATGTTACTATCCAGCACCTCTGATTGAATTCGCGCTGGTTGACCACTCTCGGCGGTTTCTTCCCCGCGGCCCCGTCAACAAAGTAAGAAAAAAGGCTTTCGCTCCACTTGCGCTTGTCCACCGCCGCGTGATTCATCGAATCCTTGCGTGCGTTCTCATTTCATTATTCAAGGAAAATCGCCGAAAGAACCTGAAGAAATTTTCCTCTTCTTCGTGTTCATTGCGCAAACGCTTTCTTTTCTTTTGTGCCTGAAATCCATCTTCCTCTCCTCTCCGATTTTCTTACAGTCAGCAAGGTCCTCCCCTGCCGCAATCGGTGGCCGCCGTGCTCTTACCCTCTCCGCTCTCCACTCTCCATCGCTCTCTGCTTTCTATGCGCTCGGTTCGCCGAAAAATCGCATCGCAACGACACCCGGACTAGCTCTCGGTCTGAAACAAAGCATTCTTGGTGGTTCGCCAATCTGGATTCCACGCTGGTTCGCGGGCGCGACACGGGCGGTTTTGTACTCTTCCGACGAATCAGGTGGCAACCTCGCCAACTCGACGAACTAAGTGCAACCTTCTTCGGCCTCTGCTGCCGTCATCGGCTGCCAACGCCTTCTTCCCTCCTCCCTTCCCGACCGCTGCATACGTCGCCTGATCCCGTTTGATGTCGAGATGAAGGTGGAATCCCGCGAGAATCAGCCGTCCGCTGCCTCGGCAGATCGCAGTGGGGCCGACCAGGAGTCTGGCGCTGCTGAACGACCCGATCCCTCCAAGAAGACCGACGACGGAAAGCCCCATGCGCCCGCCGAAAATGGCCAGAAACCGCCCTCCAACGCCAAGGACCCGTCGCGACCGCGCCGGAAGAAGGCGCGGAGAGCCTGTTTCGCTTGTCAGCGGGCGCATCTGACGTGTGGTATGCTCTGTTCCGTTTACCCGGCCGGAGAGCCGGCCGTCCGCATCGCGCATCTTTTGCATTATTCGAGGTCAAGCGCTGAAGTGCTAACGTTTTATTTCGCGCAGGGGATGAGAGACCATGTCAACGGTGTATCAAGCGCGGTCTGCAAGATGCCTGCACCGACGGTGTCCGAAAGAAGGCGAAGTATCTTCACGATGCGCCGGATGGCGCGCTGATGCCCGGCGTCGGAGGGAATTTCTACAGCAGCAACAACAACAACAGCAGTATGCGAAACAATCTGCCTCTGTCGCGAAATGGCGCCAATGCCGTCAACGCCAATGCGCAGCAGAACACCGGAGCCAACTTTTACCCCACCCCGCAGTCGACCTCCTACAATGTCTACCAAGAGAACCCCATCAACCAAAGTTCCTTCACCTCGCAGTCCCCTGTGTCTCCGACGTTCAACCTGAAGACCAACCCCACCGCGCGAACCAACAGTCTCTCTTCTGTCGGCCAGCAGCCGCCCACCACGACCGGCGTATCCGGCCCCAATCCGCAGAATCCCTTCGCGGGCGCGCTGTTTGATCCGAGCGACCCGGCTCTGTTCAACTTCGATTTGTCCAGTATGAACTTCGAGAATCGATACGGCGCTTTGGAATTCGGGATGCTGGGACACATGGCGACGGGCGCCGGCGATTCCCCCAGTGACTCGGCCACGCAACGCGGGTCGATGGGGCGAAGCGGTTCGGCGCAGTTCTCGAATACTCCGATCACTGGACAGCCTGGCTTTGGCGAAAGCCCCGGCGGCCAGCAACCCTTCATGTTCGGTGATCCTCTGCTGAACGAATGGCCGGGCGGTCAAGCCTCGGGCCAGGCGCATGTGAACGTGGGCGGTGTCTACCCGCAGTCTGGCCAAGGAAGCGTCATCCCGGGCCATCTGTCCAAGACCGATGCGCCACATGCGTTTACCATCGAAAGTGGCCCGAATTTCGCCAGCCCCAGCGCCACGACTAGCCCGCAGATGACCAGCGGGTTTGACGACCACGCGCTCAATAATGCGGTCGCCAAGTCGAATGGTATGGCGAATGGCCAGCGGCCTACGATCTCGACGCCCAGCTTGAAGCACCAGAGTCTCCAGATAGGCGCCAAGAGACGTCCGCGGAACCCGTCGTCGATCTACGAGAGTGTCAAGGAGCCGTACGCCTACACGAACCGCTTCCACAATCTCACCGCCTGTATCCAGCGGCGCTTTTCACCGCAAAAGACGCTTCAAATCGCCAAGGCCCTGGCTTCTATCCGTCCCTCCTTCATCGCGACCACCAAGACGCTGAACCGAGATGATCTGATTTTCATGGAGAAATGTTTCCAGCGAACCCTCTGGGAGTATGAGGATTTCATCAACGCGTGCGGCACGCCCACGATCGTGTGTCGACGCACCGGGGAGATCGCCGCTGTGGGCAAGGAATTCAGCATTCTGACCGGATGGAAGAAGGATGTCCTGTTGGGCAAGGAGCCGAACTTGAATGTCAACACGGGTGGGTCGTCTTTGCCCGGGTCTGGCACGACATCGCGCAGCTTCACCCCTCGGGGGTCGGTCGGGGAGAGCACCGCGCCCGGACGGCCGCAGCCGGTGTTTTTGGCCGAGCTGCTGGATGATGATAGCGTGGTGGAATTCTACGAGGATTTTGCTCGGCTGGCCTTTGGAGACTCCCGCGGCAGTGTCATGACGACGTGCAAGCTGCTCAAGTACAAGACGAAGGAAGACATGGAGCTGGCGCAGTCGGACGATAACCAGCGCTGGAACAACCACCTACGCAAGGGCGGCATCGCCAGCGAGGCGGGCATGAACCAGCTGGGATTTAAGGACGGCAAAGTCGAGTGCGCATACTGCTGGACAGTGAAGCGAGATGTATTTGACATACCCATGCTCATTGTGATGAATGTGAGTGCTGCTTCTCTTCTGGATGGATTGAAAGGATACTGACTGGTGATAGTTTCTCCCCTGCATTTGATTTTGGGTCTCATTGTATTATGGGTCACGCTGCACATACCTCATGCTTAATTGTTCGTTTGGTACTTTCATACCCGGGGATTAAAAAATGGGCTCTTTGTTCTTGGTTTCTGTCTGTTTATATGTTTGGCCCACAGTGCCGTTCTTTTTCTGTGGTTACTTGCATTGGTTTGGTACATATGTTCTTGTATGATTCCCTGGAGCTGTATAGAGCTCCTTGTTGGTGCGACCACTGTTGCACTTATCTGGGTCTTGTATATATGGGTTGGGACAGGATATTGACTGCTTGGGTATGCATCGTCTGTACGTGTAGTTCAGTATATACTACTTGAGCACCAGTCCGAGATCTGGACTAGTCCTAGGCCTGTCTCCGGCTTACGGAGTACTAGTTACTTGGAGCAATCCTGCCTCAGGCACCAATATTATCGATAGCCCGGATTCTTCCCGCTTCCACGCATCGTGAGCCATCCAAACCCCGACTCTCTCCTGACCGCACTTCCACCCTATAAACGCCCGCAAACCCCTGCGCAATGCGTCCAGATACTTCTCGCGACCCTGTCGCCGGCCCAGACAGCGGCCCCGAGCCCCCATTTCCCATCCGACTGGCCGGCCCTGTCATCAAGGGCTTTGGGCGGGGTAGCAAAGAGGTACGCCTGATCTAATCTCGTTCTTCCTGTAGGGAGAAGGGTGTCACTGTCTGTCCATAGTCTGTGCGCCCAGCACTTGAATGATGGAACACAAGACAAACACAAAAGATGAAGGTCACGCAGGCTAATCCACGCAGCTCGGAATCCCAACCGCCAACATCCCCGCAGATGGTCTGGCCGAGTACCCCGACCTCCAGGTCGGCGTGTACTACGGCGTGGTGGCCCTGAACCCCGCGCAGAGCGAGGTGCCGTCGACGAGCGCGCAGATTCTCCCGGCCGTGCTGAGCATTGGGTACAACCCGTTCTACAAGAACACCACGAGATCGATAGTACGAACACCACCACAAGACTTGATAAACACCGAACGGAACAGACAGGACTAACAATGCAAAGGAAATCCACATCATGCCTCCCCTCACGGCGCCCTCGCCGACCGCGACCGGTACGCCCGGCCATGTTACCTTCCACAAACTCCCCGACTTCTACGGCACGTCGCTGAAACTGCTGATCCTGGGGTACATCCGGCCGGAGTACGATTACGTGTCGGCGGAGGCGCTGATCGAGGACATCCGGGTGGACTGCGAGGTTGCGCGCCGCAGTCTGCAGCGCGGCGCGTATGTGCGGTATCTGGGGGCTGGCGCGGACGAAAACGAGGAGAACGAGGAGGTGCAGGAACAGCGCCGGTGGCTGACGACATTCTGATTGATCAAGCGATTTTGCCCAGCATCTAGCGCTATAGAGATATCCATAGAGCCCAGACAATGCCAGTCTTGGAAGTGAGGGTGCCTTGATAGGATGTGTCTTGCCAGCCCTACGGGGAACGGCGGAGGTTCCACCGACAAGAAATGCCAACACTCGTCGACGTCAGCCCAGCTGTATATTTCGGGTCGGACGACTATCACACAACTCCTGCACGACGGACGATGTGCCATATAAGCATTGGCATTGCCTGATTCTGTCGTTCATTCAGGTTGGTTCTGTTTGTGCTGTCGTGCTGCCGTGCTGTCGTTCTGCATCTATAGCCCTACATCCGATCTATACGTCATCATGGATCGTCTCCGCCAGGCGCTCCATCGTCGCCGCAGCAGCTCCTCCAGCGCAACGCCGCTCCAGCCTCCCAAATCCCCATCGCTGGCCACGGCCGATCGCCGCAAGAAGGACGACTCCGACTCGGCCGTGCGCCGGCTCTACATCACCTCCGACACTCCCAGCTTCGACCCCCTCCTCCTGCGCCGTTTCGAGGCCGAGGGCTTCGAAGTCGAGTACCTCCCGTTCCCCGGAGGAAACGAGGACCCCGAGCGAGACCGCAAGGACCTGGAGAAGATCATCCACGAGCGCGAAGATGACCTCGAGCCGGGCGAGCGATACGCCATTCTGGGTAGCTTCCCCCTCACTTAGGGATCTATACATGCATACTAACAGCGGAATATTAGCATACAACAAACCCGCGCACCTCATCCTCGCCTCACACCACCAATCCACAACTGCAACCAACCCCTTCCCCCGTCTCAGCGCCCTCGTCACCTTCTACCCGCACTCCACCAACAGCATTGACTCCCCCTGCTCCTGCGAGATCCCGCCCTCCATGACCTCCTCCTCCACCGCCTCCGACTACACCTCGCTCTCGCTGCTCCCCATCCAGATCCACCTGCCTGGCCACCAACCCCCCTCCCTCTGGGATGCCTACTCCGCCCACCCCAGCAAGAAGCGCCACCGCTGCCACCTCTTCTTCTACCCGGAGTCCGCCCCGGGCTTCGCCGAGCCCTCCGCCGCCGCCTACGACCGCATCAGCGCTCGTCTCGCCCTCAGCCGCTCCCTCGACTGTCTCAAGCGCGGCTTCGGCTGGCCCGGCGGGAACTGGTCCATCCCCGCGGTCGAGACCCTGTGGGAGGGGTACTGGCGGAATCTGATTGGCGACCACCCGGATGATGTAGCCGATGCGGCGGACGACCGCGCCGCCGACGCGGTGCAGATGATGGTCGGCAGCGGCGGGGGGTGGTCGCTCGCCGGCGCAGAGGACCAGGATCGCACGGCGGGCTTGCACGAGACGCCGTCGGTGAACTGCGTTCCCACCATGATGGGCGGTATGCCCCCATAGCTTTCCTATCCTTCCTCAGAAGAAAGACGTTAATGCGTTGCAGGAACAACCCCCCGCGACATCGCCGCCTTCTATACAACCCAGTTCTTCCCCGCCGGCCCGCCCTCGCAGTCTCTGCGTCTGCTCTCGCGCACCCTCGGCACAGACCGCATCGTCGACGAGCTCCTCCTCGTCTTCACGCATTCCGAGGAAATCCCCTGGCTGCTGCCCGGCGTGCCGCCGACGGGCAAAGAAGTGCGCGTCACGCTCGTCATGATGGCCAGCTTTGTCGCCGGCAAGCTCGCCCGCCACAACATCTACTGGGACCAGGCGAGCGTGCTGGTGCAGATTGGTCTGCTGGACCCGCAGCTCGTGCCGGCCGGGTTTGTGGCGACGGGGCCGAACCGCGCGGGCAGCCAGGAGGTGCAGCGCTTGCCGGTTGTGGGAGCTGAGGGGGTCGAGAGGGCGTTGGGGTGACTGGTGATAGATACCCTTAGCTTGGTGCCGTGCCGTAGATTGATGAAAATTATGTATGAAAATGAATATGTATGTCACTACAGACTTGTTTGTAGAATCAACGTGACTTTCTTCTATTTGCACGAGGCCGCTTTAATGAGGGCACCGGCACCCCGGGGCTTGCTGCCATAAATATTTCACAGGGCCTGCTCAGTGAGCAGTCCGTCATGTTTACACAGCATTGCTGCACCCCAATCTCTCCTCGGGCTAGCACCCCCGAGGATGAGTTAACTGCCATCTATTCATCAGGCTTGGCCGATGCCATCGGGAACAACCCACCTAGCAGGCCAGTCTCGGACGACCACGGCCAGTCATCCAACAAGTCCGGGGGCAATTCGAAATAGGCTAGTGGATCATCCACGTCTGCTGGCTGGCCTGCAGGAGGTCGTATGTAGCCTTCGGAGTGTTGCGATTGACCAATTTCTGCCGGCCCCGAGTGCAGATTGGCATGCCGAGTTGTCTCCATGTAGTCATCTATCCGCTTAACCTGTGTTTTGAGTCGTTCGCCGGCGCCAGTGGAGCGGGTGAGTCCGGACTCCATTTGATGCAGAAGTGCTGCCATATCCAACCTACTTGTCAATCAGCAAACTTGGACATCAACCACCGCCACATGGTGATATGGGATGCGTACAGAAGCTTGCGGATTCTTTGATAAGACACCTCAGAGAGGCTTCCCTCCATGACAGATCCAAGAATGATCCCAATGCCCCCCAAGTGGTAGAGCTTCAAGAATTAGCGTTCATCCATCTAAAGTGTGGAAGGGAAGACGTCCAACATATGCCCGGCAAGGAGACATACCAGCGGGGAACTGATTGCTTTCAGATATTCAATCGGCACTTTGGTAAACACGCTGAGCACGTTTTCGGCTACCTCGCATTTCTCCTCGATTCCTTGGTCCTCGTTTGGAGAAAGGACCATGTTCAGAAGTTGCAGCGTTGCCTGGATATTGGCGGATTGAAATCCAACAATATCATGCTCAGGATCACCAGTGACAGGCCTGGTTGTTTGAAGCTGCGATGGTAAAGCCGAGAACATTGCCTGTACATGCTTCATAATCAAATGGCCCGGGACAGGGTCCGGGCGAAATAACGACCAGGGGCTCTCATTCTCCACGCGCAGCGTTCGCCGCTGGCCGTCAATAGCATGCTCCAGTATTCGATACAGATCAGTAGTGAAGTTCCACCCACGCATCCAAACAGAGGGCTCATAAGAATTGGAAGCGGGAGTGGTACTGATAGCCGATATTTGGGCGCTGTTGTCGAAATCCAGCACATCGTCATTCACCTCTCTGGGGTAGCGTACATTGGACTGGATTTCTCTGAAACGGACCATGCCGCCCCATACGGTCGCCGAATACACATCGAGTGTATACATCGACCAGAACTACTAGGGGCATTAGTTCCACACCGCCGGTGGCAGTTATCGCGCAGGCACAGTGACATACCAGTCTCCGTCGAACTTCAACCTCCACGGCACTCAAGTCTTTCGGCCATGACTTCTCATCATATAGCCCTTCCATGATATTTAACGTATGATACTTCCCCAGATATTGATGCATGTCTCGGATCTGACCATTTTGAATGGCGGCAACGCTGAGAAGCGCACACGCCCTCATATACTCGATGCCTCTCGCCGCAGCCAGGTTGCGAGGGATAGACTCTGTAGCTGCTGACCAGAAAAGCTCGGGTGGCGGATGCGAGAGCTGAGACGGCGACCGCCGCTCTGAATATAAAGCGCCGTCCCTGGCGCGTGCAGAGGCCAAGGTACACATTGCCATTGTGGAGGCAAATAAGCCTTGGTCGACAAGGTGCTTTCTATTCCGGAGGGCTCTCAAAAATGATGGTCGATGGAATAACGGAAATCTGCATCGTCCAAGGCGGTTAGTTCGGATCCAATTACCTCGTTCTGGCCTCTTCGAGGCACGAAAGGAGAGAACTACATCGGGTAGACAATCTCAAAATACACCTGGGCGAGATCCTGCACCACAGAATGACAGGCGATTGCAAGCGCCTTCCAGGGATTCAACAGTGAATCGGAGCCGTACTCCGGATCTGCAGTCGCCCACGAGTTATCGACGACAGTGGACAATCGACCAGTCACGCCAGATTGAAGAGCATCTTCCGGATGGAATGGTCGAGAGGGCGTGGTGGCAACCCCGACTTCCCCAATCGGTCGACTTCCAGGCTCGTGCGTCTCTTCGCGGGCTCCTCTATGACCACCACCCCTTCTCCGGGACGGACGCTCATACGTACACGGTACATCGAAATCCACACAGTTCTGGCAGGGCTCTCGTGGGCCTCGGGTCTTTGTGCATTTTATGCTACGCCGATGGCAAAGGTCACCTGGGTGGTATTAGAGCGAGGCCGTAGGGAAATGGAAGAGGGTGTAAGCGTTACGCACAAGCCCTTGAGATACGCTGCACTTTCCGGGGCCGCTGGGACATTGGAATCTCTTCCACGTAATTTGCGTCTGACAGAATGCTGTACAGAGTCTACTACTCTACATTCGAGCTTCTGGATGAAAGCCACAAGCAACCCCATAGTCACGCGAAAGAAGGTTATTACTAAGGTTTCCTCGGCTAACGCCTTTAGGTACTACTAAGTAGGTAGACTCTCTCTCGAATTTATCCGATGTTATATGTCCACAAGGAATAACTATACAATGTGCCAGTATTGTCAGGATCATTCCCTAATACTAAACGCATCACCACGTGTTGTCGAACTCCACTCCGTTCACATAGTTGACCAGCTCGTTCACTGGAGACAGGTCGTCCTTATCCCCACCGAACAGCATACCGTGTCGCATCACCCTACGATAGTTCTTGCCTGGTGATACCTTTCCCAAGACATATGGCTGCCGAGTCTCGACCCGGCTGGGGACCGGAATGGAACGGCCCACGATTGCTTCCATGCCCTGCCAGGCGAAGGTGATAGCTTCCTTTGCGGAAGCCGGGATCCCTGCTTGATCCAGTGCCAGAATTTTCGTGTCAGGGTAATGTGCTTGTATGTACCGCGTGATATTCGGGTTATAAGAACCGCCACCGCACATGAAGATTTCGTCGATCGGGAGGCCCTTCGGGGCATGGCGGCGGTAATGGTCGACGATGGCCTGCGCGGTGATGCGAGTGACGGTAGCAACGACATCATCTGGACTAAGTCCCTTGGACTCTGCCTTGCGAATCAGATCAAACGCGAGCGTATCCCGGAACACCTCCCGGCCGGTGGTTTTCGGCGGGTCCAGCCGGAAGTATGGGTGAGTCTGGAGAAATTCATCCACCAGATCCTGATCCACTGTGCCGCGAGCGCCCATCTCGCCGTCCTTGTCATACTCCCGCTGGCCATTGGTGTAGTGTCGGACAACAGCATCGATAAATACGTTCCCCGGACCTGTGTCGAAATCGTAGCAGGCGTCAATGCCTCCATGGGAATCAGGCGGAATGAAACAGACATTGGCAATCCCGCCAATGTTCTGGCAAGCGCGCAGCTTTGTCGGATGGTGCAGGAGCAAGGCGTCGAAGAAAGCAATGAGTGGAGCCCCCTGGCGACCCGCTGCTTGGTCACTGACTCGGAAGTCCGTCACAGTAGTGATCCCCGTGCGGGAGGCAATGAATGAGCCCTCGGCCATAGTGAGGGCACTTCGGACCTCACCTTCCTCAGGCATAGACAGAAGCCAAATGGTCTGACCGTGGGAACCGATAATGTCGATGGACGAGAGATCAACGTGGTATTGTCGACAGAACTCCTTGACGGCCGCTGCAAATGTCTCACCGAGGATGACATTCACCTCGGAGAGCTCAGAAGGAGAGGTTTGATTGTGAAGGATCATATTCATGACCCGCTGCTTGATTGTTTGCTCTAGGGGGATTTCGCCATACTGATGGAAAGTCAACACTTCAGGTCAGACTGGACGGTGCTATGAGCATACCTTGAGAAGCTCAAACTTCATGGGTGAATCTGGCGTTTCTTGTTGAAAACGGCATAGAGCACAGTCGATCCCATCCTATGGTTACATGTAAGCTTTCATGACTTCCTCATTCCTCGCTGCTCGATCTCGTCTGCTTGCTTACCATCGAAGTACCACTATTCAGTCCCAGGACGGTCAGGTCCAGGGACCCGGATACAGAAGCAGTAGAACCCATACTGTCGCAACACAGAGAGAAATATCGAGTCCCGTCCAGAGAAGAGGGAGGGGCCATGAGATTAAATACATGTCTAGTTTACATCTGGGCCGCATGGGGTGCCTGAGTGCCTTACGTTGAAAGGCTAGACGGCTCCAGGTCTAAACGCCTAACCGCGTAAACGGTTAAGCGGTTAAACGCCTAAACGGTAAAACGGCGCCACTCTCACCAACCCTCTCAGTCCTCAGTCCTTCCATCCGGGGCACCGCGAGGGCTTTCTCCCCGGGTCTCGCTAGGCCCCGGCATGTTTGTTTCTCGGGTTGGCGGATTCAGGGATGAAATGGCATAGTCCGGTCTGGTCGTAGGCCGCGCGGTATAAATAGTCCAACCTCTACCGGTTGGGCTACTTGTTGTGCTGCAACAAAACTGAGCATAACACCCTGATAAGTTTGCATTCAGGGCGTTTCCGCTTGATCAACGACCATGGGGTATGCAACAGTCTGGAGGCGGTTATCCCCACGCCAACTCAATGTTATGATTCAGGCTTTCTCTCTCGTTTGCATATTCTTCGAGGGATATGATCAAGGTGTAATGGGAGGCGTCAACAGCTCTCCAAGATACGTTACAGAGGTTGGAATTGGCGCACCGGATGGCACAGTAACCGACACCACCCATCAGGGCGGCATTGTGAGTATCTACTACCTCGGATGCATTTTCGGTTGCTTTGGAGGTGGCTGGCTAGCCGATCGGTTGGGCCGGATCAATGGCCTCTTGATCGGAGCCTTGTTTGCGCTCGTCGGAGGTGCTTTGCAGGCCGCAGCTCAGAGTTCAGACTTCATGCTCGTCGCCAGGGTGGTGACAGGCGTTGGCACTGGTGGTATGTCCGCCTTCGTACTTACTCCTTGCTGACGGGAAGCTGACCTGGCTAGCACTGACTGGGATTGCGCCAGTACTGGTATCAGAGACGTCGGCAGCTGATCACCGCGGAGCCTTCCTAGGATACGTCTTCATTGCAAACTGTGAGGCGCCAGATATCGGATAAAGCTCCTCCAGAATCCACTGACAGAAATACCTTGAAGATCTAGGGATCTCCGTCGCATACTGGCTGTCATTTGGCCTTGCCTTCATCAATCATGGCTATTCAGATGTTCGCTGGCGCTTTTTGTTGGCGTTTCAGTGTATCCCCGCCCTCATCCTGCTGCTATTCATTAAGATGCTGCCAGACAGCCCGCGTTTCCTTGCGTCTGTCGGTCGTTATGACGAAGCTCGGGAGGTCCTTAACAAGATCCGTTGCGATAGAGCCGGCCAAGCAGAGATTGACCTCGAATATAAAGATATCATTGCGACAGCACAAGAAGGCAACCCAAGCTCGCCCCTTCAGTTTGCCAAAATCTTGGTCGGCAAAGGAGGGAAGCCCGGCGCCAACCTGGGCCGACGCGCCTGGCTGTGTGTATGGCTCCAGATTATGGCATCTTGGACTGGAATCACAGTAAGTATTTCAAGATAGGGAGTTGTATAGATTGCCTGGCTAATAGACCGTCATCTCTACAGGCCGTTACGGCATATTCTCCCGTTCTGCTTAGCCAAGCTGGCTACAGCGAGCTAACCCAGAACGGCCTTGCCGGGGGTTTGAACACGATCGGTATTGTGGGCACGATCATCAGTGCGCAGATCGTAGATCAGATCGGGAGGAGAAAATGTTTGATGCTTGGCTCCGTCATTTTGTTCCTCGTCGAGCTTGTAGTAAGTACCTAGACCTCGTACCCCCTATTCAGCTCTGATTCTGAGATGTATCTCTTCCAGGCAGGATCTGTCTACGAGGCGTCCCTTCACCAGCCGGATAAAGCTGATCAGTTCGCCCCCGCTGCTGTTGCGATGCTGTTCCTGTTCAACCTCGGATATGCAGCGACCTGGGGAACCGTCGCTTTCTTGATCCCGACCGAGATCTTCCCTTCCGACCTCCGGGCCCAAGGAAATGGCTTTGGTATCACCGGCTGGGCTGTTGGTGTTGGAATGACCACACTGGTCAACCCGATAATGTTTGGAAGCATCGGAAGTCGCAGCTACTTCCTCCTCGCTGGGTTGAACCTTCTGTGGGTCCCCATTATCTACCTTTTCTACCCAGAGACTCGTAATCGGACTCTGGAGTCCATTGACTATCTGTTCTCGGTTTCGAGTCCTTTCTATTGGGACATGGAGAGGGCTTACCGGCTGTGCATGGATACGAAAGTGGAAAACTGTATCGACGAGCAGGCTATAAAATCTTCGGCCCACGATGAAGCCCAGCAGGAGTTTCACGAGACCATTCAGATTGGAGTGTAAACTAAGCGCATATGGGGACCTTTGAATGATTTTCAGTTGATGTATCTGGGGAACCTCTGTTGACCGCTTCACGGCACGAATGCCGGGGTTTCTAGCCTAGCAAAAATAAACAAAAAAAAAAAAAAAAACATAGAGAAGAAGGAAGGGATAACTAGCTCACCTGGGTGGCTGTATAATGAGTAGAAGAGGGTTCTCTCCAAGGACACATGTAGTACTGTTCCGAGGAAGTATAGCGGGCAAATGTAGGCCCCGAGTGGAGAAACGGTAGTTAGGGTGCAGTTTATTGAGATTACTTGCTTAGCGCGCCCAGTCTTCCGCTCATCTTATGCCCAGTAATCGCCTCAGGCTGCTCATGATGTGCTCAAATCTACTCAGTGAGCAAGAAGGGCATCAACTCTCCTACAAGATCAAGTAGGTATGGATGCATGGATTAATGTATGTTGGATGTCGTCTATGTACTCGATAGGCCCCGTAGCTCCCGGCTCACGCCCCCCGCGCTCTGCAGCGTCAGCACACTCGCCCTCTGCGCCAGCGGAATCACCTCCTCGACCGTTGCCGCGCCGCGCGCCAGTCCCGAAACCACCGCGCCAAGCAGTGTGTCGCCCGCCCCGTTGACGCTGACCACGTCCGCATCCGCCAGCACCGCCGCCGGCGGGAACAACCGCATGTACACGCCGCCGATGCCGGCGTCCCCGCTCGCCCGCGAGAGGATATACGGCGCGGACTCGGGGGCCGTCAGCCGCGGGTCACCAGGCCGCAGCAGCTGCGTGACAAGCACGCCCTGCGCACCCAGCTTGGTGACTATGCACGGGATGAACGGCAGCAGCTGGATGCTCTGCTGCGGGATGCCCTGGTCGACCAGCTGCGCCGACGTCAGCGCGACGAGGCGATCGCGCGACCCGGCGGAGGACATGCCCATTGCATCGATCACGCCCCACCAGCCGTCGGAGTCGAACAGCCCGTGCTCCCGCGCCGCCGCGTACATCTCGGCCAGCTCGAGCTGGTTCGGGGCAGCGAGGCTGACGGCGTGGTGCGGCACGCAGTCGGCTGCGCTGATCGGCGCGTCGGCGCCGTCGAAGAGACGCCGGCTCTTGGCTGTTGACACGGGCTCGACGGCTACCCGTGCGCCGTGGCGGCGCGCGACGGCGATCCACCGGCCCATCACGGCGGGGCTCCAGTTCGCGTCGACGATGACCCATTGCGGCTTGGTGCGCGCGACGAGCGGCTCCCACACAGTGTCAAAGTCTAGCGCCGTCTCCGGCTGCTCCATGATCCCCATGTCGGCCATCGCGAGCACCAGGTCCTTCTTGGCGTCGTTGATGGCGACGTACTGTGCAGTGCGGGACCCCGTCAGCATTTGGATGCCAGTGGTGGAGAGGTTCTCGGCGCGCAGGCCGGCCAGTGCGGTGCGGCCACCGAGGTCGTCGCCGACGACGCTGCAGAACAGCACGGAGCTACCGAGGTAGTGCGCGGCGATGGCGACGTTCTGGCCGACGCCGCCGATACTTTGGCTGATAGCGGCGGGGTTGGAGGTGGAGGCGAGCGGGGCGGGGGTTTTCTCTCCGGCGGGAGGGACGTAGTCACAGGCGAGATCGATGGCTAGAGAGCCGGCGACGAGGATGTCTACCTTGTCTGGGACCTGGTCGGTAGCGGGGCTTTTAGTGGCTGGGGGTTGCGGCGGCTCTGCCTCAGTCGTCTGGTCAGCTCTCGTGGACCCGGAGATAGCTGGCATGTGCCTGGGACCGTCTCGAAATTAGGGCCATTCCGAGTCAGCGGAGGAGGTGCCGTGACTTACCGCTCCTTGGAGCCGACGGATTGCTCAAGCTTGGCTAACTCGACGGCAACCTTGGTCGCCCGTTTCACGTTGGCTTCGACCAGGGCGCGGTTGGCGGCGACGCTCTTCCCGCCGCTGAGCTCCTTGATCTTGCCCAGGACGAAGGGCGTGTTGTCGCTACCGCGGAAGCCTTCGACCTCTGCGAGGCGGATGGCTTCTTCGATGATGGAGTCCATTTCGTGCTTGGGAATGGACTGCTCAAGAGGCACGGGGTTTGCAAAGTGCATTCCCGAAAAGAGGGGGAGCTTGGATTGAGCATCTGATAGGGTTAGCACTAGTAGTGTAATCCAGAAGACGTGGCATACAGATGATGGCCGCGGCCTCAGCTTCGTCCTGGATGACCTTGGGACTCTTGATGCCACTGTCGCGGGTGAAGAACGCCGGAAAGTCGACTGAGCCTTGACGGCCGTCGGCAAAGGTGCCGACACATACGCCTTCGGTTTCGAGGTACTCGAGCGTCCGCGGGATGTCCAAGAAACTCTTGCATCCGGAGCTGATGACCGCCACGGGGGTGCGTCCGAGCTCGGTCAGGTCGGCTGGGTTGGTCAGTGTCTTGTTTTTGAATATACGGATGATGCAGCGCACATACCCGAGATATCCATAGAGTTCTCACCACCACGGTGGACGCCGCCTAAGTTGGTTAGTAGCCTCTTTGCATACAGTCTGTAGTTACTTACCAAGTCCGCCGGTACCGAAAACACGAATTCCGGCCAGGTGAGCCAGGATCATGGTTCCAGAAACGGTCGTACCGCCATGAAGACGCTTTCCAGCCAGGCCCTAACAAAGTTAGAGACATTACTAGACAATAGAAGAGGCAAGCACCAATCCACATATGTATCCCAGATCCCGCCGGGATACTTTCAGCGCACTCTTCGTCTCTGCCGTCGACGCAAGCTCGATGATCTCGTCCGCATTCAGACCAACGCGAGCTACACCATTGAGGATTCCAATAGTCGCGGGAACACCGCCATTGACTCTGACCACGGACTCGAGAAGCGAGGCCAGAGCGACGCTCTCGGGATATGGAAACCCTGCTGTCGTCAGTGCAGCCCCACCCAATCGATATGATGCAGTACATACCGTGAGTGTAGATGGTTGATTCCAAAGCAACAACAGGCTTCCCTGTGGCGACTGCATCGCGAATTTCCTCCGAGACCTTGAGGAATTTGCTCTGATCCAGGCTGTAATAGCGCCGTGCGGGGAGAGCTATACGCTGTGCTCGGACTCGGGGGAGTCGAGCTGCAGCTCGAGAGAGGAACATGATGCTTGCTTTGGTCCGAATGAAGCAGACCACACGAGCGCCAGAGAACTCGAAGGGCCGAGGACCGATGTCTCAAGTAGAAAGCAAAGAGGAGCAGAGGGCAGTGATAAGATGCGGAGAATTGGCGGATGTATGGCGCTGACTAAGCCGGCGGTAGGCCACCTCAGCATCACCAGAACAGTGTATACATTCATCCTCTTCTCTCCCTCTCCCATTGCCCTCTCTCTTCTCTCCCTGCCCCTCACTCGGCTATCTTCTCCTGGCGAGAGATCCTCCGTGCGGTCTACGGCATTAGACCCCCTCGTCCCCTCACAATGAGGCCGTTTACTGCCATCGCCGCCGTCTGCGGACTGTTTACCAGTCTTGCATGCGCCGCTGAGTCGACGGCGGCCGATTTCACGCCCCCGCCGGCCTTTAAGAACGTCAATCTGGTGCGGACGACCAATCTCGAGAAAGGCTATGTCCGCGAGACCATCAATGTCGTCGTCGAAAACGTCGATACCGAGCCACGCAGCTCCTACTACCTGGCCATGCCCACCGAGGTCTTCGACAAGGTCGGCGGTCTCGAGGTGCGAGACAAGAAAGCCCCGGAGAAGGGGCGCTTCGAGGTGGATTCGTTGCTGGTGGATTCTCCCAGGTGCGTTCATCTGGCCTCCCACGGCGGTCAATGGCTAGCCAGATAACGACACGCCACGGTTGCTTCAACGCTAACACATCCCAGCGACGTCCAATACTTCGTGATTGACTTCCCTGAACCGCTCGCGCCCAAGTCGCAGATGACCCTCGGAATCTCCTACTACATCCTCAACGCCCTCTCGCCCCGGCCCGCGGCCATCCAGCAGTCCGACAAGCAGTACCTCAGCTACTCGTTCTCGGCGTACACGCCGTCCGCCTACGACACGGCCACGCAGAAGACCATGCTCAAGCTGCCCAGCACCAACGTCCCCGAGTACACGACGACGTCGGGGCTCAAGTCCGGCAGCGACCCGGAGCGCCAGGGCACGGCGTACACATACGGGCCCTACGACGCCGTCGCCGCGCGCACCACCTACCCGGTGACGGTGCGGTACGAGTTCACCAAGCCGGTGATCACGGCGTCGCTGCTGGAGCGCGACGTGGAGGTGTCGCACTGGGGCGGCAACCTGGCGACGGAGGAGCGGTACTGGCTGCGCAACAACGGGTCGGCGCTGGCGACGCAGTTCTCGCGCGTCGAGTGGACCGTCGCCAACTTCCAGCAGATGCCGTCGTCGGCCATCCGCGAGCTGCGCGTGCCCCTCAAGCCCGGCGCCGTCGACCCCTACTTCACTGACGACATCGGCAACGTCTCCACCAGCCGCTTCCGCCCGGGCAAGCCGCCCGCCCGCGACGCCTCCCTCGAGCTCAAGCCCCGCTATCCCGTCTTCGGCGGCTGGAACTACAGCTTCCGCATCGGCTGGAACGACGACCTGGCCGCCTACCTGCGCGCCGTCTCCGACTCCGCCTACGTGCTGAAGGTGCCCTTCCTCGAGGGCCCCAAGGTGGCCGAGGGCGTGCAGTACGAGCATGTCGTCGTGCGCGTCATCCTGCCTGAGGGCGCGCGTAACGTGCGCTACGAGCTCCTCGACAAGGACTCCTCCAACGGCCTTCCCAACTCGGCCAACATCAAGGCCTCTGTGACGCCCCACAAGACCTTTATGGATACCCTGGGCCGCACCGCCCTCACTTTGACCGTGGACAATCTGTCCGACGAAGCGCGGGACGCACAGCTCTTGGTATGTCTCTCCTTACATTATTTCAGATTCCCATCTAATAGCTATCAACAGGTGACGTACGACTACTCCTTCTGGGACGGCATGCGCAAGCCCGTGACCATCACAGCCGGACTCCTGACGGTGTTTGTGGCGGCGTGGGCGATCGGCAACATCGACGTGAGCATCAAGAAACGATAAGCGTGCATGTATGATTTGTGTGGTTTTTTTCCCGTGCCAGTTACCCATTCAATGTATCATCTTGAACCTATTTCATGAGTCTTGTGCGTAGTCTTAACATGTATGAGTCCGCCAACCAACAATCCAATAGCCAGGGACACAAGTCCCCGTGAGTAAATACAGTACAGACCAGCCCAGACCGACCGTTTTGCTGCCCAGCTCCACCCATATACAAGTGAAACGCCCAGCGCCTATACCCCAAAACACAAAGCACAAAGAATAAAACGATGAAAGAGGACGAAAACTAAGACTCTTCAAACTTCCGCTTGACGCCGTTCCCGTTCGGATGGGGCGGAGCTTGTCGGGCGCGTCGCTTGCGCTCCTCGTCCTCGGAGGCCATCTGGGCCTGGCGTTTCTTCCAGGCGGCCTTGATGGCGGGGGCGGCGCGGATGAGGTCCTCCTCGGTGACGCGGTCCTCGATGCTCTGTAGGACCTTCTCGACGGTGGAGATGTGGTTGGCGTCGGCCTTGTCGTCGCGGAGGCGGTGGAAGCGCCAGCGGCCCTGTTCGTCCTTGTAGCACTCGACGATGGAATCATCGAGGGGCAGGTTGAGGGCCTTGAGGTCCTCCCACTCGGCCGGGGTGACGTACATCTCGCCGAAGTAGCGGTACTCGTTGGCGTTCAGGCCGACGAAGAGGTGGCAGATGGGGAGGGCGTCGTAGTCCGGGTAGGGTTCGACGACGCCTTCGGCCTCGTCGTCAGAGTCAGGCTCGAGGACGGGGAACTCGAGGCGCATGCGGAAGTCGATAGTGTTCTCGCTGGGCGGCTTCCACTTGAGGATGTGCTCGTCGGTGCCGATGCGGTACGGCGTGCTGCGGCAGGTGAAGATGAGCCCGTCGTTGCCGTGGATCTTCTTGACCGTCGGGATGATGTCGCGGAACATCATCTCGATGCCGTAGCTGACCTGCGTCGACTTGTCCTCGACCGCGAACACCCGGTGCTTCTTCTCCTCCGGGAACCGCTGGTACAGCGCGTTGTACGGCTTCAGCACCTTCTCCTGGAAGTACGCGAGCCGCTTGTCCAGCGTGCGGTGCATCAGGCTCTGCCCGTCCAGCACCAGGCAGTCGAACACGAGGTATTTGAGCTGCTGCGTGCCGTCCTCGTATGTGTCGTTGACCAGCTCGCCGTCCACCAGCGTGTCGACGTGGAACGACTGGAAGGTGTCGTCGTCGGGTAGGGGAAAGTGCAGTCCAGGCACGTAGCGGTAGTCGTTCTTGCGGTCGATGAGGTAGTGGATTTCCTGCATCTCCGAGTCGGGGTCTCCGCGCGCAAAGTACAGCAGACAGCGGATGCCATCGGTCTTCTCGCAGACATAGTAGTCTTCGCGTTGGAGCTCCTGGAGGTGGCGTTTGGAGAAGCTGACGGGCTGGGCGCCGGGGAAGTTGAGGTTGTTGCGGCCGAGGAGGGCGGCGACCTCACGGCGGAACTGGTCGGCCAGTTCGGGTTCGGCCTTGATGCCGACGGCGTCGAGATCGGGGACCGAATTGCTCATCGTGGTAGTGTTCGGGGGGAGTGGCAAGAGGTCTAACTGACTCTATCGGGTTTGGGGTTCGTTGCAGGGGGAGGCGTGCGTATACGCCAGGAAGGGGTGGTCGCGGACAGATCAAGAGCTCTCGCCCGCAGGCGCAAGAGCTGTGGTTCCACAGTGGCGGTGGATATGAGGCGAAAGTAAGATCGAAGAGCCACAGAGCTGGAGGAGGAGAAGAAGAACAAAGCGGCAGGACGCTCACGAGATGAGGCGGAAGTTAGGTGTGATGCCTGAGGCAGAACTCCCCTCGACTATCACCACCAAGCTTACTACTACGATAAATGTACCTACTCCATGCACTGTGGTATATAACCTTGAAGGTAATACTCCTGGACACTCCAGATACTCCATTCATCTGGCAATCTAATATATATCACACGCCAGTACTACAGCAAACTCCGGGGTATCACATCCAACAAACAAACAAAGACATGTCCAACGCCCAAGACGCACCCATCCCGTAAACAGTAGAAGTACAATTTCGTCATGACTCATCTCCACTCGTAAACACACGCCGAGCACTTTTTGCTCATCGTTAAGAAGCCCCCGTCGTCAGGGGCAGTTTCTTCGCTGCCTGCGCCGGCGTCTGGTTTGCGGTGTCACCCGCATTGTCTGCAGCAGCGCTACCGTGTGAAGGGAGATTAGGAGACAGCGTGATGTCTCCGACGGGCTGGAACAAATTCCCATCCATGGGCGGAGACATGTCGCCGGTCGAGAAGAGCCCGCCGCCGCGCGCACCCCCCAGCGCATGCGAGAGCATTTCCTTGATCCGGACGTACTGGTACTTCTTCTTGGTCGAGATGAGCGTATGCGTGACAAGCGGCCTGGGATGGGACCGCGCAATCGCCGCCATGACGGCGTCCTTCTCCTCGTCCGAATCCACGGGACCGTTATTCTCCAGATCATCCTGGAGCGGAGCATTGGCATCGATTGCCGCTTCTGCTAGATGTTAGCTCGCCAACCACCACATAGTACCAAGAAAGCGAAGAAAGAACGCACTCTGCTGCCTCGCCTGATTCTTCTTCTGATACGCCTGCAACAGCATATCATACGGCAGGGACCGACCCGGCACCGCGCGCTTCGCACCCATCGAATGGCTCTTGCACGTCAACGAGCGCGCACACTGCGCGCCATTCGGAAGGGTGACACCGCACTGCTTCTCGACATCCACGGGTCCCTTAGGCTTGGGCGCCTTGGGCTTGGGCTCCTCCTTTTTCTTCTTCTTCTTGGGCTCCTTGGTATCCTTGTCATCGTCGCCGCCCTCGACCCCAGCCTTGCGCTTCTTGCCCTTCTTCGTGCCGTCGTCCGCCATGCCCTTGACGGCGCTCTTCTTGGCACTCTTCTGCCCTTTCATGGCGTCGTCGCCCGCACCGCCGCCGCCGTCCGCGTCCTCATCGCCGTCCTTGACATCCCCGCCCTTCTCCTTGGCCCGGTTGGCCGCGTCGCGCGCCTCCTTCTTCCGCCGCGCCTTCTCCTGCTTCGCCTTGATGCAGCCGCGGATGTGCTCCGCCGCCGTCGTCTTCAGCACGGGTCGCTTGCACGTCTTGCAGATGACTGTCTCGAGATGGTCTTCCTCGCGCGGCTTGCCAGTTGGGAACGCCGCGAGGGTCTTTTCGTCGATTTCGGGGAGGATCGGCGAGGAACCGGGCGACTCGGGGGGTTCTTTATCATCGTTCCGATCAGCGCTGCTCGCATTGGTTTGATTTTGATGGTGAGGGACGGGCGCCCTCCTTCAACTAGAAGAGAAATGGAGAATAGGCAGGGTAATACCGTCATTCTTCTTCTTTCCCCCCAGCTTCGCCGCCTTCTTCAGCTTGATCTTCCCCTGTTTTGTGTCTTTGTCCGAATACTTGTACCCCGACGCATCGACCAGACTGCCTGCGCCTGCACCTAAGTTAGCCGTCTTTCATAGATCTCATACACAGGACGAACTCCGTAAAGAGAACGGCAAGAAAGGTAGGTATGGGAGTAGATGGTACGCACCTTTACCGCTATCGCCGTTGGCAGCCATCGTGACCAAGGCAGCTCCAAAACAATCCAAGAAAAACCCAGTCGTCAAAAAAGACCAATTACACAATAGAGCGAGTGATCTGAACCGGCAACCAGGCGGGATCAGAGAAAGGTGATGGCGGAGTGAGCGTAGGTGGTTCTGGATCCCCGTGATCCGATCGATCGGGGCTCCGCATCGGGTGGTCACGTGAGGCCCTATCAAGTGAAGAATATTAGGGACAAAGAAGGCGTCATATAGACTCCATCAAAAGTTCATGTTGTATATCATACATTATCGCCACTATATACATCTATCTACCTTACACGCGAGAAACACAAACTACTGTTGGTCCCTCCGAAGCCGAAGCTGTTCGTCAGCGCCACATCGATGCGGCGCTCCTGCGCCGCCTTGGGCGCATAGTTGCAGTCGAAGCCATCAGCCAACCGCTCCAAGTTAACCGTCGGAGGCATCACATTCTAATCGCATTAGCACACCCCTCGCGTAAGGGACCTTTACATACCTCGTGAATCGCCAGGATCGTGAACAGCGCCTCGATGGCCCCCGCTCCGCCGAGTAAATGTCCAACAGCGCCCTTGGTGCTACTGATGTTCACATCCGCAGCCTTCTCTTTCCCCCCGGGGGAGAGGAGGAGAGTCTTGATGGCCGCGTTCTCCGCGGCGTCGCCCACCACCGTAGACGTAGCATGCGCATTGACATAGTCGACTGCGGACGGCGGCAGCTGTGCGTTCTTCAGGGCTTTCCTCATGGCGAGGAGGGCGCCTTCGCCGTTTTCCTTGGGCGCCGTCATGTGGTGCGCATCACCCGAGCAGCCGTATCCTTTCAGCTCGGCATAGATGTGGGCGCCTCTAGCCTTGGCGTGTTCCAGTTCCTGAGAGGTCAGCTTTCATACGGCCCGCGTGGAATTCGCAGGGCCTACCTCGAGAATCACCATGGCGGCGCCTTCCCCAACCACGAACCCCTCACGGTCTGCGTCGAACGGCCGCGACGCCTTGTCGGGGGTGTCATTGTAGCTGGTTGCCAGACTGCGGGCTCGCGCGAACCCTCCGATGGCCAGGGGGTGAATGCACGACTCCGCCCCGCCAGCGAGCATGACATTCGCATCGCCGCACGCGATGAAGCGTGCCGCATCTCCGATAGAGTGCGCGCCGGTGGTACATGCCGTTGTGGCGGCGTGGTTGGGGCCCTGAGTGGGTTAGAGACAGCGCAATAGTAGGGCGGTGGACATACCATGAATCCATATTTCATGGAGATATGACCGGCGCCGAGGTTGATGAGAAGCTTGGGGACGAATAACGGCGAGACCTTTCGATAGCCCTAGGAAAGTTAACGGGCGAATTCCACGGAGCGAGGTTGACCGACCCCTTTATCATAGGCCACAACAGTGTCGTAGATTTCGTCAAAATTGCCTATGCCCGAGCCCAGGCAGATTCCCTGCCATCTCGTTAGTCTGGCGATCGGATGGTCGAGTCAAGCACCGCACCGTGGATTCCTTCTGTTCGAACGTCGATGGCATCCAACCGGCATCTTGCAGCGCCTCTTCGGACGCAGCCAGAGCATACTGGGCGAAACGAGCCATTTTGCGCTCCTCCTACATTTATCAGCCTTGTACTGTAGAGGGGAAGAAATAATACAAACGATAGTAAGACAAACGTACATCTCTACTCAGCCATTCGGACGCCGTCCAACCGCCATCCTGACGTTTTCCAGACGGAACGACGGCGGCGATCTGACAGGGCAAATCGGCGAACCTGGGATCACGATGGCGGACATTGACAATGCCGCAGTGGCCGTCGAGCAGACGACTCCAAGTCCGACGGATCCCTAAGGAGCGAGGTGAGCGAACCGTGCCGTGCAGATAGCCGGGGAGGATTGATCAAATCAAACATGGGACATCCCCTCTTATCGTGTCCAACTACCTTCCTGGGCAGGTGGAGACAGCCGGCGATGTCTCGAAAAGGAAGTTGACAGGAGAAGGGATCGTCTGATGGGGATAGAGGATAGGACAGAGGATAGAAGGGGACAGGATGATTGAAGAGAGAAAAAGAGGAAAAACATACCGACTCCCAAGGGAGTGACTGCACCTAGACCCGTCACGACAACACGACGCATGGCATTCTGGAGTGGCCGATCACGATAGAGTGGCGATAAAGTAGTACCAGAAGAGTCAAGAAGATGGAGTGGTTGTACCTAGGTAGAGGTACGGAGGAGGGAATAGGTACTAATCACTGCACAGAGAGGAGAATCCATCCCAGAAGGGAAAGTCTGCACGACGACGTCACCGCGAGGCCCACTTTTTTTCATCTACAAAATATACTTCTCCATCAGGCCTCATGCTTCTCTTCTTCTTCACTCCCCTCTCTCCTCCATTCTACAGCTCCCTCATCATCAACCATGAAGTGGCTCGGTTTGCTGGCTCTCGCCGGCACTGCGCTGTCCCACGCCCACCACGACGACGCCGAGGTCGTCCCCGAGCATCTGCGCGCGGAACTGTTGAAAAAATGGGACCAAGAGGTATGACTCCGGGCTGATCGCTATCTACCTACCTACGACCGTTCGCATACTCATCGCCCCAGTTCACTTTCACCGGCATCGCCAGCTTTGCGCATCTCAAGCCGATCAAATGTCTCGTCGAGCCTGACGAGCGATATGACATCGCCGTGATCGGCGCGCCGTTCGACACCGCCGTCAGCTACCGACCAGGTACGCCTCCTTCCCGCTATCCCCTCCAATTCATCTAACCAGGACCATAGGCGCCCGGTTCGGTCCCCGCGCCATCCGCGCCGCCAGCGCGCGCCAGATGGCCGGCACGGCGTACAACACGCGCGCAGGCATCAATCCGTACAGCTCGTGGGCGAAAGTGACGGACTGCGGCGACATCCCGATCACGCCGTTCGACAACGCGCTGGCGGAGCGGCAGATGTACGAGGCTTTTCTGGAGCTGGGGTCGCGGGCGGCCGTGACGCCGGCGGAGGCGGCGCACGGCACCAAGGGTATCTCGGCGGGCAAGGCGAAGCTGGTGACGCTGGGGGGCGACCACAGCGTGGCGCTGCCGGCGCTGCGAGCGCTGTACCAGATCTACGGGAAGCCCATCACGGTGCTGCACTTTGACGCGCACCTGGACACGTGGAACCCGGTGCGGTACTCGGCGTACTGGCAGTCGGAGCAGACGCACTTCAACCACGGCAGCTTCTTCCACAAGGCCAGCCGCGAGGGCCTCATCTGCAACGCGACGTCCGCCCATGCGGGTCTGCGCACCCGCCTCACCGGCGTTGACGACAGCGACTACACCAACCCCGGCCCCGAGCAGGGCTTCCTGCGCATCCACGCCGACGACATCGACGAGCTGGGCGGGCCCGTCGGCATCATCGACAAGATCATTGACCGCATCGGTCTCGACCCGGACCAGCCCGTCTACCTCTCCGTTGATATCGACGTGCTCGACCCGGCCACCGCCCCCGGCACCGGCACCCCCGAGCCCGGCGGCTGGACCACCCGCGAGTTCATCCGCATCCTGCGCGGCATCGAGAAGCTGAACATTGTGGGTGCCGATATCGTCGAGGTGTCGCCCAGCTACGACAACAAGGGCGAGACCACCGCCCTGGCCGCCGCCCAGGTCGCCTTCGAGATCATCACCAGCATGGTCAAGGCCGGCGCCGGGCAGGATCTCGGCGGTTGGTACGGCCGCAAGGAGGCTGTGGCGGGCGAGGCGCCCGCCGAGAAGGAGGTCAAGGACGAACTGTAAATGCGATATGATCTTACGAAGAGCCCTGTACAGTGGGATGTAGATGAATCGATGAACTAGAAACACACGGCAATGTGCCTCGTCTCATATATAAATGAAGATGAACAGTCCAAACTACCACGGTAGATCAGTATATCAGGCCCCGCTACACGCCGTTGGCAGTGCTCGAATATGGTCATCACTGTTGTCTCTGAGCTATCTAGTCCCGGATCGAAGTATGATCAATCAAATGGCACAGCACACGTAACAGGAGCAGCGCAGACGAGACAACAAATCGAGAATATGGAATAAGCAGATCAAACCATCAGCCAGCCAAGAAAAAGATGATGAAAAAAAAAAAGACGCCTCGACTTCCAACGCCGATAGAGACGATGAGAGGTAAAATGATTCGAAAATAGACAGTGGAAGGGGAAAAGGTCGGTGGGTCGCGCCGGAGAGAAGGTGACGGGAAAGGGAAGAGAAGGGAAATAGGAATAGGACCGGATAGGGAGGGGTCACGGCTGAAAGAAGATGGGTCGTCAAAGAGTCTGCGACAGGGTCGGAATCTCAGGGTATCAGGGTAGGGAGTGTCATAACCGAGGGGGGAAATGTGATGACAACCATCCAAAATAGTTCGTCGCGGAACACGGTGACAAGGGTCAGTCGACTCATGAACTGGCGTGACCCGTTCCATCAAAATCACGATTATTCAGAGATTCCATGACAACGTTCTTTCGTATGCTCCACATCTTTCAATCGGACAAGATGCGACGGGAGGGCGACACCACCAATTACAGCAAGACACACTTGGACTTTTTCTTCGGTGCCGGCTCCAGCGCAGCAACAATAGCCTAGACCAGGTTAACATGACCCCGGAATATATCGTCAATCGGCCAAACTCACCTCGTCAAAAACATCCTTGAGCTTATACTGGGTCAGGGCGGAACATTCGACATATTTCACAGCGCCGAGCTCCTTGGCCATGCGATCGCCGTCCTCCTTGCGGATGGGTTGCATCTTCTGGCGGGCTAGCTTTTCGCGGACGGCGGGGTCATCGCGCAGATCGGTCTGGGTTCCCACGATCAAGCAGGGGACCCCGGGGCAGTGGTGGTGGACCTCGGGGAACCATTTCTCGCGCACGTTCTCGAAGGAGGCGGGGGAGGTGACGGAGAAGCACACCAGGAAGACATCGGTTTGAGGGTAGGAGAGGGGACGCAGACGATCGTAATCCTCCTGACCGGCCGTATCAAACAGACCCAGCGTATAGGGCTCATCACCGATCCTACGAGGATCGAGTCAGTAGGAGATCGGAGATCCACGGATGGAAGATGCGACGCGTCGGTGTATACACAATCTATACGTCGGCTGAGGTCGAAGAAGAGGATCGACTTACATGACGGTGACGGCATAGTTGTCGAAGACGGTGGGGACATATTCGGAGGGGAACTTGTTTGTTGTGTAAGAGATCAAAAGACAGGTCTTTCCCACGGCACCATCTCCGACGACGACACACCTAGAAAAGACGGGGGATTAGCCAACAGTGAAAGCGATTACAAGGGCATGCGAGACGATATAAAAAGGGGGGGGAGAGGGGGGCACCGGTTTGATTTGGGGGGGGGGAAGGGGGGTGGGAAAGGGAATTGAGACGGCGGGACGGGACGAGAAGACGTACTTAATCGTGGCGACAACCATGTTGAAGAGGTGTGAAAGTCGCGATCAATGAAGAGAGAGAAGGATGGTTGGAGGAGAGGACGAGGAGTGCAGAATTCGGGGGAAGTCAGTTGGTGTCTAGACCCTCGGGAGGAGAACGAGGGAAGATGCGGTGAACAGGAGAAGGGGAAAGGAGAGGAATGAGGGGAAGAATAGGCGATCCACTGCTGACAGGTGAGGATGAGGAGACTGCCGTCTGAGTGGGATAACCGATGGATGAGGGGGGATGAATGTAGAAGAAGCGAGGAGGAAAAGACGGAGAAGAGGAATAGCCACAGGAGGAGAGAGGTGAGGGAGAGGGAGAGACGTGGTGTGGTGGTGGTGGTGAACGTTCGAGGTGGAGGAGTGGTTTAGTCTTCGTTTTTCTTTGGGACGACGGGACTGACTAAAGACTCCGACTACTGGCAGATGGAGCAACCCGCACTGTCAATCCGGTCTGGCCTTTTCCTCTTCACCTCAGAAAATTTCCCTTTTTTCATTTCTACGGTATTATATTCCACTCTAGAGAAGAACAATAGTGCGATCTATATCCAGGCCTCTATATGTAAAAAGCAACTCCCACGACGAGATCAAACAGCCACCAAACAATCATCCAGCCCCCTACTGTCCCCGATTCTCCCCTAGATAAAGACTCGTAGGTCGTACGGAGAACACCCTAGAAATCGGCTATTTAGCCAATATCCCAGCCATCGTCCCCTGGGCCTCCCACGACGGGATTCAAACCCGACTAGATGTCGCTAACGGGCCCAATCACCGAGATTGCCCCCATTCCGTAACCCCATAACGAGACTAGGGGAGGTCAGACCGCATCGATCGTATCCAAGCAGAAAGAAGGTGCATTTATCAGATTCTCATCTATTCGTCATCGCATAACATCTATCATATAATAAACTCCCAAGAATGGAGTAGAATGTACAGTCTGTCGTATCATCACGTTTGCTTCGCGTGGTCGTCCGCTTCGGACGCACGCTCCGGGACCAGCAGTCCAGCATCAACATCCAGCTCCCCGTCGTCCGACTTGTGGCTGGTCCCATGTGTCTTCACCTCATCCAATTTATAGTTCACCATCATTAGACTCAGCGGGATCAGCGGGATCGTCACGATGAGTGCCAGGACCAAGAGCTTGTTCATCGTCTCCTGGTACGCCCGGTTGATGGCGATGCGAGCCGGCGATCCCATCGGAAACGAGAGCGCCTTGGTCAGTTTCCCAAAGATTTCCTTGGCGTCCGCCTTGTTCTCCTCCGGCAAATATTCCCGTAACTTGCGGGGAATACTGTGCGTCCAGATCGCTCCCGAGATGGCCGCGCCCACCGCTCCGCCCATCTCCATCGCCGTGAGGAACATGGCCGTCGCCGCGGCGACTTCCTGGTGACTCGCCGAGGCCTGCACCCCGAGCTGGACAGGGACATTCAGCAGACCACCACCCAACCCAACCACAACCTGTGTGCCCAAAATCTGCGCCGGCGAACTCCCCTCCTTGCGGTAAAACAACATCAGGAACAACCCCAACATGTACATCCCGCATCCAACTGTTACATAAATGCGGTATCGGCGAGTATACTTGATCAAAATTGACACAACAAAAGCGGCAATCGTCGAAGTAAACGCAAAGGTCTGTGTGACACGGCCGGCCGTGGCAACCTCATAACCCTGAACAACCTGAAGATAGGAGTAGAGGTATGGTTGAACCGAAAAGTAAAATGCCACTGGGTCAGGTCAGCCGAGTCGGAAGCAGCGACTAGAAAGAGGATGGGAACATACTGAAATACCAAAAAGCCAGAAAGCAGCCGGCGAGGGCCGTCCGCTGCTTCAGCAGATGCAGAGACAATAGAGGCTTCGGGGCGAGACGCTTCGAAGTCTCCCACAAGGGCAAAGCCAAAAGGCAAACGATCCCCACCCCAATCATCACCAGGATGCTACCATTCTTCCATCCATTTCTGGCGTTGGCGGCCAGGGTCAATGGGACCAAAATCAGCGTAACAGCGGCCGAAAGGAGAATCAGTCCGAACATATCGAGGTCATACCAGGTGCGACGAATTGTTGCGACCAATCCGCGCCGCCGCAGTGACTTCTGTTTGATCAGCTTCAACTTCCGGGCTCTACGCTGGTTCAGAAGCAAAGACAGGGCCAGGGGGAGGAATGAGGCAGGCAGCAGAACCGACCACATCCCGTAGCCCCAGCGCCAGGACAGGTGGCGTAGCACGACATCTGCGATGGTCGGGCCGATCCAGACCGTTACAAGGAACGGAAATTCAGGCAAGAGAGCCAGGAACGCCCTGTTCAACAGACTACTGCTGTCGGCAATGAAGACCTGTTGCAAGATCTGTAGGCCGGTGGAACCCGCGGAATAGAATATCTGAGCGGATGCGTACGTCTGGACATTGGTAGACGCGGCCATCTGAATATAGCCCAGAACGTAGATGAGGATGCAGACACAGAAAGCTTCGAAACGACCGAAGACGTCGGCCACTTTGGCCATGGGCGGTTTGATCACAGCTGCGCGGTAACGTTAGCCGGTGGAATGCAGACTCAGACATACTATGCTCACCATTCACCACATTCTGGACCACCAAAACGGTTGAGATCAACGAGTGTTTGCTGAAGGCACTGGTTGCGTAGGCGGAGAGGGACATAGTCGTCTGACCCTCCAAAGATGTACAAAACGCCATAAGGAAAATACTAGGATCAGTCAGCACAGACTTCCACGGAGTCAAACTGCCGTCGAGACGAACCTCAAGTATGCAACAACGAGGGACCTGGTTGTCCACGTCAAACTTATCGCTTCGATCTTCCGGACACCTTCCTGGACTGAATCGTCCGACGTTGTTTCACTACCATGACCGTCACTCTCGTAGCCAGTTTGATAGAGCCGGTCTCCTTCCTCCTCGTTCTGATGTTCCATGGGGTCGATTGTTCCATAGGATGGTCCGGAGAAGAAATCACGCAGGGGCATTGCGGCTCAGCCGGACACGTTGATAGAAACTGTCGAGGGGGTACTTCCACCAGAGCGTCCATTTAAGATGCGAAAGTGGCGAAAATTCAGTAATGAGCAGCTAACTCAGCTGAATGTACACAGTCGAGGCGGTTCAGCGTCAGGCCGTAAGGACAGGCGACGATATAGGCAAACTGTCGACGGAATATATACGAACTGGGCCGGCCAGATCGACGACGGAGGTGAAAGTCCGAGGCTGACGAAGGATAAAAGAAACGTAAAAAGGGGTATCTCGTCCGAAACAGAAAAAAAAAGCAACGTGAATCAGCGACCAGGAAAAGTAATGCGACAGACGCAGAGAGGCCAGTGGGACGTCAGGAGTCGGGCACCGGAATTCATATACTAGTCAGTCGGATCAGATTCAGGCGCGCTAGGATGACGAGAACCGGGATCGTGCGATCGGTTGGTCGTACAGAGGAAGAGCTTCGAGTCCACCCGTCACGGAGGACGTAACCCCCGGGCGAAGGGACAGGCCAATGGATTTGATCGCACTTATGCACGAACACGCGCCAGGGACCACCAGGTTAGTTACCTAGGTCGGTAGTGAACGATGGGCTGAATGCCCGAAGCCCAAACAGGCAGTGCGGCACCCGCGGCGCCGAGAGGTTGGAAGTAGAGCAATAATAAGTATGTCCCAAGAAGCAGCCTTTCTTGGTTAACAAGCTGTATGGGATCTTCTGCACGAGAAGCTCAGACCTCGAACCACACCCATGGGGAGTGCGCGCAACGCATGGGAGGATGGACGAGGGAAAGAGAAAGGGGAGAATCAACCGTCCCTGATCGATGGGGCCGAGACACTGGAGTGAGTAGAGAGGAATCAGATCAGGGAAGGGTGAGGGGCGGAATGAGGAAGGGATGCGGTTGGATTGTTGGAGATGAGCGAAGATCGGAAAAGACCAGGAGGGAAGAGAGTGGGGGGGGAGAAGTGGCAGGCGGAGTGGCAAGGCGCAGCCATCAGATATGATAAGATCACTCGGACCGAGCGGCATGATCGATTCTATAGTGATAATATATTTTATTATAATACTAATTATACTGGTATTACGAATGACTACCTATCATTATTATATGACCATATATAATATTATGATGTTGATTCTTCCCTCACATGCATTTGAAATAGCTGGGAGATACCTTCTTATGTTCGGTCTCATCTCATGGGTGGAAGGCCTAAGAATGAATCCATCCCTTGCATCCTCCAAAGCTCGTGACAAATCGAAAAGTAGCGAAAAGCCTTGAAGAATGGTGCTCCTACACAGACCATACGTAATGTGTTTTTGAAACCATAATGTCCGAAAAACCCGCATGTTTCAAGGCCCACGCCGGTAGTACTTCGTATAATCGGCGAAATGGACATAGCCGCTCGGCGGGTATAACCGCTCCAAATCCGGTCGGTCATGCCACTCTCAAAAGGGAAAAAGAATGAAAGAGAAGGAAAGGAAAGGAAGGAAAAGTAAATACGAAATAAAGAAGACAGGTTATACCGTAGTATCTCTTGATCGAGTGGCGGTTTTGTGCTGGTTGAGTCATTCTTGAGTTTCTAACATTGACGATCATCTTGCATCTGACACATCGTCCTCATGTGGATTCCACGTATTTTCCGCGAGAGCCGCCCGCAGAAATTCACCTAGGCAGATAGGACTAACTAGTAACTAAATGATTCAATAATAAACCTTCCGCTCCTATCCTGCAGACCAAGGCCCCACTTGGGCTACCATCACTCTGCTCTGGGCTTCACATTCTGTCAAGGATGCATTCTGAGGATCCTCCATATACTACAACGAATGTCTATTCAAAAATCGATTATCAGCCTCAAATAGGAAATACTCTAGAACAAGTACCCGCATGGAATTTGTGGGTGCTGTGCAAGGGTTATCCTCAGCCATTGTCTCAACCCAGTATGGATGCTCAAATGACCATTTATGCATATGCTAGTCGGCAGGCCCCATAGTCGAAGATGCCGATTGTTACATTTATGACTAATTTAAATATGTGGCAGTACAATACACTTACTAAGTTCCTAAAACTCTTGTCACGCGCAGTTTTCGCTGATATATACTTTCGTAAGCAGCCTGTTAAGGCACATGAGACAGCCCTTGCACACAGACAGCCATAAAACTAAACAACCTTTACACATAGAAGCGTGGCTTCAATATATCACATTACAAAACGACGATAGTACCATTTGCGGCGGCTAAAATCCATGATCCCTACATGTGCAGGAGACCACGCCAACTCTTGCATTGCCACTACGTACTCATACTCATCTATTAATATACATCCGACCAGCAGAGGCCACTCCAGACCACAGCTCAGAACAGATTGGCAGCCACATAATCAGGTACGCATCCATAGCTGTATGCACATGATGTCCAATCAAACCAGGTCAACGATCAGATGACCGAAGTTCACCACCAGATCGCCTCCCTCCTTCGAAGGCTTCGCCGCATACAGGCCAACCCAGCAGTCCTGCACGTTCTCTTCCGCAAAGACCCAAGTCACCTCCCGAAGAGGGTTCTTCTGCACCCCCTCGACCAGATAAATCCAGAGAGCGTCGTTGGACTCGCGGACAATTTCCAGCGTGGCGGCGCCTCCGCCGGAGGGCACAGGTTGTAGACTCCAGTCCGCGTACCGGTCCTTGACCACCGTGCTGAGATGGGGCTTGCCGTGCGTGAGCTCGATGCCCGTCTTCACCCACTTGCGGGTACCATCAGCGGTGTTCAGCACGAGGATGATTCCGCCTTGGTCGTATTGGTGCTCCCACAAGGCATTGAAGGCGACGCGGGCCCGCTTGAAGGACTTCAGCGGAATAGAACGGTACAGAATCGGAGCATTGAAGCGCTCGGTGGACGGGGGTTTCGACCACACGTCCGTCGAAGGGGAGGTCCTTATCGTGAATTGGGCGGGAAGGACTCCATCGCCAGGGACTGGGTCGGAGGAGTTGGCAAAGACGAACTTCGACATGATGACGGGAGATTGGTTCCAGGTCGCAGTTGACGAAGTATGAAGATAGAGGTCGAGTCTGGAAGGAATGCTCAATGGTAGAAGGAAACTGGCGAGGTGATTCCAAGGTAGAAGAGACAGCGTTCGTTCATCGTACCACTACGTCACCTGGGAACGAATACTCCACTGCCCGCATTTGAGCCAGACAACCAGAGTATGACAGCCACAATTGGCCAGTGGGCGGGGTCGCTCGGAGGGCTTCGGAGACCTGGACAGCATCGCACCACCCAGCTGATGGCGTGTGCATCGTGAGCTTGTATTAGGCTGTTACTTCCGGAGCGACGGCCCATTGGAGATGAATCGTTGCGAGAGGATGTTATTTGAACCTCTGGTGTCGTTAAGGACTCGGCTGTTCATGGTGATGTGTTTTCTCCGCATGATGGCCGATGGTACGCGGCTGACATAAGCCGGCGCACTGCCTCACGATGTGCGTGGAGCGAACTTTATGTAGCTGGCGATTCGCAAAAGGAGACGAAAAGGGGAAAAGACCAGGTAAGAATAATATGCCTGCCTGGTGAGTGGTCGCCAATCTGCATTCATCCAGCTGCCGCGGTCTCTCAGGCAGGTTTCTCTCAGGCATGGGCTGGTCCAACTGCCTCGACATTTCTGTGACGATTGTTCCTCATGTCTAGTCGCCTCCTTCACCCGGATGAGTATGAGCTGGAGGCTCGATCCTCCGTGGATTCCCAGGGGACGTTCGACCTCGATGAGGCCGACTTCGAATCGCAAATCCCTCCTCGTTCGCGGCGGTTCCCCATCGGCCGATTTCCATTCTTGTCGCGGCTGTTCTCCTCCACATTCTCGGGCTATCGCCGCCTCAAACCCTCACGCCCGCTCCTCTCGGCTTCCAGCAGACCCAGTTGCTATCGCCGCCTCCTCCTTCGTCGATCCTGTTTCTTCCTTCATGCTTTCGTGGGCATCATCCTTGCGTTGCTCATCCTGACGTCCATCCTTCGTCCGTCTTACACCCGACCGCCCCCGCATTATGTGGCGCTGCGGGATTCCGTATCGCAGTCGCAGTCGCCAAGTGGTCGGGGCAATCCTCGCAACGAGAAGGTTTTCATCGCGGCGAGTTTATACGATTCACACGGTGAACTGGCTGGGGGAGAATGGGGGACGAGGCTTCTCCGGCTCATCGATCTGCTTGGGGAGGAGAATGTCTTTGTGAGCATCTATGAAAACGACAGCGGGGCGGAGGGGGAGAGCGCGCTGCGGGGGTTGGAAGATCAGATTCCGTGCAATAGCTCAATCGTGTTTGAGGAGCATTTCGATCTGGATAGTCTGCCCCGGGTGACCATTCCGGGAGGCTCTGCAAGGGTCAAGCGCGTGCAATTCTTGGCCGAGGCCCGGAACCGAGCCTTACGACCGTTGGATGAGTCCGACCAGCGTTACGACAAACTCCTCTATCTGAACGACGTGATCTTTGACCCGGTCGACGCCGTTCAACTGCTCTTTTCGACCAACGTCGACGACAAGGGCATCGCGCAATATCGCGCCGCCTGCGCTGTGGACTTTCTCAATCCGTTCAAGTTCTACGACACGTATGCCACGCGGGACCTGCAAGGGTACCGCATGGGTCTCCCTTTTTTCCCGTGGTTCTCGACCGCCGGCGACGCAAAGAGCCGCAATGACGTGCTGGCCGGGAAGGATGCTGTGCGGGTTCGCAGTTGTTGGGGAGGCATGGCGGCCTTTGACGCGCGGTATTTCCAGCGGCGGGGAGAAGGCGAGACGTCGCCCGTTCGGTTCCGCGCAACACCTGAGTTGTTCTGGGAGGCCTCGGAATGCTGTCTGATCCACGCGGACATCCAAGACCCGCCGTCGAACGTGGAAGAGATTGAAGACACGGGGATCTACATGAACCCTTATGTGCGGGTGGCTTATGACGCGCGCACGTTGTCCTGGCTGGGGACGACCCGTCGGTTCGAAAAGCTGTACAGCTTTATCCATACGATAGCGAACCACCTGGTGGGACTGCCGTGGTTCAATCCACGACGCACGGAAGTCCCTGGTCAACGAGGAGAAGAGCTTGTCTGGGTTCCGGATCCATCTGGAGATGGAAGCGGAACAGTGCAGTTGGTCGAACGAATTGCGGGCAATGATGGGTTTTGCGGACGAGAGGGACTCCAGGTGATTGTGGAAGACCGAAAAGAGGGCCAGGAGGGATGGGAGACTGTTCCTGTGCCGACATGATCAGATCTGTGTATGTATAGCCTTTTGACTTCTCTGTTTGATATATTAGGGTGTTTTCATAGACAAAGAATGGGTTTGGAGGACATGATATAATGACGATGACTTCAATCTGCTTATATTCTCTCATGACGATGGGTGCCAGTGCACACAGAACCGTCTATCAACTTCTGTTACTTCACCGCTCAGGTCTCGACGTCTTGTTCCTGCTTCTAGGCGAGGTTCTCTTCTTCCTCACTCTTCCTGATATTCTCTTCTGCCATCTCCTACCTCTTCCCTACCTCTCTTCACCAACCAGCACCCCAACAAGATGGACTGGTCCAAGAAGGTCATGGGGATTGTCCAGGCCGCGTTTGACTCTGTTCTGGAGAAGACTTCTTACCCCTTAGAAGAAAGTCGCCATGCGCCCAAGACTGTGACTCCAAAGGTGTGTGTAGTGTCTTCATCTCTGTTTGTTTCCCTCTAACAGAACAACACGACAGTACACCCATCGTCGCGGCGACCTCAGAACTGGCCTCTCCTCTCGTCCTCTCTCTCACTTTTCTTCTCACGCTCAACTTCCCTCTCGTTCTTCTTCCCACTCTTCTTCTCCCACCCTGGTTCCTCCTCATCACCCCCAACCCTCTTCCATCTCGGACGTTCCTCACATGTCTCTCACCTCCCCCAAAGATCCCAACATGCCTCCTGTCGTGAACATCGACGACGCGGAGGGCTTCATGGCGGCCGCCAGGGCTTTGAAGTTCCCCAAGACTGAAAATAGCTACATGAGTGCCGCCTCGACCGCTGTCGATGACTCCTCCAGCGACCAGCAGCCCGATGCCTCTGAGGAAGTCGACGAGTCTCCCACTGATAACGTCCTCCCAGCGACTACCTACAACGAGAACGACGTCTCTGGTAAGCCTGTCCCTTCTCAACCTGCCTCAGCACCCCACTAACCAACGCTGCAGCCGCCGACGAGACCAACGGCTGGGGAGTCACTAACGATGACGACGCTCAGTCCACCGCCACCCCAGCTGAGCCTCTCATGTCTGTCAACGACACCAACGGGTCTCTGGCAGCTTTAGACTTCAAGAACGCCATCTCCCTGGCCGCCGACGCGGGCGTGTACACCCCTGCCGACGTCGACATCGAAAAGGACGACGAAGAAGAGGAGGACCGTGAGCACCTCACCACCTTCAAGACCTGGGGTACTCCAGACGTCCGCGACAAGCCTGGTACCGTCCTTCTCTTCCCTCTCTCTTCTCAAGCAAAAACACAAACTAACCCTCGTCCAGCCGCCCAGGTGCGACGCGTCATTCTCAAGGGCCTCCCGTCTAGCTGGAGCACCCCTGCCAAAGTGCTGACCCTGATCCACGGCGGCATGGTTGAGAGCGTGTCCGTCACCGCGGCTGGCAACGCGCACGTCGTCTTCTGCGACGCCGACGCCTGCAAGGCTTTCTACAACAAGTACCCCAACGGCATCGACCTGGACAAGGACCGCAAGATGACCGTCTTCGTGGAGATGGGCTCCGAGGTCGACATCGTCAGCTCGCAGCTTGCCTTTAACCTCTCCGTGGGCGCTACCCGCGTCGTGCGCGCCGTCGGTGCTGATCTCGGCCTGTCCATGGTTCAGCTGCTGCAGGTGGCTTCTGTGCAGAGTCGTCGCGTGGAAAAGATCATTGACCATTATGTTCCTGGCGACGTATGTATCTACCTACCTGCCTATCTGTCGCTGTTATCAGTGAGTGTGCAGAGCTAACGTGATGACAGGCGCGCCATGTCATCTTCCGCTTCTGCAGCATCGATGACGCCGTCCGCTTCCGTGCGGCCATCATCCGCGATGAGCTCTGGGAGCAGTGCAATGTGCAGTATGCGGCTGATCCGTGAGTTTTTGTCCCTTTGTCCCTGGGTGGTGGTCGAGCTGACTGGAGTAGTTGCGAGGTGGCTACTGGTTTCCATGCTGAGTGAGGTCTGGTTGTATTCAGGTTAGGTTAGGTCTAGGGTTTGATGCTGAGTGTAGCTCGTCGATGGTAGTATGGCATGGCATGGTTATGGCTGTGGCTTAATGGCTGATAACATTGTGTAGTTCATGAGATAGTAAAATGCATTTCGTTGATGCAATAGAGGAGTTGTATTTTTACTGCGGGAGTATATACATCTGTCAACAAATCCCGTCGCCTCTTCCATATACAGTATGCTACAACTACTAAGGTAAATTACCCACAATGCAATAGACGAAAGGCCAACCATAGACATAGGCAAAGGCACCACCAGGCCTGAACACCCATGACCCAACAACACGACGTACTTTCAACATTGGACGGGCAAAAAAGCCGGGGGATCGTCAACACACCCCCGGATAAATTGCGAATTGCATCATGTGGCAAGCCTAAGCTGTTTCCATATGCGGAGGTCTGCTTCAAGTTCGTCCATCCATGAGCAGCATGGGTTGACGTTGTATCTAGCACCGTGAATTTATGATGACCTCCCTGGCCAGGTAATGCAGGTGAGATACTACACAAATGTATGTAGGTAGTATACAAGGATGTCTGGGGGCCTGAATGTGATAACGTATCGTACCATACCATACCATACGACATTACAACAGGCCTTCCAGCGAGCATGCATCTATCTGAATGATCTCATGATGATCATACATCAACACAAGCCCTATCATTATTCGACCTCATGCATCCCCCACCTCCAGTCTACGAGGCCATTCACATATGCGCCCTCCAAACCCCGAGACATGCCCTCGAACCGGTCAGGAACCCAGCCGCGAGTACGTGCCAACGGCTCTTACACCCACAGCGACGCGATCCACGGCACGATCGGCGGGGTCTACCGCTGCGGATGAAGCCGACTTGCTAGCCCTACAACTACGATGGATCTGTGGCGAGGCGAGGAGTGTGGCTCGGACAAGTCATGCTATACGGAGGACTGCGTGGGATGAACTCAGTCGCCGTTGCGTGGTTTGTAATCGAGTCGAGGACGTCTCCACCGCCCCAGGTCTGCGAGTGAAGCAACTCTCGTCCGTCAGTAGGCAAGTATACTCCGTACACCATCGGCCTGGGCCCCGACACGCGACCATACTGGATGGAAGTCGGGGCCGCGGTGGAGGCCGCGCTGCGGATAGGTTAGAGGAGTCGGACGGAGATCGCCGACGCACTTGATATTGGAAATATTGGAATGGGTGGTTGAGGCATTTCATCCCGCTCCTGACATGGAGTAGTGCTGGGCATAGGAACAAAGAGCTCGGTTGTCGACCGGACAGGAGGTTCCAAAGGGCACAGTTGCATAGAGGCCCCTCGCCAAGAAGGAATAATATCGCTTCAGTGGTGGCGCCGATTAGTTTCCCAGACGCCCGGAGTAGCCCCTCTCCGACGAGGAATTCCTCGGGAGAATCGGCAAGAAGGGAGCGAAAGGGGGCGTGAATCAAGCCGGTCAGCATGCCTGGAGGGAGAGGACGGAGCCAGTGACAATACCACCACGGACCCGACAGTCTGGGAAGGTGTGATAGTTGGGCATTAGTCGGCAAACCTTCAGCGCCGGCGTCAGCTGAGAGCAGGAGAGGGACTCGTCATCTGCAGGCGTCCTTTCTTTGTTCATGGTTAGACAGGAGATGGATATCTTTCGTCAGTGTACCTCTATGTATATGGGAGTTGAAGAGATGAGGTTGAAACAAGTCAGTTCCTAGGTAGGTCGTCGGTGCAGAACGGTGATGTCAGCGGCACGCCCAACAAAGCGGCTGCTTTTTTGCCTTTTTTTGGTCACCAGCAGAATCAAATCTCACATTAGGCAGAATCGATCGACCTAAAATTATTTTTTACCGTCTTACTCCGGACGGAGGACTCTCCACCGATGCATTCGGCGAGGATTTTCCTGCAGGGAAGACCCTCATATTTTCTGTCTCGGTTTCTGTTTCTGTTCGATTACCTACGGAATGGTCCAGGTTGATGCTCGTGAAAGAAGAATAATGGCCGGTGGGTAGTAGGCGCCGACCATCTGTACCTTGACTGTGCCGCATCCCAACCGGGAATGTCGCCATGCGAATCATGAGCCAGCGCCACCACCGATTGAGGGCTGACCGAAAGAAACGTCTGTCGCCTGTGATGCTGGCAATTAATTATCTGAGCTACCGGGTCTCTCCCACGTCCTGAGGAGAATCTCATTGTTGGATGATTCGGCGTTTTCATTGGGACTGCCCGTGCAGCGTTGCATCGCCTCAGCCGACACGTTTTCCTACGTTTCCCTTTCCTGGACGAAGGAGGCGCGAAGAATTTTGCATCTGCCTAGTGTAGGTGCTCTCACCGATTCGGTGACTCTGAGTTGAGGATGAGCCAGTCCCACGTGTTGGTGCAGGGGCTCAATGAGTACGGAATACACGTTACGGAGTACGGATGTACGAGTATTAGGAGGTCTCAGGTACCTAGGTAACTCCCTAGGACCAAGTCACGGATTGTCCAAATTCTTCAATTCTTCCGAGGATCTACCAATAGCAAAGGGCCCGTCGAAAATTCGAGTCAACCCTGGCGGTGATAGGTCGAATATCGCAAAATCCTCCATCTCAATACCTACTAGGGGGTCTAGGGACCTGGGTACAGTACTACTCTACCTAGGTAGTCATCGTCCTAGTATGACCCCATTGAGCAATACCGAGACTGTCGGAGATAGACACGGTCCAGAACGACCACCTGGGTATGAATTGCGACAACAAAGAAACGAAATTGCTCCTTTTCTTTTTAGGCAGGCGCCGATCCAGGCCTCCAGCTCTCCCGATGTGCGATGCAGCTCTAATTTGAAATCAATTGCTCCGGAGGCTGGTTCGGTCGGCCCAACACTACTCCGTAGTCCCTGTCTAGCGCTGTTGCCCAGGCTGTCACCATCTGAAGATCACCCTTAGGGCCCGGAGGACGAGCCCAGACAGGCAGTGACCTCTCCCGCCATGGAAACAGGAGCATCGCTGATACTCCGTACAAAGAACGGGACGAATGGTTCATGGTTGATCTCCATCCGTCGAACCATGTTTCCATCACGGCCGAAGCTCTTCAGCCCAGGACGATGTGGGGGCCGTGGAGAATGGGGCGGCGGTTCTGCACCATCAGTACTGAGGGTTCTGTGTAAGAATGTACTGTACGGAGTATGGAGTACGGTGGATGGATCGTCAGTCTTCTGACTGGACACGACGCAAAAGAACAGCCAAGGACAATGAGGTACTCCCATGTCAATTGTTTCGGTCAAGCAAGGCGGGTCACGCCATGAAGGCAGCCCCCAAGATGCATACGAATGACAAATACCAAGCACCGAACCAGACTGCAGGGACCAAGGACGGTGAGAGTTGACGCTCGATTCATCACTTGTCCACAGGATCCCCGTCTGGAACCCATCCCATTGGACCTCAAGCCCTTCAAAAAGAGACGGAATCCGCTGCGAAGAAGAAAACCGCGCAGCACCATTCCTCGCCCTTCTCACCGATACTCCGTGCAGCCGGGATTTGATGCAATGCGGCGCAGGGATGAGGATAAGAGGGGAGGTGGGGGTGAAGAGAACTGTCATATCCCCCTTACCGCAGAAAATGACAGCAGCACCAAGGATGTCGGATCGCCCATGCGCCTGTCGAGGCGTTAGAAATTGATGGCCAAGGCCGAGGACGAGGGAAGGTCATAGCGATCCTGTTCTAGAGCAGCTCCGTGCACTGCAACCATTCGTATCTTCGGCGGACGGGGCGATCCCGTCCGGTCCGGGTCGGAGATGGAGGATGCGGATTACTCCTAGTATTACGACGGGATGAGACGAGACTGCAAATACTGTCGTCGGTCGTGGTGGTCACTGGCCCCCCTTTTTCGCTTAATCGACCTCGCAGTGAATCCTTCTGTCAGCCCCCAAACTTCCCGATAGGATAGCCTTTTCTTCATCCTGGCCTCGTCGTCGCTTATGAGCGCAAAGCTGTTAGGGCCAGATGGTGGCTTCCGCCACCGTTGGCGATGACTGCACCGCGCGTTTCTAGATTACGACCGTCGCATGAGGGGGTCCAATTGCGCCGCAGGACGATGACGGGACGTCTTAGCCTGACCGTTGGCATTACGGCGTAGATCGGACTGCACGGAGTTAAGGACAGACAGACCCCTCTCGATGGGCAGTCGATTCGGTGCACCAGATCAAAGTGGTTAGAAGGGAGCCCTCATATCGAGACCGGCGACACTGGTGGACCCGCCCCATTGCATGCTATCGATTTCGGCCCTAGTCAAAGTACTGGCGTAACCGGATCCGTCAATAGTCGCGCTGATGGAGCCACCAGCGCCCGCGGCAATATCTAGCTGTTCCGTATTTCCGTCAGGTGTCTAGGTACTCGTACGGAGTACTGTTTTGAGCCGCACGACTGCACTGCGGTGGACTGCAGTGGACGACTATCGATCGTCGAGAATGGGCTCGTGTCGCCCAGAGAAAGAAGCCCGAACAACTGCCAATCCACAACTGTCCAGAGTCAAGCGCACCCGCCCCCAAACTACCCAGGTAGGCTCACCGCTGAAATTACGGAGTAAACTGGACCCAAAGAATCGTGTTATCAGAATGCCGAACACCGCCGATAGCACCAGCTCCGTGGCCGTGTAACTTGACCTCGACCTTGACCTAAGCGCTACGCCCGACCCTAGTGACTCTTGGGTGTCATTCGAGCCGTGTGTCTTCCCTGTTCGTGTCGGCCGTTTCGTGTCGTGTCCATGTCCTTTGTACCCGTTGTATCCACCGGGCGGCTTGCCACCACGCAACCAGGGACGGGGCCTGTCGAGCTTCTGATGGCCCACCTGCAGACTATGTACGACTATCTCGGGCTTCCTCGGTGGTAAACGCGTGTAAGACAGCGCTCGTAGGGTGCTAGAGGCTCACGTGATCGACGACCGCTGCGGGTACGCGTGTGGTGAGGAGAGGGCCATCCATGGAACTGGTCCGCCACCGCGCCGGGGGGTGGTGGTTGAGGAGTGACTGACAGGGGTGGGTGGATGGGCTGGGCGTTGCGCGTACCTGAGCGTGAGGACGGGTCGTTTCTTTGTTGCGTGTGGCAGTGGCGTTCTTCTGGAAAGTATGAAGGTAGATGCTTACGGAGGAGGAGGGGACAAAGAAGGGATATGACGGAAGGAAGAACAGAGTCTGAAGAATGGAATCATGCTTTGTTGTGTGGCTCCCGGTCAGGGATAGAGCGGCGATCTACACTGCGGACGATCATTAAGAGGCATCCTTCAGACCGGTGGACGCATCAGATAGTTACTTTACTGTGTGCATTGGGCGTCTGACACAACACGATATGACCGGCGTCTAGGGATGCATCGTGCAGGCGGTAGACTTTGTACGTACATATGCAAGGCAGCGTGGTCAACGGTGGTGAGAAGGTGGTGAGGCAGCGTGCGGGATAAACTAAACTTACATCGACGGGAAAGAGACCCTCAGCACAGGCCAATGGTGGAGGGGGGGCAATTCGCAGATGACTTTTTTTTTTTTCAAAGGAGCAACGATGTTCGTCAACCTGCGGAGTACTTGATTCTGGTCATTGACCGATTGAGTAAGTCTTTACCGAGCGACCCAATAACAGCATGGCGGATGGTTCTATATTATTATATATTATAAATCTTAGTATGGATCATGGATTATCAATAAACCAACAGAACACTAGTCCCGAACGCTGACCCTCCACCTGATGAGACTCCCACCCCCAAGTACAACTGCCGAGCATGAAGAACAGGATACGACAGGCAACGGCGTCTGATTAGTGCTTGTTTTCGTCAAGACGGGAGGAATCGGTGTGACGACCGGCTGACGATGTGGGGGGAGGAGCAGGAGCAGGAGCATTCCTTGCAGAAGACCGATACGAGAGGGTGGCTATGGCCAACCAGTTCTGTCGCATGTCATGCTGTGAGTCGATGGATCTGCATTGACACTTGACTCGTGCTGAGTATGTATGTAGTATGTATCTTTCTTTCGTCCGTTCTTCTGCCCAGCCTCGTCACGGCAGACGATCGCTGCCGAGACCCGTCTGATCTCGCGAACTGACAGGTGGCTTACGGGCGATTTCCCCTCAGCACTAGAGGGGGTGTGTGGGTGTGGGGATGGGGTGATGTCCAGCCAGGGACCAATCCGGCCCGAGGGCCTGAGGATGATGTGTTGGCAGGTTCTGCAGATTACCAACTGAACTACAGCGGTTGGGATGGGGATGGAGCCTGGGAGACTGGGCTCCTACCGAAAGGAGTAATGGTTACGTTTAGTAGTATGGAGTATAGATATTACTATGAATATTAACTATTAGTTAAGTATCTACGGTACTACGTACCTAAATGGATAATATACTCCTCGGGGGATGCCCAGGTACCTCTGTGTAGACCTCTGGATAGAAAATGCCGATGTTGACCAATGGAAAAACGAACCTCGATGCCCCCACCGGCATCGTGTCTCCCGCTTGGCTGTCAACCCGACCCTGGTCAGCCCGGTAGAGCCGCACTCCCATTCGTGAACCCGTCCCAGTACCACGGTTCGTGCCCCCCCGCCACTGCACGTTAGCTTGCTGACTCGTCGTTCCGCGGCCAATCGTGGGCTGTTGTTGTTGTTGGTTTTCTTTCTTTTCTTTTTTCCTTTTTCCCTTTTCTCCTTTTTTATTCTTTTTTATCATTTCTTTTTTAATTCTATTTTCCTTCTTTTCTTCCTTTCTTCGGAGCTCAGTCAGAACCTTCCTCCTACTATAGATGGATATTCTTCGGTTCTTTCTGGGATGATCCCCGGAGTACAGTACAACATCTGTGAGTCCAAGGACGGTTTAGCGGGGCCAGCTTAGACCCAACTTAGATCCCACCGTCTGAAGAAGTCTCTGCCTGTTTCGTCGGGGGATTATCGCCGGCCCTCCTGTCGGGGATAAAGTTAAGTAAATTACCGAGAGCTCCCTTCCTAACGAGGGGTGTCTCAGAAGCCTCTTGACTCCTGGTGTCTTTGCAACGGCTGCCTCGGGCCCAGACTCTGGGTTTTAATTTGTGTCGATTCGACACTAGTCCGTGGGTAGATTGCAGGAGTTCGGCCGAACCAGTTCCAGTTCCAGTATGTTGCAGTGCAGATATAATATTAATGACTGTTCTATTATTATTTGTACCTAGTATTATACAGATTATACCGATTATGCATCCGGTTATGGTAGAACACATTGATACTAGTACTAACCTCCTAGTGCCAGAATAGAGGCTTCGCTGATGAAATCATGACATACTCTGCGTGACTTCTTTGTCTCGATTTGACTTTTGATATTTCTAGAAGTCTCGCTGGAAGACGGCGGGTGGTGTCTGAACCAAGGACGTGGTCGGCGAAAACCGAATGGCCTGACTATTATCTCCGTATGTAGTTACTCTAGATGTCGTCTTCTTTATTCTCGTGGATCCGCGGGGCGAGATAAAAGTAAAAATAAAAAATAGTCAAATAAAATAAACAGAATAATAATAGATAAATAAATAAATAGATAAATAAATAGATAAATAAAAATCAGACTAGAAATACTCTTACTGACAGCAGATAAATTACCCGATCTCATTCATCACTCCAAGCTGTCTGGCCAACGTGACCCTGGAGATCTCCACTGCTGTTACTGCTACTGTTACTACTGCTGCTCTCCATGTGCTGAACTTCAGGATACATTCTTCTCCATTCACCTCGCGGTGGCAATCACCTCTTGCGCTGACTGCGATATTTCTCTCTCATCCTTGCATATCTCACAGTCGATTGCATCTGGGTATACACCTTATACACCATCTCTCTCTCTACTGTACTCTTTCTACCTTCTCTACTCTTCAACTCTACCCTATCCTACTCAACAGCCTCTCTACCTACAGATCCCAATCATCCCACTGTCATCCCATTTCTCCTCCGACCCGGGGGCGCAGCGCCAGCCAGTCTGACAGGCCCGCGCGATCCAAGGATTCGGTACGCTGCATGGGTCAAGCACAACTAACGGACCCCGAACACATCCAACCAGATTGTCTGGTGCGCTGTTGGGATGTGAAAAGGAGTCTTGCTTGATTTATTCCTCGCTCTCCCACCTTCTCGCTCTTTTTCTTTTTCTTCTCATCTTCGACTCAGCGCTTATCCAGTGGCGGAGGCCCGGTCCTTTCGTTATACAACCAACGCTCCTCCATCCTATCTCGACCTCTTGGATGCCTCGACCAGCCCAACGGTCGTTTGTGCGCGCTTCCCAAAGGTGCCTCGCCATTGACCGTCTATATCAACATCTTCTTCACCTTTAATCTTTAATCACCCGCCCAAATCAATTACACAACACCCCCCCATGGAGACCCTCAACTCCCACGCCGGCTACATGCCGTCCTCCCGGCAGAGCCGCATGGCCATCGACTCGCTCCTCAACCCCCCAGACCACCACCACTACGACTCCCCCAGCAAACCCATGGTGATCAAGACAGACCGGCACTACGCCCCTCCCCCGCCTCCATACTCGCCGCTCTACCCGACCAGTCCCAACCGCCCTCACCACCATCACCACCATCTCTACTCGCCCTACTCCGACACCAGCAGCTCCCATCTCCCCTCCTACAGAGACTCTCCCCACCACCATCACCACCACAGTTCCTTCCTCCCGTACCGGCCGCGCTCCGCCGAGTCTTCGCCCGGGGCCTACTCGCGCGACCGCTACGACTCAGTCAGCAGCAGCTCCAGCAACGCCGCGCCCGCCGCCTCCACCTCCGGCTCCAGCGCGAGCGCCGAGCGCCGCCGCCCGCCGCGCCCCAAGTACGAAGAGGAGGAAATGTACTTCATCTGGTACCACCGCGTCGACCTGTGCCAGGAGTGGAAGGAGGTGCGCGAGAGCTTCAACCGCCAGTTCCCCCACCGCCAGCGCCGCGGCTTCCAGGGCATCCAGTGCAAGTTCTACCGCTTCATCAAGGAGAAGAAGTGTCCCACCCTGCGCGAGCAGCGCCGTCTGCGCGACGGCGACTTCCTCCGCGACGGCGGCGCCGCTGCCGCCCTCGTCGACTCGGCGAACCCGCGCTTTGGCGTCGTCGAGTGGGCTGGCGTGTGGTACCCGTGGATGCGCGAGGATAAAGAGCAGGTGCTGGCCCGGCGCATCTCGCATTAGTTTTTGTTTGTGTGTTGCTTTTGGTTGCGTTTTGCCTTGCCTTGGGTGAGGTGCGGTGAGAACCGCCTTACGGCCGCTAGATACCTCTACGTTGGATTGGAATTTTGCTTTCGTTATGACTGGGTGGCTCTCTGTTTTAGCATGCATGGGAGATTGTGGAATACATACATACTATCTCTACTACTACCTGATACATAGTAAGGCTGTAATATGTGTGGTATGATACAATACAATACATACACATGTAAATGAAGCAGCGGCTCTCCACACCCCCCCTACCCCGTATAACTAACCCCCTCACATTGCATGTCGAACGAACCCAGTCGATATGTTTATTATCCCTACTAAGATCGGACTATATCGTATCAGGAATGTAGGACTGCATTCCGTACACCCTGACGAGTCACTAGAATGTCTTGCACGCTGCATGCAAGCCACCCTCCAAAGTACAAGACAAATAAGCACGCGGCTTCGAGACAAACAATGTGAAACATCCTCTCACATATCTGCATGCCGCTTACGACCTCCCCCAGCCTCGCTGCACACTTCCCTCCTATCTTGCGGTGAAGGATTGCTACATACACACATGCAGCCAGCTGTCTGAGATCTTGCAGGCCCGTCCGGCTTCCCCCGGAGCATCCGACGCAAACGCAAAAAAAGTACTCGATACATCATGCCCTACCACAGCCACGCCTAAGAGCTTCAGCTGCAGCCACCCGGACGCGCGCTCACCAGCTCTCGTCATCGGACTCCACGTGAGTGCGCCCCCCGTAGCCGTAGTACCGTTCACTTGCCGAGTCGTCTAGATCGAACTCCTCGTCGTCGGACGCCGCGTGGCGTCGGTATTTGCTATACGCGGCCATGGCCTCGTCGTCCTCGTCGTCCCACGAGAGCTCCTCATCAGGGTAGTCGTTGGCCGGGTTATTTTCCGCTGGTGACGGACGTTAGCTTTACTGCAGGCAAGAATGTGCCGTTGGGTGAGGGCGAACCGTTTGAATCTCCGTCCTCGCTGTCCCACCGGTCTTCGTCGTCCTCGTCATCCACCACAAAATGCTCCCAGTACTCCTCGTCCTCCTGCGTGATGACAATCACGCCAATGTCCTGCCGTGTGGCGTCGATGCCGCGGCCGGTCTCCAGATCCACCAGCGGGTTCGCGAGCCACGGCCCGCCGTCGCCCAGCGGCCGGCGCACATACGTATCGTAGACGTACTCGCCGTCGTCGCTCTCGTCGTCCGGCTCGACAGCCGTCCCCGCTGCAGGCCCAGCCCGATGCGTATTCGGCGTGCGCGGCTGGTACTTTAGCGGCGGTTTCGGCAGCACGACCTGCGCACTGCCACCGCCAGACGCACTCCCATTACCCTCCGGCCGCTCCTCCTCATCCCCACGCACCCCCTCCTCCTCCAGCTCCAGCGCAATCTGCTCAAACTCCCGCGCCAGCCGCTCCGACTCGTCGTCCCAGTTACTCTGCCGCTGCGTCTGCGCCTCCTTCTCCAGAACCTCCGAAATATGCGCTTTCGCCGCCGAGATGGCCGTCTTGCGCTGCTCGCGCCACTGCCTCTCCGCCTTGTTGACGACAGGCCGTTTGCGCGCGCGCGCCGCCCCCGTCTCTGCAGTCATCGCCGGCTCAACACGCACCGGCTCGTCCGCTCGCAGCGCCGCCTCCGCGACTAGCGATGCCTGCCGCGAGTGCGCCGTGCGCCGCAGCTTCTCGACCAGCACCGCCACCCCGCCAGCGCCGTCCTTGCGTTTCTGCACGCCGGCCCCCGTCGAGCCTCGCAGGAGGCTCATCGGCGTGCTGGCGCGCGAGATCTGGAACCGGCGGAGGGGCGTTTCGCGCCCACCACCGGTTGACGCGGTGTCTTCAGACGCGGCTGTGGAGTTCGCTGAAACATCGGTAGGCTTTGGGGATGCAGTAGCACCGCGCTCTCTAGTAGCAGTAGTAGATGGAGGCGAAGGAGCAGGCGACGCATGCAAAGCCCGCTTGAACTTCTCGTCGGCTTCCTTCCGCGCCGCGGCGAGACGCTTCTCCTCGCGAAACTCCGCCCCAGGCGACGTGGCTCGCACCAGCGGGACGCCGAGCCCTTCCGATGCCGCGGCCGCCGGGCGCGTGCGAGGCACACTGAAGCTGCTCACGCTGCGGGGGCTGCGGATCGTCCGCTGCGCTGTTGACAGCGGCGAGGGACTGGGCGAGCTGGTCTGCCGGCCATCGCTGGTGATCTGGACGCGCTGGAAGACAAAGTCCGTAAAGCGGCGTTTGGACTGGTGGAGCTCGGATTGGATGTCTGATCGTGTTAGCTGGTGCTTGAGGGAGATGGATCTTGCTCCAGAGCTTGTTCTTACATAGGGTCTCCGGTGGCTCCTCTTCCCGGCGACGTTTGATGCTGATCTGCTCCGGGGGCAGGGCCATTGTGGGAAGAATGGATTCCGACAGGACTGAGACTATGTCTGGGTAAAACAGCACATCCACGAGAGATGAGATCAGGGATGGAGGAGTGACGGATGGATGGCGAAGCTTGCTGCTGTTACTTTCTGCTCCGACTCAAACGGGTTAGCGCGTCCGCAGTTCCTCATGACTGCACGTGACCACATCCGCTGTTGATGTTTTTCCTAATCTGGATACGATCCATAATGTCGAGATGCATCTACATGTACTTTGCATGTACGAACCAATTCGTGATCTTGTTCGTTTTTGCTATATCCCCATTGCCCACATCCCTCACCGCAACTATATAACCCGTGTTTCGCACCCAACATGCAACAGGCGCACTCAGCTGCCCTGTATTACTTCCGTCAAATGGCATCGCAAATGCAAAGGGCAAAATGGACATAAAGAAGAGACCAGGGCCAGACCAATCGAGGCATAGCCACATCCCCGCCGTCTTCATACCCAACTGGAAAGACAACCGAACAGGAAGACAGGAAGAGGGAAGAAAGATAGGAGAAAAGTCATACCCAGCTAGCAATACAGGTTGGTATAAGAAGATTATTAAAAGTTGTATAATGTGCGTTGGCGGAGAACGAAATTTGCACAGACAAATCAGAAGGATAGAAAAACGTTGATCAAACCAATACAAAGAAAGGAAGCAAATATGATGATAATACTGGAAAGACAGAATGATATCCAGGATTAAGATGAGGCCCACTGCTGGTCAAACAGGCTGCTCATGTTGATAGAAGGGGATCATTTCGCTCCAATTTCTTCCTCGGCCCAGCCGGGCAGCGAGCTCTCGTTCTGGATGGCTAGCCCAAACCCGGTGTGGTTCAGGCCTCCGAGCGCTGATGTGAAGCTGGAGAAGCTGCTCTGAGGTTGGTGGGCGATCCCCGAGCGCGTGTGTCCGGGTTGGCTGGAGACCGGGCCGAAAGGTTCCTGCGAGAATGAGGGCAGACTGACCGCGCGGGAATGCTGAGCCCGGGGCACGTTCAAGCTGCTTGTACTCGCCGTCGCATGGTGGCTTGGACCGGTGGGACCGTTGCTGACATTCAGAAAGCCGTTACTGGACGGCTTATGCTGATGTAGAGGCGCTTCGATGCTCCCGTTTGTCAGCTCGGCAGTGCTGGTTCCATTGTACAGAGGCTGCGGCGGCGGCGGGTTCTGGGACTGGGATTGCAAAGAACCCAACGCCATCGGGTCGTTCAGCCGGTTCTCTTGTTCCTGAGCCTGTTGAGCGGACATCTGGTTCAAGTACATAGTGAGCGGATTGTTCGCCCCCACATTCAGGACGCCGGACGGAGAAGACACAGTTTGCAGAGGGTGCCGGCCTTGTTGGCCATTCTGCGAGCCCGTTGAGCCGGGTGCCGGAGACAGGGCGGGCCGGGACGGGCTGGACTGTGAGCCGGACTGGCTGAGGTTTTGCTGGAAACCGTTCAAGGCCGGGGAAGGAGACTGAGGACCCTCCATTCCAGATCCATTGCGACCCTGTTGCCCGTTCCCAGTCTGACGAGGAGGGTTGCCGCAACGGTCCTTGCCGAAGTTAATCTTGAAGCGCTTGTACTCTTCCCGATTGCGCATGCCCTCGATGGCCTTGATGGCATTGGCGATGTTAGTGAAGTTGACAAAGGCGCAGCTCTTCTCACGCAGCGTGTTCACCAATTCGATCTCTCCGTACTCGGAGAAGTCCTGGCGAAGGCGCTCCTCCGCCCAGGACTCGTCCAGGTTGCCCACATACACATTCCGGGAGGCACCACCGCTGACTGCCAGGGCAATCGCGGGAGGAAGAGGGCCGGAGTGCTTTCCCCAGCCGATTTTCAACCGACGATTGTGGATCATCAGACCCTGAAGGTTACTCAGGGCGTAGAATGAGGCAGCCGACGTCGGGTCGATGAACGTGACGAAGCAGATGTGCTTATCGGGAATGTAGCGAATATGGTGCAGAAGACCGCCACGAACCACATTACAGATCTCCTCGATGGTCGTTTCCGGGTGGATGTTGCCGAGATAGATGGTCCGGTTGCCTAGGTTGTTCACGCCGCCCGCCGTGGTGGCCACGGCAGCAGCAGCGACGGATTGCTGCGCGAGAGCGTTGGTGATCAGGTCGCGGTCTGCCGAGTTGAGGATATGCGCATATCCCGGCGCAATCCCCAGGAACTGGGCGGCATTCTGTTGCTGAGTCTTAGAGACGTACGCGCATCGATCCTTGCCATAGAAGACGCGTCTCGGAGCCTGCCATTTGGCCTCCTGGGGCAGCTGAGAGACGGCCTTCATGGCGTTGCTGATGGACAGGTAGTGCACGAAACCGATCGCCTTCTCTTTCACGATCTTGACCGTATCGATGGGGCCGAACTTGCCCAGCTCCTCGCGCAGCTCCTCCTCCGTCATCTCCTCGGGAAGATTGCCAAGGTACACGTTGCGGGACGCACCCGACTGCTGCACAGCCAGAGCCACAGACGTGGGGACCTGCGACGGCTTTCCCCAACCCACCTTGATGTCATTGCCCTTGATGGCAAGCTTTTTCAGAATGGCATCGGAATGGAAATGCGTGGCGGAATTGCTGTCCAGGAACGAGATGAAGGCGCAGTTCTTGTCGGGAAGCAAACGGACCGATTCGATCTGACCGCTGCGAACATGGTTCAAAATCTCCTCCGCCGAGGTTTCCGCGGGAATGTTGCCCAGATAGACGGTTCGGCTGGTACCCGAGAGCAAGCCCGGAGTCACCGACGCGGCGGGACTGCCAAACGCCGCGTTTCCCAGACCGCCCATGCCTCCCACCGGGGATTGAGGACCACCCAACAGCTGGGAATTGGCCATTGCGTCAGTTGGCATCATTCCCTGATAGAGTCCATGACTCTGCGGGCCCTGCGTGGGGCTTCCCAATTGGTTCTGGTGATTCTGCGCGTGGGCGGAGGGATTGGTCTGGGGGAAGCCTCCAAAGTTGGTGAATTGGGGCGAGGCAAAAGCGGAGGGAGTACCTGGTTGGAAGGGACTGCCGAGGAGGAGCTGGGAGGGGAGGAGAGGAGTGAAGTTCATATCGAACGCGGCACCGGAGGAGGCCATGTTGTCCGTGTTGTGCTGTCCGGGGGAGGTGTTGATGGCGGGAATGTTGGCTCGACGGGCGTTGCGGTCCGAGAAACCCTGCAAGGGGAGATTGTTCGAGTTGTAGGCTCCGTGGGAAAACCCGGTGTTGTCGGCGCTCAGATGCGAGAACTTCGAAGGGATCAGACGACTCGGGATGCTTGCGGCATCGGAGGTTTGCATGGCGAGGAAGAATGAAAGGGCGTCGACGCGGTTGTCCCCTGAGGATACAAGAGGGAACGAAGGAACAACAGGATGAAGGAATGACCTGTAGAGAATCAACCGATAAGATTAAAAATTACAAAAAAGAAGGATACAGGGGAAGAAAGGAAGGAAGGAAGGAAGAAAGAAAGAAAGCAAAGAGAGAATGGGGAAATGGTAGAATGGAAAGGAGGAAGTGGTGAAAGAGGAAGAAAATAACTGGAGCAGGAGAAAGACCAATGGCGACGTGTCGAGAAGATGGAAGGCGTGGAGTGGAATGTGCACAGGATAACGGTTGGTTGGTGGAACAGCGCAGGGACTCACTCACCTGTTAGTGTCCTAGTTAGGGGGAGAACCTCCCGCGGGTAGGAGAGACTCCAACAGAGAGAAAGAAGAATATAGAAAAAAATATCAAGTCCACCGAAGAAGAATAAGAGGCGAAAAAGAGGAACGAAGAGGAACCCAAACAAAGAGATAACCTCCTGGGCCACGGAAAGGGATAAGAGAGAGGAATTGGCTCTGGGGTAAAACCGAACGAAGAGAAGAAGAATGAGAAAAGAAGAATAAACTAGGAACAGAAAAGAATAATCAAATGAAGAGAGAATGGAATGAAATTAAAGAGGGGGGAGGAGTCCAGAAGGAGTCCAGAAAGGGAAAAAGAAGGTGAGTACGGGGAGGGACTAGTAGTAGTGTTGCTGGGAAGGGAGAGGAAAAGGGGGTTGGTTCTTCACCAGACGATATACGGAGGTGAGGGAGTGTCCGTCAGTCCATGAAGACAGTATGTATCGGAAAAGTAAGTAATAAGTAATATAAAAGCAGGGTGGATCTGCAACGAAGGACTATTTTTTAGGGGATGGATGGACCCAGTCGATCAAGAACAGTAGAACATGGGAGAAACGAAGGAAGTAGAACAAGGGATCGACTCCCTGGGGATTGTAGATGCCCAGGAGATGGAAGAAATGCAATTATCAAAGAAGAAGAAGAATGCAGATGAAGATGAAGAATAGGAACCGGGTCCGATGGTTGAATGTATTGAAAGGGGAAGAAAACAAATGCCAATAGTTTGGGTCGGAGAACGTGGAGAAAAGCCAAATCATGTAAGCAAGGTTGAAAAGGGGTTCCTTCCCTCTGAAGAGTCTAACTAACTACCTAGTAGTTAGTAGTTATTTCTTCTGTCCGTTCTCCTGATTGATAACGTCTCGATCCTAGATTCCTTCATCACGGTAGCCTATCCAAACATTGAGTCGTCCTGTTTCGTCACAATAGGTGTGATCCATCCTCACTCCCGCTATTCCGGTAGTATCACCGGTCTTCGGGATCGTCATAGGACTGAGGTCAGTATCGACGGGACGAGTCCAAACCCTAACGGACCGTTCTTCAGAGATCATCTTATCCGGATAAGGCTCTCCGGGGATCGGAACGAGAGATTAATATTAATGAGGTGGGGTGTCCCGCAAAGGTAGTCGAGTGTTCAATATCCATGGATGGATGCAGTCAACCCATTCAATCCTAAACAGGACGGATCCAGGTTGATCCGCTTCCGCTGCAGAATATCACCTGACTCTATCTTTCAAGACAGCAAAATGAAGTAAATATGAAAATAATCTCTTTTGCTTAGCTGAATGCCTTCAATGTGATGCAGAAGACTGTCACAGAGGTATCCCGAGGTCCTCTGGAAGTAATTCTGGGGTCTAACGGAGAGGCGCCCACCGCTTCTACAGAGTATGGTCATATACATATACCGTTCGGTATGTATACCTACTTCGTACAAATGTCCCTACTCCGTATAGACGGAAATTGTCTGTCTCAATTCTTCGTGAAGAGTGACCAGTCCGATTCATAGTCGCGTGGCTATGATAATCGCCCTTGCATGGAACAGGTCACTATTGACCTCAAATCATACCAAAATGCTCCTTGACAATACGGATCATTGCCTAGGTAACATCCCAAGTATCTGGGCAAATAAATGCATATCTGGGAGGATTCAATAACCGAAGTCTGGGATATATGTACATACCTAGGTACGTTAGTTATCAGGAGTATGAATTCTTGATGCCTGACGGCTCAGGCCGCAATGTGGGGGAAGATACGGACGGGAAAATCCAGAAATTTACCCCTCCAGGGAATTCATCCCGTCGCCTTCACCTTCTGTGCGGTTTATCTCTCTCCGCGGAACTCTCCCTCATCTCTCTTTAGGTCGGTCTGAGCCTTCCCATCAGGTAAGTTGGCTTCAATCCGTCCGCATCTCAATCAATGCCGCATTCCCATCCCTTCTTTGTCCCGATAAGGCCTCCCCTAGTGACTCATATGTCCGCCGAGTCGCTATCTATCAGTCACAGACACCGCCCCTCCTCACCTTCACTCTTTAAAAGATCCTTTCTCTCTCAGTCCAATTCGCACTCCCTAACATCTCCATCCCTAGTCAACCAAAATGACGTCCATCTACATCGACGAGGACGTCGGAAGAGACGACGCCTCCGCCACCGGCTCCGAATCCGCCCCCTACAAGACCCTCGTCCATGCGTTCATGCAACATCCGCCCGCCGATGGCGTCCAATATTTGACGCGCAAATCCCAGACCGACCCCGTGGGGGAGAATGTCGACCCCGCCGCCAAATTGGAGTGGAAGCCCGCCACCAAGTCCGCCTTGAAGAAGGCCACCAACCTCTACGAACAACGGAAGAAGAAGGCCGCCAAGGAACACGAGCTCGCCATTCGGGAGAAGCAGGAGGCCGAGAAGCGTCAACAAGTGCTGGAGGAGGCGAAGAAGGTCGTCATCAAGGAAGACCCTTCTCTCCCCAAGCCCGTGAAGATCCGTCTGGACGAGACCGATCCGGCCGTCGTCAAGCTGGGATCCCCCGAGTCTGATACCCCGGGAACCCGTGTGCGCGTGCTCGGTCGTATCCATCGTCTGCGCGCTCAGAAGGATGTTATCTTCATCACCCTGGCCGACGGCTACGGCTACATGCAATGTATCCTGACCGGTAACCTGACCAAGACCTACGATGCCATGACCCTCACGATCGCGACCTCCATGGCCATCCACGGTGAGATGCGTGCGGTCCCTCCCGGCCAGCACGCCCCTAACAACCGCGAACTCCACGCCGACTTCTTCACCGTCATTGGCCGCGCCGCCGGTGACAAGGAAGCCATCACCAACCGTGTCGCCCACGACGCCGACCCCCAGACCCTCTACGACAACCGTCACCTCGTCCTCCGCGGAGAGACGGCGTCGGCCGTCATGAAGGTGCGCGCCGCCACGCTGCGCGCGTTCCGTCAGACCTTCGAGGAGCACCGCATGCTGGAGGTCACCCCGCCCGCCATGGTGCAGACCCAGGTCGAGGGCGGTAGCACCCTGTTCAAGTTCGACTACTACGGCGAGAACGCATACCTGACCCAATCGTCCCAGCTCTACCTGGAGACCTGTCTCCCCTCCATGGGCGACGTCTTCTGTGTGTGCCCCTCCTTCCGCGCCGAAAAGTCCCTGACCCGCCGCCACCTGTCGGAATACACCCACATCGAAGCCGAGCTGGACTTCATCACCTTCAACGACCTCCTGGACCACCTTGAATCCGTCATCTGCCGCGTCATCGACCTGACCCTCGCCGACCCGGCTACCGCCGCCCTCCTGAAGCAGCTCAACCCCGACTTCAAAACCCCCAGCCGCCCCTTCCGCCGCATGAAGTACTCCGACGCCATCCAGTGGCTGCGTGAGCACGACATCCCCAATGAAGAGGGCAAGCCCCACGAGTTCGGCGACGACATCGCCGAGGCCGCCGAGCGCAAGATGACCGACATGATCAACCAGCCCATCTTCCTCACCCACTTCCCCGCCGAGATCAAGGCCTTCTACATGAAGAAGGATGTCGAGGACCGTCGCGTCACCGAGAGTGTCGACGTCCTCATGCCCGGTGTCGGCGAGATCGTCGGCGGCAGCATGAGAATGGACGACTGGGACGAGCTGATGGCCGCCTACAAGCACGAGGGCATGGACCCCTCCCCCTACTACTGGTACACCGACCAGCGCAAGTGAGTGTTCCTATTTACCTACCCCACTCTGACTGCGCAAGAGCTAACATCGTCGATAGGTACGGTACCTCCCCCCACGGTGGCTACGGTCTGGGTCTGGAGCGGTTCCTGGCTTGGTTGTGCGCTCGCTACACTGTGAGAGAATGCAGCTTGTACCCCCGCTTCACGGGTCGGTGCACGCCTTAGATGTTGATACGAAAGAGTATAGACCATCACGTTTCCAATGAGTTGAGGTTGAGATACATTACATTAAACAGTAGATGTTTTGCACCATATAATTATCCTACATAGCGTATTCTTGCAAAACATACTGCTTCTCCAAAGGATACTTCACTTCCCCAACGGCCGCATCTCAACCTCCTCCTGGGCCGTCCCTGCAATATCATACCGCACGGATACCTGCGTCGACTTCCGAATAAGTCATCCATCGTCAAAGGATGGTTCAGTCGTCGGCTCCAATACGACCATGTCACGACAACCCAGTATGATACGTATATCCCTGAAACAGGGCTGCAATTGTCCGCGAACGGGGAGAAGAACGGTGGTAGTAACCTGGCAGAGTACAAGACTATATCCATGGATATTGTCCCTGTTATTGATACATAGACGATTTTGAAGAGCTATTGCAGCGCCATGGCGGCCGTTGGTGGAACTTTTAGTGTTGTATTTTCCCTTTCACATGCACGAAATGTCATGCTTGTTAACCTGCTTATGGCTTCGTTTCAGGTCAGCCCACGCCAGTGAGCCTAAGGACTAAATAAGTCAAGCGGGCAAACCCTTTCGTCACTTATTAGCAGGACGATACCTCGTCCATGCAGCGCTAGGTGGTCAACAAGACGCGCATACATTGTTAGCTTTCTGCCCCTGCTATTTGAATGGGACGAGGTCGAAAAAGGATGTTCACACCGACCAACGGTTTGTATACACGGTAGATCGCGGTCCATCGAGGCAGAGGGCGTGGCCGGATTGTCTCCGGAACAATCGAGTGGCTGAATATGTTTTACTAAGGTTTCATTCGACCGCAGGATATTCTGGCCCTTGCACTACCCTTAATAACCTTGCAGCTTCCTCCTCTCACAAGGGTGTTAAGGGCAGCGGTCTGTCTTGACTTACCAACAGTCCTCTCATCCTGGTCAAGAATTACGAAAGATGACACATAGGAAGGATGGAGAAACAACCAGCACAAGCAATCAACAAAGTTGAGATGGCCGAAAATGGGACTTCTTCTGTGGATGAAACGCGGGAGAAATCACGTCTGCGTAAGATTGATATCCATCTGATGGTGCCTCTCTGGGTCATATTCGTCTTTGGATTCTTAGACCGAATCAACTTAGGCAATATCAGTGTCCTAGGCATCATGCCCGAACTTCGGATGACAGGAACAGAGATGACAATCGCAATGCAAATATACTTTGTTCCTTATATTTTAACGGACATCCCCAGCAACATCATCCTCAAAATATTCGCGTCTTCGACGTGGATCAGCGCTCTGTCTTTCTTCTGGGGTGAGCATGCCGAATCAATTTGCACTACTATTATTGACGTGGAGTCAAATAGGTATCGCGTGTATGTGCCAGGGATTTTTTAAGAAACGGATCTGGTCTGATTGCATGCCGGTTCATTCTGGGCCTCTTCGAGGGCGGATTCGTTCCTGGTTGCGCTTATCTCATGTCCATGTACTATCATAGATATGATTTTCAAAAGCGTTTCTCATTCTTATGGGCTGCAGGTCTTGTCGAAGGGGCCTTCGGGGGACTCCTAGCCTTTGCGCTCTACCATATGCATGGCTTGGGCGGTTACTCTGGCTGGCGGTGGATCTTTATCATTGAAGGACTCCTCTCGATTGTGTTCGCGATGCCGGTCAAATTTATCATCGCAGATTGGCCAGAACACGCCAAGTTTCTCAGCGAGGATGAGAAGCAACTACTGAGAGAGCGCAACTCGCGTGATGACGGTGGAGGAGCGAGAATGGATCGACTCGATGGACCCGCGTGGAAACGGATCATGTCTGACTGGAAGCTCTATGTCGGCAGTCTGATCTATCTTCCTCTGGTTACCCCACAGCCCTTTTTATCCCCTCTATTGTCAAATCCCTTGGGTACTCTGGAGTGGATAGCCAGGTGCACAGTATTCCTGTCTGGGCGGTTGCAGTAGTCGTCACAGTGATTGTCTCGTTCTTGACAGACCGATTACAGCATCGGTATGGCTTCATCATGTTTGGTGTGATATCTGCCAGCATTGTGTACACCATCCTGTTATGTCAGGGTCCTCATCCAGGCGGTCTCAATGTGCATGTCCGTTATATGGCTGTGTTTATCGTGACCACCGGGTGCTACATCGTTCAGCCTGTCGCAATCGTGTGGATGGCGAACAACCTAAGTGGACATTATAAGCGGGCTATCGGCCTCGCAATTCAGATCGGTCTTGGGAATCTGGGTGGGATTGTCGCGAGTAATATCTTCAATTCGGATGCCGCACCGCGGTACACCGTCGGTTACAGCGTCTCGCTTGCTATGGTTGTCCTCTGCGGCATCATGGGCACTGTCTTTGCAGCCGGGCTGGCGATTGAGAATAAGAAGCGGGATCAAGGTCAGAGGGATTACCGATTCCAGTTGGACGAAACGATCCGCAATAATCTCGGGGACGATGACCCTACATTCCGTTTCAGCCTGTGAGATCTGAGCAGAGCTTACAATTCATCATTGGGGGGTGGCAAGTTTGTACATAAGGGGGTCCCAGTCGACAATTCCATTGGGAGCCAAGAGGCTTTCGTACTTGTGACGTATGGGGCGACTAGAGAAAGGAGAGGAGAATAGGTACTGAGCTTTTCAAAAGCGTAGGAGAGATCTGCGAGAAGATGTAAACGAAATGGAAGGGTCCGGTAACTATATTCATACCTTAAATCTAACGGACAGCCTCTGTTGAAGGCAGGTGACTTCCTTCCGTCGTCATCTCACACCACGCCATGCCATCCATCCAGGTCGCATTGACACGTCCTTTTACGCTTCATTAGAGAAGACTCGGGTTCATACTCACTGCTCGCATTCGTGAAGTGCCTGTTAATTCACAATATCGCGTCAACAGTTGAGATCACCCCAGTCCTGACAGATAAGAGGCCCAAGGCCGTCTCCCCTCACCCTTCGAGCTGCCAGTCCTGTTCCCCATCTTCCGAGCTAGATCACTCTCCTCGCAACTCCCGCGAGATACCCAAGTCAGAGGCGCTCGCTTTGGCGATGAGGCCTTTGCGTCGTCCCAGGTTGGACGGAGCCTACCGGCCTACCATACATGTGGATGTAAATATAGTAAGTACGAACTTTGACTCAAACTTCCTGTTCACCAGCACAACTAACGAGAGGCTAGACACCAATCAGTATCAGAGCCAGTACCTAAGGGCAACCCATCAACGGAACATCAGTTATATCACCCGGATCTGACGAAATGACCGCCAAGACCAGGCATGGTATTCATTCGACGTGAGCTTCCAACAACACCCCAGGGCTAGGATCCACAAACACAGAACCACGTCCCGCAGATCGAGAAATGGGCTGAGCCCAAGCCATTTTGATTGTGACTTGGCCTGGCTACTGACGTCGACCGTGGGATTCCGTCCTTCTCTCCTGACCACCTGACCCCCTGGACGCGGGCATAGCGGCTAGGATCTCGTCGTGCGACGCACCGGAGCGTATGACAGAGATGACTTCGGAGACAGTCTCCTCTCCTTCGTTGCAGACTACGTCTAAGAGTCGTTCCAGGAAGCTCCTGTAGTATTCCGTGTTTGCGTGTTCGTCAGCAGTCTGGTTGGAATGATCATGTCGGCTACCCATTCCGTTTCTATGGCCATGTTAATTACATCAGTCATACGAAACAACAGAGAAACCTGCAGTGCATTAACCTGCAGTGCGCCATCATCTTACCTTTGATCTGGCTGTTGACCGCGCTGCTCCATCTTTCTTCTGGAGGTGATACTGTCCTGAATGCCGATAACGTTACAGATGGGCGGCGACGGGTTTTGTCGATCTTCGACACCGGGCGTATCGTTTCCTTTGGCGAAGGAAAGGTCCGGATTATGCGCTCGATGGGGTGGTGGGAGGAATGACGATTGGTGGTGGGCGTCTTGACCTCAGAAAAAAACCTATCTAAAATGAACAGCGAAGATTCGAGGGTGTTCTTGACTGTGGCAACGTCAGTCGACGCAGGTTGCGAACCAGCGAATGCCGTGTTGGCCGGATTCTTCCCACGCACCGGAGACGACTGCGTGGGTCTCGACCAAACGCGAGGTTGTCCGAAGGCAGCTAAAACATCAAGGTTGGATAGACAGAGAAAACAATAATCATAACTGAGGGTAACCAGAGCTGCGCTGATCCTGTCGCTGTGGGGGTTCCTCCTCTAAATGGTCTGGAGTACTTGTGGAGGTGTCGCTCAAAGAAGGCTCGGGCTCGGAGTCATGGACGGCAAAGGACAGCCACTCGTATGCGTATGGGCAGGCAAGCTCTCTGTCTGGCGGGAATGAGGCCCGCTATTGCCAGCGGTTGAACTATGGGGAGGCTAAGCGCGGGTGCTTCGACTATGCGCTTCCCAGTCGATTTTCCTGGCAGCCCCAATCATCGCTCGCCAATAATATTGTTTGTCGTTGTACCGGGACACGATGGACGCCGCCGCCATGGAAGGGGCATTTGCCATGGAACGGTCGCAACTGGATATCCAGTAGACGGGCATTGTGATCTACCCATCTTGTTGCTCACGGGTCCGGAATAGTTTGCCGGCCAATCAAGCCAATGGGGCGCGACCATTTCTCTCTAATACTTACCCTGCTTTGCCAATATCAACTTACTCGCCAGAGTTCGAACAGTGCTGCCCCTGAACCTTGAACGTGTGATTTTCTGGAATTTCCAATCGGTATTGGTCTCTATTTCTTCCGCCGCCAACGGATTAAGGGTACCCGATAGAATCAGGCCCCCAAGGGGCTGCTGTTCCATGGGCTGCAAGTATCTTGCAGAGATGCATGCCGACAACATCGCCCAGAGTCAGTCATCCTCTCGAAGACGACCTGCTGACGGTTTAGGTACATGCCATAGATGCACGTCTTCTTCACCTGAACCGCTTATATCACATCACTCACATGACCACTTCCTTGCCTACCGACCGTGGGCACCTCCGAATCTCGACCGCTCGCTCGGCCATCAGCAATCCCAGTATGCCTTCGAACCGGTTGCAGCCTTCATGACACGAAGCTCAGGGGAGCATGAAGACTCGAACGATGATATAGCGTCCAAAGTTGGGCTTTCTGATGCTTGACCTCTATCCCGTTGCAGATGGGGCGGTCACGGCCGTTGGAACAGGCCCGATTTTGCCGGAGAGGGAGGGCCCTGGAAAAGTCTTGGGAGAATCATTCTGTGTCGGTTTGACGGCTTGATGGAGGTAGGTATCAGCTGGATGGTTCCGTCGACCAAATCCAGGTCGCAGGCCATAGGAATGTTTCTGAAAGGGATGTGGCTTTCAACAGCGTGAAACTGAGCAGACAACCCCTAGGCAGTCTCTTTCACACAGGATCATATCCACCCACGGAGTTTGGACAGTCCCTTATCCGTTCAAGGATTCCTTTCTCATCCAAATCGAGCGAAACGAAATGTCCCCGGAGGCTTCGAGATTTCTGTTGACCCACGATCGCCGACACCTTCACAGAACCACGGACTCGCTAGATAAGCCGTTTGTTCCAGGAATTCGACGTGATGGATCGGCCTGTCGATTATCCGTCCTCCTGCCCCGCGAATTACAGGCCAGACGTTGGCTCTGCTCATACCCAAGAGGAATATTGGGAAGTCTCCGCGAAGCCAAATAGGGAGAAGCTGCATGGTCTGCAGAGCAATAACCCGAAAGTGGGATGATTCATCAAGGTATCCAGTGGATACTAAGACCACGATGGGAAAGAGTTTTGGGAACAGCTCCGGGAAGAGGCACTGCGTTGCGGTACAGCATGGCTACCAGGTAGCGTGCAGTCGTACCCTGTCCCCCGGGAGCAGCGATGAGTACGCTTATGATCACAGTTCAGATATATGGTCACACCCTTGCGTCATGGTTGTTTTCTGATTCGGTTCACCCATATAAGTCGAATGAGTGAGGCCTTATATTTGTCCTTGGTTGCCATAGCCGTACTCGCGAATGTTGGTAACAGTGGTAATGGCCTATCCCCTGTGCTGAACAGGTATGAGTGAGAGACAATCAGGACGCAAGAAAGCGAAAACGCCGTCGTATGTTCAATCGCACAATACAAGGCATGGTGTACACACTTTCCTCCGGGGTGGAGGATTTGGGCTCCGACGCTGTAGTCGGACGGCGCCGAAGATATCCAGAGTTAGGATCAGGGATACACGCTGTCGTTGTCATGTCGACTAAGGCTCGTCATCCGATTCGGCCTGATTCGCAGAGTCTTTGTGGGAGGGTCGTCTCGGGTTGGTTGGCCGTTCATCGGTAGGGGCGATCTGACAACATGGTGCATCGTCGGGAGGTATGTATGCACAAGCTGAGCCGTCTCTCATGATTCTTCCACATAGTTAGCAGGTCTTGCAAGCATTGCCGTCCTGCGGTCGGGGGTGTTTCACTACCTGATTCACGTTGGGTTCTTCTTCCCCCTGTTCTGGCAGCAGTGTGCCACGTTTGCCTGTCATCTCCACCCTAAAGCGCGCCGGGAAGGCTTGGTTCTCAAGACGCGCTGTCTGTCCACAGCAGCGAGGCGCCTAAAGTGATCGGTGAAGACTTTGGACAAAGCCTAGACCCCAACCGTGAGCGAGCGCGAGCACGCCCCCGTAACTAGGATAGGGGCTTTTGACTGGAATGACTTTGCTTTGCTTTGCATGCAGAGGGTCAGCGGACGGGCATGCTGGGGATGGCAGCAGGTATCGACAACCTCACGCCGAGGAAGCGTTTAGGGGCCTGGCACCAAGGATCCCCGAGGGAGACGCAACGGTCCGACATAGAATCAAGATCGACCACGCTCTCATCCATTGGCAGGTGGTTCTGCCATATGTGAGCTAGCCCACCGACCACATATCGTGCCTGTTCCAGAGGGAAGCCTTGGACCTCTCAGTCCCTGCACAGGAAGGGAAGTGGACAGAGGCAGAGTGTCAAAGCCTGGCGTCGAGTAGCGCCAATCGGAGCCCTAATTAGTGAAGGAAAATACATCCTGGAGAACTTCATTGGGGCTCCACCATATTATCCCTCCCGGGAACAGGAACCTTCGAGACTCTTAAAACATGAATTACTCGTTTCCTGAGTCCTCATCGGGCTTATGGCCAACTGTTATGCTGCGGATGAATTGTCAAGCACCGTGACAGGTGTATCTAAGATTACTAACGGCGTGCAGATGCAGAATCTTCTCTCGAGTCAAGTCAAAGGAGGGCTCGTCTCTATTGGCATTAGCATTCAACGGACGGTTTGAAGCTCAAACTTTGCCTCAGGGGATCACCCACACGGGTAGAGGAAGTAATTTGAATCCCGCAGCTGGCAATCCTTGACAAGACTGCCATAAGCCCCATTAACACCTGTGAGTTTTACATACCAGGTTCTTCACGGGCCATTTCGGGATTACGCTCAGAAGCCTAGCGCGGAAAGGGCCATCTTTGGAGTTATAGTGAGCGACATGAAGTTACGCTCGAACAACCTAGATGGAAAGAGACCGTCAATATGCTGATGTGCGCTGATGTGCGCTGATGTGCGCTGATGCTCTCTGTGTTGAGGTTCCCTGTCACACTGAATGATGTTTGCTACGAGGGTTCCCTTCTCCTGGAAAGTTGTCTTATCTCGTTCGCTTGGAAATAATTTCCGTCGCCTGGAGATCCGTTCGACCTCGGGTTTAGCGCCTATCGCTTGTTCGCGCTTGTTCGAGGAAGACAGTCGGAGCCTGTCATGACTTCGCACAATGAGACGCCATGGATAGGCTCCATCGCTTAGGGTCGAGTATGATCAGTTGTTTCAATTGCTCTTCAGCTCTACACTGATGTTTACAGCGTGGGTGATTGAACCAGCGTAGGGGACATTGTCTTGATGGGAACAAACAAGGTCTTCCGGTACATGATGTGCTGACACTACTGACAAGCTACCACTGAGTTGCCTATACTAGGTGTATTCTCACACAGGTCTACGATCAACGAGCAAGGATGAAGTCTTCCTACTTTGACCAATAGACCTTAATCGTATGCATGTGCATAAGGCCACTATTACTAAGTTATGAGTATAGTGCAAATATACTCCCAACAAACATCCTGACATTTTGACTTGATCTTCGCATAACACTGACTCACCAGAGGAGTGAGTTCTCCTCAGACATTCCACGAAATCTTGTATGTCTCCCTCAACAAACTTCGACCCATCCCTGGTTATCCCTAGATCGGCTCTCAGACGGTGCACCACCACCACCATCACCATGTCGACATCCACGCCACATGCCCAGAACCCAAGAAGACAATCACATGCGCATGAATGAATCTCTCAGAAGCACATTTCCATCTCTCCCGCGCGCAAGCTCCGGAGTCAATGGGCTGTACTCCCTCTACCACCCTGGGTACATACCAAGGCCACGAAGAATTCCAAAGGGGATGCTTTGCATTCTCTCTCAATCAGGATAGACACCTCCGCACCAAAGACCCAACCCGCGAACCCGGTCAAAGTTTCGCCATGCCAGGCCCCAGTCCCTTACATAGCCGACACGAGATACTATTCGCATGCTCACGCCCTTGCACCGCGCCTAGGGACCTACCAGTACCCATCCCTCCCCCCGGTATATAAGTACCAAAACGACGCGCGCGCCAGCCCCGTAGTATCTAGCTCAACCTCCTTGTTCTTCTCCCCGTCCATTGCGCTTCATCCATACATCCTACAAACAAAGCGAATTCACCGAAAAACAAGCCAACATGCGTCCGCACCTCCTCTCCGCCCTGTGCATGCTCGTCACGGGCATCTACGCCCAGTCCGGGAACACCGGCACAGACACCGGAAACACCCTCTGTACCGGCGCGTGCACGGCGAGCGCCAAGGAGCTGTCGTGTGGACAGCTCGGGAAGCCCGAGGCAAGTTCTCACTACTTTTTCTTTCACCTTCTCACAGGAAAAGGAAAAGGGTTCATACTAACCAGGCTACTGTCAACAGTACAAGGAGAGCAAGGGCTGCTACCGGTGCTGCGTATCTGATGACAATGCCGATGCCTTTGATGACCATATGCATCTTTTCGGGGATGGGAATGAGAAGAGGGGATAGGTTGTTTCCTTTCGTTGTTCTTCCTGTCTTGTTCCGACAAGCGTCCGCTGCGCAATCTACTCGTGCAATATATTGTTGATTTTCTGGAGTCTGGTATCAAGACGGATCCGGAATAGACAGCCCAAAGTTGGGTGGGTTCCTCCCGTCCCTGGGGATGTACGCTTGTACGAAAACAGATTATACAATGTTAATTTATTCTCATGGACACTCTCCGTTACCGTCTATTAGCGTCTTGTCAGACGTCTCCACGTCGGTTCGGGCCGATATGGAGTAGCTACCTACGTTGCATTGGAGACGTTACATTGGAGCGGCCATTTCCAGACCAATGCCCCTAACTTCATGGATTGGAAGAGAGTCAAAGTAAGGCCCTTGTTCAGTTGACCAGATCTATCTATGTAGCCATGCCCAAGCCTATTCCGTGATTAAAATCTATCTGGATACCGCTGAAATCCAGACGTCCAAAAGAAAGAAAGCCTATCCATCATCCGTAACATCATACGCTCTCGTAAAACCTATCACTCTTCGTCGTGTTCACTAATTTCCCAACATCATAGTCTCATATCATGGGTGACCATGTTTCACGAAGACACCTGACGGGGTGACATGCTGATGGCGCTGGCCGTGAGCGTCTTCTCGCTGGCACTGTCGCTCCAGAGGGAGCTATCGGCCGGGAAGATCGATCCACGGGTCGAGTGGATGGGAGAGTCCTCTTCGACACGGACCTTCAGGTGAGGCACCACCAAATCCAGGCCCTTGGTGCCGCTGGCACTGCTGGAGAAGTTGGGATTGTGACGCGGCGGCAGTGGGCGGTGCACTGGCTCGTGCGAGTAGCTCATGGGCTCCGATGCATTGCTGCTGAACGATGAGGCCATCGTCGACGGAGTGTGGGTGAGCGACGGCATGGTGGCGGTGGCGCTCATGAGCGTCGACAAGCTAGCCGAACTACGGTCAGACCGGGACCGACGCACCGCCAGGGGCACCTGACCACCATGGAATTGGGAGAGATATTGCCAGGCCTCGGATGACGCCAGTGGGCTGGTGCCCGCGCTCATCGATATTACCGGCTTCCATTCGGTGGGATCCTGATCCGTCTTGGAGTCGTTCACTTCGGACGGTATCCGGATAGCCGGGGTCTGCTGAGGGGGGAGCTTCGTGGGAGTCATGGGTGCCACAATGGTTCGTGGGGACAAAGGAGGAGAAGTAGGAGGTGTGTAGGAAGAAGAGAGGGAAGTTGAGGAGAGGGAGGCGGAGAGGGGTTTATGAGAGTCCTTGCGACGGCAACTATGATAAATGACTCGGTCAGATGATATCAGGTAAACAGAGAATGCACCGAAGGTTGGGGGAACTTGGGATATAAATAAACTAAACAAGGTGGCTGAGGTCTCCGGGGGCGAGATAAGGCGAACAAATCAGCTTACCTTTCACTGCAGTAGAGGCGAGAGTTATCAGGTGCAGTAATTTGTCTCTCACACATGGCACTACACAGCAGAGTTAGGACCAGCATTCCCGATAAGCGAGCATGACCAATGCGCAAGGGGAACACGACATGATAACGAGAAACAACAATTGGGGGGAATGTGATGCTAGCGTTGGACTTACCAGAAATTGAGGAAGCTGGCGGCCATCTCGGGCGGACAATCGTCGTCGGGGTCACAATGTCTGACCAGCCCGGTGCCTAGCTTGGAGATGGAGTGGTTCACAAAGGATGTACCTTTTCGATGTAGTGCTGGACGAGCAGGTCTGGCCTTGGTTGCATTGGGGCCCGAGGCAGAGCGCCGATGATGAGAGAAATGGCTTTGAGTCATGGATGGCGGTGAGGACCCGGAGGAGATTTATATATGGATGTTGAAAGGTGCCACCGAGATGGGATAGGGCGACCCGTATCTATCCTATCAGGAATGGCCCAGCAATGGTACCTGGCGCCTCTTCCCCAAAAAAGACGCAATGTCTGTGGAGCACAACGGGTCGATCGATCCCCAAGGTATGAGGGATTTGCAGCCAGGGGGGGACCCAAGGCGTGACTGGTGGGAACAATTGTCTCAGGAGGCAGCAGTAGTAGTCATACGTTCCCGGATGGTGCAATGGCAGGGGAACTGTCGGCTGGCCGGGAAATTCTCCTCGTTATACAGTAGGACCAGATAATCTGCGTGATTTTGCCAGAACGACGAAGATGCGCTCAGAGAGAGGCCGCTTTGAAGATTTTGTGTAATTCCAGACGTAACAAAGGAATGATAAGCTTTGCGGTGTTATCTGCTGAGAATCAGTCATGAGCGACCGGTTATCAACGGGCTGTGAGTGGGGAGAGATAAGGACAGTTCGAGTGTGTCCGGCGAGCAACATAAAACATACCTATGCTGGGAATGATGGGGAATGGGAATGATGTGTAGCGTCTTGTTTCTCTGCGTCCAAATGAACGAGGGTGTGTACAGTATGCAGGAGGCTTAAGATCGAATAGTATGCGGGATTTCACAAGTTGACACAGCTCCAGACGAGGTAAATCGCTCGGGAGATCAACTGCGGAGGGCGTACAAGAGGATCAAGGGGGGGAACGACAGACAGAACAAGCCGACAGAAAAGGGTCCGAGTGGTTTAAGAGGGGGATGAAAGATGAGGATGAGGATGCAACGGACGAATATATTTAGAACCGGAAGTCTAGAAGAGGAAGGCGAGCAAGAAAGAAGAGTCAACGTAATCCGAGCACGTCAGGCAAGAACGGTCTAGACTAATGGATAGTGAGCCTGAGGCAGCAACAGCCCTGCTTACCTCACCACTCAAGGTCGCAATCGTCGCTATATTTAGTTGCTGGTGGAGCAGAAGACAGAAAAAAAATCCCCTCGAAGACATCACCGTCAAAGACCATGACTCTCTTTATACTAACATCATCGACTGACCTGGGGAGGTACCGACTTCTCCCTATCACGAACTACTACTGTATCCAGGATGATTATTTTTCTCTAACCGACCGAGCCACGCTTATCGGACCATGATGAGCTGGTGTTTTGTCTTGGCTGCCACGCGGGGCGCTCACTCTTCGGGCATCCATGTCCGTCAGCTCCACCCCTCCACTGCTTTGGTCTAGACAAAGCGTCCGTGTGTCTGTCTGGGCTTCTGATTCTGCAGCGATGAGGGAGTCTGGGTGGTCCGATCGACATCGGTCCAGGTCCAATGATGGCGGCCAAAGAGCTTTTCACCCCTCCGACAGAAACCTGGATCAGATCCCCTGAAGAAGGGAGGGGTCAGGGTGGAAACAAGGCCATTCGGAAGCAATCGTGCAAGTCTGATGGTTCTGATGCAAAGACTGGACATGACGCCATAAATCTCGACACAATGAGCATGTCTCCGAGTCCGATTGGATATCCAGAGGAAATACGGACAATGAGCCGGAGCGGAAATCAATCAGAATCCCACGGTGGTTCTGTTATGATTCCCCACGAAAATCAACGTAGTTGGTGGGGTCCGGCGATGATGAGGTCAAACGTACACGAATACCTAAGAGAAACAAATATGACACCTCCTGGACCCAGAAAGTGGATGATCTGACTCCACGACGGAACGCAATTCCCTCGACTTCCTCAACCCCGTGCCACGGATCGTCTCTCCGAACGGTCTCCGACAGGTCTCCCCCGCCAGTCGCGTCCGTGTGGTGTGTTTTCTTTTGCCAAGTGGACCACTGGAGTAAACATTCTCCCTTCGTTCCCTGGCCGTTGTTGATGCTCCAGGCATCAACCGGGGTTCTGGCCGGGCGATCTAGAATGACGACAATAACGGGGCCTCGGTTGAATGCCTCACTTTGCTCTGTTCTTGCGATTCATTCGAATCTGAACTGACGGCACTCCGTACGGATTGAATGGATTGAAAGCCCTTCCGCCTGACGCGATGTTATCATGCATCTGGACAATTGCAGAATTCGCAGGTACTCTGAGCGTGCTGATGTGGCCATGCTAGAAACCAGAATTCTGACTAAATCCTCATACCGACATGGGAGAGAAAGCAATCACATCATATCACAGCGTGCAGCTTGTTGGGCACACCAGAATGTGCCCTCGCCTTATCTGACCTGATCCTCCAACAACTGAAGATGAGGCGCCCATTTCACCCACGCACGCAATTCCCCTGGGTGTGAAAAAATAGACGAAAACTTTGACGGTATACTTCAGGCCTGGTACCACTATGAGCAACCAGGGTTACCGGCGGTTTCCGCGCTTGAGCCAAACCACGGTTAACCTTACGGGTAGTAGATGTTTGGACGAAAACGTTGTAGTCAAAGAATACAGTAGAAGAACTAGAAAACTACTACTTGCGCTACCTATGCCTTCCCTCATACATTAGTACTAGTTAGACATCCACCAGAAAACAAGTCCCAGGTTCCTGCTATCACCAGACGGGCACAGGTGAGCGCGCATACTCCTCTTTCTCCTCTATCAAATCAGCCAATTCTTTCTTCAACGCCTCCGCATCTTCCTCTTCCGCAATATCACTGCTTCCCTCCGTAGGTGTCTCATAATCTTCCTCCTCTTCATCATCATCACTCTCATCCTCTTCGAGCGGATGTGCCAGCCCCGAGAACGCCACGATGCGTTGAAGAAACCACTGCATCTCCAGCAATCCCCACGAGGGAAGCGGATGTTGATCGGGGTCCGACGTCAGAATGTCGAACTCCCCGCCCGAGCAGATCTTCTCGTCGTCCACGTTTTCCCAGAACTTGAGCGAGTCAGTCCCCTCGTCCACCCGCGTACCAGTCAGCGTCGGACGCTCGAGCAGATCGACCTTCGACGGCGGGATTTTGCAGTTCAGCCAGTAGAACGTAATCGACACATTGCCGCCGACGCCAAACGACGTCGGCTTGAGGGCGAACCGCGCCTGCTTCCATGCGTTGTGCACATGCAACGCCATGCACATCCTGTTGGCGCAGGGTCGCGGTGCGTTCACCTCCCACGCCCAGTTGCGCACCCTCTCCTCGTGCCAGAAGAGCGCGAGCGTGTCCCAGAACGTTACGGACGCCGGTGTCGTCGTACCGATGCTGGGGACGATGTGCGCGACTTCAAGTCGCCACGCAATCCGTGTCACCGCACAGCAGCGCTTGTCGCGCTCGAAGCACTGCAGGCTGTGAGTATCCGGCTGTAGTGGAGTGCTTGGGACATGGAGGAGAGCACTTTACCTGTTGTATCTCTTTCCCGCCATCATATATGTAGTCTGCGTCCTTCTCTTCAGGTTCTGCTTCTTCTCCTTCTCCCTCTTCCTCTTCCCCCTCCTCTTCTTCCCCTACTTCTCCTTCTTCGTATTCCTCGCCGTCCTCCTCTTCCACTTCATCTCCACCAAAAGCCTCACCAAACTTTCTCTTCTCATTAATCTTCCCCTCACTAGACGCCCTCTCCGCCGCCCCAGCACACGTCGCAGAAGACATAGGAGAACAAGAACCTCCCCCCGCAAACGTCGCAGACAGCACCGACGTCGACGAACAGCGCGGGACCGCCCGATCCAGCCCTACGCCAACTCAGCACGACTCATCACAGGTCTAATCCACACGCACGCTTACAGGTCTTGACAAAGTCCGGGCCGAGCGATTCCAACGCGAGACGTAGAGCCGCCCGGCCTGGCGGCGTGCGCGCCATGCTGATCATGTCGCGCAGACGGGAGAGATCTGCAAACCAGAGACACGCCCATGCAACGGGCGTCACCTCCGGGAGCTCCAGGAGGTCCCGGGCTTCGGTGAGAAGGTCTTGCCGGCCCGATTGGTCGCATTCGGCTGTGATGGCTTTGTTTATTCTTGAGGCACCCATCGGGACTTGAGGTTGATGGTGACTCAGGGAGGTAAGAACTGGGGTGTATCGAGAGGTTGCAGTCTGGTGGTGAGAATAGTAGCCGTAAGCGGGAAAAAAATGGGATGGGAAGCATGAATAGAGAGGGGAAGTGTCCGGAATACGTCAGAAGACTCTCTATCTTGCGTAGCTATGGGAAGTCTTGTAAGCCGTATATCTGACTTTGGCTTACTCCTCAGCTAGTTGTGACCCTATAATGACCCCGGCCGTGGCATAGCTACATCACTGAGGTATTCTAGAACAAACAATTTATTTGGGTATCATAGATAAGTACAGGTTCGACTCCACCGTTTACGGCTTATCGACGTCCATTGGATCGCCCGCTTCCGCTGCCACGGGTGTGGGTGTAGCCGGAGGTGCAGTTGCAGGTGCAGGTGTACTAGAAGCACCACCAGGGACAGGTGTCGAAGCAGATGCTGGAGTCGGAGTAGGTGCAGGGGCGGATGCGGGGGCGGGGGTAGGCGCCGCAGGTGCAGGATCTTTCTTTTCACTATCCTTCTTCTCTTTTTCGGTTTTAGACGCTTCCGTTCCAGAAGAGTCTTTCTTTTCGCTCTCCTTAGGCTCCGGAGGCGCATTGGGATCGAGAAACCTCGCTGGAACGCCCTTTGCGGCAACCCCGGCCGGGCCAACATAGCAACCAAGCATACCGCTCCAGGTATACTTTTGGGCGACAGCCTCTCGAATCTGGTGATACGCGTAGGCATTTGCAAAAGGGAGCGAAGTTTCAGGGTCACGGTAACGCGATGGGAGAGACGTTATGACACACAGCGATGACGAGATTTCTGCCCTGTTTGTTAGCTACCCATCCTTTCCACGTCCGTTGCGGCTCAACTTACTCGTAAGGCGAGGGGGCTTCTTAGCATTGAAATAGATGCTGAATTCGCGACTTTGTGCCGTTTTCTCGTCGAAATTCTCCAGGACAGTAAGATTCCGCCCAGTTTGTTCAATGACGGGAGGAGCCTGAGGAACCTGCGGTTGCGGCTCTTCCTCCTTTGGGACACCCGGCTGGTCCGTATGCATTTCGGACTTCCCTATTGCTTGCTGGGCGGGTGTCAATTGGTCACCAGATTGAGTAGTTGGAGCGGCTGCATCTGCGACAGTAGGAGTCGAAGGCGTAGGTGTCTCTGCTTGAGCAGACGGGGCAGGTAGTTGCGATTTTGGCGACGGCTCTTTAGTCCCCTTATCGATGTTTTCTTTTGTCTCTGATGTTTCCTGCTGAGCAGGGGGAGCGGCTGTCGTTGGTTCCGAGACAGGATCTTTCGTTCCCTCATCAGTCTTTTCCTTCGCCTCTGCTGGAACCTCTGCGATGGAGGGAGCAGCTGCAGAGGCGGGGGTTGGCTCTTTATCAATCTCCATTGGTGTTGGTTCTCCTGCGGGTGGCTCAGAGCTTGGTGCGGTGGCCTCGTTCTTCGGCGCATCTGCTGGTGTGACAGGAGTTGAATCATTCGGTGCCCCTTCTGATACGTCCTCTGCAACCGGTGAAGCCGGCTTATCGCCCTTCGGTGGTTCATTGTCCACAGCCGATGGAGTTTCTGCCACTGATTCTTCTCCAACGATCTCTCCGGAGTCGGGTTTCGGCGTAGCCTCCTTACCTGCTGCATCGAGTGCAGGCGTGGATGGCTGATCTGGAACTGGAGTTGCGGTAGTCGCTTCGGCAGTGCCAGTTGTATTTTCGCGTTTTGATCTTTCTTCAGGTGCCTCTGAATTCTGCTGGACTTGGTCTTTGCTCTGCGTCGAAGCTTCTTCTGTGGACTTCAGAGGATCCGTAAGCGTTTGAGGGTTCGGGGGCGTAGATGTAGATTGTGCAGTAGTGCCGTTAGCAGCGTCCGGGGCGGGCTTCTGCTCTGGCGCATTCTTTTCTTCCTTATCTGCCTTTTTGCTTTTCTTTCGCGCGTTCTCTTCCTTCTCAGGCTTTGGTACGACGTCGACTTTACCAATGCGTGTGAGACGACCATTCGTCCAAGTAGCAATGCCACTCCAATAAGACATGACAGGACCCTCCAAGCGACGATTCTGCAACGCTTCGATCTTGGCTTTCCTCTCTTCGGCCTTTCTCTTCTCCATTTCCTCCCACCGATTGAGACTCTTACTATTGAGTCTTTCAACCCGCTCTGCCTCGGCCAGACGTTCAGCCTGCGTCATCTCTTTGGGTTTGAACTGTGCCTTCCGTTTGGCGGCTTCCTCCATGGTAGCAATCAGCCGGATACGCTTCTCCTCGCTATCCTTGAGTCGCGCATGCGTCAGCTCCTTGTTCTGCATGGTCTGACGACGAGACGACGACCGCGTCGGCCCTTCTTCCGGGGTCGGAATCCACGAGATACGCTCCGATTTTTTCTTCGGCCGGGAGGCAGCGGGAACCGCAGACGGCGCAGACACAGCGGTGGGATCGATCTTGACTTTCTTGCTGGCAATCTTGTACCGGAGGTCCTGCTGGGCGCGTCGCTTCTTCCGTTCGGCCCTCTCTTCCTTCTGGATCTGCTGTTCGCCTTCGTAGTCGTCGGCGCGTGCGTTGGGACCCTGATCGTCATCGTCATCCGACGACTCCATCCCCATATCGTCTTCCTCCCCGCCTTCTTCCTCGACGTCCACGGCGAACTCATTGTCGTCGTCGACTTCCTCGAACAGAAGCGCTAAGTCGTCGTCGGCCTCGGCGTCCAAAAGGGCGGACATGTGTCGACCGGCGGTGGCGCGTTTGGCGCGCCCCTGGATGAGGGATTCGACGGGGCCTTCATCTTCCGTAGATGTCGGCGTTTCGTGGTCGTCCGCCATGTTGGAGTGTTTCCTTTATTGTTTGGCTAGGTTGAGGGGATCTCGGAGGTCGTGTATCGGCCGCGGATGCAATCGGGAGACGCGACCCAGACGGGGCGATGCAAACAGCGTAGGAATCGCGAATCCCATGCACTTGAATTATTAGGACTTATATAGGTAAAAGGTGGGAGCCCCTAGGTTTTCACGATGATGTGGAGGGAATGAGTAGAGGAGCTTCACCAGTGAGTTTGGGAAGGCGGTGGCAAAATAAAAGGCATTCCATCGGGATTATGACTAAGCTTTACTGGTCTTTCCCAAGTGTTGATGCCTCAGGCACAATTAGTTACACTTCGCATCTATCCACGATGATCCTAAGCCCTCAACGTGAGAATCAGACAAATAAGGTGTCAATCGGAGGCCTTTCTCTATGAATACTACAATAGCTAGTCGAGGAGATCTTCTGTCTGACCGGACCGGCCAGATTTGATCAGTACTACCTCGCAAAGGTCGGTTCAGGTACGCGAACCATATGGAATCACCGGCTCAAAACGGACTCCGTTGGCATCCCGTACTGGCTTGTAGGCACGACCAGAGATCAGCAGGGAGAACTTCATGCTATGCCTTGTTAGTATTACTGCTGAAGGTCAGTCCGGAATGTATCTGTGTTGGTGTGAAGACAAGTGTCATGAGGAAGACAAATTATCCCTTGCAGGGAAGTTCAATAGACCAGCGTCCCTTGCAGGGTTTTTTTGGAAGAAAATCTCCGATTCTATGAATGGTTGAACGATTGTTTATAGTCTTTTCTTCCTGGCACTCCCTCTGAGTGTACGATCTACATACGGTAGTAGAACAGCTGTGACGCCAAATGCTTCTCATCTCCCACCGGCCAGGACATAGGCAAAGGTACCTAGTACCTAACGAATATGAACATAGGTACCTACGAAGCTATCCGCATCTGCTCTGCGAGTGGTTGGTTGAATCTCCGAAACAGGGCGAGTTTAGGCCACGTCAAAACAATTGACGGACAGACGGAATGCGGGGTGAAAGGGATGTTTCACCGTGCCAATAATCATCACCATCATAGAAGGGCACGAATGATTGCTTGGAAGAACCTAGATCCATGCCCGTCTCAATTCGGAATAATGGATTCTCCCTACGGTAATTGATGTTCGACGGACCGTTGGCACTTGTCCAGTCTGGTAGAGAGGGTCTTTATGTTCGTCAGGGAGATGTTTCAAAGAGATTAAGGGAGGAGTGAATAATGTGACTGAAAATAGACCCCGTCTTGCTGCAGCAAATCAGCGTCATCAAGACAACAATGAGAGTGATACCCATGAGGAGGTGTTTGATAAACTCTCCACCGGACTTCAGTCTTTATGTACAGAGCCGTCAAGTGGATCATCCAGAGTAGAGAGCGGTAGGAGAATATAAATGCATGTTAGGGTCGCACTGGTTTGCAGCTCGGGCTGCACGACGGGAACAGAGACGCTGGAACCGCGTTCTCGAGGCGTTCCTTCAGGTACCACCTCAGCTTCTTTCAACCGCCGACCGGCTCTACCATCCGCCATCGATCTCAAGATCTGAAAGAATACAGATCTCTCAATCTCTATATTTACACTGAAATAAATCCCGAGTCTAGAAATTATAGAAAAATGACTTGGAAAGAGAAATAATAATCAACTTGTCGCAAGTTCCTTCGTCGTTGTCCCCGGTAATCCGGCCAACTGACTAACCATCTTCTCCTGTGCTTCGTCCATCGTTCCTCTTCCTCTTCCTCCTCTCTCTCCCCTTTCAACAAACGTCCACTCCTCATCGTTTCCTTTTCTCTCTTCTTCTTTACTTCTTCCCCCCTCTAATCCTTTTTCTTTTTCGCAATTAGAGCATATCGCTTTTTATTTCTCCTCTTCCTCTTCTGGCTCGGTGGCATCGTCTCTACCTCCCGAGTCCGTGCCATTTTCCAGCCACCTGCACTCCGGGATCTTCACTGTCGCCGTCTTGCCCGCTCTCCTTTCTCCTTGACAACTCCCCTGGCTCCTCCGTCTTATCCGGACAACTTCATTGCTGTTCTCACGGTCATTACGGACGGATTTAACTGGTTAAAAAGACGGTAAGCCCATCACCCAGTTCGTGACGGATGTTCTGGTGGGTCGTGAGTCGGATCTGAACACAACTCGTCCGGATCATCGTCCATCCACTCTTTCCATCCTTCCATCCCATCTCTTCTTTTACCTCCCATTTCTGACATCGACTTCGCGTCCAATAGCTCGCCTCTTCAGCATTGATTCGGCTTACCACATACGGTCCCTGCATATCGATCGTTCACATCCAGCTTACGTATTCCTTTCGACCCCGCCTGCGAACGCCCTTGACAATCTCGTCATCCTCCACGGTCGAACGCACACAACGTTTGTTGAGAGTCAACGCTGCCTCAATCCGTCATCTGCCGTACCTCAATCGGTGTCGAATCATCATCTTTCGACGAATATCCTATTTTTAGCTGAACAAGTGGGCGTGACCATATGGTTCTTTCGGTCTAATCTGCATCTCCCGACTGATCCGTATATTTACCCACTCCGAACCCCATCCGTTCCGACTTCCGTCATCATTCATAAACACAATTAATACGTTGGGTAATAAGGCGCCTGCCTCCTCAGGGCAGAGGGATATAATCTATAATGCTCCCCGTTTCACGACCCGAGGGTCATATGAACCTCAATTATATTCCCACCACTCAACCAATGTCTGGAACCTCCACAGGACGCAGCTCCCCGAGTGACTTGTCCTCGTCGGCTGCTGTGAAACCTCCATTCGGGTCTTCTCCCGGTCTGAATGGCGCCGCAGGCTCGATTGGAAGTGCCAGGCTCGGGGCTGGATCCCCTTCTCATGACCTCGGTGCTCGCTTGTACTCCAAACGGTGCGTGTTTCACTGGTACCCTGGATTTAGCATCAACGCAAATGGTTCCTAGCTGACGGTTCATCGTTTCAAAATTAGCGCGCGAGAGATCCAAGCTGAGGAAGGCGTGTCTCCCAGTATCTGGGGTCCCCCAACCAGCGGCCATTCCACCCCGCTGCGTGAAAACATCCCGGAGTCGCCCAGTCAGGAGGGCTTTCCCGACCTCGTTCCCACAACCAGTGGCGCAATGAATGGTCCAGCACGTAGAGCCCGGGCGGGCACGGTCCCTTCGAGATTTTCTCCTGTGGGGGCGCTCAACGAAGTGAATCTACAGCAGCCTTTCATGCCTCAAACCACGCGTACCACTCCGTCAACAAGCCCGTTCCGCCCTGCCGGCGTACCTGGCATCGACACAGGCGCGACAACTTCGACTACCGCTGGCGGAAGAAGCTCCGGCTCTCTGTCGCGCCTCCGAGCCGGCTCCATGCCGCAGCGTACGGGTTTCCTAGGCTCCTCCAGCCCGTTTGGGCCCTCTTTGTTCTCAACGAGTTGGGCTACCGGACGTGACCGTGCAACGACCCTGACAAGCATCCGATCGTCAGAGGGCCCCGCTTCTCCTAGTCATTCTTCCTTTTCGCGAGACGGACTCACCGATACCGATGTGAAGACGCTGGATTATTTGGGACTTGCGGAAACCCCGCAACAAGCACGGGCCAACCTTGTACGACCTCCAGTGGATGTCATTCTTCAGCAACAACAACAACAGCAGCAGCAGCAGCAGCAACAGCAAACTTCCTCCTTGCCTCCCTTGCTTGCTGAACTGGCCATGATTAAGAACAACAACAATCGTTTCCGGTCGTATTCGGTGAATGCGAAGGAGAAGTACGCCGATGATGAGGACCTCGAGTATGAGAGCCGCTATTCTCCCCTTCCTTCAGGCACCGTCACCCCGTCCGCCGCCGCCGCCGCCGCCCAACTTGCCCACACCCAGGCTCAGATTCATCAGCATAACCTTGCAGTGCGAGCTTTCGCGAATCATGCGTCGGTCAACCGCCCTCGGGCTCGGACTGCGGGCATTCTGGAAGCGCCGCCACAGCGCTCGTCGATCCGCAACTATCTCGCCACTCCGTCTCGCCTCGACAACAGCTTCAGCGCTGCAGATCTCAACCTGTCTGAAAATGAGGAATATGATGAGCTGTCGGATGCGGTGCAGTTGTTGCATTTGAACGGGGGCGGCGTCCCCAACATGGGGATGCGACCGGGCGACATGGCCGATGATAACAGCCAGGATGGGCCGACCCGCGCCTTGTGGATCGGCAGTATTCCGGTCTCCACCACGATCACTTCCTTGGCGGCCATCTTCAGCAGATACGGCAAGATTGAATCAACTCGGGTCCTGACCCACAAGAACTGTGGTTTCGTGAACTTCGAACGCATTGACAGTGCTGTTCAAGCGAGATCGATGCTCAACGGGACGGAAATTTTCCCCGGCGCTGGTCCCGTTCGCATTGGATATGCGAAAGTGCCTGGAACCTCTGCGTCTGGCACGCCTGGGGTGAATGGCCTTCAGTCATCCCCGACTCCGGATCTGAACACCAAAACCAATGCCGTCGAAGGTGCCGAAGGTTCTGACGCAGCTGTCCCCGAGATCCCACCTCTCTCTGACCTTCAGCCCGAGATGGGACAAATCGTCCAGGACCTGGGTGCTAAAGACGAGGAAGTACGGAACATCACTGCCAGTATTCAGCGCGCGATTGCTTTCCAAGCCTTTGAAGACGAAATTCCTCCTATTCCTGAACCGACTCAGACGCGGATGTTTGACGCACCCCGTCTCCGTGATATCCGCAAGAGAATTGACAACAATGTGTGCTCGCCCCAGGAGATCGAGGAAACTGCCATCGCCATGCTTCCCGAGATTGCCGAACTGTCCTCGGATTATTTGGGCAACACTGTTGTTCAAAAACTTTTCGAACACTGTTCGGAGTCTGTGAAGGAGCAAATGCTCGTCCAAATCGCCCCTCACCTGGCTGAGATCGGTGTGCACAAGAATGGCACTTGGGCAGCCCAAAAGATCATTGATGTGGCCCAGACTCCCACCCAGATGAAGATGATCGTGGACGCTCTCCGTCCGTATACTGTGCCTCTTTTCCTTGACCAATACGGAAACTACGTTCTCCAGTGCTGCCTGCGATTTGGCTCTCAGTACAATGACTTCATCTTCGAAACGATGCTCAGCCGGATGTGGGAAGTTGCCCAGGGTCGCTTCGGTGCTCGTGCTATGAGAGCCTGTCTCGAAAGTCACCACGCTACGAAAGATCAGCAGCGCATGCTCGCGGCGGCCATTGCTCTTCACAGTGTGCCGCTGGCAACTAACGCAAATGGGGCTCTCTTGCTTACCTGGTTCCTGGACACATGCAACTTCCCCCGGCGCCGCACCGTCCTTGCTCCCAGACTGGTGCCTCATCTGGTGCATCTGTGCACTCATAAGGTTGCTTACCTGACCGTTCTCAAGGTCATCAACCAGCGCAACGAGCCCGATGCTCGTGATATCGTTTTGAACGCTCTGTTCTTCAGCCCCGGTGATGAGGTTTTGGAAAGGATTCTTAGCGACCAAACTTCCGGCGCCACCTTGACTTTCAAGGCTCTTACCATCCCCTTTATCGATGATTCGATGCGCGCCGAGGCTGTAAAGAACGTGTCGAAGGTTCTTACCAAGCTGAAGGCCACACCGAGCCAGGGCTACAAGCGCCTGATGGATGAAGTCGGTCTGTCATCCCGCGGAGGGTCCAGAGACAACCATGGACGAGACCATGCTCCTGGTTCCGAAAAGCAACATCGTCCCACTTCCCGACAGGCGACTTCCAATTATCCTCCGCAGCCCTCCATGGACAGGCCGTACAATGGACAGTTCCCTCCAAGCATGCTCGCTCAGAACTTGGACGGGGTTCGTCCTGTCGGGGCTGAACAGCAGCAGGGTTCGTCGCCGTTTGATCCTTACGCCGTCAATGGAGTTAATGGTCTGGGTTCGACGGGGGCGATGAACTCGCTAAACGGAATGGCTGGCCCTGGGTACGGTCAGGATCCCCTGATGCCCCTGTCGCAACAACAGGTGCAATACCAGGCTTATCTAGCGGCACAGGCTAGAGGCGTGTCTCCGGGTGGCCTCTACCCTGGTCTTGGAAGCTCCGGCTTTGGATATCCGGGCGCAACGCCCTCCATGGAGAATCTCCGTGCGATGCCGTCTCAAGCAGCGCCTATGCCCGCTGCCACCCAAATGAACCCGAATTCGATGCTTAATCAGCCAGGCTTTGGTCCCCAGCAATTCAGTCCGGTGATGGGCACGACTCAGATGTATCAGTATCCTCCCCCGTATAATTATCCGACTCAGCCGACCCAGGGACAGTCGGCTGGGGCCCGCCGTGGACGTGTAAGTTGGCCCGCTCAGAGGATGCCTGTGACGAAACGCAGCTAACATGACAGTTCTAGCGGTGATCTCATCTATGGCATTTAATTCGTCTTTGACTTCAACTATATGTACAAAGTTTTACATTCTATCTCCTCTTTTCTTTTGCGTTTTTTTCTCCTGTCTATCCTGCTTTTTGGGATACAGAGTAGTATGGCGAAACGACCCTGATTACACCTAGACCGACGCTGGATCGTCTTGGAAAAGGGGAAGAAGAAATGGACGAAGAAAAAGTGTTATTGTGTGTTCAATCTATATGTGTGTCTGAGCATGGCGGTGTTTTTGCTGTGGTTTACCTTCCAGCATCGTCTGTGTGTTGGATCCAAGACCAGTTATCAATGACGAATCCCGTTGATTTTTGTTAAGCATTTGGAATCATGTACTCGTGGTGATCTAGATATGTGCGTTTAGGACTGACGAATTTCCTTGACTTGAAATTGGCGTAACATGGTTATCTCTGAAGCCTAAGATATATTTGTGTGCCGGCTGGAAATATCTACCCCACAACATCAACTTCAATCTGAACCACCTCATCCACCAAAATGGAACAGGACCATGCCAGACTCCGCTATCCTGTATAAAAATGCCAGCAACGCAGTATTCGTCATTGACATTCCAACCTCCATTGCCCTGGCACAAAATTTGTCCCCAGTACAAGCCGGGGCCGCCTTGACCACCCCAGCAGAAAATGCCCTGGCGGAGAGCAGGAAACGTCCAACAGCACATCTTCTCTCATCCACACCATTAAACAAGCCCTACCCTCTGTCTTCAGAGCCAAAAACAGATGTCGCCCGCGCACGACTCCTCGAGAGGATACCGCCCGCGGAGCGCGTCTACCACGCGGATATCATTGAACCGCTGGTGCGCGACGCGCTGAACAATATCTGCACCAATAACTCAGATATTCAGGGGGCCTGGTGTCTCTCTCGACGTGTGATAGAGGACCATAGTCCCACAGATGACGTCCATGAAGCCAAGAGGAAGTACGACCACGTCGATGGTCGTCCACCACCTCCGGGAGACTTCCCGCTCATCCTCGACGAAGAATCATCTGCTCAGTCAACAGCCACCCCCAGCGACGATCCACCGTTGATCCTCGCTCCAGGCGTGAACATCTTCGCTTCACCGTCAGATGTATACAATTGCTCGACGAGAAACACCTCGTCCGCACCCGCGACACTGCAAATCACCCACGCACCATCAGAACCAGATGCCGACAACCCCAGCGACAGTGTGGCCTTCCGCATTCCCCCGCTGTCGAGCTTCGTCCTGTGCAGGATCCCCATGTCACCAGACATGTCTGTAGACGCACGCGCATCCCCTATCCCAGGCCTCTCGGCCTCCAGGAAGTTCGACCTCATCCTCCTAGACCCCCCATGGCACAACAAATCGGTGCGCCGCAGCCGCCACTACCGCACGCAGTCCTACCGCGGAGGAGACGGTCTCACGCAGTGCGTGGCGGACATCTTGCGCACGCATCTCCAGCCCACGCCGCGAGCTATTGCGGCCATCTGGATCACGAACTCGGGGAAGGCGCGCGCTGTCGCGTACGACGCACTGCGGGACGCCGGGATGTGCGTGTGCGAGGAGTGGGTGTGGGCGAAGACGACGGCGGATGGCGAGCCCATCTGCGCGTTGGACGGGCTCTGGCGCAAGCCGTATGAGATTCTGGTCATTGGGCGACGAGGTCGTGGGCTGGGCTCGCATCCGCATACTGTGGGTGTTGAGGATGAGCCTATGACGAGGAGGGTTATTGCGGCTGTTCCGGACGTGCATTCGAGAAAGCCGAATTTGAGAGAGGTCCTGGAGACCGTTTTTTTTGGGCCGTCGGACGACCATCGAGATGGCTACTCTGCGCTGGAGGTGTTTGCGAGGAATCTAACGGCCGGGTGGTGGGCTTGCGGCGATGAGGTGTTGAAGTTCAACCAGGATACGTGGTGGGTGCAATAGTGGACAGGAGGACTCATAGGTACATACAATCTATTCCCTCAACCTGACTCCAAACACCGCACATGTAACGAGACCCAAGCCCCATAAACATCAAAGCAGTAAACCCCTTCTAATGATTAATCAAACACCGCCCCCAAACTAACCAGACTGAACCTCAGATCCGGATTCCCACCCGCAGCCTCCGTCTTCAAGAACCGCCTCACACCCAGCTCCAGCGCCTTCTCACTGAGGGCATCCTCATCCTCGCCGAGGACACCCCGCTCCAATGGGCCCTTCCGCCGCCCATCCAACTCCCACAACCTACCATCCGCGCCTTTCACAAATGCCACAAAATGCAAATCAACGTTATCCTCCGCCTGGGGCGCCGCCGTATCGCCGCGGCGCGCCGCGTCCGCATGCGCGCTCTCCAGCGCCTTGCTCTCGTACAGCAGGTCCGCGCGCGGCACGGGCGCCAGCGGCTCCGCCTCGCGCAGCAGGCTGTCCAGATCCGACCCAGGCACGACGTGCTTACGGGGCTCGCCGTTGGCTACGGCGTGCAGGAGGCCGATCAGCCCGCACGCGTTGCGAATCGTCTGCTTGAACCAAAGCACTGGCTCGCCGGCCCCGCGGCCCGTGTATTCGGGGAGCTGGCTGTCTTCGGCGAGGCGCGAGGATTCGTAGGTCTGCGAGACGGGGAAGACGAGGAGGAGGGCGTGCGAGGGGCGCGGCACGAAGGCGAGGAGGTCGGGCTCGTCGATGGAGTAGACGTCTGTGAAGCCGAGGGCCGGCGAGAGGCCGAGTTGGTGCACCAGGTGCGACATGACCTCGGGGTTGTTTTCTGCGGCGGTTAGCTGGTGTTTGTTGGAGGGGAGGGGAGGGAGTGTACCCAGTGGCACGAAGGCCTTGTTGGTGCTTGGGGCGTCTGCTTGGTCGGCCATTTTGGATGTAATAGAGAGTGTGTGGAGGATGGTTGTGGAAAATGAGGTTGGGGTGATGGAGGTGAGGGGTTGAAAATCAATATTGCGGGGTCGGTTTATCCGCTTATTATACAGTTTCCCAGATCGCCTTGATAGTACAACCAGACGATCAGTCCTATAGCAGTGTAATCAATGTCATTCCATCGTGTCTATCATAAATCTATATCTAGTTCAATGGTTTTCCTCCCCGCTTGAGCGGCTCGTAGATGTTGGTCCAGAGCTCGCTGGCCTCGCCGAGGAAGTAGGTCAACCCAACGTCGGCCATGCTCGCATTCTCGTCGCCGGAGAGTGTCTCCAGCTGGGAAATGATATTCTCTAGTCCGAACGCCTTCCCGGTGGCCTGCGTGCTGCCGGCCTCTAGCATCACATTGACCACGTGAATGTGGAAATGGTAGTATGTCGGTTGGTCTGTTCGCACGCAGTGTTAGAAAGTTTCTCAATAGAAGGATAATAAACGGGGGTTTAGGATTCTTACAATGAACATAGAGCTTGAGCTGATCCTGCTCCAGATCCGGATACATATGAACAGTCCCCTCGAGCAGTCGCTGCCGCAGATACCGCAGCCAGGGAATATGCTTCTTCTTCAGATCGCGCAGACTCCAGATATCCCGCCGCTGCACAAGAGCAAGAAGGTGCAGCGACCCCATCGTCTTCCGGTCCCAGTTCAGATCCGGCAGCATCAGGAAACCATCTTCAGGCCCATGACCCGCATCTCGCAGGATGACATCCTCCTGCTCCGTGCGCCCCTCCAGGATATTAAACACCCAGTTCAGCCGGCCCTCCTCCCGCTTGGCGCTCATGTACGGCCGGATGTAGTCGCGGTAGATCTCGGGGGTCTCGGTGACCATGCGGAGCACCTGATCGGAGTACTTCTTGATGTGTTGTTCCGTGCACGGCCAGATGAGGTTCAGCTTGAGATCGGCGGAGGACTCGCTCGCGGCGTCCGAGCCGGACGACGCCATGTACCACCGGTAGATGTCATTGTCGCCCAGGTTGTTGACGCGCGTGATGGCTGCATGGAATGCACGGAGGACTTGGAGGGATTCCGTGGCGAAGGCGGCGCGTTCGGCAATTAGGATTCCTTGCGTACCATCAATCGTTCCGAGCATCGCGATGCGGCGGCCATTCTGGTCTAACGTGAGTGTTAGCATGGTCCTCTTCCAGAGCGCTGTGCAGTCAAGTGAACGGATTGGGAATGGCGGCGGGGATTTGACCTTGTTTGAGGAGCTTGGTGATTTCAAACTTCGAGATAAGCGCTTCAGGCGCAGGTCTGCCATTGTTGTTGGCCTCCATAGTGGCTATTCTGAGGCTAGAATATAATCACCAGTTACATGGAGAACGATTGATTGGTGTTTTACCCCAGATCCTCGTTCCTGGCAGAATTGCTAGGCGGTCAGGCCTGTTGATTAATGGACACTCTCGTACCAGCCAACTGCAATCATCTCTGGATATATCCTCGATTGTACGAATGATAAGGAGAGCACCTGTTGGCGAGTGAGGGTAAGCTTGCTTTGGCCCATAGCCACTTTTGAGTCTTATAAGGATGACCCTGGGAGAAAACAGCCACTCTATATACACTCAGCGTTGGGCGTTCTCAACGACGCATTCATAGATCATATAGATCGCGAACCATGGCGACTTAATCAATATTAAGAGGCCAAATTGACCTGAGGGTTGCCTCATCCTTCACAGGATCATCGTCCACTGCCTCGTTTGCTAACACGGCCTGCAGCATTTCATCAAATATCTCCTTGTGTGCCAACTTCGTTGTTTCCCAGCTCTCTGGTGGCATCCATTCATCAGTTGCAGTGTTGAGCAAACTCGACAAGTAACGTCTTAGATTTTGCGCTGCCTCAAACAACTTGTATTCTTGCTCGTGGTTTGCTAGTTCTTCTGTTGTCGGTGAGGGCAAAGGACATTGGCCCGAGAAGCCTAGCTTTTCCCAGTTGCGGGTCGTTTCAATCAACTCATGGCGCAGGGCTACCGCTCCGTCCTTCCGGGTTCTGTAGCTGTAACGAAAAGGTCGCAAGAGGGTTTCGTCCATCAGACGGGGATTAAAGAGGACAGGGGTAAGGAACTGAGAAGCCACATTGAATGCTTGCGTATAAACATCATCCCCAGTTCCATCTGATATAGCAAAGTCTGGGATCTCGTCGGAGTACCAAAAGGCCGGTTCGATACTCGCTGCTTGCCAGTCAATGATGCCGGTAATTACAGAGGGGTCTTTCTCCGATACAAAGATATTCCTCGTATGCAAGTCCGGATGGTATAACACTGGCTGTGAAGATGTTTTGATCCTATGATCCGTAGATATTGCCTTCAACAAGATCCGGGCTTGCTCTAGGAGGATTTTGTGTTCTTCGATGGAGCCGTGATAGGATGGTCTGTTCTCTCCATCGGAGGTACTAGGTGGAAGTCTTGAAAGCCCGGCATCGATCAGGCCATCGCTATATTGATGAATGTCATTCCCTGTCTGGTTAGCAAAACACTCTGGACGATGGCGATTCTGTAGGCAACTCACAAGGTCCACGGTTGGGCTTCAAGTCGTGATAGGAACGGCTTTCCCCTACGCTGCAGTCCCAGTAGCGGACGCCGCAGTGGGGTCCAATGAGGAATTCATTGTCCAACGCCTGTTGATTGCGACATCCGGCCTGACCATCCGCAAGATACAAACTCCCATAAGCCGGAAACTCAAGGTCGACCGATTCCTTGACCTTCCGACATATTGCATCTATACAGATCACCCGTTGGTCTCCACTGAGTTCCCGCCATCTTTTGTTTAATGGTACACCCACTGCATGATCCATGATGATATACTCGCTTCCAATGGCATTGTCAGCGCTTTGGGCATCCTGACTCCAATCAAGAATCTAAGGTATCGGTATACTGGTCTTTGCTTGTACTAACCAAGTCAAATTATGCACATAACTTGGAAACATGAGACACCAACTTACGGTATTGGATGGTCGCCACCTCGGAGGCAGTGGTCAGCTGTGCTGGCCCGGCAATCGAGAAAGGAAGCCTAGCCACTATTCGTCTGCCACTATCAAGGGTGAAAATGAAAACCCGATTGAAGCCCCCTTCAATTTTCTGGCAGTCTGCAACAGAGACTGCATCGGGGCAAAGCGCGAGAACTTTCTGACATAGAGCGCCAAAATCAAATTTGATGTAACGTGCATCTCGTTCCAGCTTGTCACGGCGAAGCCATCGGCCACTAGTATAAGAATATGGATCGGATTTGACCTATACTGGAACTGGGGCTTTGTCTAATACCAGAGTAGTTCCCATAGTCCGTACTGTTGAAAGAGGTTGAAGGTATGGAAAGTCGATATGGAAGAACGGACGTGACCCCCAAGACTTGGGTGCGAGTTGGAGACCAAAAGGACTGTGAAATAGGGAGTTGGCAGCCAGCTGCATTTGACCTCCCATACTGGTTCTCACAGATGAAGGAATCTATGAAGGAGATAAAGTGTTGATAGGGGTAAAGCCACTGCCAAGGCAGGGCTGACCAACAGAGGCATGTTGGCCTAAGCAGGGATTTTGGCACAAGCCACCATGAAGTGCTAAGATTCATGAAGTAGTAGTATGTATTCTTCTTCCTTTTCTTTTGGGATTTCATTCTATCCTAATTAAAACCATGCATAAATTACCAATGTCCCTCATCTGAAAGTGTCCGTAAATCATATGCACGTCGTTCTGGGTATGGAGCTATGTTTCGAAGTACCAGATTAAAGGAGCTGAGAGGCCGAGTGGAATAGCCCAGCAGCGCATGTACTGTCGCTTTCGTATTTTCGCAAAGGATGCGTTCTCTCCCAGATTCATTTGTGGAAAGGAGGGATGAATGGAGAGCGCTGCCATTACCGCAACCATGGTCAATTTCCGATTTACCTGACCGTGTTCGTCCATATCCAGGTGGAATGACCATACAAGAGCAGCTTCCACGGACGATTCATGTATCGAAGCCAAAGAGTAGAATTAGGCTAGTCCAGCTTGCCTGACGTCGATTCATGTAGATGGCTGCTTTTCGCTGCTAGGCTGAATATGCATCTGTCTTCAATCAGCATATCGTCATCCAGAGACCTAACAGTAAGCTTACCGCTTCAGCCAGCTTAATCCATTCCTCGACACCCTTAACAAACGGGTCATCAGATGCCGGCATTGTCTCGTGTCCCCAGACCACTACCTCCTTAAAGGTCGATTGCTGTTCTAAAATCTTAATTGGTTCCTCCGGCGCAGAGTCATCGTTCTCCGCTGGTTTCGACGGGATAACGCGTTCTGTAAGCGCGGCAACAACTCCTTTGAAGTAGGTCAGCCAGTGCAAACAAACTTCCACCGTTATGGGATGACTCACCTTGGTAGCCTTCTGGAACCGCAACATGTCGACCGCGCAATTTCCGGCCACGGAAGTGGGCGGTTTGGAGAGCTTTGTCTACCGATATGAGCATTTCCCAACATCTACATAGGCCAAATGGTCCCACCTTTTTCGTCAGGTACCGGGATCCAGAAGCGATCCACCGAATTGACAGGACCGTCGTGATGAACTCGGCAAGGGAGAATGTTGGGTGTGCATTTGTCGGGACAGGTCGAGTCCGAAGATTGGGATGGGCGTTGCAGGGCAAACATGGCTGTGGTCCAATTTGAGAAAGAGTTATCTGATATCTGCACAGTAATTCCAGTATTTTCAATTGCTCCAATTCATAAGAAGAGGTGGAAGGGGAGGATCGATCAATTGGAAGTTGAAGTTCGGGAAGACGCGACGCGGCCAACGGAGCGCGTAAAGTGGGAGGGAGATCCAAAAGCGGTCAATCCCTACTACGAAGTAGGCCTATACATCCGGTAGTTTGCAAGGTCAACAATAGCACGACCTACGATATGGGCATAATTGAGCTTTATCATGGGAGGTTCTGTTTATTTCAAATCCATCGGATCAAACCAATGGTCGATAATTTATTGCTTAACGGGGTGGGAACCATGTCTTGTCTATATCAATGCAGTCATCCAATATCTATGCTATGGGTATAAAACGTGCTAAAGACAATCACCTCTTTCGAGTCTTCTTCTTCTTCTTCTTCTTTTTCTTCTGGTCGTCCCCTTTCTCCTTCTCCACTACCACCCGTACCGGCCATTTCTTCGCATGCTCCCTCTCGAATCCATCCTTGTCTCGCCGGTACAAAAGCATCGTCGCCTTAGCATCTTCAACACTAGAGTGAGCACCGCCTTGGATGTCCAATCCTAGGAATTCAGAGGCGAGGACTTTCAAGCGGGGTGAGCCACCTCCCGCGACCTTTCGATATGGCGGGTACTTGCTAGTATCTCTGATGTCGCGCTTGGGGTGGCTCAAGAGAAGCGCATCCAGGTCATTCCTAAGCGCATGGCCCACCAGAATCCGTCCATCGATGATTTCCGCCACCTCCTTCTGAACCTGCTCGAGCGTTCGCGCTTCCGCCATATGCCTAGGGAGTATACCGCTCACATGCGTCCGCCAGTCGGTGACCATTTCCTTGGGCCTGACGAAGGAGTCGTAAACTTGTTCGCCGTTAAAGTTGACGATACTGACGCGGGCGAGGGCTGAGTCGTGATCGGGGTTGGGACCGACTCCTACCATCTCGCAGTCCATCGCGACATATTTTCCCAGTTCGGCGCTGTGCAGAAAAGACATTAGCAACTTTATCCAGTAGTTTCGCATAGAGAGCCAGGCCATAAGAAAGAACTCACGTTTTAGAGCGGCCTTCGTTGACCTTCGCCGTCTTGGGTTCTGCGCGGACCGCAAGGGTAGCAGTGGAACTCTTCCGCGAAACACTTTTCACTTCAGTCTCTTGGACACCATTCCCGCGGTCCTCCGAAGAGACCTCAGACATCCTCTTCCTTTTCTTGATCTCACGGGCTTGTTCGTATTTGGTTTTTCCTTGCAAGGCCTCGGTCTTCCGCTTCTTCACGGCACCATTTTGGGGTTCGCGGTCCGCAGTCTTGCGCTTTGTCGAGGTGGAGACGCTTTCCTTCTTTAACGTCTCCTGGAGTTTCTTCCAATTGCTGGAGAGATTCTTCAGATCCATTCCAACTAGAAGCAGAACCTATTGCATGGTGGAAAAGTAAGAGGACAGAGAAAAGCTGTTGATGCGGAGGAACCAAGTCGGCCGGAAATTGATGGCGCTAGAGATTAAAATTTCGGACTGCGGCCCACCGGCGGCAGTCTGGACCGACACTTTATACTTGGACAGTAGATGGAGTATACAAAAGCACAACTCTTAATGCAAAGAACTTTTGTATTCAGCGCTCGGATTATTACGGGCAAAATTCTATATGAGAAACATCCAACAGTGATAAATGAAATCTACTCCGCGCCCGGCACCTTGAAGTCCTTGTATGTCCACTTCTCCGTCACCTCTCTCTTGGCCTTTCTCGCCTGCGTCACCGGCTTCCGAGACTCCAGCTTGCCCTGGACAATGAGAGTCCGGAATCGGTCGTCAAGGAGATTGCCTTCCGGCTTGAGCAATCGCAGAGAGTCTTGCAGCTCGTCCGGCAACACCACCTCTAGGGGTTTTTCGGGGGCCCTATGATCGAGTCAGTGATAGTTCAAAGCCGAGATGTAGAATAGATCAAGACATACTTGTTCTTGCCGCCCAGGGGCCTGCGTCGCAACGTAGTGTCGTCTCCCTCTGAAGAGTCGTCGCCCGAGTTCTGGGCGACTTGAAGGTCCCGCTTGCTAACCTCTTCAGCGATTGCCTTCGCGCGCGCAAGTTGCTCTTCTTTCTCCTTCATTCTCGCCTCCCACTTAGCCTGACGCTCCGCTTCCTTGCGCCGCTTGATCTTGTTCCTCTGCGTCTTCGTCTTCCGCTCTGGTCGCTTCTTGTTGAGCCAGTCCGGCTTTTCATATTCGCTCTCGAAGCCTTCCCAGGCACTCTCGTCATCAGACTTGACCATTCCATCGTCGTCCTTAGCCTCAGCAACCAAACGCAGCCTCTCTTGCTCTTTGCGCTCCTCTTCTAGCCGCTTCTTTTCGGCTTCCACCTCTTTCTGACCTTGTTCCTGAAGGAGACGATCCCACTCCTCGAAAGACGGATTGTAACTCGTTCCAGCATCAGGAGTACGGACCGCTGGGACCGGTTTCCCATTAGCAGCGAGCGAAATCGGACCCTGTTTCAACGTATCCGGCGCAACCTTCGGCTTCGGTTTCTCCAGGTAGTCAAATTGCGGGTCTTCCATCGCCGGGGTATTGTCTTCCTCATCAGCCCACGGGTCATAGAGCGTACCTCCCTCAACCTTCTTTCCAGGGTTGTTCTCCTTGGCGACCTGTTTCAGGCGCAGCCATTCCTTGCGGCTGACCCAGTCGCTCTTCTGTCGCTTGCTCTTCGGCTCAATGACACCATCCGTCACTTTGGAGTTCAGGCGCTTGCGGGTATCAACAGCTGGGATGGCGGACCGTTGCGCCAGGATCTCGTCGGCCTTGAGAGGCTTGCGCTTCTTGTGCTGGGTTTTGCGGATTTCCGCTGAACCGAAGGAATCGAAGGTGAACAGTTCTTCCGAGGGCTTTTCCGCCAGAACGCCACTAGAACAAGGTCAGTAAAGAGAATTCCGTGGTGAGAGTTCCGTCGAGGAAAGAATTTAACATACCCTTTGATCTCTTCATCTTTCAGTAAACGCAGGCCCTCTTGCACCTCCGTAACATCAATATTCTTACGCCACGCCTTCTTACCCTTACGGGATGGCTGGCTGAACTGTTTCGGGGCCTCCACAGTAGCAGACATTTTGACGACACGACCGAGACAAATAATGTTGCAGTCGCGCCAGATGGGGGATTTTTTTTTGTCGATAGATAAGCGTTGATCTGAATATTTTCGGATCAAAAATCTGGACCCGCTTACATAAGACCGCGCGGGGCGAGCGCAGGGGCGGCTAGCGCGTTAAATGTTCTGCGGCTAATCTGCACGGCCGCCGGCTCTCTCGCTGCTCCTACTCGAACTTTCACACCCGCGTCAGCCATCGTCGACACTGGGCACTGCGGACCTGTTGTTCCGGACGAGAAAGACTCCGTGTTTTTCTGTCAGCATTTCTTTTCTGTCGCTGTATTTTGTCGAACTGATTGGGCCAGTCTGCCCTGTGGAATCTTGCAACCATGCCGGTTGTCAAAGGAGGTGTCTGGTAGGTATTCCATCATTACGCTTCCCAAGAATCTACCGGCTGACTGTGCTTTAGGACGAATATCGAAGATGAAGTGCTTCGGGCAGCGGTACGTATACGATTCGTGATTTTCACGGCGACGAAACAAGAGTCTACGCCACGACCGCGATGCGACGTGATGCTAACGGGTCTAACCGACTGCAGGTGTCGAAGTACGGTCTCAACCAGTGGGCGCGAGTATCCTCGCTGCTAGCGCGGAAGACACCGAAGCAATGCAAAGCGCGATGGGTTGAGTGGCTGGATCCCGGCATTCGAAAGGTCGAATGGTCGAGAGAGGAGGACGAGAAGCTGCTGCACCTGGCCAAGTTGATGCCCACGCAGTGGCGTACGATTGCGCCGATTGTGGGCCGTACGGCAACTCAGTGCTTGGAACGCTATCAGAAACTGCTGGATGAGGCGGAAGCTCGCGAGAACGATGAGTTGGGTCTGGGAGGTCCTGCTGGTCCTGAAGCTTCGGCTCCAAGTGCAGACGATGTTAGACGGTTACGGTATGTCTCGAAAGACTTGGCCTATTTGCGGAATTGTGGAAGATTTGTGCTGACGGTGACTACATAGGCCCGGCGAACTCGATCCTGACCCTGAGTCGAAGCCCGCGCGTCCGGACACGATCGACCTTGATGAAGATGAAAAGGAAATGCTGAGCGAGGCGCGTGCTCGTCTGGCGAACACACAGGGTAAGAAGGCGAAGCGCAAGGCCCGAGAGCGTCAACTGGAGGAATCCCGGAGACTGGCAGTGCTACAGAAACGTCGTGAGCTGAAGAATGCGGGCATCAACGTGAGGGTGGTTACACGGAAGAAGGGCGAAATGGATTACAATGCAGATATCCCCTTCGAGAAGCCAGCTGCGCCGGGTTTTTACGACACTACTGAAGAACTATCTCGCAATGAGCGCCAGAGGGAGATGTTCGATCCGCGAAAGCAACAGCTTGCGAATAAGCGGAAGGGTGACCAGGACGAGGATGCCGAGCGAAAGAAGAGGAAGAACGACAAGAACAGTAACTCGGCCGCATTCGCTGCTGCGGCCCGTGCTGGTCAGATGCAGAAGATCCGTGAAGCGGAACAGAGCAGCAAACGCAGGGCTCTTGTCCTTCCTGCGCCGCAAGTCAGTGAGGGCGAGATGGAGGACATTATCAAGATGGGTATGGCTAGTGACCGGGCCAGCAAGATGGCAGGAGACGAAGAAGCAACTCGAGGCCTGCTTGGAAACTACTCGGCTATGGTTGGAGGCACACCGATTCGGACTCCCCGCGCACCCCCGGAAGAGGATCATATCGCCAATGAGATCAAGAACATCAGGGCGTTGACCGAGACTCAGTCGTCTTTGTTGGGCGGAGAGAACACGCCTTTACACGAGGGCGGATCTTCTACAGGCTTCGACGGAATCGCTCCTCGTCGTCAGCAGATTGTCACCCCCAACCCTATGGCCACTCCCTTCCGGCAAGCAAATGGTGTCGGTGCGACACCCATGCACGGAGGTGTTGGTCCTGGAGCGACACCTTTGCGCACTCCTCGCGACCACTTCTCCCTGAACCGGATGGAAGGGGGTCAGCTTGTTCCCGCCACCCCGAAGGATATAAAGATGCACGAGAATCTCGCACGCCAAGGCATTCGCAGCAAACTAGCTGCACTCCCTAAGCCAAAAGAAACTGAGTGGGAGCTGGAAGAACTCCCCTCCGAAACTGCTGAGCCCTCTGTCGCAACTGAAATCACCGAGGAAGACGCGGCCGAGCGTGATCGGAAGGAAAAAGAGGCACGAGAGAAAGCCGCCCAGGCTGAATTGAAACGCCAGTCGCAGGTATACCAGCGGTCGCTCCCCAGGCCGAGCGTGCTCGACATTGATGCTTTGATGGAGCGCGCTTCTCACGTTACGGATCCAATCGCCAGCCTAATCACTAGGGAAGCTGCGCTTTTGATTGCTCACGATGCACGAAAATTCCCTCTTCCAGGTGCGAAGGTCGAAGGCAAGGCGCGCAAATTGGAGCGACTGGACGATGAGTACATTGCATCCGCGCGAGCTGCCATCGCGGCCGAGGCTGCCTCCTCGGCCCAGCAGTCCGAATGGCAGGAGGGATTCGATGCGCAGTGGTCATCCACTCACTCGAAATCCCTTCCTGGCCTGTCCAACTACGCAGACGACGAGGAAGAGGATGTATACCAGCAGGAGCAACGCATGATCGGCGCTTTCGACAATGTCCAGGCGTCTCTGATCGCTACGGCGGAACGAGGCAACAAACTCGAGAAGAAACTGGCTCTCCACTACGGAGGATATCAGAATCGGGCGAAGATGCTCCGCAACAAGATTGTGGAGGCCAACTCGGCTCTGGAGAAATCCCGTGAAGAGCTTGATGCATTCCGCAACCTTCAGATCTCGGAGGAATCCGCGCTCTCGCGCAGGCTGGAGAAGCTCCGGGACGATGTCGCGTTTGTCATGCGACGAGAGCGCGAGGCGCAAGAGCTCTACCGGACGCGAAAGGAGGAATTGGACGAACTGGTCGCTGGGACTGGAGGGATGGTAAATGGATGGCATTGAAATGCGTTGATAGTTAGTCAGGTCTGAAGGTCAGAATGTAATTATATCCATTTGATTGTCCTTTGGAAGCACTCAGTACATGTTGTACAAATTACTGTAAAATATCTACACTAGTGGTGGTGTTGCATCGATGTAGTTCTACTCCGTATAGTCTGTGGCCTGCACTGGGTGGCATTCAGTGACGCACGCCGAAAGCGACCAGTTGCCGCCCGGAGGGAAGTCATCATTCTCGCCCGTCCGGAGTTTCCCTCCGTCCTCCCCATCACCCTCCATCCCTCTCGCCCATCAGCCAGAACCACCACCATTCTCTTTCCATCAAAGAAATCTCACTAGAACTGCTGAGAATTATCCAAAAATCGCCATGGGCGTCCGAGATTCTCACGGCGAGGGTACGGGGACGCCCGACCCCGTCGAAAAGGGCTTCGCCACCCTGGCTACCATCCGGTAAGTCGCGAAAATCGTGGATTCATATTTTCTTGGAATATTTCGTATCGATTTTATCGGGCGCGTGTGCTGATTATGGCGATAGAATCGGTGTGAAGGCCATGGTGCAAAAGGTCAGTTCTCGGCCACGCCGCTGCAGCCTCTTTTGATATCGCGTCACGTGATATCAAGGGACACAGATTGCTAACTCGACATGTAGGATGGCGAGTTGAGAAAAGCAGAAATCCTGTCGATTCGGCAACGCAAGGACGGTCCTTCTTTTTAGTAAGCCATCTCGCAATCCTCGGGGATCTACAGGACAGGCGTGCTAACTAGCCTAGTGTTCATTACGTTGATTTCAATAAGCGTCTTGATGGTAAGTTCGTCCTTGGGCTTCGTTCATCTGGGTAAATGGTGATGTCCATGCTTACACTCCCTAGAATGGGTCGATTCCGAGCGACTTGACCTGTCGCAGGAGGTCGAGTGGCCGCAACCCGAGAAACCAGAGAAAAAGAAGACCGGCCCGGGGAACAAGGCGCCGAGTAAGAACAAGCGCGCCAGGGCCGGAAGCCGTGAGGTATCCGGCACGCCTGATCTCCTGACAGGCAAGAATGCCAACGTGGGCAAGGCCCAGCGTCCATCTAAAGCGGGTGGAAAGGAAAACCGCGGCGACGAGACCCCAGTCAACATGTCGATCTTGAGCTCCGAAGCCCTCTCGGCAGACGCAACTCCAAAGCCAGAGTCGGAGGATGTGGACATGCTTGATGTCACCTTCAAGGACGACAATGAGCAGGGCAAAATGACCCGCGAAGAGGAAATCGAAAGGCTGCGGACGAGCGGCAGTATGACCCAGAACCCAACGGAAATTCACCGCGTCCGTAACTTGAACCGCCTGCAGATGGGCAAGTACGATATCGAGCCGTGGTACTTCTCGCCGTATCCGGCGTCGTTCTCCGACGTAGACATGATCTACATTGATGAATTCTGCCTCAGTTATTTCGACGACCAGCGTGCTTTCGAGCGCCATCGCGCGAAATGCACGCTGGTCCATCCACCCGGCAACGAGATCTACCGCGACGATTACATATCCTTCTTCGAAGTGGACGGCCGTCGCCAGCGGACGTGGTGCAGGAACCTATGTCTGCTGAGTAAACTCTTCCTCGATCACAAGACTCTCTACTACGACGTCGACCCGTTCCTCTTCTACTGCATGTGCACCCGGGACGAAACAGGCTGCCATCTCGTCGGCTACTTCTCCAAGGAAAAAGACTCGGCCGAAGGGTACAATCTCGCTTGTATCTTGACCTTACCGCAATACCAACGCCGCGGGTTCGGCCGACTCCTCATCTCCTTCAGTTACGAGCTGAGCAAGCGGGAGGGTAAACTCGGCTCGCCCGAAAAGCCGCTCAGTGATCTCGGCTTGCTTGGTTACCGGCAATACTGGCGCGAGACCCTGGTAGAGCTCCTAGTGGAGCCGGGCCGCGAGTCCATCAGCGAGAACGAGCTAGCTGTCCTAACCTCCATGACGGAGAAGGATGTCCACGAGACATTAGTTGTTTGTAACATGCTCAGATACCACGTACGTTGTACCCAGCGTCCCCCTTCTCCTCTTTCAATAGCTAATATTTTTAATAGAAGGGAAACTGGGTCATTGTGCTCACTGACCAGGCGATTGAGCAACACAAGAAACGCCTGGAAAAGGAGAGAATCAAAGGCTCGCGCAAGATCGACCCGGCTCGACTGCAGTGGAAGCCGCCTGTTTTTACTGCATCCAGCCGTACTTGGAACTGGTAATGAGTACGTGGTTGATCCCACCGGGAGACAAGAAAAGAAAAGTGATGGTTATGGGCGTTTTGATACCCTAGAACGGAGTCTGGTCTTGGTTATACTTTGTACAATAGCACATTTCATATTAACTGGCCCGGGTAGCAAGCTCAGCTAGGGCTCTCGATAACGGCTGCACGTTGACATTTACATCTACATGACAGGATTTTATGTTAAAATAAACAGGTCAAATCACCTTTATAAAGTACAAGGAACTTGCTGGACCTTACAAGATCCGATCCATATTACACCTATTTAGACTCAGTAAGGCTGGGTGACCGCACGTTTCACAGCAGTCAATAGATACAGAACACACAGTTGATCAAGGGTGGTAACAAGACATGTACTTCATTCTTTCCAGGCTTCCGTGCCATGTTGCTCTTGTTTCAAATCCCGAAAGATAGACCATAGTACAAGTAGTAGCCCTCAGCCGAGAGCATCATCCCAATCTGAAGAAAGAGGACAACGACGGAAGCCAAAGCACGATCAAGAGGCCATGCCAAATGAGCGAGAGGGAGCATCAAGAAGCACCGAAGTTGGTACATATCAAACTAACTAGGTTGGTCTGATTGATCTGAAAACACAGTTGGATGAAGCAGAATAGAGAAGATGATCAAGGAAAAGACACAGATGATCTGCACTCAACATTTGTGGCCGTTCCAAAGGGAAAAAGTGTAATGCACAAAGTCCCACAGATGTTTTGCATCCATCTTTATCCCCTGGTGGTACATATGTAATGCTGTCACTCCAGCCTGTGTTGGCCAGGACAGGTAGCAGATAAACAGGAGTAATGTATGCAGGTTGGGGAACGGAAAAGGACATTAATAGGATGATACTAAAAAAAAGCTCGGAAACCAAACCCATTGATCCTTCCCCGCAGGCGTAGCTCATAATACCGAAAGAAGACGCTCAACGAATACCGGATATCCGGCCAAAGTCAACTTGTAGCAGCCAAGTGCAACCCCAGGCATATTGACCCTCTGTGGCCACATGCTTAACGAGATCCACTGAATGTGCGAGAACCCCAGGAGCCGTTTCGTGACTGCTGACGGGGAGAACTGTTGCCATTCACTTGTGGGGAAGAAGCCGGCTTCTTCGAATTCGGACCTCCAGGTCCATCGCGAGACTTAGCGTTCTTCCGAGGCTTGTTGTTGTAGCTAGAAGACCCGCGCTGTCGAGGGTGGCTCCCGGTTTTCTTCGGAAGCATGAGCGTTTTCGCAATGATTGCGCCGGGGAAGCGGACCGATACGCGAAGGTTGCCCGAATTATCCTTATCAGACAATCCTACAGTGTATGGCTCAACACTATGAACCTGCATCGGTTTCAGACTCTTAGCTCGTCGGGCCTGAGAAGGCGGTCGAGCTGCTGTCCAGGCTGCAGGCGGTGCGCTGATAGGCACTTGGACAACGGGAAGAGATCCTGCTTCACGGTCCTCAAAGATTTCTTCGGCATCCTCGACTTGCTTCGCTGACACTTCACCATCTCCAATGGGGAGTTCGTCATATTGTGGAAACGACACGGATACGGCAGCAATGTGCAACTGAACGTCAAGCGGCTCCTTGGACGCTGATAAGACCGCCAAAGCATTCTTTTTCTGTGGTGGCACAGTCTTTTTTCCAAATAGAGTATTGATCTTCTCCTGCCAGGAAGTCGCTGTGGATACCGGTGCAACACGTGGAGGAGCAGCAGCCATGGAAGCAAATGTGGGGGGAGGCTGAGGGGGAGCAATGGTTTTCGGGGGAAGCTTGACAACAGGTTTCGGCGCCGGAAGGTGGACCAGCGGCCGGTTTGAACTGCCAGTATACACTGGATGGCTGGACATTTCTTCGGGTGGAGGCGGGGAAGGGCTGCGTGGAATCTCTCCTTCCTCGACTGCTGGCTTCCTCGGAAGCTCTGTCGCCTGAGGGAAGAATCGCGAGCTGCGAACAGGCACGCTTCCGAGCGGACGTGTAGAGTTCTCAAAAGGAAGGGAACCCACAGGGTGATCAAAGCCAGGGAGGGGGTTTGCCATCGGGCCACTGCTATCCGTAGATCGGGAGGTTCCAACAATTTGCCGTTGGCCAACCTGCTCACCAGTTCGTACCTGTCGCCAAGTTTCGTTGAAGTTGACCTGTAGAGAGGCGGGTCCCTCGCGGAGCGCATTCATATCATTACGAAGCTTCTCATTCTCTTCCGCTTCACGCTTTGCAGCAACAGCGTGGAAATTGTGCCAGGCCGCGGGGCCAGCGACACGGTTGTCATGACGCCAATGAGAAGGCTGAGAACTGGGTGGCCCAATCGGGGCTGGGCGAGAGATAGGATTCAAGGCGTCATAAGCTGCATGCCTGGTCTCAGGGGATGGCAAGGGAGATATCGACGCATTTTCCTGCGGAGATAGTGGGGGCGCCGAAAACGGTTGAGGGCCTGGAGCTACAGACGGTTGATCCAGCCCAAGGTTGCGAAGAGAGATATCCCGAGTCTGAAAGCCACCAAGACCTTGTTCGAAGATACCATTGCCCAAAGCTTTGTCAATATTGAGGGGCTTCCACGGATTCGAGATCGCGGGAGAAGCTCCAAGCTTGGAGTTAGAAGACCAAGTAGGGTAAGGGCCGGAAACGTTGAGGTTAGGTCCTCTCAGCTGAGGGCTCTTCTCACCCATCTTGGGCTCAGTAAGATTTTCAGTGTTGGTTGCTTGGGGTTCACCGTGTTGGGAGAGCCCATTTGCAACGGGGGTAGTGTCAGGCTTGGACTCGCGAACAGGCGAATGACCACGTCGAGGATGACCCATGGACGTGGTAGATCTGTCAGCAGCTCTTTCTCGCTCGACAAGTTTCTTCACAGTGTCTGGATGGTGAACCTTCATCATCCCATACTGCTTTGGCTCTCCACTTGGCTCCGGCACTGGCGGCTTAGGAGGCGACTGGGATGGATGCGCCGTATTTGAGGAAGCGGTGCCTTCATGGGCGCTGGCATCCAAGGGTTCCTTGCGTTTCGGCTTCGCCTTCTCCGGTGGCGGTCCGAGAGCTTCAAGCTTCTGTCGTATCCTTTCACGCTTCGCGGCTTCTTCTCTCTCCTCCTGTTCCAATCTCCGCTGGCGAGCCTCCATCCGTTTCTCTTTCATGATACGTTCCTGCATTGCCACAGGGTCTTCTTGAGGCGCTTGCGCTGTTCCAGGTTGCTCAACAGGAGCAGCGGGGGCTTTCTCAGATACGTTGGCGGCACCACGATGAGACCATGAAGCGCCCGAGCCACGTCGGCCCGGTGAAGGTTCCCGCACTGGAGTATCTTTTGGCTGTCCCTGGTCCCTACCAAGCATTGGTGGCTCTAGCATTCCATTCGCCTGAGAGCCGCGTCTTGTTTCAAATGATCTTTGCGGGATGTCAGCACGGCCAATAGACATTCGACGCCCAAAACTACCGCTTCCTCCACTGACGTTGGACGAAGTTCGGCGACGTGGCCAGTGTCCACCATCATGCCCGCTCGACCGGTGAGTCTGAAATGCCGGGGAAGGCTCTGCAGGGCCCGCTTGTTCGCCATGAGCTGGCCTTTGCAGCAGAGATGGAGCACGGAAGCTCTGCTCTGTGCGCCAGGAGCCTTTCCTTGTCTCTGAAACGGGTTCATAACGGCCGGATCTAGAATTGTAAAGCTCACGTGTTCCAGTCTGCATCTCTCTCCACGACCTGTTGAAATCATCCGCAGCAATCTCTTTTGGGGGCGCAGGCCCTGCATAACCATCATGAGCATGAGGCTGCTCTCTAGGAGTACTCCGCACAGGCTGTTGTTGCAGCTGAACAGGGGGCATTACAGGTGAGATTTTCTCCACAGGCGGTAGAGGAGCCCACGGTGATTTCGCTGGGGCCGGACTTGCGGAAAGCGATGGTGACTGCTCATTTGATCCCTTGGACATCATACTTGCACTTCTCGCTTGTCTTTCTGCGTTTGCGCCGAGGCGGAGAACGGTAGGGTTCGGTCCGATCGATGTTGTGGGCTTTGGAGCAAATGTCGTGGGCTCCTTCGGAGCAGAAGTTGGCTCAACGCGCGGTGGAAGGACGTCATCCTTGGGCTCGGGGGGCTTAACATCTTGGCTCGTTATTGACGGAGGTTCCATCTGAGTAAGATTGGTCTTCGTTCCATCGGTCCATTCGATTGTCTCCGGGGCCCAGTCGTCCTCATCGTCGTCGATATCAGCCCACTTCGCTTCGGTTCCACCGCCATCTTCTTGAATTCGGGATGTCATGTGGATGCCGTATTGTTGCTTCAGTTCTTCGTCGGTCAGGTGTTTTGGGGGCGTTTGTTGGACCGCTTGGAGTATGTCAGTAACGTTTCCTGTGTTTGTCTTGTCCTTGAAAGCTCACGTCGATTCTTATTCCAAACTTGGCTCGGGTCCGGTCCACCTCCCGGCCGAGCACCAGGTCCAGACTTCGACAAAGAGTCGCGCAAGCTGCTCGTTGTCTTGGCGACTAAGCGTGGTCGTGAGCTTTGGACTGGGGTACCCAACGGGGTACCGGAAGATGAAGAAGGGGCTGCGGCGTATTAGACTTGTATCTGATTGATTCGGGTTGTGGAGGAGAGTATACCTTTTTCGGCAGGTTTCATGGTCGGCGATGTGCCGGGCGCCTTGGGAACAGAGAACTTGGCGAAACTGACGGGCTTGAACGACGCGGGCCTCTTTGTCGATGTGGAACGCGAATGCGCTCTACTATCCGTGCGACTGGCATCCGATTCTGAACCACCAAGAGAGGCAGTATCCTCCCCAGCCTCCGAGCCAGACGCTAGCCCGTTCATTTCAAGTGCCCTGGTTTCCACCGGTCCAGGTCCCTGCTTCGAAGTATCCTGTATCCGGTTCAGTAGAGGCCCTATGTTGTGTTCCAATCGTTCAAGACTCACAGTCGACGAATGTGTAGCGTCCTTCCCTGGTTCATTCCTTTGTGATGGCGGCTCGGAAGAATCTATCTTCTGCGGTTCGTTGGGTTTCGGTTCGGATTGTGTTGCGGTAGCGGTAGCGGTATCTTTGATCTCCCCCACGTCCCCTCCAGCAGTAGTCTTGTCGTTGGTGCTCGCAGGAACGTCGGAAGGCGAAGGCTCGCCGCCCGACAGGGTTTGATTTACCACATCGTGGCTGCTCTGCTCTGCCATAACAATTCTCGAGTCTGTAGGGCCAACAGGTTGCGACATCTGTTAGACAAGGGATCTCTTTTGAAAGTGTGATGGAACACGGAAAAGGCAGTGGCGACGGGAATCCGCAGAAGTCTGATAGAGAGAAGCCATGCAGGGACGGTCAGATAAATACCTCTTGTCAGGTATCAAGAATCGCCACGGTGGAACAGCTTGAGCTCAACTGCTGTGAGCTGTAAAAAGCTCCGACTGACCAAGAGTTCGGACGGCGGAGAAGGGCCAACAGCGGGAAGGCAGATAGTCCGGGCTGAGAAACACGGTCGCCGACAAACGCGGGTGTAGACCGAAAGGAACCCGTAGTGGGAAGAAGAGGTATGACAGTCGACGAAGCCCAGGAAGTCCCGAAAGGGAGGTTCGCGATAGAGATGGGTCTTCTTGAGGTTGATGGTTCGGGGGGATCGGGTGATGGGCTGCCTGCAGTCATGGATGGCTGACGGTTCAGGTTGAGACTAAGGTGGCTGTTTTCGGTTAGCGTGGGCGCGACCATTCACGGTCACTATGCTTGTGGCTGGACATCGAAGGATCTACAGTACGACGTCTAGAGATTCTGTTAGTGAATAATCACAGAAATGTTATCTTGTCGATGGACAATAATTTTTTCCTTTTCTTTTGCCTTTTTACCAGGCTGGGCGATCCTTACGTCGCAAATGACCAAGACTCCAACCAGAGTATCATATTTAGGCAGCATAACAACGATAACAACAATATCAATAATGAAAAGATCTCACGGTTACTTTTACATCATCGTAGTTGTCTACGCATCACACGGAGTAACACAGCGAGAAATCAATATTCTTCTACAGGGTCTTCAATCGGGTATGCGGTATATACACATCCTCCACACCCAACAAATCCAGGAGACACTTTAGTGAGGGTGGTTCTTGTGGTGGCCTGTCGTCAAATTAGTACTCAACAATCTCATTTTCCCGGCGAGGGATACATACGGAGATGGAAGTAGTACTCCATGCTGTATCCTAGGAGGAGGATACCGCCGATGGCGTGGGCAAGGGCTGTTGAAAAGAACAATAAATCAGCTTCTCTGATCACACTCACACTGCGTGGGACCGATTGAACTTACGCGCAGCAGAAGGGTTCTTGCCGAAGTAGCGAGCCTGGTAGCGACCAATGAGGCCGGTGGGCTTGACTTCAGGGGCAGCACCGCGGGGAAGACGGGCGTAGAAGTTCACCACGCGGTCCATGCGGGCAGCATCCTTAGCGGCACCAATCGCCTTTTTCGACTGTCAGTGAATGCGGAATCAAATTGAGAGCAGGAAAGTCGCATAAAAGTCGAATTCGCGACGGGAGAAGAGATTGTTCTGAGGACGGGTGGCTTCGAGGTAGGGGCAGGGACCTGCGACTGGGGAGTGACTCACGTTGGGGGAAGCGATCTAAAGACACATTAGTCTCTGAACAACTCGCGGAACGATATTATTCGGGGTGGTTGAGGTTATATTCGGGTCTTACCTTGGGGGGGATCAGGGTCGAGAGACCTCGGCGAGTGATGTAGCTCATCTTGTGCGAACTGCGCCCACGTCAGAAAAACCTGTTGCAATAAATCGCAATCGAAGCAGCCAGTCACTACTTCTCGATCAGCCGACGTACCTTGATACGAGCACGTTGAATCAAGCGGGTGATGGAGAAGAAAGAGGGAGGTTCCGGCGAGAAAGCGGGTTGTCGGAAGAGCGGCGGTTCCTAACGCAGGGAGCCTCATTTCGCGCTAACCGCATTTGGAGTCGTCAGAACGACCGGCACTCGCCGCATACCTCACCTTGGTATCGCACTCCCGCTGCACCTTCGTCCTTCTCGTCCTCCACGCCGACCAACACCCACCAGAATGTCGCTCATGAGAGCAGGAACCTTCGCCTGCCTGCGGGCAGGTCGCTTTACCGCCCCCGTTGGTGCTCGATTCCTCTCCACTGGCATCAGCCAGGGCAACCCTCCCGTCAAAACCAGCCCTTCGGATGCCCCGACCACGCCCTCCCAGGGCAGCTCGTTGATCCGCGAGGAGAGCCCTGCCGAGGCAATGGCTCGTCACCAGCCGGATTACGAAGCCACCATCGATCACGGCACCTCGTATGGCCATTCCGTTCGACGACCATGACCCAACGTGGCTGACAACCCTCCAGGCAATTCTCTCCCGTGCCCAAGCGTGTCATGGATGGCAGCGAGCCCGGCGAGACCGTCCCTGCCGCTGTTCTCTCTGGTGCTCCTACTGACCTTCAGGCTCGCACTGTCCGGTACGTGCCCTCGGTCCCTCCATTTTCTTCCTCGCCAGTCGCTGACCCTCCCCTAGGATCTACCGTCCCACCAAGCCCGCGACGCAGTCTGGTACCTGGCACGGACACCACTGGAGAATGGACTGGGATGTCCTTGGCAGAGGACACCGCTGGGAAAACCCTCTGATGGGCTGGCAATCGTCGGCTGATTGCATGCAGGGTACCCACCTGAACTTCAAGTCGAAGGAGGATGCGATCATGTTTGCGCAGAAGCAGGGATACGAGTATTTCGTTCAGGAGCCGAATGAGCGCCGGTTCGTCCCCAAGGCTTACGCCAACAACTTCGTCCACGAACCCAAGAAGCTCAAGCACATCAAGACCAAATAATCGATTCCGTCAAGTGTATTGTGTATATAACCCAGGCTTTGTTGTCGTTCGGATCATTCTCAAATGTTTTAGGAATTCAATCAGGTGCTCAATTCTACAAGAGGAATGTAGATGCTGTGTCCATGTAACCTGAAGGCACTTGCAGGAGGAAAGTCATTGAGGTGCAAGTGCAATACCGTGGGAGAGTACAATGAATCGCGAATGTAATAGCAAGGACCTATTACTACGACTGGAGGACACGTAACGGAATTCCCACGGGTGTGGTGATTGGTGGTTTCATAAGATGCGGTTCGATGGATAAGTGCTGATATTCAAGACTGTCCGAAGGCCTGTTAGGATCGCTGATGCTTGGCCAGGCGATTAGAGCTGGGAAAGATTCCATTTGGCTCATTCGGGCAGCTATGAGCTGACGCCTAGTGGACATTCGGAGCCTTTTCGGTGCTAATTTAACATGATGGCGAGACATCACGGTAGCAAGAAGCTGTGCCTTACAATAGGAATGGTCTTTCAGACACTTCGGCGAAATCTCTTCCACATGAAAGACATATTTGATATCAGCTGAAAGCCTACAAGCAACTATGCTTCCGTACTACTTGATAGTGCTGTATGGCTAATAGATATCGATTATTATGGAATTCGTTGTATATTTTGACATACAAGGGGAACAAAGACGCCTCAACGATATACCTAGTAGGTACCTGAGAACGGTACCATTGTACTATCCTCGCGAATAATAGGCGATCTTCTGCCTGCGATATATCCTAGGTGAGCGAGGTTAGCTCGAGAAAATTCTTGCCTACTCAGTCCTAGGTAGCAGAGAACTAAGAGGAAATATTTTCAAGCAACGCAGGCCTAGCCGCCGCCGCCTACCCCGCCACCCCACCTAAAATTTATTATCTGGTTATGATAAGATCAAAAATTTCCCTATACTCAGTGACCTTATCCATTTTCACTGGTTGAATTCTTCTTAGTATCTTTTACGTCTTTACGCCTCAAATCAACAATGGCTCCTACCGCAACGGACAACTTGGAGGGTGTGGATGAGACCATCCTCACCCTGCGCAAAGTCCTCACGAATGAAGCGGAACCACTTGCTCGTCGATTCCGCGCCCTCTTCTCTCTGAAGTACCTGGCTTGTCAGCAGCCTCCCACCGACAAAACTCTCCCAGCTATCCAGGCGATCGCTGCAGCGTTCGCTTCACCCTCTGCCCTGTTGAAGCATGAACTCGCATACTGCTTGGGCCAGACGCGCAACCCAGACTCCCTGGCGTTCCTCCACGAGGTCGTGAAGGACACCGAGGAAGATACGATGTGCCGCCATGAAGCTGCGGAAGCTCTGGGAGCTTTGGGCTATGAGAGCAGTCTAGAGATCTTGAAGTCCCTGAGAGACAATGAGAAGGAAAGCGACGTCATTAGAGAAACTTGCGACATCGCGGTCGACAGAATCATATGGGAGAACTCGGAGGAGAGAAAGGCTGAGAAGCTGAAGCCTAGGTAAGCTTACGTCTATTCTTGAGCAAACTACTGGGAATGAAGCTGATTGACTTGCTTCCAATCTATTAAGTGACTTTACCTCCATCGATCCTGCTCCCCCGCTCCCGCTTGAGTCTAGCCAACCCTCGATTCCTGAGATGGAAAAGACGCTGCTCGACACGAAACTTCCCCTTTTCCAAAGATATCGGGCTATGTTTGCCCTGCGCGACCTCGCATCGCCACCGGATCTTCCCACTGCCCAGGCCGCGGTCGAGGCGCTGGCCAAGGGACTTAAGGATCCCTCGGCTCTGTTCCGCCATGAGATTGCTTTTGTCTTCGGCCAACTCTGCCACCCTGCTTCCGTCCCTAGTCTGACGGAAACCCTCAGTAACCAGGAGGAAGTCGGCATGGTGCGGCACGAGGCCGCCGAGGCGCTTGGTAGTCTGGGTGATGTCGATGGCGTGGAGGCGACGCTGAAGAAGTTCCTGAATGATCCGGAGAAGGTGGTGAGAGACAGCATCATCGTCGCACTGGACATGGCCGAATATGAGAAGAATGGGGAGATGGAATATGCGCTGGTGCCGGATTCGGGAGCCCCCGCGGCTGTCTCTGCGGCTTGATTGCTTTCCCAAAGAACGAGGGTTTATGTTTTACAATGTCGTTGCTTTCATTAAAGTTCGTTTCATAGATATACAATGCGAATGCAAAATAGACCAGACTCCTCTCCAGGGGGGTATTAATTGTTGAAAGCTTCCCTGTTGCGAAATGTCCGTTAGCCCTGATCGACAGAGATGAAGAGATCCACCAGGAAGGATGGCATACTTGTAACCACAAACGCAAGTGTAGAAAACCGTGCTTCCCTCATCAGCACTGCGCAACTGCACTGTAGTAAAGTACATTTCCTTCCGTCCACATTTTGCGCAAGTATGTTGCGTTAGGGCCTCTGTCCGTCGGTCTGCCGCAGTCAAGGTCTGGACTGCCGATCGCTTTGCCCTGAGGGCGGAGGGGAAGGAACTGGGCTTCGATTCAGAGACGATAGTCTTAGGGATAGTATCTGAGAACAGTGTCAGTGCCTGTCCGGCTAACATCTCTATGCTTTCGTGTATTACCTTTATTCCGTGCGCCGCAGATGCTGCAGACGATGATTTTCGTCGGGTCGCCAGAGGACTCGTCCAAAAGGTTTCCGCAGTCGTTGCAGAAGATCAGGGAGCCAATGGCCGACATGATGAAATATCGCGCAGGAATTAGAGAATTACCTGACAGACGACAAGATAATCAAAGAATGTGGACGAGAGGGAAGAGGCGTGTGTAGTTCAGTTCTCCATCTAGTAACTTTTTTTTCTTTCCCTTGGATAGGCGCACGGACCACCCGCCGCAGTACATTAGTGCCGGGCGGTCAGAAGCGGCAAGAGACCCGTGCCTGGCAGGCATGAACTAACATTACATCGTTCTGTCTTTGAGGCTGCAGATCTGAGTTGGGAATGGGATTACAGTCTCTCGCGTGATATCACAGCCTAGCCATGTCTCCGAGCGGAGCATGTCTTGTTTTCGATAAGAGATCCTTTTCCGTCACCGCTATTCTTGTCTCCTAGGAGTGGTGAGCAGCCAACAGCATGGACCAGAACTGGGGTCCGGCCGTACAGGTCGTCATCAACAATGGCCACCACTCTCAGGCGCTTGCCCATAGCCAGCATCCGCCTGGGATGTCACAGCGCCGGGAAAGACCGTTGTTTGTGGAGGAAGCGTTGCAGTACTCACCCATGTCCAGTGCACCGGTATTTGGCTTAGGTTAGGAACGGACTCCCCCGAAGTGAGAGATTGGTGAGCCGTTACTGATATCAACATGATGCCTCTTTAGATTGCATCATACGCCCTGATGTCGGCCGTCCTCCGACCACGACCTCTATCAACCATGTCCTTCAGTCTGGCCGCATCACCTTGAACGAGCTTAACGGCGAAATCCAATCCGGCCGCGATGAAAGCAGTCGTTTAGAAACCTCTCGAGAATACCTGCAGCAATTACTGGATGGCGATCAGCTGACGGAATTGTAAGCGAATTTGTGCTTCACAGTTACGGCATGTACTGATCTGTCTATCTAGCAAGTTTAAGCTTCCAGTGGCCACGAGCCATACCTCCCAGTCTCGCCCAACTGCACCGAATAGCCAAGTGTCCAGCCGCAATAGCCTTGGCAGTTTCTCCAGGATGATACTGGATTCAACGGATATAGCATTCCGATGTAGGTTTCAATGGTTATCAATCACACGGAACAAGCTGACAGACATGGTACAGATCCTACGCAACCACACGGAGCCGGTAAACCGTCACCCAAACCCAATGCCTGGAACCAGAAAGCCCACTCCATGAACAAGTCAACTTCCGCCTCCTTCGGTCAACAGATCTCCCCATCAAGTCATCTGTCCGTTGTCATACCCGTGAAACCAATCCAGGGCGATCGTGGTGGAGCGAAACGAAGAAAGTTAAATGCGGACGGGGAAGACAACCTTTCTACAATCCGTATGAAGGACCAAAAGGAGGAGGCGGATGCTGCTTTGGTGAAGCTACAGGATCTGCTCCATGAGGTATTCGAAACCGAGGACCAACTTGAACCAGACATGCCATCCGACGCTGCAGCTGAACGGTCAAACGGAATCTTTTCACTCCCTCGGGGGTTGGAAATTAGCGGGCTTGTTCTGTCTTCTGATGCTCACGGTCGCCTCCAGAAGGCTATAAAGAAGGTGGTGGGGTTCAACCGGCTCCAAGATATCCCTTCGGACTATCTGAACAGGGTTCAAAAGATCTGTGAGAAAGTTATAGTCGCTGCCCAGTCCCCTGATCTGAGGCTGGACGACCCTTCCAACGAAACCGACGCCGTGACTTGGCTAAGAAAATTGGACGATGTGCACAATGCCCTCCTTGCAATCGGGACATTGTTGCAGACAATGTCTGGTTCACAGACAGAGCGGGACCTTTGCCCAGAGGACTTGATTGAGGCTATTCCAACAGTTTTGAATCTGGTTTTTGACAACTGCATCATCCCAGCGGTTGAGGCTCGTCCTGGTGGCAAGGATGGCAAACACTTTGAATTCTTCTCTGCCCAAAGACGCGTTATAAGTGGATTGATACAGCAGAGTAAGAAGGTACTCGCCAGTTTTGCCGCTTTCCTAGCTCGGATTGATGTATCAGAGGGAACGGTGACAGCGACAGAGTTTTTTGCAGCAAAGCTCATATTCGTGGAGAATTCCCACACAGAGAAGGATTCTGCCGTGGGGCCCCAGAAGTATGAGTCTGTCCGACGAGGGGCCATGGATGTCCTTGCAAAAATATTTTCCAAGTATCCTGACCAGCGACCTTTCATACTCGATGAGATTCTGGTCTCACTAGAGAAGCTTCCGTCTACGCGGCAAAGTGCCCGGCAGTTCAAACTTGCCGATGGTAAAAATATCCAGCTTCTAACGGCTTTGGTGATGCAACTTGTGCAAACGACCGCATTGGATGTCCCTACTTCCAGATCATCAAAGACAAAACGCAAGCTGCGCGCAGGCGATGACGATGAGTCCCCTGGTAGTGACAATGGCGGCGACGAAGATGAATATGAGATGTCTCTGGAGCAGCTGGCGACTAAAGTGAATCGGCTATACGACAATGCCGTGCGCAGTGCTCAGTACATCGTTAAATTCATAGTCCAGCGCGCGATGACATCCACAAAGACCGGCGACCAGCCATACCGCAATATTCTTGACCTCTTTACCGAAGATCTAATCAGTGTGCTCGGCTCAACGGACTGGCCAGCGGCAGAATTGCTCCTTCGTATAATGGCATCTCACATGGTCGGTATAGCAGACCTGGACAAGAGCCCTGCCACGGCGAAAAGCATGGCGCTTGAGCTCCTAGGCTGGATGGGCTCTGCTATTTCCGATCTTATTGCGACAGCACAGCATCTACTCCCAGCCATGGAAGAATCCGGTAGCGATCTTACGGATCACCTGAGACAACTGTTTGATGACTATTCGAGCCGTGCTCTGCATCCTCAAGATCTGGTTGTTCCCGAAGGGCCGTACCGCATGACTCTAGAGTACTTCCTCCAGGATCGCAGCATCGATAATTGGCAACTGAGTAGCGCTCGAGGTTATTACCTAGCACAATGGGCGAAAACTTTTTGTTCCGTCTATTATAATCCAGAAGACAGGCAAGAGGCCGCCTACGATGATACGGCGGAAGATTTGGTCGATATTCTTGCAAAGCTCTTCTCTGACCCAACGTGGTTGGAGACTCATAGGTGAGGACACCGTCCCCTTCCTATTCTCCTGTGCATTAATTCTAATCTGTCCTCGTAGGCGTTTTGACAAGATCTCCACCGCACATGGACGATTCGCGTACATCCTGACAGTTCTGAACTCCAGCTTTTGCAAAGCTTTTGACACCATTCTGAAAGTCTTGCTCAACTCGATTGCAAGTGACCAAGCCAAAGTACGCAGTCGCAGTTTGAAGAGTGTCATCTACATGCTTGAGAAGGATCCCAGCCTTCTTGACCGAGATGCATCAGTCATGCGTGTCATTCTACGATGTGCAACAGATGCTTCACCCATGGTGCGAGACTCAGCGCTGTCGCTGATCGCAAAATGTATCGTTTTGAAACCTAAGCTCGAAGAAGAAGGGTGTCGCAGTATCCTTACCTGTGCTGCTGATCCAACAGCCGGTGTACGGAAACGATGCATTGGCTTACTCAAAGATATCTATCTCAAGACTTCGCGAACCGAGTTAAAGCTAGCAATCTTGGATAGCTTCCTCCAGCGGTCTGGGGATCTCGAAGAGAGTGTATCCTCGCTGGCACGCCAGACCATCGAAGAAATCTGGATGGCTCCTTTCTACGAGCTGGTTGATTCCACCCAGGACGTCCCCAAGTTGAAGGTCGGCTTGGGAGAGCAAGTAATTCTGATGGTGAACTTGGTGCAGCGTAGCGAAACGGCGCTTGATACACTCGGCGAAAGTCTGAGGAAACTCCTTGCGGAGAACCTCAAGACATCCGCCTCCAATTATAAGGTGTGCAGAACTATGGTCTCGACAATGTTCGAGAAATTGGTGGAGGACAGCGATTCTTCAGGCAAAGAGTTCCAACAGGCGCTCCTGCAGACAATCACCGTGTTTGCAAAGGCAAATGCTAAGCTTTTTCGCCCTGACCAGTTGGAGACATTACACCCTTACATCGGGCACCTGGCAACTGCAGAAGACCTCTTCTTGTTCCGGTCTGTGGTGGTGATCTACCGATGCGTCTTGCCTTTTCTCTCTTCCGCCCATAACACCTTATTGAAGGAAGTGCAAAACGACCTTTTTAAAAGTGTTGCCAAACTCGCCCGTTCGGAATTGAATGAAGTGATGGCCTGCTTGTGGACAATCAATGGTGTTTTGCATAATACCGACAGACTCGTCAAGCTCACGATCTCGGTGCTGAAGCCAATCCAACACTACAAAAACATCAACTTATCGGACAGCAGCAACGCGGCCGTTTTAGCAAGGGCCAAAAGTTACATTCGCATTGCGGGCTGCGTTGGCCGGCACTGTGACCTTGAGAAATATGAACCGCACTTCAAAAATGCTTTTTCGTCCTGGAACGGCGGGTCGGTTGCTGGTCTGATGGTTGATTCTATCATACCCTTCACACTCGCAAAACAGCCCCTCGAGCTAAGGGTCATGGCTTTGGAAAGCTTAGGTTCTATCTGTCAGTCCTGGCCCGCCCAGTTTTGTCGCGAGGCACCGAGGCAAGTTTTGTCCATGGTTTTCAAGGAGGACAATCCTAGCCTCCAGAATATCGTCCTCAAAGCGTTTGCGGATTTCTTTGCCATGCACGAAGGCAGAGCCGAAAAGTCAGTTCTACCTTCCGCTGAGATCAAGGAACAGGAAAACACAACAAGATTAGGAGGATCGTTGAAAGCCAGTGACAACGATGGCGCTGCAGCATTAATTGCCCAACATTTCCTGAAGAATATGCTCCGTGTTGCACAGTCACGGCAGGACTCGTATGCTCTTACAGCCATTGAGCTGATTGCAAGCATCAACCGTCAGGGTCTCGTCCACCCGAAGGAATGTGCTGGGGTTCTAGTTTCTTTGGAGACGTCGACAGTCCCTGCGATTGCCAAGGTTGCATTTGACACGCACAAGATGCTTCACCAGCAGTACGAATCGATGTTTGAGAGAGAGTACATGCGCGCCGTTCAGGAAGCGTTCTATTATCAACGCGACGTGGTTGGCGATTCCACTGGTGCTCAGAGTCGGCCTTACGTTGCCAAATTAGCACCGCTATTCGAGATCATCAAAATCAGCAACAGCCGCTACCAGAAGAAGTTCCTCGCAAATCTGTGTGGAAAAGTCAATTTTGAACTCAAGGACCTCGATACTACTGGCAGCCCCCCGGAGCACCTTCTGCTTGCGCGTTTCGTGTCGCAAAACCTGGCCTTTTTCGATTATGCGCAGTTTGCGGAACTCGTACCGACTATCGGGTGTATGGAACGGATTGTTTCATCTACCGGCACCATCGTTGCCCATTCCATTGAGACAGAAATTTTCCCTCCCCGGGCAACACCGCCCCCACCGCCTCCTCAGGTAGAAGGGATGCCCATGGCCCCGGTTGGAGCACCAGAAGTGGCGCCTCCCCCACACCCAGTCAGTCCTGGAACACTGCGACATCTGGCAACGGCGGCGGCCGCACTCTCGATGCTTTGGGAGGCGCGGACACACCTCCGCCGACAGTACGGAGTTGCCTCGCATGCTCGAAAGGAGGGCAAGGTCTCGGCCAAAGAACTCAACAAGTCTGCGACGAAGGTCCATGGGATAACTGGAGATAGATTCTGGGACGCTGTATCTCGCAACATGGCGTCGTTGGACAGCGAAGAGAACATGCTGGCCAAGTGTCGGGAATTTGCCACCTTACTTGCTATTGATGATGAATTCAAAGTTGGTGAGGATGAGGATGTCGACGGAGACAGCTTTGATGCAGTGACCGACATGGATGATTCCGGTCTTGTCGGCGGACCGCCACGACCGGCGAAGCGAAAGAACTCTCTGTCCGGGCAGAATCCTCCCAAGAAGCGAGGCAGAAAGCCTGGGCCTGGCAAGAAGAGAGCTAGCACGGAACCCGACGATGAGTCCGACTTCTAGGGTGACGAACAACAACTTCGACCATCATATCGTCCCCGTCTCCCATATATGGTCAGCCCCTTGTATTTTAACTGCTTTCTATTTTCCCTTTCTCCTCATACATAGACGATGTCGCATATGGAACATAGGTTTGGCGTTCGGGGTAAGACATGCTCAATTTTTTGTTCTCTTCTATTCATTTACGAGATCTTGATGTATTGTTGATGCTGGGCACGGGAAGGGATCGGCGATGACTTCATATTTCCATATCTTTTTCTTTTTCTCATATTATCTAATTTTCTGTTTCTTCTCATGATGACTGCGGATGTACTGGTGACTTCTGCCATTTGAAAGAAAACGCAATTCCATTCTTACCGTCCTGTGCACAAGTTCTATCCCAAAAATGCAAAACAACAATTTGCGATGCCAAGCCGGCATGAGGACCGAGCGGGTCCCCCTGGGAGGCTTGACTACATACGTACAGAGAAGGCATGACGTAGCAATCCCGTCTTCGGTGAGAGGAGTGGAAGCTCTTCTTTCGCTCCGAAACAGACTCACTCTCTCCTCCGAGCCTCATCACAGTCGCTCTCTTCCGCACAATCCTCTCTCTATTGTCCTATCTGACCTCTGTTAGTCATTGCCCGTCTTTCACTTCATTTTTCTCCTTTTGCCGTTCCGCATAGCTTAGCCAGAGCTCCTTTCTCGGCGATCTTTTTCGCCCCGTCCCGCTGCACGCGATGAGCGCAGTCCTACTCCGGAGTCGACCGGGCGCTCCAGGATTGAGGAGAATTGGGCTGTTACCATGCCGGCTGTCTCTCTCGAACCCATCGGCATCCATCCGCCTCGCTGGTCCTAGATATCTTTCCGGCTCGACTCGCCGCGGTCCCGGCGCCAAATGCCTCGCTTCACCGACCTTCTTTACCAGCCGGATGTCGGTTCGATATAACTCAACCGCATCCGAATCGTCTGCCGTCAAGCCAAAGTCCAAAGCGCTCAACATCGTGTACAAATCGTTTGCAGCATGCGGTTTCTTCATTGTCATGAGCGGCGCCGCGGTGCTGGCCTTTTTCATCTACGATGCGACCACATACAAGGAACATCTCACCGCGCAAGATATCCCTGTCTCGGAATTGGCGCTGAACCCCAGACGTGGTGGGCCCAAGAACCTGCCTATCGCGGAGATTCTGGTGGATGACAACGACTCGGACACGATGGAAGAACAGAAGGACAAACCCCGACTGGTAGTCTTGGGTACTGGCTGGGGAAGCATCGCGCTTCTGAAAAACCTCAACCCCGGCGACTATCATGTCACGGTCGTCTCTCCCACCAATTATTTTTTGTTCACTCCAATGCTCCCCTCCGCGACTGTCGGTACACTGGGACTGCGATCACTTGTTGAACCGGTGCGGCGTATCGTCCAGCGGGTCCACGGCCACTTCCTCAAGGGCGAGGCTGTTGATGTCGAGTTCTCAGAGAAAATGGTTGAAATTGCTGGATTGGATGCAAATGGCAATCTGCAGCACTTTTATCTCCCGTACGACAAGTTGGTTATCGGTGTTGGTATGGAATATGTTAAATTCGCCGATTTGGTGGGCCTCTCACTAACAATGTCCATTTGTAGGTTGCGTAACAAATCCCCACGGTGTGAAAGGCTTGGAATATTGCCATTTCCTGAAGACAATCGATGATGCCCGCCGAATCAAGAACCAAGTCTTGGAGAACATGGAGTTGGCATGTCTGCCTACCACTACTGACGAGGAGCGGCGACGTTTGCTATCATTTGTTGTCTGCGGTGGTGGTCCGACTGGTGTTGAATTCGCGGCCGAGCTTTTCGATATGCTCAACGAAGATCTGCTTCACTCCTTCCCCAAGATCTTGCGCAACGAGATCTCTGTCCACATCATCCAGAGCCGAACCCACATCCTTAACACCTACGACGAGGCTCTATCGAAGTACGCCGAAGTAGGTCATTCCGCCTTATCCCTGGCCTGTTATACACCGTCACTGACAAGTACAGGCCCGGTTTGCTAGGGACCACGTCGACGTCTTGACGAATGCACGGGTGAAGGAAGTCCGCGATGACAAGGTCATCTTTACACAGCAAGAGGATGGAAAGACGGTAACGAAGGAGATCCCAATGGGCTTCTGCTTGTGGTCCACCGGTGTCGGTAAGTCTGTTCTCTTCTCTCTCCCTTACCCACGCGGTTCACCAGGACCTGACCGTTGCCACAGCGCGCGCCGATCTGTGCAAGAAGCTTTCCGACAAGCTGGATGCGCAAAACAACAAGCATGCACTTGAGACGGACTCCCACCTGCGTCTGATTGGCGCCCCTCTTGGTGACGTCTATGCTATCGGCGATTGCTCAACCGTCCAAAACAATGTAGCGGATCACATCGTATCGTTCTTACGCACAATCGCCTGGGAGAGAGGTAAAGACCCGGAGAAGCTCCATCTCACCTTCCGCGAATGGAGAGACGTCGCCTCCCGAGTGAAGAAGCGCTTCCCCCAGGCATCTAACCACCTGCGCCGTCTCGACAAGCTGTTCGAACAGTACGACAAGGACCAATCTGGCACTCTCGACTTCGGCGAACTCTCCGAACTGCTCCACCAGATCGACACAAAACTCACATCCCTACCTGCTACTGCCCAGCGTGCCAACCAGCAGGGAGAATACCTCGGTCGTAAGCTGACGAAGATCGCTGCCGCACTCCCCGGCCTGCGAGCCAATGAGATCGACCATGGTGATCTCGACGAGGCCGTTTACAAGGCATTCAAATATAAGCATCTCGGAAGTCTCGCCTACATCAGCAATGCGGCGGTCTTCGACTTTGGCGGTCTCAACTTCAGCGGCGGCCTGCTCGCTATGTATCTCTGGCGGAGTGTGTACTTCACCGAGAGTGTCAGCTTCCGCACTCGGTGTATGCTTGCCATGGATTGGGCTAAGAGAGCCCTTTTTGGCAGAGGTATGTCTCTCCAATACAGTAACTCCCACGGACATATACTAACTGTTGGTGTATAGATCTCATGAGTTTCTAGTTGCAGTGCATCGTACTGCCTGCAAGATCTAGATGGTTTGGTCTATTGTGTGTTGATTCCATACATGTGTCTGTTTATTATACATACTATGTTTATTTACCTTGTTTTTGGTAGCATGAATATTATACCAGGTGTGGTCATGATTGACACGATCGGTATTCTTTCGAGCCTGTAGCAACAGAGCCGCAGCTGCTCAAGTATTATATATATTCTACGGGCAATCGATGTGGACAATATTGACTGATATATTTCTTGCAGTCTGAGTGGTATCCCATAGTAATAGCTATAATAGCTCCATTGACAGAAGCTGCCACCATGCGAAAAGATAATATGCGCCAAAACACCACGCTAGAGCCGAACAAAGCCTCTGCAGCCTTTCCATGCGGCCATGCTTCAAATTATGCGGATCGAACGGGACCAGACGTCACAGATAGGCCCGCCATCACGAGATCATCGGATCCACGTCATCGTTATTCATCATTACAGTGTCGTTAGAGCCATTCTGGCTGGCGCCGGCGTCCTTGCTATTGTTGTTACCATCGGAGAGACCAAGATCCAGCTTGTCCGGGATGTCCTTCTTAGCTTCGCGAGCTTTCTGTTCTGCCCAGGCGCGCAGCTTGACTAAATTGCGCAGACGGGCCTCTTTACGAGCGCCCTGGGAATGCAAAATGGCCTCGTTGACCCTGGTGGCTATGTCTTTACGCAGGTCTGGGTGTAGAAGGGGAGCTAAGGACGGGGTTAGGTTTTCAGTCGGGAAGATGAGGAGAGCGAGCGTGCGCTCCAGATCCTCGAGAAATTGAGGGTTCGTAGGAGCTCGTGGCGCGAGTTGCGAGGTTGCAAACTCCAGGGCCGGGCTGATGTCTCCATCGGGGCTACTAGAGCACGAGCGGATCAACTCCACCAGTTGCAGGCGCAGGAGCGCGAAGTGCAAGGAAGGATTCTCATCCAGGATCTAGACCGGTTTGACAGTCAGCACGATGTTGGGAGACGATGTGAGTCAATAGAAGAAGAAAAATCGTTTGTTTGTTGTTGCTGATCATATTGAAATTGGTGATGTTTGTTTATCCTCAAACACTCCGAAGAGAGTGTTAAGAGTGGTGCATGAAACTTGATTTAATCCTAGCAAAGGGCAGGGAAGGTGCGAGGTGGAAGAAAAAAAATCCCTTACCTGTGGGTTGAGTTCGTTGATTTTTTCAATCGCCGTCTGGATATCACCCGAATGGATGGCGGTCCGGATCTCTACTCGTTCCTGGATAGATTCCATATCTGCCTTCGGCTGGATGTTGGCCTCCAACGCAAATTTCTTCGCTGCGGCTGGGTAGCCGTTGGTGATGAGGTAATCCATGACTAGATAGTTGATATCACTTGACAAGAAGTTAGCAGCTGTCAAACAGCAGAAATGACAGGGTAAACTTCGAACGTAAGGCAAGGCGAGGGATCAGAAAGACAAGTTAATGTGTTCTCTTCAAGTGTTTTCAGAGAGATTCCCAACTTGATAATCAAGATACATCATTGGACGCGGGAGCAGATGAGGGGGAAAAAAAAAAGAGACGGTGTAAACTTACGTCTTGGACGGCTTCACCTCGTCGACCTTGCGCTCGAACTGGTGCCATGTTGGAGTTGTTGTGGAAGAAGAGGGAGACATCTGTTTCCCGTTAAAACCAAGCAACCATGCGCGCGTAGCACATTGGGAGGCATACGTAATTAGCGGAAGACATGGTTTCAATGGAACTGGAAGCTGGGAAACGTCCGGATGGTTACGTTCCCTGAAAGTGATGAGCTGGCCGTCTGGGAAGATGGTGAGCTTCGCCGACGGGAGCCATGAGGATGCTGCAGAGAAAGAGGAAGAAGAAAGAGAAAGCAGGAAACGCAGCGGGTTTTGATGACTACGGGCAGCCTAACTCGAAACAGACTTAGCGGCAGCCGCAAGCGAAAGTCACGGGCTGAGGCTAATCCCGATTGGGTACCGGCGGGAGCTGCAGTCGAGATAAGCACGTGAGCCCGCCGCCTGGAACATTTGGCGGCGGTTTGAAGCTTGAAGCTGCTAAACCAAGCTCCCCACGTTCGGCTGCGATCCCTTATCGTGGGTGTCTCATCGCTCCGTGTGTGCTATGAACGATCTCGCCTGCATTATTAACCTCGGCTGGTCATCCCCTCGGTGAGATTTCAACACCATGGAGTCGATGTCACCCGTATACTCGGCGCCAACAGCGGCGGAGAGCAGCTATTCCCCGCCATGGGCCGATCTGAGTATCATCGGTATTGCTGGGAGCTCCGGCTCTGGCAAGACATCGGTAGCCATGGAGATTGTGAAGTCGCTGAATCTGCCGTGGGTGGTGATTCTTGTTATGGTATGTATTTCTCGACTATGCATACGCGCACAATGGCTTCATCTTCTGACTCGGCATTACATAGGATTCATTTTACAAAAGCTTGTCCCCAGAAGAGCATGCCAGAGCCCACCAAAATGAATTCGACTTTGACTGTCCGGACGCCTTGGACTTTGATGCCCTAGTGCAGACGCTGAGAGACCTAAAGCAAGGGTAAACAGATGGTTACACGATCAATCAACCAACCATGCGAAGCTAATCCTGTTGCATATTAAAGAAAGAAGGCAAACATTCCTGTTTACTCTTTCGCTCACCACCAGCGTCAACCACAAACCACCACTCTTTACTCGCCTCGGGTTTTGATCTTGGAAGGTATCTTGGCTTTGCATGATCCGAGAGTAGTGGAGCTCTTGGATGTGAAGGTACGAGTCTTTTGACTTGATCAGCCGCCGCTTAGAACACTCACACATTACCCTAGATCTTTGTCGAAGCCGATATGGACGTTTGCCTCGGACGCAGAAGTTGGTGATCCATTCATCTCGGGCCCTAGACGATGTGTTCACTGACCTGACGATCCCTAGTTTTGCGCGATGTCCGCGAGCGAGGACGAGACATTGAAGGCATCATCAAACAATGGTTTGCTTATGTCAAGCCTTCGTATAGGAAGTTTGTGGAACCCCAGAGGGCTGACTCTGGTGAGTAACCATTTGCATCTAGATCTTTTTCCATTCTCACACCTGCTACAGATATTATCATTCCTCGCGGAATCGAAAACAAGACGGCCATTGGTAGGAGCTTTACCTGTCGAAAATCTATGTTCGCTGTCAACTGACTTCCTAGACATGGTTGTGAAACATATTCAACGCAAATTGGACGAGAAATCAGAGAAGCACAGTGAGGACCTGCGCAAGCTCGGCCTGATTGCCTCGGAACTGCAACTATCATCCAATGTCATCGTGTTGCCTCAAACCCCACAGTTCGTCGGCATCAATACGATCCTCCAGAACCCAGAGACCGAGCAAGTAGACTTCGTGTTCTACTTTGACAGACTTGCTTCTATGCTAATCGAAAGGTGAGTCGAGTCTCATTCGGAACTTTTTTTTTTTTTTTTTTTTTTTTTTTTTTTCACTATGCTTACTAGCGACTCTTCGTGTCTCAGAGCATTAGACATGACCAAATACCTCTCCGCGGTTGTAGAAACGCCACAGGGAACTTCGTTCAACGGACTGCACCCTTCAGGCATTATGTCCGCCGTAGCAATCTTGCGAGGCGGATCTTGTCTCGAAACCGCTCTTAAGCGGACCATTCCTGATTGCATAACTGGTCGCATGCTTATCCAAACTAACGAGCGGAACGAAGAGCCTGAGCTGCATTATCTGAAGCTGCCTGGAGGTATTGAAGAGCATAGCATGGTTATGCTACTGGATCCCCAGATGTCCAGCGGAGGCGCCGCCCTAATGGCGGTCCGCGTCTTGATCGACCATGGAGTGGAAGAGAGTAAGATCGTCTTCGTTACGTGCGCGGCGGGCAAGATAGGCTTGAAACGATTGGCGACCGTGTATCCTGAGCTCACAGTGATTGTGGGACGAATTGAAGAGGAGCGGGAGCCGCGATGGATGGAGAAGCGGTATTTTGGCTGCTGATGGGCATGTTGCTTGGAAGCCGCCAACCTCCATATGCATGTGTATATACGTAGTTTCTACATATCGCAAGGAAATACTACAACAATACTACAGAGCCTTGGATATGATCTCCCGAAAGAGGAGCGCACGGACCACTCGAGCAGTCCGGCAGCGAAGAATCTTTGGTTCCGCCGCCGAGAAAATTCCCTTATCGCGATCGCAATCAGTAACGCTCCCCAAAAAGTTTTAATCCTTTCCTAACCTCTTCGATCCTCCTCCCATCCCCCTCAATCCTTTTATCCGACACATCTCTCATATATCCTCTGTGCTTGTGGACTCTGCCACAATGCCAGACCACAAGAAAGGCAGAAAGAGCGGCAGCTCCAAGAAGGACGCTGGCCCTGTCATCAGTACCGTCTCCCCAAACCTCCACCCATCGTGGTGAATCACTGCTGCTAACACTCATTTACCAGCCGATCCTCGATTCGCAAACATCCAAACCGATCCTCGCTACCGCCTCCCCAGTAAACGGCACACCCACGTGAAACTGGACAAGCGATTCGCCCATCTCTTGAGCGACAAGGATTTCTCTCGCAACGCGGCAGTGGACCGCTACGGACGCAAGCTCGCCCGCGACGACACGAAAAAGCAACTGGAGCGATTCTACCAATTGGAGGAGGACGAACAAGGAGACGATGTCAGCGTCGATGACGACGAGGAGGTGTTGAAGGAGCTGAGAAAGGCCGATGCTCGGCCGTACGACCCTGCGCGAGACGGCGGGTTTTCGTCTTCCTCGTCAGAGGAGGAAAGCTCCGACGAAGAGGAGGATGAGGACGAGGATGAGGAATTTGCTGGGGCGGGCGAGGAACTCCAGTTCCCGGATAAACAGCAGCTAGATGTACCGACTGGCGATGTGACCTCTCGCATTGCCGTGGTTAATCTCGACTGGGACAACATCCGCGCGGAGGACCTGCTGGCAGTCTTTTCGAGTTTTGTGCCGGCCGGTGGCAAGGTGCTGAAAGTGTCGGTCTACCCGAGTGAGTTCGGCAAGGAGCGCATGGAGCGGGAGGAGGTCGAGGGACCTCCGAAGGAGATCTTTGCGTCTACCAAGGGGGATGATGAGCCCAGTGACGAGGATGACGAGGTGGATTCTGATGAGGAGGAAGAGAAGATCAAGCAGTCGATGCTGCAGGAAGACAAGGGCGAGGAGTTCAACTCGACACAGCTACGAAAGTATCAGTTGGAGCGTCTACGTTACTTCTACGCCATCCTCACCTTCTCGTCCAAGGACGTCGCCAAACACGTCTACGATCTTGTGGATGGAGCGGAGTATCTCTCGAGCGCGAACTTTTTCGACCTTCGCTTTGTCCCCGACGAGACGGATTTCTCGGAGGACAAGCCCCGCGACGAGTGTGAACGGATTCCGGACGGCTACCAGCCTAACGACTTCGTGACCGACGCCCTGCAGCATAGCAAGGTCAAGCTGACCTGGGACATGGAGGACAAGTCGCGCAAGGAGGCCCAAGCCCGGGCCTTCCGCGGCAGTCGGAAGGAGATTGACGAAAACGACCTGAAGGCTTATCTTGCCAGTGATAGCTCCGATGACGAGGATGACGAGGAGGCCGTCGAAGTGGTGGATACTACGAAAGAAGGAGAATCTAAATCCAAGGTTTCCAAGAAAGAGGAGGAGAGGCAGCGCATGCGTGCTCTTCTCGGACTCAGCGCAGAGCCGTCCCACACCAAGTCCGACGGCCCTGTCGGGGAGATGGAGGTGACCTTCACGTCTGGTCTTGCGGGAGGCCCCCAGCGCGACAGTATCTTTGAGAACGAGCCCCAGATCGAAGAAACGACGATCGAGAAATACATTCGCAAGGAACGTGAGAGAAAGAAGCGGAGAAAGGAGAAGCTGAAGGCGGCCAAACGAGGTGAGCCTTTGGCTGAAGGTGAGACGAAGGATGAAGAGGAGTCTGGAGACGAACAGAAGGCGCCTGAAGAGGAAGATCTGGGCTTTGATGATCCTTTCTTCGACGATCCTAGCGGCAAGGAATCCGCTGCAGCTCGGCGCAAGGAGGAGAAGCGCAAGAAGCGTGAAGAACGTGCAGCGGAAGAGGCCGCGGAAGCAGCCAAGCGGGCCGAACTCGAGCTGCTGATGGTGGATGACGACAAGTCGGGCGTGAAGCATTTCGACATGACCGAAATCGAGAAGGCCGAGAAACAAGCCCGGAAGAAGAAGGGCAAGGGCAAAGGCAAACAAGTGGAGGTCCAGGACAATTTCCAGATGGACGTTAGCGATCCTCGATTCAGTCGGTTGTTCGAGAGTCACGAATTCGCGATCGACCCGACCAATCCTCGATTCAAGGCGACCAGCGGAATGAAGGCCCTGCTAGAGGAAGGTCGTAAGCGCCGTCGGGACCGGACTGATCGGGATGATGAGGCGGAAACGAAACCCGAGGATCGCAAGAAGAAGCAAAAGAAGCAGAAAAAGGAGGCTGGCGGGGATGCGGACGAGTTGAAGAAGTTGGTGGCCAAGGTGAAGCAGAAAACGCAACAGAAGTAGATACCATGTGTTTTTAATATATTGATTGCATGAAGTTGTATTGTCCAGACTGCATTGTTTGTTGATTTCGTACATAGTCCCTGTATACCATAATGGATTGTACTCTGTGCGCCATGAGACAGACTCTGCATGTGCCAGCCAGTTGTCAGTCCCATCGGGGAGAAGGCCATGCAAGATGAGGTGGTGGTGACACCCTGACATGCATGAGGTTGTGCCAATGAAGGCGGCGATCGCCCAAATGAGGCTGAGATCATGTGCCCACCTGCCCTTCACCGCCCTTTTAGTTGCCGGCTCCGGCTCCGGCTTTCTTCCTCGTGGTGATGCTTCCACTCTCCCACTTCTCTCCCTTTCTCTTCCTCCACCTCTTCCCACCCTTCTGCATTCTCTCTGGTGGGACGCTCTCTACGGTGGAGACTCTTTTGCATTTCTCGGTCTGTTAGTCCCGTCCAGACTGCGGTGCCCCTCAATTGTCCCGTGAACCCCTCCATTCTGTCTCTCTTGGTGTGTTCACACGAGGGACAAACATTGACTTTCTACGCTCAACACCACCGAATCCCGCCGTCATCTATTCGATCATGGTTATCCTGACACGAGTTTGAATAATGGGGAACTACAGCTCAGTCTAGGGTTCCTGTCTGACTGTTCACGTCCTGTTCTCTATCTTTCGCCATCCTCGTATTCCTCTTGTTTTCGTGTGAACAACCCCTCTTCCCTGCCTCACTCCAACGAATTCGTTCACACCGGTCACCATGTTAGGCCGTTTGTTGAGCACAGCTGCTTCAACACTAAATCCAGCTGCCTATTCTGGCAAGACCGCTCACCAGTTAGAATCTGTCACCGAAGAAGAACATACATCCGGCCTGCTGTTCCCGGATGCCAGCCTCCTCCGTCGATCGAATACCCATGCTTATCCGCTGCACACAACTTTCAATTCCCCGAATGCCTCGACTGCTGGTGCCTATGATGATCGAGGAGGGGTGGAACTGGATGCCTCCAAGGACTTTCGTGTGATCATTGCGCAGAATGCGCTTGGAGATCGAGATGCTTGTATCTTGCTGGATACTCGGGCTTCATCCCCGGATTCCTCCCCCCATGGTCTTGGCCTCGAACCGCAGGTGTTCGAAAACTCCGGCGCAAGACATGCCCGGACCGTGTCAACCCTGACCAGAGGACCACGGCGAGGATACCTGTCTCAATCCTCAGCCGCCGAGCCGAGCCCTCTCTCGATTGCCGCAGACGCCCGGAGGTCCCCCCCGATATCCTCTGGAGCGTTTGTGCGCGCCCGTGGTCGCAGCTCTACCTTTGCACCTATGGGTGGTTCTCATGAGGGCGGCCAGTCGCGCCACACTGCAGATTCCAACGACACTGGATTGTTGAACTGTATTTTCGGAAGTAGTGCCTTCAGCTATCGGGGGTCCTCAACTAAGATGCACATCATTTCCGCGGACGATGAGCCCAGCAGAACAGGCAGCGCTACCCCTTCCACACGCCAGTCTCTTTCCCGAGCGTATACAACTGGAAGCCCATCAGGCGGCGCGCCGACGAATCGTGGCCCAGACTCGAAGCCGCCTTCCAAAGTCACTGTGCTTTTGACAAGGATGTTCAGTGTCAATCTTCCAGAGGCGGGTGAAAACTCTCCAGACCGATACGACGCTTCATCAATCTACCAAGAGTCGCTTCCTGAATCTGGGTTTCCCTTTCCAGATGTCACAAAACGGAAGAAGATCAAGGAGAAAAAGACACCGATGTACGCAGTGGCAATTACGATCCAGATCCCGTTACTGGGGCGTAATTCTGGACGGCCAGTCTCTCGATTCAGTACCCAAGGCTCGGACTCTCCAAGACCAGGCATGTCCTGCTCGCTTGATTCAGATTACCGTTGGCGCGCCGGGTTTCTAGATGACAGTCTGTCCGTGGCATCCCCACCGGCCAGCTTGGATGAGCGTATCGACTTGTTGGTTGATCACTGGGACGTGATCAACCGTACACTCTCTCATCTGGAAAGACTTTCTAGAAAGGAGATCCTTTTCCTCCTGAAAAAGGTTGATTCATCAGGGATACATCCAAAACCCGCCAAACCCCCGAACATGCAACGTACGAACCAGACGATCGTTCATCTTCCAGCCAACATACTTTCTGTGAACTCCAAGCTCAAGGAAGAGGCTGTTCGCAGCACTCGACGTATCAGCACGGCTCTTCAAACCCCATACGTCGTGACAGGACAGAGTCGATGGGGTGTCTGGAGGGAAGAAGGTCGCTCCATTGTTCGCAATATTGGCGACAAGGAGCATAGCTTCTTCTTCCTGGTGTTGATCACTGCATTCTTGGGCAACCATACAGAATGGCTTAATGCACTGGGCCCAGAATGGTACCGCCGGCGGCATTATCTGCAACAAAAGGCGCAGCAGCAGGAGTCCGATCCCATCCTTGCCCACCGTACCGTCATCATCTCTCCGGATAAGATGACTGCCCGGCGGCTCATCTTTCTGTTGTCTGCTTTCCTCCCACCGAAACAACGCTTCGAGCCACTCCCGTCCCCCCTTCGTCCCGGCACCTCGGCGTCTACCCGTGCTGTCTCGCAGAGTCCGCCTAATGTACCCGTCCTGCGCCAGGAATCTCTGCGACGAGCAATTGAACGGCGGTCCCGTGCCCAACGGTTGACTCTCGCCGACAGGGATCAACACCACCGATCCGTGAGCGTTTCGTCCAGCGAAACGGCTCATCGTTCCACGGATGATGTTGACCCTCTCCTCGCATCGGAATTTGCCATCAATAGGAGAGGATCAGATGCTCGCTCCATCCGGACGCTTGGTATTCCCATAAATGCGAAGGATACTCGCAATAAGAACACCAGCATGGCAACCACGTCTACAGCTACTCCTGGCAGCACTGTGCCGGTTCCTCATTTTGCTTCCCAACGTCGACTAGAGAGGGAGAGTTCCGATCCGTCTGTGCCCGAGGGAAACGACAGCCTAGCATCCGAGAACCTGCTTAAAAACCTCCAAAGGAGTGAGAGTTCTCTGCTAAGCGGGAATAGCAGTGTTCCTTCTGCCAGTGGTCGATGGGGTAGTCTGTTCTCGGGCCTTTGGAGCTCCCGTCAGGAGACTTCTTCCACTGGCAGCGAGGTGGTCTCGCCGGCAGAAGCCCGTCGACGTTCAGTGTCTGTATACCAAAATTCACCAAAGCGTGGCCCCCCTACTTTGAGCCAGATGGTCAAAGAGGTTTCTGCAGTAGAACCTGAAGACGATCCTAAAACCACCACAAGTGGGAACATCTCCATCCCGAACGCGGCGAATGCCCCGCGTGATGAAGATGCACAGGATCTTTCTTTATCAACCTGCCATACAAGGGAATCGTCTCTGAAATTGTCGGTGCGGGGAGACGACGGAATTGTGGATGTGGACCTTCCACTACCTGGTTTCGTTTCCTTGTCTTCCTCGACTGAATCGACTATGGCGTCTCCCAAAAAGACACGAACTTCGGTTACTAGCGTCGATGCTCTGGCATCGACTCATAGCAGCGGATCTGGATTCCACCATGCACCAAAGGAGACTGACGGCCCCAACATCAATGTTGCCGGCTGGCTGAGATATTTCCATGAAGATTTCCTGCTTCAGGCTGTACGGCCGTATCCCTCGCTGGAGGCTGATATCAAACGTGCAATGCAGGCGGAGCCCACTCCCAGTCACGTCTTCTTCCCTGATGCAGACAGCTCGGAGAGGTGGGTAGATGTGGCAACAACTTTGGTCGCGGACGCCAGGACGTGTACGGTGAAACGGTTGCGACTACGGCGTAAAGCTGTCAGTTGGAAGGGACCGGCATCACCATCTATCGCCTCTCAGCCGGGGACTCCTCGTCACATTCCAGCTAGTGAAGGCTCAACGTCTCACATGAACAGCTCCTATTCCCCAGCTGCAGCGCCTGGGAAGATGTCGCCGATTGGCACCCCTGACGAATATGACCCGGAGGAGTATGAGGAGCGAATTGTGGAGGAACCGGTCATGGACTTGGACGGAACGCTGGTGGATGCTCTCGAGCGCGTTCTGGCGCAGAGCGGACCCTCATCGCTCGCTCCCACACGAGCCCCATCTCCATCACGCTCCCGTAAAGGCGACGACAAGCCCGCCCCGGAAGCTGTGGCCCGCGATGACATGCCGCCTCCACTTGAGGTTCCTCGCACTGAATGTCGGAAACTGGTCCTTGGGGCTCTTGAAGAGGTAGTCCGGAGTGTGACGGCTGAACACTGTCGTGAAGACGTCGATGGGGAGCTTGGCCTCGACAGAGAACGCAAGCGGACGTTGGTTGGCCCCGACAATACCCTCCGAGAAGGGGTTCGCAGATGGCTTCTTGATGTCGAAGAGGCGTGGTAATCTTTCTAGCATCTGCTGACTGTTTGCTTTTGTTTTTACTATGGGAATTTTCCTTTTCGAACCATTGTTCTGCACACCACAGCGTTTGTCTTACGTTGATGCGACTCTGGTGGATAGCGTCTTTTTGTTTCTTGCAAGATCATCATGATACCCACATGTCGTGTTTTAGCCTGTTATTGAGCATAGATGATATGGCCGTCATGTTCTGCTACCTAATTGAAGTTAATGATTTATCTGTGCATATTTGAGCAACTGCCGGTGTAAGACAATGGTGCGTACAGGCGTTGGACATCTTCGAATGGGAGCGTGTCTCAGTGCACAGCAGCTTCAAACACCACGATATAAGTTTCTCCTGACTCTAATGCCCAACCCAGACCACTTTGACTGCTTCATCATCAACAGTCACATTTCCACCATTCGTCCCAACACGGACCACCTTCAGGACTTCACTGGTTTTACTGGGGTCCACGATCTCAACCGAAACCTTCGAACCCAGGCTCCCATTCACCAGCATCTCGAGCCCATCAAGCGCATCATCCTGAGGCGCCTTCAACTTCGGATTGAGCGGGGTGACCGAGCCGGGGCGCACCAGGATCGGCAGCGTATCAAAGCCATGCGTCTCGGTATACCAGCGGCCGGACTCATACGTCTTTGCGTGGTCGAACCACGAGATCCAGCGGCCGTTCGCGTCCTCCGGGGTGCGCGGCACATAAAACGTGACCTCACCGTCCTCCGCGAACACCGGCGCGACGAGCAGATTGCTGCCGAACATGTACTGCGTGTCGAGCGGGTACGTGGTCAGGTCGTCCGGGAACTCGAGGAACATGGGGCGCATGAGCGGGGTGCCATCGCGGTGGCCGACCAGGGCCTCCAGCAGGAGGTACGGGGTGAGGACGATCTTGCGCTTGACGCAGTCGCGGAGCACATCGCAGCAGTCCTCGCCGTAGATCCAGGGCACGCGGAACGAAGACGACCCGTGCAGGCGCGAGTGCGAGGAGAGCAGGCCAAACTGCACCCAGCGCTTGTAGAGGGCGGGCGGCGGCGTGCCTTCGAAGCCGCCGATGTCGGACGCCCAGAAGATGTACCCCGAGAGCATGAGGCTGAGCCCGCCGCGCAGCGACTCGGCCATCGCTTCGTAGGTGCTCTCGCAGTCGCCGCCCCAGTGCACGGGGAAGGCCTGTCCGCCGGGGGCGGTGCTGCGCGCGAAGAGCAGGCTCTGCGACTCGCCGTAGCGCGAGATCATGGTTTCGTAGACGATGCGGTTGTAAAGGAGGGCGTAGTAGTTGTGCATGCGCGTCGGGTCGGACCCGTCGTGGTACTGGACGTTCCTGTAGGGGATGCGCTCGGCGAAGTCGGTTTTGAAGGTGTCGACGCCCATGTCCATCAGACGGCGGAGGTGTGCCGAGTACCAGGCGCTGGCCTCGGGGTTTGTGAAGTCGACCACGGCCATGCCGGCCTGCCAGTAGTCCCACTGCCAGACGGAGCCGTCGGTGCGCTGCGAACTTCTGAGTGATTGCTGCTAGCCGAGAGTGAAGGGTGCGTAGCGTACCTTGATGAAGTAACCGTTCTTCTTGCCCTCTTCAAACAACGGAGAAGCCTGGCCGACGTACGGGTTGATCCACACGCTGATCTTGAGCCCGCGCTCTTTCAGGCGTTTCATATACCCCGTCGCATCCGGGAACATCTCCGAATCGAACTCGAAATCGCACCACTGGTACGACTTCATCCAGAAGCAATCGAAGTGGAAGACGCCGAGAGGGAGATCGCGATCCCGGAAACCGTCGAGGAAGCCGGTGACAGTTTGCTCGTCGTAGTTCGTTGTGAAACCTGAAGAGCACCAAAGTCAGCATGTAGCACATGGAAGAACCAGGGCTGGGCACGCACTCGTCGTAAGCCACAGATTGTAACTCCACGCAGGGACCAGGCTGGGCCGGCCCGTCAAAGCCGTGTATCTGCGCAGGATCTCCTTGGGCGTCTTGCCATAGACGACGAAATACTCCAATTCCTCGCCGGCAATCGAGATATTCACCCGGGTGGTCCGCTCCGACTGCAGCTCCAGACTGACCTTGCCTGGGTTGTTGACGAAAACCCCGTACCCCTTGGAGCTGACGAAGAAGGGGATGTTCTTGTATGCCAGCTCCGAGGACGTCCCGCCGTCCTCGTTCCAGATATCGACGGTCTGGCCGTTCTTGACGAAGGGGCCGAACCGCTCGCCGAGACCATACAGCTTCTCGCCGACGCCGATGTCCAGAGCGGCGAGCATGTATCCCTGTCGCTCGAAGAAAATGCCATCGTCCCAGCGGGATTTTTCCGTGGTCTGGTCCCCGACGTATCCGATCGACCGCCAGGAGTGGCCCGTCAGCTTTCCCTTTGCGTCGGAAAAGACAAAGTCCATCTCATTGGGAGCGGTGTTGACGGTCAGATCTAACGGACCGCTGCCATAGCTGAGCTTTTCGTTCTTGGCATGGCTGATGTTGGTATGGCCCGTTGAGGTCGCAAGCATGTAGTGCGGCCCTTTATCCACTTGGCCCGCCCTGATGCGCGAGACTGATCAGCGCCTGAAGCTCCTAATGCTCGATGGGCGCCTACCAATGGACCAATTTGACCCCGATGATTCCCTCCAACGGCGAGGTAACACGCGCAGACACGGTCGCTGGCAGAATTCTACTCAGTCAAGCCCCCAAGTAGGTAGAGCCAGAAGCGTCTTACCAGAATTCAGGGTATCACCGCGATGCCGCTGGAATTTGTTCAGCAAGATATCGACCGTTTCATCTTTGATGCTCAATCTTTCCACATTGCTCATCCAGTCCACCCGAATGCCTTCCTATAAATTTATCAGTATGTTGCTCCCGACGTGAGATGCAGGATCGCCTACCCTCAGGCGCCACATTCCTTCTGTAAACTTCATCTTGGAGATCTGGAGCTTGGCAGAAGCTCAATTCCTACCGAATGGATTTAAGGGAGACTGGCAATTCACCTAAAAAGAGCCCCGTTTAGGAGATGTCCGTTCACAAAGAGTACGGGAATCGCTTTATCCCTAGTTCAGAACCAGGCCATACTTGTGTTCCTGGTCATCATGCTGCGGGGAGGCCATATCTGACGCCCTTGAATTCCCCATTCGCCAAGGGCCAGACTCCGTGTTGACAATTCCCACTGACATGGCTTCCCCTCAATTGTCTGATAAGACAAGATGCAGCGGGGGCGGGGCGATTCGTGGGGGTCGGCAGTAGGAAAAGACGAAGTCGTGGTATGATTGACGCGGTGGATTCTCCACGAATAAAAGGGTGCAGGCAGACATTCAGCCGGAATGGCTAAATGCAAGCAGTAAGTAGTAGTCTCTTGGCGATGGAATATAGAGGGTGATGCCATCACGTTCATGGTGCATCGTACAGAAACAACATTCCAAAATAATCAGTCCAATTACAGAATAAACGTCATTAGTTTACAATATCTCCTGGCTGCCTGCTTCAGCCCAAGCGAAGTGGCCGCAAACCGCTGCTTAGAGGGCTCGCTCTTGGCCCAGCTCGAGGGCTACCTCTCGGAAGAGCACTATCATCCCGCACCTGCGACCTCAAATCGACCGAAGGGACGGTCGTGGAACCTTGCGGCCCACGAGATGGAAGAATCGGGGGAGGCGAGATATGATGGCTGACCACACTCGCAGGCAATTCGAGCGACGGGATGGACGAGTCCATCAGCGTTGCTGGTGCCGGCCCAACCTTAGTAGACGCCGGACGCGCAAGCGACTCATCATAGAATTGCTCCAGCTTCTCTGCGTCACTGCAGAACTCTACGATTCCACTCAGGATATGCTCCGGTGCACGGTACAAGTTGGCCGAGTCGAGAGGCGGGTGTCCCTGGGGGCTAAGAGGGCTGGCCATATCATGCACAGGGCGAGCCACGGGAGACAGGCGGGGCGACATGCGATCTCCTGGATCGTAGGTAGCCGCCCGTGCGCGGTATTGGTCGGGTCGGTCCATCCGCTCATGCCTGGGAATATCGCGACTAGCAGCGCTCCGTGTACTGACAAGCCGATTGGCAAGAAGGAGAATGTCACCCTCATCGGTAATCTGAGCCAGCAGGCTTCCTGAGCGGTGGATGTATTGCGAATACCGGTAGTCCGGGATTCCCCAGGAGTAGGACACCTCCACATCTGCAGGGAATGCAGATCTAGCCTCAAAATCCAGGACGAAGTCGAACTTGCGCAAGAGCGCTTTTTGGAAGTAGTGCTGGTCCGGCGCCCCTTGTTGCGCAAAGGACACGGGGTTGAAAAATGTGGGAGCGGGAGCTTTGGGAGGAGGCACCTTCAATTGGACCCGATACGGCTTCCGGAAGGGTTGGGTCTGGTCGATAGCACACGCCTCGGCAATGGGGACTTGGACAAGTTTCAGGCCAAACTTTTCGGCCGTCGAAGCCCATGATAGCACAGTGTCTTCGATCAGCTTCGCAGTTGTATTCATCCAGCTGAGCTCAAGATGGAAGCAATTATCAGGATTGTGCAACCGATCATAGTGCAGGTCGACTACTTCAGGTCGGTTCGACCGTTTCCGGGGATCCACGTCATACTTCATGCTCTTCGACAGCATGATGGTGGCTTTGTTCTTGGACTTTGAAGGCGTAGTGGGTGTCTGGACAGGCGTGTCGTCGACGCTATCGGAGCGAGCATGTCCTACCACCGGGGACTCTTTGCTATGATCTCCCGCCGGAGTGGATGGCGTGGACTTTTCGGTCCGAATCTGAGGGAACCAGCTGTTTCTGGACTCCGGGCGTGCCACGCGGTACTCGCTCGAGATCTGATAGAAGTAGTTTCCGTCCCTGAAGTTGTGTCGTTTCTCTACGTGCTGGAACAGACCGTGCTTCATCAATTGGTCGCCAAACTCGACGGCTTCCTCCCGGGTGTCAATGTCACGGAAGTTTTGAAGGAGCCAGGTTGTCAATTCGAAGCCGATGAAACAGTTGTAGTGTAGTCGCCAGTGCCATCTTCTGTCCATCATGCGCACGCCGTTATCGCCTTGGATGATCTGCGCTAGGGAAGACAAGCTGATACTGGAGCGCTCGAGCAATTCTGATTCCGGTAGCAACTGAGCGGGAGAGCTATCCAGTCCCGGATCAGTCAGGAGAATCCGATCAAGCTCCGCAGCGACAACCTCGGACGGGTTTCGCGTTTGGTACATGATATTGAGGGGATTCTGCTCTCTCTTCTTGTTGGAAGTGTCGAATCTCTTTTCCTCTGGAGGCACGTACTTGTGCCGTTGCCATATATGGGTCAGATGATCAATGCCGAGCAGATGGATCTCTTCCTCATTATCTTCATTGAAGGACTGAATATTGCGTCGTAAGTGCATTGGGATCAATACATAACGCACGCGCCAGAACTGCAACTGCTGGGCCGGATTGTAAAGATAGTCGCGATGACCGGCGACATAGTTATCGGCATAGTTCCAGTTGTATTCCTCGGTCGTTGAGTCAAGTTTTATTTCCTTGATCTCGTATACAGGGTTCAAGATGGTCCGCATTGCTGCAGTATATACGGTACATCCATTCGTCCTCTCTGGTGACAGAACAGACGAGCTCCGATGTGTGAAGCGAGTGACTTCGATTTCGGCGCCTTCAACACAGATAAGCCGATGTATGGACTTTCCTTTGGAGAGGAACACAGTGGCACCATCCCGTTCAAGACCTTTAGTGTCGAAGACGTTCGGCGACTGGAGGGAGTACTGGCCGGATACTTCTACCACATTCTTGCCAACGACGATCTGGAAACCATGTGAAAGGCGGAGAGATATCATTTCTCGGAGCAGAACCCCCCGCGTCTTTGGCGCTTCAACCCCTTCAGTGTCGTCATTTGGAAAGACCCGGTACGGTGTCTGGAGGTACTCCGTCGCCAGCTCGGTTGCGGTTGGAAATTCCTCGGTTGTCAAAGGCAGAATGGCAGGCGACTTCAGACTCTTCCATTTGACCACAGCAACATGAGGAGGTCTCGGATAAGCGTGCTGCCAGCGTCCAAACCACGTGGTATCCCGAAGGACCTCTCTTGGGGTGTTGCACGGATTGATCGAGCGAACCCAAGGAGCTAATGCCTTGCTTTGCGGACTCTTGATCTGCCCATCACGAGAACCTGGGTCCATCGTTACCTCAAACTTTGGCCCTCTCTTTCTCAGCTGGGCCGCCGACCGAGTGTCCTCTGTTAATGGGATCTCAGTGGCTGTCGTTGAGAACGACGCCGCAAGGGAACGATTCGGTTGCTCTGGCTCTTCCGGCAATTTCGGCGCCGGCCTGATGGAAATTGGCCTGGAAGGCGTGATCGCAGAGCTCTGCACTGGTTTCTGAGGGGTGCCGGGGGGTTTTGACACTTCAATGACTGTTCTCGTCGACGCACTATCCGACACACTCAATGAATCCACGCTTTTTGAGTCTGGGAACGTGTCTGTAGACGACTTTCCTGTAGCATGCTCCACGTTGACTTCCGTGCTTGCCACCGCCCGAGGAGGAGTGGAGCTCAGACCACGTAGGGCAAAGCTGATAGTCCGTGATATACGCGGTACCTTCGTGGTTGATTTAGTTTTGAGCGCTGGCTTCTTGGGAGAAGCGCTCTTGGCAGAGCTAGGACTTTTTGGCGTCGGGAAGGATGGCTCGACCTTCCTCACTGCAGGGCGAGGACCAGACGTCTCGTGTTGCCTCAGATGGGAGATAGATCGTGCAGAGATGCGGTCATGCGCCCCAGAAACCTGGACATTGGGCTCGCTAGGTCGTTTTTGCTTCGGGGACCTGCGGCGCTGACGCTGCTTGGGAAACGGCTGAAACACTTTCTCGTCATACTTGTCCATCCACGACAATACCGAGTTTGGCGTCTTCTTTGACTTTGCGAGAATCACATCTTTTGGGTTCTCCATGTTCTGAAGAAATGGCTCGGGGCGGAGGCTATCACTCAGCTGGTGTCTGAAGTTGGAGCTGCGCCTCGAGGAAGGCTTTCCAGGAGCAGCCAGACTAGCCGGGCTGAGACTAAGTCCAGGGCTCGGCCCTCTTGAGAGACTCTGTCCCTCTAAAAGGTAAGGAATCGAGATGTTGGACTGCTCGCTTTCCATCACCCCCATCATCTGGATCTCGTACATCCGTACCCGTGGGACGAAGATCTTGGACCGCTTAGTGACCGTGAATGGGATCGGCGCATTCGGGTCGTTCTTCAAAATCCGTCGAGCCTCTCTATATGTGTCAGGATTCCAATAGGATATATCAAGCCAATGCGGAATTCCATAATTCCATTCTTGTGGGCGCGTGGACCAGGAATCTCTGAGGCCTATTCCCGGGAAGGAATCTTGGATAGCGGACTTTGGGGAAAGATGTGGAGTCCGGTTGGCCAGGCTCGCAAAGGAATGCCGCATCTCTGGCGAATAGCCACCGTGTTGGATATCGCCAAACGACGAAGTAGAAGGTCTCCTTGGCGGTTCACGGTATTTGAACAACGGCACAGAGTGGAGAGGCATGGGGCTCAAACAGACTAGGTCGATGGCGATTCCACGATTAGTGAGAGCCTCCGTGGTGGAAGCCAGAGACTCGTATGACACTTCAAAGACTCCACTACCTGGTGTGATGACGATGATCGAGGTGCCCGTATGGACCATGTCACGGTCGATATGGTCGTATGCCAGGTGTGAAGAAGCCAGGTGGATCGCTTCGAGGATATTTCCGCGTAGGGCGGTACTTGGACGTCCTGCAATAACCGCCGGCCGGGCGTTCGGCGCGGACGCCGAGCCATTGGCCTTAGCCACGGGGGCGTCATCGACTTTCAGGGTCGAGACGTCTCTGAGGAATGTTCTGAAATCCTTCTTCAGCTCGTCCAAGATAGTGGTCCAGTGGCCACTGGCCATGTCATTGACGACGACGCGATAGAAGTCCCTCGTCGGGGCATGATTCGAGTTGAAGATGTTCTTTAAACTCTCTGGACTAAGCGTCGACGACATCCCAATTGTGGACGCATCATACTCGACCCGCGTGAACAACACAATCGTGACCAGATGCCTCGCATCAGAGTTCGCCCACCGTTTGAAGAGCTCCGGCAGGAAGCCGTTAATCACTCTGCTAAAGAGGATATCACCGGTGCCCTCCGAGTCGAAATCCCACATCTCCCTCGACATCTGAATAAACAGCACATATTTTGCTGATTCACTGCGGAAGACGGGGATGGTCTGCGGGGAGAAGTAACCCGAGAGGACCTTTTCCCCTCGGATGAAAATGTTCTTCACAGTCGCCTTGATGCTGCCCATAAACACAATCTTCTGGCCCTTGTAGACGATCTTGTCGGCCAATTCAGACATGACGAGTCTCCACATGTCAGAGCGGACGACGTACTGATCGCGAAAGGCGATGTCTACATGGGACGCGGAGCATTGCGCCCGGTCCACGATGGATACGTAGACGGTATCGCGGTTCTTGAAGCCGAAGATATTAGCGATGCTGGTAGTCACCGAGAGCTCCAGCTTGGGATGGCGCGTTTTGATGTCCTGCGGCAAGGGCTTGACGACAAAGAGACACCGGCTTTGCAACGGCGTCTTGAACTTGGACAGGGCGTCCAAATGGAGGGTCGAGCTTGACTTCGCATGACTGTCACGCAACGACTTGGAGCCCAGGTCCGCCTTGAGAGAATGGGCGCCATCGGCCGTATGCCGGGCGTGGAGAATCTCGACGACATCCCCGGCGCTCACTCCGGTATCGCTGAACGCGGTCTGGTTGAACAGGATTTCCTCCCGGGAGAACGTCTCATCGTGGACCCAGAGCGTGCATTGTCGCCTCTCCAGACCGGGAAACGACAGCCGGATGGCTCTCTCATCCGGGGTGGATGGATGGTCACTGGGGGCGTCATGGTGGGAAGCTTCCAGCGAGCGGGAAGTGGAGAGGGAGTCCAAGCTGGCTGCGCTGACCTGCCGGAGGTGCGAGCGCTTCATAGGCCCCCGCAGCGACATTCTCTACAGTCACGAATGCATCTTATGGTCGCAGAGGTTGGATGTAATTCCTCCGATGGACAATGGGAATAGTCGAGTTGCGAGATGCGAGATATCAAGGACTCTTTGCTATATCGAAGCGGGTGGAGTTGGGACGGCCCGTCCGGATGCAGAAGGCGGTCGGCATCCACACACGTGATCCAGAGATATCAAGACGCTGCCTGAGGCAGCCTACATATTGACCTACCATCTGACCGCCTGGGTGCACTACACCAAAGCTTTGGTGTCATTTCTTTATTATTTAGATGGATTTTTTGTAAGGCCAAGAAACGATGGATCGGCATCAACTACTAACTGCCGAACAGGTAGGGCATAGACTCAAGCGGGGCCATTCGAGCCCATCCGAGAGCAAAACAAACAAAAGAAAGCCCTCAAGAATGGGGGAGCAGATCTGGGCCCCGTTATGGAAAGATAAGCAGACGCCGATCTTGCAAGCAAAACAAAACCGATGACGCCAGAGTACATGAACGGTTCACCGAATGGAAGACGGAATTGAGGCCGAGGTGGAAGTGCTCCGACTCTGTGCCACCATGACCATGGCCAGGGAGGAACAGAAGCCAACATGACAGATCAGTGAGGGGGGCAGTTGCCTTTTTTTTCCCAGGTGGGTGACATCCCTCAGAGTGATGGAGTGATGACAAACGCATTTCCCGGTAATTTCGTAATAATGAGGTGACGTCTTTGGAGCAAGCTTGGAAAGGCTCGGGTATCTTGACAGATCTACAGCTGCGGTCCATGAACCGTGGCACGACTTGGGGGTTCAGACTCCAGAGTTTGGTCTGTACCTGCTTACAATAAATAGAATCACCGCCGGTTTATACTACTCGGCTGTGGGCTGGTGATCGACGTGGAATGTACGGAGTGAGATGGTGGTCCAAACTCTTCTTTCGTGTTTAATGTCACTATTGAACTCTTGTGTGCGCGTGGGGCTGTCAGGTCAGGTCACATACCCTCGGGATTTGGGCTGCTCGAGGGTTGTTGGCTAGATCCCTGTTTCTTTTGTGCTAAGGTCGCACTACCGGTGTCCGCTCCCAGTCTGACGTCGTCTCTGCTAATGTCCGGAGTGCCCAGTGTGCTCTCGGTAAATACTACTCGGTTGGGTATCGAGTATCTCTACCTTGTGAAGAGGCCGTGTACAATTCCGCAGGCCGCCCCTGGAGTCAGGGATCCGTCAGAGCATGATTCAGTCTCACACGATTCAGGGATGAGTCGTGCTGCCTGTAACGATTTGGCACAGGGATCTGGTCTTCAACCCGAGCACTTTCTCGGACATACCACACCTTGGAGTGGAATGCATTGGGGAAATACTGGCCATGGTGGAGACGACGACGCCATGATCAAGTATCTCGAGAAGATGTGCCGGAGAACATACCGGAACGGGCGAGAGAGCCTTCACAATCCGATCCCACGGCCCCCCCAACAATTACATACATACCTAGTCGTACGCGCCCAACGGATGTTTTCCAAATATGAGAAGACCCCGCTTCTCCTTTTCCCGTTCCCTTTGCTCGGGTCGTAATCTCTAACTGATCCGGTAGCAGAGCTTCGTCGGCCTTTCAGGCTAGATAAGGAGATTGGGTCCAAACTAGCCTTGTTGTCTCCTTCATGCAAACAATAATTGGCCTTGGTGTCACCCACAAGTCAGGCAAACAGGGATTGATAAGATGCCCAACACCAGAGATACCACAGTACTTTTGGTCGAGAATCTGTCTCAGCACAGACTGTCAGCCTACTCGGCATTTGTCGATGCCGAGTGACTCCCGACATATTACCGTCTACCGTCAGTAATAGATTTCGCCCTTCGAATAGACACGGCGATGATAGGCAAGTCGGATCCTCTGGTCGGAGGCTGTATGGCGGAAAGTACGAGCAGAGAGGATTGTGTGGAACCCACGACCCGGCGTTGTCTGTACTACTCCGTAGACTCCGTACGTACAAGTAGTAGATCAAACCACGACGCATTTCATTGGTGTGCCACATGGTAATGTTTCAACTTGACGATCTGGACCATCAACACTGGGTGATTGGAATCAAGGCAACAAATGGCCCCCGCAAGTGTCCCGCAAGGGCTAAACGAGGGCTAAACGAGGGCAGAGGCATGGTAGACAGAGACAGGCGGCGCGCGGCCTGTCTCCTCGCAGTCAGCAGAAACTACTAGACTCTCACCCTAGAATGAACTTTCCGCTGCCACGGAGCTGACTGCCAGCGAATGAACGCCGCGTGTCCGGTGGATAGCGACCCACCAAGAGGGACGGAAGGAACCGACAGGATACACCCAACTCCAGTCACGAGCGCCAAGTCAAGTATGAGGGATGCGCCTCGTCTCTACACGGCAGTGCGCGGAACCTTTGATGAATGTTGGTAGACTAGTGGAAATTAGGTCCAACGGGTCCCAGCCATGTTCAATGCAATAGAGACCGCTCTATCCCTATATCAGTAAGAGCAATGCATGCGCTGGACCCCCACTCAAATAATAATAACCCGCGGGGGGCCTCGTAAACCTACCTATCATACTGGATCTAGGCTCAAACAAGGGAGATGCGACTTCGGAGCTCTCAGGACCCATCGAATTTCCTCTGGGTCCAGGAAGGTACAGCCTAGCGATGTAGGTAATTGTTCTAGATCATCCAAAATTACTGGGAGGCCGTGATTCGGTGAATAATGAATTTGGGCGACGAGATATAAGACTGAATGAGAAGGGTGGAGCCAGTCTAACGCAGGAGCCTCTTCAACCAACCGTAACATGCTCACATGGGAGATAAAGATCCTATGAAAAGATCATAGGCATGTCACTGGGCGAAAAAAACATGCACATCTGCGCCTGACCAGCAGAACCGGTAATGTACTACTCGGTTGTAAGACCCGGCGGAGGGATCAGATGCCGACTCCTGTCACCCACGACGTCCAAGGAAGTGAGGGTCTCGGGGAGCTCGCATCTTGGTTCAGGATCCGAAGGGCAGTAAAGGCAACTCCATGGAGTTTCTGGTTGAAATCTGAGCAACGTGATAGTGCGTAGAGACCTCCCAAGGGTCGGCCGGACATTGTCCAGGCAAGATGTTCTGGTGAAACCGTGACGAACGGTTTGCAGCACATCGTTAGTTTTTAAAGGTACCCGGGGTTTCGGGATCCAGCTCCATGGTGTTCTGGGCGAGGAGGGCCCTGCACACTTCCAGGGCCCGTTGGAAGGCGGCATCGCTTGTTGATAATCCTGCGAGCCAATGGCCTATCTTGGATAGTTTTTCAAGCAGCTTTCTCTGCTTAACAGACCCATTCTTTGCGAGGAATAGGAGCTCGGTCAAAAGCACCGCGGCAGCTTGCATGAGGTAGTGCAGGACAAACCACCAAGGTGAAACGTGGTACATCCATGAACTGTCGGGCGATGCCGGCAATAGGTCCAGCACCTGGGCAGCCAGGTCAACGCACATGGCAGCCATGATATCACAGAAGCTCCCTGGTGTGTCAGCTCCGGAGCCCTGTCGGGCGAGGCGACTCAGGCATGGCTGAGTGATGAGAATCTTAGCGCTATAAAATAGGAATGCTAGATTGACTCGCTGTCTTTCGAAGGACCGAGGGCCTTGTGTGAAGTGAAAAGCAGCAGGGAGTCTTGTGAGCCAAGCGTCAGCCTTTCCATTTAACATGGCGATTTCTGCCTCCATCTCATGCCACAACTTTTGCGCAGCGCCTGGGGCGTATAGCTTGTCAATAGACTCCCTCATAATCAACCCCAAGTCAACACAATGGAGGAAGTAGAGGGAGATATTTGGTATTAGAGACTTGACAGCGCTGGATGCAACCTGCTCGCCATGTTTTCCGTGGGTAGTGCCAGAGCTTGTCTCGGTAGGGGTGGAGGTCTCTGTTGTTGGGGTCCCTGGCCCCCTCGCAGTCAAGTTGTCCATCAATATGTTTCGAGCTTCGTTATCGGAAATCAACTGAACGACGTTCTCATCGAGGAACTCTTCTTCTTTGAAGGGCACTGGAAGAGGGGTGGTGCAGAATGTATCATCAACGTTGGGCGGGCGTCCTGTTATGACCGAGAGAGAAATATCTAGCAGGTAGATTGACCACCAAACACGATAGCGAGTCTCCTTTGAGGTATGCACAATGGTGCTGCTCTCGTTTCGAAGATTCAACCCCATGGCGACGGCCGATCGTATGCAGATACTGCATATTCTCCAAGAACTGTGGGTAATAACAATTAGGCCTGGTTTCGACAAATACAAGCAAGCAACGTACCGGTTGACCTGTGCAACAGATGCCAGGTAGAAAGACGTTAGGGCTTCCACCTGAACTTGTTGTAAATTGGGGTGGTCTAACAAGGCGACATCACTCATGCTGAGCTTCCATGCTCGTGAAAAATAGACACTGTCATCCTCCGCAGGGTCCTCTGTAGGGGCCTCCATATGTCGCGAATATCGACTGGCAATGGCGAAGACTAAGTTGAGAATGGCGAGCCATCTCCTTCCAGGTCGGACGAACGGTGTGGAGGAGAACGATTTGTATTGTCGCAAAAAGATCACTTTGCCGATAATTGGGAAGGACGGATGCACGAATTGGAAGTAGTTGTCCACGAGCTTATCAGCAACGGCCTGGGGAGGTCGCTGACATGGGTCCACGCTGTCGATAACAGGAATATCCGAGTCATCCAGGAAGAAATTCACCGAGGAGACTGAGGGCCGTTCCGGAGTGCCTCTTGGGATGGCCGAGTTAGTCTGCCTGAGCATACGTTTCAGTCGGTAGAGCCATGCTATCTCGGAATGCTCTCCCACAAAGCCCACTGCCTGGATCCGTTCGTCACGGTTGAAATCCTCGTCAGTATAATCCAGTGCCACGAGCGATGGATCCACGCTCGAGCTAGAGACAAAGGTGGGTTCGAGCGTTCCAGCTCTAGGTGTTGAGGAAGATATCGAAGGTTTTCGATCAGAGTCCTGGTTATTCTCTAGCTTTTGCTGTAGGAAATAATTAGAAGGGAGTCCCTGAAAACAAAAGAAAAGCGGGGGTTGTTTCTCGAAGAACGGCCCAAAAGAGCCCGATTCAAAACGGATAGGGGATGATGACACCCAAGTTCCTTACTTCATTCATAACCTGCTCAACATAAAGTGCAGATTGAGGATCCAGTTTGGGGAGAATTTCTCGCAACAGGGACTGGTAGACCTGGACCTGGTTGGTGAGATCGCTAAGTTGCCTAGTCTCTCCCGTTAGAACTCCAAGATTTTGATGCCGTCGTCAGTTATCGCATCACGCACTTGGCTACTTTCTCTCGTTTCCTGTCTCCGTATGAGCAGGCGATGCCGGCCTCCTGGCATCGCTGACAAGTTGGACGATGGCCGCTACATTTGGCTTTTTGCTCGCGACAGTTTTCACAGGCACGACTGACACGGCCGCTGCTCGTCCAGTTGTTTGGCTGGGCCGACCTGGGAATCGGCACTTTGGAATTCATGGACCGTTCATTGATGTTGACCCCAGAAGTCCCCGAAGGGCTTTCAGGAAAGCCAGCGATCGTCTCGTAATTGAGTTGTGGCCCGAAAAATGGCTGCGAGTACTGGGAGCCAGCCCAGTCGCCAAGAGAAGCGTCATGTTCTCGCGGGTCAGACTGACCTGGGTAAGACGAGTATGGGTAAGGAGGAGGGTGGTTGGGGTCACTCATTATTATTGTCAAGGATGAGAGAACTCGTCCGACCTGCGTCCCTCTTGTTGCTTTCGGTAGTGCGCACAGCCAGAAAAGCGAGAGACTTCCTGGATTGGAAGCGAGTGCTGAGCACAAAAGCAGCCACAAACGCCAACCAACGCAAGGTCTGGCAAGCGCTGTAACATAACAAAAAGATGGTGGAAAGCAGACCCAAAAAGGCGTGGGGACTCTGGGCTGTGGTAGGCTGGAAGCGATAACCGCGTTGTTACTGGCGGGTGGGCGGACATCGGCTGTTGTATCCGACCTAGTAACACCAAGTACAGTCACCCTGCCCGTTCTTCACGCTGATATGCGGGTTTCTAGAGCCGACCGCCAAACGCTGGTGGCAATTCACAGCAAACAGAATGAGAGAGGAAATAAAATAGAGAAGGGGAAAAAAAAATTCGTGGAAAAATGAGTCGAGAATCGGTGCACGCAAAAATTGCAGTGTAGAAATTCTTTCTTGGCCAAAAAAAAGGAGGTAAAAAAAAAGGGTAGAGGAAAATCAGCAGCCAAAAAACAGTATTCCGAAACAGTGACCAGACCCGTAATGTTGGCGTAGCGGACAAAGTGAACGATCATCTGGCCCCCTGGGGGCGTCGCCTTTTATGATTCTTTCTGTCCGCACATTTGCTGTTCATTCTGAGCTTCCTTCAGAGAAGGTATCATCCATCATCTCCGGGTAGTCGATGGGTTTTCGCTTTTCTTCGGTATTCTCACTCATACGACACCTCGGCGCATGACCTCGAACCCAGAGGCTAGAAGGTTCAGAGCCATGCTCAGAAGCATATCAGGGGCGAAAGAAAAAAAAATTCATCTCGAATTTCGAAACAACGAACGGCTTTGATTGAAAGGCTCTGAGATGCTGATCTTACAGAACAGTCCCAGAATTCGCCGACGTCACTTCGAATTAGGCCGGACCAGATTGCAACGTCTATCATGAGTCAACTTGTTCCCCTAGGAGGAGAGGTCGAAAAATGTTTGGGAGGATATTTCATCCAAACGACCCAGGTGTCATTCAGAATGTGAACTTGACTGGTTGACATCGGGTTCGCCGGCTATCTTGTTGAGCTTCCCGTCGTCAGGGGATAGCGAGCGACGAATGAGGTACCTAGGTGCCACACAACACACTGGAGTCTTGCAAGTGCGGTCGATCCGAGAACTCAGCGGAACATGCACGCTTTGTGGTGGAAAGAAGACAGTGCCAACCTCGAGATATGTGGTTCAGCCAATTGATCACGGCATCTCATCGCCCTTGTGGCAGCGGGCTGGTCGGAATCCATCTCATGACCCGACGGGCACAATATGTCTGCAATATTGGGCTGCTTCATGTTGAATGACAAGCAGAATATACCAGGGAGGTCTGGTTTTTGCTGTATCAAGACGGGTAGTCCAGCTCTGAAAATTGGCTGGCCGTCTGAACCCAAAATTTTCAACGGCCGAGCTCTCACAATCGACTTGAGGCCACTTTCATGCTCAAATTCTGGGGCTATGTTTCCTCCTATTCGGCGTCTTACCCGAAATGTTTTAGAGCGTGTGCGGTTGTCTTGGGGATCGGAAGGACAACGGAAGAGTGAAGCCCAACATCTCCGCATAACACAGAGGTCGCATGTGAGCTGGCAACGACGACATATGGACCCGGAGAGGTTCAACCACTCGCCATTCTTTATCTCACAACCGCAGAGCTGTTGAGAAGAGTCCAGAGCTGACGATCCGACACGGTACGACTCTCACATCAGGATCGCAGTATCTCGCCGTTTCGCGCTGATATCCGTCTCCAATACATAATACAGCAAATCGTTATGTTTCGGATGAAGTATGGTCAACGAGACTGAAGTCTCGTTCGAAATCGTGACCGGCTCAGGGACGCTTGGTTGGACGTTTGTTGTCACTCATAGTAGGTTCCGAGAAATTCTTGCGTTTTTCTGGATGGCAAACAACTATATCAGTCACTGAAGAAGGCCGTCTTATCTGAAACACCACGTACCTGTTGACGCTGATAGAGTTTTCCCCATGGTTGGGCACAACACCTCCTGGAGCCACACTTGTGGGCGATCTACAGGCGAGTTGCACTGCCAATCCACCTCTGAAATGGAGATGCTGTCTCTCATGCGTGCACCAATTTTCGTAGCAGCGTATTGTCTCTCTCACTGGCGATGTTAGCCCGTCCTATCGTGGCCAACAAGCCGTGTCGTGCAGCCGGACGAGGTTGTAGTGTTGGAAAACGAAGCATCTAGTCGGGGGTCAGGCCAAAAAGAAGGCAAAATGAGGGGACCGTCTCTGCGAAGGACAACGAGAATGAGTCTCCAGTGGTGAGAACAGGCAGGTTTTGAGACGCAAGAGGGGAGCCAGGAACGGTCGCGGTGGATTGTTGATTATGGAGGGTACATAGGATCCCCATCGACCTCCCTCATTGGCAGGGAGAATGGTTCCGACCCTCATCCTTCCCCGATTTCCACTCTGCGGAGCCAGGGGATTGATTTTCCCTGGTCCGTCCGTGTCTTAGGGTTCTTCCTTTCTTCTTTGCAGGTGCACGTGGTGCAAGCTGGCCTGGAAGGTGTCGCACTCGCACTCGTGTTGTCTGCGTGATATTGGAGCAAGAGGAGCTTGAGGGCGATGTCTCCCAAGACGATCGGCCATTACGTACCCCAACATGGCCTTCGTCGTTTCGACACCGCAGCCTGGACCCCTACGACAGATCGCCCGGGCCGTACTGGGCAGCATGCGCCCGGGCTCGTTAAGAAGTATTCCCCTCTGGTCACCGTCCCTGTCCAAGACCCGCGTCCAAACCCCGACGCCACTAACAGAGCTCGGGATCCACGACGAACCACCAAAAAACAGGTTTTCATTCCAGATGCCTTCGCAGGTAACAGGAATTCCCCAGACTAACACCGATATCGACCGAACTGTTGGTCGACATTGTCCGATCTGTCCTACTGACAACAAACTTTGATGAGACGGACAATCAGGGAAACAGGCCTGACGCGTCTACCTAGCAACTTTCCCTTTCTCCTGCCTCCGTGATCGAGAGTCTCTGAATCAGTCCGTTACATAGACCGTTACGTCAACATTCGCGCCTTCTTCCGGAAAAAGCTTCCGACCGGACACGACGGGGCCTCCCTCGACGCATGTCCCGTATGAGAACACGAATACTCCATCCAGATATGAGCCGTCCTCGCAAAGACTGGCGAAAGTCTTCTTGCGTGGAAAAGATAGATGTCTGTAGTGCAGAGACGGACGAAGACAGACTGCTACGCCAGGAAAGGTTAAATGAGGTGTCCTCGCGCGGTCTGGTCGCAGCTCGTGTCGATCGCACATCATCCCTCAGTGCACTGTGCCTCTGGGTGCTCCATGAATTCGAGTTGATACGAAGCATACAACGTCGGTAAGGACGACTACCCCTGGGAGGCCAGTTCGAGTAAGCGGGAAAGAAATATCGTAGGCAATAATATTATGGGAACGACTTCGAAGTTCATGGCTATATAGGTCGGTCAGTAGCCTACCGCCCGTGAGTTACGGTGTTTAGCACTTTGACCGGCTTGTACAGGCTATGGAAAGAGAGGCGACTGCTGAGATTGGCTGAGATTGGCAACGAGACTGCCATCACATACCTCCTTGTCAGCCTTCGTTCTTCCTTCCAGGTCTGTTTATGGTCCAGGAAACCTATAGGAAAGGGTCCCTCCAACGGCAAATTTGAAGCAGTCAACCGACTCGGAGGCTAGAGCGAGAGCAATATAGTTGTTATGTGTCCTCTGCCCTATGGAGTCGAGATAGCCTACAAAGCACCCCTAGCCATTGAACCATACGTTTTCCTCTCCCTAGAAGGGCTTTTCATTAAATGATGGGGGATGATGCCCAGGCAATATCTGTATATCAATGAAACAGACGACGTCCAGGTCTCAAACGCCTTTTTGGGATAACTAAGATTCATACTATTCAACCTGTACTCATTCTACCAACTGCAGAGCCACCGTACAAGACCTCTGTACCAAAAATCAGCTGTTGCTGCCACCTCCAATAATCAATCACATCTTCAATAACGGGGCTAACAGGGTCTGATTTGTTGTGGTGGAGTTCGGCGAATGCAACCGACAGCCGGCTTGGCACGTTAATCTGAACAACCAAAACGGCCAGTTTCGACTTTCGCCGAACAACCCACGTCTGGAGTACTATGCCATAACAATCCTTCTGACAGCTCATGGATCAGGAGCCAATGCTTGCCAGCGATGAACCGCAGAAGACACAGCAGGCCCGCTGAGGCCGAGGAACCGTCGAAACGGAGAAAATTCGTTGCGTACGTTGACATTCGGCGCACTCGATCAGGCTTATATCACATCACCTTCTATATCACTGACTGGCGCACAGCTGTCAAAGATGCCATGCACACAAAATAAAATGCTCCGGGGACCTCCCTTGCACCAAATGCCGGCTTGTCGGTTGTGCAGATGAATGTGAATATGCCCCTCGGGATCGCCAGATCAAAGTCAGCGAAAGGTATGGCCATCATGCCTCTGACTCAACCATCATACAGCAGACATTTTCACAAGGGCCCGATAATCAATACTAATGACGTGCCAAGCTATCTAAACCTCCTTCTCTCGGAAAACCGACGGCTGAAAGAGCAATCGGCCCCCTCGGCCAACCCCGCCGAAACAGAGCCAAACCCCGAAACAGACACATCTCGACCAGCAGAGGTGCCCGATGAGAGCAACACGAGCGTGCAGAACCCACTCATTGGCGACCGTGCCTGGTTTCACCGATATGATCCCTCCGCGCCGCCTATATTCATCGGCGAAGCAGCCTGCACAGCCTTTGCCACCCGGTTTCGGCGGTTTCTCACAGGCAACAACGCCCTGCCTCATATTCCCCGGACACAGTATGTGACAGAAGAGAATCTTGCAGCCGCTAATACAACCAATGTCCAATGGCCCAGTCTGCAGCAAGCCCGGCTGCTGGTGAATATCGCAGTGCGACAGGTCGGGGTAATTTACCACCTGTTCCTACGCAAATCTACGCTGGATAAGCTCGAAGAGATATACCGCACGGGCGACTTTGACTGCACCATCAACAAATGCAAGTTCTTCGCACTGTTCGCCTTTGGCGAGGCGTATTCCAAGCGTGCGGAACCAGCATCTGGCTCGCGGGTACCAGGCACGCCTTACTTCGCACGGGCTTTGAGCATGGTGCAGATGCTTCCGGAACGGACAAGCATTACGCATCTCGAAAGTCTCTTGTTGCTGGTGCGTATCGCGTCTCCCGATAGTATGCCAGACCCTAACACAGCGACAGTCATTATTCTCCTACTATCTGAACCGACGCAATTCCGCCCTCGTGCTGATCGGTACAGCCATGCGGCTAGGTCTCTCGATAGGGCTCAACCATAACATTCCGGAGTCGCAGCTCATCGATCCTGTGGAGCGGCAACACCGCGTCCGCATCTGGTGGACGATCTATATATTCGACCGCATGTGGGGGTCAAAGATGGGACAGGCGTCGCAGATTCTCGACGATGACATCCACCTGGACATGCCGTCAAGCATCGATCCGCTACAGCTGCACGACGAGCAATTCTCCGACACTGACCACATGACGGCGAATATCAAGCTAGCCCGCATTGTCGGAGAGACCATCGCAAAGCTATACAGCAGACGCAAGTACAACGATACTTTTCTGCAGCGGGTACAGAAGCTCTTGAAGGCGCTGAAGAGCTGGGTCGAGACCCTGCCAGAACACCTCCGACTGAACGAGGACGAGCCCGAGATGAACCACAAACACATTTCCTCGTTGCACCTCGCCTTCAACCAGTGCGTGATCCTCGCGACGCGGCCGACTCTCCTCCATCTTCTCATCAAACTCAACGAGACTTCCTCCCAACACACCATCTCGCAGCCTGTCCTGACGCTGGGTGAAGCCTGCATCCACGCCGCGCGACATTCCCACAGTCTTATCCTGACAAAATGGATCCACGGCTCCCTCCCGGTGTTCGGCTATTTCCACGCGCACTATCTCTTCTCGTCGGCGCTGGTGCTCGCCATGTCGAGTTTTCTCCCTATCGGCAGTGCCTCAGACCTCAGCGCGTTCGAAACCGGACTTGAAGTTCTCCGCGCCGTGAGCGAGAACGGCAACCTGGCCGCGGCAGAGTTCTACCACAATCTGGAGCAAGTGAAGTACTGTCTCGACCGGTACAGGGGTGACAAGCCGCAAGACGGACGACGGGAGCGAAGTGCGACTACGACCGCTATGGGGTCTAACGCAGCCGTAGCTGCCACATGCCCACCTCCAATGATGGCGACTGCATCGGCTACTGCAAGTGACACGGGTAGTTCGCATGCCGCCTCAACGGGGCCCCTGGTGAACGGATCGATGATGTCCGCGCCGGACGCAGAACCCTTGCATCTGCATCCTACGGGGTATAGTCAATCGGGTATGCCGGCTGGAACAACAGGGCTAGGATTCACGACAGCGATGACGTTCCTGGAGCCGACGATGCAGGATTTCCTGGCGCAGTCAGATTTCGATCTGGGCTTGTTGCATCCGGTGGACACATTCGTGAATGACGAGAGTTTATATACGTGTCATGGACTGTAGGTGTTGACGGCATGTGTGCGTTGGATCTTGCACGCTCTGAAGTTGTCCAAGTGCTATCGCTGTCGGTGAACTCTGTGTAACCAGTCATCACGTGTTGGGCATCTCTACACCGACATCGCCTCGACCACACTCTATCAGCGGTACATTCTGGGATACACTACTCAGCCATAACTGTGTCGTTATGAGCTCAACCCCGTGTTCAGCATGCAGCTGGACTCCCGAACGCCAAAACCACTGCAGCTACAAAAGCCGCGTGAAGGTGTTCTACGAAGCAGGCGACCGAGGGGTGTGGTCTTTGGGGTCGAAGCTCGTCCTCAAAGACCGAGGCCCCAGTCTCGCGACCCCCGAAGTCCCCAATATCGAGTTTGTACGAGAACACACGTCCATCCCAGTCCCTACGGTGGTCGAGTCATGGGAAGAAGACGGACACGCTCTCATCATAACGAAGCGCATCCCCGGCGAGCCTCTCAGCGAAGCATGGCCGAAGCTCTCCCACGATGAAAGGGACAGAATCGCACGGCAGACAGCCGACTACCTCCTACAACTGCGCCCGCTCCAGTCCGACAAGATGCAAGCGCTCGACGGCCGTCCGTTGTACTCCGCCTTTTTGTTCAATGATCAGCGCTACCACGGCCCGCTAGGATCCGACGACGAACTCTGGGCCGACATGGAGCGCGGGCTGAACGGTTCGCTGTCTGACTCTGTGCGCAAGCGTCTCCGCCAGCGCATGCCCCCCGCTGCGCCGTACACCTTCAGCCACGGCGACCTCACCAACGTCAACATCATGGTGGAGAACGGCTCGCTCACGGGCATCATCGACTGGGAGGCGTCGGGCTACTTTCCCGTCTGGTGGGAGTACGCCTTGACATCCGTGGGTCACGGCGACGACGACTGGCAGTGGAAGGCTCTGCTACGGAAGCACATGCCGGACCACAGCGCTGCGCGCGAGTTCTACCTGGATTACTACCACCTCTGTCGGGATCTCGACAATGAAAGGGCGCAGAAGTTCATCAACAGCGGGGCTGGTGATGGAGCAACCCCGTAATCCAATACACTCTCCACCTGGAAGCAAGTGCCGCCAGATGGTGGTGCAGGAGGGTGGAGCCTGCGTTGAAGGCTGTGCGGGTTCGGGGGAAGGTTGATGCGGATGAAGTATTGGGATAGTTGGGAGAGAGTATACGCCATTATATGCAGCAATATAGAGATGAGCACGATGCATGAAGATTAAGTCTATTTAGGGAGTCTCTATATACCTATAACTCTAGTAGCCATAACTAGTCTAATCCTTAGCCTACGGTCCAATTCCGTTCCAGTACCTACCATCTTCCGTCGGGCAGCTAAAACCCAGGCTTAGCAGCGATATTCAACTTCCGCTCCGCCCAGCGCTGCATGTCAACACCCCAGCGCGTAATCACGGCAATCAACGCCCCTCCCAGCAGCGAGAAGAACACACCTACCCACCTGTTAGCTGCTCCCAACAAACAAATAACAAGAGTGGCACATACAAATAGTAAACGTCCATCCGACCCCAATACGCTTAATCACCGGCAAAACAAGCGCACTACTCCCTGCGGAAAAGATATACTGAATGATATACTTGCCGGCAATAACCTCACCTCTCTTATGCGGCAGCGCCTCTACCAACCCCCACAGCAGTCAGCACACATACACACCCACACCCACACACAAAGACAGAACACAAACCAGCAGCATAAGTATTCAAACTATTAAACGACCCCATCAGGGCAAACCCGCCCACAAACGCCGCCACAATGGGCACCGGCATGCCGCCGCGCTCCTCCTGCAGCGTCCAGCCGTACACCAGCGCCGCGGCGGGCATGACAAGCAGCATGGTGAGCAGGCCGCTGTTCAGGCGGTCCTGGGGCAGACGCACGCCGCCGCGGCGGGCGATGTAGCGGCGCACGGTGCGGTCGGACAGGCGGCCGCCGACGATGCTGCCGAGGAGGAAGCCGGCGCCGGGGGCGAGGTAGAACAGGCCGCTGACGAGGGCGGAGGTGAGATGGAAGCGCGGGTTGAAGATGGCGCGGGCGGAGGTGAGCAGGGCGTACATGAAGGTGGAGAGGAGGCCGCAGGTGAGGTCCTACCCCGCGCATAACATATATGCTGTTAGCTGTGGTCTTGCGGCTGGAGGCTGGGAGGAGAGGGGCGTACGCAGAGAAAGACATTGGGGTAGACGTATTGGCGCAGGATGCGCATGGGATTGAACAGGGCGAGGCGTTCGGTCGCGGACCGCGGCGCGCTGCTCTTCGTTTCGGGCTGGATGCTCGGCACAAACAGCACGGACAGCGCCAGGCCCAGCCCCGTCATGCCCAGCTGCAGCCAGTAGATGATGCGCCAGCTGGAAAAGGTGACGATGATGCCGCCGATGCAGGGGCCGATGGCGGGGCCGCAGACGGTGCCTGTCATGAAGAAGCCGACGGCTGTGCCGCGCACGACCTGCGAGCGTCAGTAGCTGCTCGCTTGCTCGAGACTGGGAGAAGGACGAGAGGAGCGTACTGGCTCGAAAATATCCGCGAGGATAGTCTGCCCCGAGACCATGAATGACGTGCCGGTCAGTCCGCTCAGCACGCGCATGGCCGTGAACATGTGCAGGTTGATGGAGGCGGCGGTGCCGGCGGAGCAGGCGCACAGGACCAGGATGGCCAGGTTGTACGCATGGCGGCGGCCGATGAGGTTATTCAGTGGCCCCCAGATCAGCGATGAGAAGCCCATGGCCAGCAGCACGCCGGCATTGGTGATGTTGAGGGTTTCGGCGGTGGTGTTGAACTCGGCGGCGATCTCCGGCGTTGCGGGCAGCAGAGACGTGCTGGAGAAGGTGACCGCCAGCGTCATCCAGCTGACGACAAACAGGATGATGCATTTGCGCCAGGTGGGTAGGTCGTATCCTTTTCCCTGGGGGTTGGACTTTTGTGGTTCGAGAGTCGATCCGGGGACGTCCCCCCCTTCTTCGTCCAGGGACGAGGCGGATGAGCGCACGGCAAATTCCGATGTTGGTCCCATGGCCGGCCATGAGGGAGGATAGTGTATAACCCCGCAGATCGTGCATCGTGCAGTCTCTGATATAAATAGTCGTCCTCTCACGGAGACATTTCCGGGCGCTCGGCATGCCGTTTGTGTGGCCGAACTCTCCGCAACCGGCTCGGGGGAGATGGCCGACTCGGTGAGACTGACCGACATTAGACATACTCCGTCATTAGGTAGAGATCATAGATACTACATTGCAATTACTGCATGAACTAATACATCTATTCACTAGCTAACAGAGACTGCCACGCAATCCACAAGGCACGAAGAATGAAAGAATGAAGATGAAAGAAGGTCATACTTGCTAATTATTTACGCGACAAAGCCAAAAATTCACATCAAGAATACAGTTCCACTCCCGACCATGTACATGTACTAGTCACCGGTACTTGACATGGCCTGGCATGGCAGAATCAAGTCGCTTACAACAGGATCATGCCCACACCCGCAACCAGAGCAGTCATCAGGTAGGCACCCATCTGCCAGCTGCCGACCTTGACGGCCATGGGGCTGGCCGCAACGCCCGCAGCCCCCTCCGAGGTGGAGCTGGCCATGCTGCCGGTGCCACCAGCGGTGGGCGAGGCGGTCACGGTGCCGGTGCCGGCAGAGCCCGCCTGCTTCAGCAGAGAGGTGCAGCTGTCGGGGCTGGAGGACTTCTGGGTCTGGCCGGAGCCGTTGAAGTCACAAGCATCCGAGGCCTTGTTCTGGGCCTGGTAGTAGCGGTCCATGACGAAGGACAGCTGGTCCTTGGAGGAGCAGACGCTGTAGGCACCGTAGTCGCCCTTGGTGGAGTTGGAGGCGATGCCGGCGCAGTCGCCCTTGGCGCAGATGTAGTCAAACAGGTCACCATAGTCCTTCTCCTTGACCGAGTCCTTCACCACGCAGGAGAGGGACTTGACCATGCAGGTGCAGAGATCCGGGTTGGGCGAGGGCGGGAGGTCGTCCGAGGCCTCCCAGTCCGTGTTGACGGCGGGGCAGCTGGGGGTGACGGCGGCGGTGGCCGTGTAGCTGGCGCTGTTCACTCCGGTGGCGGTCACCTTCTGCATCTGGGACGACAGGTAGGAGAAGTCGGCGCGGGTCTTGACGGTGTCGCCATCGACGTTGACCAGACCGTAGTTGTTGGCCTCCTGGAAGTACATGTAGACGATACCACCGGCCCAGACGTCGTTCATCTGGGGACCAAAGAGCACGGGGACGTCGGTGAACTTGCGCGGCTGGGGGTCGTTGCATCCGTACTCGGAGAAGAAGGCAGGGACGGGGAAGTCCTTGAACTCCTCGGTACGGGCTGGTAGCCGGAGGTCTTGAAGGAGGAGTCACCGCACCACTCGTAGATGTTGTAGCCAAACATGTCGATGCGGGAGTCGGTGTCGCCGCAGACGAGGTAGTCCTTGAGGTCGTCACGGATGTTGGCGTCATCATCGGTGGCGTAGCCAATGGCCAGAGAGGTGCGGTAGTTCTTGGCCTTGATGTAGGCCTTCATGTCACGCACGGCGGCCTTGACGTAGGCGATGGAGTTGGTGTTGTTGTTGTCGTTGGCGACCTCGTTACCGGCGAAGAAACCGATGACGTTGGTGTAGTTGGCAAAGGCATCGATGACGCTGGTGTAGCGCTCGTAGAGGTCGGTGTTCCACTGAGGGTCCGCACGGTTGATGGAGTCGGAGGGGGCGGACAGATCAGTGATCAGGTAGATGCCGGCCTCATCCAGGAGCTTCATGCAACGGTCGTGGTTGGCGGTGGGGTCGACAGCGTAGGTCCGAATGACGTTGGTGCGGAGCTCCTTGAGGTAGGGAATGTCGCGCTCACATTTGGAGTTGTCGGCCAAGGGGTCGACATAGTCGCTGTTGGACTCGGAGGTACCGTTGGTGGAGTATTCCTCTGCTGGGGGGTTAGTTGTTGTGGGATGGTGGATGACGATGAGAACATACGTTGGTAGGCGACACCACGGATGGAGCTGGGCGAGTCAGTGAGGGCGTCGAAGGAGGAATACGAGGGAAGGACTTACAATTCAGTGCCGTTGTTGGAGTAGAAGATTTTTTCGCCCTTGCCCGAGATGGATTCGGATGATGGACGCGACGGGACGGAACCCGGCGGGAAGTACCCTTGGACTCAATGGGCGGGCAGGGTAGCCAGGGCCGAACCCACGAGGGAGGCGCCGGCGAGAGCGGTCGAGAACTTCATGATGATGAAGAATGACGCCGAGACAGGATGGAGATGGAGGATCTACAGACAAGAAGCGACCAAGAACGACCAAGAATGACAAGCGGTGATCCAGTCGATCCGCCAAGTCGAAGATGGAGTAGATAGCAGTAGAAGTAGTTGACGAAGCGATTGAAGAGGAGACAACGAGTGACTGACGGCAGACACACTGGGCCGTGGATGGGACAATAGGATAAACGAGGGAAAGAAGGATGAAGATAAGATGGAGGAGAGGGAAAAGGAAGAGAGAAGGGAGAAGGAGAGGGAGAAAGAGGCAGAAGAAGAAGAAGAGGAAGAGAGATGGAAAGGGGGATTAGTGGGAGTGGGGGCGGTGGTGGGTAAGAGGGTCCAAGGTACGGAGTACTTGCAGTCGAGTGGACAGGACTGTGTGTCGCCAGGTACCTGCTACCCAGGATTGTTATGATTTCTGTTTCTATTCTTATGCGGTTGACGCAAGCTGTGGATCGGTAGGTATCTACTACAGGGACGGAGTAGGTAGGTAGTAGGAATAGTAGAGTCTGAGTATCCTAGGTAGGTAGCTCTACATTCCTCTGATTCAGGACTCTAGTAGAGATATTGAAGTCATCTTGGGAAATAGACCAGGAGTCTAGGGATCTCTACTCTGTATAGGGGTACCTCCACTGCCAGGAACTACCAGGTACTAGAAGGTATTGTACTGGAAGGGTATCAGGAGTGCTCAGAATGCAAGACAGGGTCTCATACTGGACCCTGACTGGAGGACCCTGTTTCCACTGGTAATTTATCCGTCACAGTGTGTTTTATTATTACCGGGCCTCTGACTTCAATGGAGAATACGGAGTACAGCCTACGGTATGCTCATTAATTAATGAATTAATTAGAATTGATTAGTACAGTTACACTCATGGTCATCCTGATTGATTAAAAATCCATGCAATGACTCTTACACTGACTAGTTATTCTACATACTCCCTAGATAATGTTCCTCCCACACTGACCGTATTAAATGAAGGTCCACCATGGGTCCTCTGAAACCACCCACTCCGAGACATTAGATTCGGTAGGTCTCCTTTAGAATGGGATTATTATCTACCGACAGGATCCTCCTCAGCACACTACTCCTGTACACACTGATGTACTCTGTACTACTCTGCACTCTTTGGACTCCCTGCTTTTTGCATGAGATGGAATCAGCCTGCTGAAATACTACTCTAGTACGGAGTACATTATCCACCAGTCAGAAGTCTCTGTGCTCCAGATGGCATAACCAGCCAGTCATTATTATTTTATTATTATTATTACGACCGACAAGAATCCGCGGATCTCAAGATGAAACGTCCATCATTGCGCTGACACCGCCAAGATCAACACCAGATCAACAAGCACAAAAAGCTTCGCCAAGAGGAGACGATCCTATCCATACCGAGAACAAGTAGAGTACAGTATCTTGGCGTCACCTGCAGAAACACTCAAAGCCACAGCCCACGCAGCTATGATGCACAATTCCGTAATCTGCACAGTCAATAATAATAATCAAAAGAATCAGAATGGACCAAGAATAACCATCCAGACCGCCACAAGATGATCCTTCGTGGCGACCAGTTGAACATACCACACCACCGACCGATCTGCTGGCGCTATTATCGTGGCTGTGTTGCATCCATTCCCTTTCTGGCGCCAATCCTGCAATCACAACAGCAACCATGCACTCAACAGACTCTTGGGTCGCCCATGTCGCTCATTTCGCTCCTTTCGCGCCAAAGTCTATTCCCGCCTCCTTTTTTTGGCTTTTTTCGGCCGTTTTCTTGGAACTCCCCCTTGGTGCTGTGCGGGTGAGTTGTCCACCTTGTCTTCTGCACACCACCATCATTTCATCCATTCCTTGTTCTGTTGCGTCCCTTCATTGGTCTCTCGTTTCTTTCATTTCTTTCCCTTCTTACGTCTTTATTCCCTCAGCGGGCCTCAAGATCGCTTTCGCTCCTTCTTATTGCCCCTGGGCTCACCGCGATCGTTATCGGCCTAAAGCTTGTCGTCATCAAGATCTCTTGTCCTGTCGGAGTGAGGCTGAGCAGTCTCCATCGCCATTGCCTTAGCCACATCACATCTTCAGCTCCCATCCAAAAGCCCCAGCGAAGGCCTCACCCTAGGCCGAACATACGCCTGTCCTACTCGCTGCTCACCAGGTTGGGCCGCTCGTAATCGTGTTCCTCGTCTAACACGGACTCCCTGTGCGTTGGCATCCGCGCGCCATATCTTCCCTCGCCATCCCGACAGAATTCTTACCTTACTTCAATAGTACGAGTAGCAATACATTCGTCTAGTTACTGCTGCAGTCGGGTTCGAAAGATCATCCCCTCCATTCTTCGTCATCATGCGTAAGTCGCTCTACCCCGGTCCAGCGTGCGTAGCTCACCCGGTTCGCGTCGCATCAGACATCTACCGCCGTCACGCCGGGAATCTGGCCTGGTACGACGAGGAGGGCGAGCCCTCGTCGCACAACCCCTTCAAAAAGTTTCGCGCCCGTCCGCGCCGCTCCAGTTCCATCCAGCTCGAGAGTCGCCTGGCCCCCGTGCGCACCGCGGGCGACGTCCGCTCCTCCGAGGAGCGTCGTCGTCGCCGCGACATGACCGAGGGCCTGGCCGGCCCCGAGCATTCGCTCTCCTTCCCGCCCGAGTCGGCGGGCACCGACCGGGCCTCGCAGCTGGAGAGCAGCGACCGCGCAGGCCCCGTGCCGTCCCTGCACAGCACCGACCCCATCAACGTCTCGGCGCAGGATGCGTCCGACAACGAGGCGGGCCTCCCCCGGAAGAGGAAGACGCTTAACGGCAAGGCTGACGACCAGTCCATGGATGACTATACCATGAACGGTGGCGGCGAGGATAAGGATCTGATGGAGAAGCCTAAGTTCACCGTGGCGAACCAGATCAAGGCGACCGTCTTCAACTCCTGGATGAACATCCTGATTCTGGCAGCGCCGGTTGGAAGTAAGTGTCGCGGAGGGTCGGAGGAGCCTCGCTAACCGTAGCAGTTGCCGTGGAGCTACGTCGATGTCAGCCGCGTCGCCGTTTTCGTGGTGAACTTTATCGCCGTCATGTATGGTATCCCAGGGTGTAGCGTCACATCATCTCTAACACCACTAGTCCGCTGGCTGGCATGTTGAGCTATGCGACGGAAGAAAATTGCCATGCGGTTACGTCCTCTCCCCGTACCGGCCACACGGACCTGGCTAATCCTTCTAGCACTGGCGAAACCATCGGTGGTCTGCTCAACGCCAGTTTCGGGTAAGTTCCCATAGTCCATCCACGCGCCTTCACAAACCAACCATAGTAGAAATGCGGTCGAATTGATCGTCTCCATCATCGCGCTGGTCGACGGCAAGGTCGCCATCGTCCAGGAATCGCTGATCGGCAGTATTCTCTCCAACCTCCTCCTGGTGATGGGCATGTGTTTCTTCTTCGGCGGCGTCAACCGGCTGGAGCAGCATTTCAACGTCGTCGTCGCGCAGACGGCCGCGAGTCTGCTGGCCCTCGCCGTGGGAGCCCTGATCATTCCCACTGCATTCCACAACTGGTCCGAGGGTGAGTGTCCGAGTTTTTCAGCGGGGCATATTCACTGAGAAATGGCTGACATTGCATAGCCGGTGACACGGGCATTGCGCCTCTTTCACGTGGTAGGTTTTAAATAAGCCCTCTTCCTGTCCACCACTGACCCCATGCACAGGCACCAGCGTGATCCTCCTCGTCGTCTACGGGTGCTACCTCTTTTTCCAACTCAAGTCGCACACGGTGATCTACAACGCACCCAGTCCGAAAGTCGAAAAGCGCCGCCAGCGCATCACCGAAGGTGACGCCAGCCGCGGCATCGCGCAGATCGGCAAGATGAGCGCCACGCTGGCGGGCCACAACGCGCAGCAGATGGAGCTCAACGACCCGGCCGACGAGCCCGAGGAGCCGCAGCTGCATATCTGGGTTGCGGTGCTGACACTCGGCATCTCGACGGCGCTGGTGGCTTTGTGCGCCGAGTTCATGGTGTGTAGTTGACGTATCCTGCAATTCGATACCGCGCAGAACTGACCTCAGTAGGTGGATTCGATCGATGCGATCACGCAAACAGGCGGTGTGTCGGAGACGTTCGTCGGGCTGATTCTGCTGCCTATTGTGGGAAACGCGGCGGAGCATGCGACCGCCGTGACGGTGGCCTGCAAGGACAAGATGGATCTGTCGATCGGGGTGGCGGTGGGATCGAGCATGCAGATTGCGCTGCTGGTGCTGCCGTTCATTGTGATTCTGGGGTGGATTTTGGGTAAGTTGCGCTGTGCTGCTGCTCTAGACTGGATGCTGACCGAGACTAGGTAACGATGATATGGTGAGTGCCACAAGTGTGGTCTGCTTACACTCCTAACCGTGACAGACATTGTATTTCGACGGGTTCCAAGTGATCCTGCTCTTCGTTTCTGTTCTATTGGTATGTCCCTGCCTCCGGGTTGTGTTGAAACCTACTCATGGTGCTAGGTGAACTACCTCATTGCCGACGGCAAATCTCACTGGCTCGAGGGCGTCCTCTTAATGATGATGTACGTTATCATCGCCGTCGCTGCTTGGTATGTATCTGCCTACGTCCGCTGCCTTCACATGTCTGACTGGAGCAGGTTCTACCCGACCAAGGATAAGACCAATGGCGCTTAGGCGTGCGATCTATACTCTATACGTTGTAATCTCCTTGTGGCCTGAATACGTGGGCAATTGCTTTCTATATTATACGAGACCTATCCCGGTCAGTTTGAGAACGCCCGGAGGCAACGGATCCCTCCGTTCGGAGGCAAGGCAGTCCGTTTCGCCGAGGGTCCAAGATCGGTATTCCCGGCGCATCCCGCCAGTTGATCGGGTAAATATTCTGGACTCGGACGGGTCTGGGGTAGTCAGAACTTGGAGTGTGGTGTGGCGTTGGGGTAGTTGACATAGTTTATTCTATTGGGGTTACCCTGGTTGAGATTATGGTTTGGTTGATATAAATAAGGGATTTGGATCTATAATGCCATTTTTTGTAGTGGTTCTATAAGAGAGTTGGACAGATATATATCTAGGGTATCATGGAGTATTCTCAGTCTAGTTGACAGACATGCAGTGGAACTATATATCCACAGTCCATAATGGACCTCATCACCCTGTCAACTTCAGTCTAACAGATGGGACAGGCGTAAAAGCGATGCTAGTCAATCCAGTACCAGACCGTGTCCAAATACCATCTATCACGTGCATCATCCCCACGACCTACAATCCCGGACCTAAGCGAAGAAAGCCGTCGGACAGTCGGATCAGATGCAACGCCAGGCACAGGCACAGGCACATCCCGACTAGCCTCGGAAGTCAGCGAGGCTCTCGGCTCGACCGCGATCCCTGCAATCTAGTCGGGGGCACAGACCAGACCAGACTAGACCAAAAGGAACACACAAACGACGAGACCGCTCTAGGTTTGCTAGATGCGGAATTGAGTTGAGCCAGGCTGTGAGTAGGTCGGTAGGAGATGGTCCGAGAAGACGGAGTATCGACGGTAGGAACGGACGAGACTGTGACAGGTGGTGGGTGCAATAGGGCCGATGGGGGTGGCGGCAGCGCAAATGAAGGAGAGGATGATTGGATGATACGGGGGGCCAAGAGCGTGGGGCTCGCGTGGCTCATTTAATTACGGAGCGCACGATTACTATGGAGCGCTCCGTAGTGTACTCCGTAAATGGGGGGATATGGGAGATACCCTTCTCGGGACGGATGGGCCTTGTCGTGGACGGACAGCTGGGAAGACGGTACCGTGCCGAAGTTGTACCTAGTTAATGGCGGTGTGTAGTGGGTTGGACAGAGGACACGGGAGCGTGATATTATATATTATATATTATATTATATTATATTATGATTATCATTATCATTATCATAGTAGGAGGAGAGTATTACTGGTACTTTGTAGGGATTAGGGTTCGTTGTATGTCTTCATATTAAGGAATCATCAGGTGACAGCGCTCTGCGCGTGGATTTACCAAATGGAGAATTTCCAGACCTTCCACTCGGCCATCCTCCGGGGATCTCCGATTTTCCCCCGTCGACGCAGCCATTCAACCGGCACGACGGGGCATTTTGCGGGGTCGGTTCGCTTGTGCCTCGGGTGCTCGCAGGCGGAACCAATCACACCCCCCGGACGGGGCCGAGTAGCGGCCACGGGACTCCGGTTAAATACGCTGCGGCCGGGGGGTGGTTTCCGATCTGTCGGTCGGGAGGCTGCAAGACAATATCCGGATAATATCTGACTGTAGGATAAGTAGGGTAAGTAGGTAGTATAAGGAATGGAGGACCGTTCGTGCAGATACTACTCCGTATACTTCTCCGAGTAATCCATGACCAATGTGACGGTCGATCGCACACACAGGGTCAGATCGAGACGACGCAGTGTCCCCGCGGGGAGGTCCGAACGAACCAGGGGTGGTGCAAGGGCAGCTTTTCCGACGAAAATGAAAGGGCATCACCGCCTGGTCAATACCCGAGGTTCCTCCAACCGCCCCTCCAAAAGGGCATCATTAGCCGGCTTCCCCTCATTGTGCTGGAGGATGAACGTGAATGGCGGGTTTTACTCTGGGGGAAAGGGTCGGGACTGATTGCTGCACCCCGGATCGCTGATCGGACGGAGGCGATTCCGCTGGTGTGGTAGGGTCTGATCCCTGTCGTTGTGCCCTAGTACCAGGTGGTACCTAGGTACCTAGGTACGACCTACCCAGGGACTAGGACTAGTCAGTCCTAGTAATCGTAGTACCTAATACGTACTCCGTCGGCCAGGTAGGGTAGCATCGTGGACTGGGCTGTTCGAGGGGCCCGAGACGACAATATGTCGGAAACCTTAGGTAATGGGAATTAACGTTCCACACACGGCTGCTGGTAACCGGTATCATCGGTTCGGGCTGCTGACTGCTAACTCCTTACTCCCGGAGGAGGATAACTTGCATCTTCCTGGACGGGAGCATCGGAGAATAAGAAGAAGAATTTGAATGGACAAAACGACAAAATGACGAAGAGATGATTCAGACAAAGACTGACCGAAACGGTCAATCACCGGAGAATGGCTCGATCGGGTCGGCACTGGGCCGCCTGACCATCCCGAGGCGCCTCTTGTTACCAGACGAGACGGGGAGGACCGACGCTGCTCTGAAGATCGGACGATTGTCGTTATTAATGTAATTCTGTCGACGCCGGAATCTCCGTCAACTCAGATCAACAGGACAACAGGATAATAGGACAATATGACAACATGGTCGAAGAATGGCCGGAGGATCACATTCTCGGCACTCGGACTCCCCCACTCGCGCCGGCCGGCGTGACTAACCAACCCGCTGGGGATTAAGCCTGGGCCTCCGCATCCCCAGTCTGTGATGCTGGGATCGCATACACTCATCAATCAGATAGAGTAGGATAGTAATAGAAAGATGGATCGATAGATCGATAGATAGATGTATTTGTATATTATATAGATAAATCCATATGATTGCATTGAATAAATCATCAATAAGATCGATCTGTCGACAGCCTAGAATCCGACCCTCAACCCTCGCTCCCCCACACTCCGCGTCTTCCCGCCTCGCTTTGCCCTTTCGTCCCAATTTTCCTTTTTCTTTCTTTTTTTTTTCTTTTTTCCCGCTCCACACTGGGCACAGCTGGGGAGAACCTCTTTTCCCCCGGCGCCGGACGTTTTCACACCCACGTCGCTCCCCATTCTTATTTTATTTTAGCTTTGCCCTCCTCTTCCCTCGGGTCGTCGACTTTTCTCTTCTCTCTCTCCTCTTTCCTCCTCTTTCCCTCCCCTTTTCTCCTCCTCCTCCCCCCCTGTCTCTACCCCGGTTTCCCCAGACTCTGCTGGATCTTGTTCCTGCCTCAGGCGCACCACGGGGTCCTCCACCAGTATCTCTCTCACATCCTCGACGGGACATCTAACGACCTACCTACCATTGACAACCGGCAAAGAAAGGAGATATCGGTACACGACGGTCAGTCCACCGGATGTTGTTGCGTGACCCCAGGTGGTACGTGCTAACGCCTTCATCCTTCCAGCCACGGCATTCGGGTCTTTCTCCCCTATTGATTATTTTTATTTTTATTTTATTTAATTTTCTGGCTATCATTTGACCCGTCCGGAATCCCGGGGAAATCTTACCGGAGAAAATACCGCGGGAACGAAGCAAACTCAACCTCCATCCATCATCCATCCGTCCATCCATCCCTCTGGCACACGTGTTCCGCCGCTCTCGCTGGCCTGTTGGCCTCCTTTCTCCCTCTACTCTTCCATCCTCACTTCCCCCTTACGTCGCCTTTCTTGGACCCTCCTCGATTCAACCTGTTTCATCCGATCTAGAGGGCGGCTTCCGTCTCTCGCGCTTACTCCCTCACCATGCGTTCGAGCATCGCTTGCGCCCGCTGCCGTCGCAGCAAGATCAAATGTGTCAACGCTGGCATCGATACCACCTGTCGCGCCTGCGAATCCTCCGGTCGTGAATGTGTCTACCCCACCCCGGCTATCGGCGTCGGCGCCGCCGCCAAACGCGACATCGCCGCCATGGCTGATGGCGACGATCGCAATGGCGACTGGGACAGTCCCAAGCGTCAGCGCTCCCGAAAGACCGTCGGCGTCTCTGCCGCCGCCAAAGATGCCGCCAAAGCGTCGCTGGACGTGCTGGACGCGTCCGTCCTGACCATCAAGGTCTGGGAATCCGTCTTCGATCTCTTCCAGTCGCACTTTGCCACCCTCCTGCCCTTCCTGCATCCCGCCTCCTTCATGGGTCAGATTCGACAGCTGTCGGGCTCCCATTCCATCTCCTCCTCGTCCACTGTCACCACCACGGCCTCCACCGCTCCCGCGCGACCAGAGACAACGCGCGATCCCCAGAGCCCCCCGGCGTCCAAATCCGAACCGAATCCCCTCCTCCCCCTCGGCGTCCTTGCACTCACCGCTCGCTTCCACCCCCAACTCGTCGCCTACCACTCGCCCGCCGCCCCGGGCAACCCATCCAACCCCCTGGTGGCCTCGGAATACTATGCGACCGCCTTGCGCAGCCGGCTGGCCGGCGCGGATGGCGCCAGCCTCGCCGTGCCCGATCTCACCCGCGTCCAGGCCCTGCTCATGCTGGCGCTGCATGAGTGGGGCATGTGCCGCGGCAAGAGTGCCTGGTTGTACGTGGGCATGGCCATTCGCATGTCGCAGGCCATGGGCCTCCCATTCGAACTGGAAAATGAGGTCTTCTACCGAGAAGCGCTCCGTGTCCCCGCCCTCAAGGCGGAATCCGAGATCTTTGGCCTCTCCCGACGCCCTGTGGAACCCAAAGACCAGACGTCTGATGACGTGATTGCCCAAGAAACCAAGCGTCGGACCTTTTGGGCGTGCTTCCTGCTGGATCGCTGTTTGAGCAGCGGCAAGTACCGTCCTCGCATGATCCGCATCAAAGAGTTGGGCATCCAACTGCCCAGTGACAATGCCTTTGCGTTTGGAGAGCGGGTGCGCACCTCCCGGCTCGGTGAGCCGGTCGCGCGCCGCCCCCAGAGCTTCGGTGCCCAAGGAGTGCAGATCCCCAGCATCCGTCAGAGTCTGGGCGGATTCGGGGATGACAAGCTCCCGAACGCGGCCCCGTCCGACCCCAAGTCCTGGTCGCCCATCTCGCGGAGAAAAGACTCCAGCGAGGATGAGATTGACCGGTGGGAGGTGGGTGCCGAAGAGGCGGTGTTGAGCCGCGTTATTCGCATTATCCGCATCTGGGGGAGTATCGCCAAGTGGTCATGCACTGGCGGAAGAAGGTATGTTTTGTGGTCGCTCGTTCTCCGGGTATATCGTGTCTAACCCATTGTCACAGAAACGAACAGTTGCCCCCATGGCATCCTGATTCGCGCTTCTCCAAGCTTCGAATGATGCTGGGGGAGTTTCAGGATGGCCTGTCGCGGAATCTGCAGTATTCCCCACGCAATACAGACACCCATATCATGTACAAGAACACCCTCGCCCCCTACACCGTCATGCATGTGGTCTATTTCTTGTCCATGATTGTTCTCCACCGCGCGTACATTCCCTTCTTGCCCATGCGGTGCGCCGAGCCGGTCGGTCCGCTCGACGAGCCTCTCTTTCCCGCCGAGAAGACGGGTGTCTCCGAGGCGTTCTGGCGCGAGAGCGCGCGCGAGCTCTTCAGCGCGGCTCGGCAAGTGATGGAGCTGGTGGTCACCTGCCAGGAACGCGGCGTCCTAGTGGAAAGCCCGTTGGTCGGTTTCGCCATCTATCACGCGGCCTTTCTCGGTATCTATGCGGCTCACTTCCCGCATATGGACCCCGACGGCGTTTTGAGTCCCAAACCCACCGGCGACCGCAACCATCAAGGCCAACTGCAGGCCCGCAAGGTGATCGATATCCTGCGGGAGATGCGTGCGCGCCTGAAAATGGCCCGGGGATGGTTCCGGACCCTGAACCGCGTCCACAGCTACTTCTCTAAAGTAAAGCGTGATTATCGCCGCCAGTCGCGCAAGGTCGACATGGTCGATGGGATGGACGCCCATACCAACGGCATCCGTGCCGGTCTCGACGAGTTCAAACTCATCGAGAAACTGTTCCTGGACTTTGGCTCGATCGAGGATCAACTGCCGGAGAACGCTCCGGAAGAGGATGGTGCCGCCGCGGCCAGTGACCGGGCGACGAACCTCAGCGACGCCGGTAGTAACGCCGTTCGCAGCGAGACTGGAGATGCGGGCGAGCCACCGTTGGACGGTGCGGGGGGCCGTCGCGAATCCTGGGTCCCCGTGAATAGCCCCGGCATGCCTCTTCCTGGGCCGGATGGGGAGCGCCGACCGAGCCTGCCCTTGCCACCAAGCCGCTCGTTGCAGTCTCAGTCGCCCTTCTCTCTCCCATCCTTGCAGCATCACCCCGAGGGTGGCTTATACAACAGCTCCTCGCCGACCCTACCCTCGATTGCCCCCTCCGGCTCGTATGGCCCGCCTCCCACCACCTCGGCGGGCCCGACCTCGCAGTACAGCGTCATGCCGCCGCAGTCCAACCGACTTCAGCCACTGAACTCGTGGCTGAATAACCGACAACAACCTCCCCCTCCCCCATACTCCCAATCTCTCCCCCCCATCAATGCGACGACGTCTGGTCTGCCGCTGCTCCCACCCCCGGGCTCGGTCGGTCACCCGGGGGCCTCGCCACCGATGACGGTGGATGGGATGGACCACCTGGGCTCGAGCGGTCCCTGGACGACGAGTCTGGGTGGAGAAGATGTGCTCGCCTTCCTGGAAGGATGCGAGTTCGAACCGCTGCCGGTCACGATCTCACCCGCTTTGGGTGTTTCCGCTGGCTGGCTGACTACAGTCTGGACCGAGTTTGTCCGGTAAAACTGACTGATTTGTATGTTTCGTTGATTTGTCCGTATGTTTCCTTTTGTCTATTCTCGTTTGTCTGTACCATTATCTTGATGCACTGTATGAGTATGTATGCCGTGACTCCGACGGCCTCACGACGATCACGCGCGGTTGGGAATGAGGGTTCCGGCAGGACCTTAAAAAGGCACGAGATGGGTCTGATTTCTGACTGCTTTTGGGCGCAAGCGATGATGGATGGATGGTCTTGGGTCTTTTGAGCGCGGCGTCTGGTTGATAGCATGATTGTTGATACGTATTTACGGTCAGCATTGACCTCAACGGTCTCTACAATTGAGGATTCTTGATAAGCTTATCCAGTCTGCGTAGACCTGTGTGTTCGTGTAGTTGAATCATTGACACGCGACCCTGATTCCTGAGGCATTCAGTTAGATAAAAACACACGTGACCGGGTAGCATGATGGATACATCGACCACGATCTCGACGACAACCTCCAGAAACCACCACATCTCTCCTTTACTCTGTCCCGGACCCAATCGACCTGAATATAATTCGATACAGGTATCCCACAGTAACGGGCCATGAGATAACGTCCACTCCTACCATGGCCGACAGCGCTTACCCATACGACACCAGTCTGGTCCGCGAGCTGCTCAAGAACAAGCGCAAAGCTCGAGGCATCCGGTCCTGTTTCCCCTGTCGACATCGCAAGGTCCGCTGCGACGGCCATGTCCCCTGCTCCAGCTGCGTCAAACGCAACCATCCCGAGCTGTGCCGTGTGCCGACGTCTTCCGGCCTCGGGAACGAGGATCTCCATCCTCCCGCCTCGGCTGCTCATTCCCAGGGTCCATCCGCTCCGAATCTAGATCCAACGTGAGCCATCCACACCGCGTCCAATCCACCCGTCTCACTTTCGCAGGTACCCAAAGACTGCCGCCCCAGGCGATGCAACAGCCGCCCTGATCGCCCGCCTGGAATCCATCGAGGAGCAAATCTCGTCGCTGAAGGCGGATCTTCGCGCTACCGCCGCCGCGGCAGCAACGACGACGACATCCACGCCCGCATCGCAGCCCAGTCCGCTGTCTGCCGGCGATGTCCAGCGGCCCGGCATGCGCGTCCGGCCCGCGAGCAAGTCGCCGGGCCGCTACGTCGTCGAAGACGCCACCGGCGCAACTATTTACCTCGGTCGACACTCGGATGCGCCCCTGGCGCTGGGCTGTCGACACACCGCATCCGCCACGGCCGGCGACCTCTCGCTGCATGATGCGCTGATCGAACAGTGCGTGCCGCGCGCGTATTCATTCACGGACCTCTGGGGCGCGGAGGCCACCGTCCGGGATGTCTGTAAGACGCTGCCCGACGACTCGGATGTGATTCGGTAGGGTTTTCGTTTCTTGGGAGATGGACTCAGGTTAATAGATGATGCAGGTACTGGCAGGCGTACCAGTCGACCGCGCACCCGTTCTACCCGGCGCTGGCGTCGATCGACCAGTTTGCACGCGCACTGTTTGCGTTCCTGGACCAGCGCGCGCTGGCGCCTGCCGAGGAACCGGACTCGTCGTGGCTAGCGCTTTTGTTCGCGGTGCTGGCGTGTGGGGTGCAGTTCTCGGATGATCCTATCAAGGAGCGCGACCTGCGGTCGAAAGTGTTGAGTAAGTTGGCGCTGTTGGGTCGGAAGGAGGGTGTGCTGATGCGGGGCAGTTTGCTCATCGATGCAGTGTCTGCGCATGTCCAACTTCTTCAACCAGACGAATCTGGACCAGATCCAGGCCATGGTGCTCATTGGGCATTGCTTGCGGAATAACCTTGACACGAACAGCGCGTGGATTTTAATGGGTAAGTTGTGCGCTGGGAGTCTGGCTCTGGTAGACTGACGCGTCAGGCGTGACCATTCGACTGGCGCAGAGTATTGGGCTTCACGAAGCGTGTCCGTCCCTGCCGGCAGCGGAGCAGTTCCAGCGAAGCAGGCTATGGTATGTAGACTTGTATTTTCGCGGGTAAGATCTAATCGACGTACCAGGTGGACGGTTATCTTGCAAGATACGTTTTTATCCTTCATATACGACCGCCCTCTCAGCACCATCACCATGACCTGTCCGGTCCCGTACCACCGCAACCCCGACGGCCTCACGTACGAAGAATGCGTCTTCACCATCAGCCATTTGATCCAGGATAAAGCCCGTCAGGAAACAGCCGGTAACATGCAGGATCCTTTCGAGAGCATGTGCGAGTCCAAGCGCCAGCTGGACGGCATCCGCGACGCCGCCGCGCCCTTCCTTACCGACAAGCGCCGCTGCATCTCGGTGCAGAACCATCTGGAGCGGCTGGCTCTGGGCGTCCACTTCGGCTATGTGGCCTGTCGGCTCAACCGTGTATACCTGGATGGCGTGGACGCAGACGCAGCCGATCAAACGACCACGGCTGCAGCGGTAGACTGCGTGCAGCGCGCGATGCAGGCCGTCGAGAGCTTCCTCGATCTGCACCGCTTCTCTGCCAGCGTGTGCCGCATGTGGGCGTTTGTGCACAACGCCGTGAGCTGCGCCATCACGCTCAAGAGTCTCAGCGACATGCCTGTCGATGACCGGCAAAAGCCAGACCTCCTCGTGCAGCGGTTGACCGCTGTACTCGAGAAGGAGGAGAAAGACTCCGAGTGGCGCGATGCTGACACCAACGTGCGCTACTTCGGGCCGTATTCCCGGGCGCTGAAGGCTCTCCGGGAGATCAGCCGGAGTTCCGGCTAACTATTTACGATGCTTGACTGGGCGAATCCACTACTTTTGAATCTCTAATATACGCTCTATGGTCTATCGGCTATATACACAAATGACAGATGCAGCTTACGCGGTGCACCTACACACGCCGCTTGGCACGCACGTAAAAGTTCAACGGCCGGATGAGCTGGAACTCAGGGTCGTAATCGATGGCCTCCTGGCCCTCGCGCACGAACTCGTACCGACTCAGCAGCTCGCCCAGCAGGATCTTGACCTCCAGCAGGGCGAAGTTGAAGCCGATGCAGCCGCGCGGGCCCGTCGCGAACGGCACGTACGCGCAGCGGTGGCGGTTTTTTACCTCGTCCGTGTCCCAGCGGTCCGGGTCGAAGCGGAACGGATCGCGCCAGATCTTTGGGTTGGTGTGGATGGCGTACAGCGCGGGGACGATGACACTGTCGGGCGGCAGGCGGTAGCCGCCGGGGAGGACGACATCGGTCTTGGAGGTGCGGCCGGGCTGGAAGGAGGCGTTGTGCAGGCGCTGCGTCTCCTTGACGAACTTGTCCATGTACGGCAGGCTGTGGGCCAGATCGGGGGTCCAGGTGGTCTGGTTGCGCTCGCCGTTGGGGCCGACAATGCCGTACTCTACCAGCTCCTGGTACAGCCGGTCTTGGGTGCCCTCGTACGTGACGAGGCAGTAGATCAGCCACGACAGCAGGGCGGAGGTCGTGGTGAAGCCGGCGCCGGTGACGACCAGCACATTGGCGAGGATGAGCCCCGGCGGGAAGCGCTCGCCCTTGTCGTCGACGGCGTGCAGGAGGTAGTCGACGGCGCAGGTGGCGGACAGCGCGGCGTCGGCCATGGGGGCATCGGCGCTGCGCGACTCGGCGGCGACGGCGTCGATCTGCTCCTGCAGCAGCGAGTAGATGGTGTGCTGGACGTGGCGGAGGCGGGCGGGGTCGCCGAACGGCAGATGGCGGTACCACTCGCCGCGGGCGGTGATCTTCTTGTTGAGCGAGAGCAGGCTGGCGATGTTGGTGACGATGGGGTGCAGCGGGCTGTCGATGGAGTCGAAGTGGCCGAAGTCTTTGCTAAGCGAGAAGCTACCGACGGTCTGCGACGCCAGCTTGAGCATGTACTGATAGACGTTCCAGGCCTCGTCGCGGGCGTCCAGCTCGTCGAAGACGGGCAGGGACTTGCGCGCGCACGCTTGCATCAGCCCCGTGTAGTGCCGCACGGCTTTCGGCCCCATCGACGGCGGCAGGTACTTGTGCGCCAGCCGCCAGTTCTCCGTCTCCGTGTCGCCGAGGAAGATGGCCGTGTTGTCCTTGACGCCCCAGAGCGGGTGGTCCGAGTTGATCTTCTTGGTCATGTACGCCGACTCGGCCAAGCACACCGCCGCCACTGCCGGGTCGTCCGTGAGGTAGATCGTCTTGCCCATGTTGGTGGTCTTGATGACGGGGCCGTACTTGCGGAAGAGGCGATAGTGGTTGCCCAGGTGGTCTGGGAAGATCTCGTAGAAGCTGCCTACGAGGGGGAGGCCGGGAGGGCCCTGCGGCGACTGCACTGCGTTGCCATCGATGCGCAGGCCGACGGGGGCCGTCGGCGCGGATGCGGCCGTGAGGACGTCGGCCACCGTCGTGAGAGGCTCATTCGAGTCGCTGTGGAAGGAGATGCCCGTCGGCTGTGCGACGTGGAACACGCCGCCGACAGCGCGCTGGAGGTCCTCGAACTTCCATCGGGCGTCGACGTCGAGAGACTGCGCCGTGGAGACGTCGTCTCCTACAAGGTAGAAGTGACACTGCATGATGGTTGATGACTGGTTCGGGTATAGAGACTGACAGGACGACTCACCTGGCTACAGCCGACTTTATATCAGATCTATTGTCTGAACAAGACCTCATTCCGAATATCCGTCTGTTTCACCATCGTAGTTTCTTCGGCTTCCCGGACGGCCGAAGTTCGCACGAAACTCGCCCGGCATATCGGGATGCCGAAGTCAGCGGAGATCTGGAAAAGACGGAAGACGGAAGACGGCATTTGTCGAGACATGGCACGATATAAATAATAAATATTGGACCCGTCTGGCAGACTCGCACAAGCATTATCTACGCTGTCAACATGGCGACCTTCACCCTGGAACAGGTCCAGAAGCACAACACCGCCGACGATCTCTGGATCGTCCTCCACAACAAAGGTAGTCTGCCTCCACCGGGCCTTAGACCACGACTAACCTCTACAGTGTACGATGTGACCAAGTACCTGGACGACCATCCCGGCGGAACAGAAGTGCTCGTCGAGGTGGCCGGCACGGACGCCACCGAAGCCTTCGAAGGAGTCGGACACTCGGACGAAGCGCGTGAACAGCTCGAGCCGTACTATGTCGGCGACCTGCCGTCCGAGGTACCTTACGCTCCCCCAACCTGCAACTCCCCTTCTGACATCCTCAGGAACAAACCGAAGCCGTCGAGATCTACCGCCCGAACTTCGAGCAAGTCTCGCAGTCGGCTGCCGTCAACGTGAAGAAGGCCTCCCCAAGGGGATCTTTCCTCCGCACGGCAGTCAAACTCGGCCTGGGCGGGCTTCTCGGCACCGCCATCGCAACCGCCTACCGTCGAGGATTGACACCCTCGCAAGTCCTGCAGCTCGCGCGCTCCACAATCTCCTCCAGCCCGCTCCCCCGGGGGCCCGGCGGTAGCGACGGCGCCAGCTTCTGGTCCGGCGTGGGCATCGCCAGCATCGCACAGTTCAGCGCCACCATCGGCCTCGGCTTCTGGGTGTCCACCAAGCTGGACGTGCAACAAGAGTTCACGCACTACGCGCCGCGCCGGCATGCATCCCCCGCACGCCTAATCCGCCTGCGCAAGACCTACACCCTCAACACCCCGCGACGAGCACCCCTCGACCCGCGCCAATGGCGCCCCTTCACTCTCACGCACAAAACCGAGATCGCCCCGCACGTCTACCACCTCGTCTTCGCACTGCCACACGCAGACGACACCCTCGGCCTCCCAACCGGCCAGCACATCGCGCTCCGCGCCACGATCAACGGCACCGCCGTCACACGCTCCTACACGCCCATCTCCAACAACAGCGACCGCGGCCGCATCGAGCTGCTGGTCAAGGTCTACCCCTCCGGCACGATGACGCAGCACCTCGCGCAGATGAAACCCGGCAGCACGATCGACATCCGCGGCCCCAAGGGCGCAATGCAGTACTCGCGTCGCTACGCGAAACGCATCGGCATGATCGCCGGCGGCACAGGCATCACCCCCATGTACCAGCTCATCCGGGCGATCTGCGAAGACCCCGCCGACGCCGACACGCGCGTCGCGCTGCTGTATGCGAACAACGCCGAGGACGATATCCTGCTGCGGGCGGAGCTGGATGCGCTTGCAAGGGATTATCCGGAGAGGTTTGAGGTGCGCTATGTGCTGAGCCGGCCGGGCGAGAACTGGACCGGGTATAGGGGGTTTGTGGATAAGGGGCTTATCGCGGAGCATATGCCGATGCCGGCGGAGGAGCATAGGATGCTGCTGTGCGGGCCGCCGCCCATGGTGGATGCGATGAAGAAGGTGTTGGGGGGGATGGGGTGGGCGATGCCTGGGGCTGTGGCTAAGGCAGGGGATCAGGTGTTTTGTTTTTAGATGTATAGAATGGATGTTTGTTGCTTATATCTTTACTTTGGAGTGTCATATACGGGCAGAGCAGATTTAGAAAATAGAGTGTATCATATTCTTATATCTACTTTCATGTTTATGTCTATATCGTTAATAGGGTAGATGGAGCAGTGTATAGACACTGGTGTATTCTGATCTTCTCATCATAGTGTAGGTGCAACGATACCTCAACATAGTAATACTGCTCGACGAGTACTCGGGAGCGCATGCCCCATCTAGAAAGCAAACCACCCCGTCGTAAGCCTCCGTGCCGACACCCGAAGGTATTGTAGTCCCTGATCTATACCCAGAACCCACTCCGAACCATCTCCGTTCCGAGTCCGACGCTCTCCGAGCCCGTCCGACGCCGTCCACGACAGACATCTCGGTATCCCGGCACATCATCGTCGACGATGACGTGAAGTCAGTTCAAGAGCGGTATATAATGCGCGACTACGACTGCGACTGCGACCTGATTTGGTACTGTGTGCAGCCACTACCTACCTACATCCACACCCTGACATTTCATACTATACTACCACCAGAAAGACAATGACAATCACACCCTCCAAAACCAGACCAGTCGTCATACTAGGCGCGGGCGTGCTTGGCCGGCGCATCGCGGCCGTCTTCGCAGCCGGCGGGTACAAAGTGCACATCCGAGACCCATCGTCGCAAGCCCTCTCCGACGCACGCGCATACATCGCCACGCACATTGCCGAGTTCACCGCACACACGCCGGACAAACCCGTCCCCGGCGCCATGTCGACCTTCACCTCCATCGCGGACGCAGTCGCCGACGCCTGGCTCGTGGTGGAAGCCGTGCCGGAGAAACTGGCGCTGAAAATTCGCACGTTCGGCGAGGTCGACCGGGCGGCGCCGGCGGACTGCATCCTCGCGTCGAACAGCAGCTCGTTCAAGTCGCGGCTGATGCTGGACGAGGTGCGGGGCGCGCGGCGGGCGCGCGTGCTCAACATGCACTTCACGATGCCGCCGGCGATCCGCACGGTGGAGCTCATGACGGACGGGGAGACGGAGGGCGCGCTGTTCCCGCTGCTGAGCGGGGTGCTGCGCGAGTGCGGGACCGTGCCGGTGACGGCGCGGAAGGAGTCGACGGGGTTTATTTTTAACCGGCTGTGGGCGGCGATTAAGCGCGAGATTCTGTTTATTCTGGCGGAGGGGGTGAGCTCCGCGGAGGAGATCGATGTCCTCTGGGAGCATATGTTCCAGCTGCCCGAGAGTCTGCCGCCGTGTCGGCTGATGGATCAGATCGGGCTGGACACTGTTGCGTTCATTGAGGATAACTATGTCCAGGAGCGCGGGCTGGACGGCGCCATGACGGTGGACTGGCTGCGCGAGAAGTATCTCAATGCGGGCCGGTTGGGTCTGAAGAGCGACAAGGGCGGGCTGTATGGGCCGCCCAACGCCGCGGATGAACGGGCAGGTAATGGAGGCAAGGAGGCGACGATCTATCTTCTTGACGTCGGTCTCGGCTCGAACAACGCCGATATCAGCAAGATCCCCACAGCCGGCAAGATCCTGAAGTTCCAGCCGACGACAGGCAGGACGACTACTATTGTCACGGGGCAGTCGCTCCCGGACGGGATCGACGTGTCGTGGGCGACGGGCCGCATCTTCTGGACAAACATGGGGCGGGCAATGTCCACGCACGACGGATCAGTGCACTCGGCGACGCTGGATGGCGGAGACGTGCGCACGCTGCTGCCAGTGGGCACGGTGCACACCCCCAAGCAGCTGGTCGTGGACGACACGACGCAGCACGTGTACTTCTGCGACCGCGAGGGGATGAGCGTGCACCGGGTGCGGTTTGACGGCACGGGGCACGAGGTGCTGGTGCGGACGGGCGCGCTGGAGGATGCCGTCGAGCGGGCCGATATGACGCGGTGGTGTGTGGGGACTGCGCTGGACCGGCGCGCCGGCCATGTGTACTGGACGCAGAAGGGTCCGAGTAAGAGTGGTCGCGGACGGATCTTCCGCGCTGGGATTGAGGTGCCTGCCGGGCAGAGAGCAGAGTCTCGCGAGGACGTGGAGCTGGTGCTCGACGGGCTGCCGGAGCCGATTGATCTGGAGTTTGATGAGGAAGAGCGGACGCTGTACTGGACGGACCGGGGAGAGCATCCCACCGGGTGCTCGTTGAACCGGGTCGTGGTGGGCGATGGCAAGGTGGATAAGGCTGCATTGAAGACCTCGATGGAGATCCTGGCCCGCCAGTTCCATGAGCCGATTGGGTTGAAGCTGGATGCGAGGAAGCAGGTATATGTTGCAGACTTGGGTGGCAGTGTGTACCGTGTCAAGGACGGGGTGAAGACTGTGGTGCGGAATGATAATGGGTGCTATACGGGGGTTGCGATCGGCCAGTGATGGTGTATTTAGACTGTGATTTGTATAGTAACTTGACTTATATAGACATTGCTTGAATCTATTCATCTAAAAGACCAAGCCACCACCTAAGACCGTCAGTATATACCATGCAAAAAGCCGAGGACTTACCGTCAACAACTATATCCGCCCCATTCACATAGCTCCCCCCGATATCACTGCAAAGAAACACCACCGGCCCTGTCAGTTCCTGCGTCGATCCCATCCGCCGCATGGGATTGCGCTCCGACCAGATCTGTCGCCACGGCTCGAGATCATCGCCCTCATTGAGCACTGTGTCCATGTACCCCGGCGAGATACTGTTTACCCGGATGCCGTAGCGCGTCCATTCCGCCGCCAGACTGCGGCGCATGTGCAACACCGCCGCCTTGGAGACGTTGTACGCGATCTGCGGCTGCGGGAAGTTGACCCGGTGGCCGCTGATGGAGGCGACGAGGACGATTTTGCCGCCCCGGCCACCCGAGATCATCTCCCTATATCTGTGAGAATCATCTCTCAGGGAATAAATGACAGGGGTGATACCGTCCAAACGCCTGAGCGGCGATCCATGACCCCGTCGTGTTGACATCGATGACACGCCGCCACTGTTCAATGGCGAGGTCCTCGGCGGCCACGCAGTTGACCATCCCCGCGAAACAGCAGAGGATGTTGACGCTGCCCAGCTGGTCGCGCACCTGCTGCGCGATGGTGTTCATACCCTGCGCATCGGTGACGTCGCACGGGAATGTGACGATCTTCGCAGCAGGAAAGTCCTGACGGAGCGTGGTGATGGCCGAATCGCCTTTCTCCAAAGCCGCCGGGAGGTCGAGGAGCGCGAGGCCCGCGAGGCCGTGTTCCAACAAGGCACGGGCAGAGGCTAGGGCGAGCATGCCGGCGCCGCCGGTGACTGCGCTGTTAGCCTGGTCTACCGAGCCCAAGACGACAGGTGCATACACGCGGCGTTCCCGCTGACGGCGAACCGCATGGACGCTCGCTCTGCGGCGGAGGTGTTCTCTGGGAATTGTGCCGGAGGAGGCGTCAACGACGCGGAGGGATCAACTTCTCCCAGACGGATCCAGGGCATCGAAACGGGCTGGGATGAGCTCATGATGGTGGTGTGGTGGACGAGACAAAGGAGGAAGGGTAATCCGCATTGGTATACGGCGGAGACATGCGGAGTAACGAGGCTACCCCTCATCCGTCATGCACGCTCTATGCTGTACGGGCAAAATCATGACATCGAGCGGAGTGCAGTCCCCCGACGGAGCTATCGAGTACAGATGAACTACCGGTGATGACGCTACTGGGAGACTATTTTTTATAAGATTATCCGCAGCAGAAAGGCCAGAGCCAGCTCATAAATGCCAATCCTTATTCCGGTCAGATCTATGTACGACAAGACCTTAGACATGACTGATCTGCCAGCAATAGTCCGTTAGCAAATCAACTAACTCCTGATCTTGGTATAAGAGTGAACATGAACGAGAGGTCAGGAGAAGAATGCAAGCCCGCATCATAACCCAGATCAACACCCTTCCTCACGTGGGTTGCTTTTAATAACCGTCCTCATCGGCTTGCTGGTAAACATGTCGAGTTCGCGCAGGATCCTTGCGCATTTGCTGACCGGACCCAGTGAAGCCCACTGCACCATGTCAGCCTAGATTCCTATAACCATCATGCGTACACCTACCTCGAGCATTCACCCCCTCTCCCGTCCGGAACATACTCTGCTTGCGACCCAGCTTCCCCTTGCTGGCAAAGTCCTTCCACTTCATCTTACCCTCTTCCAGCTCCTTGTTGGCCTTGACCTTCCGCGGGGCCTTGGCGGGCCGGGCAGGCCCATCGCTGACCTTACTGGGCTCCCGACGGGCCTCATTCGCCAGCGCGGGATTGATGTCTGCGGCGGCGGAGATGACGCTCGCATGAGGGGGTTGAGGAGCAGGAGATTGGGAAGCGGAACTGCCTGAGCTTGCATCAGCCTTGCGCTTACGCGAGTCACTGCCGGAGATGGGTCTGAGATCCTTTGCGGTTAGCGATTCTACCGTGCCGTAGGACTTGAACGAGACGATGTAGACCGGGTTGCTGGAGGAGCCGGTGATGGAGGTGATGCGCGCGGGGTAGAAGGCATTGTCGCCGGACACCCAGCGAGCGAGGACATTCTCGTTGACGGAGAAGGATGCGGGAGAAGGCGGTTGTTGGTGGTGAGAGGGTGGCGGCGGAGGGAGATCATTGTCTAGAGGTTTCCGGGCGTAATGTTGAGACCCGCTACTTTCTCTTCCAGCTGAGGCTTTGTGATTGGAAACGGGAGGCGATGGCTTGGATGCCGCGGGGGCGGGGGCGGAAGGTTTTAGCTCGGCGATAGAGGTTTCGGTGAGAGATATGAGTTCTTCCAGCTCAGCTTTGAGACTCTGTAGTTCCGTGTTGTCTGGGTCTACCTGCAAACTGGATTGGACGGTTTCCAGCTGGGACTGTTAGCGAAAGACAAAAGACGCAAGGCGGAAGGTTGAGGAGAGGAAGGAACACACCTGAAGCTTGAATTCCTTGACCTCGGCTTCGAGAGACGCGACGTCCGCCATGATTGTGAGGGTTGATGCAGATGGAGGGGATGGGTACTAGGGAGATAATGGTGGTGATGGTGGTTCGTGATGGGCCGAGACGGAGATCAATCTTGATAAGCGCTTGCCTGATTGGGGAATCACGTGCAATGACTTCATCTCTTCTACAGGGAGGCCCTTAGTATCTATGCTACATTCCAATTAAGTATCAGAGAAGAAGTATAGTATACGAGTAGAAGAGGTCAATTATGGTAGACCCTAGTAGATAACCTGATCCTTTAATATCTCTTCCCACGATCGACTTATCTCCACAGAAAACCTCGTGCAGAATGAGTCAGAATCTTCGATGGTCTGGCCTGATTTCTAAGCAATCCACGCCATACCGGAAACAGCATCCCCTCTTTGCCTCATCCTCCTCCACCTCGTTTCATTCTTTCTACTCCGTACCCTCCCTCCTCTACTATCCTACTACGCCTCCTCCTACTCCCTACTTCCTAGGCAGTCAGTCTATCTCTCGGTCGTGTTCCAGCCTCTCTCAGCCACCGACCCGAGTCTGTCTGCCACCCCCCCAATTGTCTCTTGGTCCTGCCCACTTCCTCCCCTTAACTCCGAGTCGTCAACTCAAAACCCCTCCCAATAATACGAGCTGACACCACTCCTCCTCTCCTCTCCTCTTCTCTTCTCTCCTCTCGCTTGTCCTCTGAGGTCATTGCCTTCGCTATCCCCCTTCTGCCTAGTTTCTCCGATCTTCTTCCCCCTCCGATTTCCTTCCGGTCTGACTGAAACCCCCCGTCCGGTTTTTGCCTCCTATCGTCACTCCTTCCACCTCATCGTATCCCTCACTCTCTCTTCCACTGCCGTCCGCGGTGGATGTCCTGTCTCTAGTCTTCACCAGCCCCATCCTCTTCTCTTCGATTCTAACCCTCCACCCGTTCCATCCCCTCTTATCACCCCTCTGCTTGGTTCGCGTTCGTCGCGCCTCCCACCTTTCTCCACCGCTCTTCCAAGTGATCCGATACAACCAACGGGCGGGAAGCCCGGCCCTACCATCTCATCAGTCTCTCAGGCTTAGTCGACCAGCCAATCCGTGTCAATAATCCTCCTCCAACGCCCATCAGCCTAGTGGTAGCTATCAATCGACATGACCGACTACAACTCCCTGTACCAACAAGGCCTCTATCTTTCTCCCGATCAACAGAGTCTCTTGCTTGCTGCGCTATCCTCCAACAACCCTTCTCAAAAACAGCCGCAAAATCAGTCCAAAACCCCTCAACCCAAGTCCGAACCTGAGTCCACCCCGGCCCAGCCATCCTCCGGCAGTTTTACCATGTCTCCAGGGTTCAACCACTCCCGGAACCATTCCGGCGGCCTTGGATTCGGCGATGATGAGAGCCCTTTCCTCGACTTCAACCCGGAGCTCGATTTCGACTTTCACGGCACCGAGAATCTTATCGGTGATATACCCGGAGTGCTTTCGGACGACCACGAACCCGGTGAGAAGCGCAAGGATCTGGAGGGTCGTTCCGACTACGACAATGAAGAATCCGGCAAGAAACGGAGGGAAAGTGACGACAAAACGGCCAAGAAGCCGGGGCGCAAACCGCTGACTTCGGAGCCAACTTCGGTATGCTCCAGTCCTGCTGCTAACCCCACCAATCGTCTATTCCTAACCTGTTCTGTAGAAGCGCAAGGCGCAGAATCGTGCCGCTCAGCGTGCTTTCCGTGAACGCAAAGAAAAGCACCTGAAGGACCTGGAGACCAAGGTCGAAGAACTGCAAAAGGCCTCAGACAACGCCAACCAGGAAAATGGCCTGCTGCGGGCCCAAGTCGAACGTCTGCAAGTAGAACTCCGGGAATATCGCAAGCGCCTCTCCTGGGTGACGAGTGGCAACGGGCTTTCCGCTATCAATGCCATTCCCGGAGCCCACTCCCGCGGAACGTATGGCCTGAATAACAACGACTTCATGTTTGATTTCCCCAAGTTTGGTGATCTCCCTGGCTCGCACATCTTCAACAACAACAACCAATTGCAGAAGATGAACCAGAACAAGCCCCAGGAAGGCCAGTCCCCCACCGCTCGGAGATCCGATTCCAACGTCCCGGGTGTTTTGAATCGGGATTCTCTCAACACCGCAAGGAATGCCGGACTGTCCCCGCTTAAGACGAATTCCCCTGCAGCCACCTCGGTCCCATCAACCAGAGGCACCCCCATCACTTCCCAAGGGTCCACCAGGAGCCCGGCTCTGCCCAAGCCTCTTTACCATAGGGCGGCGACGTCGACAAACGATGCGTCGAATTCGGACTCTCCGTCATCTTCGTCCGATTCACATCAAAGCCAGCTACTGTCCTCGAGCGGCACATCGCCCGAGCCGTCGACCAACTCTCCAGCCAACAAGCCGCAGGACAACCACCATCATACCTGTACCTATAACACCATTGATGGGCAGGAATCCTTCTGCGCACAGCTGGGCCTCGCGTGCGGCAACATCAATAACCCTATTCCAGCGGTGCGCAATAAGAGTCCAAGCGTCTCAAACACTCCCGGCCAGGCCGGAGAAGCCGAACAGTTCCCCGGACTCGATTCTCTGGCCCAGCAGAACGGAGGCCAATTTGACCCGGTCCTGTTTGGCGACTGGCGGGAGCCCCAGGATGCCATCCTGTCTCAGGATTTTGGCACTTTCTTTGACGATGCATTCCCCCTACCGGATCTGGGTAGTCCTTCGCACAACTTCAGCGAGTTGGGACATCAGCAACCAAAGAAAGACCTGATTTCCCTGATCGACGACAAGCTGGATGAAGACGAGGTGGTTCCGGGAGAGGACAAGACCCAGATGCTCAGCTGCACGAAGATATGGTACGTTCTTTTCGCTCGTTGCTTGTCCCCAGTCTTCAGTCCAAACAGTCACTGACATTCTTGACAGGGATCGTCTCCAGTCCATGGAAAAGTTCCGCAACGGCGAAATCGACGTCGACAATCTCTGTTCGGAGCTCCGCACCAAGGCCCGTTGCTCGGAGGGTGGCGTGGTCGTGAACCAGAAGGATGTCGACGACATCATGGGCCGCGCAACGCACTGAGTCAGCCGACTATCAATCTAATCATGGACTATATACCCTCTACGATCATATACGATACTGCAATTGATGTCATCACGAGCAAGCACGGGAAAAATCTAAAACACTGGGAATTTAAATACCAAGGGAAAGCGATATGTCGGGGTATGCTTCTTCGGGTTTCGAGTTTGGAGTCAATGTACAGGACAAGCGCCAGAGTCGGTCCCTTCGATATACATGTATAGCAAGGAAAGGCGCGTGGTGGTGATCTGATCTCTCGTTTTTGACCTTCCTCTGCCAATGTTTCCTTTCTGATACTCGCACTAAGAAAACGGAAAACGACAATAAGCTAGTCGGTCTAGCCGGTGTCTCTGGATTGTTATTTTCATTGTGGATTCTTGGACGGTTGGTTGATTTGGTTTCATCCTGGGTTGGAGTGGGTGCCTTATACATGAGCTCGTTCTAATTCAGCGCAATGAACTTTCTACCTGACCACGCTCCATCTCTATCTACCGAGGACTTTACCCATCTACGAAGACTGACCCAGACAGTATGAAGTACAAGGGTATCGATATTGAGCGTCCCAGGAAACGGGCAAGGAAACAAAGATGCTAAAGTACACAAAAGGATTCTTCCAGTTGCCAGATATTGGGGTCTCCTTTTTTTCTGATTTTTTTTCTTTTTTAAATCCCTCCTGTAGAAAGGTTTATTGCCGTCGCTTTTTGATGTCGATATCGCCAATCCATCTTTTATTCTCAAAGCACGTAACGTCCCTCTACCCACCCCATCACCATCCGCACCAACCAGACCAAATCCCATCTTTAAGTATCGAAACCAGCCGATAGATCCTCCGGTCTTCCTTCTCGCGGCATCGCACCAACAGCTTCCCCGAAGGTCAAAGGTCCTCGCAGGTCTCGCTCGACGAGTGCCTGCTGGAAATATGGACACGAAGGGTATTATTCGACGCACAACTCGTTCGGGAAAAGGGGAGGTGGAAGGAGACGAAGGAAGAAAAGGCGAAGACGAAAGACAATCCGGCTTTGCAAATATCACAAGAATAGAAATTAGAGTATCAATGGAGGTGTCCGTGTGTCCAAAGACATCCATGTGGCTGGAAGATCCGGAGCCTGAAGCGCAATTGGGAAAAAGAACACAGCCGAGAAGGGAAACGACAAAGTCAAAAAATGGAAAAGGGGAAATGAAGATTAAACGACGCTAGGTAGGCAGAACAGCAACGTGAATCCCTTAGGCGTCCCCACCAGATGCGGCAGGTTTGTCACCAGAGGGCGTCGGAGCTGGGGAGTCTGAAGTCGGGGCTGAACCCTTGCTGAAACCACCCCGGCCACTGCGTCCGCCACGGCCGCCACGATCGCCACGACCACGACCGCGTCCACCGAAGCCACCACGTCCCCGTCCACCCTCGCTGTCGCTCGCACCGCCGCTCTGGTATCCGCGCTGAGTGTTGCCGCCACGGTTGCTGCTCTGCCACGTACCGGCGTTGCCGCGGTGGCTACCACGGTCTTCGAAGAACTTGATGTTGGGCTTACGAGGCTGGCCAGGGGGACTAGGCTTCTTGTGCTCGGCAGGCTGACGATCAAGCGCGGCCTTGGCCTCCTCCGGGGTTCCGAACTTCACGACGTGGTTGTTGTACTTGCCCCATTTTTCCACAGATTTGATATTGTCCTTGTCCTCGTCGGGGAATAAGTCGCGCACCGCCTGCTCATTGTCCACGTTAGACACGAACAGTCCATTGCTCTGCTTCTTCTCCCCCTTGGGCGTATCAGTCGACTTTTCGGGCTGGACCGAGCCGTTCGCATCAGTGCTGGGAGCCTTCTCATCGGACGCAGAGGTGGGTTGAGCGGGAGCAGGGCCAGAAGGCTGAGGGGTCTCGGTCTTGGGGATGACGGGAGCAGGAGAAGCGGTGGGCTGGTTCTTGGGCGCCTGCTGCTGAGGACCGCCAGTGCGGGCAGGGGTAGGCTGGACCTGACCGAACTGGGGAGGAGCACGAGCGGCCGGAGACGCCACGCCGGGAGGAGGACCAGCCGGCACAGCAGGAGCAGCAGCGGGGGCGCCGGCGGCCTGAGGCTTTCCACTGCGGTGAGCAAAGTTGAAACCCTGGGCGCGCATTTCTGTAGCAATGCGGCCCGCCTCGATCTCAAGGACAAGGAAACCAAAGGCGGCATCGGCAAGGTTGAAGTTCCACATGTTCTTGAAGGCACTCTCATCGACCTGGCCAGCCGCAGTACCAGGAGCAGTCGGACCACCGAACGGGTTTCCACCGTTGGCAACACTAGGCATCTGATTCACCACGTTGAGAGCATTGTCCAGGAGAGTCTTCTGGGCTTCGTTGGAGGAGATAGCCGTCTCGACCTCGCCCCGAACAGTTTCCCACACGTCGTTAAAGGATGCCTTGGAAGCAGCCAGCTTGCCACGATAGTGATCCAGCGACGGGTTGACCGAGAACTCGTTGTAAGAAGAGCCGTAACGGAAGTGCAGACCGGCAGAGATGGAGAAGTCAGCCTTCAAGGTAACAGATAGCTGGTTCAGCATCCCCTCACGCGCAGGTGATGCATGTGTAACAAAGATACGGGTCTCCGATGGATCGTAGACGCGGTTGGCGGTATCGATAAGCTCACCCATCTGCAGAAGCGTCGTCCACATGGTGCCCTGGCCGCCGGCAATAGTGGTCTTACCCTCACCATTGTCGAACAGCTTGTGCATCACGACGGCACCTCCCAGTCCCAGGAGCCGGAGCTTCACGCCACCGATGTCCAGCAATCTCGAATTCGCTTCGTCGATGATGTGCAGCTTATCCACCTTGTACTCGCCGGACCGGAACTTCTCCAGCACCCGGACATCTTCACAAGCACCCCAGACCGTGTATACAGGGACATCAAGAGTAAGCCGCTTGTCGAGCAGCATCGGGAGTTCTGAGAGAGGGAGCTGGTCTGGGGTGAAACGTTGCTTGATGGATTGCTGGGGCGGAGTCGAGGCAATGCTGCGCTTCACATTTTCAGGAAGCAACGGGGAGTATTGCGCTACGTGTTTCAGGGTTCTATGATGTGATGATGTAGACGTTAGCCGCCGCTGCGTTGGTGAAGGAGAGCTGAGGTCCCGGAGGTGGCATGGATCCGCTTACTTGTCCGCAATCCGCTCCAACGAAGTGTCGTCATAAAAACCAAAGTCGCCGGTGTGGATGATGTGGTCCGCACGGGCCTGCTTGGCCAACTCATTCAGAGACTTCAGATTCCCTGTGTAACGATCAGTCAGGTCCGTTCTCGCAGCACCAACTGCGCGCCATCCGGCGTGGATTGAGACCCGTACCTCGAACATCGGCAATGCACAGGACTCTGGTGGGGCCATTCTGAATGATTCGACCATTGTTGGGAAGGAGAGGAGCGGCGCCAGGGACAGGACCGGAGGCACCGTTAGGGAGAGAATAGCCTTGAGGGCCGAAGTTGTGGGGGGGACGAGGCTAGCGGCAGAGAACGACAGCGTTAGCACGAGATGCCGACGGGATGAGGTTGGGCGCGTAGACGGGGAGATAGAACGCGTGGTTGGCAAGCAACCATACAATGAGCTCGCTCGCTCAACGAGAACTGAGACCGGAAGAGAGAGAGAGAGAGAGCTTTGGAGCAGTGGAGACTTACAGAAGCCATGAGTAGGTTCTATTAAAAGCTCGGAGAGAGGTAAATCAAGATGTGATAGTCGGGGGTGGTCTCGAATGATGACGAGCTGAGAGCGACAGAGACGGGTCGGGGAGGGGCAGGATGAGGACGCGCAAGAAAGATGGACGGAGAAGAAGAAGAGGAAGAAGAAGAACAAGGAGGCAAAAGTGAAAACACTTTTGAGATGCGACGAAGGCGAGAGGAGAGAGAGGAAGAAGAGGAGGAAGAAGGCCGTCGGAGGGAGAACGACCAGAAGAGAAACACGACGACGTACCGATTATGTCAGCAGCCAGGGGCTCTCCTTCTATCATCACTTTTTCTTTGCCTGCGCAAGGGACTTTGAATATTCCATCCCTCTACTGTCAATAATGGAGATGGCTTCATTCATTGACTGTTCCAGCTGTATTGAATAGGGCTGCTATAGAGCCCTTTATTTCATGAGATCGAACAACATATTCAATATTCACGTCATTATCTCAACAAACATCATATACTCCATAGTATCCAAAAGAACCCTTCACCAAGGCAATCCAAACAAGACAACAAATGATACCAAGTCAATCACGGTTCCGATCACAGCTCTTCTCCCCGCTGCTCTGTTAATCCATCACCCCCGGTCATCGCGCGCGCTACAGCATTCTGCAGTGATCCGGGCCCTTGCAATGCCATCAGCGCAAAGTGTCCTCCCACTGTGGGACGACAGCGACAAAGGACCGGCACCCCAGGACTGCGTCCTTTCGCGGACGTTGAAACATAGCGATCCGAGAATGGCCAATTGTGCTTGCCGTTGGTCATGAAAGCCCAAAGGTCATCGACAAACTCATCCCGGGTACTGGTGTCAGTGAACGTCCCCGCCAGCCACATGTTCCAGTCCGACTTGGCCCAATCCTGTCGGTTGTCCAGAGCGACGCCGTATTCCGCGCGCACGCGCTTGAAGAACAAATCGCTCATCTGGTACGCCTCCTGCGGGAACGTATTCAGGTCGAACAGCACGTCTGGGTACAGGTTATAGGGGATCTTCCACGACTCCGGCTTGTCTGGGTACTGCAGTACGAAATGCGACTGTTTTCTGTCCGTGCCCAGACCCTGAGTGTAGAAAAGGTTGGCGCGGTCTTCACCAATGCGGGAATACTCGCTCAGCCCTGTCAATTCGCCGAAGGCCTTTAGTCCCACGGCTGCCTTGATGGCCAGATTGGTCTCATTGGCCAAGGCGCCGGCGGCGTCGTTCGAGGACAGCTGCTTCGCAATGTCGACGCTGTTATCAACAAGATAGTCTGCATAGGGTCGGATGACATCGACGTATTCTGCAAGCCAATCGGTGTCGCCGGTAGCACGCACGTAGGCCAATGCGAGGACCATCAGGTTGCCGCATTCCTCGATGGGCATCGGCTCGGCTTTCTGGTTATCGTGGCCGATGGCGTTCGGGTAGTGTGCACCCATGTCGTGGATTACATATGGCTGTCGCCAGCGTCCTGCGCGGAGGTAGCGCATCATGGGCTCCAGCAGTAATCGAATGTAGTTCGGGTCCATGATGTAGTATATGGGGAATGCGGGCATAATCACATCCACGGTGTTGAGGTTCCCGTTACTCGAAAGCTCCTTGATGAAGGCCAGCACGTCGGTCGTGTCCAAGGAGTCGTTCGGAATGGTCAGGTCAATCCCTCCGTATGCCTGCCGTGCCGACAGAGTGACAATATCAGCGTACTTCTGGCCGGCGGCCGCCTTAGCTCTTATGGACATTTCCGCGTCCAGAATCAGCGATTCGGCAAGGGCCTGGGGATAGTCGTCCAGAAAATAGCGGACGGCCTGCGATGTCGTGGGGTATTCCGCCCGGTAGTAGCCCGTGTAGGGCTTTCCAAGGTAATTGATAGCCTTTTCGCGCACGTATCCGACGGCAAAATTCACAGACTGAGTACCAATCACCGGCCCAAGGTCGTGAGACAGCGCGACGATGCCTCCAGGGGCCCAGGGCTCGTCTCCTGCGAGCTTCCCAGTCTGCACAAACTGCGAGCGCACTTCTCCGCGTTTTCCTGAACCAAAGGAAAGCCGCGAGCGGAAGGTTGGTCGAGCTGCAAAAATCACATCGCCCCATGTCGCCATGTCGCTCTCCTCCGAATAAGGAACCGCATTCTTCACGTTGAGCGAGTAGATGGCGGTAGACTCGGCTTGTTGAAAGCTCCGCGCTGTATTTCGTGGCTTTCCAGTCCACCGTCCATCGATGCTGGAGTATATCTGAATATCATTGCCTGAGGCTCCAGAGACCGTCACAGTCAAATAACCTAGAGTGATGAGATCAGTGCCGACACTTTACAGACCAACGAGCATCTTACTGAATGGAAGAGACTGCCGGAGATAGTTGGATGGCGATATCGGCGAAAAGAAATCCAGCGTAAAAATGACTGGCCCCGCAGAGAGGGTGAAGATCGAATGCGTTGCAGTGTACTCGGCGCTGCGAACGATGGCCGGGCGAATCTTGTCGCCGGGGTTCTTTACGCTCATCAGACTGTAAGCCTGGCCGTCGACCCGTGCCATCACTGACCATGTCAGACTCTGACCCGCCCAGAACTGGGGCTCTGCGTAGGGCAGAGTCTGGACCTGGTCGGATGGCATCCATGTTGAGAGGTATGGACTGCGGACTGCCAATGGATACGACGGTGGCAGCGTTGGTTTATGCGAGACAATATCTCGCTCTCGGACAAAGAAGGAGAGCACCATTGTAGCGAGCGAGCCGATCCCTAGTCGGCTGTGGAAGTCGAGGAACATGATGTAGGTCCGGGATAGAAGGGCATCCCGGAGAGAGCACTATATATATGGAGTCCGCCCACCAGACGGACCGCAGTTCAGACGTGGGCGGATTGTTATAAGAATGCGATCTGCTGCGGTCCTTTCATAATCTCCGGGCTCAAAGCCACACGACGGGGCGAGACGCGGTGGACGTGGAGAACAGCCCCTGCTGGAGACGTCGATCGCATGTCGTCATGCGGTCGAACAGACGGTCTCAGCCTGTCAGGAACCACACAGGCTGACGGTGCAATGGAGACGAGGATCTTCTGACGAAGCTGTGGAGATTCCAGTCACGGATCCATGAATCTCGTCATCTGGTGGACGGGGTATAGTTGATGCGATTGTTTGCAGTTGTCCATCGTCCAGGAGTTGCCAAGAGAGCGAGAATGCGGGGTTTGCTTCATCCTCGCCGGTCAGTGCGAAAGTCGGTCTTGGCCGGACAGGATATATAAGGCAATGCTTGCTTGGTATGGAACTTCTGCATGTGTGAACTGTATGTCTCTGGTGGTGCAATGCAGATGACATCAACTCCATACAGCACTGTTGTCTAATAGTACGACTGACTCTATTGTATATACACTGCGAGCCCCGACAATCAAGCAAACACAACATTGTTCCTCAGCGTCCCAATCTTCGTGATATGGACATCCATCTGCGTACCCGGGACAAGGTACTTGGGCGGCGTCAACCCAGCTCCCACCCCTACTGAAGTCAGCAAAACAATCAACATCCAAGTCAGTCGACTCTTCTTACCTCCTGGAGTCCCCGTCATGATCACACTCCCCTTCTGCAGAGTCGTCCCCTGCGATAGATAGGAGATCAGATACTTGCAGTCAAACAGCAAGTCCGACACACTCTCGTCCTGTCTGACTTCCCCATCGACCGTGGTCCGCAGATGCAACTGGGTGGGATCGGGAATCTCCGAGCCCGCAACGAGACAAGGTCCCAGGGGCGCATAGGTATCAAATCCCTTAGAGAACCCCCATTGCGGCACGCGACCGGCAAAGGCTGGGTCTCTCTGCAGTTTGCGGGAGGAAATATCGTTGCCAACGGTGTACGCCGCGACATATTCGAGGGCCTTCTCGACGGGGACGTTTTTGGCGTCTTTTCCAATCACGAGACACTGCCGTGGCAAACTGTTAATACGACTACCATCGACAGCTGATGGAGACTCTCTTACCAGTTCTCCCTCGTAGTCCGCCTGGTCATCTGCGCGATCTTGGGGATCTCCACCGGGGCGCCGTGGTCGTGGACCGTCGTATTCGGCTTGAAGAAGATGAAAGGGAACGGAGGAGGCGTACGCCCTGCTTCGCGGACTATCCCAGTGGCATCGCGTTAGCCATCTTATACCTCCATTCCGAACTATACCATCGAACCGCTAGACTAGTACACTTACTGTGCTTCGCGTAATTTAACCCCACGCAGCGCAGAATAGGAACCTCCTCCCGCGCCAGCGGGACCCAGGAGCGTCTTCACCGTGACCACCTCGTCTGTCACTCGAGTCTTGCCCGTGGTGTCGTAGATATCGTCTCCGGAGATCACCCGCGCCTGGATCTGATCGGACTCGGTGACGAAGCCCAAGTCGACATCGTTCGAGACAATGGGCTCGCCGCGCAGGATGCGACCGTCCGTGGCTACAAAGCGAATCAACCGTTTCCAGGGCAAGCTCATGTTGTAGTATGACTGGCGATAATTACCGTAGAACCTAATGGGTGTCCCGCGCTTGGTTGTTTATGAGGGATTCCGGCGGGGATAGATCGGGAGGGATCCCCGGATCATCAGTGATAGTAGCTATGGCTCATGCATAGCTCGTGCCATCCAAGGTATGCATGAGAATTCTACTTTTCTAATGAGAACAAATCCTAGGAGATGTTGCCGCCTATATTACTAAAGTAACTAAGGAGATGACCCAGGTTAGTACTAGCACAAACCCCTGAAAGTATCATTACCTTGTCCCTGATACAAGAGCATCCTATGTCAGACTAGATGTAAATTCCGTGGCCAATGGCTCCGGTCGATTTACCAAAGCCAGAAGGTCACCGTCAACCATGAACTCGCCAAACTCCATTCCAAGAGGCGAAAAATCAAAGTCCGTAGATTGCATCACACTACCTTCACAAGGATAGCCAAACTGCTGTCCAAACATCGAATCTGCGCTCATATACCCTTGGCCTGCTAAAACAAGACAAAATACTTAGTACTGGTCGTCGAAGAGCTAGGTAGGAGCGTAGACTCACTCTGGACATTCAGCGTGTTAGTGAACCGCTCGAGGTATATACGACAGCGGTCGATCATACGGTTTCCACTGTCAAGCTTGAGCAGAGCAGCAATCGCACGGTACGGGTATGGCCGTGACTTATGCTCCAGCGACTCCATCGTTTTTCCCGTGATGCTCTCTTCGCGGCTGACCCAGAGGATTCCCAATATAACCAAAGCGGAATTAAAAGCTGTAGTTAGTTGGTTAGCCATTTATCCAGCGGCGTAGTATCTATATGCATCCCGCAAACATACTGTAATACAGTGAGAACCACCAAGCCCCAAGGAGGTTGTGTCGTCGACCGCACTCGTGCACTACACTATGCACAATATCGATGATTTCCATCGCCGACTCCGCACATATTTGCATGCTATTTAAACCGAGCTGTTGGAGCAGCTTGAGTTCTTGCGCATCTGGTTGGAACCCGCCACAAGCATCAATAAATCTCACAAGAACAGGACGATGCAATAGCACGCGGAGGTTCAAGTAGCGGAGCGTTAAGATGACCCGGAATTTCCAGGACGAGAACTGAAAGTCAGCTGATGGCTCTTGGATGATTTCATTGATTCCCGCCGAACTAATCAGACGCAGGGAATCAGGAAGACATTTCTCCCAGGCGAATAAATGCCGCTCCACAGATAATGCTTGTGCGACAGTCTCGCTGACTGAGAGTGGCGCGTCGCAGCCAAGATTCTGCCCGTATAGAAGGTCTATGACATTCCACATTTGCTTGTACAGCGTTCTATTGATACGTTAGCAGCGTTCTTGGATGATCGAGGTGAGCATTACATGGTAGAGTTAAAAAATGTAATGGACAGGAAGATAGTATCGTTATCCTGGATGGGAATCGTATCTATAGAACTGGCCGTAGCCGGTAGGTCCAGCTTCACGTAGTTATCTGGTACCGCACTTGGACGACCAAAAGTCATGCTCAATGTTCTAGTTCAACGTTAGAACAAGCCAAGTATGCATGAACGTAGACATTTACCTGTCCAACACAACACAGCCGTACCACGTACGCTTCCTTATCTCTTGCTCCAGTGGAGAGAAAGCTTTAGACGCAGCGCGGGAGTGAAGACCGAGCTGAAGAGCTGCTTTGACAGCCAACCCATGGACCGTCCAGGCCTGCACGGACTTTTGAGTACCTTGGAGGTATTGGCCCATTAAGAGAAGGTATTGAACTGCGATGTATTAATGAATGTGGTCAAGTTATCCACAGCGAAGACCTCACCAACTTCGAGGGTTGTCCCCCGCAAGATCTCACTTCCACATAGAGCGAGACCGCGCTGATAGAAAACATCGGACTCAGAGATACGAGTATCTGCGTCAGCATTACCTGGTGCTCTAGTAATTGTTGCCATCGCCAGGATCATGTTTAAGAGCCCCAGCCACGTCCGTCGAACCTTCTTGAAGTTTTCTCGCACCATCTGATGATACGTCTCAAGAAAGGTCGGCGGATATATGTACGGGAAAAGAAGCCCTGTGTCCGAGAAGTATGTGTTGATGAGATTCAACATCTCCTGATGTGGAGGGAGAGTAAATATGCTCTCTCTGTCCCGCTTGAACTGTCGACTCCCATGTTTCCCCGGTGGGCTTGGAGGCCGCGAGGCATTCACGAAGCCCCCATCGCAGGCCCCGGTATCCGACGCAGAAGTAGATAGCGTGCCATGTACCTTCCCGGAATTGATAATACCTCGTGTCAGGTGTCGCAAAAATGCCACATTTGACGAAGGTCCTAGTATCGTCAGCGCAACCAGCAGCAGAAAGAGGAGGCAGATGTACCGAAGAAGCCGGAATCCTCTTCCTCAGCTAGCCTGACGGTCCCCATCCCATCCACCGAGTCCTCGGTTCCCGCGAGGTCGGGCATCGACTCGGCTCTGGGGATGTCTACTCTGACCGTATTGTTCTTGGGTTCATAGCCCTGGTCGAGACGCGACGCCAGCCCGGTGAGGCCGGTTTGGACCGTAGACAGCGAGTCTTCGAGACTCTTGACACGACCTTCAAGATCTTTGAGGTAGCTTTTGATCAATTATTAGCATTGTATATTCATGCAACAGAGTGGCGTCGTAAGTGCCTTACTCCTTTTGGACAATGACATTCGTAGAGGTGCTCGGGGGAGTATAGACACACTCAAACCCCAGATCAATGCATAGTGAGCATTTCGGCCGCGCGCCGTCACACTAGCCTGTATCAGTATCATTCTGCTCCTGTTAAGCATTGATTATCGCCTGTTTAAACGCACTCGTGATTTGCGGGCCCTGCAAGAGTCGCAGGCCAAAGCCACTCGCCGACGTTTTATTGCGGGCGCATCTCGGGGTGAGCGGGTGCTGGTGGTCTGATCTTCCATCGTAGGATTTAGCAGGCAACTGATAGTATGCCACTGGTAGTTCCGCCAGTTGCAGGTGTCGTCGGGGAACGATTGGGACGAGACGGTGACGGGGGGGTCGTCGGGAACGCCGGGGAAACATCGGGAAGTATTGGTGCCAATTTTTTCAGGCTCGTAGGATTAGGGTTTGTCTGGTACTCAGAGAATAGAGTACGTGCAGTATACAATTTCATCAAAAGCTTTCAATAAACACTAGTACTAACATGACAGAAATCATATATGTCACCCAGCAAGCAGCCACCTATTCAGACACCAGCTTCTCGACGTCCATCTCTTGTGTCCGATAAAAACCAAGGGCCTCGATCATGGGCTTGTCATCAAAGCGATACAGATAGACCGTCTCACCCGCGTCCGCATGATGCTCGTACTTGTACCATGATGGGACACAAAAAGTGTCTCCCTTCTCCCAAGTGAGCCTCTGCTCACCCACCATCGAATAACCGCTTCCAGTGATTACATGGTAGACCGCCGACGTAGTCTCACGACGAGAAGGGGACGAGCTGCCTCCATCCAACCGCTCCGCACAGCCTCCCAAGACACGACTCACTATAGATCATGCGTCAGTATCACAAACTTGCTGCATCAAGGCTGAACATCTTACCTTCGCGCCCATCAGCTCTAAGGTAGCGCTGGGTAGCCCACTTCCCTGGGACACTGTCCAGCTTCTCTTTCATCACCCTCCACGGGAACACAATAGGCGATGTGCTCGTATCGATGTCTTCGGCAGGGTACCGGGGGGCCTTGAAATGCTCGACAAAGTGCACGGGAAAATGACGGAAATTGGGGAGATCCAATCCGTCCAGCCAAATCATCGGGCCCGACCCGTCTTTGCCATGGTCGTGATAGTTCCAAGTAGGCGTGAGGATCACATCGCCCTGCTGCATCTGAATTCTCTTTCCGTGAACAGCAGTGAAGCCACCGTTGCCTTCGATAATGAAGCGCATGGCAAAAGCAGTGTGACGGTGGGCGGGGGCAGTTTCATTGGGCATGACCAGTTGGAGGCCTGCGTAGAGAGTGTCGGTCGTATACGGTGCATCTAGTCAGATTAGTATCCATAGCCTACAGGTTATAATGAAGGAAAATAGGTGGACTAGCAAACCTCGTGCTGGGTTGATCAGCATAAGCACCCGTCGCTCCGCTTGTTTCTCCGTGATGAGCTTTCCGGCCCGCAACAGATTGGGACGAATAGTCTTGTATTTCCAGAGAAATGGAATGCAGGTTGGGTTTGGCTCTGGTGGGTTCAGGCGCGTCATTTGCGCCCACAAAGGCAAAGTGTTGCTCTTCTCGACATCTAGAAGCAGCTGCTCTGTGGTGTCGTGAGCATCGGCCGTGTTGACAGTCATAGTGTAGGATAAGTTGGTATTTTAGAAACTTGTGACGATTTCCCTGTTAGACTAATTAGTCTAACCCAGTCACCATCAGAATTAGCCATATATATGCTGTAGTGCAGGTCTCTTGTCCGGGGATGTCGGAAACCCGGGGAGAGATCGGGTATGCATCCTTCTGTGCTTCCAATGATATTCCGGCTAAGGTCGAATCCCTTCTATATTAGACATAGACGAATATTCTAAACCCAACAAAAAGTTACTCAGAAAAATTGCCCTCGGTGCAAGATTTTGGTAAAACATACAATGGCGGCGATGGCTGAAGCGGTAGCTTCTCTGAAGGTATATTTCCTTCGCTCTATATAAAGCTTCAAAACTAACCCATCGTGACAGGCCCCAACCTACCCCAGCAACTGCTTGGAATTTCTCAAGACGCTCAACAAGAATGGCACTGCGCCGCCTCCCACTGCGAAGCTCAAACTAGACATTATCGTGGTGGGAGCAGGGCTAGGCGGGCTGGCTACAGCTATCGCTCTCCAACAAAGCGGACATAAAGTGACCATCTTCGAGCAAACGCCTGAACTGGGCGAGGTATGACCGTTCACTCCGAATAGTGAATGTTCCGTGAGTTAACCCCATCTAGGTTGGCGCAGGCATCCAGATCCCTCCAAATTCGACCAGACTGCTGCTCAAACTGGGCCTTGGACCATATCTGGAGCCATACGTGACTGAACCCGGATCTATTTCTTTCCGGAGATGGCAAAGCGGCAAGACCATCGGGTTCACCAACTTGATTCCTGACTTCCGCAAGACCTTCGATGCCCCGTACTATGTCATTCATCGGGCAGACTTCCATTCTGCCATGTACAGGCGGGCTAGGGATGCTGGGGTTCAAGTCAAACTGGCTTCGAGAGTGATCGACTATGACCCGCAAATGCCGAGTATCAAGCTTGCCGACGGATCATCGTACGAGGCGGATCTGATTGTCGCTGCAGACGGTATGTTTTACTGTGACCACTGCGTGCCATCAAACTCACTGTACTAGGTATCAAGTCCGTCGCCAGAGGAAAGCTCCACAGTGACCTTGAAAAGCCACTTGAACGGCCTGGCTTTGCTGCCTACAGAGCCACAGTGGACGTGGAAAAGATGAAGTCTGATCCCGATATGGCATGGTTATTAGAAAAGCCAGCACTGAATATCTGGTGAGACTAGTGTACCACAGGAGTTTTAACTCGGTTCTGACCATGCGATTCTATGCAGGATTGGGGACAAACGTCATGTCATGACATACACAATCGGTGCAGGCAAGTCCTTCAACATGGTCCTGTCTCATCCTGATGACACCGATCCGTCGACGTGGAATCAACTTACTGCCTTGCATGATATGAGAGCCGAATTCACAGGGTGGGATCCAAGGTTCGTCGACTCGTCGCATCTACAATATGCCCTGGAGACTGTAGTTGACAGTTTCAATAGGCTTACAAAGATCATCGGACTTATCAAAAACACCATCAAGTGGCCTCTTCTCAGCGGCACGCCATTGTCTCGCTGGGCATCTGGCAAGATCGTCATTTTGGGTGATGCTGCTCATGCTATGCTGCCCTATATGTCGGAAGGTGAGATATACCTCATGCAAGCACTATATTGGCATAGTACTAACAGTGACGATAGGTGCCGCAATGGCTGTTGAAGATGGGGTTGCTCTTGCCAGAGCCCTGACAAAGATACAAGCTCGATCTGACATACCGGAAGCTCTCCTCATCTACGAGAAGGTACGGATTGAACGTACTAGCCAGATGCAGGAGGCCAGTCTGCTCAATGGGCAATTGTGGCACTTCCCCGATGGCCCATTGCAGCAAGCCCGTGACGAGGCGATGTTGCCAGAGACAAAGGGTCTCCCCTTCACTCATAGCCCCAACCAGTGGAGTGACCCGGCGACACAGATGTGGTGTTATGGGTATGATACAGAGGGAGAAATCGACAAAGTGTTTGCGCAGCGGGGCAACCTCTGCCCTAAAGGGTTGCTATAGGTTGCATATTGGTGAAGATGGATTGAATAGACCGATAAACGAACAGAAATTTAAACAGGTATACTATTGCTATCGCAAATCGCTTGTGTTGTAGATGCCACTAGAGGCTAGCCCTCTCCACTCTCCTGCCGACCTCGTCAAAATGAATTTGTTTGCCGGTCACCAGGGCTTCCTGGAGGTAAGATCCAATTTCCACGGCTTTGACTGCGTTGGTCAACTTGATCGGAAGAGGCGTGTTGTCCAGACAGGACGCAGTAAATTCGTTGGCCTCCCTGACGAATGCAGCCCCAAAACGACCGATGAAGTTGTTTGGCACTTCTCTAGTAATACCTCCAGGATGGTAGAAGTTGACAAAATTATGTTGAGGGTTGATGTTGACCGACAGTTTGCCTTCTGTACCAATGACCTCGGTAGTATCTTCCTGGCCATGGGGCATCATGCGCGAGCAGTAGTAGTAGGCAATCTTGCCATTGTGGAACTCCACGATACCAACCGCATTGTCGTAGTCATTGTATTTCTTCAGCTCCGGCTGCACAGCAGTGATTCCATGCGCAGATATGCTCTTAGGAATGGCATCATCACCGAAGAACCACAGTGTGAGGTCAATATCATGGACGGACATGTCAACGAAGACACCACCAGACCACGCAGCGTATGCGACGTAGAATCCCGAAGGATCCAGCTTGTCACATGTCTGGCTTCTGACGATGGATGGCCGACCAATCAGCCCTTGATTGATCTTGTTGTAGACATCACGGTATGAATCGTCAAATCTCCGAGAGAAGCCGCACATGACTTTCAGGTGAGGTTTGGTCTTCGCTTTCTGAACGACAGCTTTGCACTAATAGGCGCGTTCGTACCTTAGCCGATGCTACACTAGACTGAGAATAGACATACCACTTCCACAGCGGTGGACAAGGGCTTTTCACAAAGCACATGGAGGTCACGGTCAATAGCCTTCATGGTCTCCTCGGCATGCACTGATGTCGCTGTTCCAATAGCCACGGCTTGAAGACCAGGATGTTCCAACATTTTCTCATAGTCATCGTACAGAGTCACCCCGTACGGCTCCAGATGTTGTCTGCCCCAGGCGATCTCTTTCGGATCAGGGGTAAATGCAGCAACCAGCTCTGCGCGAGGGGTCTGATGAAGGAAGTTGTTGGCGTGGATCTTGCCCACACGGCCTAAGCCTGCCATGCCGACCTTGAGCTTTTGGATAGACATTGCGGATAAGGAATAAGAGGTATATGCAGGACAATTTGCGAGTAGTCTGATTGAAACAATTCGAACCTGAGGGCGACTGATGTGCTTTATATATTGTCGGACGCATTGTGACGGTTTGCAGGGGGCTAACTGTTCCTCGATTATTCTGAAAAGCACAAGCAATTCAGAGTAACTAAGCCCGTGTGGGGCTATACTACCACGAGGACAGTTATGAGAGCGAAATATGGAGCATGTACGGAGGACCTCGAGTTTGAGGCGACTGACGAAGTATACGAAGCGGAGAGAGTTGCCAACGGAGAGAAAAGGGCCAAACCCCGCATGGAAAGACTTTCCCCGCTCATAGACACCCCCGGCTGGAGTAGGTCTGCCCATTCAACACCCAAGCAGTGCTTCCTTTGCTCTTCTCTCATAGTTCCTCAGCTATACCTGTTTGATGCCTTGCTGAAGCTCTGAGTTATTCTGAAGATCGCTTACCTGGGAGGTTTATTCTTCTGTCCCTGCGGGGTACTCAAGCTATCCGCGCAGAATCCACGGCAACTCTTTCCGTCCTGCCTCATCGGGGTTTATGAGATACGCAACTCCATGACTCCAATTGGGAAAAGGAGAAGCCGTATTCCTGTTGGATGGTAAGTTCCCTTCGGATCAACGAGGAACTAGGCCGAGTACTAATCTACCTCTCAGCCAGAGATGCAGGGGTGCGTCAAGCTAACGTCCTTGATATTTTACAGACAGCTGACTGGGCTACAGTCCGTCACCTGAAGTGTGCGTATTTTGTAAAGCTGTAGGAAAATTCTGCTCATACGGAACTCCAGGTGATTCATATCTCCCATCATGCGCTGCTTGTGAACTAGCGAGAGTGCACTGTCGCAGGAGCTTCAACGTCAGGTTCCGCAATGGATTGGAGCTGGATGATGAAGAACTTCAAGCGCTTTCACGGGTAGTGAATTCTTCGAAGTTGACAGGGCCTTGTACTTATCCATCTTACCAAGTTTCTGAGACGATCACTTACATATTCCGCAGTCCGAATCTACGATGAAACTCGCGAGATTGAAAGCTTGTACGAGGATGCTACTGCAAAAGAACAGAACGGAGAGGATATCACCTCAGATCATCCTTGTGTTAACAACGGCCCAGCGTTGGAAGATTATCACACCTCTGGACAGACAGTGACCTCTTTAAAGAGTCTTCCGCAACTTCCGCGGGCGCGTTCTATATTGGCAAATAGAGCTCCCGAAACGACCGCTACACCCATACAAACTAACTCGTCAGACATCAATGTGTGCTGTCAAGATATACCCTCCTTAAGTCGTCCGGATTTACATCAATCTCTTGAAGATGCTCTGTTCGGCGCTAGGCGCACTGAACTTACAGATGACTACTTAGTACAGTCCAGTCCATTAGACGAAAGGGAAGCCACGCTCATGCGCAACTTTGTGGAAAACATGGCTTTGTGGGTGAGTCTTCGCATTGCCACGAAGCTTTCTCAAGCACTGCTATGAAATCCTGATTAACCGTCAAAGGCCGATGCAACAGACCCTCACCAACATTTCGGAGTCGAGGTCCCATTGAGAGCCATGTCTGAGCCAGTCTTGAGATTCTCGATCTTTGCATTCTCTTCTAGACACCTCGACCGGCTGAAGATTGCAAACTCGGCAGAAGCATTGCATTACCATAACCGCTGTCTTCAGTTGTTGATTCCGATTCTGTCCGACCCGGAAAACAGAATAAATGATATTGTGCTGGCCGCGGTTGCCATTCTTCGTCAATTGGAAGAAATGGACTGTAGGCCACTCTAGACACAGTAAACTTCGATCCCAGCTTACACGTCACAGGGGAAGATAATCAATTTCATCTTACAGGAACAACCCATATCCTGAACACCGTGTCACACTTCGGATCATCGGGCGGTTTAGGCGAGGCAGCAGCATGGCTTTGTCTCCGCGAGGACATCCAAATATCCCTTACCTCACAACAGCCACTGCGGACCAACCTTGAAAGCTTCGGTGGCTCAGATACCTTCACGAGAACGGACGACTATGCCTGTGCTAACAGAATGGTGTTTCTGCTAGCCAAATTGCTTAAGGGTCACATTTAACAACACGATGACGCACCCCGCCGTCCTGGACAACCTAGAAGAGGAAATCGAAGATTGGAACACGACGAAGCCGCATAGCTTCAGACCAATCCGATTCGTACCGCGAGGCAAGGATATGCATCAAAGGTTTCCAGAGATATGGATGCTGCTCCCAGTCCACGGTATGTTCTTGACCTCCATACACAAAAGGCATATACTCATGTGGTACAGTGGTCGGCGTCCAATACTACCATATTGCAAAGATCGTTCTCGCCTTTACGCAGAGTTCGAGCCCTTCACGTACATATGCAAATCTGAGAAATTCGAGAAGCATTGAGGTAATGCGAACCAAGTCAGAAGCTCCGTGGGCAAGCGTATTCTAACATTATTGGCCCAATAACCAGAAAGCCATGCGCAGACATCTACTTCTTGTACTGGGGTCTGGCAAAGTCAAACCCAAAGGCCGAAAATACACTGTTCACTGCGCGTCACAGTTTAGTGGCTTGTAAGTCATTCCAACTCGCCTGTCAGTTTCCGGGCTAGGAGATGTATCCCACTTTATCCACTACTCGGTTCCCACTTTCCCTGTTCGTAGTATGCCGACTAACAATTATATTGATAGGGGGCTGGGTCCTTCGCCACAAGCTGGATCAAGAGGCCGCCGAGAATTTGCTACAGGGCATGGAGGCAAAGACAGGATGGGACGTGGCCCAATCAATCCAAGTGTTAAGAGGGCTCTGGAATGAGGAAGATTCAGACAACTAGCCTACAGACGCAAGGGTCCTCCTGTCTGTAAGCCCGATGCTTCTAACAATGTATAAGCATTGGCAATGTTTCATATCTACCCGACGAGCCGCTTCATAGTTCTATCACTGGCCTGGCTCATACTCTCGATAACTCCCTAAAGATCATGAGTGGAAAGTAGTTGGTAGGGGCCACAGACTTGCCCTGTCCAAGGTGCAATATTAGCTTTACTGCTACCTTACTTCCCTTGCGTCCTACCTCTTTAATCTATCGTCTATCTGATGCGGGTCTTCTCGCCCTGGATCTGGTCCACAATTGAATCGACCACGGAGTCCAGGCCTTGGACGACTCCTAGTTCCCAAGGGAGACCATGCAAGTAACCCCTATAGACCCGGGAATCCCCGATCACTTTTGCGCAGAGGGCTGCTCCAGCAGCTGGACAATGGCTCATGCCCATCGTAAAACTCGCATGAGCGGTGAGAGGCCACCGCGGTAGCGGATGCTAGATTTCGGAATGTATGATGACCGAATCCTGCACGTCTTGATGCAGCACCGTTGGCGGCTGACCTATCGCACCAATGGGTGTGCGCTGATGCAATATCTGATCGCCTGGTTTCCACACGATAGTACACGGCGTGCGCCAAAGATTGTACATATCTGGAATCCCTGGATTAGGCACCCAGGGATCCCCCGGATTACCTGGGCAGCAAGCCGACTAGACCGCGCATCACAACGGCGGATCAACGTTAGCAGTCCACGTGTAACCACCGGAAATGTCAAGCTTTGGACTTGCAACGGGTCACCGAGTCAGTTGCCGCCCAATCTGCTCTCTCACATCCATGGCCTCGTGGATCGTCGATCAAATGCGGCCAGGTTGAAGGGTATCCCGGATAAAGTCAGCGAATGGGGCCGTGGACCCGAGGTTAAGACGGCGCCACTTGAATCCCGATGAGCTATGGGCAAGGGGGGTTCTTCCCCCCCTTTCTGGACCAGTGTCCTTCCTGATGTCCCTTTTTGTCAGTTGTCCGACAAATCATCCGAATATATAAACTCTGTGCCGTGATCTTCCTCTCATCGGTCGCCATGTCGTTTCCGTGGTTCTCAAGACGACAGCGCTCTCCATCGCAAGCAGGAGGAAGCCGCCCTGTAAGAAGGACCAACTCTCTCCAGAGTCAGCACGAGTCCCAATCGACCAGAATTCCACGGCCACAGCACACTTCACACGCTACTGTCCAATCAGACATCCAAGCACCAGTTGAACCGGAGTCGAGCAGTTCATCCCAAGAGCCTGCATTCACTTGGCAGGATATCGATCCCCCTGCGGACAACTGGAGTCCTTCCGACCATAAACCCCCTAGCCAGGAAACACCACTACCACTTGACGACCAAAAAATGCTTGACTCAACAAGCGAAGTGAGCTCGCTTCCGGGCTACAACGACGTCAGCGGAGCTGTTATCGTCGACTGGAACGGTCTGCCTCACTTCCTCTCTCCGCAAGAAGAGCTCGAGAGGAACTCGAGACTGCAGCGCGCGGTCGAGGAAAGGATGTTGGGATTGACGAGGCAGACCGACTTTGAATGGGAACGACCGTGTCAGGGAGAGGTACTACCGCGCTACACGCCTCCCAAGGACAAAACGCATTCGCGAAGTTCCAGTAGGCGATGAGTTGGATGGTGAGTTCTGGAATGTAACTATTGCGCCGACGGAACTTCCTTTCTAACAGTCGAGATTATTAGTTGGTTAAGTTGAGGCATGAGAGCTGAGCTTTCGATGAAGAACCAAATATGCAACCGCATATCGAGCTTTGATACCCAAAATGATATCCGAGCACGGATTTATGATTTACGACCATGAATTGGACGGAGGGTATGTTATCAGGACCTGTCTTTGATATGATGTACCTAGCTCCCTCCAACTGTATTCTGAACGTTGAATAATTTTATTTGTCTCTATTCTCGCTGAGCCTGCGTGTCTTCGCGTCGTGCTTGTCTGTAACATGCTTACAGCGTTATGAGTTCTCGTAGAAACCTGTCATGATTGATTTTATGTACATGCCGTGGCAATGATGACATAGAAAGATATGGAAATATATACAAGTAGAAGATAAATCCGGGAATTGAACCCCCAATTCCTATACAAAACTCTGCGAAACGAAAGTACCATCCAGTACATCCTCGCTCAACAAACGCACTATGACCAATGCTATGTTGGCAACTCGTGAGACGCCGACTTAGGATTCGACCCAACCAGCTCCGACGGTCTATTCCATGCATCGAGCTCTCCATACTTGACACCGCTGTAAGCCGTCGAGTCGGGTGTGCTCTGCGGGTGTTCTGGGCCGGCCGGCTGGAACGGACCAGCCGCCATGGCGGGCGCAGCGGCCGCCTTGGAGGCGCGATGGCGACGCATGAAGAACCACAGCGCGGCGATGATGAGGACAGCGCCCGCCACACCGCCAACAACGCCTCCCGCGATGGCTCCGGTATTGGTCGACGAGCCGCCGGACGCAGCGCCGATCGAGGTAGCAGTCGACGTCGAAGTGTCTGTAGCAGGCGAAGACGCGGTCGACGTTGGGGGTATCGTAGAGACAATCGCAGAGCCGGATGCCGAGCCTGAGAAGTTCGGTCAGAATCGATCCTGAATATACCAAGGGATCATCACTGACCTTGCTTTACGGGATTCAACGTGGTATAGTTCGGATTATTGGGAATGGAGTCGGAGCAGCCAAAGTTCCCGTAGTTGATGTCCTCGCTGGTCCAGAAGCCGTACTGATTCGGCTCGCAGCAGAAATACGCCTGGAAGTAGAACATGCTCCAGGATGTGTTGGCGCAGTGCGGCTGGTCCAGCAGCTGAGCCGTGCAGTTGGCGCTGGTCGGACAGCAGATGTTGTTCGGGATGTATTTCTCTGCGCCGGGGCAGACAGCATCGCCAGGACAGCATCCCCAATATCCGCCCCAGGTCGCGTAGCATTTCGATTCGCTGCCGAGGCAGCCGTCCATGCGGCGGAGGGCGAAGCCATAGGGCGGGCCGTAGTCGACTGACATTGCTTCCACGCCGAGGGGTATGTGTATGTGTGGATGGTGGAGATCAAGGAACAAGGGGTTAATGTGTGCGAATGACTCAAATGGAGGAGAACGGGAAGTCAAGAGATTTTGTCATAAATCTTTGTCTGTTGGCCAGCCGCAAGGCTACCTTGCCATGATGGGAAAAGGGACCCGTGGGCATGCTTAGCACAAGTTAGCAGCATGAGGTATTCGCCCCTAGGGTCCACTGGCACATCCCAACTGACACTGATAGGGCTAGACGAGGCTGTCCATGCTGATCTCCTCATGTCCATAACAAATCATATAAAGCCCTAACATTGGGGGCCAAACTAGGGGAAATGAATCTTACGAGTCAACCAAACAGCATGCTCGCCGTTCAGCTCAGGAGTCATCTCCATACTCCATAGAATACCCGCAAGAGTTCAGTTCTGTAGAACCAAACGTATTCTCACCGAGTGATGTATCCTGAGAATACTCTGTGAGGCGAGTCTACTGTGGAGGATGTTTTGGACCCATTTCTTAGTATCCCCACGTCTCGACGCACAGCCACAAGGTGACTATCAGCGTGCAGTTGGACTCGCAGCCAACCGGATGAGACGGAGGACATGTCATCGGGATCTTCCGTTTCTCAGCCACGACGGGTCTAGGAGCCTCATGGTTAGCCTCAGCATTATTAATATTGTTGGAGCAGTCGCGCCCTCGGCCCTTGCGTGAGCAGCCATAACCGAGGATTTCCTCGTCTCAGCCTTAATCGGTGCTCAGGAATGGGACTAGTGATGCGGCCAGAGTTTGACTCTAAGGGGATGCTGAACCACGTTCACTCTATCCCAAGACTAGAGCAGGGTCGTGTCGTCGGATCGATGTTCAGAATCAAGAGGCAGAGCGTGGCTAGGCAAGTCATAATTTGCTGAGTCATGAATCGATGTCCAGTACTTTGTCCAGATGCTCATCTAATTTTCTATATCTGCGAGATACACAAGAACAGAAGATCATGGAAGGTGTTGACGACCATCGGTTTACTTAACCCCGAAAGGACGAGAAGCCCAAGCCCAGCCCACGGAACACAGCCGTGATCTATTCCTCTTGCAGGTCTGTAGTATCAAGGTTGATGACCAGCCTGACAAGAAATGAGGAGCTGGAATCGCCAATGGCCAATAGATGACCGCAGACAGGAGAGTTCACAAAACAGACAAGTCTAGACAGGTATTTTGTCTGAATCAGTGTATCCAAAGGCCTGTCGAAGATTGCGGTCGTACTCCTCTTTGTCAGAGAGCTTACGGTCCGTAATATAGCCCACATCCCTCTCCCAGAAGAATGGCATGATCGCATTGAACATGTCTCCATACTTGGGGCAAAATAAAGGCCTTATATGTTGGTCGAAGATTGTGAACATGCCAGAAGGGCTAGAGAGGGCTAGCGTGTACCAAAACGTACCCGATTCCCAGGCTCGATTCATCACATCCGAAAGTCGCGGCAAGCCCCCTTCATTACTCGACAGAGTGGTCCGGGCTTCCTCCTCAGCTGCCAAAATCTCCATCAGCTCTGTTCGGACAGAATTGTATTCTGCTGCGTCCAGTTCATCGACCCCCTTGCTAGTAAGCCAGTATGGAGGTTCGACCATCTCTATTGGCCTGGAGCATGCCCACTCTAGGTCAACAAGACAAGTGATATTCCATTCGGCGTCCACAAAGATGTTGCTTTGGTGAACATCCGTCAGCATGAAGCTAAACGGACCCCGGCGAAGATCCCTCTGGAAGAAGGCAGGAGTTATCGTGCGCATTGCACTTAAGGCGGCTAATTGGCAACTACAATCTGTCCGGTCATTCACGGCGTTGGGTTGATTTCGGAAGCGACTGTCGTGAAAAGCAAGTATATCGCTAATATAGGAGTTAACCGTCGAATATGTATAGTCTCGAGAGATGTACGTTGGAATCTTCTCATTTTCCAACTGTTGAATCTCAATGGAGAGAGGCCTATTCATCAAGCGAAGACCTCCATCGTCGTCAATGATAAAAGAACCTATTCTTGGCAGGGGGATTCGACAGAAGCTCAGATAGATCCTAGAGAGGCTGTGGAATAGATTTGCCCGCAAACCCTTATCATACCTGCCGTGAGCCCACGTGTTTGACAGCATAGTTCCTTGGGTGGGTTCTATGTACTCCACCAAAAGATAACCAGCGCCATGAATGCCATCAGAGATATTGTGGCTGCCGAGCTGGTGCCAAGCATAGTTTGAAGGGGTTTGGTAGCCAAGCCATGAGAGAACCTTTTGGCGGAGATGCTGAAACATGCGGGGGAATATGGGAAGATTCTGGACTCGCGTGAACTAGACACAGTCAGTGGGCGCTAGGGAGTGATATCGACCTTCGTACAGTTTCACCAGTCGAGAGGCCAAATCCATACAAGTGCGGAATCGGGACGTCTGGACAATTTCTTTGCAGCCATGCATAGGTGCCTGCTTCACACCGAATCTTCTCATCTCCGTTGCCAGGATTGGTCTCCTCACCGATGCGATACGGAAGAGGGAAACGGATGAGGACGCGTTTTCCATCCCAATCACCCACCGTAATTGGGATGCAAACGTTGAAGCTACCATGCATCCAATCTTCTTGGTCCGCTACGCGACAGCCATTCGATGATCGTAACCCCAGGTGGTGAGCGGCAATCACCTTCATCCGATCTCGTCGCTCGCGAAGATGAGCGAAGAACTGGGTTTGTTTATCATGATATCCTAACCGATAGAGGATATTAGATTCGTCTTCTTTGGCGGCGGAGTACGTGATCTCTTTATTTCGAAGTAGACGCCGCGTTCTGGTCATGTTGATCAGGATGCACTGCACATGTCTGAACGTTCATTCTGTTTCAGGGGCTTAGGGGAGTCCCTTTCTCGTCACGTGGTCACGCTCGTCTGATTGGTGTGGCTTGCAACAACAGGAGTAGTCAATGTTGTTCATGCAGCCAAGTGGATAGAATTTAATATCCTTCTCATGCCTCTATGGATATGGCATGGTAGATCTCTGGGACCCGTAGATTCGGAAGCAGTGAGCCTACGGGACTTCGGCCGGGCTAGGGGCCGTTAGTGTATAGGCTAGTCCTCGGTTTGCAACTGGCGATATAGATTTCATGCAGGAAATATAATAAATAGGATTAGTACTGATTCTGAAGATCATTCGCATTCTTTTGTACACTAGAGATAACCCGAAAAGTCACAATCCAATCATCAACTACAAGATGCCCTTCAAGACATGGCTTATAGATACTCTCGGGGTTCGAGTCCGCATAAAGTGGGTTGGATATACAGGTGAGCTCGCTATATAAAAGCGAGCCAAAACATTTGGTAACTACCGGAATTTTAGAAATGACGAATGCGGTTGCGAATGCTGGCGGGTTTGGCTTTCTGGTACTGTTGGTCCCTTTGAACCATCTGCAATATGCTAATATCGTGAGCTTCTTAGACTGCGTTGATTCACCCTGACCCGGAGGATAGAGTGAGTGCTTCTCCGTTATGAACGAGAGCGCCCTGCCCAGAAAGAATCGGTGAAATGATTCTGCTGCCCTTCAAATCTCTATGAAACTGCCCAACTCCGTCTAGCCCTAATTGGCACATTGCTAGGACGCTTAATGCCCCATGATCATAGTTTAAGGGTCCTGGCTGAAGCTCAAGGCTATTTTCGTTAGTTTCCATCCCGCTCAGGAGGCAGTGCGCCTTGCGGGATGCTTGTATCCTCGATTTGGGGGCCAAACACACAGGAGTAGATACTTAGCCTGTCCTTAATCATTTTTCACTGCAGAAAAATATCACAAAATCTTCAAATGCTGCAATTGAAACATTCCATCCACCTCTTCGCACTGCATCGTCAATATACTCCCTAAACTCTATAATCAGCCGAAAACAATCCATGCATTACATGCTCCCCATGGCCCTCCTGGCCGCCACAGCCATCGCCAGCAATTTCAGCAATGGCATCTCCAAGGCGGTTGTTCCCATCCGCCCAGTGCCCGAACCGCATCCTATAGTCCCCGAACCAGCTCCGTTGCCTGAACCACATCCTATGCCGGAACCAATTCCTGAGCCTGAGCCACGCCCTCACAGAGGCCCAGACGACGGCCCCGATGGCCCTTCCAGCAGCTCTTCCAACAGCTCTCCTACGGCTCTAATACCGTCTCCAATGGTCACGCCGTCTTTCACATCGCATGTCGCCTCGAGCACTGCGACGACATCTGCGGTGTCGGCGTCGGCGCCGGCGCCGGTGGTGACTGCCGGGGTTGCTGCTAGTCTGATTCCTATCGGTGGTGCGTTTGTTGGGCTGGTTGGGGCTGTGTTGCTTTGAGTAAATCTGGTTCTGGGTGGTGTTGATAGGTGGTTTTATGTTGTTTTAATCAGCGTGCTGGACGGCATTATCTATAGACAAAATGTAATTAGACTTATGGCCGAGGAAATACCTATCTACTATTTTCATATCCTGTCTATAGAGCAGACAATCTTCGCTAAGGCCGACCATGTCTTACCAGCATGGGAGACAACTCAGATGAAAATGAAATGTATGGAAGATAACTTGTTGTGTCCAACACAGTGGGCACAATATCTATAACTATCTACATCCAAACATGCACCCAAAATAGCTCGCTTTAGAAGTAGAACATATGTTTTATATCGCATACTCCAACCAAACCTAAGACCGGAACAACCGCAGTCCGCCCTCTTCCATGTCCTCATCACTCTCCTCCGCCGCACTGGCATCCTCATCATCTCCCTCGCGCAGCAACCCACTCGCAGACTTTCCAAGGAGAGAGGCAAAGAACTCCTCCCGAGCATGAACGGTCCACGAGCCGCGATCCTCCGGCGCCATAAAGTTCTGCAACTTCTCGTGCACATCGTACTTCATCTTGCGGCCCTTGGACGCGCGAGTGTCGACATCTCTTTTGACCTTGTCCTTGCGCATACCGGTCACAGGGTGAACAGACAGACGCGAGGGGAGCTGGATGTGCAGCGTGTCGATGCCGTTCGTGATAGCGTCCGAAGACGACATGCGCTGCTCGACCAGCTCCCGCAGCAGCGTCTGGTAGAAGATCGTGTCGTCGTAGACGGGCTCGTCATCGCCGTCGTCGCCCGCACTGCTCTTCTGACGCGCGCGCTTAGCGGCGCGGTCGCCGGTCTCCGAGGCCACCTGCGCATCGAGCACGGCCGTGATGGTCTGCTGGCCGCCTGCGGCCGACCCCAGGAGCTTACCCCGGGCGTTGGGTATCGTGGCGGTGGAGCCACGCACCTTCGCCGACCACTTGTCCAGGATGGTGCGCCGGTGCGCCAGGGCGTCTGACTCGAGGTCCGTCATGCGCTTCCATAACGACGCGGAGGACGTGCTCGGCGTCACGGCCTCGGGCCGCTTGCGTTTCTTCGAGCCATCGGGGGCCTGCGCGTCGGCGAGCGCGAGTCGAAGGTCTTCCAGCGTGGACCAGAGGGTGAGAGCGGCCGATTCGGCGGACTTGACGGCTTCTTGGTCGACTTCTTCGGTGTCCTTGGCTGCGATGGCTAGCTGGTTGATTGCGGTCAGGCCCTTCTGAAGCTTGATGCGGGTGTTCAGGAGCGCATCGAAGGTCGCGCGTTGCTGCTTGACAGCCTTTCCTTTGGCGGCGTCGGCCTTGGCGGCGTTGGAGATGGTCGCCGCGATGGTTTTTTGGTCCGAGGCCATCAGTCGACGCAGTTCCTCCCGATCATCAGAGGACTTGGCTCGACGGCCAGAGTCTTCCTCCTCCTCATCATCCTCATCTTCATCTTCATCCTCTTCATCTTCTTCAGACTCGTCCTCCTCGTCGTCAGAGGGTATCTCGTCGTCCTCGTCGTCGAATCCATCCAAGTCGTCGCTGTCCCCCTCCGACCCATCTGTCTCCAATTCATCGGAGTCCAGCTGTTTCTTCGGCTTCCCCTCTCCCTTGGACTTTTGCAACCGCGGCCGCTCGTCCTCACTCTCGGAAATATCCTCGTCCTCGTCATCCTCACTCCCCAGCTCGAGGCCTTCCTCGTCGTCCTCGTCGTCCTCGCTATCATCCTCGTCATCGTCGGAGCGAGCCTGGAACGGATCATCATCGCTCTCCGCCTCGAGCGCATCTCTGCTAATCCGCGACCCGGCGTACTGCTTCCCCAGCTCGATAGGATCCTGCTTGCGAAGCTTCGCTTTGCTGCAAAAATCAGCACCCAGCACAGCACCCCAAGAAAATTCAACACTCACCCTACAGCCTGATAGTGCTCGCGGCCCGCATTCTCATCGGCAGCCTTACCACCCTCATCGTCGCTGTCCGGCGCACCGCAATCCAAATCTTCGGGATCAAAATCTAACCGCAATCAGCCACGCCCACACCGTAAACCAGACATAACACACCTTTAGGAGTGGGATCCTCCAGCTCCGCAATCTGCTCCGCAAGCGACTTGGCCATGGTGCAGAGAATGTATCTGTTGTCGAGAGACGGCCTGAAAATCCTCCGCCGGCTGGGAACTTTTTTTCTTATTTTATTTTTCTGCCGTCGAAAAGTCCGCAGGCGGTGTCGGCGTAGCTTTCCCAATCCTCTCCCGGACCCGCTCGAAAGCGCTAGTTCCGCCGGCGGTGAGCGTTATTCCCGGCAATATCGCCATTCTTGGCCGGACTTCAATGCATGCACATCATCTACACCACCTTTCCCACCATGATACAACGGAGACTCTTCTCGGCGTGTCGCGTCCTCCAGCATGATAATCCACTAGTGTGTACACCTTATTCCGCCCCCATTAACACGCTCTGACCAGCCCAGGGCCTCCCCCGCTCCGGCACGCCTCCGTCATTCCCGCGCCGCCGCGGTCTCCCCGAGAAACGCAAGATCCGCGATGTGAAGAAAGTCATCGCCGTGTCGTCTGCCAAGGGCGGCGTCGGGAAGTCCACCATAGCAGGTAGCTCCTTCCTACCCATCCACATTCAATGTCTACGCAGTGCGCTGATAACGCGACAGTAAACCTGGCGCTCGCATTCGCCCGCCGCGGCATCCGCACCGGCATCCTCGACACCGACATCTTCGGGCCCTCCATCCCCACCCTGCTCAATCTCTCCGGCGAGCCGCGCCTCGACGATAGTAAGCATCGCATGCCCTTCTCCGCGCTCCCACAAGCTCCAAACCAGACCGGACACTGACAGGACAGAAAACTGCCTCGTCCCACTCACAAACTACGGCCTCAAGTCCATGTCCATGGGCTACCTCCTCCCGCAACCCGAGCCACCGGCAAACTCTTCCAACATCCCCATGGACACGACGCCGATCTCCTGGCGCGGCCTGATGGTCACCAAAGCCATGCACCAGCTGCTACACTCGGTGTCGTGGGGCCCGCTGGACGTGCTCTTCCTCGATCTGCCGCCGGGCACCGGCGATGTGCAGCTGACCATCAACCAGGAGGTGGTGGTGGATGGGGCGGTGATCGTGACGACGCCGCAGGATATTGCGCTGCGGGATGCCGTCCGCGGGTTTGGCATGTTCCAGCGCATGGATGTCCCCGTGCTTGGGATGGTGCGGAATATGGCCTTCTTTGCGTGTCCGCAGTGCGGACATCAGACGAAGATTTTCTCGCATGGGGAGAATGAGCATGGGCATGCCGGCGCGGAGGAGGATTGGGGCGTTGTTGCGGAGTGTCGACGGCTCGGGGTCGAGTTTCTAGGTGATATCCCGCTCGATGCGAGGGTGTGTGAGGATGCGGATCGGGGAGTGCCCACAGTAGTTGCGGAGGAGTCCCAGGAGCGCAGTGCACGGCGAGAAGCGTTTATGGGTGTTGCGGAGAAGGTGGCTAAGAAGGTGGGGGTGAAATGGTGAGAGTTTCTTGTTTGTTATGTATAGTACATGAATATACCCAATGGTCGTATCTGATGGTGCTGTCTTCTACATGAGTCAAGATGCAAAGTAACCAAACGTAGCTGATAAATACAAGACTTGCGCATGTAATGGGTATAACAGTAAATCAACATCAAAATATCGAGTACAGGGCAATGAGATCTGCGAAAGGTATCATAGTAAATATCACCCGCGTTGAGATACAAACAGTAAACACGTTGTGCATGCACGTATATGGCAAATATGTCAATGAATAACAGCCTCAGGGCCCGTCTTGGTGCTCGCCGCGTCCGCTCCCAACCCAGTTGATAGTGTCTCCAAATCGGCTGACTTCCGGGAGGCAGACAGCGCATCCGCAGAGCGGCGAGCGGAATCCGCGTCATTCAGGGGATCGACGACTCCCTTTGCGTTGAGGACGGCACGTGTGCTAGCAGCATCAACCCCAGTATTAGTGACCGCAAGCGACTTATCGCCAATGGTGCTCGTATCGTCGGCCATTTCAGAGGTGACGCCGCTCCGGATGGTCGCAGAGCCGGCATGCGATGAGGGCCGCTTCAGACGAGTCATGGATGGCTCGGAAGTCGTGGGAATGATACCCGATGCGTGAAACAGAGACTGCGTACTTGCGTTGTCTTCTGTGAATTTCTTTGCCTCGTAAGGAGGCAAGACGATCAGAGGACTCAGGATTTTATCTTCCGATAACCCCTTCACGCGGGAAATCTCCGGATGAGCCACATCCCCATTGCGATTCGCCTTTTCGACGTCAATAGCAGCAGGTCTTTGGCTGGCATCTCCAGCCTGTTTTTCCAACTCAGTTGTCTGACCAGGCTCTTGAACTGGAAAAGAGCTCTTGTGTTCCAGATCAGGTCCTTTGATGGAGGCGCCTGCTCGACCAGCCTCCACACTGGTCCGTCTCGAATGGCCCTCTTTCTCCTTCTGCTTCTCACGTTCGATCGTCCTCTCATCATGCTTACTGGCCCAGTTGCTCCACCAAGTCATGGGGTGACTCTTTCGAGTCGTGCGCGAAGGCAGCACTCCCGGAGCAGACTTCCTAGCTGCCAGTGAGCAGGCCGGGGGCAGTTCCCCGGGGAAATCCTGCTGGAAGCTATAGGCCAATTCCTTGATTAGCTGCGTCTGTACCCGCAGCTTTTTGTGCGCAAACTTTGTGTCCCATTCATCCTTGGCCGCCAGCCATTTCTTGACGAGTACGGGGTTGAATGTGCCAACCTGCGACGGAGGGATCTGGAGCACAGGACAAGCGGATGGGGGGTCGATCGGGTATATGTGACCGGCTTTGCCTACCCTCTGTCGTATCATCCGGTTCTTAAATGCAGGGAGTGGATCACCAGCGATACCGACATGGGAATGTTCATGTGCAGAGTTCTCTTTTCTTTTGGTTCCATTCACCGGAGTATCCGGACTATCAGAGTCATCAGAAGAGATCGGCGAGATTTCATCATCGTCGATGATTTCGATCTCCGATTCTTGCGCGCAAGCAAGGGCCCAGGCTCCAAACTGTGCAATGGATCGATACATGTACTTCGCTGGAGGCGTGAAACTCAAGGTGGGGGCGACGTGACATAGTCCCTCCCAGACTTGGAGTTGCACATGCGTTCCTGGATACTTGTTCAGGGTTTCGCGGGTTGGGTCATACTCGTCGAGAAGTTCGTCGCTTGGAGGATATGCAGTTGGGTCAGCTGCTTTGTGGGCAACATAAAATTGCTCGTCCCGTAACATTTCTCCGCCGCCGACCAGCACCTGAAGCGGAGGTAGACCCCCAAGAGACGGCTGTAATGCAGGGGAAACAAGAGGATGAGATAGTAGCTGGTTAGTTGTGTACATATGGATCTGGTCTTTTACTTCAACGGTGGTACCGTCGATGGGCACACGGATATCGTTTTGTTCACCCTCCTCGGCAGGCTTGCCCTGGGTGTCGGCGTCGTCCATAGGATGTATAGAATATCCTTTGCGCGCCGCATCCTGGTCCTGGCTGTGTTGATCAGGAACGAGCTCTTCGGCCTCACTTCTTCTTGCCCGCTTTTTGCCGAGATTCTTTTTCATGGATTTGAGCTCATCCGAATTGGGTGGAGGCCAGGCCGCGGAGGGCTTGTGTCTGAAACCGCATGGAGGAATATAGTCTCCTGGATTGTCCGCCACAATACTGGGGAAGGAATGGGTAAGGTCAACCCAAGGGGAGATCAAGATCGCTCCCGCAGGTAGGGGTAAGCCTTGGTCGCGAAGAATTACCAGCAAGCTAATTAGACTGGTCAGCGTGGACTAACTCCAATAAGAGGCATCACCTACGAAAGGGCCATTCCACCACCCGCAGAGTCACCCGCAAAGAGGATCTCATTTGGCTCATGCTGTGTCAACAGGAACAGATAAGCCGCGAGACAGTCCTGCAGGCCGCACGGGAACGGAAACTGCGGTGCGAGACGATACTGCGGTGCAAAAACCCGACCCTTCAGCTTCCTTGCATGGCGCTGCATCTGATAGCGATGGGTCTCCAGACTGCCGAAGTAATAGGCTCCACCATGAATGTACAGCATGATGCGTTTCTGGCTCGGATGCACGCCAACAGTCCGCTTCCGCTCGTTGTAATCCTTGCGCATTTCAATCCACTCGCCCTTGAGGTCCTCGGCCGGACCGCGCCACTGCCACCATTCTTTACCGCCGACTTTCTCAATCCCCTTGGGACCTAACTGCGCCAGGATGGCCTCCGCCGCAGAGGTGAGGTACTGGGACGGGACGGTGACCATTTCCGTCCGCACCCAATGCGGACTGGGGACCTTTTGACATGTGAACGCCTGGAGATCTTCGAGGGTGTGCTTTGAGGCATAGGCGAGGAACTCGCGGAAAACCTTGATCCCTTCATCGTAGGTGATATGGGTGCTTGGTTTGTGATGATGCAATTTGGGATGCAAGTACTGGACCATGGTCAGCGGTGGTTTGGTCTGGGACATTGAGAACCATGGAAGAAGGGGGCGAGAACCAGCCAAGGCTGGCATGACGGCAACGGCAACCCACATGAGAGAACAACGTCGAGACGACGGTGGGAGTGAGAGCGACGCCCAAGGCGACAGTGTTCAGTGGCATGATTGGTTAGAGAGGGGGATTGGAGGAGGGATCATTGCCTGGGGTATATAGAGGGTGGTGTATATAAGTTGGGCGAAAAGAGAGGATGGGGCCGGATGCAGCGGACGGAAGGAAAGGAAGGGAGTAGAAGAAAGAGAGGAATGGGGGAAAGGAGAGGATGACGGAACACGCAGAAGAACAGATAAAACGAGGGTAGATCAGCGCCAGCCGAGGAGCATTACGGCTAGCATGGATAGGTAGACAAAGAAGAATGACGATGGTGGTGGTGCCAGCGCGATTTCATAGCAAACTGCCAGGGGGGCGTAGATGATGTCATGCCCACGCTAGCCCCATTGCGGCGGACAACCATGACGCTCACAATATACTTCATTGACAAATGGTAAAGGATCGGACAATATGTTTGTCTGCTCGACCAAAGTTGAAAATGCCTTCTATTATTGTTGACTACCCCAATTTGTGTAGATAGGAAGTATTTAGTGAATTCCCTTGAGAAACCCCTGGACAATCCCTGTCGGTGTACATACTGTAGTGCCGCCTTCCCGCCATTGCGGTAGCAGCACCGCCAGCCTATCTCCATCTAGACTCAGATGGATCGTAAGAAGTTAGGCTTCTCGTCTCAAGCACGTGGGGCATTTCTCTGGTCCAGGATGGGAATGGTCCACCTACAGCTGCCATTAAGATTTATTTGCAGAAGTTCCAGACAAATTCAATCCGGAGATTGAAGCCTTAAATCATCTAACAAAGGCCTGTTGCTCTAGTAATCTTCTTATTCGACTGGGAGAAAGGCACAAATTTATTATGAATGGGTCACGGCAGGCTACAAGCTGAGTATGGAGTATATTGTTTAGGAAGATCGTAGATTTATCAGCTGGAATCTCGCATGAGGGGCTGTCGCACAATCTTTCGATATGTCTGATTGGATTCTGTTATCTGAAGGAAGAGATACTTATCTTCTTTACCCCATACCCCGCCTATTCTTAATATTCACTTCTTATACCTGTTCTCGATATCGAGCCTGCAGCCCCCACATATATAGGACCGAGCTAAGCACCATGCCAAGAGAAGGTTCCTAAACCCGTAGGCAACCTACTTTCTACACACCACCTCTCTTTTCCCTTTTAATACAGAAAAAATGACCCTTCCTCCCCTTACAGCAGGACCAAATGAAGTCCGAGCATATATCACTCGCATCCTCGTTTCCAAACACGATGCAGCCCCAGAACTCGCGCATCGAATTGCTAGCCAATGGACACTCGGACGCCCCGGCGATCTCCGCCGCGCCGGCATGAAGTATTTCGATCAGGTGTTTGGGAGCGACGTTGGGACATTTTTATTCCGGACGGTTCAGGAGGATATCCGGGCTGAGTGGGATCAGTCCCTGCCGGGGATGGTGAATTTTTGTATGTCAAGGCGGAGGCTCCACTCGTGCGCCACCATGATGGAACTAATATAGCCAGGGACACCTATTCCCTCGATCGGATTGACTGTTTTCTTTGTCGTTCGCGCATATCGTCAGACTTCGGCAACGAGCATGATGGGTACGATATCCTATTGAGTACTTACAGGATCTGGTCGTTAATTAATGACATACAGCATCCATCCGATACGCAACCTTAGCATTCGGACCGCCCATGGCGTTCTGTGGCTTCCAGGATGGGCATAACTCCTTTCAGGCTATGAAGATCGTATCTGGCTTGATAGTGAGCTTTTTTGCGTTTCTCTGGTATGCGGTGCGCTTCTGTGAGCTGCTGGAAGCTAGGAGTAAAGAGGAAAAGAAGGCTGCTTGAAACTGTTGGATGGATAAATTAGGTGAACAAGGATAATATTATATGTAGATTGATTTCAATGTGGTTCAAGAGTGGCCGTTTTGTTGGAAAAAAAAAATATATTGTTATCTAGACGATTAGCTCGTAGTAAATCCACGGGAGCTTTATCTCTCTGATGATGCAAGCCCGGTAGCTAAACTCAACCCCACATGACCACATCCTCACCAAGAGACAACCATATCCACAACCAAACGTATCAAGAAAACACAAATCATCCATCTCCAACTACACACAAAATCAACAACATCAACGAACGAAAGCACCATGGACTCCCCCCAAGAGCACCCCCACACTCCGCCCCGCACGATGAAAGCCTGGCTCTACTCGCGCACCACCAACAACCTCGAAAACAACCTACACCTAGACCCCGCCGCGCGCATGCCGGGCGCCCTCCGCGACGACCAGATCCTCGTGCGCGTAATCTCCGCGTCGCTCAACCCCGCCGACTACAAAGTGCCCGAGCTGACGTCGCTCACGCGCGTCGTGATCCCGACCCCCGCCACGCCGGGCATGGACTTCTGCGGGCAGGTCGTCGTCGCCGCGTCGGCGGTCAAGGAGCTGCGGCGCGGACAGCTGGTCTACGGGAGCATCGGGGCGCCGGCGCAGTTCGGCGCGCTGGGTGAGTACCTCGTGTGCAGCGCGCGCAGCGCGGCGCCGCTGCCGGAGGGGCTGGCGCCGGACGACGCGGCGGCCGTCGGCGTCGCGGGCCAGACGGCGTACCAGTCGGTCAAGCCGTATGTTTCTGCTGGGGATCGGGTGTTTATCAACGGCGGGTCGGGCGGGTGCGGGGTGTTTGCGATTCAGATTGCGAAGCTGCTGGGCTGTCATGTAACGACGACGTGCTCGGCACGGAATGTGGAGCTTTGTAAGGAGCTGGGAGCTGATGAGGTGATTGATTACGAGGCGCAGGATGTGTTGGGCGTGCTGAAGGGCAAGGGGCAGGTGTTTAGTTTGGTGGTGGACCATGTCGGCGCGCCGGACGCGCTGTACCGTGAGTGCGATGCGTTTCTGCTCCCCGGGAAGGCGTTTGTTCAGGTTGGCTCGACGTCGCTGCTGAGTTCATCGATTTTGTCGTTTGCGGATCGTCTGGTAAGGCCTGGGTTCCTTGGAGGTGGGAAGAGAAAGTATGATATCTTGATGTTTAAGAATAGGAGGGAGGACCTGGTGCAGATCGGGGAGTGGATCCAGCAGGGGAAGATCAAGGTTGTGATTGATAGCACCTTTGCGTTCGAGGACGCGGTTCAGGCGTTCGAAAAGCTGCGGTCTCACAGGGCCAGGGGGAAGATCATCATCCATGTGTCTGATAAGGGTGGACAGGAGTGATTCTTCGGGTGGTTACTACAAGATTGTGACGGACGACTACATGGTTCTTAACGGCAGCATTTGTTGGTGAATTTGCGCTTGGGGACAGGCTAAGACCAGTCCGTAAATACTTTATTCCAACGCTTTTGCCATGCTATATGCAAATTGAAAATCTCTTTCCACCAACTTTTCTACATATAATCTATTCAAGCAAGACCACAACAAAGATAAGTAACAAAGACGGCAGAAATGGTAGTAAAATGCAGGAGAAATGAAGCACACAGGAGCAATAGCATCAGTATTCGCCTGAAGAAGCTGTGAGAGTCTTCTAAATCAAGAAAACCCTCTCCCTTCTTGCATGCACGATATTGGGGTCAAGTTCCAGGCAGCAGCAGCCAACGCGACAAAAGACATTCTTACCGTATAGAGATGGCGCCAAAACCAGGAAAAATTCCTCCTCCTCACCGGAACGCTCAGGACAGCAAGAACCAATGTATACAAACTTGCAATACACTTCGTTGATTTTTTCATCTTGTACGTTAAGGAACGCCTCAATTTTGTCGCCATCGTATAAGGTTCCAGACCATTCTTCCCCACGTTTTTCCAGGACTAGGTCAAAGGTTACCGCTTCAACAGCCAGGAGATGTGCCTTAAGCTCATTAGGGATGGCATCAATATCTGCCCAAAGAGAATCGCTGTCAGGGTATTCTAGTCCATGACAGATTGGGTCGAACTGGCAATTTCCCGATATATCTGAGCAGTAAAAAGAGGGCGTTGCACCCTTTCTTGGACTAAAACCCCACGTACTCTTATACCAGAGACCGGAGCGACCAGATACATTCCAGCCTTGCCATGACCAGCTTGGGAACTTTGCTGACGAGCGACGCTTCCCATCGATTACCACGAAGCACAAAGCTTGAGCGAAATATGCCACAGGAAGGTCCCCGTGGTACTGCATACCTAGCCTTTCTCTCAGTTCGCGCTTCACCGCAGCGAAGGCAGCGGACAAGTCATCTTCGTTGGTAACGTGACGACTTGCGTAGTGTTCCGCCTGACTGGCATACACGTCGAATCCCCCGTCCCAGCCTTCGTAGAGCGACCAGAAGTCATCGATTTCGGGAGTATCTACGTCTGAAGCACTCAACGCTGTCTCCGAGTAGGTGTCTTCAGAATATATCATTTTCTTTGCCTTGCAAGAGAAGAATGCCTGATCACGCGCAAGTACTAGGACATGGCGAGAGACTTTCCATTCGTCATGTGTCCAAGTACGTTCCATCCAGCCTGAACCATTCATTGATTGATCAATGAGAGGTTTGGCAACAGCAAAAGTCAGGTCGCCGACTGGCTGCCGAACCTGGCGTCGGTGACGCGAACGAGACAATTGAACACCTTTTAGACCTGACCAAGAGCAGTGTCCGTCTCCAACAATAGTGACGAGCGCTTTTGCAAATATAAGAGTAATATGCTCGTTCACCTTTTCGTCCTTGTAGCCAGCGCCTTGTCCTCGGCATAACGCATCAACCCATAGATAATCTATTTTCAATTCACAGCAGAGGTCAATTGCATTTCGTATGGTTCTCGGGATTTTCTCCCAAACAGCTTTGAGCCCCGGCTGATTTGTGAGCCGCCGCTCGTTCTCTTTCCTGAGCCGAAGCTGCCGATAATTATTTGGACCCCACGTATAGCTCAGTGCTGCATATCGACAATTAGGTGGTGTTTGCGAAACTACCAGGCGTCTTGTGTCTATAACTCGTAGCGGGTACGTTGCTGCGCCACGAACATGCAACTCATCTTTGGGGTTGCATTCACTGTGGTGAGTGCTGATCCAGCGCCTGACCAGGGGAAAATTGAGTCTGTCGCCCATCTTTCTACCATGGAACAGCTCTTCAGGACTGCCTTCCTTCTTCAGTAACATGATATCGCCCTCGTGTGGCGTCAGGCTGAGTCTCTCGTACTCCCTTGTTAAAAATGCTCGCTCGTCTTCTTCTAGCATAGAACCGTACTGATGTCCTGTCGAAACCCGAAGGCGGTATGTCTTTTTGATTGGTAGGCAAGGCGCGCCTGGGCCAGAGCCCACGTTTCTTTTAGTAGAAGCGTGTGTATTCTGCAGGAAATATCGTCCATAGAGCACCCGCGCGTAGTTTATTGTTCTGTCATGGGCAGGAGAGGTACCATCTTTCCAAACAAGTGTTTGACAAATCAATCTGCACATGGGGCAGGTCTCTGAAGCCTTGATGTCGCCAAAGCGCCTTTGGCCTATGGACTGAGAACGTTGCTCGTTCGATCCAGCTGGGGGATCCCAGAAGGCCGCCGACGTGACTCCGAGCTCGGTACAAAATTGACAAAGACCGTTACGTTGCTCCATGCTAATAATTTCTCTGACTGGTTGCGATTACTCTTTGTTAAAATACCTTCCGGTTGCACAACTAAATGTGACGAAGCTGGGTAAAAGGAATCCAACAAGATATCGCGGTTGCAAATGGGGCGGGGAGGCTTTTAAAGCATCGCCCGATCAGCCGCACGGCCGCCTTGCGCTGGGAAGATGGTGGCATAGCCTTCTTGTTGGCGCCCTGCCTGGTCAGCCGCCGCCTCACAATCCCCGGTAGTGATGCCCAACTCTTATCCTGGCCGTTGAAATAGATGTCAGCCCCATTGTTGGCCAATCGCTTGACTATTTCGCGTTGGTTGTTTATCGCACAACAACGACATCCAACATGCCTCGGTTGCAGATACGGCATTCGTCCTTGCTGTAGAACAGCTCAACTGCCTTCTCATGTTCATTTACCTCCGCGAATAATCATCTTCCTTTCTCTCTATTAGAATCGGCACAAGGAGTATTACTACCTTTGCCAACTGCGGAGTGACGAAGAACACAAGCCCTCACCTCCGCCAGAAGCTGTGTGCATATGCCAAGACACCTCGTGTTTTAGGGCGAGAGACACAGCCCAATAGTATCTGGCTGCATTAAGAGGGCAGGCTCTTGTTCAACTCCCACTTCTGCTCATGCCTACCTCGGTGGTAAACCGTTCCAGACGACCTAAACAGCGGTAGCGGGAGCAACAAACACGAACACTCCCACCAAAGCCAAAGCCGCATCCCGACGATCATTTTCTAACACGCTGGACACAAAATTATCATCATCTGCTGCTGCTAACAAATCTTTCCTCGTCCGCCTGACCATGGCACCTTTGCTTGCAACTTTGGTTCTCCGCGACTCTCATTTGAATCCGCTTGCGACTTCACACGAATTCAAGAATCAATGGATCAACCCTGGCGACGTCTTCAGCGTCCTACTCATTCTGGGTGGTGATGTTGTCGCTCGCGCGCTGGCGCAACTCGCGGGTAGTGGGCTCACGCCTGTCACATTCTCATTTGGTATGACATCGCATCTTCTTTCCTTTGTTCTTCCTTTCTGGGGCGGTCTGCTTGCTAAATCGATCCGGACAGGATGGGTGGCTTATTCCGTCTCCGCGCTGGTCTCGGCCGTTGGCGAGAACAGACTTATGCCACAGGACCCGGATTGCAAATGCAAAGTCATCAACGCCAGAAGTGGGCACACTAGGGACAATTCGAGTTGGATTATAGGCAGAATCGTACGGGATTTTGATTCATGGAGCGATGTGGCCACCAAGAAGAGGACCGCAGAACTCTTGGACAAGAGATGGGCTGAGATGAAAGCCGAGAATCCGGATGCACAGAAGCCAACTAAAGTTGGCCTAGTGGTAACCATATACAAACCGAGTGGCAAAAGACCTCCCGGCGTGGCCCGGCGCGACTTCGTCTACTGGAGCGGCCTGTTCGTCATGTTGGTGCAGCTGGGAATTGCAGCCATACCTTGTGGTGTTTTTGGCGACTGGGGGGTTTTGATGATAACGCTTTGCGGCAACGCTCTGGCGGTTACGACAGGCCTTCTTCCCCAGTGGCAGAAGGAAAAATGGGCATGCCGCAGGTCGTCCAGCGACACCTATGTTCTTTCCAGAGGAAACGGCGCCCAACATGCCATCGTCGTCCTAGGTAATAAACAGGGTTTGAACCTTGAGGATCTGGCATCTGGACAGAGTAATATTGACGCCTCTACTGATATTCTCACCCGAGCTACTCTTCTAATCCTCTCTACCCTCTGGGTGCTCCTCCTCATCACCGCGGCAGGGATACAGTCGAACACCTGGTTCCTTCTCGCCGTTGGTGGTATTGGCATTGTTCAGAATGTCTTCGTTGCCGGTTGGAACAGACGACCGGAGAATTTTGGTATTCCTCTCGACTATGTCAATGTATTCGGTCAGAAAAAGGTTATGGACACCCTGCTCGATGTCGAAAAGAGCTACCCGGGTTTAGGTCAGAGTATGCGCGACGAATTCTTCCCTGGGAAGCTCCATCCGGAGGAAGTCGAGAGGTGGGAACGGGTCCAGACAAATGATGGAGTTAAAAGGCCTCCGAGCTGAATGATTCGTCTACAAAACACGGCACAGCTCTAGAGAGACTGGTGTCGCTTATCTAATTATGTTTTGACAGTTTCTCACGGCGCATTGCAGATTCGGCTTACATGGTAGCACTACATCATGCCGAAATTAGTCTGATGTGATTTGCCAAGGAAAGCAAGTGCTCAAGGGTGACTGTTGGTTGTTAATTGTGGGCGAGGTCCTGAAGTCGCCTTCTACATATAAGGGCAAACAGGCAGGCGCTAGGCCTAGAGGCAACTTAGGAACTTGAGGCTCCGACAAGGTCTATTCTTCTTCCGGATAATTACATTTCTTGTTCGGATCTGCTACTTTAAGACGGCTTTTCTGAATCAGTAAAGGGAGGAGGCGGTTGAGGCGGTATTCGAGCAGCTGTGTCTGGCCACTTGGATCTTATCCCTCCTTACCAGTGCCAGCTTAAAGTAGCAGCTGAGTAACTATCCAGTCTATCCTTTTGAGCACGTTCCAATAATTCCATAGATCCTCAATGGAGTCTTCTCTGAACAGCAGCTGTGCGACCCTCTTATCCACGAAGGGTTCAGGGTTTGCCTTGAGCAACAGCTGTGCGATCGACTTATCCACTGCAGCACAGTCCAGCGGTGTCTGGCCAGCGGAATCCTTGGCCTCCTTGTCGGCGCCTGCCTTGAGTAGTAGCTGCCCGCAGACTCTATCTCCGAGCCTGACAGCGTAGTGGAGTGGTGTCCGGCCATTTGCATCTGTAGCCTCCCTATTAGCCCCCGAGTCGAGTAGCAGCTGTGTGACCACCCTGTCATCTGCGTATTGGGGCTGCATATTACCGCCTGCCTCGAGCAGTAGCTGTGCGACTGCCTCGTGTCCTATGGCATTGTGTAGCGGCGTCCGGCCAGCTGAGTCCTTGGCCTCCTTGTCAGCGCCTGCCTTGAGCAGTAGCTGCACGCAGACTTTATCCCCGAGCCTGACAGCGTAGTGGAGCGGCGTCAGACCCATCGGTCCTTTAACCTCTTTATTAGCGCCCGCCTCAAGTAGCAGCCGGATAGTTTCCCCATCGCTATCCTCAATAGCCAAGTGCATCGGTGTTAGGTCGGGGCTGGTTTTGACCTCCAAGTTAGGGCTGCCATCCTCAAGTAACAGACGAGTGATTGCTCTCTCTTTTGATATAATGGCGTCCAGTAGAAACGTGAAGCCATCTTCGTCTCTGTCCTCTGTGTTGGCGCCAGCTTTGAGTAGTAGCCGGGCGATTGCCTTATCCTTGAGCTTGATAGCATATTGCAGCGGTGTTTTCCCGTCTATACCTTCAATCTCTGTATTGGCGCCTGCGTCGAGTAGTAGCCGCACAACCGCCTCATCCTCATTCCTGATAGCAAGGTTCAGTGGTGTCTGCCGACATAGACCTTCATTCTCGGTATTGGCGCCTGCCTCGAGTAGTAGCCGCACGGACACTTTATCCTTGAGCATAACAGCATGGTCCAGCGGCGTCCCGCCCTCCCAGTCCTTAAGCTCTTTGTTCGCACCTGCCTCGAGCAGCAGCCGCACAATTGCCTCATGTTTGTGTCTGACCGCCAAGTGCAGTGGTGTCCACAGTTTCCCTACACAATCCTTGTCAGCACCCTCCTCAAGGAGCAGCCGCGCAACCGCCTCGTATCCATGCTCAGCGGCTGCGAGCAGCGGCTCATGCCACCTATATTTGTCGGGGTCTTTATCGACTAGCAGCTTTTCGAAAGCCTCGTGCATGGGCCGGTACAATGGCGCTTGGCCACTTTTCGCCATGACATTGGCGGCCTTCTCGAACAGCCGGCGGATGGCAGTTCCAAGTTCGTTTTCTATAGCAAACTGCAGTGGTGTCCAACTATCATCCTTGTCGTTCAAATAGATGCTAACACCACTGTCAGTCAATAACTTGGTTATCCCACGTGCATTGTCAATCGCCTTGCAGTGGAGCGGCGTCCATCTGCCCCAATCTGTTGCGATAGCGTCGTCGCCGATGCCCTTGCTTCCAAGCAACTCAACTGCCTCATCGTGCTTATTCATTTCGGCGAATTGTCGTGGTGTCCAGTCGTACTTGTCCTTGGCCATGATATTTGCGCCCTTCCCGAGCAAAAACTTGATAACCGTTTTGTGCCCATTCATCGTTGCAAGATGTAGGGGTGTCCAACCAACTCGATCGTCTTTCGCATTGACTTCCGCGCCGCGGCCAATCAGCAGTCTCGCTAATTCTTGATCCCCATTAACAGCTGCACAATGCAAGGGCGTCCAACCAATCTTGCTATCCTTAGCTTCGACGTTGGCATCTTCAAGCAGCTCCACCACCATTCCGTACCCATGCATTACCGCAAAATGTAGAGGAGTCAGGTTGTTACTCCCCCCCATGTCAATAGTGTATCCCTTCATGAGAAGCTTCACAACAGGAGCAAATCCCATTTGGGATGCTATATGCAGTGCAGTATTGCCATATATATCCTTCGCCGTTTCGTCGATTCTATTTTGCAATAACTCCACCACAGCAGCGGACCCTGCCCAAGCAGCGCAATGCAGTGCTGTCTGCCCATTGCCGCACCGTACATTCAGGTCAACATTGTCACGTCCTAGGTGTTCGACCAAATCTTGGATCATCTGTTTGTGCCCTCGTTCAGCTGCAAGATGTAGTGGCCGCCGTCCGAGCTGGTCCGCAGCTTGTAAGTCAGCTTTTCCAACCAGCTTCGAGAATGTGAGATAGTCTCCCATCCAAATTGCGCGCCGTAACATCTCGCTCTGCTCGCTTCCTGAGTCGCTGATCGATCGTTTTCTTTTCTTGGAAAAGTGGGTCATGGAGTGGACAATCATCACCTCATCGACTGCTGTCGGTAACACCCTCTGCCTGAAGTACAAGGCACCGACATATTGACAGTAGAGCGGCTCATGAATTTCTCTCGTCTCTCGCACTTCTCTCACCAGTAGAGCCCTTTCAACGGAAGCAGTACCATACTCAGCTAACAGCCAGCACTCTTCAGGGTAGCTTTTAAGGGTCTCTTGGAGCTGATGCCTTATTAGAGGATGTGACAGGTTCCACAGACAATTCTGTTCAAGTGATTCATCCACCGGGATGATACGCCACTTTCCTCGGATACCATTATCCGAAAGGCTTAAGTAGGTCTTGGGAGAATTGTCTAAAGGCATGCAGAACAAATTGGTAGGGCACCAGGTGAATCCCGTGGACATGGTTGCAGCGTTGTGAAATAGGTGCCCAGGTGAAATCTTGACAATCTTCTCTAGGATGCGCATATAGGTGTTCTGCTGCATCTCTTCTGGTTCGACATCCATCAATAGTGCAGAAATGACGGATATATCTTTCGGCCAAGATTATAGCGCGGACCCAACACGGTCAAAAGTTCGTTCAGTGAACTGATTTCCTTCCGGAGATTCCGGATAATCTGAGAAGCTCTTCGACGAGCTTCATCTTCATCTTTCCGGTTATTTTCTTCGCCTTCGCTTGCAAGAATTTCTTCGTCGAGGTCTTTTATGACAGGGCCGCAACGTCCTTTGAAGATCACCTTTACCTTGGGTGACTTAGCTAACTCCAGAGCAGTCCAGCCTCGACTGAACCAAGGCGACATGAGGATAGCAAAGCATGCGGTCTTAGGATCCCACTCCCAGTTTCGGAGAAACAAATCATGTACCAGCGTGATTCGGGCGTTCTGATAGTTGCTCTGGATTCTCCGTATCGCTTCGGTTCGGGCGGCCTTTTCTCTTGGGATGCAAAGAGTATCCCACCAGATCCCCTCGCATTGAAACTGTTCCGCAATGTCTCGGAAAAATAGGTAAAGGCACCTATTTACCTCCTCGTCCTTCCAGGCACCAGTGCCGGTTCCATCTGACCAGACGTGAGAAATTGCCATATACGGCCGGGGAGGTTCGAGCAAGGCGTCTCCAGTCAGATTCCACACAGTCGATCTTCCACTGCTCGCTGCCTTTGCAAGGAGTTTTCTGGGGAATCGGTAGCGTATCCGTGCGCACCTCCTCTCGTCGCATTCATGCCGCTGTTGGATCGCTGTGAAGTCGCGTCTGGAGTATTCACAAAAATCGAATGTACAAAGCTCATGCTTGTGTGTGTCTGCGTGGTTCTTGTCATTTGCCCCAAGACGCGGTAATAATTTCGGTAAGTCCTCCCCTGCAACAGCCCACACACGATTTGGACAGAGCATAAGTTCATTTGTCGCTCGCCGAAATGCTTTCAGAAACTCGTCACTGGAGGAATCCATGGTCGGTATTAGGTGCTATTGAAACAGACTTCGCACCGTTCTAGAGCGCCCTCAAGCCTCTATATAGCGTGAGGTGAAGGAGAAAAATCTGGAATTCAAGGGATGTTGAGTTGAGGAGAGGTCAGGTCACCTACAAAAGAGCAGTGCCATCGGCCGGATTTTGCTAGCAGCAAAATGCTAGCGATACCAAGGCTGCCTCCCTGCCTTTTATACCATAAGCGTTGATTTTCACTATTCTAAGGTTTATTAGGACTTTAGGTAGGGTAATCGGTCCTGCATCTGCTACTCTCGGCGGTAGGTCTTGACTGCGATGCCGTGGCGGGTTAATCGGCCATGTCAGATGGAAGAAAGTGGCTGTGTGCATATGCTAAGACGCTAATCTCAGGGCGATACATGGGATCAATAGAATCATCTTGAATTGGCGCATTGATTGGCCACTGGCAGGCTCACTATAAGTGGTAGAGCTCTCCTGTCAGCCAGAGCCGTCCAGCAAGCATGGTCATCCTGAGCCCTGATCGGCTACATCAAACGGCGGTGTGACCCAGCCTCCACACCCTGCAGGCTGTCACCAATTTTCCGGAATACAGGTCAGGGTAGGTAGGTTGCAGTCGCGGTTATAAAAGTAGCTGCCTACTTTTCAGTGTTTTTGAGATGACGAGTGCATTCCACAAAATGCCCTGCCCGCCCTGAACTTTTAGGGATGGTTTCCCGGAGCCGACGTAAAGGTCACTAGTCCATATATGGTCGCAAGATAAGTATAAATAACGGGCCCTTAGTGGCCATCTACTTCAAGCTGCTCAGGTCCGCTCAGTGAGAAAGTATGGCAAGGCGTGAGCACTAAGATGAAGGAAAGAATTGTCTCTCTAATGAGAAAACACCGTATATATGCATTATTACATTATACATCGTCACTTCCGCTTGAGAAAGGTCAGCGCACCGACCGACATCGCATCCACCGCTGTCAACAGCGTCGGCTGCATCACCGGCGCAAAGAACGGCGAGTGGTTATTCGGCAGCTGGTTGACCGTTCCATTGGCGACAGCATCCTCCCAGGTTTTGGGGTCAACTCCACCAAAAGTCCACATCACATACGGCGCACCAACCGCCGTCGCAAGAAGCGAAAAGTCCTCGCTGGCAGACGCCGGCTCGCTCTCGACGAGGTTGTCCTCGAAGTACGCCCCGAAAGTCTTCTGCAGGGCTTTAGCGGTAACCTCGTCATTGATTGTGGCGGGCGTAGAGAACGTGCATTTGACGTCTGGCTTCTGCGGGGATCCCGAGGCATGGCACTCGGCCTCGATAATCCGCTTGATGGACGACACCACGCGTTCGCGTGTGGCCGCATCGTACGTCCGCACACTCAGCTGCATGTCCAGGTAGTCGGGGATGATGTTCGAGGCGTGACCGGCGTGGATACTGCCGCAGCTGACGACCGCCATCTCGCCGGGCATGACCTCGCGACTGACGACGGTCTGCAGCCGGGTCACGATCGACGCACCGAGCACAATCGGATCGACGGTGGTCTGTGGCGCCGAGCCGTGTCCGCCCTGTCCGTAGACGCGGACATCGAAGGCATCCGCCGCCGTAAGCAGGCGGCCGGAGCGGATGCTGACGGTCCCCGTCCGCATGCGCATGACGTGCTGGGCCAGCACCACGTCCGGCTTGGGGATCTTCTCGTACAAGCCGTCCTCGATCATGGCTCTCGCGCCGCTTAGCTGCTCCTCCGCGGGCTGGAAGATGCAGATGAGCGTACCGGACCACTGGTCGCGGGTAGCGTTTAGGAATTGAGACGAGGCCATGAGACTGACGACGTGGGTGTCGTGACCGCATGCATGCATGACAGGGATGGAGGCGCCACCCTTGTCCTTGACCGTCTTTTTGCTGGCGTAGGGGAGCCCGGTTTTCTCCTCGACCGGCAGCGCGTCCATATCAGCTCTCAGGAGCACCGTCGGGCCATCTCCATTGCGTAGAACACCGGCTACACCGTAGCCTCCAATATGCGTATGAACCTCGAATCCGAGGTCCTTGAGGTGCCGTGCGACGGTCGCGGCTGTCTCTTCTTCCTGGCCAGAGAGTTCGGGGTGGGCGTGAAGATGACGATAGAGGTCTTCGTACGGTTTCAGATCGGGGCGGTGCTGGTCCAGGAGCGCCTGGAAGCTCGAGTCTTGTGCTGCGTTGGAGGTTATTCCCGAGATTGCTTTGTGCAGGAGAGAATATACTGTCTTACCTGGGATCTGCATATTGAGTGTCTCTTTTCAATGATGGGGTTCAGGAAGATGTGTCTGGTACCTGGGAGCGGGGAGGACGGAGGGGTTTTAAGAGCGGGACAATCAGCCCTAAGCTAGATAGTTGTCCCTGGAGAATTGGCCCCAAACTACCCTAAAGCGGATTGCCGACCGCCAAAAAGCGGGGAGATCGCTCGATAAGCTCGCAGCCCCTTCATTGGCCATGCGGGGCTAGTCGGTCGGCTAACTGCGCCAGTGGTCGTCAAACGCCGACGAGCTCGGCAACTGGCCAAACGTCGGCAATATGACAGAGTATTTCATTAGCGGAGGTACATATGTGGTGGAATCCAACAGTCTGGGGAATCTGGAATGACGCATGGTGGCGTCTACCCCATATTGTCGATGGGTCGTTGGTCACTACGTAGTATGGAGTAGTGCCGAATTGAGGGACCCGCATACATCAAGAACAAAGACAAGTTTGAGAATGAGAAAGCTTGGGTGCAATTGACTTCAGCCAGGTCCATCCGTTCCAAGATCTTGTTGGAGATTTTCTGGTCTTTCTTCCCGCCTACGGGTATTTGTCGGTGCGGGGGTGGATTTCTTTATATGCACCTCTTCACCTACTATCACATCCTGGGGATCCTCGACTCTCTTTGTCTGATGCAGGTAGGAACAGAATCTCCAATTTTGAAGCTCAGTGGGATAGGGCATGTGAAGTATGACTTTATTGAAAATGAGGCCATTTTCGTTTCAATATAGTCGCGCAACTAACTTCACCAAGAAGATATAACTAGACACCAGAAGAAGAGGTAATTGGATTTGGCCTTCTTTGACACACCATATATCACTCTGAGTATACATCCGCACTATCTAGTGAATTTCCTTTGATCACGGCCATCTTCTCCGCATGAGTTCTGAGCTTCTTTCTTTCATCTTCACTGGTCTGCGTAACCTCATACACCCAGGTTCCCTGTCACCAGGCTTGCATTCACCATGTCTCATGCCTATTCCTCTCATAATCCCTCGCTGAGTGTAGTATAAAACCAACGATTTTCCACTCCTCTCTCTCTCTTCCTCCCACCACCATCTCCTTCTCACTCCCTCCTCTGCCCACAACAGTCTCCTCCTTCTACAACCACCATCCAACCAACCAAACAACAACATCCCCTGCAACCATGAAGCTCACCGGTCTCCTCTCTCTCGCCCTCCTCACTACCTTGGCTCTCGCCGCTCCCGACCCCAAGAAGAACGGCCCCAACAGAGACTGGTGTGGCCAGGTGTGCACCGGAAAAAATGACTGCAGCGGCGAGTGCAACAAGTGTGTCAACTTCGTCTGCAAGCGTACGTCTGTCCTGATATACAAGGAGTACCTTCACAAGAATGCCACTGATCATGCCGCCAGACTGAACGCTACTCGTCACCTGACGATTATGATGTGAACCTGCGAGCTGATGAATATGGTAGGTCGAGAGTATTTTGTCCTCTTGGTGCAAAGATCCAAGACCAGCTGACAGCTCCAGACTGCTTTGAAGGCGACGCTGTTGCTTTTGATGGTGATTTCTATTGGACCTGCTGGATTGGGTTTCTGAGAAGGTTGACGAACTGCGCGACCATCCGTTCTGGGACGATGTGATTGCTTGGGTTACGCCTTGATGGTTGCCGCGATTGCTAGTCTAGATCGTGGAATGGATTTATTTGCCAACCATAGCATGGGTGTCCATGAAGACAGATGTAACAGTGACCAAACATTAACAAATTAGAGACGAGACTACGAGAGTAGACCATGTCACTGTCAAATTCAACGTAGAGACTTATGGCATGGAAAGTGTAAGTCTGCAAAATATATAATTAGGGTTACGGACTCTTCAGTACTCCGGTATGAAACTCCACATCTCCCCGGCTGGAGGATACATCTGACCCATATTGTATGTAACATAATGATTCAGACCAGGCAACCACATCACCACGCTTAAGCCATCATCAATCCCTTTTGTTTGTTATATACTCCTACTCCGTAGATAACTAGACGGCCCGAGGCATGAATGCTCCAAAGTTCACAGGTGGACCTGGTGGAGCAGCCGCTCAACCAATGATGTCATGAAAATTCTCCCATCCCAGAAAAAAAATTCATCCACACATCCACCCTCTGGACACATAACTTGCAAAAAGTTAAGCCGAACGCGGGGGTCGAACCCGCAACCTTGAGATTAAGAGTCTCACGCTCTGCCGATTGAGCTAGCCCGGCTTTGCTTGATAGAGCGGTGATGAGATTTGATCTATGTTCGGGGAGCTCAGGTCTTAGGTACTGTCACTGGTAGTCTACGGGTCAGCACCATGAGGGGGGAACACGGACGGGAAGCGGCATGGGATGGGATTGGTATGGTATTGCGTCCGCCGGTGACGACAACACCTGGGGTTGATGGCTGTAGCCTGAGTCAATGACCCTACCCGTGTGTAGGGTCAGCTGAACGGCAGTCGGCTGTTGACCAACAGACGCTTTCTCGAGGTTGTTGGGAGATGGCAGTCGGGGGTTGGCGTGTCTTCATCCGCTGGTTGGAGACCATGCGACACATAGGTAGGCAGCAAGGTTGAGTTGCCGCGCAATTGGGGGCCAAAAAGGTCCAGACTGGTGAAGATGAGCGTGCGCGTATGATTGAAGAGACGGATCGAGAGGAGTCGCTGGTCTGCCTGGATTCTGTCTGGTAGAATAGAGGCCCGGTTAATCGGGTCGTTGGGATGTAGACAAAGTGGTCTCTACAGCGTCAAGGCATCAGCGATCAATGGCTGACAGCCTGGGCCGCATAGGTCCGTCCGCATATCGATAGGATGTCATGCATCGAAACTGCAAGAAATCTGGCGCGCGTGAAGACAACTGCAGAATAAGGAGGGAACTGCGCCGCACCGATCCGTGGGGACTCTATACTGCAACCGAAGAGTGGTGAGACCTAGATCGACGTCGACGGCGTCAAGAGATAGGGGGAAGTGTGGCTGCGGCGCTTGACGAGAAGCAAAAGCAACGATGACAGCCAGTCGAGCTGTGGCTGAGGCTGAGTCGACGTTACGAGCGAAAACCGGGTTGAGGCTGATTTGGCGCTCCTGGACCCCTGACCCCCCTTATCAACCGGGACGATCACAAGGAACCGCAACACGAACGGGTCGGGATCCCCGATTTATTCTTAGAAACGAGGAGAGACATGGCCCAAAGACGCGAAACTGGAAGATGGTAGGGTACCGGCAGGATGGTTCGAGACAAGCGGTCGTCTCAGAAGATGCGCGGGGAGAGATGGGCGGTTATCAAGAGTATGGATTGGAAGTACGGCGGGTAGAGAAACGTGGACACAGAGCCTCGATGCAGGCAACATGAGGGGTCTGTGGCAGTTGGAGGGAGGATTTGTCGGGATAAGCAGCACCAGCCACAGGATGACTCTTCGTGCGCGGAGGGTGACCGCCAGTTCAGGGGGGAATCGCCAATGAGGACGCGGGGAGGCCCTCCAACTGGCGATATGATCACAGCCACCACCACTCCTAGTGCGCTCAAGTAGTGTGAGTGTGCCTCGTTGACGCCTAGGGTCTAACTAAGTCTAGTGCCCGTTGCGGTTAGTCGCCTCTGTCATTTACTCGCTGCTTGTGACCAATGCCGTCATTCGATTTCTATACTCCTCCGTCCTAAAGTACTTATATCCTCCGTCTTCCCCTGCCTCGCTCTGTACTCTTCTCTCCAGACCACTTCTCTACTTCACACCGATATATCCTTTCTCTCTCAGTACATCCTACTAGAGCTCGCATCTACTACTTCTGCCTCTTATTCATACTCCATACTACATATTCTCCCACCCTCACTGTCCCCGACAGTGCCCTACCCCCCTCCACCCAACAGACAGTCACCGTGTCTCCCTACCGCTCACCACGTTTGTTCCGGCCTCCCTCTTCCATACGGGAGTTCCTCTTCCCGTCTCGACAACCCACCACCGGTAGAAGATACTCCATCCGTCGCGCGTCCACCATGCCCGCCCCCATCGAGACCATCGTCGAGCCGGTCGTGCCCGTGCGCGACCTCCAGGCCGACGAGGAATACGTGATCAACGCCTTTGAGCGTCACGCAAGCCACTGCGACCAGTGCGTCGACCCGTTGCAGGTCCACAAGGAAGACCGTTCTCTCTGCGAGCGCGGTCATCAGTACGCTCTCGACGTCGCCGACTACATCTACAGCAAGAACGGCAAGGCCTACTCCGTCGTCGACCGCGAGGCCGGCCAGCCCACGTTGGTCAAGGTGCCGCGCAACTGCAGCGCCGTCCGTGGTCTCCTCCTGGCCATCGAAGACGGTCTGCGCGTGCAGCGCGGCGCCGACAAGGCTCCCGCTGTGCAGCCCCCCGTCATCAGCTACGACCGGACCTACCCCATTGCCCCGCGCCGTCCTACCAGCCAACAGTCCGTCGTCTGCAACGAGATCATCGAGCGCGAGCCTCGCTCCCTCAAGCCCCGTCGGGTCATCGTCTACCCGTCCCCGCGCAGCTCGCCCAGCCGCGGCTCCCTCTACGACGAGGACGAGGCCGAGCGCATGGAGCTCCACAAGGAATCCTCCCGCATCTACCGTCGCAGAGAGTACCACCGTTGAACACCATGCCGCTGCACCGCATACGCTGTCACTTTGTCTTTGAGCCCCCATCTATGAGTATGGCTGTTACGACCCCACCACGGTGCACGACCCCCCGTCGCGTCAGTATGCACCTTTGAGACGAGAGATTGGAGGCATGGTCCTCCCTGCGTCCTTCACGAGCGCGTTCCCTATTGCTCACTCTGGGGTTTGGGATTCTCACTGGTTGAGATTTGCTCGTGATTGACTTGATACGACCAACTGCAACATCTGGATTATTCAGTTATTCAGTGCAAGTTGTGGTGTTTTATGCTTGTGTTTGTCCGGAATACGGAAAGTGGAAACACAAAAACACAAAAAAAGTCCCCGACTGAGAGATGCAAGTTATTCATGAGTCATGAGTTGCAGTCGATCTTGTAGTGGTGGTAGACGAGAAGTCTACGTCCTCGCAATCCGCCGAGACTGCAGTGCTGGATGGGAATGATTGAGAGTCAGACTGTTGATGTATTTCCTTTGTTATGTGTGATGTATTTAGTCATGGCCAATGAAAGCAGCGAATTGTTGCCCCAACTGTTCTCCTCTGTATTGATCCTCTGTATTGAATGTAAAAGTTAAGTCTCTTAGTATGCATAATGTATGCATGAATGACTCACTCGTGGAGAGCTGCTGATTGGAAGCACTTGAAGGATTACATTAGTGCCGGATTAGCATTATGGCGGTGCAGATACTACCACTAGAGTATTCGTGTTAGTCTTGGATTCCGGAACCACTCCAACTATAGAGAAGTACTCCCGAGTATAAGCAGTATAATTCTTGTGGATTAGGGTCAATACAGTTGGTTAGTCAACAAGTGAATGGAAATCACTATGAACCATCAAACCACCAAGTGATTGGCTCTAGGTGATTATCTGATACTAGTGTTGGCATGTTTCTATAGTAGAAGTGAAGGAATCTGCCCAAGTCAACAAGCCATCACAATGAATAACAGGAAGAAGCCAGAATATCTTTGTTTACCCTCACACAACAAAGCGCACAATAAGCATCGGCCTTACCGAAGACAAAGGGATTATCAGGAAAATGGCAGCACCCGCCATTCAGACATTCTACACTGTGATAGGAATCTTCCACTTCCTACTATGTCCAATCTATAAAAACCTCGCTCCTCACTGAAGCCGTTTCTCTCCATCCACCCTCACTCAAACAAACAACCAACCAGCCACCCTCAAGATGTCCTTCTCCAGCGACGACCTCTCCGTCGCCCTCAACGCCCTCCGCCAATCCGAGGTCGAACAGTCGCTCGAGGAACGCTTCAGCCAGGTCTACCCACCCTTCGACCCCAAGATCCACCACCAGGCCGTCCTGCGCGACGAACTCGCCAAAGACACCCCCCTCCACGCGACCCCCTTCCTCCTCGCCTCGAAACCCAACGGCAACCACGCCCTCGTGCCTACCATCGAGGTTACCGACGAGCACGGCCAAGACTGTGATGTCGTGATGGCCACGTCTCCCCCCAGTCCATTCCACGAGAACACCACCGCTGCGCATGAACCACCCACCCAGCCCGACGAGGAAACCTCGCAAGACGACAATTTCCCGGGAGCTGCATACATGCACCCGGAGACCCGGGCCCGCGTCGCCTCCTGGGCTCAACAAACCGGCGCCATGACCATGCCGACGGTCCAGGTGGCCCCCGCGTCGCCGATGGTCGAGCCGCGTGCATATGCGCAGAGCGTCGACCAGCTCGAGATGGCGACCGAGCGTGTCGTGTCTGATAGTGGATCGGACGATGGTAAATGGTATGCTTCCTGTTGCAAGGCGTGTGCGCCTTCGCGCTGACTGGTTCTAACCCTGGTTTTGGTTTAGTATTTTGCCTGATGGGACTGTTGCGGCTGGGGACGATGCTGGGGCGTCTGGTGAGAATGGACGTCCGGCGCTGGCGCTGTTTAAACGTCGTCGTGAGGTTGACGAGGTGAAAGAGAACGATGGTGGTGGTGGTAATCGACGTCGGAGCGCGAGGATTGCGGCGTTGCAGCAGCAGGGTCCTACGATCTACCGGGTTTGATGGTTGTCATCTCGGATACTATGGTTTGATGCGTGGTTCTGAAGGTATCGATGGATGGGAGGGGAGTTTGTAGGGCGGCTTATGTTGTTGATTTGCATCTGGCATGATATACCCCCGGTGGGACATGGCGTTGCGGGCATGTAGGCGTACTCCTTATTCATGCAGTTCTATGCTGCTAAACATACGTGCAGACTGGAGTTTATTGTCTCTTCACTGATGTTGTCTGTGCTAAACATACATGCAATTCATTACCTTTCAATTCCTAAGAAAATATATTGTACCATCTAGGCCACCCAGTAGTACCCTTGTAAGCCAAACAATGAGTCAGTCCTATCTCCACCACGTCGATCTCTGCATACATGCGCATAAGACAACCCAGTGGCAATAAGCCACCGGCTGTGTGTATAGATTCCGTATGGCTGGTGAGACATCGTCTACCTCTCATCCATATTCACACCATCCTGAATAAACACCGGTCGCCTGACTCACTATCCAAAGCAAGGTAACCACCACCCCGCACCAAACGCTTAACAGCAGGAACTAACAACCAACCTTCGCGTGCCCTAGGACGTACATCCAAGCACCGCAGCCAATGATCACGCTGCGCAAGAGCCGGGTAAATCATCCCGCGCCCTGTCGCGATCCCATGATGACAAGCAACACACCCCAGGGAGACGATCATGGCCAAGGGGGTGTGCATGGAGGGAGGACAAACGGATCTGGGATCTTGGATCTGCCCCATCTTCTCCCCTACGAGGATGCGGGAGCCTGCATACAGCCAGTCTGCCGCACGGAAGATATACCGTGCCGCCCGCGACGGCTGAGGCCGGCACTACTGCCCTCCTTGCACTGACCACAGGCTGATCATGCGACGGTGGGGGTCGTTGGTGGGCGGGTTCCTTGGATGATAACAGGCATATCCGGTTCAGTATCACGGTCTGTTCGGGTGCTTGCTAGACTCCGGTCACGGCAATAAGATGTCGATGCCTATACGAGGGACAGAGGAACTTGGATATGGTTCTGACCCTCATAGGTCTTCTGGAGAATGTATAACATCCAGAACTCGGCCCGCGCGGTTATGCACAACCTCCGTCCTAGCTGCGACATGACCATCTGCTGGGGTCAGCTGGATTGACAAGCTTTAAAGGTCGCACATAGGCCTGAACACTGGTGGATGGACACTTGCATGGTATACACCATCTTTGCGATATGCTCCAACAATTGTGGCTGTGTTCTTGTGGTGCAGTCGGGTTGGTTTGGTTGTGGCTGGAAATCTCCGCGAAAGTCCCGCAGTACTTCCGCGGCAGAAAAGCGGACGAAACTCAAGCCAATCCATCGCCCCCAATTCCGTCTTGTCTGTATGGAAAGTATGGGCTTGTTGCCATTTAACCCCAATGTCGTTGAAACGAGGGCTGGAGCGTGAGTCGTGTGACTTTTGCTTTCGGCGTAAAGTCAAATGCGATCGGACGTCTCGCGCAAGAGAGGGCCATGCCGCATGTTCTCAATGTGATCTACGGCAGAGGCCATGCACTTTGGACTCTGATGATGTCCGAATTCACCGGCGCCGCAGGATAAGCCCAAATAATGCGGACTTGGAGGGAAGCAGCCTAGTCTCGACTCTCCTCGAGCCATCCTTGAACGATCGGGGTCTAGGCGGGAATACCTCGTTACCACTATCACCCCAAACGACTCTTGTTGCAACAACCGACCCGGATCCCAATACCGACTCTCCTTTACATGCTTCAACCAGCGAGTCGCTGTGGACAGACCTGGGTTTTGAACTCAACCTTGAGAGCGTCTCGTTTCTGAATGAGGTGTTCATGCAAGATTTTGCTCCCTCCGAAACAATTGCCCATATAGACGGTCCATCAGACGCCAGTCCCCAGAATGCAAAAGAGATTATGGACGGAGCGACTGCAAATCGAAGTCCTTACGAGATCCAAGGAATCGACTTCAGCACACTTGAGGCAGCTCTCACGGCGTACTTTAATTTCGCATCTCTAGTTCTGCCCATCATTCCCAGAGATGCATTGATGGCAGACTATCAGAGCCGTCGAAGTAGCCCCGCGCTCATTTTTGCAGTGGCATGTCGAGGTTGTCCCTTCCTCCCCGTTTCGGACAAGTGGAACTTGCAGCAGCAATTCGCTTTTGGCTTCAGGCGGGCATTTCTGGAAGCGCAAACCAATGCAACACCAGCGCAAACAATTAGACTTGATGATATTGAAGCCCTGGCACTCATGGTTGGCTTTGACTACGAATCAGATGGAAACACCGCTACCGCTCTTCACTCGCAACTGGGCGCCTTGTTCCTGACGCACCAATCTCTTGTCTTAATGACCCTGCAGTACCAGATAGCTTGCCCTCCAACGCTGGAAAGAGCACCAGAGCGCAAAGCGCTTCTGCTGTGGCACGTATACGGGCTGGATGCGTTCTACTGTCTTGGTCATGGACTCATGTCTCAGATACAACAAGAAGACATTGAAGCTGTCAACCCTCCCGAAAGCTTTACTGGAAGAGAGACGGGGAGCTATCTTGACACTATGCTTTCGTTGGCCACTATTGCCCGAGGAATAACACGTAAAGTCTGCAGCCCTGGAGCTAAACGCAAAGGAATTAAACTCCAGGACGTGGACAACCTCTACGAGCAGCTCTCAAGGTGGAGGCAAGATTCATGCCCTTCGCGGCTACGGTTTACAGGAGATATCAACTCTGATTCTGCTGAGCGTGATAGCCGATCCTCACACACAATAAACAAGAACTTGCTGCACCGGACAGTGATCTCACTGCTGCAGCTTAATTGCTACATGGAAATTGAGAGATGCCTTGATGTCGGCATTCAAGAACAAGCTTCTGCTGAAGGTGAAGCGCTTGAACTTCGTATTAGATACGAGACTTTAAAGGCAGCGAACCAAATTTTCCAGACTTTCCAATATATGGAGACCGTCGAGGACCGCGGGCAGTACTCCCTGGTCGATCTTTCGCCAGGTATTCTGCGCAATATGTGTTGCGGCGCCGCATACTGGTTTTGCAACCATGCCCAGAAGCTTTTACATCAACAAGCCAGGGATGATTCCAAAGATCTATCTAGACAAAGGGCTGAAGATTACATGAAAAAAGCGGCCAAGCTGCGGGATACGGCGGCAAAGGCGTGTCCCACATGGACACCGCGCAGGCTGTCAGGCAGGTGGACGAGCAGCTAAATGCGTTGAAGGAGTTAGTTGAACAATATTGAGCCCGTAAAGTTCCGCTTGGTTACGAATCTCAGTGCCCGCCGAAAAGGTACCGCGATGATCCCGTCGAATTTCCGTCTCCGCCAGGCATTTATATTGATACAGACTCTCAGCCGCCAGACTTCTATTCCACTCTCTTCAAGCTACTTCGCTATCATTTTCGATTGAGAGCTGTTCGATCTTATTATCTAGGCAAAATGGCTGGCTTCCTCCTTGGCCCTATTGCTCCGCCACCGTCGGGGCTCTTGACTTCCCCCGATGTGAGAGCTGTTACTGCGAATCTGTCAACCTCCCTGATTCAGGCCATTCATCAGGGCCACAGCAGCTATGGAGACTTCACTGCCAATTCGTCCTCGATCTCCATCACGGCATTGTCCACCCAGGATGATCAGGACTCTCCCTTCTTTGACTTCCATTTTTCATCGCCTCTTTTGAACCATTCGGCTGGCAGCACCGAAGACGTGACCAATACCTCCTTGTACAGAATCGGTAGCGTCTCCAAGCTCTTCACTGTGTATACACTTTTGGTCAATTACGGTTGGGAGCATTGGGATGACAGCATTACTACGTACCTTCCTGAACTTCAAGACGCTGCTAATCTCGATGACGATACTTCGGTTGCGCATGTCGACTGGAGCAAGATCACGATCGGAGATCTTGCCTCGCAGCTATCTGGTATCAGCAGGGATTGTGAGTTTTGTATGAAAAAGGGACGAGAGAGCAAAAGCTAACGTCTAACGAAGATTCTTATGGAGACTTGGCCGATATTGATGGCCCCTGGTCAGAAGCTGGATTGCCTTTACTGCCACCAGAGGATGTTCCACAATGCGGAGGAAATGCTAGCATGCCACCGTGTAATCGCAAAGGTATCGTGCTCGCTATCCACGTTTCTCAATATTCATACTCATCACTGCTTCTAGAATACTTCCAGGGTCTACTCGGGAGAGCTCCGATTTTCGCACCGCAAACGACACCCGTCTATTCAAACACTGCCTACCGACTGCTCGGATATATCTTGGGAGCAATCAGTGGTAGTCGATTCGACGAATTGCTTCAGTCTTCAGTCCTTCGACCTTTGAACCTGACAACCACCACTTATGCGATTCCTAGCGGCGAAGGCTCGTGGGTAATTCCAAGCGGTGAGAGTGGCTGGTATCAGGACACTGGTGACGAGACACCGTGAGTATATCTGGGAGCTTCCGTACCACTGGCCTCTTCTAATTTGTGTCGCTATCCAGTACAGCAGGGATGTACTCTTCGTCGTCTGATTTGGCAAAGTTTGGCCGTGACATCCTGCTTAACAAGCAGCTTTCACCGGTCGCCACTAGACGCTGGATGAAGCCGAGTTCTCACACCTCAAGTCTTTCTTTATCCGTGGGCAGTCCCTGGGAGATCATGAGGACCAAGAGTCAGATATCCCACGGCCGCACCATTGACCTGTACACTAAGTCTGGGAGTATCGGCCAGTACAACTCGCTTCTGATTATCTCCCCGGACTATGGCGTTGCGCTTTCGATACTGGCAGCCGGTCCAAGCAGCGCGGCGGTTGTTGAGGTCGCCTCCGAAACTGTCCTGCAGTCTTTGATCCCAAATTTGGAGAATCAGACCCTTTATGAAGCATGCAAGAGCTTGTGTGGGACTTATGAGTCGTCCGATCTGAGCAAAAACTCGAGTCTTACCGTATCCGCGGACAGGAATGGCCTCCAAGTGGAGCAGTGGGTCAGTCGTGGTGTTGACTTTCTGGCGGTTGTAGAGGCTTATGCTTCTCAGACCGGCAGCCTGCCAGTTAAAGTGATGTTGCAGATGACGAATATAGGGTATTCGCCAAATAGTCAAGGCAACGATGTCGGGTCTCGTCGCGTGGCATACCGAGCCATTTTTGAGACAGACACGGGTGAATTGAATGGCCAACAACGGATTATGGACCAAAGCGCAGGTCTATGGAGTGCGGTTGATACTCCAATGTACGGGGAAATCGCCATTGATGAGTTTGTCGTTCATCTCGATCATTCTGGGGTCGCTTTGGCGATAGAGCCTCGAGTTATGAGAGACACACTGTACAAGGTTTGATGGCGGAGCAGGCAACTCTCCTCATTTCACTCATATTCAGAACCAGTATCCTAGCTGCATGCATCCCAGGTGGCGTTTCCACATATGTATTCTAAATATCTTTTCTTCTGAACGCAAGTCAATCATCGCTGGTGATCGAGTCCCTCGTCCATATTTTCGTCTACCCATTGCACTCGTTGTCCCCAGACATATGTAGATAATTCAGTACATCTCGTTCGTGCACGTTGATTTCCTCTTTACTTTTAGTGCAGAAGTCCCTTAGGACGCCATCATAATATATGCCACGCGTAAGTCCTTCATCTTAGAGACTTACATTTGATATATTCGCCTTTCACCATCGGCTCCAGATACAGGCAACTATAAATATAATTACTTCAGATCCGAGAAACCCACTAATACATCTCTATATCTTGTCCCGACCAGCCGGACTTGGGTGTCCCGGGTATCAATTGAGCCCGGTTTTCAACCCTCACGAACCAAAAGCCCGGGTGCGTGAAACCGAGAATCACGCACATGATAACCATTGGAACACTATCAAGGGCAATAAAAATCCCCTCTTTGGACGCAAGAGGCCCATCGAATCCTCCCCGCAGCTCAGCCACACGCCAACAAGACCGAATCAGCAGGCACGCAGCCGCTATCAAAGCGCCTGGGCAGGAAATATGACAATTAGATCTCCAGAACCACTACTGTATCCTTCCAGGTCCACTCACCAATAATATACCATTTCTTCCCGCCGCGCAGAATCTCCTCCCACAGTTTGCGTGCGAGCATTGACAGCACGACACAGAATACTGCCGTCACCAACACCTGGGTTCCCAGCCCTGCCATCATCAGATTTATTCCTATAGGCTTTTCGGCGTAGATTGCAGCCAGGGACCCTCCAACCCCAATGAAGCACAGACAGGCAAAATCACCCAGAATGAAAATGGTCGTGAAAAGCCGTGGCCCGACCTTGGAAAAACAAGGTGATTGGAAGTGTCGTTGGAGTTGGCTGATCCCGAGATAGAGCGATGAGGAGAGGAAGGTAGGCCCGAGAGTCAGACCGATGATATACCTGTGACTTGTGTCAGCTTCGAAGGTGCCTGGGGTGTTTAGAATAGAATCCTTGCAGACTGGTCCATACATGATGTATGCATTCTTATTACTTCGGTCGCGGGCGAGCTGGACTTTAGCCACGTATCCGAGTAGTTCTAACAAAAGACCACCGAGCATGCCAAAAGCATATCCGTAGAACCGCCAGAAGCGAATGGCAAGAAGCATGTGGACGAGCAATAAGACGGTGAAAATGGTTGTGAGGATAGCATTCGCGGCCAAGAGCGGCGTGAAGGAAATCCGCCCTGGACCGTGGTACGAGACGTCGGTGGCATTCATTTTGTCGATGCAATGATTTCTCAATGGTGTAAGGGAGAGACTGGAATAGAAGGAGGGACAAGTAAATTATAAGTTGACTGTCCACCATCTGTCTAGAGAGTCTCCGTAGAGCGTCCGTGAAAGGCCCGCAAAGTTCCCGCCAGAAGACCAATACATAATTCAAAGTAAGCAATTATCAAGTTGATCCACTTCAGGTAGATTCCGTCCGTGTCCTTGCAAATGCCGCGACTGCTTTATTCGTAGTAGTCCGTACGTCCATTCGAACATGATCGCCCCAATGGCGTCAGCCATATGCAGCTATTGGTGGAAAGGCTTCGCCAAACTATTTGGCCTACAAAAAATGCCAGTGAGAAACACGGAGACCATGTATAGCCGAATCATAGTATCTCTCGTATCTCTCCAACTGTAACTGATGGGAAAGGAAGACATCGACGTTGTAGGGACATCAAATCACGTGACATATACTCTTCATGAACCATCACGTGATGACCCAAAAGTTCTCCGCCGTTTCTCCGAACATCATCTCCGTTTGATCCCACGACTCTACATCCTCAAACCCACAGTTCCTCAACCCGAACCGCCGCAATGGCTAAGAAAGGTGCGCATACCGATCTCACTTCGTGGCCTCTCCGGATGGATGAGATACTCGCGAACCCTCCCCGCCATGCGCCCAACCGATGAGGGACATCGCACTGACATTACTTTCTTCCACAGCTAAGTCGCGCACCGTCGCTGTTCGTCTCATCTCCATGGCCATGACTGGCTACTTCCGAACGATGATCCGGCCCCGTGCCCACCGTCCACTCAGCATGCTCAAATACGATCCGGTCGTGAAGAAGAAGGTGCTGTTCCTTGAGGCTACCAAGGGTGGTCGTGCGAAATAAGTGTCGATCCTCGACTCCTCCATCCTCCTTTGCGCGATTACTATCTACGCGCGCGATTCGGTCAATACGCTGTGGTGGTGACGGATTTCCATACCCAGAATCAAACGGACGGGACGTCACGGCATCACTGACGGCTCAAGCGCAACTCCCACCGAGTCACCTTCCCCACGAACGATATGTATATTAGACAGAACAGCAAGGGTCGTCGGAACATCATCCTGACTTGACGTCTCTGGTCTGTGTATTTTCAGGGTTTGCATTTGGGCGTTAAGAAGTACAATATGGGCCGATTAACATGTTTTATATCACATGAGAATCTACAATTCCTCTTTCTCAGATTCGTTCCTCGGAAATCTCGGCAGTAATCTATATCTTTGCGAAAATCTGCATGAACTATAGCTGGGAAGTGGAATGCGTGTGGCGCAGGCTCTGAGTTCATGTCCGTTCAACCACGCCTGTTAAATCGGGCATTGTACTTGTCTCCTGCACAGATCAGCTTTCATCCACTCCCATCAGAGAAGCACCTATCTCCTACCCCGGCTCCTACGTCTTGTGGGCCTAGCACTCCGGGTTGGTAACTGGCTGCTGGTTTGATCCTCATTCGCGGATGGCGTCTTGCTGCTGCCCGACGCCAATCTTGTTGGACTTGTCTTGCGTCCGAGGCAACCAGAGTCCGAATCTTTCCTCTTTAGACAGGAAGAGGCTGTAGCTGTCTTAGCCCTTTTGTTTTTGCTAGATGGAATATTGGTATCCTCGGTCATGGCTGCCGCAGCACGTAATTCATTCTGAGATACATCCTGTTTTGGCACGTTCGTGGTAGACGACTGCCCAGACTTACTATAAGTCCGTTGATCCGTGCGAGTCGATTTCTTTGCGCCAGATGGTTTCTTGGGTGTTTCATTGTCGATGACGTGCTCAGGCACTTCGGCCTGACCTTTCGCTGCCGGTGCGCCTTGGTCTTCCATCTCAAACGTTACGGCCTTGATCTTGCACGCAGGTATTTCAGGTTTATCAAAAGAAACAGGATCCGGGTTGGACTTTTCGCACATCTGTACATCGGCATTTCCTTCCTCGTTTCTCTGCGTAGATGGCACCATATCGACTTGTTCTTTGGCCAATGGAATTCCGGGACGTCCCACCAATTCTGCCTTGCCTTCTGTGGATGTGGTTTTACCTATCTCTTTCTCTTCTGGCGTCAGGAGAAGCATCTCGGTAAACTCACTGTGCGCATCTTGTGGGCTTGAGCACGGATCCAGGGATAATTGCTGTCGAATGCTCGAGAAGGGTACGATGTTGACTGATTGTTGGGATGGTGGAGGACGATCGACCTCGCTGGCGTTTTCCAAGTATGAACCTTTCGATAACCCTTCGACCGGCGATGCATGTGTGCTCCTTTGAATGCTTTGGCTCCTGTATATCACTTCTGCTGTTTGGACAATTTCTCTTCCAAGACTCCCACTGATATGCTGGGGTGTTGAAGGAACCTGACAGTCCGAAAGACCGCCGATGTTCGGGAGGGCGACAGAGTTGTCATGTCCAGGGCTCTTCAACTGAGCTTTTGAGGACGAATTGAGGAGACTCTCCAGCTTGCTCCATACTTCTGAGAAAGGCTGCTCTGGCGACATCATGCCACTCTGACACATTGACTTCCTAATCTTCTTGAGCCAGGCTTCAGAGTCTTGAACCCTTCGGAGCAGTGCATAAATCTCTGCCTTGGCCTTTATCTTTCCGGACTCCAAGTTGGAACGTTCCAAATTTGCAGCTGAGAGTTCGCTGCAAATCTTGTTGTACTCCTCTTCCTTCTTCAAGATGTCCGATTGGAGAGTGGCAAGTTTCCGTTGGGGCTCCTCCTTAGTATCCGTGTTCAACGTGGACAGCTTGCTCTCAAGACTAAGGACTTCCTCATTGGCTGCGTTGAGTAGTTGCAGCAACGATGTCTTCTCTGCAGTCCTCGCGGCTTCCTCGTCTTGCAGCCTCTTGATTACAGCGTCTTTCTCCGCGAGCTTTTGTTCCTTCTCTGTGCACTGGCTCTCCATATCCTGAATCTGACATTCTTTCTCCGCAATCTACGAACAATCAGCATTCAGTGTGACAGGCCATGTCTCATACTCACCAGGTCTTCTAGTTCCTTCTTCTTCTTTCCCCAAGACTCTTCGCTTTCCACCTGTATATAATTAGCTAAATCATGGGCGGTGGTAGAACCGGTGTACTCACGAGACTTTTCTCGACGGCAAGAAGCTTGTTGGCCATGGCTTCCACAGCACTGCATGCTTCTGTCTTTTCTCTGAGAAGCTCATGTAACTGCTGTTCATATTTTGCCTTAATCTGGTCTCGTGAGATCACACTTGCTCTAGTTAGTTCTGCGCGGACTTCGACTTCGATCGACTTAACCCTCTCCTGCAGTCCGGTAACTTCATTTTCAGCTTGATTTGCCCGTGTCTCTGCATCGTGTAGCCGTCCGGTGGCTTCGAGTAGAGCAACGTTTAACTGTGTGATATCATCTTCCTTGACCTGAAGGTTATTGACCAAGTCTGCGAGCTCCGTGGATAGCAGCTTCAACCTATCTTCAAGCTCAACTTGCTTTGAAATTGTTGCATAGCTGCCTTCTTCCTCACGGTCTGGAAGGGCTTTGTCCTCAGAAAGCTTCTGTTGCAGATGGCCCATTTGCTCCATAAGATTGTATTCTCGATCCTGTGCGTCTTTGATTGATTTGTCGAGTTGTTCAACGCACGACACGGATGTGTTTAAGATGGCTCCCAGAGATGTGCAACTTGCTTTTGTGGCAGTCAACTGTTCCAACAGAGTCGAACCTGGACCAATTTCGCCCTCAACACTCTGTAGTTGGCTTTTCAGCTCCGTCGACAAATTCCTGTTTGTCTCCGAGCTGGTTCTGAGTTCTGCGGCGAGGTTGAGAGTGGCCTCTTGCATGCTTAAATTATGGAATTAGTGTCCAGTATTCACGATTGAATCATATTGGCCCAACCTACCGAGCCAAAGCTTCCTGGAATGTCTCGTTATATTTCTGTATGTCGATCTTTCCTTCAGTATACTCCTCGTTCATGTAGCTGAGAGATTCAAGGCACTTTTTCAAAGCATTCTCCAAAACAGATTGAGTGCTAGTATGCGAGGCTTCGAGTCGTTTGTTCATGGACTCTAATGCAGAATCAAGTTTCTTCACCAAGTTGAGTTGATCGGCTCTCAGACAACTCAGCAGGGTTGATTGTGCATTCGACGTCTCTCCGATGTAGGCCTCTAAAGAAAGCGCTCTTTTCTTTTCATCGGATAGCTGGACGTAAACAGATGCACACTTTGCTTCCTCGCTCGTCAGAGCCAGCTGTAAGGTGTTGATCGTGTCCTGTGATTTAGCGATTGCTTTTCGCAACTCGCTCATTGTGTTGGTAGCGTTGGAGACTTGTCTGCTCAGATCCGTGATCTCTGTCAATATTTCTCTGCTTTCTCCAGCAAGCGATTCCTTTGATGTCTTGAGATGCACCACCTCGCTGCGGAGGGTCTCATAATCAGAACCAACCTCATTGAGGAGGCCTTTGAAATTTGCGACCCGATTTTTCCAACCATCTATCTGGGATCGATACGACTTGGACTCAGCGATCTTCTTTTGTAGCCGGATGACCATGGCCTCGAGCTGACGCCGCAGGACTTGATTTTCCTCAACCAATATGGAGAGTTTACCCTCCAGCTCTTCCCTTGCATCAAGAGCAGCGGCTTCCTTTTCTTCGCGTTCCTTCATCCGGGCTATCAAGATTTGAAACAAGGCTTCCTCAGTCATTTGAGTGTCACTATCAGCAGGCACTACCGAGTATGAGGAGGTCTTCCGCCCGCTCGTACGGCGGCGCTTTTTGGGTCCACTGACACCATTGCCCTCAAGGACCTCTGGTGCTTGGATAACTGTAGAAGTATCGGCTGTTGGGGTTCCTCCATGCCCACTGCCTTCAGTCGAGTGCTTTCTCTTTACTCTATCAGAGGTGCGCCTCGGCAATTCTTGAGGTGTATTTTCGGTCTGGTGACGGTTAGTTTTGGTGAATTTATATACAGCCTGTGATAGGTACCCTGGTATGATCAACACGGGGGACTCTATTCCCTGAAGCATGGTCAGTAGGGCATTCGCCACGACGTTCAGCTATGGGCATACCTGAGTCCTCATTCTCAGGAGACAAGAGCTGGGGGTTTGAAGCGCACTGTGACTGGACCCTTCCTGTATTTGGAGCTTTGGTCGGACATTCAGAGTCACCTTGACCACCAGATATTGTATCTGAATGTGTGATATCCTTGCTTTTTGTCGTCTGCCCCTCCTGGGTTTGGCCTGTTGGTGGCTGCAATCCTTCCGAGATGTGGGTGTGTAGAGTGTCCCCAAGGTTGACTAAAGGGTTCCTAGGTTGTCTAGAAAGATAGAGATGAGTCAGCGCAGTCCGATGAAGTTAGGTAGCTCTTCTTACCTGAATTGGCCTCTCTGGGTTGGGGTACCACACACTTCAACTGGTGTGAGCTTCTTTCGGGATTCAGTCTCATGTGGCTTACGACCGCCTTGACCCGATCGTTCCGTGGGTTGTAGAGAAAAGGTCTTCCCAGAGGGGAGAGGCTTTGCGAAAGAAAACGCCGTAAGGTCAATCCCAGAGCTCTGTGGGCGTTGCATGAGCAATGGCGAGGGCGCACGCTTTGCCGGACTCTCGTTTGCATTGGCAACAATGCTTGAGACGGCCTCTAAACCGGGAGATGGATGGTTGTTAATGGTATCTGGCATTTGCGAAAGCAGTGTGTCGCTGTATTCCACGTATTGGTCCATTGCTTGGTTATCTCAGCGGCGAAACCAGGCGAGCACCAACCCGAACATTGATTGACTATACGACGAAATAGGAGATGTGTATTACGGATGATGTGAGTAGCCCGTGGAGGCGGCTTCTTGATTGACGGCAATTGAAGTTTGTAGAGAGGTAGTCAAGAAGAGAGAGAATGATGATAGCCTCAAAAGGTAGACGCGTCGACGTGGGAGTTCCTGTATCGAGAAAGTGGTGACTTCCTATTTGGGAATACCAGCTACCTGCCTAGTAGGTACCAAGCGACGTCATCTCGTCATTGAATATGAAACCAGCAAGTCCTCACTAAGAAATATCGAAAAATCTCTTTGATATTTTTCACGAACTCATGAATACCGGACCTACCACCAGTTCTATTCGAACACTCCTACCGCATCTGGTAACCACCCAAGCATCAACTACAATCCAGTGTCCCATGCACGCCCAGACACCATAACGGTGCCCAAATCCCACGACAAGGCAGTCACACAGCATAATCTGCAGCTGCAGTTCCGTCTCCAATATACGACTCGACAGCCAAAACACCAGGATTGAACCCCTGCCCACCGCCCGCCGATGATCCTCGAAACCCACCACAAATTGTTCAAAATAGATCCCTACGCTCCCCTGCACGCAGACGAAGACGTTAATGAAACATGGGAGTTGTCTCCTGGCGGTGGTCAGCGCGTCTCCATCATTGGTTGCTGCCTTTCGGTTAGTTAGAGGCCAAGGCGGTTATCACAGATCCCAGCGCCTACATCACATCGTCACCAGCAGATCTCGAGGATGATTCGCTGCCCGCGCATTTCCTCACGCTTTCGACACACCCATGCGAACCAATCTAGTCTGCAGAATGAGCCCAGCTCGTGTTCTGCACGTTGATCCATACACCAGTCACTAGGCAACTGGTACTTGCTCAGGTACGAAGGATTCATTCGCGGTTCGATGGGACTTATCATCTCGCTATGTCCGTACCCAGCTTTGTTTCCTGCACTTGTCGTTCCCTCGTTCTTTACGAACCGTCTTTTTTGATCATTAGACATACAATCTACAGCCCTACAAAACCTTCACGACGAGATGTTTACACTGAATACACCCATCAACCTAGCCCTATGCACCCTGGTGGTGCAATCGATGGCCCAGGATTATCCCCAAACCGCCGAAGAGCAGAACAAAGCCGGAGCGGAGGGGCCATCCTCAGAAGGGGTTGGCATGTCCTCAACCGGGATGATTGTTCTGTGCACAATTGTCGGAGTGGTTGTGGTCATAGGAAGTGAGTACTTTAGTGGGGACTCCATCCTCAGGCGTGTATCATTGACCCACTTCCATAGTTTCTTCAGCCGTACTCTTCGTTGTTGCCAAAAAGCGTCAATGGGCAATGCGCGAGACAATCCGTCGTTCCGCTCGGCATGTCACTCAAGCTATCAAAACGCCTTTGACTCCCCGATTCCCTCGGTCACAAGTGGCTCCAAAGCGCGAGGCACGACACAAAACCGACGAGTACAAAGTTCACAAGCTACGAGATCTGGAGAAAAACTCCGTGGTGACGGAGATAGAGTCCACGAGAAAGGAGACCAAGCCTAAGACATGGGGGTCCTACTTCTCTTTTGGCCGTTCATAGGCCAACCGATCGATTGTCCTTTTCTGACTGGCTCAGATGATAGATGACGATGCTCTCGGGGCAGCAGCATATAATCTGGTTTTGTTTTTCTTATTGGTATCTTTCCTTTCTTTTTCTTGCTGCAAGCCAGACCAGGCGTTCCGAATTCTTGATCCTCATGAAGTTGATGACGCTCAAATCTTGTGTCCTGTATATTGTAAGAATGAAACACACATACCGCAGGTGATGCAAATGCCCACAACTTATGTACACATAAACTCCAGAATGCTTAACAAAATACAAAGTGACAGGCTGCATGAGTAACGAATCTGTACAGTGCAATCCCCTTAATAGTTTTCCGGCAGGTCGCCAAAATCCGGCACATCATCACCGCATTTAAAATCCGGTGCATACGCCTTCTGTGGCATGAACCCGTTCTTCCAGGCAGTCTTGTAGCTCCACTGCGGCGCAGATTCGGTATGCCAGGTCCAGTAGAACCAGCCCTGGGCAGTCTCAAAAGCAGACATCTGTGCCTCGGCGTATGTTTTCAGGAATTTCTTGTACTGGTCTGAATACTGAGACGGGTCGGCGTTGGCGGAGGAGCAGCTGCAGGATGGACCGCTCTTTGCGGTGGGACAATAGGCCGTGGAGTCGGTGAGGGAGAACGTACCCTCCCAGCGCGTGCCGCGGCCGACATTGTTGAGGTATTTGGTGCAGTCGGTATCTGCCTGTGACCATTCACCACAAATTGTTGGGCCCCATCTGAAGGATATGAGTGAGTGATTCAATTGAAAGAGAGTCTGAAGTCGCCGGAGCGAGACAACTTACCCTGCACTTGTAGTGTTGATCTGCTGGATCATGCTGTGCCAGTCGTTGCAAACGAGCTTGATCTTTTCCGTATGCTTCATCACGATCTGGGCCGTGTTGAAGATGGTATACTGATGGGTGTCCAGGAACATGCGGTCCGGACGGGTCTTCAGCATTTGCTTCCACTTGCTGAGGTTCAGAAAGCCGTCGTGCACTGTAACATAGGCGGTGATTCCATTCTTTTGAATGAGCTTAGTAGCTTCCGTCGACCAGTCGAGCACATCCTCCACGGGCAGGCTGAGCATCATCGGCTCGTTGACGAGCCCGTAGATCGTGACGATGTTCTTGTACCGATCCTGCGCAAAGAACTGCGACAATTGATCGTGCATTTCGAGAGAGCGCTTGCGATTCAACTGGCCGTCCGTCCCGTTCAGCCACCCTATAGGACCCTGGCGGCCGCTGTGGTTCCAGCCGTTTTGGCTCCCCGGGATCCCGTGCGGATCTAGTTTGACTCGGAGTCCATACTTGCGGCAGTACTCGATAGCTCGGAGGAGATACCTCCACGAGATTTTCGGGACGTACTGGTCCCCGTCGTACGTCGTCACAGCCCAGTAGGAGAACTGGATTCGAACATGATCAAGTCCGGCATCCCTGATGTCTGCGAAATCCTGCTCGGTGATAAAGGTGGCATAGTGTCGTTCTATTCTGGAGGCGGCGGAGTCTCCCAGCTTCTGGCACAAGGTCCATTCGTCAACCACTCCATCAACACTGGAGTAGCTCTCAAAAAGCGAGGGCACGATGAAAGGCTCGATTGACAGCCAGCCACCGAGATTCACGCCCCGGATTGGCTGCGAGCCGTACGGGAAGGGTTCATTCAACGGTGGAACGTTATCGTTGGGCCGAGTGGAATCATCCCAGGTCGAATTAAGACCCATGATGGACAAGCCGCCTACCGTCTCATTCGTGAAAGTCACGTTGAAGCCCATCGTGTCGTACCAGGTCCAGGGATCAAGCACCGTTCCCTTTGCGTAGTCCTGCACCGCGTTAGTGCTGCTCCCATCGATACATGTCCACTGCCTTACCGGAATACTGTCTCGACTGATGCCGTCCAGGTTCGAGTTCCGCGGTGTAGTGTCGTCCGTCGTTGAATCCGACTTCTTCTCGTTGTTTTTCTTCGAAACGACGACCGCGACGGGAATGATGATGGCCAGCAACACAACGACCACGCCGACAGCAATCCACGTCTTTTTCTTCTTCCAGAACGGGGTTCCTCCCTCCGCGCCGTCCATATCCGAATCCGACGCACCCTCGTCGCGCCATTTCGAGCCTGCACCACCGCCGCCTCCCCCGCCCCGATGCCGAACCTTCATCTCGGGACTCCTCCCTTCCTCCAAGTACGCGCCGGAGACAATCCTCCCCTTCGACTGACCGCGGGGCGTCTCTTCAGGGAAGGGATCCAACCGCCGAGGCTGGTCTGCAACAACCGGCCGCTTGCGCCTCTGTTTCTTCTCGGCCTTCGCATCTGCTTTTGCCCGCGACCTGTCCTCCTTGTCATACTCCGAGCGAAGCTTCGCCAGCGCATCCGCACTCAGCAGATGGGACCCGCTATTCGTCGAATCGCTGCTCTGGTGCTTCGCCGCCGCAGCCTCGCGCCCACGCTCCCTCCGACGGTGTCGTCTCGCCTCTCGCTCCGACTCGTATGCCCGCTCGCGACGGTCATCCCTCGACCGGTGTCGTCTGTGATCGGGTGCCCCGCGCGGCGGACTGCCCTCGGCTTCATACGCGCGGTGCCGTCGCCGTCTGTCGCCATCCCGGTGTCGGTCCCGCCTTCGGGGAGAGTCGTAGTCGTCGTACGCCCCGGCGGATCGTTCTCGTTCATCGCCCCGCGACCGTCGCAGCGGCACCGCGGGGTCTTCCCCGGCGAGATCGTATTCGTTCGCGTCGTCTTCGTGGTATTCGTGGGACTCGTAGCCGCGGGATTGGCCCCGCGAGCGTCGGTATACGTCGTCTCGGCGATATCGCCGGCGGCGGTCGTAGTCGTCGTCGTCTAGTTCGTCATCTTCGTAATCTGTCTCCCGGTATCGTCGTCGCGAGTAGTGTCTCCGATCGCGCTCGGGCTCGCTTTCATCGCGGCCGCGGTAGCGGTCTCGACTGCGCGAGTGGCTCGGCATACAAGTCTAGGTTGACTGGAATGAGCGATAGTGGGTGCGTGGATTCGACAAGAATGCTGGCAGTGAGGGTTGGAATGTGGTCGCGCGGTTGATGGATCCACTAGACAGTCGCAGGTCCGGACGAGATCATACGGTGAATATCATCGGGTTGGTGAAAGCGAGCGAAGGGGGAAGAAGTTGCCTAGCCTCCAATGGAGCTATAATTATGGCGACGTGGGAAGCGCGCTGCTGGACGAGCTAGGCAGTTCCCCGCCAAGATCGACTACTTTTGTAGTTCTCGTTGGACGGTAAACAAACTTGGCGGCCGCTATAGTCGCGTCACAGTGAAACTCAGATACTTCCAGATTGATGCAAGGCCAGACCTTTCGGTTGACGCGACACAATGGTGAGTTTGTACGACCAGGATTCCTCGGCCGGACATTGTATCAGCTTCATCTGCGATCGTGGCTGATCATCTCGACTCCTTGCGATGGTGGAGATGGAGTGGATCACGGAGCGGGAAGCCGCCAGTTGCGCCGCAACCAAAGGCGGTGAATATCTTCCAGGTTTGAACAATATTGAATAACCTATCTGTCTACCCATGTCTTCGTGGAGGATGAGAGAACAAAACCCTTCCTCAAGCCCAACAGGTACTGTCATCAAAACGGACGGATATATCCAGCCCCTGCTCGAGTATGATGTCTTCCACAAGTCCACCTCCAAAGCAATGGTGTCCCCCAGGGGTATACATGGAAACGCCGCAGAGGGAACGCAACTGAACCGAAATAGAATACACGCCATGAAACAGAGATATGCAGTAGAAAGCAAAAGAGAATCGCCGCGCAGCTCCAGTATTATGTTAGACATGTCATGTGTCAGTCCCATCTGTACAACTCCACAGCCAATTGCATGATACAAACAAGGCGAACAGGAGGAACGAAGAGGCTATAGGGAAAGATGACGATAAAGATGGTGTATGGGATGAGATATTTGCAGCCAACCCAAGTGAACCAAAAGGAATATGAAAGAGATTAGAACGGTATCATGATGCACTCCAAAATTGCGCCAAAGAACAAGAATCGACACTGGTTAACGTAGTATCGAAGCACGAGGCAACGACTATTGAGTCTTCCACATGATGATGATGTCATCATCACAAAGGCCAGGGGAAGAAATCGAGATGGCCGAGCCCTCTATGTTCGACATTTTTTAGTATTGTTTTCTTTTTACTTCGCATGAATGTCGGGTTCTTCCAGATGGATTCCCAGAATCCTTCAATCATGCGCTTCTGACGAAGCCGCTGCAGGCTCGATGCTGTCTAGAGGCGCCAGAACTGCCGACTCCCGAGAGTGGCCACTGTCAGGACGGACCAGCCATCGTTGTAGCATCGAATCTTGTTGCGCCTTCCATTTAGTGACCAGGCATCGTCCGGAGGTGAGGCCAGGACAAAACCACGCGGGGCCGAACGACTTATGCTTTGTCCCTGCTTTTCAAGAACTCACGCTCTTCAACTTATAATCTGTCTGGCGCCCTCCTTGCCAAGCACACCCGGTTCCTGTGGTTTGGGGCTCCGGTCACGACCCTTCTTCCGACTCAGGAATGACAGCATGCCACTATTCGACGGCTTCCCCTTGGCCGACGCCGCATCGTACCCCTCAGCCGGAAGGGTCGCGCTGTGGTCAGCAAGCTCGCTCCAGCTACCCGCCTCTTCTAGGACCATCTGCACACCTCCTCCCTTACTGGTCTTGCGAGTGGCGCCACGGGGGCGTCCCGGTGGAGGAGGCAACGGGCGGCTGAAAGAGGGAGCAGGTGGCGGAGGTTGGGCTGGGGCTGCGACTGGGGCTGGAGGCAGTTGCGACTGAGAGGACGGAGAGCCCGCCATGTTGTTTTGAAGGTTCGTGGGCGAGTAATTTTGGGGTTCAAGGGTTTCGCCAACAGGAGACGCGGTAACTGGGGAAGAATTGTCGGGCTGCGTCAAACGGCTCACTGATCCATCATTACGCGGAGGGGAGTTTCGGGAGGAATCGGGCTGGGAGTATTGGCGGGAATGCGTCAAAGTAGCTATGGGGAGGCAGTCTTCGGGGTTTCTGAAGTACATGTTAGCAAGAGGTACGGACATTGTTGCAGAAGGGCTCAACTTACTTCGTAGCCGCAATGGCTTCGGCGGCATTTCTGTGGCTGATTAGCAACTCCAAGCACCGCAAAGCGCGGCCATGGTGGTCGACGTACCCTCGATATGTCACCTTCGTATAATCAAATGGCTCAAACATCGTCTCTATCAAGCGGTGAAGTTCGTCTTCTCTGATCTCCTTCGCAGTCGCATCCTCCCTCAGCTCCGCTCGGGGTTTCTGCCTGCGGGCACGAGCCTCAAGCGGCGCCTCTTCCAACAGCAACTCCTCGAGATCATAGGTGGCATCGAAATTCGTCTTATCGCTGGATGGGCGGAACACAGGTGGGACCTCCTTTCTCTCCAGAGCCACAAAGTCAATATCAGCGAAAAATTGATGAGAGATGAAAGTCTCGAAACCGGTCGCACCAATGCGTCTGCTTCGGTCCTTTTCCATCAAAGCTGCCATGGCCCGCAGACACGGGACGGAAACTGCCGGATTTGTCACATAGTACTTTGGCTGGGCTTTTTTGATGTTGTCACTTAACGTATCCTGACTGCGGCCTTCGAACGGTCGCTGCTCACCGAATTAGCACTTCACAACTGTGGACACGCGACAGTCTCCAAAGATTGGCGAACCTTGTTATAGATGCACTCATAGAAAGTGACGCCCAATGACCACCAATCAACCTCGCAATAGTATCCTCCTCCTTCGTACACTTCGGGGGCCAAGTACGCCAACGTTCCGGATTTGCTTGTGAGAGGTTTTCCAGGTCGGAAGTCTGAGGCCACATTCTGTGCAAGGGGACGGGGAATATCAGCTTTCAGGGCGCTTGGTCGATGACTGGAGGCAAAAGCGGACAACATACAAAATCTGCCAAATGGACATGACCTTCCGAGTCCAGTAGCACGTTATCTGGCTTCACATCGCGATGGATGATGCCTTGGGAGTGGATATATCGCAGGGCACAACCCAGCTCGGCGACCCAAAATCGAACCGCTTCCTCCGTGAAGCATTTTCTGGAGATGTGGAACCGCAAATCACCGCCGTTCATGAGATCGACCACGATATAACTGGATTGATTATCAGCGACCACGACGGTCTCTCCAATGGCCCAAGGTCTGTCACCGTGACGTACATATACTCTATATCCTGAAAGCTGTACCTCAAGTTGCATAGGAATGGGTGGTTCAGATGTTCTAGCATGCGGCGTTCGCGAATGATATTCCGTACACTTTCCGAACGAACCACTGCGGAACGAGAAAGACCATCAGCTGAGACACGGGAGGAGACGGACAACCGGGTCGAAGAGGCTTACCTTCTTCCTTGCGAATGTATTTGAGAGCGAACGTCAAACCGGTATCCTTCTTTTCGACGATGCGGACCTTTCCGAACGCCCCCTTGCCTACCACTCGCAGCAAGCGGAATTGATTCAAGTTCACTGGAGCCAACAGTTAGAGACCTCGCTCGCTTCTGATTGACCAGGCGCCGATACGAGACCTGCACCGGTGATCGGGATGATACGCACCCTCATCGCCCTCGGCGATCGGTTTCCCTTGCGAGTTTCCCATTCTGAGAAGGTATGTGACGAATTTAGAGAATTTTTACGACACGACTGCTCGCTGCATCCCACTGGAGGTCACGCGGGAGCAATATACCAAAGGGAAAGCGATATGTACTAATAATGGGAGGAGACCGGAGGCGGCGAATCGACACAACGGAACAGGGGGGTTAGGGGATTCAGACGGAGCGGCGAGGCAGGTTTATAGAGCTGGGAGGGATCGGAGCATCGACCTAGAACGGTGAGAAGCCGGTGTCAGTCCGCGAACAAAGAATTGCGGTGTTGGGAATGGTGAGACTGTCGTTGCCCAGTGTCCGGGACCAACGTGGGCGGAGGGGTTCAGATTCCCGATAGCTAGGTCGGGCCAGGGAATGTCTTGCGGGTGAAACGTACCCCAAACAACAGCAATGGCGAAGATGACAGGGCGGTCGGAGAGAGGATCGACATGCGCCTCTGCAGATGGTTGAAATAGAAGGATGGTGGGAGGAGAATATGACAGAGGGGGAGAAAGAGAGTTGGAGAGAGAAGAGAGAAGGAGAGGAAGAGGACAAGCGTTTGGTAGGTTTGGATTGGGTTTGGTGGTTCCGACGTGGATGAGCTGCCGCCCCTAAAAACCGGCGTCGTCGTTGGTCTCCACGCCAAAGAACAACTATAAGAATTTTTATCAAGGACGGGCTTTTGTACTGATCGAAAAGACTTTAGGTCTCTGGCCTCTGGATTTAATCAGACGAGAAGAACCAAAATTTGCGAACAGTCAACTGCACGCTGGTGCAGATGACACTATATGTAGAAAAAAGAAAAATCCTACGCCCAGGGATCAATACGAACCATCGACCAGCGACTAAGATTAAGCTATCTTGAGACCGGGGGGTTTGCTTGGGGCCAGGACAGCCTCAGGGGGGGGGATAATTTAGCTTCAATCCTGGTTGTAATGAAGATATACCTAGGACCTCATCCGAATCATAAACGTTACTGCAACATACATTCCTCAGTCACCTCCATCAAAACCTCGGAATGAGAGGAGCCATCACAGAAGAAAGAAATGCCCGCTTGGGCCCCACGAGGAACCACACCAAGCACCAAAGTGGGAACTGAGAAGCGAAGGGTGATGGGAAATGCGGTGGAGATGAGAGAGTCATCGCGACGAACTACGATAGTAAGCATTAGGGATGGATCCATATTACCGCTTACGGAGGATGGAAGATTTGATAGAAAGCATCATCGCCGGTACCACGGTTGGCCCTTAAAATGTTACTGAGTGCGTGTACCTCCTATGCATACCTCGGTCGGTTCCAAAAGTGATCCGTCGAAGATCATCTCTTTACAGCTGATGACGCTCTCCGTCTGCTCCGGACTGTGAAAACCTTGATACGGCTCTTATCTCGTGGCCGCCACGTTTTTGACCAACCGCAGAGAGTGGTGCATCCCAGTCGGTGTGTCCATGTGTTCAGCATGTGTTGGTCCCTGAGGCGCCGGCATGCAGTTGCGTGTACACATGGCGCCGAATCCGCACGAAGGAATGCTGCAGTCAGGAACAATAATAATAATAATCCTCCATGTCTCGTCGAGGCATCGCCAACTCACCTCTGACAGGATCCCCCGGCGTCATATAATTATTACTTGTATTACTACCACGCAGATCATCTATTTATTTGCCTCCCTTAGCTGCATGTCGCATCAGATGGCATCCCTGTCAGCCAGAAAACCTTTTTGAGGTTTCAGGTTTCAGATGGTCCCTTCATTCCGACCCGGCCTTCGTCCGCCTTCTGAAGGTCTGTCCCGTCCTGGACTCTGTACTCTGTACTCTGTACGGGGTACTTCCTCAAACAGACAGTCAAGAAATGGAAAGACACAAGACGAGATCCCGATCCACAGATCTATTTTCGACCCTCGCCTAGACAAGACGTTATGGGCTTTGGCCTCCTGTGCACTGGAGATACTACTAGTTAGTACCCCGTATAGTTACCCACTCCTGTTCATTGTGCCGGCCTAGCTAAAACGAGTCTCCTGCCCCTGCCACTCACATGCCATAGAATTGCGGATGAGCGTTTCTCTTCACTACGGTGCTCAGGAGGGATAACCATAGCCGTCGCCCATCGCTTCTGGAGCCCCCCTGACCAGGATCGGCCAGTTTAGGCTTGGAGAGCGCCTCCACTCGGCCCTTTAAGTCGATAGATGAAGTGGACCCGTCTCTCATCGCGGCCAGTATCTGCGCGCCAACGGTGCCGATCTCATTTCTCTTTTCAGTCGCCATTCCGACTGGGCTCCAACAAGCCGAATAAGGCTGCTCCTCCGACAGGATGCTTGGCAGTCTGTAGTTGCCTCTGTTGGGCTGTTAGAGTCGACGATGATCCCCGCGTCACACCCTCATATCGCTATGTACCGGAGTACACACCGACAGGGGCAAGGAAAAGCGAAGCAAATGGGTTCTGACAGCGAAGGCCGGGTCTCATCTTTGCGCAGCCGCAGGAAGAAGCAAACGTCATGAATAATGGCTGGGTCTCGCTCCAGCCGATCACCGCTTTTTCTTGGTTTGCTCCAGTTTTTACTTCTTTGACCGGCCCTTGCATGATGTGTCAAATTGCTGGCGTCTTCGTCGGGGTTCTTTTCGCTTTCTCGATCTTCTAGAATGACTTTCGATGCATCGACTCTTACGCAAGGGGGCGCCCGGATTCATCTGGCTTCGTGATCTGGGAAAGGGACGAAAGTAGAACCGATACCCACGACATGTCCAAGTCGCTCGATCTCGATTCCGTATGGAAGATATGCTCCATACCGTCCGGAGTTGACCTAGTCGTCAAATCCATGCCATTGCCAAGCCAGTAGGCACGATCTAACGCCAGGTGACATCTATCCGTCTTCCACTCTGCTTCCGATATACGTACGAAGTACGTACACCCTCCAGTCCTTGCGTCAAGCGTATCAGGCATAGTATGTCAAGTCCAATATGGTGATTCAAATCCCCGCTTGATCAACCGGACAGGGGGTCTCTCCCTCTATCACACCATATCCACTCAATCACAGTTCTCTCCAACCTAATAACCTGATCTCCATCGTCTTGTGATGCAGCCTACTTTACCGTTAAATCCCATCGTAGCCGTGATAGATCGCCAGCCAGTTTTCCTCATCACGTGATAGATAGTATCAATGATATCTTGTTGGTATAGACATCACAATTGTCAAGGCGCTACAGACACCGTAACAGTACACTCACTTGTACTTTCGCAAATAAAGACATACATGACTGTAGACTATGATATATCCATCAATACCTGCGTGAAATAGAATTCGTGCCAATGAAACCGAAACCAAACCTGTCCTCCGAATAACTCCCTAGTCATTACCCACATCTGCCTCTGACAACACCCATTTATGCATTCATCCGCATGTTATGTATCCTTGATGTTTATGAGTCGAATAATCTGGTTGAGCTGCCGTTGCCTGTCTACCATCGTCGACCATAGATGGAGTCCTCAGACCGTGATGCCCCTTTTTCCGGCTGTCTGCTATGGTCACGAGAGCTGGGATAAGAACCCTGTGGAACGCGATAGTCATCAGACTTCCGAGATTCGGTGGAAGGAGTGTCGCTTGTAGTGCTCAGAAGCCTGGTCGTCTGTGCAAGCTCTAAATTGCCACGTTCGCCCGTATATCTGGACTCGGCGTCCCGCCCGAACAGCGCCATCATGTCCTTCATTGTGAGTTTCGCAGCGGCCGTCTTGCCCTCAATGGTGACATTGGCAAGTTCCCGCTTACGGTCTTGGAGGTCCAGAATACGCTCTTCGACGGTGTCTTTGATAATCAGCTTGTAGATCTTGACGTCCAGGGTCTGGTTCAACCGATGGACACGGTCAATTGCTTGCTCCTCAACGAACTAATCATAACGGTTAGCCGAAATGAGACAGTAGAAGACGAATGAGAGGGAACTTACAGGATTCCAGAAAGGTTCCAGAATTACCACCCGACTGGCCGCAGTGAGGTTCAGACCCAACGCACCGGCCCGCAAACTACAGAGAAGGACCCTAGTCCCGCTGTTGTTTCGCAACTTGTTCAAACTAGCTTCGCGGAGATCGTTGCGCATCCCACCGTCGTATCGCGCAAATCCAATTCCCGCTCGCTTGAGGAAAGGCTCAATCTTATCAAGCATTGACGTAAAGACCGAAAAGACAATAAACTTATGATCCGCAGATTCTCGTCGGAGGATTTTCATCAAATGCCGGATCTTCGTTGAGGGGAGGATATCGTTTTCGCCTTCGCCAGGATTCAGGTAGATATCTTCCTCGGAATCGGACTGCTGGTCTGTCTTCTTCACAATGCCTCGGTTGCGCGTGGGCGACTCAGGCCCATCCTCGTCAGTCTCCGAATCTTCCGAGTTGAGCCATTCACCGCCGCCTTCTGCGTTTTCATCGTCTGAGCCTCCAGCGGTTCCAAGATGAGGCATGGTGCGCTGGTCTTCAGGAACAATCCACTCTCCATCTTCCTCCTCATCATCACTATCGAGGACAACTCGCCTGTTCCGGCGGGCACGAGCCCCTTGGGATTTGGATCGGCCATCAGATGGCGATTGTGTAAGATCCACAATCTCCCCGTGGGGGCCACTTTGCTTTTTGCTTCTGCTTCCCGTAAAGCTAATGTTCAGATCCGCTTCGCACTCCTGGCACCTACTAGCACCCTTCTTCGCATCGTTGGAGCTCAACTCAGCCTGACAAACATCGCATTTCTTGGACACCACACTCAGTGCTCCAAAAAGATCTGCCATGCTATCCAAGTCATCTTGTTTCCCGGGCGCAGTCTGGCTTCCAGAGGCACCATTCTGGAGAAGCACGTCCTTGTCCTTGGCAAGATCGCTTTTCACCAAGTCAGGGTGGTTGCAAGATTGGCGAAGACGCAACAGCAAAACCAAGGCACCGGCGTAGTCAAGTTTAGAACCGCCCATCATCTTCTCGAGGCTGTTCTCTGTGCGCTGTTCGAGGCGCTTGTAGAAGTTCATTTCACCGGGCATGAACTCAGCTGAGACCTTGATCACCTCACGCTTGGTGATTTGGAAGCCCGAGGACTTCTTTTGCCCTCCTTCAGAACCTTGGTCGCCCGGCTTCAGGTCTGCATTGAGCTTCAGCACGTCCTTTGTGCGACGCTTCATGAAAGCTTTGAGAACAACTTGCAAACGCTCGATGGCAAGTCCTCCACGACCATTAGCCAAAGGTTTCGTGATCTGGTCCTTCCAGGCCGCAAGGTCATTGAATGGCTTAATGCGCAGGAATTTGATCAAACTTTGCAACTCGTCCAAGTTGTTCTGCATAGGGGTTCCAGAAAGACACCACCGATATTCTGCATCCAATGCGTAAGCAGATTGTGTTGCTTTCGCATTTCGGTTTTTGATGGTATGCGCCTCGTCCAGGATTATGCGGTACCAGTAGACAGAAAAGAGACCAGATGTTTTGTTGCTTTTCTCGCTGGCCCCGTGTTCGGAAGTTAACGTTCCATAAGTCGTAATGACCACGTCGTAATCTTCAAGACGGTCTGTTGCTTTCGCTCGCGTGGCACCGTGATAGACACACACACGAAGTTTATGAGATGGCTCGACCTTAGCAAGGATCTCGGATTCCCACTGCTTGATGAGGGCCAATGGAGCAACAACCAGTGTAGACTTGCTCAGACCTGGAGGCAGTTTCGAGCTGTCCTTGTTTTCGTTAACACTGTCATCTTCCCCTTCATCGTCAGACTCCGGGGCTCGTCTTCGGCCGTCTGCGCGCTTCCGGTTCGTGAGCATCAAGGCAATGGCTTGGACTGTCTTTCCAAGACCCATATCATCTGCTAGAATGCCTCCCCGAGGGACAACGCCCTTGTTCTTGCTCTGTCCCACTTCCTTCTCGCGCATCCATCTGACGCCCTGGCGCTGATGAGGAAGCAAATTGACCTTCAGTCCTTCAACAACGCCATCGTCATCGTCATCCTCTTCCCCTTCCTCGTCGGCGTCTTCATTTTCAGAGTCCACCTGAGTATCATTGAGAGATCCCCTGTCGTCATCCGTGTCATTTTTCACCGCTTTCTCGTCGGCAACCTGCTCAGTAGACACTGCTTCCTCATCCTTGGCGTCCGTATCATCAACACTAGGCTCGTCCACAGTGACGCTTTGCAGTTGAGCAGCCAGATCATCGATATCCGAGCTTTCTTTCTTCTCTTTGCCAGTATCTTGCGATTTCTTGGCCCTTCTTATTCTTTTTATTCTTCTTCTTGTTCTTTTTGGGTGGCTGCTTTTCATCTTCATCTTCGAACGCTCCCTCTAGGAGAGCCTTGATGTTTTCGTTCGCTTTCGCCGAGTCCACGTATCCATTCACGTCCATGGAACCAAAACCCGCATTGCGGCTCCGTGCGCTTGGAGTGAATCCGCCTTCTCCGGTCAGGTCTACGAAATTCTTCAAGTTCTTGGATGCATTGGACATTTTGATGGCGGAGGGTCTCGAGTTGTAGAACGTCTTGGGAGCGCGCGGGGTCGTGAAGGTCACATTCTCAGGACGCCTGATCTCGACAACATCTTCATTAACGGGGCGCGAGAATCGGTTGTTATTGTAGGCGGAGGGCCGAACGGGTTTGAATGGATCGTAGGACTCGTTGCGACGCGGGGTGGCCATGGCAGCACCCGGAGTAGCCGGAGGCCGATAGCCCTGCTGAGGAGCTCCATGCGGAACAGAGCCTTGTGGACGTGACTGCGGGGGAGGACGGTGATGCTCTGGTCGCGCACGGTTGGGTTTCGGGATGTTGAACGGATTGCTGGGCCGTTGGTTGTGGTGATGCACTGGGCGGATAGGCGAGGGCTTCCCGAATTCCGGCTGGTTGGGGAGAGGCCGGTGGGGATGCTCACTCGGCTTGCGAGGAGTATTGGGATTCAATGGGTTCTCGCTCTCCTTCGCCATGTTGGTAATGAGCGCGGCCTGTGCTCTTGGTTATGTGGTGGGGTTCTAGGGCGACGCGCTGAGGCTTTATCAGCGTTGGCAGGCCCAGTTGCGAGATATCTAGCTCTAATTTCCATATACCACGAAGGGTATGGAAGAGATATCGAATGAGTATCGTAACTTAGAGGCGTTTCACGAAAGAGGTCTAAAAAATCTTGGGTAAGGCCAAAGGTTAGCACAGTTCGCTCAGCGGCAGATTCTCGAGTAGGCCACTCGCTAACCAGATGATTCTAAGATAAATAAAAAGACACACTCACCTTGAATCTTTCTATGACCGTAGGAGGGTTGATTCTCGAACTTGAGAGAGTGGGGTGGGGTTGAAGTTGGTGGGTGGTGAAAGACCAGAATTCTTGGTGCCACATTATCGATAGCGCTATCGCTTGGTTTGTTTTGGGATTTGCCCCGGCAACCGCGCGCATCATCGCGTCTCCTACACCGACTTCAGTAAAGCGTGATGGCCGCAGCACAGTGCTGTTGGAGATCTTCCGGGGTAATTCTGGAACTAATAACGGCTAAGAAATATTTTTAGAACTTTCGGTCGCATATCTTTCATCCAGACTAGGCAGATAGTCCTGTAGTGGTGGTGGCACAAGCGCCTTCTATAGCGGCAAACCGTCTGCGAAAATACGGACGAGCAGTGCAATTAGTGTCTCCGGACTATCATTCTGCCTTTATTTTTTTCCCTGGAGGCTGATTATGGGATCTCTCCGATGACTCCCTTCAGTATCTCGGGAACGATGATACCTGCATCGCCCTTGAAAAACCAATCACCAGCTTTCAAACCAGAAGACCCAACATCGTTACGATCCATATTCACCACGGCAACTCTGGCTCCCCGCGCCCGAGCTTTATCAACGTACCCTGCAGCCGGATAGACACGAGAACTCGTCCCGATGACAAGAATGAGGTCCACCGGACCAGACCTCAGCCAGCTGTCCACCGTGTCCAGAGTATGAGTGGGCAAGCTCTCGCCAAACCATACCACTCCGGGCCTAAGAAGCCCTTCCTTACATTCAGGGCACTTTGGCAGAACATCGGTGCTCAACCCCGGGAGTGGGACCCGGTCATCTGATATATCAATCTCTTCGCCTTCCGCTATCCCTAATGCATTATATAGGCTTCGAGAGGCCTCTTCGCCAGTATTGTCATCTGCGGATGGTTTGGGTTCGGGGAGGTTTCTCGGGATAGCAAGTGCGGGGACAATGGGATCGGTGAAGTCGTCGTGTCGCGAGTAGTTGCAGTAAAACGAGGTACATTTCACTGTGAATAAGGACCCATGGAGAAGGTGGATCTGCTCTGAGGGATGCTGGGCTCGCTGGGAAAGGCCTGGTACCTCATAGCAGATTGTTAGCGCAACAATCCTTAGGAGACGCTCAAGGGGGTCAGATAAACAGGCCTCTCGTACCATCAACATTCTGGGTCAAAGTGATGAAATCTTTATTCCTTCGCGCTAGTTCGGCCAGAGCATGGTGCGCACGATTCGGCTGCGCTTTCAGGGCCATGTGTCTTCGATAGCTGTAAAACTGCCACACTAGATCGGGGTTGGCTTCGAAGGCTTCTGGAGTGGCCAGATCCGTGGCTTCGTAGGTCCGCCAGAGGCCTCCAGCTCCACGGAATGTGGGAAGACCCGAGGAAGCAGATATCCCGGCACCTAGAAGGGCGATTACTCGTCTAGATCTTTTCAAGTAGTCTGTAAATGACCGGAGGTCAGCTGCGGGGACAACTGACGAAGCCATGAGAGGCGATCAAGTCGCTGGAAGAGGGTTTGGTGGAAGCTGTTCAAAAAAAGATTAACGCGCTTTATAGCATTAAGCACTCGAGAAGTAAACCAGATCGCAGTAGTGGTTTTGAAGCAGATAATATCTTGGGGCTGTTGAAGGGATTTGCAGATCCGCCCGGAGTGGGAACGCGCTGAAAAGCTATGACGTGGGGTCGTGGAGGGGGGATGTTGGAGTATCTGCGGAGCATCGGTCGACTCCGAAACGCAAGAAAATACTCCGCAGACTACCAGAAAAAGCTTGATAACGTTCCAATACGCCAGACAAATTCCCGTGAATATTCGAAGAAAAGACACGAATCTTGAATGAACGTTGTACTTTGGTACTGAAATATATTTTTTTCGTGGGTAGCCTACTATCACTTGACAAAGACACATATACTGATAACCGCATAAGCATGATGTAGAAGACAATAAAGACGTACATTCATAACGTGGAGAGCCCATAACAGGCAGGAGTCATAACATTGAAACGGGCAAATGGAGCCTGATCTCAGTGTTGTTCTTCCGGAGGAAGCGTAACAACAACGGCCCCCTCAGAGTACGACTGGTTTTCCGCGTTCTTGCGGGAAACAAACGAAGTGATATACTCAGGTACACCAGTCACCTTATTTTGGGGACTTGGAATGGGTTCTCCAAAAGTTTCCCAAACAGGGACAACGCCTGTCCAGACACTCTGGGTAACCTCATTATTGGTAGTGTCCTTCTTCTCATCAGAAACACCGCCATCTCGGATCTTGCCGCTGCCATCAACAACCTTGACCTTGAGGATAACGGTTGAAGACATCTCGGCCCGGTCTGGAGGTACCCGTGAATGTCTCCAACGATCAGGTAGGACCGAGTTGGTAATCAGCTCCATGGCGTAGAGTTTCTCAGCTTCATCCGTGACGAGTTTGGCATAGCCGTGAAGGATCGCGGAACGATAGTTGTAGCTGTGTGAGTTTGGCGTCAAGGACAAGATCAATCCATCGACTTTGCTGGCAGCAACGCAAATAGGTAATCCTTCATCTTCATTCTCCCGAGCAAGGTTCATAATCCGTGAGCTGACATAGCCATGAAGATAGCACTCCAGTGGCTCATCAATACTTGCCGAAGGGTAGTCGAACGAACCCATCTGCCCGATCATGGGCAGAATGGCCGGGAAAGGGTCCGATGGCCCAGGATTGAAAGAGACATGGAGGACTTGCGACGAGTTGATGATCGAATGGATAGCCCCCAGATCGTAAGTCGCTGCGATCTATTCAGAAACGTTTCCTGCTGTTGTAGTTCTTTTGACTTACCCCGATGTTTGTAACGGTTGACCGTGTTCGAGGACCGTTTGGGATAAGTCAAAGTGCGTCCCATTTCGAAAGTATTTGCTGTGTGTGTGTGAATGTCTGAAGGTTGTCGTTTAGCCTTATATATTGTCACTGATATAGAGATTCGTTCAACAGATTCCAAGTCGATGTGAGTCACCCTTATACTAGTGGGCCATTCCGAGTTTCCGAGAAAGAATTGACACACCAGGAGACCGTGTGAGAACTCGTATTACTGCCATTGCCTTTATACGCCCTTCAGGTCCGAGATAAGCTGCATTGCTGTGATCGCACGCCATTTCCATTGTGGGGAGGTCCTTGCGAGTAAATAGGTCCGCCGTAATTGGCTAGTGGAGCCGATCAGGAGCATCATCCCTGCCTCAGGCAGTAAGGCCACCAACCTCGGAGCTTTCAGCGATCCCGACCGCCGCTATCAAACCAAACCAAACCATCCCTCTGTTCCCTCTAGTGTTGGCTCCTGGAAAGCCACGGCTGTCATTTTAAGGATGTCGATAGCAAAATCTGTCGCTCGCCAATGGCCTAGGTATCTCCGCCGCTCCTCCCCACGTGTTGCACTTCCCTGTGTTCGCTCGGTCCCTGAGAGAGCTCCGGCTCTTCGCCGCGCATATGCTTCGATATCCGCCGCGGAGCTCAAATTCGGCCAACCCTTACACGAGACACATCCGCACATACTAAACCCAGGAGAACGTAGGTAATCGATTTTCTCTACTTGTGAATATATGATCTTAATGGTAACTGATTTTTACTTTCCTGAAAGTCACTCCTGGAATCACCGCTCTCGAGTACGCTCATCGCCGTTCACGACTCGCGAACAAGCTCCCCAAACACGCCATTGCCGTCCTTGCTGCCTCGGAGGTCACCTACCGTGCTGCGGGTATCTTCAATGAATACCGACAGGATTCCAACTTCTTCTACCTTACAGGTTGGTCATCGGGCGACTGTCGCGCTGGATGAATCATTTACTGACTCGTCGGCATAAAGGATTCAACGAACCGAATGCGCTAGCTATCGTCGGTGAGTAGGTCATGGCCAGATCGCCGGAGATCGAGACTTACACGTAACAGCAAATGATGGATCTGGCAACAATCACCTATTCCACCTCTATGTGCGCGAAAAGGATCCCAAGGCCGAGCTCTGGGACGGCGCTCGGTCTGGCACGCGAGCTGCTATTGACGTCTTCAATGCGGACGAGGTAAGACCTATTCATGGCACTATTCAAAGGCTACGACTTATCTCCAATCAGACAGGTGATATAGACCGCATTGCGGAGATTCTCCCGAAGATCGTTTCAGACGCTACCGAGATTTATACCGACATCCCGGCCTTCAACCCTGGAAGATCGTCCTTGCACCGATACCTATACGGCCCCACTGGCGCGTCGGAGAAGCTCAAGAAAATCATTGATTATCGTAAAGTCAAACCGCTGCGCCCTATCCTCAACGAAATGAGGGCATTCAAGAGCGAGGATGAAGTGGTGCAGCTGCGCCGTGTCGGGCAAGCTTCCGGACGAGCCTTCACCGAGGCCATGAGACGAACATTCACCAAGGAAAAGGATCTCGCGTCCTTCCTAGAGTACCACTTCAAGGTCAACGGCTGCGATGGGAGTGCTTTTGTGCCCGTTGTTGCGGGTGGTTCCGTATGTATGCCTTTCCACATGCCTGGATTGAGACTAATGATGTCAGAATGCCTTGAGCATCCACTACACACGGAACGACGATGTCTTGAGGTGATTATAACTAATGTATGTTATACCGTTACCGATAGCTAACTGCTTTCCAGAAACGGGGACATGGTCTTGGTCGATGGTGGTGGTGTAGGTTCCCTCCTAGCTTAGAGACGATATAGTTACTAACGAACCGGCAGGAGATGGGCACGTATATCTCCGATATTACGCGGACTTGGCCAGTCAACGGCAAGTTTTCGGATCCGCAGCGCGACTTGTACAACGCCGTCTTGAACGTCCATCGAAGCTGCATTTCTCTCTGTCGGGAAACCACAGGTCTCTCTTTGGACCGTCTGCACAGCGTGGCTGAGAACGGGCTGAAAGACCAGTTGAAACAGCTAGGATTCGATGTTTCTGGAAACGTAAGTCTTGATCATCCTAGCTAAGTTTTGTCATCGTATTGACTTCCTTAGGCAATGGGAGTACTCTTCCCTCACCATCTGGGACATTATGTAGGACTCGATGTTCACGACTGTTCCGGATACTCTCGAGGACAAAACCTCAAAGCCGGACAATGTATCACTGTCGAACCGTATGTGGTTTCCCCTCTGTCGGCCGAGAACTCCACTAATATAACTCTCCCAGAGGCGTATATGTTCCGGATGATGAGCGGTGGCCTGAAAAGTTCCGTGGCATCGGAATTCGTATCGAGGACAGCGTTTGTGTTGGGGACGATAGCCCCATCGTGCTCACAACCGAAGCAGTGAAAGAGGTGCGCTCTAGTCTTCGCGGTTCCCATCGATGACATGCTAACCAGGATACTTTAGGTGGACGACATTGAAGCCCTCCGGGATTAGTGTACTAGGACATAGATACCCTTTATACCAGAATACTTGTACCATAGACGACCAATGATCGCCATACTCTAGGTGCTGGCTGAACATTCAGTACAGATCAACAACTCCGCCTGCATATACTGACAGTCTCTAGCACTCTGGTCTCTAATATAGTAACGATATCATGATAACTTGTCGGCCATTTTCTCCCGCAATCTCTTCGCCGCCAACTCTCCCAGCCGCAACATACTTCCACCGTTCTTCAGCTCCAACACTGACACCTCCACTCCGAGGCTCTGCTTCCACCAATTCCGAACCTCAATCGCCACTAGCGAATCGACCCCGGACTCTGAGAGCGTAAGCCCGAGGTCCAATGGCTCTTCGTCTTCTCTCCGCATGAGGAATGTCGCCACGCGGTCTCTGATCTCTCCGGCCAGGAATTCCGCTGCCGAAGGCTGGCTGAGCAAAGTTGGGTCTGCATTGACCTCCGTAAGGAAAGTTTTGAGGCCGCTGCTCGTCGCCTCCGTCTGGACCGAGACCGTCTCGATGTTTCGGTAGATAGCCATCCGCGGATCACGCTTCCAGATGATGTTGTTTTCTGGGTGCATAATCGGCAGTTGGCATTCCAGGGCTTGAACTACCTGGCTGGGGTTGTGGAAATGAATGCCACGGGCTCCTTGTGCCTTTGGTCTTGCGGGAGAAGAGGTTGGCGGCTTGGATGACCGGGCGATAGTCAGCTGGAGGGTATCAAGGAAGTCCTGCTCTGTGATTAGACGACCTGCGCTCGCGAGCATAGCATCTTTGGCTGCTGGCGTGCGACTAATGTACCCCACGTCGTTGACGGCGCCGATATCCATGACTGATGCTGGCAACCCGTGGTCATGTCTATATTGAGCGAAGGCGTCGAGGAAGGTGTTTGACGCGGCATAATTGGCTTGGCCATAGTATCCCACCATGCCACATGCAGACGAAAACAGCACGAAAAAGTCCAGTTCTTCGTTTGGCAGCGCGTTGTGGATATTCCAGGTCCCCTGCACTCGGGGTCGGATGACCTTTTGGTACGCTTCGAGATCCATGTCAATAACGCCGACGTCGCAGAGCACCATAGCCATTTGCATGACACCAGCAATGGGAATCGGCGACTGATCGATTGCAATTTTCACTACAGCGGGATCGCTGACGTCGCCTGCCCAGGCCTGTACTGTACAGCCCATGAGGTTGAGCTCCTGAATGAAGGATTTATCTTCCTCTGATGCGCCCGCTGAGCGCGATAGGAAGATAATATGCCTGGCACCATGCGTTGTCATCCATCGAACGATAGCCTGCCCCAGGCCTCCCATCCCGCCAACTAGGAGGTAGGCTCGATCGTGTCGGAAAGAAGGCGTGGGCGTTTCTGGAGTCCAGGGTAGTGATGTCTCTGTGTCGGGAAACTTGATCACCACCTTTCCAATATGAATTCCTTGCTGCATGTACCGGAAGGCTTCTTCGACTTTCTCGGCACCAAAGGAAGTGATCGGATGGATCGGCGTTATATGGCCCTCAGAGCAGAGCTCGAGCATCAGCTTCATCAACCTCATGACGCCAGGCTTGTTGGTCACAAAATACTTGGAAAGGTCGATTCCAATATACGTGCGGTTGTCTTCGAATTTGTCGAGAGCCAACTGGCCACGGCCGATCATGTCTCGCTTCCCAATTTCGACCATGCAGCCCGACGACGCTACGCACTCCCACGAGGCGTGCAGTAACTCGCCAGAGAGTGAGTTGAGGACGCAGTCCACGCCGGTCCCATCTGTGGCGTCCATCAAGTCATCTCGGAAAGTGGTGTCTCGAGAATTGAAGATTCGATCGCGTGGGATGCCGAGTTCTTCCACCAAGAACGTTGCCTTCTTCTCTGAGCCAACAGTGCAGTAGATGTCCGCCCCGATCCAACGGGCAACTCGGATGGCTGCGATACCGATCCCACCTGCAGCCGCATGGATTAAGATCGACTGGCCCTTTTCGAGACGCGCTTTGTCAACCAGACCCAGCAAAACCGTGATGTACACAGCGGGCATAGTTGCGGCGTCTTCGAAACTGAGGTGGCTAGGTATGGGCACAACATAGCTGCCCGGTCTTTGAACCTGCGTCGCCAGGCCGGTTGAGTCAGCTCCAAGGACCATCGCTCGGTCTCCCACTCGAATGTGGTGGACGTCTGCGCCCACATTCCTGACATATCCAGCGCCCTCAACACCCAGGACGGCATCACCAGAACCACTATCGACGATACCCATGGCAATGAGGACGTCTTTGAAGTTTAGGCCGACAGCTCTCATTTCAATCTGGACGTGATCGGCTGGGAGCTTAGGCAACCGCCGTCCAAACCAGTGCAGGGACTGCAACAAACCCCGTTTGCCAATCTTCAGGGCTTTGGTTTCGGCTGGGGGCGCTTCTTGTTTCAGTGCCTTCTCTACCGGGGACCAGTGGAACCGTCCAACGTGCACTTCGCCGCTGACCCAGGAGAATTCCATATCTGGATCGAGATCACCCATGTCGTCTTTACATTCCTGGACGTGCTTGGTCACTTTTATCACTGCATCAGCTGCACCAGCAGAATCATGGTGCTCAAGTTCCAGGGTGGCCAGTGGTATGGCTAGCTCTGAACGAATGGTTCGAGCCATTCCCAGAATCAGGGCTGCATGAGGGTCCTTCGATTTGACTTGCGCCAGAGGCGTAAGCCAGATCACCGCAGCCTGGTCCAGGGATTGGATTAATTGAAGGAATCGGTTCCAGTCGGCTTCGATGGGTTCCTTGAGGAAAGGTTGTTCCAAATCGACGAATGAGATAATATCCTGTCCAGGAGGAGGCTGCCCTTTTTGACCCCATTGACAGTGCTGAAGCTGATAGCCGCTGCTTCGCAACAGTGTCTCTACCCGGAGTGCCAACGGGTGGATTCGGGACGGTCCTGACAGAAGCGTGATGTTCTGGGGATATTCAAAATCGATTGCTGGCCTGGCGATGATGTTCGCGTTGACATGATAAGGTCGTTCGTTGTCAAATGCCACTGTCTCGCATCCACCAAAACCTGCCGCGCGTAGCCTTGTATCCCATTCCTCAGGGGGAAGGAAAGGACAATCGATGCGACCATCTGCTTCGCCGAGCCACCAACCGGAGAAGAGTCCCTGAGAAGAGTTAACGTTGCCTGTAGCTATACTGTTACCAGATTTGTCTCACCATGATATACGCCATGCCGTTTGTCACTGCTGCTGTTAGTGTGGGAATTGCCCCTTGTTTTGGAAGCATCGACTTACTCGGAGACAGTTCCTGCAAAAACAGCCGCCCTTGGGGCCTTAATAGAGTCCGAACATTGACAAGCGTGTCATGGAGGATTGGTGTTGCATGTAGAACCTGGTTCAGAGTTAGCAATTTCTCATCAGCCTTGACAACTTCAGGAGCCTTACGTTGGAAGCTATAATAAGATCATACTCCTCGCGGTTGAAGCCTTGCTCCAAGGGATTCCTGGAGATATCAAGCACTTTGTACTCAATGGCGTCATGTTCCTTGAACCTCTCCATCGCAGTCGGAAAGAAGCCAGAAGACACATCAGTAAAGGTATACTGAAGGTATAATCGCTCTCCAAACTCCGAGCGGAGTTGTTCAAGGACTTTCGCCGTGAGCCCACCAGTGCCGGCCCCAATCTCCAAGATTCTCATCTGTGGGTGCATGTGGCCGAGTAACTGGAAGAACTCGCTTACATCCCACACGTCGTTCATCCAAGTGTAGATAGCAGACAGCGTGCCATCATGAATCAGCAGATCTAGGAAGTCAGTTTTTCCCTCGAAAACGTTGACGAGTTGATCGTAAGTCCGCCATATAGCGGTTGCAATAGACCCACAGCCGGCCTTCTCGCACTGCTCGAATACAGTCGAGATCAGCTTGACACGCTTCTCTGGAGACATGTTGACTAAATCCGCCGAGTCATCGACAAGAATGTATCCGGGCTGTGTGAAGAGAGTGCATTGAGTCGCAAGCCAATTTCGATACCGCTCGAAATGTGGCTGAGTGGCCGTAACACCCTGAAGTGCCTTGTTTGACTCCACTGCGCAAAGCAGATAGAGCCTCTCTACCAGGGCAAGTTGCTCTCGGATGTCGTATGTCGGGCGCGTCAGCTCGCCGCTGTTGAGGAACTCGAAAGCTGGCTTCCAATGCAGCGATAGCGCAGTCAAGTCTGGACCCGTTCCATCCGGCTCCAACCGGGAAGCACAGAAGTTTTTCAGGAGGAAGACCAATTTCCCATTCTCATCGGTACCGTATGAATGGCCTTGAGGCACGTTACGGCCAGTGCTTGTAGTGCTGATGTGGATTTTCTGTTTGGTGCCCGCACACACATACATTTCCTCGATAAATGTTGGCATTATTAGGTCTCGGAATGAGCGGTAGTCGCCCTTCACAGAGGCTACTGTCCAAGATTGGAAGGCCATATCAAGAGTCGAAGGATGCAGCGCATAGGGTGACTCAGATTCCTCGCCGGGATGATCAGAGATAGCTGCGACGGCTTTTGTCTCTGTGACACTTGCTGTGAGGTCTCGTAGCCCACTAAACCGAGGGCCATAGTTCAGCCCAGCCCGGGCCATAGTCTCATACCAGCGAGACGAAGAGATTTTTCTGGGAAGCGCCACAGGTATCTTCCTGGTCGATGCAGGACGAGAAGACGCAAGACCTGTTCGGACTAAGCCAGAACAATGTTTGATCCACTCCTCTCCGTCAAAAGACACGATCTGGAACTCACTCCAGGCACTGTTAAGACTTGCTGTCAGTCGCTGAGGGCGAAGCGTTGTGACAAGTTCGACAGGCTTGTCCTCATGAAGTATCAGTGCCTGATGGAGATCCATGCTTTTCAACGTGTAGTCTCGTTTTTTACCATCGCCAAGCTGGAAGGCCGCCTCACCGGCCATCGCGATGTATGCTGCAGCTGGAAAGATAATGTCGTTCCCCACACAATGGTCTCTCAGCCATGGAACATTGACAATGCGGAGATCGTTCCGCCAAGTTGGAGCCAGGTCTGTTCCTTCGAGAGTACGAACGCCCAGCAGATCATGCGGAAGATGCTTGCGGAACCTCCAGTTCTTCATCACCCTTGTTTCGCACCAGTATTCCCGCTCGTAGTACCAAGGATATGTGGGAAGATCAGTCAATACCACCGAATTCACAGGATCAGTAGGAACACTGATGTCCACTCCTGCTATGTAGAGCTGGCCTATCGCAGACAGAAACGTGTCGGTGTCATTCTCATTGCGACATAGAGTAGACATGTATTGTATAGGGATGGATAATTTTTGTGAGATCTGGCGCAGGGCTCCACGCAGAGCTGAGTGTGGTCCGACCTCCAGTAAAGCCATCTGAGGTGAGCTAGAAAGCATCGACCTGACGGCATCGTAGAACAGAACAGGGCTCTCCAGATTGTGCTGCCAGTAGCGAGGGCCAAACTGGAACGCTTTGGACAGGACTTTTCCTCCATCAGCGCTAGAGTAGAATGGGATCTTGGGTGAGCGTGGGTCGAGCTTCTCGGTGGTGAGGTCGCAATAGGTGTTTCCGACAAGGCGCATGTGGTCTAAAATGTTAGGATCCACTATAATGCGAGTGACACAATTGAAGGTCGAAAAATGCAACGGAGAAGGGCAAGAAAACTGAACATACCGGAGTGATATGCCATTTCCACCTGTAGTTTTCGGACAAAGATCCCTTCATCGTGCTTTTTGATATCACCTATGACCTTTTCTAGTACGTCGAGATCCCCAGCCAACGTGACACTAGATGGACTGTTTTCACACGCAACAGTTACACCTGGGACAAGGAAGCGGAATACCTCTGCTTTTCCTAAGCCAATGGCTGCCATTCCACCCATTCGTGAAGGGTTCTTGCAGACATATCCACGATAGAAAGCAACGGCCATCGCTTCTTCCTTTGTCAGGCACTCTGCTGCATAGGAGGCCGCAATCTCACCACTGGAATGGCCAACAACCGCTGAAGGTCTGATACCCCAGCATGCTAGGAGGTCGACCAGGGCGATTTGGAGGGCAGTGCAGATTGGTTGGGCGCATTCTGCTCGGGAAAGGAGGCGTTTGTCATCGGAATAGCAAAGGATATCTGTTGGATCAGATTAGTCAAGACCCAGTCAAAGAGGTTAATGGAGACTTTCCTTCCATTGACCACGAAGGGGCATGCTCAAGTCCCTGTAGAATTCTATCCATCGATTGGATATTGGCCAGGAATGATGGGCAGTCAGCCATGAGTTGTAGTCCCATATGAACCCTGATTCTGTCAGCCCATATCCATGACGAGAGCTCAAGCACGCCCGATGCCACCCACCATTGCGCTCCCTGTCCTGTGAACACGAAGGCCGTCTGCTTCAGATTGCGAGAAGGGACAGGCGTGGACTCTGGGAGTGTATCCGTCCCATTTGTCACGCAGAAAGCTCTGTATTTCAAGTGCTCTCGTCTGTGGGATAGAGTATACGCGACACTATCCAGCCGACCTGGGAACCTGGACAGATACTCTTGGTGATTTTTGACCATGACCTTCACAGACTCTGGATGTCCTGCAGAGAAAACCAGTACCGTCTTCTTCTGCTTCTGTGGTTTGAGTGACGGTGGGATGGATTGTGGGACGCCCAGTCCAAAGGAGGCTGCAGAATCCAGGATAAACTGGTAGCTCGCATTAGATGCAAAATACGTGATCAGCTGTGATACTAGCAACTTACGTGGACATTGGAGCCACCGATTCCATACGAGTTGACACTCAGTCGCTCAGCACGATCAACGGGCCATGGGCAAGGCTCGACCGGGACGACCAGCTTTGCTTCTTTCCAGGGGACTGTGATTGTTAGTAAAGAACATGCAAAATGGTGAAAGAGCTGACTTGCTTGCGGGATTGGGCGTGTTGAACTTGATGTTTGGAATAATTGTCCGGTGTTCCAGAGATACTACCGCTTTGATCAGACTCGTGATGGTCGCTGCGCCTTCGCTATGGCCCATATTCGGTTTCACCTGAGGAGGTGTCAGATCTTACAGGCGAGACGAAGGAGCGTCAAAGACAGCATACCGTGCCCATGTACACTCCATCTTTCCCAAAACAGCTTGCAATGGCCTTTGCCTCAATGGGGTCTCCCGTCGGCGTGCCTGTGCCATGTGCCTCTACCATGGCAGTTCGAGAAAGGTCAAGACCTGCGTTGGAATACGCTTCACGGATTGCTGCCTCATGGGCCTCAGCACTCGGGTTGGTAACTCCCGCCGTTTTCCCGTCAGCATTACTGGCGGATGATCGAATGACAGCTCGTATCGGATTTCCGTCGCGGATGGCCTCGTCCAGCCGCTTGATATATAACACAGTCACCGCTTCGCCTCTGGCATAACCATCCGCTCCAGCATCGAAGGACTTAGACGAGCCTTCGGGGGATAGGGCCGCCTGAACGCTCATGGCGACCGTCATTCCAGGTGACAATATCAGGTTGGCGCCAGCAACAATTGCCGACGTAATGGAGCCCCGCTGAATTTCCTGAATAGCCTCATGCAATCCGATTCCAGCTGACGAGCAGGCAGTCTTCACCATGACACTATATATTCCGTCAACATTACACGGTTGGTAGTACTGGATCGAGTCGACCTACCTAGGACCTTTCAGATCGTATTCGTAGGAGATCCGATTCGCGATGGCAAAGTCGAGTACACCGATCAGGTTGTATGGATCGTAAAAGTTCACGTCTTTGTGATGTAGATCCTGCCAGTCCTCCGAGAACAGCCCCACGTATGTGCCAATCTTCTTTCCACGCCAATTTGACTCGCCCGCCCTCTCCAATGCCTCGCGAACCACCTCGAGGACTAGTCGTTGGCTGGGATCCAATTGAGCTGCCTCGGCGGCGGTGATGCTGAAGGTGGAAGGGTCGAACTTTGAAAAGTCGGTGTCATTAAGGAAGTAGCCATGCTTGGTGATGATGGTCCCTGGTTTGCCGTGTGGACTGTAGTATGCGTCGACATTATATCGGTCCGCGGGGGTTGAGGAACGTGCATCCATCTTGTTGATGAGGAAGTCATACAGGGCTTCATCGTCTCGGATACCGCCTGGTAATCGCATGCCCATGCCACAAATGGCAATAGGGACAGTTGAGCCAGATTTCAGAGGCTCCGGTGTGAATCTGCCGTTTGTATGCACCGCATTAACGTCGCCATTTGTACGCCCATCCTGGCCATGGCCATTCGATAGAGAGTCATTCAAGAGACCATTGGGATGGCCATCCAAAGGTTTGCGCATGTTAAATGGCTCTAAGACCCTGATTGATGTCGACTTGGGCACGCCGAGTGCAGGATTGGCAGTACACAAGGCTTATATGAATCTAAGTCGCTTTCAAAAGGAATAATCTTCCGCGCGGACACTTTCTGCATTCCTTTCGTAAACATTCAGATCTACAATGGGCTGGATCAGGACTTTTGAAATCCACTCCCCCGCCTCGAAAGGCACCTAAAAGTATATGCAAGCTACCTGACGCCCCGTTGCAGCCGTTTGTGAGATACGAGGGACTCTGCAGCGGAGGTAAGCGATACCATCTTGATATGCAAGGCATGTCCGCTTCAGCAGCAATCATACCTCCGGGGATAATTGAAAGTGGAGGTATTTTGTCCCTCTGCCAATAGAGCTGGTGATCCCTGTGGATTGAATTGTTGATCCAGCTGTAGTCAGCGTATAGCCACTCACTGCTTCCCGATGGGCAACACGACGCACAGGCAGCCATAGTCATATTACCCCGTATTGCCACACATGGATACCCATGATATCCCTTGATTCGCCTTGGTTTCAAGATGTTTGCCACGTAAGCCCCTTGCGGTTTGTTTGCGGCAAGGCAGGCGTCGGACAAATCTCCAGCTTGGCTCTCCACCTTGCGTACGAATCATGCTAGCTGCAACCTGCCTCGCCGTGTTAATACTAGAACTTCGGATGATATTGGATCTTACTAGTCAACTTCTGGACGATTTCCTGGTCCTCATATGCATGGCATCTCCACCGTAAGGATATGCAGCTCCTGTATTGTGTCTCCTTATGACATGTCAGATGCTCGAGATGATCACCTCATCCCTCCTGTCTATCGTATGAAAGTTCAGCTATCCATGTGGTCAGGTAATAATCTCTGATTGAGATCCGTATACATAGAGTGTGATGCTGTGCTTTTTGTTTCGTCTTCGGCTTTGCGCCTCCGGCTTTGCGCCTCCAGCAAGGCGTCCTTGTGGCCACCTAAGCCCCATACGGTAATGCTAGCTTCGACTGTTCAGGAGAAGCTTCATTTTAAGGTGATAGTGTGGAATGAGCTTAAGCAAATTGCTCGCCTATTCGAGTCTTATTTGTTCCTTCACGGTCGACTTCGACAAGAATACCTTCTCAGGATAGCAAATGTGAAAGCTATGACACCATATTACGCTTGACCATTCGTGAGTTTCAGATATATCGGATCACGTCATGGCCATCTATATGCCTACCGCGGACACTCACCGGGCGCCCGGATACAGACAGTCATATTGCCTTCGAACAGCGTCAATCAAGGCCAGTACTTCTCCAAGAATAGTTTCCTGCCCTCTGCAATCCATCTCTCATCCATGGTCATCTCAACATCAAACAGGTGGTCTCCAGGCTGCAAGTCAATCCTTACTGGGGTAGTGGGCGCAATCTCCTTCAGACGCTGTACAAAGCTTGTAGAGCAAACATGCGGGATCTGAACACGTTGCACTTTAACATTAATAACGTGTAGCCAGATAGGAAGAGGGAATGGAAATACCAGTGTGTCCTGAGTTCCATGAATGATCCAAGTCGGAATCATCGCATTTGCTGTTTTGTCTTCTGTCTTCTCCAACATCGCTATGAGCATTCCAAACATATCCTTGTCCCCGTTGCCTTTGAAAAGCCTGGGTAGATAGCACTGCTGTAGAATACACAGCAACAACTCCCACATATCGAGTGTGGGATCCTGTCCCGTCCTGATTGCTCCCGGCGTCATGTTCTTGATGTACTTCCGAATCAAGGCCTCGGCTTGTCTTGGAGGCGGTGCTTTCGTTCCCATAAATTTCCGGGGTCGAGGAATCTTCAGTTCGGGCACATTCGGATCGAGCGGCGCGGAAATAGGTATCACGGCCTTGATGGTTATTGTTTCCGCTTCTCCTTTCTGTGCGTTGTTTCTTTGCACAGAGTTCTGGGATAATATAGAAGGCAACCCCAAGGCCGAGTAAACCGCCAAACAGCCCCCGGAACTCTCCCCACAACATAACACACGAGAAAGATCGGGGACAACGCCCCAACGCTGTTTCTCAGCAATGTCCAATAGATCTTTCTGAATCCACTGCCAGAAGTGTTCCAAGTCGCTTAAAATATCAGCCCCATTGGATTCGGGGAGCAGTCGGTAGTCCGGCGAGATGATGATAGCGCCGTGTGCGTATGCGAGGTCCAGGAACCATTGAGCAAACCAGGGCTCGTAGTTGCGGTGGCCTACAATGAAGCCTCCACCGTGGAACCTGACCATCACGGGGCATTCTTTCTTGTCGAGCGGGTTTCCACATGTGTTTTTGGGTATGAGGACCGTAGCATCGAGGGAGTGGTTATTGATGACGCGGTAGGGGAGATCGATGAGGGCGAATGGGTCAAATCGAGACATTACATTAGTTTCTGGTCGCCGAGAGATGCAATTCTTTGTGAGTAGGGATAAGGGACGATAACTTGATAACGGGGAGGCATGGGGAAGCTATGGGGAAGCTATGAGGGTCACAGAAGGTGTTCTGGTGGGGTGAAAGCTGATCTATCGAAACATGTGGGCATCCTTTCGACTTATCACTACTTGAGCATCTCATTGTGCTTGTCTTTAATTGAATTGCAATGGTGCTAGCAGGTGATAAACCATGGAGTATTGGTTGTGCATTCTGAGCTATACTAGTATACGGCCCAACAGTGCAAATCCCTTCAATTAGAGGAGCGACGGCAACAGCCCCTTCTAGGTTATGACTCTTTGATAACTGTATCTGGTCTTTGTATGTTTCGTACGACCCAACTGCACCTGTTTTTCTGGCCCCAGCCGATCTTGACCTGGTACGAGCCCCTTGCGAGGGGCTGCAGTAAGGGATGCATCTATCACGAATACGTGGCACATTCGAGCAATCCTTGAAAATCACACCACCAGGCGTATTGTGCATCTCACCGGCAGCTGAGTTCAGTCTGCTGTTTACTATACGCGTAACTACAGTATGTTTGGTGGAAGCTCCTTGCTTCTTTTCTTTTCTTTCGTTACACGATTAAAATCGTTCGGCCAAGCATAAGTTCTGATCTATCGGTTCTCATATTGGAATTGTAATAGTGATCCAAGAGCCCTCTCTGTATGTCGTCTTTTATTCAGGCATGGCAACTCTACTTTCAATATCAGTGTTGGCGGTGGTAGTTCTGCGCTTGTTCTGGACGCTAGCCGCCAAATTCAACCATGCCCGAAAAGCCCGCCGATGGGGATGTGCCCCATATCCAACCTATCCTAGTGATCTACTAGGGATTGGTCTTCTCAAGGAGACCCTGGCGGCAGACAAAGCCGATGTACTCTGTCCGATGTTCGAGCGTCGAATTGCGCACATCAGCGCGCGCGAAGGACGGCATGTAGCCACCTTGTCGTGGATGAGCTTGGGCCGGGAGACGTGCTTCACCATCGACCCCGAGAACGTACGGGCGGTCTGGGCTACTCAGTTCAAGGACTTCGTCGCCGGCGATCTGCGATGGAACGTCTCCCACCAGCTCACAGGCAAGAATATCGTGAGTCTGCCCGTTAGAGCCATCGTCTGTCTTGTCTGGGCCGGAAACACTAATATACGGCACGCAGGCTTCTACAGACGGAGCGGAATGGGCCAGATACAGGGCTCTCTTGCGCCCACAGTTTTCGCGCAGCCAGATCAGTGACCTGGATCTCGAAGAACGCCACGTACAGAAGGTAATGCTAGCAATTCCAGTGATCAACGGAAAGTGGACCGAGCCTGTGGACATCCAGGAAATTTTCCATCGGTTCACCATTGACTCGTCGACTGAGTTTCTCTTCGGAAAAAGTGTTGAGAGTCAGATATCTGCAATCACTGGTCAAAAGACAGCGGAGGCTGATTTCGCCCACCATCTCGACAAGTCCATGGAATACATCGGCAAGCGCGCGCGCTTGGATAAACTGTACTGGCTGGCCAATAACCAGGAGTCTCGCTTTTCTGAAAGCGAAGTGCACAAATATGTGGACCGATATGTGCAGGATGCTATCAAAGCCGGTCAAGAAGGAAAGCTCCAGGCAGACCCCGAACGGTCACCTCAGTACATCCTTCTCCACGCTTTGACGACCGCCACGCAAGACCCGATTGAGCTCCGCAATCAGGTTCTCACTTTGCTCCTGGCTGGTCGTGACACGACCGCTTCACTGCTCAGCTGGACGGTCCTGCTTCTCGCCCGCCATGCAGACGAGTTCCAGAAGCTCCGCCAGGCCGTGCTCGAAGACTTCGGTTCTTACGACAACCCCCACAATCTCACCTTTGGTGCCCTTAAATCCTGCAGTCACCTGCGGCATTGCCTAAACGAGAGCCTTCGCTTGTATCCAGTCGCACCATTCAACCGCCGCATCGCGGTCAGGGACACGACCCTTCCCCGTGGTGGTGGCAGCGACGGCCGACAACCTATCTTTGTGCGCAAAGGCCAGGCAATTATGTTCAGCGCCTACTCCATGCACCGACGTAGGGATATATGGGGGCCTGATGCCGATGATTTCAGGCCTGGCCGATGGGAGGCCCGTAAGACATTGTGGGAGTATCTTCCTTTCAGTGGGGGACCAAGGATATGCCTCGGACAGCAGTTCGCCTTGACGGAGGCGGGCTATGTCCTTGTTCGGTTGGTGCAGCGGTTTGATGCGATGGAAGACGTCAATGCTGAGACAGAGATTAAACAAAAGGTGACCTTGACCAGTGCCCCTGCGCAGAGCGTTACTGTTCGGTTGCATGCACCACGGGCATGACTGAATTAATCTCTGAAGTCCCAATCTATCTATGAAATAATGGATAATGACCTTGGAGATCAATTTACATGTACTTACTATGCCAGCATACCTATAGCAATGTAATGTTGGAAAAATGCGAATACTATGGAAGCTCCGAGTTAATTGCAATACAACGATTCTGAGTATGCCGTAGACCTGTTTTATAGAGCTACCCAAATTACAGTGAAAAGAGAAAGCAAGACAACAAGTACATGAGGAGAGTGGGCCAACAACTATTGAAGGAATCGAAGGGAACCCTATAAATCGATCCTCTCGCACTCCTCGACAGGCCGCATGCCAAAAGCCTTGAGTCCTCCCTGCCAGCTTCCCCCGATCGTCTTTCGCGCAAACTCGCGCAGCGATTTTTCATACTCGGCGACAACGCTTTTACATCCAGGGCCGATTCCCGCCTGCCCCAAACGGCGAGCCAGATCTTCTGCATCTCGCAGCGCAGTATTGACTCCCATTCCGCCGGTCGGAGGCATGTTATGAATGGCATCGCCCAACAACGTAACCAACGGCGATGGCTCCCAGTCTGGGAGCTCGGGTAAGACGGACGTAATGCGCAACGTCGAGGTTTGTGCGACATCCTGTGCTTCGAGCAGAACCCGCAAGGAGGGGTGCCATTTCTCCGTCAAGTCGAGGGACAGCTGTGCCGACTGCTCATGATTTAGACGCAACATTTTTTCGTCCGCAAGCGGAATATAATCCCGATGAACCGCCAATACCCAGTAGACGTAGTCGGGGGGCAGCGGGACCTCGGTGACATCCGATCGCCTGGGGAAGCGCATGGCTTCGAGCAACAGCGTCTTCGGCGCAGACTGGTCATTGTCGAATGCAAGAGACAATCCTCGCAGCACGTTTGGCGTCATTTGCTTCTCGAGGGCCTCGGATAGTAACGTCTTGCCGTAGATGCTGCGCACTCCTGTGTCGAGAATCGGGTACTGGGGAAGCAGCTGCTTCCGCACGCGCGATCCCACTCCGTCGGCACCGACGAGCAGGGCGCCGGTTTCCACCGTCCCGTCGGCGAAGAATGCCCGAACCTGGCCGTCCTCGGTTTCGTAGTGGGTAAACTGCCTACCGAAGTAGACATCACTTTGGAGCCCCGCTAGAAGGACTTCACGGAACACGGTACGGTCCACATTGTACGGCAGACTGTCTGAGCCATGCATATGCGGTGGAGGACCACCCAGCATTGGCGCGTCTGCGGGGGTCACTGCCGTGGCGGCATCTACTCGTCCCATGGGAGAGGTTGGATCAAACTGGGCGCAGGTCTTCTTAAACAGATCCCATGTTTCCGGGGCGAGAGAGTATTCCAATGCACCGATTCCCGGGGAACTGATGCGGAGTCGGTACCCTTGTGCGCGAAAGTCTTGCTTCTGATCCTTCTCAAAGATTTTGACTGGGATATGGTTCTTCTTGAGCGCATGGGCCAAGCAGAGTCCACCCAAACCCCCGCCGATGATCAGCACGTTGGACATGGTGACAGTGTTTGGATGAAGGCGTTAACGAACGATATGGAATAGAGAAAAGAGACTGAATCGAACTTGTTCTGCTAGTTCTGTTCTCCTGTTCGTCCATGGTGGTTATATATACCTACCTAGCGCTGAGTCAGATCTATACGGGCATTTAGATTGGGGCCAGAACTAAAACAGGCTCAATGTCGGAGCACCGGCTTTTATCTCGCCGACCAACTAGCTGAGATGTCGACGCGAAAGGATTTAATACTTGTTATGTGCTCTGGACGAGCTGATGGACGGCGAATCGGTAGCTATATAGACCCTTAGTGGGCATATGGCCAGCAAATATGGTTAGGAATCCCAGGAAATGTCCAGAAACATCGGAGATCGGGGGTTTCCACTCCTTTGGGCCTCCACTGGAAAGACAATCGACGATCAGACAGAATGCCCCCATCTAGGAAGGAGAATCCTCGGAGGGTCTTCCATGCCATTTGGGATTATTGGTGTTGAATGAATCTGGTCCCAGCCTCCGACATGCCTGCAGCTGCGCGAGGCCAGGAGTTCTCCGTGATACTGGCAGAGGCAGAATCGATGGTAAAGCGACAAAGAACCAATAATTATGCAATATTTCAATAAGAATACCTATAGGAAAGACAGAAAGAAAAGAGAAGAAAAGAATGTAGAAAGTGAATGTTTCGCGGTTGTTGTTATCCGTCTTGGGAGTTCAAAACAAAAGGGCTTCTCCACTTGCTCTCCGCCTTGACACAACGGGTTTAGTGCAGTTCTTTTGTTTCCCTTCTCCATCCCGTCCCATCCCATCATCCAACCCTTCTGTCTCTCTGCACGTCACCACCTCATTACCACCTCCGCCTTCCTTCACTCTCTTTCTGGCTGGAGAAGACTTGACTTACGCCTCTTCTTCTGCCCGTCTCTTGTTCCGTTCCTTACTACCGCCCGACAAGTCGCGTCGAATATGTCTTTTTTCTAACTGCCTTCGACCCCCCTCGAGACGTGTAACCCATCGCGTGCTCGGCTTGAACTGCCCCTCGCGACCGGGCATTTCACTCCAAACCTCGTCTTCCCTCAGGGTTGGTCTATTATTACCCGATGGCAGCGGTATTCGTACCCCCTTCCCCACAGACCTCCCTGAATATGTCGACTCGCCGTCCACTCGCCAACGTGCCCAATGCCACCAATTCTCCTCACCGGCCGGGTCTCGTGCCGGCCAAACGCCCCAGGTCGAACGCCCAATTCGATATCGCCTACGGCCAGCCACCCCCCAAGAAGCAGGTCGTAGAGGGTGCAGAGCTCGAGTCGCGCTCCCCGACCCGGTCCCGCTCCACCGCCACGCAGAACGCGGATTCCAAACTCTTCGCCCGACGGACGACCAATGGCCAGTTGAGTGCGTTTGAAAAGAGGCTGGTGGCAGCCAGAGACAATGATCGACAGCGTCAGCTTCGAACTGCACGACACGAGAAGCCCTCGGCTGAGACTCTCGACTCTATCCGACAATGGCAGAGGCACTACCGGAAGGCTTTCCCTCAGTTCGTCTTCTACTTTGACAGTATACCAGAGGATCTACGCACCAAGTGCTCGAGACAAGTCAGAGAATTGGGAGCTGTAAGTGATTCCGCTTGTGAACTTTGTGAGAAGCCGCAGGGATGAAATATCATCTACAGACTGTTTCTCGTTGCCCTTGTGCTCTCTACCCCCCAAACCTGAAGTTTATGAGTTTGTATATCAATGCTGACCATCATTACAGCGTGAAGAGAAATTTTTTTCGCGTTTAGTTACCCACGTTGTCACGTCGCGTCCCATCCCTCCCGAAAATGACACCACAAGCCCAACGGAGTTTAATGCGGAATCGGTGGATCAAACAACTGTAGACGGCTCCCTGCAAACCGTCAATCCATCCCTACTAGAGAAGCATGCTGACACGCACCTACATATATCATTGAAGACCGATACGCGTCGGGAACAAACCAGTATGGATGTGTTGCATCGAGCTCGTCAGATGGGAATGAAGATTTGGGCCATAGAGAAGCTCCAACGGATGATTGCAACCATCAATGATGGGGAGATTGCGGGCCATGCTGGTCACCCCACGCGGCACACTGCTGGTGGCGGATATTCCCGCACCAGGGGCGAGACTGATCTGTCTCAGGTTCTCCAAAACGAGCTTCATGGTCCTTCAGAGCGCAATCCCATGTCAGTACTGAAGGACCTGGTCATGTTCAAGGGACCTTTTATCTATATTCATGATATGGACGAGAAAACCAAGCCTGTGATGGTCCGAGAATACCCCAAGGTTGCACGACGACAGGATGGCATTTGGCCTCAGTTCAGGAGTGCACCACTCGGAAAATGCCCTTTTATCGATGAACCGCCATCCAAGAAAGAGGTAGAACGACATCGGGCCCGTCAACAAGAAAAGGAGAGGAAGGCTGCATCTAAGGCCGCACCTCTCCAAAAAGCACGCACAATCAAGACAAATGACCTGGACCAGGTCACGAAGGAGCGGGGGGGCGACCCTGATGCTGGAAAAGAGCCCAGCCCTATAGAGGCTCCCAAGGATGCAGGTTCGAATCTTAAGCAGCCGGAAACGCAGAACGCCCAACCAGCCAAACCATTATCACCACGGAAGAGCTCTGAAAGTTTCATCCCCCCGCCCCCGTTGAACCGAAATGGGCCTTTCTACCATGGCCGCGAACCTGCCGCCTCGGGTGTTCAGCCTTCGAATATCACTTCTGCCATTCGTTCCCAGATGGTGTCTTCCACTGCCGCAGCTCCCGGGGCCAAAGCTGGGGTGAGCAAAGAGGTTCATGAGCTGAAGAGGAAGGTCCTGGAGAAGAGTAATGGTGTTGTTTCAGCTGGCACGGCGCCTTCATCCTACCGCCCTGCAAATGTCTCGGCCCTGAAGGCCAACCGAGCCCAGGGTAACTTGCCCGGCAAGTTGAATCCCGCAGAAAAGCTGGGCAATGTGATTGAGGAAGACACTACCCATTCAGAGGGCAATGAGACCTCGAAGCGGCGACCCAGCAACAACAAGGCTGCACCTCAGAAGAAGCGGGAAAGACGACGAGATCCCAAGCCAGGATACTGCGAGAACTGTCGGGACAAGTTTGATGACTTTGAAGAGGTAAAGCACTGCATTGTACTGTACAGGACCGCCATACTGACAAGGTGGCCAGCACGTAATGACCAGAAAGCACCGGAAGTTCGCCACCAACAACGTGAACTGGGCCGAACTGGACTCCTTGCTCTTCCAAATCCAGCGACCTCTGAAGGACGAATACGAATTCTAGGAACGGTCCAGGTGAATGGCGAGGCGCTTCCTCGGCGATCCCGGGCATTGACGCATTTCTCTGTCTCCTATCGCTATGTGCACATGAGACACTATGCATATTGTTTTCTCCACTGTGGGTTTGATTGTACTTGATATTGATTGCATCATCATATAGCCGGCGTCCTTGGAATTTACGTGCATTGCCATTGTTCCCGTCGACTTCAAGATTGAAAGGTACCAACCACCATGCCAGCGACTACCTACCTTTGGCCATGGTAGCTGGGCTCTTGAAGAAGGCGGGAGTTCCCTCCACGTGCGGAGGTATGAAAATAGCAGGCTGAGAAGCGGCGTGGAGTCTACGGTGTCCATGCAGTACATGCACTGATTGTTGAAAATTGCTCAGCTATATACCGACTGATGGGACATCCTGCCTGCATTGGTATGCATTGGCTGATTAATTCTGCTTCTTTCTGATTTTCTTTCATTCACCGACCTGCTCTTTCTTTTCTTTCTTTCTCTCTTTCTTTCTTCATCATTTTCATCTCTTACTTGATTATTTTGGGCGATCTAGGTCGGGTGGGCGGAGGTCTTCTGGGGTTGTTGCATAGAAAAGGCCGTTACGATGCATGCCTTTTCCGGGTGGTGTTTTGATTCTCTGGTGATTATTTGGTGGCTGGACTTGAGGCGGTCTAGTTTGCACCCATATTTTTTCTCTTCTATTTTCTCGGAGGTGGTGGTTTCGGGCGGGAAGAAGTGCATAGTAGTATGCTAATGGATCAATTTCTAGCCATTATAAGTGTACCTGTATGGAGAGAAGGGAATAGAATCCAATATCGTGCCGCATCTAAACGAACAACCTCGGTTCGGAAGAAGTGGAAAGGCCGGCGGAGCAGACATGGACAGCCGCCAATGACAGGGCCGCGTGGCTCACCGAGTCCTGAACAACCGGCAGAATGGCAACTTTAAGCAAGCCGGGTCTGGGGATGCTCGGGACTACGCTGCATATACCAGCACGTTCAATGACATTTAAGGCTTCGGGCCTCGGTGATCGAGGCAACGTCCACCATGCGATCCATCCCTCGTTCTGCAGACATCTGTGACAAATCGCTCTCTCTCCCAGCTCCGTCTGTTGGAACCCTGTGTCAGGAGGGGTAACGGGACATACACCGCACATACATCATTCTGGTACATGGGTCGTGTGGAGCTTAAGTCAACTCGATCCGATTGACTGACTGATTGATAAAAATCGCCTTCGCCTTGAGTCCTTGTCGGGTAGTGACGCCATCTTCTCCAGACCTAACCTCCTGGCATCTATTTTTCTCTTTGCTCTCTCTGCATTACTTTCGTCCACCAGTGTCGATTCCTACCCACATACCATGGCTGCATCTACAAGGACGACAGTGGCCTGTTTGGCCCGCGCTGCAGTCCATATCCCTGTCCGGACTGGCCCTGCAACGAACCTCGCGCCTCTCCTTGCAGCTAGACACTCTCCCCCTGTTCACCGAGCCAGTCCCGCCTGTTATGTCCCTGTCCGCCATAGCTCCCACTCGCCGTTGGGCGCCGTCTCCGCCAACCCGAGAAAGAAAGTCACCATGCAGACCCTACGCAGTTTATACAAGAAAGGCGAGCCCATCACCATGCTGACAGCGCACGACTTCCCCAGCGGCCATGTCGCCGACGCCGCCGGCATGGAGATGGTTCTCGTCGGGGACAGTCTGGCCATGGTGGCGCTGGGCATGGAGGATACCAGCGAGGTCGTCATGGAGGAGATGATCCTACATTGTCGGAGTGTGGCCCGCGCGGCCAAAAGTTCTTTCACGGTATGCTCCTCTCTCCGATCGATTGTCTTTAGCTGTGTGAGGATCGACTGACAGGCTAGGTCGCGGATCTGCCCATGGGGTCGTACGAGGTGTCGCCGGAGCAGGCGGTGCAGTCGGCCATCCGCATCGTCAAGGAGGGGCGCGTGCAGGGCGTGAAGCTGGAGGGCGGCGCGGAGATGGCGCCGACCATCAAGCGCGTCACGCAGGCGGGCATCCCCGTCGTCGGCCACATCGGGCTCACGCCGCAGCGGCAGAACGCCCTCGGCGGGTTCCGCGTGCAGGGCAAGTCGACCGCCGGCGCGTTGCGGCTGCTGAAGGACGCGCTGGCCGTGCAGGAGGCTGGGGCGTTCATGGTGGTTCTCGAGGCGGTGCCGGCGGAGGTCGCGGCGATCATCACGAAGAAGCTGCGCGTGCCGACGATTGGCATTGGCGCTGGGAATGGCTGCTCCGGTCAGGTCCTCGTGCAGATTGATATGACGGGGAATTTCCCGCCGGGGCGGTTCCTGCCCAAGTTCGTGAAGAAGTACGCGGATGTCTGGGGGGAGGCGATCAAGGGTATTGAGCAGTATCGCGAGGAGGTCAAGAGCCGGGCGTATCCGTCGGAGGAGTATACGTATCCGATTCCGAAGGAGGAGCTGGAGGAGTTTGAAAAGGTGGTCGACCAGATTCACCAGTGATGGCGATTCTTTTTCTTGTTTCCTCCGCTTTGGGCTGGTTGCGTCCTTCTGGATGGCTTGATGGGTGGCATGACTTTGCATTGGTAAATTTAGCATAATGTCTTGTTCGGCTTTTGTTTCTTTCTTTTGGCTATGATACCTCGTCTTCATCATGATCAGTAGACAGTTGCCAGCTGGCTGTTCTCTACTGCACTAGCATGTCCTGATGCCATTTAGTCATGATCTCAGCTGCCGACTGTGTATATACTGTACCAGATGACTGATTTCTCCTATCCAAAGGCAGGGGTCATAGAGTAGGCGACGATGAGCTGCTCGTCCGTTTTGAAACACTAGATACATGTCAGTTGACAAGTCCGTTCGGTGAAGTAGACGGTTACAAAGGGACGTACCCTCCACAACCCGCCAACGCCTTCATCCAGCCCCGGTGCAAAGACGCTGTTCACATAGCAAAAGACAGAATCCGTGTCCTTGCAGTCGAGCTTCTTGCGCAGAAACTTGACGACGGTTTCGAACTTCTGCGACGCACTGATCTTGAAGACGCGATTCTTCAGGATAGGCGCCGAGGGAAGCGGCTGGAAGCGCACGGTGACTGTAGTACAGTTATTATCGATACTAACAATGCACGCAGTTGGGCGGACGCACCCTTTCCTGTGTCGATGGCTTCAGCATCCGCCAATGCTTGATGCGCATCACGTGGCAGACTGGTAAGCAGGACGGAAGCGGACATGGTCATGGGCAGGTCCGCGCCATGCTCGTCGTCTGGGATCGGGGCATTTTTGGCATCGGATGGGGTCGATTCCGAGGCCTTGGATCGACTGGTGGCTGGTCGATGGCTTAGACTGGTTTTGCGGATTGGGTGCTCTGGTGTCGGGGAATTCTGGGCGGAGGGGTCTCGGGAGCTTGAGGAGTCCATGATATTATCGGGGAGGTGTTGTCGTTGGGTGAGAGGTATGTTATAGAAGGGTGTTTATGCAGAATGGGATGTGTATCATGGAGAGTGAGGGGCAGGAGAAACAGTTGTTGGAGAGCTTATGGATAACAGAACTGATGCCTGAGGCACCAATATTAACGCACCCTAATTCATCATGAACTATATCACATTTTGTGCTCTTGTTAGTATGAGCGTATGATGTTACTATTATTTATTACAGTGAATCCACTTTACAACACTCTATATGTTATTGCCAGTGTTCCTGAAACCACTCAAGGTACTAAGCTAACCGCCGATAGTGCCAAGCAGCCGGGGATCCATATCGCCACCGTAGGCGCCGAATCTAGTCCCATGATAAGCCAGGCGATAGACGGTAATTACCGAATGACGACAGTGCCAGCAGGAAGATCGACAATGGGTTCCAAGAAGACGGATGATGTTCCCAATGTGTCTGTCTGTGACTGTTCAGCGGAGCTCTGGCTGAGTCACCCGTCACCACATGACTGCCGGGAGTGACCCTCTCAGTGGTGCCATCATCATTCATCTTCCGCTCTCTTTCTTCCTCTTAACCACCGCCAACACTGCCCGATTGCTGCCTCACACCTCTGCTCACTCTGCGTTGCCCACGTGTCTGCCCTGTCGTCCACTTCATTCCCTCTTAACCTCCCTGTTCAGTCACTGTCCACCCTCTGATCTCAACTTCTCGACCGTCGTATCTACCGCCCCGCTTGTTCATTGTTTCCCCGCTTCATTCTTGGGGACCATCGTGGACACGCCTCGCTCGCGCAATTCGACCGAAATTCGTACTAGGCCTTTTACGCCCTCGTACAAAGCTTCTATCTCCCTCGAGAGACCAGCCTCTTCAAGATGAGTAGTCCGAAGCGGAGAATCGAGACCGATGTGAGCCACTCCCGTTACCCAACGAGATAAGAAGTATAGGGCGCTAACATACGTTCGTCTAAAGGTGATGAAGTCAGTTATCCTGGATAGTACTACTGAATTCTGGACCTTGCTAACTTTTGCAGGATGTACGCATTTCCTATCTCCCTTATAGTGACCCTTCGCTCTGCTCCGCTCATCGGATACCTGCATGACGATACCCGACAAATGCACCACCGAATGACCCGACACACGGCTAGGAGACTGACTGATGGAACTATAGGCTCATGAGTGACTATGAGGTGACGCTGGTCAATGACAACAGTGAGTGCTTCCGTGTCGCCACCCATATGACGTGCTAATGGCGGATAGTGTACGTTTACACCCTATTACCGGCGAGAAATCAAAGGACACAATACTCACAGAGAATACTCGCAACAGGCAAGAGTTTTACGTGCGCTTCAAGGGCCCTGAAGAAAGTAGGTGTTGTGTCATGTTCCTCGCGACTCCTGGGCTAACCGAGCGCAGCGCCTTTCGCTGGTGGACACTGGAAAATCCACGTCGAACTCCCTGATCAGTATCCGTATAAGAGTCCCAGCATCGGATTTGTCAATCGCATCTTCCATCCCAACATTGATGAGCTGTAAGTCACTCGCACCAACCAGAGTGACAGCCCACTCATCTGTGTTTTTTCCAGTTCCGGATCCGTTTGCCTGGACGTTATCAACCAAACATGGTCCCCGATGTACGATATGATAAATATTTTCGAGGTCTTCCTTCCGCAACTGTTACGTTACCCGAACCCCTCGGATCCGTTGAATGGCGAGGCCGCTGCAATGCTCATGCGGGAACCCAAGAGCTACGAGGCGAAAGTGAAAGGTGTGTGCTGGCACTACGTGAAAACCCGCCTCAGCTAATGCGTCTCGCAGAGTACGTGGCCAAGTACGCGAGTAAAGAAGCGGTCGACGAGGCCGGCGAAGATACTGAGTCAGAGGATGAGCTGAGCTCCGCCGGTAGCTACGAGTCTGGCGGGGAGGAGCCCGCCGGCACAATGGACGATGTCTAGACACCGTGGGTGCCCCTTGCCCCGCCATGCTTCTACGGGTTGATCATTGCGAGCATGACTATACTGCATTGATATTACGCTATTTATTTGCTTCCTTTGTTTTGGTTTCCGGCTGGCAGGCGTTCACATGGAGGAGTTCTGACGTTTATGGTGCACTTGACTACGCGATCGCGACGGAGTCAAGGGTCGGAGCGGCTAATGAGCGAGTGTACACTCGGGGAGTTGACGAACCATCTGCTGTCTGGTCATTCCCATAACATTGTCATTGTCGCTTTTTATCGTTGATGTTGTTGCATTCAGATTGTGCATATTTCTTCAGCACATTGTGGGCATTGGATTTCCGTTGTTACAAGCGGACTGTATCTCCTTGCCGATAGCACCATACAAGATATTAGTTAAACTGATCACAAAGTAGTGTGGAATGTCTCATAATGAGTAGTAATAAGTAAAGCACAACGCTACGTATGACATCTCTAGACACGCCGACAGAGCAGCGCACAGCCCAACGATACAAAAGAAATCTTAAGAACAAGGAACTTCTGTACAAGGGGTGAAACAGGGGTATTATACGGAATCTCAACGAGACCGGAAAGGAAATCAAAGAGCGTGGGTGAACAAGACAGGAATGCAGAACAGGAACCAACTATATCGACCGGCGAGTTGTGAGGAAAGCAAAGGGAAGAGACGAAGAGAAAACAACCCAGAAAAAAGAGCGGCAATATCACATCATTGTTGTCCACCTCGCATCACGTCGCATCACGTCACCTTCAAGACACCAAAGAAATCTCGCTCGTTGTCCAGGTCTTGTCCACCCGTCTTCTTCCCCTTCCGCGGGTTGATCACCACCTCGCCCCAATGCTTCGGCACGGCGCCACGCTCGCCCGCAGCCGACTGGCGAGTCGCCTCGGGCGTCTCGGCAGCGGTAGTGGTGATTTTCACGGGGGCACCATCATGGCTTTCGGGGCGCGACGTAGACGGGGACACGGAGCCGCGCAGGGTGGCCCGTGGTTGCAAATGCGGCTGCGGCTGGAGGGACCAGATATCGATGACGGATCTTTCGCGACCAGTAAGCCATTGCCTACCCTCGGGACATGGTCACATTGGAGGGTAAGGAAGCGTATATCACTCACTCAGACGTCCGCTGACAGATAGCTTCGAGGGCTTCACGTTCGCGCCGCACGTACCCGGAGTCGGGCTGGTTGACCTGGCTGGCGTGGTTGAGGGCCCCGTAGCCGTATCCGGACTGGTAGGGGTCTTCTTCGAGCAGACGAGAGGATTCAGGCTGGAGAGTGGTGTGTTAGCGATGCGCGCGTGCGCATTTTCCGGTCGTTGCGGCTTGTGCGGGCTCGTACCTCCGGACTGTCGCGCCGGGCGTGCCCCAGACATGAGGCGCAGACACCCATTTAGACTAGTGGACGGGCTTTATCGCCGGACTGATGGGGGACAAGGCATGCAAAGAGAGAGATGCCCGCAGGGGTGGATGGCTTGGATGACGAAGTTGCGGGGAGGGAGGATCGGACTCGACGGGAGGGTGGCGGTGTGGAAGAAACGAGGGAGTGGAGCTGAGACCGAGGGATGGCAATGCATCAACCAGTGATGCGGGTGTTTTGGATGTGTGTCTGGCGTTGAGAGCACGATGTCGAGGTGCACGAATGAGTGGATGAATGTGATGGTGACGGAAATGGTGGTTATGTAAGCGATTGTTGCTGACAACTGGTCTGTGCGGAAGTATACAGCGGTCCAGCGGAGTAAAGTTGCCAGCTTTGCTTCATTCATCACAGTATTTGGAAGTTGGGTATTCATTTTCTGCGTCTGCTGAAGCGCCTAGTTCTTTCTATGCTCTACTGTATGGACGCAGCCTTGATAGGTGGTAGGTGCAGGCCACAGTTTGTCTCGAGGTACGTCGGTACGAGATGGCCATGGAACTCCAACCACTACCTAGGTAGTTACTCCTCGATTGACATGCGGAAATATTCAATGGAGAATCCCGCAGACACTAGGCCTAGTGCTGACGGACCTACTGCGAGGATCTTCAATCTCCGACGCATCTAGCGGAAGACAGCGTCCTGACCGCGATGAGCCGAAGTACGTCGCGACAACAGGACATGGTCTAGTCCAATTACTTACGAGTATTACAGCAACACGAACTAGGTGGAGACAACAGTCTCTGGGAAGGACAACCAAACGGTCTCCGAAAGGACGTTGTACTCCCAGACAGTAACCCGGACTTCTCCCCGCGCTGATTCCAAACCCCGCATCAAAACGCCTTCTCGGAGAGGGGATAAAGACCCTCAATCTCCTTCACCCTCGGAACCCTTCAGAATTTCTTCGTTCTTCTGACAAACATACCACAGTTGTTCTTCAGCGCCTATTCTCTCTTCTCAGTTCACTCCATACGCTACCATGGCGCACCAAAGCAGACCTGGCCGCTTGGAAGGCAAAGTCGCCATCGTGACTGGCGCCGGTTCAGGATTCGGCTACGGCATCGCAAAGAAGTTCATCACCGAAGGCGCCAAGGTCGTCATCGCAGAGCTGTCCAAAGAGAATGGTCAGAAGGCGGCCGAAGAGCTCGGCGGGAAGTACGTCTTCGCCGACGTCACCAGCAGAGAATCGTGGCAGACGCTTCTCCAGACAACACTAGAGTCATTCGGCCAGCTTGATATCGTCGTGAACAATGCCGGCGCAACGTACCGCAACAAGCCTACCGGCGAGGTCACCGACGCCGACTTTGACCTCTGCTTCAATGTCAACGTCAAGTCGATCTATCTCTCTGCGAACGTGATAGTCCCGTACTTTGAGAAGAATAATCGTCCCGGGTGCTTTATCCAGATCTCCTCCACGGCTGGTCTCCGGCCGCGGCCTGGGTTGACATGGTACAATGCTTCCAAGGGGGCGGTGGGCATTGCCAGCAAGACCATGGCTGTGGAGTATGGGCCCAAGAAGATCCGGTTCAACTGCGTTTGTCCGGTTGTCGGAAGCACAGGACTGTAAGTGCGATCTGTTCTTGGGAAGTGCTTGAGCAATGCTGATGATGGCCTCTCACTACCTACAGAACTCATCTGTTCCTTGGAAAGCCGGACACGGAGGAGAACCGCGCTGGGTTTGTCTCGACGATCCCCTTGGGTCGTCCTAGTACCCCCGCGGATATTGCCAATGCGTGCTGCTACCTTGCTAGTGATGAGGCCGAATTCATCACTGGCGTGAATTTGGAAGTAAGCTATCTGCCGTTGGGTCATTCTTTGCTGGACGTATGCTTACATTTCTCACCAGGTCGACGGTGGTCGTTGCGTCTGATCGACCACTTCAGAGCACCAAGGCTGCGTAAAGACCTAGGATGGAATGGATATTATTCTCGTAAAGCACGGTTGTTGCAGAGATTGTATGTTAGCAGCCCAGCTGTACTATGAACTGAAGGCAACCTTGGCGTGAACTTGACGTAGAAAGCATGTCTATGAAGAGTCTCTCCATCAATTTTAAAATTCAAAATGAAACAATCTCATAAGTATGGTTATTCTACCTTGTATACTCCAGGATACTACGGTTACTACCAAGCTGTAGCTGTGGCCGCATACCAAAGTGTGTGGCAATAACACCATGTCTCAAAAATCTAGCCGACGATTTTCACACCGTCCTCAACCACCAGCCCTCCGCACATCCCCATCACCTCCCCCACAGGCCGACTTCAGAAGACCACGCCTAGCTGCATGGACCTCAGTCGGAATATTCTCAATCACTGTCCAATTCCGACCAACTTAACCCACCATGTTCGAGCTCCCAGACGCTAAACGGTACATCCCGGTCTCTACTCTCCCTCAAAACGAAGCTCCCTAACACCAACTGCAGCGTCCGCCGCGACGAAATCCTCTCCCGCGCCTCAACCTCACGCTCCCCATCCCCCGTCTCCGATCCCGCGCCGGACGCCCACCGTCTCCTCGGTAAATTGCTCAATCTCGACGATTACCTAGCGCCTGCGCCTGCGGCACAAGCAAACACGCAAAAGCCCGAGCCCGCGCCGCAGACGGATACCGCCGCCGACGAAGACGAAGAACAGGAGTTCGAGTTTCGCCTGTTCAGCGCCCCTGCGCCGCGGAAGTCCGATGCACCGACGAGCACCGACACGGCCGGGGCTGCAGACCCGGACGCAGCCAAAACGCAGAAACTGCGCATTCGGCTGCGTTCGCCGTCGCCGGGGGAGGTGGGCCTTGAAGAGGGCCGGTTTGTGACTCCGTCTCGTGGCTGGGAATACTACTTCACCACGCCGGCGTTGCTTTCCGGGACGAGCGTTGGTGATGAGCTGGCGGCTGCGACGGCGCTGAAGCGGAAGCAGTTTGAGGATGTCGCCGTGACCGGGGAGCAGATGATGGGTTGGGCGCAGGTTCCTTGGGTAAGTGGATGGTTGGGGTATGCGTTATAACTAGTGATTTAGCTGCTGACATGGTGTTATAGCCCGGGTGCGATCTACCATGGCGGGTGGTGCATCTCAAGCGCCATCAGACCAAGCTGCCTCGATCGACTGGGAACGACACGGCGGCCAGTGCCGTCTACGTTGTGGAACCGGCGGATAGGGAGCCCAAGTCTCGCAAGAAGCCAGGCAAGAAACGCCGTCTCCAGCTGCGGAAGCGGGTAACTGCCGCGGAAGAAGCTAAGCAGAAGGAGGCGGAGAAACGGAACCGCAAGAATCGCGAGAGAAAGATCAAGCGCAGACAAAAGGCCAGAGAGCAGAAAGCTGCCGCTGCCGCTGCACAGGGCCTGGAGCCTCCTGCAGAGACGGATCAAGACTCTTCTCATGATGAGGACGATTGATTTGCCTTTTGCTGGCTGCAACTGAGCCATACCTGGACGCCTCGGGCCATGCTGCCTCTAATATACCAGGATACTGGCGAATTACAGTGAAATAATGGATATATTCGCTATAACAACCAAAAGCGGTCTCGATCGCGTGGGGTATTAACTATACGGACAAACATGGACACAAACAAAATCACGACTTCAACGATCGACAAACGGCCAGTGCGGGGTATGAAATGCAGGCCGAAGAGACAACAACACAAGCCGTGGCGGACTAAGCGTGCAGGAGAATCGAAGAACAGCAGAAAGTTCTGCAAGGGCCGCAAACAACCCGAGACAGAAGGTCGTTTACTTAGCCTCCTCGGCTGTCTATGGTCAGAACAGTTCTAGGACGGAAGGACGAATGTCTACCTACTTTTCGCGGGCTGCGCAGCCTCGGCGGGCTTTTCCTCGACAGCTGGAGCTGCCGCGGGGGCCGGGGTGCTTTCGGCAGCAGGAGCGGCAGGCTCTGCCTTGGTCTCTTCAACCGGCGCGTCGGCCTTTGCCTCAGGAGCGGGAGCTTCCGCCTTCGCTTCTGGAGCAGGGGCTTCAGTCTTAGTTTCCGGCGCAGGGGTCTCGGTCTTGGGCTCAGCCGCGGGAGCTTCGGTCTTGGTTTCGGGTGCGGGTTCTGTGTTCGTCTCTGGGGCCGGAGCCGGGGCAGCACTGGAGCTCTCGGGCTGCGGTGCGGCAGCGTCCGCCGGCGCAGTGGTTCCCGCAGGCTTATCCGCGGGGGCAGCTTCTTTGCGAAGGTCAGTCTGCATCGTGAATATTACTGGCGCACAACATACCAGCCTTGGGTTCTGCGGCCGGAGCTGGAGCTTCCGGTTTCGCTTCAGCCGCCGCCGCCGCAGGAGCAGCGTTTTGAGCCGACTGTTCTGCGGGAGCTGCAGCGGCCGGAGCGCTTCCAGTGGTCTTTTTCTTTGACTTCCGGCGGAACATGGCTTTCAGCCCCTTCTTCAACTGCTGGAGCGCATCGGGAGCTGTGGATGTGACGGTTAGCGCGAGAGGTGCAAGGAGGACGGGGACTGCACTTACGAACACCAGGCATCTTGATGGTCGGAATGAGGCGATGGAATATCTACAGAGGTAAGAAATGGGAGAGACGGAGAGTTGTATCGAGGAAGGAAAGGAGTGGAAGGAGAAGACGATCGAGGGGAAGAAAGAAGAGCTGCCTGCCACGTGACACGGCTCTGAAGTAGAGAGTTTAATTGGACACTGGCAGAAGTTGTAGGATTAAAAGGAATCCCTGGGCGCCTCCTTTTCCCGTGCTTTAGATTATTATAGTTAATTACGGAGTGCCAGCACGTACGGAGTATGACATCCCCTCACGTGGAGAAGGCGCTGCACCAACAGTTGGTCCTGGTTGTGGGTGTTGACAAGCCGTTCTGTCGATCGCAGCTTGACCCTCCCCCTATTACAAGGTGTTGAGCATCGCAGGTGTGGCTGTGTCGTCCCTCATCTCCGCTCGTTCCTCATATCCAGTGGGAGCTAGTCTACCATGGAGTGGTTATTCCGATGTCTTACGGAATAGTCTGCGACTCGGCATTCGACAGCTCGACAGACTGTTGAAGCCATACGGAATACAAGTGCAACATTCACCCAGAACCTCTATACTTCTATGTACTCTACGGAGTACACCACAGCGACGTACCATCATGGAGAACACGATAATACTCCGTACTCCTACTCCACGATGACCCACCGACTCCTTGGCTTGCAAGCTAATGGGCTCTATCTGGGCGCTTACCCAAACTGGGGCTTCGTGTTGAGCCTGGAGTCTCGCATAGAAAGCCGGGGAGATTACGGTCATTTCCGTGCATTTCAGTGCGAAACGCATCATCGTACATCTGGAGAAGTTTGGGATTGCTGATTCGACATCCTCAACGAGAGCGTCAACGCGCATCCTGTCAGGCGATAGGCAATAGGCGCCTATGCAGCTGCGGCAATGTCGTTTCAAGTACCTGTATACTTATGTCAATCGGCTGGCCGTTGAACTGAGATGTCGTTCTCCATGTTATTTGGCTAATGACATGCGAAATAAAGACAACAACACCCGATGGACTTGTCGATTGCATTTAATTGGAGTTGCAAATAATCCACGCGACGAGGTAATCCTGTCAACAAGCTTAAGCTCGCATTCCTCGGGTCGGAATGGGCCCGATCCAGCGATGTGCGGAGTTTCCCGTCACGTCTCCCGCGGGGTTTTCAGCTTCTCACTCTCCCTCCATCAACACTCTGGACAGTCAGGCCATTTTTCTGCACAAGACATCGATGTCTTCCGACAGAACAAGTCCCCCACGGGAACACTCCGTGTCAGAGCAGACACCTCTCTTGGGGGAACAACCTGTGTCGGTCCGCCCGTCGGAGGAGTCTCCCGTGCCTCTGGTGAAGGAACCAACCACTAAAGAACTGATCTTGGTGCTGGGAAGCATATGGGTGGGTGTCTTCCTGGCCGCTCTCGGTATGATTTTTAACTCTGTAATCTCTGTTCGACGTTGGCTGACAATCCAGACACGACAATCGTTGCTACGCTGACCGGTCCGATCTCGTCCTCGTTCCACTCACTGTCGCTTCTCTCCTGGCTGGCAACTTCATACTTAATATCGAATGCCGCCTGTCAGCCACTCAGCGGTCGATTGACCGACATCTTCTCCCGACGGGCCGGACTCGTCTTCTCCAACATCTTCTTCGCGGCGGGTAACCTCATATGCGGTCTGGCGCAAAGTCAGAGCACCATCATCCTGGGCCGGGTGGTGGCCGGAATTGGAGGAGGCGGCCTGACAGCCATCTCAACCTTTGTGACCTCGGATCTAGTCCCTCTCCGCAAGCGCGGGGTGTGGCAAGGCATTGGGAACATTTGCTACGGAGCTGGCAGCGGTCTGGGCGGTGTCTTTGGAGGCTGGATCAACGACACATTGGGATGGCGATGGGCGTTCCTGATCCAAGTCCCGTTTGTCGTTGTGTCCGGCATCCTCGTCATCTTCACAGTGAAGATCCCCGTGAAGGAGACTGAAAAATCGGCGCTGAAGCGAGTGGACTTCCTCGGCGCAAGTACTCTGGTTATGACGCTGGTTCTCCTACTCCTGGGACTGAACACGGGCGGCAACAAGGTCCCGTGGACACACCCCTTGGTCTTGACATCGCTGCCCCTTTCCGCGGTGTTCCTGGGTCTCTTTGTCTATGTGGAAGCGGAAATCGCATCGGAGCCGGTGATCCCTGTCCGCCTCCTCCTCAATCGCACAGTTTCCTCGTCCTGCCTCACGAACTGGTTCTCGACCATGGCCGTTTTTGGGCTTCTTTTCTACCTGCCACTGTTCTTCCAGGTTCAGGGTCTGTCCGCCACTGCTGCAGGGGTCCGCTTGATCCCGCAAGCGATCGGTACGTCTCTGGGATCATTGGGATCAGGGATCCTCATGCGAGCCACCGGCCGCTATAAAATCTTTAGCTACATGGCCATGGCTATATTGGTGGCCAGCAGCGTCTTGATCTCTACCCTGACCCTGACCACTCCGTCCTGGCTGCCATTCTTCTACTTCTTCCTGATGGGGGCGGCCTACGGCAGTATGCTGACGATCACCCTGGTTGCGCTCATCTCCGCCGTGGACCATGAATATCATGCAGTGATCACATCCGCATCCTACGCCTTCCGCAGCACAGGAAGCACGATCGGAATTACCATCGCCTCCGCTGTGTTTCAGAACGTCCTCAAGTCGGGGCTTTGGTCCCGGTTTGGTGACCGCAAAGACGCGGCGGAGATTATCTCCCGCATCCGCGACAGCTTGGATGAGATTCAAAAGCTCCCGTTGGATTGGAAAGCGGGCGTCTTGGATGCATACATGGACTCCTTGCGCGCTGTGTTCATGACGCTATTGGGATTGAGTGTTCTGGGAGCGCTGGTCAGCCTGGGCATGCGCGAGCATGTGTTGCACAACAACCTGGCCCGGCGAGAGCGGTGAGAGTGTATATACGACTTTGCATTAGGATAGATAGTCGATCCTTGGAATCATATTGTGTTCTACGTAATGGCGGTAGTCTGTCGACGCCTGAGGCGTGCACGGGTGTCGGGCCGACCAATCAGGAGAGCGGCCGCCGGTAACCGACGCGATTGGCCGAAGCACGATTGGAAGCCGATATCGACCATCCATGGACCTCTCCATGTCGCTTCCATCATCTTTCTTTCCTTCAACTCTTAACTTCCAGGTTCTCCTCCTCCTCCGTTTTTCACCTCTGTCGTTGACGCGGTTCTCCGACACCTACTTATAAGCCCCCCCCCCCCCCGGGTCGCCATTCCACCCAGCCCGCCGTGGCGTTGTTCCCCGTCGGCGAAGCAGACCGCATCAGGAGAGGACGGACATTCGATTTACGCCCAAGCTCCATCCCAACAGCTCACCGCTTCCCTGCAACCCCGATCAGCCCACCAATCCTGCCATACGTGTTCCTGTGCTGGGTGAATCCTGTACGTTGAGTGGGTGTCGTGGCTGGCTCACTGACGGCCTAGGTGGTTCCCCGACAATAACGCAACTGCGACATCTGCAACGTCAGTTGGCCCATCCATACTCGCCGGTTTTTATTCGCTTTGACCTATTGTGGCGGCACTGTTATCGCTTCCTTGCATTGCGTACCTACCCGATAGTCTTGATTTCTCCCCTCTATCGTCCTCTTGCTTTTAGTCTTTCAAAGACTGCGGCGCGACCCTCAGCCGGCCAATTTCCTTATCCTTCTCTTCCTACCACCTTCATCGCACTTCTACAAATCGATACGATACTTGCTGCCCACGTGGAATCTTCGATCAACTTAGTGGTGTCCTGAGTCTCTTGGAGACGACCCGGTCGATGGAGATGGAGGTTGATGAAGATACCGAGGGGAAATCGATTGGATATACAGAAAGCTTCGAAAGTCCGCCACATGGATCGACGAGCTCCGAGGCGGTCTCCCGCCGAAAACGCCTGCTCCTTTCCACCGAAAGCGCCTTTGTCGATAATGTCTTGTCATCGCTGGTCGAGAATCCCAGCATCGAACTCCGCCTAATCACAGACGAACCCTCGGCCCTCCTCTCCGGCTCCAACAAGGTCCCCCACTACATGGATACTGTGGATAGTCAAACATTCGAGAAAAAGACGGGAGCCCGACGATGGTTAAAGGCGAAAGCGGCGGAGCTGTGTGAATGGGCGGATATGCTGTTGGTGGCCCCCATGGATGCGGGGACGTTGGGGTCCATGTTATCCGGCATGACAAACACCCTGACGCTGGCGCTTCTTCGGGGCTGGATCTCGACAAAGCCCGTCGTCTTAATACCCAGTATGACCGTGTCCGAATGGCATCATCCGCTGACCAGTCGTCAACTTGGCGAGGTCCACGAGTCGTGGCCGTGGATCAGTGTCGTAACTCCGGTTTTAATGAAATCCACCAACCCGGAGGAACTTGTGCAGTTGCCTTGGGACGGGCTGCGCGAGCTTCATGAGACGATCACACGGACACTAGGTCTGTCCTTCTCTCAGCGCCCGAATCAGTCAAGTACCTCGAGCGAAAATTACCAACCCTCGATCTCTGCAGAAAAGAAACCGGCCGAGACTGTAGCTGCGGCCATGTCTCGGCAGGTCCCATTTTGGCCTACGAGGACAGAGAAGGGCGCGCGGACGCTACCCATCGAGCTATGGCTGAATATTTTTGAAGACCATCTACACGATTGGGAGATCGCCAAAGCGGTCGGCATCCCGACAAACCTACCGGTCCCGAAGGAATGGCAGCGCCATCTTCTAAAGATGTCGACTCCCGCCTCGCTCGAATACACGATTCTGCGAGGGTCTTTCGCGGCGATCAAAAAGCGCATCGACAGTCTTCCGCGATGGAAGCCGCTGTCCGACCTCGCCTGCCACCTCATTTTCAAATTCTCCCGAACTGATATCCTATCCTATTTGACGGAAAACCACCTTGACCTCTGGACTACCTCCCGTCTTACCAACCTCCCCTACCGTGCGTCCGCCATCTACGGTAATCCGACCATCCTGACCTGGTGGCGCGATGCCCCGTCCCTCCCGAATAAAGAGTATATTGCCGACGCAATGGACGGGGCGTCCCGCGCCGGATTCGTCAACGTCCTCGAATGGTGGCGCACATCTGGTCTCGAACTTCGGTATACCGAGCGAGCCCTTGAAGCTGCCAGTGCCGAAGGCCGCGTCGCCGTTCTCGACTGGTGGAAGAACGCCTCGGCAACCGCGCCGCCGTCGAAGCCTATTCCGCTCAAGGTGGGTAAATCCGTCCTACTTGCCGCCCAGTCCGGCCGCACCGCATCCCTGGCCTGGTGGGACGCCTCCGGCATCCCGTACAGCCATGCAGAATCCGTCGCCCGCATCGCCAGCACCCACGGACATGTCCACGTGCTTGATTTCTGGTATCGACTCAAAGGCGCAAAGATGATCTTTGACTGCCAGGTGCTCGTGGGGCCCACCAAGAACGGGCACGACAATGTCCTTGAATGGTGGCGTCGCAGCGGCTTGCGCGTGGAGTTCAAGACGTGTGACATCGAGGAGGCGCTGGAAGACGCCGATCCGGTGTCTGGGGCGGAAGAACGGGTGCGACGCTGGTGGGCAAGAAACGGGCTTAATCTGGGCGTTGGGACGAGCGAGTGGATGAAAACCAAGGTGCTGTGATTCTCATGCTCGGTATGATAACGATGATATGTTGCCTTTCTCTGTTTTCTGGGATATATTGCATGGCTGGGGTGTCTACAAAACGCATTTGTCTTCCGGTGTAAATGGCTTTTATATTTTATATAGGCCCCAGGGGTCGAGTACAGGGGATTTGCTGCATATTGGTTTAATAAGCTGGAGGATCAATGTACATGCATTCTAGGAGATGGCTCGGAATTGAGAATACAATACCCTTTATGCAAGGAATCCTGGGTCATTAGATGATATCCGCAGGCTCTCTACCATCAACCCAGCCGTACTTGTCAACGAGGACCTGTGCATGGTTTGATCGTTGGTATGAGTGGAACGCAGAACAATATTATTATCATTTATGACGTCGTCCGGACTGTCCCTTTCGATCACAGACTATACAGCCAGTTCAGTTCCCCACTAGAGAAATCCGATTGTTCTCAAAATAGACTCGATTCGCCTTGGCCCTCGGAGCACTCCACCGTCGGCTAAACGATCACTCAATTCAGCTGGCCTGCTCTACTCCGGAGTACTCCGCAGTCTTTGTAAGAAGAACAGCTCAACCGGTTATGTCCAGTGGGGTGATGGACCCTGCTGTGGGTGCTTTCTGCCCCAGACGGACGTTACATCTATCCGATTTCCGATCTTCCAATCGGCAGACCATGACTGGAGCTAGGTGAGGCATTGAGATTCGCAGCTGCTTGACCCAGTCTAGTCCTTTCGCAGAGCTCGCCACTTCAGGTGTATTAGCTCAAACGATATCATGATAGTCCTCCAATGCGCAGGAAGCCATGGAGAACGGCGAAGTGGTCCCTTGCCTCGCTAGGAACCGAACTGGCGGCCAGAACCGCACCCCGACACACGAAGTGGTAAACAGGATTGCTGATCGCAGAAATGTTTCACTTGGGTGCGGAGTCTGCATTGATTGCAGGTAGTCTTCAGTCTATCGTGGGTTGATCTGTCCGAAAGGATGAGGGTATAAGTATGAGGCTTCATTCCAGCGAGTCAATCTTCTAATTATCAGACTCGGCCTCTTTATACAATCATCTTTGACATCTTCTGTCTCAATCAATATGCGTTTCTTCGCCGTCATCACTACCGCCCTGCTCGCCGTGACGCCCGCCGTCCTGGCCCAGCAGAACCCCCAGAACTGTCTGCCCGAGTGCCATGTGTACAGCCGTGAGGCTAACTGTCCTCCTTCCCACCCCGTAAGTGTTGGACTCTGCCCTGGTATAGCTCTGAATGGGACTAATGCGAAATGACAGGCGGTTGGCCGCATCGGACCGGTATGTCGTCTTTGATCTCTTCACTTTGGCACCGGATACGGTGGTTCTGGTTGGAGTTTGGTTGCTAATAGAGTACAGGGCTGCTTCAAGTGCTGCGAGTCTGTCTAAGTAACAGACTTCGTTCCAAGTATGAGACTCGCGTCAGTCTTTGACGTCTGGAGGGACAGGATGGTTGGTGGTCTAGTATGTTGTGGATATCTTCCAGTATACTTACTATATCGATGAATCAATCCTTTCCGCCTATTGGTGCTCTATGCTTCACCGAAACCAGTTGTCTCTTCATGCTCTACAGCCGTGGTACTTTTTGCTCGCCGCATCCTTTTAAGTAGGTGCTGGCAACAACCCTACAGCGAAAAACACAAACTGATATAAAAACAAACGTGTTGGTATCGTGCTTGCTTCTGGTCATACAATAGACTCCATAGCATCGTAAACTCTCTAGCAATGCCTCCTGCGCCGAAAGTTCCGCATCTTGCTCATATTCCCACCTTTCACGTTATGTAAAGGACCGTGCCTAACTCCACGCTCAAGCTTCGGTAAACCACGTTAACGGTGTCAACCCCTCTACGATTGACGCTTAGACCTCTTTCCTGGAACAAGTTAGTTATCACGAATACAGGCAATCGGGTCAACGTACCAGGTTCGTTCGGAGATTTCCATTCCCGGTGTGCGGATAGCATTCCGATCACCAAACGGGTTATTCTCATCGTCATCGTCCTCCTCAGTCGCTGACTCACTGTCACTGTACGTGCGTCGCTGTGAAGACGAGGGGATCGGTGGAACGGTGATACTCAGCGGGCGAGGAGGGCGCGGAGGTCTAGGTGGATTGACGACCAGGCCGGCAAAAGACTCGTTGATATCCCGGCCATCCCGGTCTGGTGTCCATCCGGACTCTAAGACATCCTGATCGCTGTCACTGTCGTAATCCACACTCTTGTCCAATACTTCAAACGTCATGAGAGCGTTGACCAGTTCCTCGTTGGCGTGGATCAGACTTCCTAGGTACTCCTCACTCTCGACGTGTTGGATGTATCGCAGGATCTGGCGTCGGAGTTGCTTGCAGGTCTCGAAACGATTGAGCACCTCTGCATCTTCACTCACGCGTTGTGTCTCTCGGTTGACTAACTTGAGTGCATTCAGTAGATTTGTGCTCGCCACAGAGGCAGAAGCCAGCGTCTGAAGCATTTCTGGCTTCTCCTTTTCAAAGTTAAAGGACCGACTGAAATGTTTTTTCTCCTTCTTCTCTTTCTTCAATGACTTGCTGGAGGTGCGTTTATGTTTGGGATCATTCAGGAGCGTTGCAGGCCCGTTTCCAGCCGAAATCGACACTGTATGACCCATAGGAGGGTCTGAAGTATTGCCAGACTCACGAAGAATCTTGGCTTTGGCCTGGGTCGTGGGCTGCTTGCGCTTCGGGAGTTGTCGATAAAGTGCCGTTACGCGCTCCATCCCTGGGGTGTTTTTGTAGCTGGCCGCCCATTGACCAAAGAGCTGCTTGCATTTCTGCTTAACCAATGGGTCGGACAGGGAGTCGGTGCCAGCGATCCGTAGCCGCTCCAGCAGTGGCTCATCGGCGAACTCGCGCAAGAAGCGATCTCCGGCATTTTGGATGAGAAAGTCGAGGATGGTAAGGGCCCTCAGCTGCCGGTGCAGGTTGCCGTATTTTCTATGAGTATCTGTCAGTCAAAATACCAGGAAGTACAGATGGGTGCTGGTACGGACAGCTTTTTCCGCAGGGCACGACTCGCTTCGGTGGGACCACTGCTTTGTATATTGATGGCTTCGATGAGATCCACAATGCCGCTGGAGTCTTCTATCTCATATTGTTCACTAGTGAGGACCTCGATCTGCACGGTCACAGACGAATATGGTTTCTGTTTAAGAACGGGTCAGGACGAGGCCGAATGCGCAATCATATGGGAATGGGCATACTGCAAAAGAACGGTCTTGCAGTTGAGAGCACCAATCGCACTTACCGAAGAGTGGAACATGTTGACAACTTGGGTGCGATAACCGCGAGCTCACCGTTGGATTTGAGGTTCAACAGGATGGCACTGCCCGCAGCTGGACTGACTTAGAGCCAAGCACAAAGTGACCGTAATGGATTGAAAGTGGCGTTGGCGTACGGTGACCTTCTCTGTGTAACAGGGCGCACGGTCTACCTGCAAATAGCTTCCTGCGAAAGCGTAAGAGGAAGAAGAGGGAAAACCGCAGCCAAACGGTGACGTGTTAGACCCGGGCGGGCACTGATTAACCTCGGCGGGGCGCCCGACACGAGGGAGATCAGGTAGGAATAGACGTGAGGATGGAGAGACGGATGGACTGCAAGAAACCAGCAAACAGACTACCAGGGACCCTCGAGCAAGGAGCTGGCGTGGAGATGGATAGACGGCCGAGAACAGAAGAGAGAACAATGGGTGCCTCTCACGTCATGGGATGTTGACTGATTGATTTGATACTCCGGACATCTTGGGAGATCACGTGGGTCTGCCCCTCTCTTAATGCGGTTTAGGGCGGGGGTAGCTGCCTGCGTGCCTCGACACCTGGTCCATCAGGCCACAACCGTCCTGTCGTCATCTCCTCTGTACATCTACTAAGTGTACACTGCTTCTCTCCCGCAATTAAATCTACCCTCATATACAATACCATCCAAATTGAAGACCTCCTTCTGCTTCTCTGCCTATGCGTCCTGGCCCTAGTCCTGGCCCTGTTCCTGCTGATCGTTTCTCCATTCGCCAACCGGGACTCTCAACATTCTCCCGTCTAATCATCTGCTCCACTCTGCTCCTGGGGGTCACCATTATCTTAAAACCCCGCCACCATCTCCCTCCTCTTCCTCCTGTCTTCACTCCCTCCGTTCCCTATACTCAATTCGCCAATATGTCGTACACCCAGGAACGCTTCATCGCCGAGCTCGCTGTCCAGCGGGCCACCCTCCTGACCCAGAAGGTTTTCAACGAGAAGGCCAAGGGCACCGTATCCAAGGATGACAAGTCGCCCGTGACCATTGGCGATTTCGGCGCCCAGGCCTTGATCATTCAGGCCATCCGCAAGAACTTCCCCAACGATGAGATCGTCGCCGAAGAAGAGGCCAGCTCCCTCCGTGAGGATAAAGCGTTGAGCGCCGAGATCTGGAGACTGGTCAAGGACATCAAGCTCGAGGACGCCGAGAGCGACAACCTCCTGGGTGGCGCCCTGCCGAGCGAAGACGCAATGCTGGACATTATTGATCAGGGCAAGAGTGCTGGTGGTCCCAAGGGTCGCATCTGGGCCCTCGACCCCATCGACGGCACCAAGGGCTTCCTCCGCGGTGGTCAATATGCCGTCTGTCTCGGCCTGATTGAGGACGGCGACGTCAAGGTCGGCGCCATTGGCTGCCCTAACCTCCCCGTCGATGACTCCGCCACCATGACCGCGTCCATTGGCGCCGACCAGACCAGCGGTGCCGGCAACGGTGTCCTCTTCTCCGCCATCAAGGGCGCCGGATCCCAGAGCCGTCCCCTGACCAACGCTGCGCTCGCCGAAAGCAAGCCCATCTCCATGCGTCCTGTCCCCGATATCTCCCAGGCCGTCTTCTGCGAGGGTGTCGAGGCTGGCCACTCGGCTCAGGGCGACAACGCCGCCGTCGCCCAGCTCCTCGGCATCTCCTCCCCCAGTGTGCGTCTCGATTCGCAGGCCAAGTACTGCTCGATCGCCCGCGGCGCGGGTGACATCTACCTGCGTCTGCCGGTCAAGAAGGACTACCAGGAAAAGATCTGGGACCATGCGGCCGGCGATCTGATTGTGCGCGAGGCGGGTGGTCAGGTCACGGATATCTACGGCAACGGATTGGACTTCAGCAAGGGCAGGACTCTGGCTGCCAACAAGGGCGTTGTCGCCGCTCCCAAGGCCATTCAGGACCAGGTCATTGGCGCCGTCAAGACCGTCCTGAAGCTGTGAGATTATACGAATCCATCTACGAGGTTTACACATATTGCGATGAGTCATGTCAAAATGTGCACGCTCGATGCGTCTAAAAGTACATAGGATAGATACCAATCGCAAAAGAAAGCCATGCTTGGATATACATATACAGAAGATACAAAAAGAAGAAACCCAGCCGCGTCGCCCATTTACCGGATCTTCTTGGCCTTGAGTCTGATGGTCTCCCCGTTGATGAAGATACCCTTGCCCTTGTATGGCTCGGGCTTGCGCCATTCCCGGATCTCCGCCGCAAACTTCGTCACCACATTCTTATCCACGCCTTCCAGCAAGATACGCGTCGGCTGCGGGGTGCTGGCCTTGACGCCCTGGGGCACGCCCAGCTCGATCGGGTGCGAGTATCCGACCTTCAGGGAAACAAACTGCTGGCCAGGGTATTCGGGCTCGACCGTGGTCGCCGTGGGCTCGACCGTAGCTCTGTAACCGACACCGACGAGACTCAAAATGCAGATGTGGCCTTCCGAAACGCCCAACACGTAGTTCTGTAGATGTGCCCGAGTAGTTCCTAGTGAGAGAAGGTACTATTAGACGCAATCCGCCGACAAACAACGACTGAACATACCCCACATAGCACGCTGGTGGGCGACGGACGAGTCTTCGACCGTAAGGCTAGCTTTCCGGAGAGCTTCATCGTGCGTCACATTCACAAAGGGAGGGATGTTCAACGTCAATTCACCTGTAATTGAATCCAATCAGCGGTGCGTCTCGAACCGTCATTGCCCGCGTCGTACTTACCCAGAGGACCCTTGACCTCAATTGCAGTCTTAGGAATCTCCTTCGACCGGGTTCTCACCTGCGTCTGCGGGAGATCAATGAATTTCAACGAGACTTCCGGGGGTATCGAGATCGCGGCGCCGCCAACCCGAGATTGCGCCGGGGTCGTGGTCGAGAAGGGCTGAGTCCGGGGGAACTGAGAAAACGCCGGCGCGAGGAAAACCGGCAGAGGGCCCTGTCTCAGAGGGTTCCGCGCAAGCTGTCTGAAGCAGCTTTGAGTGAGTGAACACGACATGGCGATGGGGGTTGTGATGTATGGCGTGGAGCGAGTGGTTTGATCTCCGACGCCGATTGATTTTGTCCGCCGTCCCTGCCTGCCGAATAGGGCTAGCGTATGTCTTGTCACGTGATCACCAGATATACATCCAACGACGCAGGACTCCTTCAAGAGTGTCGGCGAAGTGAGGTTTACGGAAATGCGAAATGTCCATGTGGATAATAATCGTGTGATCTTTTCGTTGTCGCTATATGGTTCATTTCCCTTCCGTCGAAGTGAGGCTTTTCATCTCGACTCTCACTTCCGTCTCCAACTATATTTATCGCGAGCCTCAAACTACAGTTGCGGACGTTTCTCGCACACATCGCCATCTCTTTAACATATTGAATCCCCTTAATACCGATTGTTACTGCCAGGACCATTGCTCTTTGATAATCTTTCTCCTCTCTTCCGACCCACAGCTCTCCTCAACCACCGGCAGTCAAGATGGCGAGACTATCGACGCTTGCTGTCTTCGCTGTAAACACGCTCATGCTGCAGGTCGTCCTTCTTGCTATGCCAAGTTATGCAGCCTTCCCGAGTAGTGAGTAGCCCAAGGGACTTTGAGGACATAGAAATAACCAAAACAGGCCTCTCGCAGAAGAACTCTTCATCCGAAGACGTCGATCTAGTGTCGTTCCTGAGCTCCAAAACTCAACAGCAGGACGCAATCTTCGCCGAGGCAGTTCACCTCCTCGAGTCCATGAAATCATCCCCCTCATGCAACCGCATCGCAGCCTCCCGCCTAGTCACGTCCTGTCAGTCGATCGGCGGGAAGACAGACGCCATGGACAGTGATATATACTTGACGCTGGAGCACGTCCGATCACTGTACGCTGCAAGGTTGGCAATCTGTGAGATCAACGGCGCGGGCGCGTCCACTCCATCCCCTTGTCTTCCGGTAACAGTGTTCTCGCCACAGAAAAAAGGCATGTTCGGCTTTGCGCGCTCGAAATACCAATTGAACGAGGCAGACGCTCCCTCTGTGGAGGCTCTGGAACACTGCCTCAGATCTCTCGAGTCGCGGCCTCAGTGGTGGACCTCATATAGCAACAGTAGGCAGAACGCTGTTGTGATATGCCAGGCGGCTAGGATTGAGAATGAGAGGGAGGAGCTTTTGGAACTTTACCGATCTATAGTCGAAAGCTCGGCAAAACTGAACCAGGGTCTCCAAGAAGCGTTGCGAGCGGCTGCAGAGCAGTCCACCCAGTATAAAGCCTTTTTGCACGCCATGAAGGGGATGAGACTTCAGGTTGAACGAGATCTGGAAGTAACACGGTCTCGTTTCAAAGAGTCCTTCGAGAGTCTTATACTAGACGTGGAGTCGGGCGTGCATTCCGTCTTCGTTACAGTCAAGACGGCCTTTGGAAGCCTACAGGCTGAAGTGGCGACCGTGGAAAAGGTATGACTGAAGCCAGATATCCTATAGTACTGGTCTAATGGTGAACAGGATATTCAAGATATTTCTGGCGAGGCGCGGGACCTGCGACAAACTCTGAAGAGCACTCATGAGGAGACGCTCGGAAGACACGAAGAGATGATGGATGCTCATAAACAAGCATCCCTTGCTCATCGTGAACTGGCATCATCCCTCAGTAATCAGCTAGAAGGGATGGTGAACATTGGGATGCCCGAGTTGTCCCAGAGCGTAGAACGCTTTGATACATCCTTAGTATGTTTCTCTTTCATGACGAACAGAGCTTGAGCTGACCATCAGGAATGGCTTTATGAGAGATTCAGTCTCTTGCTACAGCAAGAACAGGTTATTGCCGAGGTTCGTCATCTGATCCTTAGGGTTTGATTCATACTAACTTCCAAAGCGACTGCGAGAATTTGAAACGTCGCTCGAGAAGTCCAACCGGAAAGCCCATAATTTACACGAAACTCAAGTCCAACAGGTCAAGACTTTCAAGGAGCAGTCGAAGTTGCAGCAAACCTTGAGCGACAATCTGCGAATCACACAGGCAATCCTCGATAAGACGGTCGCAACTACAGCCAATGTTCAGGCTGTTCTGGACGAGACGACCACTAGATATAAACGAATTCCGCTGCTAGGTGGCCTGTTGAGTGCAGTCTCGCCATGGACAGTATGCGCATTGCTTATAGGCGCCGGTGGAGCACATAGCTCGAGGCGTGCTGCCGGGATCTTAGCTATGGGAGCAGGTATGTGCGATGTTCAATTAGGACTCACCAACATGCTGACATGGATGACAGTTCATTTTCTGATGACGAAATTCTTCTGATATACGCTCTTATGATCAAAAGTTATGAAGCTTACGATTCGTTTGTTATACCTATACCCCCTTGTCATATATCTATCTATTGACTTATCTGTTCTTTCCTGGCGTTTCTTGTGGTGTTCGTGGCGTTGACATGCTCTCCCTGACTGTAATTTACTGACTTGCTCGTTGTTGTGCAGAAGATATCCTGCAAATATTTAGATGCAATTCAGATATTGCGTGTTATTTAAGTAGAAGTGTCCATGGTGATAACCTCTATGCTATAGAATCATTGAAGCCTACTCAATATCAACCAACTTAGGTTTCATTTAAATGCTGACGGTAAAAGATCCATGTTGATAGCTCACTGCAATAATCTCGTCCAAACATCCACCGGTAAAACAGACCCTCGTCGCAAAGCGGGATCTCACGAATGCCTCATCTCCCCGTGTCGGACTAGGTGGACGGGGCCGGCACCGCTCATCGAACAAACCATCCAGCCACGCAAACATCCACGACGGTCGAGATCCAGCCCACGGCTCTTCTCTGAGCGAAGAATCAAGAGTTGATCGATTCTATTGGATGCGATGCAGGAACCACGTTCCTCGGTACAACTGGACGGGTATCGATGAAACGACAGTACGGTCTGTGTCATGGGCTCGATACAGGCTCATCGGCATCGGTAGGAGCCGAGACAACCGCCTATGCGCACACCTTACGGAGCTTCTTTAAGGCTTAACTGCCGATACCCTTAGCCAGCGACGGTTTTAATCAATCTCATCAGGGGCCCTGGATATTTCTCCGCAGATGTGGAGAATCCGCGTGACGATCCCCAGACTTCCCCCGCGCAGAGCTTCCAGCGCCCGCTCCATCAGGCTGTGATTTCCTCCGTTCATTTCGGATCTCTCACGTTTCTGGCTAAGGTGGAACGTCGTATGGATATCGCCATTGGCGAGTGACCCAACGCCGCGTTCTTGTCTTCATCGGGTCCCCTTGCACCCACCGGCACAACTTCGGAGAAGCATCACCGGCTCTGCTCCACCCTGACGCGGCGTGGATCGGTGAAACAGACTACGGAGTATCTCCCTGAAGAATGCTGCGATATGGCTTGAGCAATGGATTTATAGAGTGCTCACATCCGCTCGTCGGGGGGTGGATCCAGGAGCACGCGAGTGTCGACCTACCTCTGTCAACATGGCCCCTATTCACTACTTGCTTCCAATTATCACATTGGGATCGGCAGCTCTGGCACGGCAGGATGCTTTCGAAGCCAAGTGCCACAGCTTCGCGAACAAAATCCATCTCCCCAATGTCCATGTGAACTTTGCCAGTTACGTACCCGGTGGCACCAACCTGACTCTGGCGGACAACCCGTCCAGCTGTGGCGCTACGTCGCAGTCCGTCTCGGCTGATGTATGCCGGGTCGCCATGGCGGTTGCGACCTCCAACAGCAGCGAGATCACGCTGGAAGCTTGGTTCCCGCGCAATTACACCGGCCGATTTCTGAGCACGGGCAACGGAGGATTGTCTGGGTGTGAGTGTCCAATTCTTTACTCATTTGTTAAGCTAATTCTGATCTTTTATACAGGCATCCAATACTATGATATGGCATACACTACTGGTTTCGGATTCGCGACGGTTGGTGCCAACAACGGCCATAACGGAACGTCCGGGGAACCGTTCTACCACCACCCCGAGGTCCTCGAGGACTTTGCCTACCGCTCAATCCACACTGGCGTCGTCATCGGTAAAAAGCTTACCAAGATGTTCTACGAGGAGGGCTTTAACAAGTCCTACTACTTGGGCTGCTCCACCGGTGGCCGACAGGGCTTCAAATCCGTCCAGAAGTACCCCAACGACTTTGACGGAGTCGTAGCTGGAGCCCCAGCCTTCAACTTCGCCAACCTGATCTCTTGGAGCGCTCACTTCTACCCGATTACCGGACCCCCGGGCTCGGACACCTACCTGTCTCCCGCGATGTGGAAGGTCGCCCACGACGAGATCATCCGCCAGTGCGATCAGATCGACGGCGCAAAGGACGGCATCATCGAAGACCCCAGCCTCTGCAACCCCATCATGGAGACGATCATCTGCAAACCGGGTGCCTCCTCGGACAACTGCCTCAGCGCCGCGCAGGCCAAGACGGTGCGCGAGGTCCTTTACCCCCTGTACGGGGTGAACGGCACGCTGCTGTATCCCCGCATGCAGCCCGGGTCGGAGGTGCTCGCTGCCCCCATCATGTACAACGGCCAACCGTTCGCCTACAGCACCGACTGGTACCGCTACGTGGTGTACAACGACCCAAACTGGAACGGGACCACCTTCGACGTCCAGGATGCGGCCGCCGCGCTGGCGCAGAACCCGTACAACATCCAGACCTGGGACGCGGACCTCACACCCTTCCGCAAGTCGGGCGGCAAGGTCCTGACCTACCACGGTCTGCAGGACCAGCTCATCAGCTCCGAGAACTCCAAGCTGTACTATGCGCGCGTGGCGGAGACCATGGGCATGCCCCCGGAGGAGTTGGACGAGTTCTACCGGTTCTTCCAGATTAGCGGAATGGGGCACTGCGGTGGCGGTGATGGCGCGTATGGTATTGGAAACGGCCTGGCCACTTACAGCGGCAAGGATCCGGAGAACAACGTGCTGATGGCTATGGTGCAGTGGGTGGAGAAGGGCATCGCCCCTGAGACCGTCCGCGGTGCTAAGTTTGCCAATGGACCGGGCTCGACCGTGGAGTACAGCCGCAAGCACTGTCGGTACCCTCGCCGGAACGTCTTCAAGGGACCTGGCAACTACACCGACGAGAACGCGTGGGAGTGTGTGGTGTAGACAGCCGGCCGGATAGCTGATGTAGATTCACATATCAATATCAAACGACTGTGTACAATAACTGCAGCCCTATTGCCATAAGCCCCCTTGAAAGCACATCAGTCATACACAACCTGCGTCTGGAACTTGCCCATAGACAGCACCTCTTTCGCATCCGACATGGTCCAGTTCTTCCTGACTCTCGCGCGCACCCACTCGGTGGCCGGAATATCCGCCTCTCGCATATCCTTCTTGTCATCCTGATAGTACCCCAGCCTGCGCAGCAGCGGACTATCCAACACGCCAAGATTCAGCTCATCGCTCGGTCTGACAAAATACAACAGCCCCAGACGGTCCTGATCCCTCTGGTCCTCCGGTGGCGCAACCACACGGTGCACCCCACTCTTCAGATACCCATTCGACAAGAACTCGACCATATCCGCGATATTCACCGCGACATGGCCCGCCGGGATCCGCAGCCACTGCCAGTCCGCGTCCCTGGCGCGCTTGACCTGCAGCGCGGCGACGGGCTGCTGGAAGACAAACGTCAGCGTGCCAAAATCCGTATGCCCGCGGGTGTAGATGTGATTGCACTTGGCGTTCTCCTCGGGCGTGCGCGCCCGCGACATCATATACCGCAGGGCGCTGTCGCAGTTTGCCTCGTAGCGGTGTCCGCGGACGAGGGCGTCTTCGTCGTCGAGCTCCAGCGCGATGGCGAGCAGCCGCAGAAGCCGGTGCGCGATGTGCTCGTGGATGTGCCGGTGGATGTGCTCGATCTCGGCGCGGTGCGTGTGGATCACGGCCGGCTGCGGGCGCTGCGTCTGCGGGATGAACTTGAACAGATTGTACATCTCGACGCTGTCGCGCTGGCCCGGGGCCAGCTCGACGGCGCCCAGCGGGCGGTAGCCGTTGTAGTTGCCTTCTTCGAGGGCGGCGCGGTACTTGAGGCGTTCGTCGACGGGGAGGGAATAGAATTCCCGCCCGATGGCGTATTGGCGGTCGATTTGCTCCTGGGTGAGGCCGAAGTTGGTTACGTAGAAGAAGCCTGTATTGGCGTTGGTTTGTGGGTCGTTCTTCATGCACTGTTATGGGTCTGGTGGTTATGGCTTACCGACTTCGTGCGCGGCAGTCTTCAACTGGGCAGCTAGCTTTTCTTTTCCGCCGGGGACGTCGTAGAGGGACAGGTCGATTGTGGTCAGTTCCACGTAGTCAACTGTATGTGTTAGGGTGTTTCTGTTCTGCTGTGGAGAGGCGTACGCTGCTGCTTGGACTCGGGCGGATGAGTGTATGGGTCCAAGGGGTAGGTTGGATAAGAGAGAGATTCAGCCTTGGTCCCTGTTTCAGTAGCCATGTCTGTTGCCTGATGTCTTTGCAGGGGGCTTCGGATGTATAGTGTAAGAGGAACTATAAACGTCCTGGACTGAGGGAGTTGCAAGAATAGAATATTTCGGTCGATGAGGATCTCTCGCCCTCTTATACTCCGATAAGTATTTTGGAATTGTTGTCTAGGCTGATGTATACTTGCTACCCCGCATTATATGATTGTCAGTTGTTGCTCTGGATCTTGTACTTTGTTCCAATGTCACCGAGACTGCCACTGCGGTACAACTATACCTACACACAAACAACCCATCATATTGAAGAATATATCCTGTCCAATAAACAGAAATAGTCCATTGTATCTTTATTGTTCTATCATCTTAAACGCACCAGGCTTAGAAAAATACCAACAGATATCGGGAATCGAAGCGATCACGTCAAACCGATGGATGATGAGCTGCTGAGCCGCCTATGGCGTGCTTGCATACTACTAATGTCTCTGCCACGCAATGCAAGCAAACTTCATAGTTGAACATATGGAAGTAATGCATCGGCTTCTTCGCCGATTCATTGAGTACCTTGGAGAGTCTTTCCTAACAATTACGGATAGTTCTTCAAGAGCTCAGCTTATAAGTTTTTATATATGCGCTCTTGGAAGGCGCATTCATTCACCTTACGCACACATACCCATTAAACGTTTCTCACTGTCTAGGGATCAGTCGGATATACCTGGGTACGTATGTGTTGAAATTCCCAGACACACCCAACAACGGCCTTCTCTCTGCCCCATCATTCTTTCTCTCCCCTGCCACAATGGCCCAGACGCCGACAATTGAGCGGAGTTGTGTCAGTGCAGATAGGAGACAGAGACCGGTGGAGGGTTGAACTTTCATAAGGCCCAGCGAGTCCTTAATCTGCCACACATACTGGATCCGAGGGACGAAGGAACCCCAGGTGAGGAAAAGGACGATCCTAGCTACCAATTAGCAAGTAACAGGCAGTCACGGCTGTTACAGACATCTTACACACTGAGGCAAGTCAGAATTAGCAACATTGAATGGGATGTTTGGGCTGGAAGCAAGAAATATGGGATGATGCTGTGAGATGCAGAAGATAAAGACAGAGACACCACTAATTTAGCGGCATTTACCGTCTCTAGATCAAAGGCTCACCAGGCACAGCAATATGATTTGGTGAGCAAAAAGCTCGTCCAACGTATAATATAATGATATAGAAGTGCGAAACAAGGTAGCGGCTTTGGGGATGTACTTCTCACGTTAATCAGGAATCCAGCTGACTTATTCCCAGCATAGACAATTGTTGGGGCCCTATCTGTGACGTACAAAGAAAAAATGTAAGCAACTTCTCCATCTACTGGTGTACAATACAAGTCTCCATCTAAATCATTCCAACCGTCCTCATGAGATGTTCAACTTGCAGAGGAGAGGAAGCATCTAGGGCTTGGACGGTCACCAGGAAGCGGCAGAAATGGGCGGTGGCACTAGGCAGAAAAGAGACCGCCCATCGACTGGTTGCATCCCCAAAGTATCAACATTCGCTGTGTCCTCATTCCAGTTCCACATCTAAACCCTGTCATCCTCGATCTTCTGCGATCGGAGTACTTGCTCTACCGGTGCGTGACACTATCCCTGTACACCAGCTGCAATACCCTACCCAGCCTTCTGGACCCCAGCCTCCGCAGAATGGCCGCTCCACAAGGCAGACCGCCTTGGGGCGGCGGCGCATCGAGACTGTCGCAGTCGCATACTCGAAGCCCCATGCAGGTCAAAAGGCCGTGGCTGGTGTTTTCTTAACCCTCGCCGGCCGCATCTTGATGCGCGACCGCTCTGCGAAAGTCATCCAATACCTATGAACTCTCAAAGCTGACGTAGCTTGACCGCGCGATAAGCTGACTGTCTCCCCCGCTAGTGCTGCTCGCTGATCCCTCTTCCCCCGAGCCGTCGCGGAGCGCTTTCATTGGCGCCTGCAGTCTTCGCTAAGAAACGCGCATCGTCGCTTCAAACCCCCGATCCTAAAGATACCCTAGATCCACGCTTCCGAGACCGCATACCGTTGCTCGCGTGCCATGGATGAGTTCGCGCAAACCAGGGGAGCGGACGATCTGTTCGACGATGAGATCGTCCCTGTGCCCGCCGAGGAACAGCCCCAGCCCGAGGTCCAAGTGGAGGAACAGCCTGTCGCGACAGTAGATACCGCTACGCCGTCCCCTCCGGCCGACACACCGGCACGGCCCCGCGGTGGTGAAAAGCGGAGTCGGGGTCGGGGTCGAGGGCGTGGCGGCCGAGGAGGTCCGCAGAACCCCGGCCAACGACGTCCCGACGCGACATCAAGAGCGAAGTCGGTTGATAGCGCAGCTCAGAACGAGAGCGAGACCGCGGAGGAGTCGGCGCGCGACACGCCCGATGTCGCGGAGCAGGAGGATAAATCAGAGACTGCCGCAGACAAGTCTGCCGCCGGGGCGGAGGGACCGCGGGTACCCGCTGTTCGTGGCGATCGGAGCGCCACCGGAGGGATCAAGAAGGTATGTGTAATGTCTGTTCGTGCGTTGTGAGCCTGCGACGCTGACTCTCGCCAGCCAAAACTCACAGAGGAGGAACTGTCGCGCCGCATTGCCGCGGCCAGAGAGAACGCCGCCAAGGTAGCTGCTGCGCATGCGCGTGCCGAAGCAGATCAAGCCTCCTTCTTGGAACGTGAAAAAGTCGCAGCGGCCAAGCGCCGCGAGGAGCTCCAGCACCGCCGCGTCATGGACTCGGAAAGAGAGCGCAACCGGCAACGAAAGCTCCAGGCTCAAACGGGAAGAGAATGGGACGCCGATAAGCAGGACGAGGCCTTCAGCGCGCGCGGTGGGAAACAGTTCCGCCGAGGCATGCACGGTGGTGTTTCCGGATATACAAGACGAGACTTTGGAGACTCTGCTGCTGGTGATGAGGCCTCAAACAGCTATTCGCACCATGACAGCCTTCGCGGTAGAGGACGTGGGCGCGGTGGACGTGGTCGTGGGGGTGCCCGTGGTCCACGAGACGGACCAGCGGCTGAGGGCACATCTAGGGGACTCGCTGAGTCTATGCACGCCCCGCCCCCTGTCATCGACAACGAAGCCGAATTCCCTGCGCTCCCTGTTGGCGAGAAGAAGGAGGACAGCGTGGTCGAACCCCCGTCTGACGCCGACCTCCGCAGAGTGGAAGCCTCCTTATCACCAGTGTCTGCTACAGGAGCCACGTGGGCCGACCAGGTTGAGAGTGGCTAAAGCAGTCGTGCATTAATCATACGCGCACAATCCTTGATCTCCCCCATTCCGTGCATCTTTATTCCCCAAAATGATTGTGTTCTATCCCTGCTTGTGACTTTGTATACTCCGTTGGACATTCTATTTCTATATCATTCCCCACTATAACTATGTCCTGTGATGAATGCGAACATGGCATCAATTCCCCGATGCCATGACATGTTTGTATGTACATAATATCACTAGAGCTTTTATGTATGACGTTGATGTCTTTTAGTACCTATCAACCATTATGTTCCGCAGAAAACACATCTATGTCAGGTTCAAGCTCTCTGACACTATTTCCTGCTGAAGACTCTGCCACGACAACAACACATAGAATTATACAGAGTCTATTCCGAAGCACAAATGCACATCAATAGCAGATTCGACATGCAAGAGTTAGTCTGGTTTTCCCGTACGGAGAAGCGGTGCGCCTCTATCATTATGATGTCATATCCGTACCAACGGAGTATATATACATCACTGACCCCAGTCCATTCCCAACACCATCTCCCTTCCAATCCACAATACACATCATAAACGACTCAATTCACATATATCCAACATGTCTGGCGAACACTCCTCCCAGAACAGCCACGGCACAAACACCCGAGGCGGCGCAGGCATCGTTCCCACCCCCGCCAACAACGTCTCCGGCGGCAGCGGTCTGGGCGACAAGGGATACCCCAAGGGTGGCGGGATGGAAGGCCTCGGCCACGTTGCTGTAAGTCTGTTCCTTCCAAGATCAGAGGATGGGACTAACCGTGACCGGGTCCGCAGACCGACCGACCTGCCGCGACGGAGGGCGAGTTCAATAGCCTCAAGGAACAGAAGAGCATGGCAGAGAATCATTTCATGAACCGCATGGAGGGACATGGCAAACCGACGTGTTCGAATGAGGACCATAGCTTTGCGCAGCACAAGCCGGGTGGATCGGATACTTTGCCTGGATGGAATAAGGCCAAGGATGCGGTGAACAATATGTTCGTTGCCCACGCTCTTATTGTTGGTCAGATTGTGCTAACTTGCAGCAGGTTTGGGTAGATTAACATAATAAATGAATAAAGATACGGACGAGCGATGAATGGGAAATTGTTATGACTATGAACTGTTGTATATCGAATATCTTGATGCTGCGTCGTCATGACAGCCGCTGTATTAACACATATACTCTGGCTATGAAATTCAGACATTGAACACATCGACGGTATGGCGTACAAACGGCCGTCGTATTGGATCGTCTACTCCGTCTTGGATCTCTTCCCCTTGATCCGATCCCGGAAGGCCACAATTTTACCCAGTACGCGACCTTTAAGCGTCTGCGCCGCAACTGCCTCTGCCTCCTCAATAGTGACAAAGCGCCGGACCAGCAGATTGAAGATGCTCCCAAACGCAAGCGCGATCACTGTACTCGTGAGGATGATCACATTGTACGGCATACTGAAATCTGGGGTGGGTAACGGAAGAAGAAGGCTGGTCGTTCGGATGTAGATAGGAGTGTCCTGATCATCACCGCGTATCTTGATCACGGCCGGGGCAACATTAAACCCACGGTTTGCGTCAGGCGGGTATTCTGTGTAGCGCAGGACGGCCTTTTCAAAATCATATGTAAGGGTTACCGTCGAGGCGGCGGGGATCGACAGTGCGAGTTCCAGTTGAGTACCACGTTCTCGGTCCACCGCAGGTCGATAGTATGTCTCCTTTATGAATTGGGAAGCGGGAACCTGCTGGTGGACGCCATCCTTTCCTGTGATCGTCGCCTGGAGAGTGTGGACGAAAGGACGCAAGAACCACGGGAGACTCTCGAAATAGATGAAATCCGCGGGGTTACTGTCAGACGGGTTCTCGAAGATGATGCGCATGCCACCCCGTTCTTGGCCATGGCCAACAATGGTTCGCTCGGCACGCAGGATAGGCTCATTCAGAGGTACGTGTGTGGTCACTTCCTGTTCCGGGAGGACTAGATCAAACGGAGAAGTCGGTTGCAAGGTATAGCAACGTGTAAAGCCATCTGGCTTCTTGACCTCAACCGCGTCAGGAGATGCAGATACCTCGCGTTCATGAGGAACACGAAGGCAAACAGTCTCTTCGCCAGCGCCCAAGCGTTCGTCGAGGGCACAAGCACCACTGACGCTACGTCCGAAGACCTCAGACAGGCTCCACCCCTCCCCAGAAGAGTTCTCCAGAGGATAGCAAGTATCATCTGAATGGTAAGGCTTGGATTTGTCACACACAAGCTGATCAGCTGGAACCGGTCTGGGGATTGGGTTATCTAAGCTGTCTGTTAGCCACACAGAGTCAGGGCTCATTGAGCTTATAGTCTAACCTCTTGGTCGTTTAGATCGGTCGATATCCAACACAATATCCACTGTCTGGTCGATTTGCACGAGACATTCGTCTGCATGGGGACAGATTGGCCGCACGTCGACAGACATGCTCTGCCACGACGCATCAAACAACTTATGACCGTCGAACAAGCTCGACACACCAGCTTTGCCCTTGCACGGGAGCAGCTTCAAGAACGGAGTGAGGTTCTCCGTGCACACAACTTCGCCAGGAAGCGTGCCATGGAGGAGATGAAGGTTACCAGAAGAGTGGTCCCCGGTGGGTTGGAACGATGCAACCGGTCGAGTAGTCCGAGTCGAGTCAATGAAGTTCAGTGATGCACAGAAAAGACCCGAAAGCGACTGTGTTAAGGTGATCCACTTGGCAAACGCCCTGCGAAGATGTCAGTTCTATACGCCCCTCCTTCACCAACAGGCACATACTCTTCATCATTCGGGGCGTCTATCCACGCCCATAGCTCCACGCCTGTAGCACCTTCCCTTGTTCCATTCCAGGGTCGTGAACCCCAACTCTCGTCGTCCCATCGCCCAGTAGTAAATCGGAGGTGTAACTCTTTAGTATGGGCATGCTGTAAGATCTGGCCTAATGCGCGAGGGAAGTATCGAAAATTCCGCTGGTCAAACGCTTCCTGGGATGCATTGCTCTGGAAATTGAACGAAGCTAACAGTGACGACTGCGGAAGTGGCTGGAGGAGGAGGCTCTCATGGTAGTCGGACGCCGCTGAGGAGGCCGAGGTCAATGCGGCGAGGCAAAACAGGGGGACGAGACTGAGTGCAAGCATCACGTCATTCTTGCCAGTCGAGGATTATATGGACACTGTTTTGCGACACCGATTTCCCAATGTTGGACGGGACCTGCTAGCGATCCATCCACGGGCGGTGGATGCTGGGGAACAAGGTAAGCTCGCGAGTGGAGACAAATTGCGGGATAGATTGCAATCAAGCGGTGGTTCACAGCTCGGACAGTCGGGAACTCGTAAAATAGAAAAGACCCATTGCTTGCAGGTAAGCAGTACTAGGAGGTAGGTATCTGGACAGATGGCCGCAGACACCATAGTTTCCCTTTCCCAAAAGGGGCGCCCCAGCTTTGGTAAGCGCAGCCGCGGTTAGCGCCACCCGTCCCCGAACACCGTTTGTCGCGATCCATCATACTGCTGCGAACCACCTTCATCACATCTTTCCTCACGTCTCGAGCTCCCAGATTCCCGCGCTAGCTCCATTGAATCATGGCGGCCGAACAGAGAAAGCTGCTTGAGCAGCTCATGGGAGGTATGCGATCCCATTCCTGAAATGACGGGCTGTCGCCCATGCAGTCCAGCTAACACAAAATCTTCTACCAGCCGACCAGCTCGTGGGTATCGGTAATCCCTCTCGCAACGCTCAGCTCTCCATCACCGATCCCAAGGTCTGTCGCTCGTACCTTGTGGGAACCTGTCCCCATGACCTCTTCACCAACACCAAGCAAGATCTGGGTCCTTGTCCCAAGGTGCACAGCGAGGGATTGAAGACCGAGTACGAGACCGCCTCATCGGCGGAGAAAGCGAAATGGGGCTTCGACTTTGATTATATGCGCGACATGCAAAAGTACATCGATGACTGTGACCGGAGGATCGACTCGGCTCAGCGACGTCTGGAGAAGACTCCAGATGAAATTCGGCAGACGAACAATCTTGTAAGCACCGTCACCACTCATACAGCTAGTGAGGCATACTGACATGAACCCCTTTCCTTTGGTAGCTGAAACAAATCTCAGACCTGACCAAAACCATCAACGGCGGCCTTCTCGAGATCTCCGTCATGGGCGAAACAGGCTCGGTCGCGCAAGCGCTCAACGAACTGCATAAAATCCGCACTGCGAAACATCAGAAAGAGACGTGCGAACGGGAACTGAAGAACCTTCAAGACACGTCCGGCCCATCTGGGCACCAGAAACTGCAGGTGTGTGACGTTTGCGGCGCGTATCTGAGTCGCTTGGACAACGACCGTCGGCTGGCGGATCATTTCTTCGGAAAGATGCATATGGGCTATTCCGAGATGCGCAAGACGTACAAGAAGCTGAGCGAAGAGCTCAAAGGGAGGCCCCCTCCTGTTCGTCACCATGATGACGACGATGGCGGCTGGGGTGGACGTTCCGGTGGTGGAAGAGGCCCGCGGTATGGCGGATATAAGAAACGCGGTGGACGGTGGTGATATATCCCCTTGTCTATGGATGTCTTCTTTTTTTGGGTTTGCATAGCGCAGGCGTTCTCCTTTCGATAACTAGGATGTTATGAATTGCAATATGTAATAGAACCGGTTTACCCCTAAAGAGTTTCTATATTGTCTACTTTGGGAACAGCCTACGCGTGTTATAATTCTCTTAAAACTGCATTCAACTATTATGGACTTCAATCAAGAATACACACTTGGGAATGATTCATATCGGATGCATGCAAAGCATGCCACAAGTAGGACGAGATAAGCACAAACTATCAATATCAAACACAAAACAGTGGTATGCAATCCCATTAATGAACTTATTTTCCTGTTCCCAGAAGAAGAGTAAAGACACCATGTCCAAATCATGAAAACCCAGAGGGTGACTACTGTACAACTGTATTGCTACTAACTACTGCACATTCTGCTGCGGACCATGCCCATTCGTCGTAGCTTGGACCAACTCTTGCATCAGAAGCTCATAATTCGAGGCTGTCTCCGGCCGGCGAAAGAGGATGTCTCGAACCACACCCAGCTGCGAGGCATCCGCGTTCGGCGCCTGCTGCAAAAGTTGTTGGATTGCAGGCGAGCTCGCCTGGGCACCGAGAACCTGCACAGCGGCGGCAATTCCGGTGGGAGGAGCTTGCTGGAGCGGTGCAGCTTGGTACGAGCCGTACTGGGGCCCAGACGGCGCTTGCTGCTGTGCCGGCGGCTGACCGTATGGAGCATGCGCGAGCGGAGTCCCACCGAGAGAGGACGGGGTTGGGGTGATTTGAGACGTGGCGCGGGGCCCGGGAGTCATGAACTGCGCCTGCTGAGGCGTCGCAGCACCTGCGGTCATCGGACTTGCCGTTACAGAAGCTCCGGGCTCCTGGCTAGGCTGGTGCGACGAGGGTTGTACAGAGGGAGGGTTGGAATCGCTTGTTTTGACGACGAACACGACGAGAAGGATACGCTCTGGCGTGGGATCTTCGAGCGAATTGTTCTCCAGAAGCTCAATGAACTCCGGTTTCTTGGACGAACCCGCTTCGATGGGGATGAGATAGGTGTCCTTGACGGCTGGTAAAGGATGCTTCCCAACCACGCCATACCGGTTGCGATCTTGGAAGTAGTTGAACAGGTTGTCGAAAGATGCTCGCTCCTTGGGCGAATCAGGACTGCTGATGGAAATGACGGATACATCGGTGGAACTGCTGAAGCGGAGTCCACAGAGATAGTTGCTGGCAAGCTCGATGTCGATTCTTCCATTCACGACCAGAGTCGAAGGCGCCAGCTGTTCCCAGGGAATTCGTCCGCTGAGATCAGCTCCACCGACATGCTTTGCAGACGAAGAGAACTCAGCGATAGCGTTCATCACAACTCTGCCACGCCAGACAACTCCCTCGTCGTGATAATCTTTGGGCGAGTAGGGAGGAGACTCCGGCTCGTCGTCTTTCAACAACTTGTCGATTTCGGCGTCGGCTTGGACTCTGCCAGTAGGTACTGGCTCTCGGATATGAGTAGCGACCTCCGGGAAGACTTGGTCGTGGCTGGTACCACCAGGAGAGTGTCCTCTCGCTGGGAAGTGTTCGTCATGAGGAGCAGGCTTTGTGTCGACCGCCTGTGACTTTGAAGCCCTTCGAGAATCGTCAGACTCGACACGTTGAGCACCTGGACTGCCGGAAGGGCTCCCATCAGCCTCTGCGAGGCTTCGTCGGGCTGGCGCGTTTGAAAAGACCGGTTCGCTGGAGACGTTCTGGTTGTCGTCTTCGATCAACTCCTCTCCCTTATGGGTTCGTCTTATCCGGGGGCCCTGATCCTGCACGATGATATGCTGCCGCTCGGCCTCTCGCTTGATCTCCGCGTCCTTCTGCTGGAGCTCTTCACTTGCCATGTCTTGGGAGCTCATTTTAGACAGGGAGTCTGGGGACAAACTACCTACGAGCAGACGATCTCGTAGAGAAGTGTTCTTCTTTACGTTGAACAAAATCGTCCGCAGTTGTAATTTATATGCCTCTGTTGGCTCCCCCGCTCCTCCGCAGATATTCTGATACATTGCATACTCGATGGCGAGGGCAATTTGCTGACCGACCTCCTCCTTTGTCTTCCCATCAGGCAAGTTAAAGGGCCCGCGCTTCTGAGCCTCAGTAATTTGCTCTACAAACAACCTGGACAGCGCCGTGGCTGCACGACTCCGAGCAGGGTTCGAGATCTCCTCTATGGACGTCACGCCGCCGGTCGCCGCTTGTTCCACAACGACTCCGGGAGGGGAGGCATGGTCGATAACTTCCTGTTTCACTGGAACAGGCCGCGCGGTCGCAGTACCTCTTGCAGGGGAAGTCTTCTGCTGTTTCGACTTGGGGCCCTGTGATGGTGACGCGTTAATGACATGAGAGCGCAATAGCCAAGAGTGAGCACTTACAGGTTCCGGCGTAGGGGCTTCTTCGTGCTCATCAAACTTGCGTTTCTGAGCACTTGTGGATTGTGCATCTGCGGCCTCTTCGGGCTTCTCGGAGACCGGAGTCGCCGCGGTGGCCTCGGTCTGAGACGCGGGTGCTGGAGCAGGCGTCGAGGATGCAGCCGTGCGAGCTGGGGTACTTGCCTCCGTCTTGGCCTCGCTAGGTCTACCTCTGCGTCCGCCCCGTTTCCCCTTTCTGCGCCGTGATTTCTTCTCCTCGGCTTCCTTGCGTCGCTTTTCGGCCGCCTCTTCCCATGGCTTCTCCCCCCGCGCGATTTTATCCAGCAGCTCCCTGTGGTTCTCGGGTTTGCACTGTTCGCAGAAATACTGGTCAGGTTCTTCGCCCTTGGCAAACGTCAGACCCATGCAGTCGTTGTGCTGCCAGGCAGAACACTGGTCACAGCAGATCATATCACGCTCAACGTCTTCCTCTTCTTCATATTCGCCGCAAATGCATCGGATGATCTCCTCTTCTTCACTGGGGGCGGGGGTCGGCTCGACGGAGGACTTTGCGGGCTTATCCTTGGTTTGAGACTTTGTTTTGGACTTTTTCGCAGGCGTCTCCGGGACGAGGTCGAGATTCTTGTGCTGGCCCTTGGTGGAGCGGCCTGACCGGCGCGGTTCATCTGATTTCATCGTTAGCATGTTGCATTTCAAGCCATCGCGTCGGGTCTTTGTGGGTGGGAACCGGTCGTCGCCACACCGGTGGTGCCTGGAGTGGAACAGACTGGTCGCCACGAAGGATGGTACACTATTGCTTACCGGCCATGATTGAGTATGTAAAGAGATGTAGGAGACAAATGAAGGGGGGTTCAAATTGACTACGGCGCGATGTAGAGTGAAAGAAAGTCGCGACCCAGTTGCGCAGCGCACGCCACCGTGGTCTCTTTCTACGGGGATCAGAGGGCTAAAGTAATACACAGGGGAAGACAGTGGACAGTAGCACTGTTACTCGGGTCCACACCGGTATTACTTTATCTTCTCGACGTCTTCCTCCGGGGGTTATTTAGCTGATGTGTCACCGACTCCGGTATCCCAGTGGTCACGGTTGAGGATGTCGCGCGCAGCGTGGATACTTGGCGTGAGCGGGGTCGCGTGAGGATGACCCCTTGTGTGGATATTATCGGGCGCAAAGTCGCGTCTTCGTGCGATAGACTGAGTCGCGTACACGCGCAGACTGTTTCTGCAGGAGATGGAGCTCCGCGGACCGGTGAGGGTGATGGTGGATGATGCGAAGAGGGTATGTGTTGAGAAGGAGATGGATCTAGAAGAGGAAGAGAGAAGAGGAGATTCCGGAAAGTGACAAGAGGGAGATTCGCGACGGACGTGACTCAGCAGATATATCACGTGCCCCTGCAGCTCGGCGGGAACAGGCTTGGCAGACGAAAGGCCTCTTCGCAGGGGAGCTTCGGAAGCATCGCAATCTCCGTCATATCTCCATTCGCGCCTTCGCCATCCATCGTTTCTCTGCTCCCTCGCTGAACCATATTAGCCAGGATTCCCTCCGATCTCTGCTCTTGCAATGTCAGATGTGCGATCGTTACTCCGCAGTGAACTGGCCTCCCGGAAGGGTTCATCCCAGTCATCACGGACTCCCCCGAACCGTGTGACGAAGAAGCGGAAGGTAGATAATGGCGATGACCTGACACGCAAGAAGATGAGACACGCGGTGGCGGCCGCGGATCAGCAGTTATCAGGCTCGCCTGCGGTCCAGCCGCCGAGTGCACAGGCCGTTGATGAGGCAGGCGATCAGGAACTGGAAGAAGTCGAACCCACAGCACAAGAGTTCCCCTCAGAACCAGTACATCAAGTGGAGGCCGTCGTTATGGGTGCCATGTCTTCGGGCCCGCAAGAAACCCTTCAGAATGAATCCACGGAGAATGCTCCGACCATCGATGAGGACGAATGGGCTGCGTTCGAGCGAGATGTCGTTGCGCCCACCAGAGTGCCACAACCTGCCGCTATTGCAGCCGCTGCGACCATTTCAGCAGCACCTATGACAGCGGAAGAAATTGCAGCACAGCAAGAGAAAGATAGTCAGTCCATGGTCCGCTCACGGGAGGCCGAGGCCGAAGGCGAACGGGAAGATGCAGCACGGTTCCTCGAGGATGAATTTGACGAAATGGAACAACTTGAAGAGCGTGTCCGTCGGCTCAAACAAAAGCGGGAAGAACTGAGAACAAGGCGTGCTCAGGAAGCCGCTGACGCAGAGGCCATGGACCAGTCGACGGAGCAAAATGATCATGCGAAAGACAACGAGGACGAAGAGGACGACGACGATGACGATGATGATGACTGGGACAACTGGAGATTTCGGTAATTCTGCGGGAAATGCGAAGGGCCGGAGTAGATAAAAATTGGACAGGCGTCGTTTTCATACACGGGAGGTCAGGTCTTCGGCTTTTCATACTTACGGTTGATACCCCCACGAGCCATGATATCGCACAAACTGTTCCTAATCACTCTAATGAATCTGGATATCTATTGGGACATCGAAGTTGGCGTCTGTTGTATCTATGTGTCTTATTATCTTGTCCTCGGCGACATTCCCGTCGACCAGACGGTGTAGCGATATATGTCATAGGATGCAGGAATATACATTGTATTTTTACACGACATAAGGCATACGTGACTTTCATTTATATAAGGGCCTTGCGATATGCAAATACTACACACCTTAGCTTTCACCGTCCTTTTCGTCCCCCGTTTGGGTCGCTCCCTCTGCTTCAATATGGCTCCGAAGCCCTGCCTTTCCAACCCTCAAAGCTTCTTCGATCTCAGCCTCTCCTTCCTTCAGAAGACTTCTACCCCGGAGAAGGTCACTCCGTTGTTTGCGTTTGTTCTCTTGTACTTGTTTCTCGCGTTCGGCCAATGCCTTTTCCCGTTTCTCGCGTTCCACCCTCTTGCGCTCCATTTCCTCTCGCTGTTCAGGAGTCAAATTCTCCTGTTCCGGCGCCGGCGGCAACGTCGAGATGTAAGTCTCGATCAGAGGATCTCGAATCTTTGGTGTCAGGGCGATATATCGAAGATCCGTGATAAGACTTGTCGGGAGCGCTTCCAGGCTGGACGAACGGTTCAATTCGTGCAACGGTATCGACTTCAGTAGGGCAGAGAGATCGGATTTTCGCGTGCTTTCGGGCGTCTTCAAACGTGAGACAAGTTCACGGTAGTATTTCTCACGATCTTTGTCCGACAGCTGCGAATCTCTCATCTCGGGCTCTTTTCGATACTTGCGTTTGAACTCGGGCCAATAGAGCTTCGGAGTCGCGTGGTCTTGGAGGAAGGCCAAGTATTTGATCCGAGGGTCTTTCTTTTCCTGTTTTTCTTTGCGTTCCTTGAGTTTTTGTATACGATCACGGCTCCACTGAGACCAGACTTCACGGCGTGCTTTCATATTCGGAAGTGCCGTGTATCGAGAATCCTCTATGATACGACCTTCTTCAATAATCTTCTCCCAAGTCGAGTATGGGTTAATATGGTAGTCGTCGAGAAGGTCATGGAAGAGCGCAGACGCATCCTCATCCGTAAGCGGCAAGCCTTCTGCGCCTTCCTCCCATTCGCCCTCTCCGGGCTCTCCATACTCACCAGGGTCGAGCCCATATTCTTCGCCCATTGCCGCAAGTTGATATTCAATATCTTCTTCTGTGAATTCAACCGGCCCTTCCTGATCTTCGCCTTCGGTTCTCGGTCGTTTAGACGGATGATCCCCGTCCTCGCTGTCGGTGACTTCCACTTCTTCATACTCGTCGCTCTCCTCTTCCTCGTCGGGTCGGTGTCCTTCCTGTTCGGATGTACCTGGCCTTGGTTCTGGAGCCGGCGTTCCATGCTTTGGACTCTCTTCGCCCCGCTCCTTTCTTTCCTTTGCTTCTCTCTCTAGACGGTCAAACTCCACAACGCCTTTCATTACGTCTGGCGGGAACTTCCAAAAACTTTCGTTTGTCTCGAGGTTATGAACGAATCTCCGTCCAAGCCTGGTTTTCACGAGAACCCATGGGGCACACCCGGGAATAGGATGCTTGGTTTTCGGGCGATCTTCCGGACCCCGACTTTTGCGGTCATGATAGCTTTTTCCGCCGCGAAAGCCCCCTCGAGATTGTCCATAATACGGAGTCCCATACGAAGGGGCGCCAGTTCCGAACCCATGAGGGGCGTAGGGAGTCGAGGAAAACGGCGGAAGGGTGTCTGGGATAAGATGTGAGACTTCGGGGGCCGGTTGGGGTTCTGGAGGAGGCGCTTGAGGTCGGGTGTATGTGGATTGCTTTGTCTGCGCATTATAGTAATATATGTGGCCTGCTTGTTCGTTAGAGAGTTATTATAATTCCTGTCACCGAGAAACGAACCCGAAGGAGCTCTATGCTCGGTCCACCCGGGGGGTAACGGAGGCGGCGGCGTGTATGTTGATTTAAGCATTATTTGTGAGATATATGAGAATCGCGAGGGTGGTTGACGAAAGTAGGAGAAATTAGATTATGCGGAACTTCAAAAGACCATGCTTGAGAACTGCAAGCGCCTTTCATAGACGGTCTAGGACTGACTGCGGAATTTGCAGTGGTCGCGAGAGCTTCGCATACGAATTGGGAGTGGTCCGAGCTTGGCAACTGGAGGACGCGCCAGGGCGAGTTGCCTGGGCCGCCGCCGCTTGAGCTCAGCCGGAACCACCATCATCATCATCCTTCCCACCCTACCTTACCTCTCCGTCCATTCTCCGCCATTCTCCATCTCCCTTTTCTCTTTGGATTTTCCGGAACTGCTTGTTGAACCGTTGCACTCTTTCATAATATCCTCGCCCCGCTTTTACGTTCACCATGTCACGCAGATACGATTCCAGAGTACGCCTATCTGCTCCAATCCCGTCACTCCGCAAGCTCCAGCTAACCGGTTGACGCTATTCATAGACCACCATCTTCTCTCCGGAAGGTCGTCTCTACCAGGTTGAATATGCGCTCGAGGCTATCTCGCACGCTGGTACTGCTCTAGGAATCCTGGCCAAGGATGGGATCGTTTTGGCCGCAGAGAAAAAGGTGACCAGCAAGCTCCTAGAGCAGGACACGTCGGCGGAGAAGCTCTACACATTGAACGAGTATGTCCCATGCAATTATCACCGTGGATTTCTTTTGTATTTTCTGTCGATCGCTAACGTCTCCCTCCTCCAGCAACATGATCTGTGCTGTGGCTGGTATGACGGCCGACGCCAACATCCTCATCAACTACGCCCGCCAAGCCGCCCAGCGGTATCTCCTTACATACAACGAAGAAATCCCGTGCGAGCAGCTCGTCCGTCGACTGTGCGATCTCAAACAAGGTTACACCCAGCATGGTGGTCTTCGTCCATTCGGTGTGTCGTTCATCTACGCCGGCTACGACCCTCTTCGGGAGTTTCAGTTGTACCAGAGCAACCCGAGTGGTAACTACGGCGGGTGGAAGGCTACCAGTGTGGGAGCGAACAATGCCAGTGCCCAGAGCCTGCTCAAGCAAGACTACAAGGAGGATTGTGATCTGAAGGAGGCGTGTGCCATGGCGGTCAAGGTTCTGAGCAAGACCATGGATTCAACGAAGCTGAGCAGCGAGAAGAGTGAGGCGCCCTCGTTCCTGACTCAGAGCTCATCTGTCCGAAACACTCACTAACCGTCTTTTAGTCGAATTCGCAACCGTGGGCAAGACCGCAGAGGGCAAGGTTTACCATCACCTGTGGAATGCTGACGAGATCAACGCCCTCTTGCGGGAACATGGACTGGCAAAGGTCGACGACGAGCCTGAGGCTGGTGATATAAAATAAAAAGCGTAATAAGAGATTCCTTCCCCTGACTGTCTCGCTCAGATAATTGCATCTATTTTCTATGTTTGACTCCCGATTCAATAGAAACGGCTTTTCCAGGCTTTATCTTTGACCGTGTAGTATCAATATCGTATGACAGCCCGCGTTTCGAGAGACGATGCACATGCAGGACGGAGATGAAGCCTGCATGTAGAGCCCAACTGATGTCGCTCACTGGTGACGTGGCAGGCAACATCGTCAATCTGAGCGACAGACAAGTCCATTGTTGTGTTTGCTCTCCCACTCTTCATCCCGTTTTGATTATGCTGGTCTCAGAACTTGAATGATCAATGGACCACGTAGTCTGAAGAGTCCAGCTGTCAGGTGCAGGGTCTCTGCGGGATTTAACGCCTGCTATTCAAATGTTGTATATAAGACCTGTGTTAGACCCAGACCCGGCTTGATCACTCAAAGCATGTCGCAATGAGAGTCCTGCCTAGTCATTTCCACTTATTATATCGGATCATCTCCATCCAACAGCCACGGCTCATTCCAGTGTCAATATATATCAGCACGCAGAAAGTTGATCGAGACCTTTGAGGGCTCTTCATCATGCAGCGCATAACGGAGCACACGCGCAAGACTACACAGGACCAATCTTCCCATGGATAGGGACTAGGAACACCCAGGGCAACCCGTGTTGTTTCTATGGTGAGGGTATGGCCTGCCCGATTGGGCCATGATGGTTGGAAGCATGGGCGTCATCACGTGCATTCTCGCGGGGTATTCACCACTGCAACAACATGCAACAACCTCCTTCAGCCCAACAAATCAAGCAGAGCCTCCTTTCCGCCTCTGAAGGAATCAAGTTCTACCTATCCTTTGCGTTCTTGAAACCAAGGGGAGTGGTATTCACATGACACCTTCTGATCGGTGCAATTTCCCCTACGATCACAAACGTCTCATCGCCTCGCCTCGAGCCGCTGAATAGGCGCCAATCGAGTGGAACGACCCCTTCAACATTCCAAACAATATGCAAGATTTGCCAAAATGAAGAGATTTCATTGGACTCGGTATCTCAGAGTCATCGTTAAACACTCATCCCAAAGCTTTTCCTCCAATCAAACTACCGGCGTGATACCATGCTGAGAATAACAGCCCGATGTTGATGACCCAACGAACCAAACAAGTCAAAGGTCACCCGGATTGAAACATGAAAACAAGGGTCATTAACAAGAAATACATGGTATTCGCGATTTGAAGTACGAGAAAACAAACCAACTGACGATGAAACAGCTCCGAAAGAAAACAAGAGACAAGGAATGTGATCCGCCTCCTTTTCCCGCATCTCAAGACAACGCTCTTCGTCGGTCCTCGCGCTCTCTCTGAAGCTGGTAAATTTCCTTTTCCAGCTCCATGATGATAGTCTGCGATTTGTCCATGGACGCCACAAGATTGGCCCCTTCGCGTTTCCATCGGTTCAGCCGTTCCATCTCGGCGCTTCGCCGCCGGAACTTGGTTTCGATCTTCTCGCAGAGGCGGCATTTCGTCGCCTCAAACTCGGTCATGTTGACAAGTCTCATACCGCATGTTTCGCCGGTACGGTACTCGTAATTGCATCGGTGAGCAAAGTTGGTCCAACTCCAGTCCCCGCACGCAAATCTCTTTTGGTTGTAGAAGCACATGCCTATCAGATCCGTCAGAGAATGCCCGTTTGGAATCAGGATAAAACTGACTTGCTCTAAACAGAGTATTGTTGTTTCACCTTGTGTGCTATACTCTATTGGCTCCAGCCGTAGAACCTCTCGGCTTGCAGACGTTTGATAGGCTAAGCGTGAACAATGCTGCCGAACGTCGATGGAAGTTTTCAAGTTGAAACAGTTCACGGTTAAAGGAAAGGCCTATCGCTTATGATATTTCCTGAGAATGTTTTGACTGAAACTGAGATTGATTCACCCTCGATCCAGGGGAGGGACTCAGTGGCCCTATTTATGTTTCGCTCAAAGAGCCTGGGTTACGATTCAGCCATTCTCTGCTACATCAACCCACTGTCGATCAACCTTCAACCGACGCTTGATGGCTTATCGTCTACGGCACTCCATCATCACACTCACATCACATCCTTCCGGCTCCTTGCGGTTGGCTCCAACGAATTCGCCCAGCAGTGGAGACACGAGACGTCCACAACATCTATCTTGCGGGACCACCGTAATCACCGGGTGCTTCACGAATGCATGCATCCCGCTGTCGTGGCATCAGTATCCATTCAAGTTCAAGTTGAACACACTAAAATCCCTCACTCTGAACTAAATGCCTGGCTGTCTCAGCTGGGCCTGGGCTGTCATTGCTGCCTTGGTTTTTCGATTGATATTCCCCGCTCATTGACCTATCCTTGCTCTGTTGAGTGGCCTTTTTGTGACCCAAACCTTTGATCTGCTAAATCAAAGCTCCTGCATGGCCCGCCACTCCTCGTGCCAGCTGTCATGTCGTCTTACACCGAGCCTCTCGCTCACAATTAATCTAGCCGGATGGGATTGAAACGTCGGAGACCAAGTTACGAGCTGAGGCCCGCCACTATTGCAGTGGTTACCTTGATAGCTCAGGTTAGCACGTCACAGATCTTCCCTACACCCAAGTTTCTATTCCCTAACGGCCAATCGGTTTTGCCACTGTTGGCTTCAAGTGCCATTGACATATCAGAGCCGGTTTCTGCCCGAGAGACCACCGTTCCAATTGGGAGAATCCGAACAGGGAACGGCGTCCCCATTCCCATTACGTTGTTGGGTTACTGTGGGATTCTCGGCCTTGGTGACGGCATCCTGCTGCAAATAACCCTTGTCGTCTACCCTCCTTCTCTCATGGAGCTGAAGTTTGGCCACACGAATGTGTGGTTCGTGTGCCAATGACCCGCTTCCTGCTCGCCGCATGTTCCCGTCCAATTTCCATGATGGTATGGCCCTTGCCATTAGTGTCGGGAGACGCGTCACAAGAAGATATTGATTGGCAATCCGTGCATCTTTGATTATGCTTTTCCCACCACCGCAGCTATTGATGTGGCATGATGAACCTAGGAGGCCATTCGCAGCCGATCTCTTTCAGCTGATCTTTCACACCTGCAGAGGAATAATCCCGCATGTGTCCCCGCTTGTGTGCAGGGTTCATTTCAATTCCCATGTCTGCATCTGGAAAGATGATAGGACACTGCTTCCAACCATCGGTCGTGGTAGATACAGGCCGTAGTACGGTCCTGCTACTGTTGAACCCATGCATCTGCACTTGAGCTCGGAGACTCTGACGTGGCGCTTTTCGTCTGGCCCAGTGCGTGAGTTTTTCGGTTTCTCAGGCTGATGGGCGAAATCCGGACGAGGCAGTTGGTCAATCATTGATCAATGTGTATAATGCGCAGATGAGTTCCGGGCGTCTTTCCCCGGCATTGACGAATGAATCGCCAATTTTCTGCGGCCTCCGTGTGTCCGAGCCTTGCATAGCCTGGCCCCATTGAGTTCGATCATCTTTCTGTCGACAACTGCGGCACAGGAGTGTCGGACTAGTCATCCGACTTGGCTGCTACGATAATGTCAAGCCGAACGGTGGACCCAATAGTGACGCTTTGCTGCCAACGCAGCAGCCTCTTGTGATGAGCCTACAGCCTCAAATTGTATAACGACATGGCGCACTGACTGCATTTCCCGAAGCGAAGTTGGTTTGATGTCACAATGCGATTTGCCACCATTCCACCCTCCCACATGCTGCCTGACTTCGGACTCTTCTAGCCTTCTCATACTTACGATTATCCCGACGCAGGAGACAAGGATAAAGCCTCCGATGCTGACAGAGCGTCCTGCCAACCGTGTGTAGTTGATGCCGGGTACCATCGGATTTGTCCCCACAACACTCGTTACCTGCTTTGTTTGTGTTTAGTAGGACGTTGAAATTGAATTTATGACCCACATGTTGGGACCATTGTGCTGGGCGGTTTCAGTCCCGTGACCGCAGAGGGACCAGCAGTTCCTTTGCATTCTACGCCCATGTGCTTCGCAGGCGACAAATGGAAGTCGATTACCACCCCGTCGAATTTTTAAGGTGAGAAGAGAGCCATTCCTATGTTGGCTTTGTGCGTCTGGATTGGCTCATCAAAAAATGCACACTAAACATTGTCAGCCGATCATGTCCAATGAAGCCCTTCAGCGGGCCAAGGCCCGCATGCAGCTAAAGAGGAACCCTGTCCTTGCATCTTTAGTTTTCCAGGGGCCAGACACAGCCTGCATTTGCAGGGTGGGCCTTCACATCGGGATCTCGCGTCCGCCTATACATCGAGTTTCTTATGACACTGCAAATTGAGGGGGGCGACATAATGCCTGAACAACTTCCTCTAGCACCCAACCTAACCAATTCCGGCCATTAGGCCATCACATTGACGGGCAGTGATCATGCACCTGGCGTGTGCTCCCCCGTACTTGGATGTTTACCCCGACCCGTCAGCATCCATACAGCGGCCGTCACAACCGGGCTTGCTAAAATGGTCAAAAGGTAATTGAATGCCGCGAGTACTGATTGCCCATCGACACGGTGTTTACGATTCTTGCATCTCACCCGAAGAGTATGTGCAAAGTGTGGTACCGACTGCACGAGCACTGTGCCATCACACTGCGGATTCTACGGCTCTCTGGTTCAGATCGACGTGGCCGAACTATCTAGTCATTGGTAGGGAAGCCTGCTCTGTTCTCAAACTAATAGCAAATGTACCATGGATGGTAAGCGTAGAGATGCTCCTTTGGCTTCCAATACACAAGACACTTCGGTACTATCTCGTTGCCAGAAATGTATTCCTTCATCGGTCTAATGAAACATACCAAGGAATAAGACTTGTTCATTTCTCTATGATGTAGTGTCTACTGGTCTGGTGGTTGTGACGTCCTTTCAAGTTGTATGTTGTCACGTGGTGGGACAACCCTAGACAGGACCATGACGTCAATATGATACTTCAATAAATGACCTTTCTGTTTTCCGATCAATTCCTCTTCTTTCAACCATTCGCATACGAACTAACACCTGAGATATCGAAATCAGGTGTAGGAAGGTATGTACAGATATTTCGGACCGCAGTTGGGGCAAGCCGTCTCGTTTACTGACGACCATGATATCAGTTCCTAGTATACTACTAGATATATCACCACAGAAAGAAACTATCAACAACCTCAAGCGCACAAAGATGTGGAACGAAATCGCATCAGTGGCAAGACCAGCAATCCGAAACACCCAGACGATCCGATCACAGTCACTGGGCCGTCCCATCGTCCCAGCTCTCGTCGCCCAGCAAAGAAGCTTTCGGTCAATCCCCAGCCTGAACAAGACCAAGCAGCAAGCGAAAGAGGAAGACCACTTCCACGACCGAACAATTCTAGACCCGCAACGATCCGAAGTGTCGAAGACTGGCACGGACGAGGAGGTCGCCGGCCATCAGTCGGCCTTTGATCCCAGCAAACCGGCTCCCGAGAGTTCGCTCGAGGCTGCGGAGCAAGAGTCCAAGCAGGAAGGGAAGATCAGCAATCCCCTGAACGTTAGTCCGGCGAACAAAGATGTGAGCCACGCACGGGATCCACAGGAGGGAGGCCCCGACCACAATGCCGAGAAGTCCGGGCCGAGTTCGAGGGGGTGGACGAGGAAGCATCGTGAGGTTAATACTGGGAAGAAATAGAGAGATCTAGAGGGCTTAGCTGGGATGTTTCAGATCTGTTGTGCTGTTTGAGCTCGGAATACTCTCTGTCTGCTCCCGATGACGTCCGTCATTTGGGGTACATGTCTGCTGCATTGAAATGCTCTAACGGCGAATTGCTATGGAACAACTATGTATGGTATTCACGTGGGCTACATAATGGAATATGAACATATAAACAAAACACGGGCGCCGCCATCATTGGTTTCATGAACTCGGAAGCTCTACTCCTTTCCTAGCTTGATAATATCGCTTCCACCCAGCACCCAGACCTTCTCACTCCCCGCGGGAACATCGCCTTCTAGGGCTTTGAGTCCCGCGTTGACCGCGGCTTTGGCAATCACATCGGCATCCTGCGCCCAGCTATCCTTCAAGCCCGAGTGCACCTTTCCGGCAAAGCCCGCAATGTAGCGAGCGGCCGCCTCCAGGGGCCGGCTTTCTTCCCGGGTGCCAGAGATAAGGCCCGGGCGGAGGATGACGGTGTGTTCAAAGCCCATCGCCTTCGCCTCTTCTTCAATTTCGCCCTTCATACGCGAGTAGGGGATCGAGGAGTCCTTGCTGGCCCCGCTGCTGGAGACCAGGACGTAGACCTTGGTGCCGGCGTCGCGGGCGGCGCGGGCCATCTCGACGTTCAAGCCGTGCTCGATCTTGTATTGGTTCTCGAACCCGCCCGCCGCCGCGCGGGTCGTACCAAAGGAAGAGAAGAAGATTGACGGGATGGGAGTGAGCGCCGACAGCTGGCTGGCCCACTTGGATGTATCATCTGACACGAACGTCGTCAGCTTGGCCTGGGCGGCGCTGGCCGCGTTGGGCGTGCGACGCGAGATCGTGTCCACCCGCGCAACAGAAGGGTGCGCCAGTAGGCTGGTTAGGATGTGACTTCCCTGGACGTCTTCATCAGCTCATACTGAACAGACAGAATGCAGGGTCTACGTAGGACTTGTGTAGGGGATGACGGCACTTACCACCATGCCTGTACACCCGATCAAGGCGACGCTTGCCATGATGTTTGCGTGTAATGAAGTGTGGGGATAATTGTTACTAGGTATTGTTATTGTGAAGCTCTTATGCTCTATACGGGTGGAAGGGAGTCGGTGGAAGATGACGTGGGTAGCTCTGAGAGCAGGGGGCGCTAGACTGTTTTGAGAGATGACGAAACTGATGCCTTAGTGCCTGACTGCCTTTCTGCCTGAAGGAGACAACTGCTGACTAAGTGGCGAACCGGCCGAGAAGAACTTTCTGCCGCTATGCACCGCCTGCTGATGCGGAAAAATGGTTATCGATAAGAAATTGCGTGATTGCCACTAGCCGGATCGGGGAAGGGACCTGGGGGATTTTCTATACAACTCCGGGTGGAGGGGGAATTTCCCCATTCTCTCTCTCTCACTCTTCTTCGTCTTCTTCTTCTCCATTCCTGTCCTCCTTCTTCCTCCCGTTCCTCATCAAGCGGGATATCTTGCAGGATGGCTTCCTTGTCCGCTCTCAGTGGCCCTACCTATGTCACTGCGCAGACCCTCATCCAGCAGGTGGCGTATGCCCTGAGTGATAAGATCTTCTCTTACTCCCCGGAGTCGTTTGATCTGGACGCTGCTCTTCGGGAATGGGCTGCTCGCAAGGAAACTAACGCCAATGGCGAGTCACCCGCCGTCAAGGCCATGGAGACTCGTCAGGGTGCTGGTAACATCGCCCTCGGATACTTGTTCTCCCAGGACTTCGACCTGAAGAAGCGTCACGTCCCTCAGGGTATTGTCGCCTCCTCCGCAACCCTTCCCTACATGCGCTCCGCTTTGGAGCAGCTTTCGCTACTGTATTCCGTCGCTAGCCCCGTTGCCGCTCACGTTGCCGCTGTCGACTATGCCGAGGAGGGCCTTGTCTCCGACTATGCGTCGGCCCTCTCCCTCGCCGAAGAGCTTGGTCTGGGTCTTGTTTCCAGTGCTTCCGTCCATGAGGCACAGCACATGGCCCTCCTTACCACTCTTCTGGCCTCTGTTCTTCCCTCCGTCCACATCTACGATGGTGTTCGCGTAGGACGGGACCACACCCGGGTCATTGATGTCTTGGACCAGGCGGGTCTCTCTCGCACCTACGAGTCGGTTCGCAAGACGCTGGAGGATACCCGAAGCCGTCATCTTGACAACCAGGGCAAGCTGTTGGAGTTGCTTCAGGCTCTGAACGGCGAGCTTGGCACCGACTACGGCCTTTTCGAGTACCACGGACACGCTGAGCCTGTTTCTGTCCTCGTTGCGTTCGGCACCGTCGAGGCTTCTCTCACGGCGCAAGTTGCCCGTTCTCTGGCTAAGGATGGTATTCCCGTTGGTGTGATCAACGTGCGCGTCTATCGCCCATTTGTGGAGGAGGAGTTCCTCCGCGTGCTGCCCCAGTCTGTCAAGACTGTTGGCGTTCTCGGCCAGGTCGCCGACGAGCAGGCTGTTCAGGAGCAAGGCATTCGCTCTGCTCTCTACGAGGATGTTCTCGCGGCACTTACCTTCGCTACCGGCCGTGAACACGCGCCGACCTGTGTCGACATCAAGTATCCTCGCTCTCAGCGTTGGGACTTGATCAACACTGCCGCTGCGTTCCAGCTCGTCTTCGAGAAGCCAATTGTCCCCGCCGATGGTCAATCTGCTCCTCTGCAGTTGCTCGACCCCGCCTCCGTGCAGGAGTACTCCTTCTGGGATGTGGATAGCTCTGTCTGCGACGCTGCGGCCATCGAGCTCTCCCAGGCTCTTGCAGCTGACTCCGCCAGCAACGTCACTACCAGCAAGGTCCATGATAACCTTATCCAGGGAGGTGCGGTCCGCGTCGATATTCGAAAGAGCTCCAAGATTGTTGACGCTCCTTATGCCGTGACCGCCGCCGATACTACTTACGTTGGCGACATTAAGCTTCTCTCGGAGATTGATATCCTAGCTTCCGTCAAGGAGAATGGCAAGCTGATTGTCAATGCTCCTGCTGTCAAGGATGACGAGCTCGAGAAGAAATTGCCTGCGGCTTTCAAGCAGGCTGTTTCTCAGCGCGGCGTGTCTCTCTATGTAGTGGACCCGTCGGTTGCGGAGGACTCAACCCTCTCCTCCGTCGTCCTTCAGACTGCCTTCCTCCGTGTTGCACTTCCGTCTCTGGAGAGTGTGGGCGTTAAGAAGCTCGGCTCCATCAACGGCAAGACTGAAGCTCTGCAGAAGGTCAGCGATGACCTGAACAAGATGCTCCGCCAAATTGAGATCCCCGAGGCCTGGAAGACTCCCGAGGAGGGCGCTGAGGCTCCTCAACTCCCCAAGGATATCTCCCTCAACAGCTTTGTCTCGTTCGACAAGGATGTGGCCGAACCTGCCCCTCTTCTCAAGGATTGGCAGGCGGCTGCTAAGGGCCTTGTCTTCAAGGAGGCCTACGGAACCAAGACGGCTCTTCGTCCTGATACTGCTGCGAAGACCTTCACTGTTCATGTCAGCGAGAACCGCCGCTTGACCCCTGTCACTTACGATCGCAACATCTTCCACATTGAGTTCGATCTGGGTGACTCTGGTCTCAAGTACGACATCGGCGAGGCCCTGGGTGTCCATGCCGAGAACGACCCTCAGGATGTTGCTGAGTTCATCAAGTTCTATGGCCTGAACCCTGATGACATCGTCGAGGTCCCCAGCCGTGAGGACCCTGCTGTTCTTGAGAACCGTACTGTTCACCAGGCTCTTGTCCAGAACATTGACATCTTTGGTCGCCCTCCCAAGCGCTTCTACGAAGCTCTTGCCGAGTTTGCCACCGACGAGAAGGAGAAGAAGCTTCTCCTCACCCTGGGTAGCGCTGATGGCGCCGTCGAGTTCAAGCGTCGCTCGGAGGTTGACACCATTAACTTCGCCGATCTTCTGCTCGAATTCCCCTCAGCTCGTCCCGACTTCCACGACCTGATCCGCATTGTCGGACCCTTGAAGCGCCGTGAATACTCCATCGCGTCTTGCCAGAAGGTTACTCCCAACTCCGTCGCCCTCATGATTGTGGCCGTCAACTGGACCGACCCCAAGGGCCGCGAACGCTATGGTCTGGCTACTCGCTACTTGAGCCGCCTCCAGCCTGGGACTCCCGTTACTGTCAGCGTGAAGTCCAGTGTCATGAAGCTGCCGCCCAAGTCTACCCAGCCCGCTGATCATGGCTGGTCTTGGAACCGGTCTTGCTCCCTTCCGTGCCTTTGTCCAGCACCGTGCTCTGGAGAAGGCCCAGGGTAAGGAGATTGGCTCCGTCCTGCTGTACATGGGCTCTCGTCACCAGCGCGAGGAGTACTGCTACGGCGAGGAATGGGAGGCGTACCAGGAGGCTGGTGTCATCACCGTGCTAGGCCGCGCCTTCTCTCGTGATCAGCCCGAGAAGATCTACATTCAGGATCGCATGCGGCAGACCTTGCCCGAAATAATTCAGGCTTACATCCGTGAGGAGGGTGCTTTCTACCTTTGCGGTCCTACCTGGCCCGTTCCTGACGTCACTGCCGTGCTGGAAGAGGCTATTGCCACTGAGGCTAAGAACAACGGCAAGAAGGTGGAGACTCGCAAGGAGATCGAGAAGCTCAAGGACGAGGAGAGATACGTTCTTGAGGTGTACTAGATGCCAGACGTTGGTACATATGTGCAAAAATTTGGTCCTTTCTTGTTTCTCGATTTGCGGGCATTATTTGATGACTACCCCTGTATCTTGCTTTAGAATCCGCAATACACCATAGATTTGTTTATGAATAGCAATTCATCTGTCAACTAACGGCTCATTTTATTTCCTCCCGCATATCTCGCCGTGGGTCCAGGCACTAGTCGTTATGCGATCAGAGTAAGACAGCACCAGGCACAATCGATAATCATGTTTGCGGAGAAGTTCAACGCAGCACTTGAATCCTAGACGACTTGAATGAACACAGCCGATACGAAAGAGAGCAGCCAATTCAACCAACGAACGATGTATTGATATCTTGCTGGATAAGAGGAAGAGCCTGTCAATGTTGAAATAAGATATTGTAGTCTTATGATCTTACTCTTCCTCTCCGCATACTCCAGAATCCTCTTCTACCCATGCACATAACGTATTACAGAACACAGCATACCACACACCAGACCTTTCTGGAAAGTAGCCGGTGCATAGTCGCCGTCGTATGTCCTTCTGTACCACACCCTCAGTGTGATCTTGATTTGTATCGAGAACATGTGATACAACCCATTCCATCTATGTACACACGACGCTATAAAAGCGTCCTGACGCCGGCACGACTTGCTGGAACCACCACCGGCACCCCCAAGCACTTTTATTAAAAGACCAGACAGAACATTTGACTACCATCATGCAGCTCCTACCAACCGTCATTCTTACACTGGCGGCCGTGACATCGGCCCAACGGAGCATTCCCTGCGTCGTGGGACACTACTACACCGGGAGCGTCCTCCGATTCCACCATCGTAAGTGCTGACATGCGTCTCCATGAACCCTTCCGCATATTCACGACGTATGAAGACTTCCGAGTTGTCGACCTTAATGCAATTTACCAATGCCGACGTCCGTACTTTGCGCTTCTGGTGCAGCGGTGTGGAGTGGGAAGATGCTACTATGGAAACTGCGAGTACTGGTGGGACCGGTTGCTGGAGAAGCCGATGGAGAATGACTCCTCGCCTGTCGGAGGAGATGGGATCGCTGCGGTTGAAGACAACGAGTTCCAGGAAGAGATCCAAAATTAGAGGGGTTGTCCGTCTCTCAAGGAGCGGTCGAATAGTGGAGGAGATATTTGGATTGCTACATAGTAGCTCTATCTTGAAGTAGTGAATGATATCGGGATTCACGACCTACAGGTGCAGTATGCTAGATATCGAAATATGATTGTTGTGTCAGTGCACCTAACCTCCATGACAAAGGCACAAGCTGGAGGGCGAATTTCTGGCGTACACCACAGTACTAAAACATCGAGGCCACCGAGCTTAATAGATGGGTATTGCTATATACTCGCTGTACAGACCCAGTCATCGCCCAAACCTCTTTCTATGCAAACCAATCTAAGCTAATTTCATGAAAATCATAACCAAATACATGATACATCCGCTTTCGAACCACATCAGCTCTATGCGCGGCCCACAGCCCCTAATTTTGTCTTCCCATAAGCCCCTCCCTTTGATTTCCTCAGCTCCAACGCCCGGCGATACGGCGGCGCCGTAGGCGGCTGAACCGGGTCCAGGCTCACATGGCCCGGCGGGAGGGTGTAGCTCGCATCCGAATCCCAGGACGACAGATCCCCACAGGCAATGAAAGACGGAATCCACCGGTTCTCGACCGCGAACTTTTCCGACACGGGTTTGTAGGCAAGGGGTTCGGGGACCGACGACGTGTGCGAGTCCTCATGCAGCATGCGCGATTCCTGGCCGTTTGCCGCGTCTGCAGCCGAGACAGCTGTCATCTTCGTCACCGTCTGGCGAACCGCTCCAGACTCCTCGTCCATGACCTCTACGCCGAGGTTGCCATTTCCAGACACTGGGCGCGGCACCGCTGCGCCGCCAAATACCGGGTTCTTCAGTGCTTCCATACCGACCACGCCGTCGTGGATGGCTGGGGGAATGAAGCCTTCGCAGACCACGAACGATTCCAGACTGCTTGCCCGACTGCTCCTCGGCTTTGCGACGCTGACTTTCTCGAAGACGGTGCGCAGCTGGGCGTAGATGATGTCAACGTCGCGGCCGCGGAAGATCTTGGCGACGAACTTGCCTCCGGGCCGCAGGACGCCCAGGGCGAGGTTCAACGCGGCGTAGAGCAACTGCGACTGAATGTAGATGTCAAGGTCGTGCAGGCCGGTCACGTCGGGCGCACCGTCCGAGATGACTAGGTCGACGGGGTGTGGGGGTCGGAGAGCAGAGGGCGAGGCGGATGAGGAGTCGTAGGCATCGGGGTCCAGAGCACGGAGGAGGAGAGGGATGGTGGATGGGTGGGTGATGTCGGCCTTGAGGGTAGTGATGCCCTCGAGGGGCGCCATGGGCTGCAGGTCAATCGACACGATCTTGACGTTCTTCCGGGGCTTCAGCTCGGCCGTCTCTGCATGCGCCTCTGCCATCTCGATGTCACCGTCCGCCGCATCGTCTTCCCCGCTCTCGGCCTTCGCCAGCGCTTCCTGCTCGCGGCGTTTCTTCTCCACCCAGGCCCGGCGGCCAAAACTCTCGCCCTTGATCAGGACCCGGCTGAGAACCTGACTCCAGCTGCCCGGAGCTGCGCACAGATCTACCACTCGGGTTACTTTCTCCGGGTTCGCGTGTTCGAATAGATCGAACTGCTCGTCGATCTGGATCAGCTTGAAGGCGGAACGGGCCCGCCAGTTTTGTTCCTTCGCCAGGCGGTAGTAAGCATCGCGCTTGTCTTTCGACGATTTTCCCATGGTTTCTGAGAGGTTGCGACGGGGATATGGTCGTCAATGGGCGAGAGAAGAGAGCGGAATTTCCTGTTTGGTGGGGCTGAGATAAGATTAGCAGAAAAAAGACCCCCCAAAGGCGGAGAGGCCCGTGTTTTTTTCTGCCGCCTTTTTTCTGCGCCTCCGCAGCACCTTTCTCCAGCTCTCACTTACTCGTCACCTCACGAATTTCCTGTGTTGCTCATTTTGCTTGTTCGCCGAGAACATGGGCCAGAAACGTCAACGCGACCAGAAAGGGTCTGGGTTCCAGTCGAAGAAGCGCAAGCGTGGAGCGAATTCCAGCAATGCGGACGACAAGGACGACGGCTGGGACGGGATCGTTGGAGTGGAGGACTTGAATTGGAAGGAGGTCGCCCTGCCCGATCGACTCGACGATGCTGAAGGATTCTTTGGCTTGGAGGAAATAGAGGGTGTCGATATTGTGCGACCCGAGGGAAGCGGAGAGATCCGGTTTAAGGTATGGTTACTACGTGGCTGCGCTTGCGCTTGGGACTTGACTGACGACATACAGGCCAAGGCTGGAAAACCAAAGAAGTCGATACTGAAGAACAAAACCATCCCGCAAGAGGATAAGACCTTTGACGACGAATGGGAAGGCTTCAGCGATGGAGAGGCTGCTCAAGAGACTACAACAACGGAGCCGACAGAGGAGCCCGTGCAAACTACAAACGAAGAGACTGAAGTGAAGGAGAAGAAGGAACCGAAGAAAAAGGAGGCAAAGAAGGAGGTCAAGAAGGACGCGAAGAATGCCAAAAAGGAGCCGAAGAAGAAAGACCTGCCCTCACAAAAAGACAAAGACATCAAACCTGGCTTGTCCTTTGCGGCGCTTCAAGACGCGGAGGAAGATGATGGTGTGGACATTTCCGCCTGGGAATCTCTGGGTCTGTCTCCGGAGATCCTCAACAGTCTCTCGAAACTCAAGTTTTCCTCACCGACAGCTGTTCAGAAAAGCTGCATTCCTCCCATCCTTGACGGCCATGATGTTGTTGGAAAGGCCTCAACAGGATCCGGAAAAACTCTAGCCTTTGGTATTCCAATCCTCGAATATTACTTAGAGAAGAAGCGGAGGGAGACCAAGAACAAGGACGATAAGAAAGAGACGTCGCCAATTGCGTTGATCCTTTCTCCCACGCGAGAACTCGCACACCAATTGGTGAAGCATATTGGAGAGGTCATCACCCACGCCCCTGGTGTCAACGCCCGTATAGCCCTCTTGACCGGTGGACTGTCAGTCCAGAAGCAGCAGCGCTTGTTGAACGGAGCTGACATTGTCATTGGTACACCCGGTCGAGTTTGGGAAGTCCTCAGCGGGGGCCAGGGCTTGATCAGCAAAATGAAGGAAATCAAGTACCTTGTTGTTGACGAGGCTGATCGACTTCTGAGTGAGGGTCACTTCAAAGAAGCCCATGAGATCTTGGCTGCTCTCGATCGGGAGGAGATTAACGACTTCCCCGGCGCAGAGGAGGACGAGTCAGATGATGAGGATTCCAAGACACAGCGACAGACTCTGGTGTTCTCCGCCACTTTCCATCGAGACCTGCAACAGAAATTGGCAGGCAAGGGCAAGTGGACGGGAAGTGATCTGATGAACAAGCAGGAATCGATGGAATATCTTCTGAAGAAATTGAACTTTAGAGAGGAGAAACCGAAGTTTATCGATGTGAACCCTGTGTCGCAAATGGCCGAGGGCCTGAAGGAGGGAATTGTCGAATGTGCTGCGATGGAAAAGGTACAGTCTGCAGACACGTTGTCAATGGATTTCACACTGACATTATTTCAGGATCTCTACCTCTACACTTTGCTTCTCTACCACCCCAAACACCGTACCCTAGTCTTTACGAACTCGATCTCCGCCGTGCGGCGCCTCACTCAATTCCTCCAGGCTCTCCAACTCCCCGCCCTTGCCTTGCACTCGTCGATGGCCCAAAAGGCCCGCCTCCGGTCTGTGGAGCGTTTCTCATCTCCGACCGCCGATCCTAGCACAATCCTCGTTGCAACCGACGTCGCAGCCCGTGGTCTAGACATTAAGGGCATTGACTTTGTCATCCACTATCACGCTCCTCGTACCGCAGACACCTACGTTCACCGATCCGGCCGCACAGCGCGCGCTGGCGCATCCGGAAAGAGCGTTATCATCTGTGCCCCCGAAGAAATGGTCGGCGTGGTGCGACTCGCGGCAAAGGTGCATGCAAACATGGCCAACGGCAAACGCCTTCCGCTGGAATCCCTCGAACTGGACCGCCGGATCGTCTCCCGTGTAAAGCAGCGGGTGACACTCGCCGCACGCATCTGTGACGCCAACATCGCCAAAGAAAAAGTTTCCGCGGAAGACAACTGGCTCAAAAACGCCGCCGAGGAACTGGGCGTTGACTACGATAGCGAAGAGTTTGACGAGCGCCAGGGGCGTGGACGAGGCCGCGGGCGGGGCCGTCAGCAGCGCGAACGCCAGGCCAGCAGCATCAGCAAAGCCGAACTGGCTGGCATGCGCGCGGAATTGAAACAGTTGCTTTCGCAGAGAGTCAATGTTGGTGTCAGCGAGCGGTATCTGACGTCAGGACGGGTGGATATCGAGGCATTGTTGCGTGGGGAGGGCAATGCGTCTTTCTTGGGCCAGGTTGATCCTCTGGGGTTCTAATTGGGTGTTTGTATGTCTTAGAGATACCAGCGGTGTGTACATAGAGCTCATTAGAAGACAGTTCTACGATTTCCTCTTTCACAACCAGCACTTTAAGCTCATCAATTCCGTTCTTACGTTCTGATTAACTAAATTAGATCAAAGCAGCCAAGGCTAACGTTGCTGGATCCTCCCAGCATTGGACAATCACCAATCCTCCTCTTTCTCATCCAGATCCTTGTGGATGTGGTAAGTAGTCCGGACCTCTCCGCAGTTGTAGCAGAACTTGGTACCGCAGTAACACCTAGCCACATTAGTCCCATCACCCCCGAACTGCAAATAGAAACTTACATCATGTTATACTCCTCTCCCTCCAGTTCCACCATAATCCCACAACCGGGACACTGCATCCACATCTCATCATCGGCCAAGTCGAGGAGGTCGTCCGTGCCGTCACTGCACGAGAACGAATGCGCAGGACGCAAGCAGCGCGGACACATCTCACACGCCCCAACATGTCTCGAGCCCTTGCACTTGGTGCAGGTCGTCTGCACGCAGTAGTGGCATACGTGCTGCTGGTCCCGGAAGGTATCTGAGGGGAGGTAGTGCCCGCATGGCCGGTTGGAGCAGTACGTCTTGTTGGCGTCGCGCATCTCGGCCGCTTTGTCTTCGATCCGCGAGACGAGCGTCCCGTCCAGCAGGCGACGGGCGGTTGCCAGCGGGATGGCAGCACCGCAGCACTGTGGCGGGATGTAGTACATCTTGTTCGCGGCCGCGGCGAACTTGCGAGTCAGACAGTGCTGGCAGTACATGTGGGCACAGGATAGCTTGGCCACTTGGGCTGTGGCCCCGCATGAGTGACAGGTGCCGGAGCTGTGAATCTCCGGGCGACTGGCCTTTTGGGCGCGAAACGCGGATTTCTTTGTCTTGGAGAAGGTAGAGCCCATGTTGAGTGTTGTTGTTGCTTGTTTGGTTGTGGTGCGGTGGTTGGTAGATGTGAGTTGGAAGGGAGACCCTGTCTGGGGGTTTTAATGCAGGGATGGACTACGACTACGGTCATCATGGAATATGCATATGACGAGGTTGTGACCGTCAGAGCGCTCATAGTCATCTCGCTCAGGAACTCATCTGAGGCGGTTGCATCCATGGTCCGCCATGCCGAGTCGGAGTGAGTCTGGCCCACTGGGTCCACTCGGCATGCCGATCGACCGGGATTGTCGAATCCTCCGTCTGGACTGTGCAGTTAGAACGTAGATCCTAGGCTCTGTAGAACTGGTACATCTCTTCGGCATACACGGAGTATATAACAAAAATAAGCATAAATTATGACCCTCTTAAGCTCATCTCTACGCCCAAAATAGGCCTTAAGTATATCCTTCGTCATAGTCCCATTGGCCAGACCAGACCCAGATACCCAGACGGCGCTCTGATTGGCCTCGCAACGGACCATATTTCCACGTGGAGACCGGCAGTGGGGATTCCTCGTTCGATTTTCGGCAGTTCTTTTTCTTTTTTCTTTCTCTTTCTTTCTTCGATCATTCTGTGCAGCTCATACTCATACTTATCCTCATCCTCTTCTCCCTCCCGAGTCACCTGTTGCAATCAGACTCCCTGTGACAGCCGTGGACGCTACAGCCCACATCTATACACCATGTCCCGCCTCGCCAACTCCCTCCTCCGCTGCATGCGCAGCTCAACACTCTCGCCAACACCCCTCAAACCAAGCAGACTCCCTATCTTATCCTACGCATCCATCCGCACCATCCGCAGCGCCGCCGCCGTCGCCCAAGACCCTCACACCTCCAGCAACACCGCCTCCCCGCCTCCAGCCAGCAGCACAATCCGCCTCGCCGACAACCCCCACCACCAGCAGCATCAACCCACAGAATCCGCCATCGACAACCTAATCGCCGAGCTTCCGCTCGTCCAGTCCCTCCGCCGCGACCCCTCCTACACCGAGTCGCGCCCGCACCGCGCCATGAACCCGACGCACCGCCCCTCGCACTTCGTCGCAGGCACGCTATCCGGCGCGCACAAGATCACCGTGCCGCCGTTCGTGTGGAGCGCGACGCAGCGCAGCGCCGACTCCGGCCGTCCGCAGACCCGCCTCGTGTCTGTCTTCCATGTTGGCGCGCAGCTCTGCGGACACCCCGGCTTCGTGCATGGCGGCCTGCTGACGGTCATGTTTGACGAGGCGTTTGCGCGCTGCGTGGCGACCTCGTTTCCGAGCGGCCTCGGCATGACGGCGAATCTGAATGTGGATTTTCGAAAGCCTGCGGTGCCGGAGCGGCTGTATGTGCTGCGGGCGGAGACGGTCAAGGTCGAGGGGCGCAAGGCCTGGGTGGAGGGATCGTTGACTTCGTTGCCGAGGCGTGGTGAGGACGGTGAGCCCGTTGTTGTTGCGGAGGCGCGGGCGTTGTTTGTTGAGCCTAAGTTTGCGGATGTAAGTTCTCCTCCTCATTTGGTGGGTTGCTTTGGTTGTTTGTGCTGACGCTTGTTTTTTAGTCCATGGTGTCGTTGTATCGCCAGTGAGGCTGGTGATGATTGATCTGAATAATGATTTGATGTCGCAAAGCATACGCCTAATACAAGATAGACCATAGACATAAACATAGAATAGACACGATTAGAGACAATAGACAATTTGTATTGACCGTTCCATTTCTATCTAAAAGCTGTCAAATAATGGTAGACTCCATTCCCCGCCAGACACGCAGTACAAAAATGAAATGAAAGTAATAAACCCGAATGCAAACCTGTCGATGGAAAATACATATTTGCTCATGTCTTCATGACAATGCCCCCGTAGTTGATAGTGGATGCTGAAATGTACTGCCGGTGATAGTACTAAAAACCAAAGCCATCGCTTATTTCCTTGCTTCTGATTAAGACAAATGGAAAGCCCCCTGGCCCTCCTTGATGGCAACCGCCAGTCGCTCCCGGAGGACATCCAGACTGCTGTAGTCAGGCAACTTCAAGTAGTTGACACAGGTCATGACACTGGGAAGGTAGTCGTCCGGGGTGTATGGAGGTTCACTTGGCCGACAAACAACGGTGAAGATTGGCGTGAGACTCTTGAAGCCTAATCAAGTCACGTTAGCATCCAGACAAAGGCCGTGGGCGTGGGGAGCCTTACCTCCGATGGGCAGCTTCGGACTTCCAGTAACAAATTGAAGGAAGTCTCTCCGCTGTTGCGTGTTCAATTCGCTCATGGTCTGGAGGAGATTGCGGACACTGCGGCTGTCCATGTTGAAACCATGGTCGGCCTTGATGGAGTCCATGAGGGCTATCATATCGTTAGTATCCACAGAGGTCATAGCCGGGTAGGAAAACTTACTCTCGATACTCCAGTCTTCTTCAGACCGTCCAAAGAGCATAACAAGCTCACTCGGAGTGAACGTTCGCAGGGCAGAGTATGGGAAGACCTGCGAGAATCCAGCCCGGAACGCCTCCATTTGCCGCTGGACACCACTGCCAAGAGTCATGTCCACGACCCGGTCGAGATACAAGTCAACGTTGTCCATAGTCACTGGGACATTCGAACCATTTTCCACAAGCTCGATGGCAGGGTAGCCGGGAAGGGTAAAGTCGAGACTCAGATCCTCAACGCTGACTCCATCGACTTCAACGTCCCGCAACGCCTGCTTCTTTTGCGCATCCGAGAGTGTCCTGTTCCTGACAATCGCTGTCTTCGCATTGGCGAAACGCTTCAACAGAAGCAGGGAGTTGGCCAGATCTTGGTCGACCGCTTTCACGGCACCGAGCGACGGCGCCACCGAAGACGAGCTGTGGGCAATTCGGAAGAACGCAGGATTGAAGGAGATATCAATGATGCGGGAGTCCAGCATCGATCGTGCAACGAATTTTCCAAGGACCTTGAACAAATGGAGCTGCTTCTTGCCTGATTCAGAAGCAGCTTGGGCGTCGCTCATAGGCGCCGGGAACAAGCCACGTTTGCCAAAGGCGTACTCCTCGCTATTGAGGCAATCATTCTCTCGCCACATTTTGAGCTTCTTCTTGGACAATTCTTTGGAGACCGTAGAGTAGAATTCGAGAGTGGGACCAAGACCCGTCCCAACTTCCTCAAAGTACTCTACCTCCAAGACACTAGGCGAGGATCCGTACAGTTCCATCACTTTCATGGCAGACTCCAAGATGCGATTTCGGGATATCCGCACCTTTTGACGCTGAAGCCGCCCCAAGAACGGCCGGTCGTCGCGACGATGGTCGTTCCGATTGTCATCCCCATGCTGAGAATTGTGCCATCGCATCATAGCCCGAGAGTAGCCGAATGCGGTTGACTGAAGGAAAAGGTGCCGCGTCTCAAAAGGGAATAGGAAGGGGAAGAGCCGAGCAAGGTCTTCACTCCAGCTAGGGAGACAGCTGCTTGCCACAATCAATGGTTCTTCCAACTGTCGGTTCAGTTTAGCAGTAAGCTTGGTGTTGATAAATTGGGCCAGCGTCTCAGGTTTCAGGCCGATTAATTCCTTGTTCTCAGCAATGATGTCGTCCAGAGTGGCATTCATCTCATGCAACACGCGAAGAAGTTGCAGGATGGATGCATTCACAGAATCTTGGTTCAGGGAAGGAGGCATGTCTTTATCGCCTTCTGCAACCGACTCAGACTTGCCTGGGAAGAGACCCGTTGGTTCAGGGGGTGAGGGGCCAGGAACCCGCCTGAACTTGACCGTATGGACAGCAGCCCACACATTTCTCGCAGCAGGACCTGACTGTTGTCTGTTGTGATGGACAGCGCGATAGACGGTTGTCTCATTGGAGATGGGCTTTCCATCCACACTGAACTCAATATGCCAATCAGAAGGGACAGAAGCCATAGCGGCAGCGTATGAAGAAAAGGGACGACCTGCCATGGCCAAAGAGCCACTGCCCATTGGGTTAAGGCCGGAGCCAGGGGCAGCTGATGAAGACTTTGAAGCTGGTGTGTTCTGAGACGGGGTGGCGACACGGGTTCCATCTTCCTTCCGTGCCGTGACTTTGCCAGTGGAAGCGACTTCCATGTTGACTGCCGTAGGATCATGGACATTATCATCCGAGAGGTCGTCATCCAGATCATCCACAATCGCATTCAACTCTTCATCATCGCCCTCTTCGTCTTCATCTTCCTCATCGCTAAGCTGTCGTTCATCTGCGCATTCCAGAGGCTCCTCGGCATGATCGTCAGTTTCCGAAGAATGGTGATGCCGAGCAGATCGTCTAGAACGGGATCCCTGTTCGCGACTTTCAGCAGAGGTATCTTTGTTATCAGTCCGTGTTTCTTCTCCGCGCGTCTGTCGTTCCGTACTCGTCGACGCCGGTGGTAATGCGGGAATTTCATTGCCCGGAAAGTCGGCATTTCCAGTCAGTTGGTCGCGAAGTCGGGCCGCATTAGCGATCTGAGAAAGGATCGTATCTCTGTTACGAGATGGCCGAGGTCGGTCTGACAAGCTGATCCGGGGGTGAAGGAAATCCTCCAGAGCTTTGAAAGTAGCAATAGCGTGTATAGAGACCATAATGTTGCGGTAGGTTCGTGGGATGTCTGATTCCTCATCCGCAACAAGCTTCAGCCGCAGTTGCTTGCCAAGCATATATGTGGCATTGCTCCGAGTGTTCTCCAACGAGTTGTGGCTGACCGTGATCACTTCAAAGTGCTCAGTCCGGCTGAGCAGATCTTGCAGCTTTTGTATCAGAACACTGAAGGGCGTGGTGGCAGTGCTCTGGCTTTGAGCTTTTGCAGAGATGGCAGAGCCCATGAATGCTTCGAGGAAAGCAGCGCGAGCCTCCCGATTGGATGTTGATGAGAAATCACCAAAGACATCCAGCAGAATTTTGATGACCCCAGAGTTGAGCAATTCGGAACTGGTGATGCTTTCCAGCGCATCGCCATCGAAATAGCTGGCCAACTTTTTGAAGAGAGCCAGTCCGTCACCGCTTCCATCACCAAGGTAACAGGCTTCAATGTCCGCTGCAAGAGTCTGCAATTCAGTGAGGATTTCCAAGGCCTTTCCCCGCATGTCCTTGCCCTGGCTGCGTTCGTATGCCTCAACAAAGGCGCGGGCGTCACGCGTCACAAGATCTTTCATGGCATCATCCATTCTCGCCAGGACCACCTGCCCAGAGAAGGAAGATGAGCTTTCGGATTCGGACATATCATCGTTGTCTTCGTCATCTTGCCCATCGTAGTCATCCTCATTATCATACTCCATGGCGTCCTGGTCGTCGAGGATGGTATTCTTGCTGGAGGACTCCGGTGCGGCAGTGGACTGAGCTGCTGGCTGCGCGTCACTGGAAGTGTCCATTGCAGAAAGCGAATCTCGGGAGGTTTTGCTTTGCTTGTCAGTGGAAAGGGGTGCTTCAGCCAGCTTGAAGATCTCGGATACAACGCCTTCACGGTGGAACTGGTACTGATATACGTGCTCCAGGCGCTGGAACAGAAGCTCAGCACACCGAAGAGCCGAAGACACAAGCCCGGGGTGGTCTTTCTGGGAGAGAATCGCCGCTAGGAAGGAGGCGTAGGGCACGGTGCGTAGAGCTTCTTCGATCACAGTGGCATCTAGGTTGTGCAGCATTTTGAGTTGAGCAATCAGAACCTTCTGTCGAACTTCCAGGTTGACTGTGCTCGAGTAAGCATCAGTGAGCGTTGGCAGCAGGATCATTGCGAAACGCTTCAGTTCAGCTTTGCATTCCATCAGCAACGAGCGGCGTTTATCCGCTGATTCCCTGGCCTTGGGAGACTTCAAAGCAAGGGTGGCGTCGTTGTCGAGGGATGGGAGCCAGCCGTCCGACTGAGGGCCCTGACGACCGGGAACACCAGGTAGAAGTTCACAGATGACGTTCAGAGTTTCGAAAACCTGCTCCCTGGGCCGGTGGATCAACGCTTGCATGACGAGAACGCTATCCATCTTGACAGTCGTATCCTCCAGGTTTTCTGGGGGTGAGACGCCTGTAAGAATCTGATACAAGGTGTCGACAACATCCATCTTGAGAAGCTCCACCGATAGCCGCGGGCTCGCTTTTGAGGTGATGGCCAGGACACGGAGGAACTGCGTATGGATGTGAGGCCCAATCAAATTGGTGGTACCAGGTAGCAGAAGACGCAAGACGGCTCGCAGCATTGCTGGCTCAATGAGTTCCTCTAGCTTGTCCGGCTTATGTTTAAAGCTTTCCACAATCCGAGAAACGCAGAGACAACCTTGCTCCACAACCTTCGGGTCGTTGCTAGAGAGCACATTCAATAGGGTGGGCATGACATCTCGCACAACCGGGAACGAGTCATGGGAGAGATTCCTGCAGCAGTTTGCCGCGGTTGTCACTGCCGTGCGTTGAGTACTGGTTGGGAAGAAGTCGAGATAGGTCAAGCAAGCCGTCAAGCCACCCTCCCGTACAATGGAGGCCGGGAAGTCCACCGATATTTTCGCCAGTGTCTGTACACAGCGATTAGTATACTTGTCCTGGTATGTATGAAGGCACAGGGGATATCGTCAACTCACACTCAGAGCTTGCTCAGCCAGATCAATGAACTGGATGTCCAAAAGCTTTTGGCACAGGATTGGCACAGCTCCTCCATACACCACATTGGCCACCGACCCGCGCAGAGCTTCCATCAAGTTGGCCAGACAGCGACATGCCAGTAGCATGATTTCGGGGTTTTCTTCGCCGAAATCGTTGGGCTGCATCAAGGTGACCAGTTCCTTTACGTATGGGTCAGGCGAGAATTGCCCGGAAAGATTATCCTCATTTGATACAAGCAGAAGATCTGACAGCTCTTGCAGAGCAATCAGTTGAATGGATGGGTCCTCCTTCATTTTCAAATTGGACAGAATCTCTCGCAGGCGAGAAGACATGCCGGACATCATGCCGCTCAAAGCGCGAAGGGTGCTCTGAAGTCCCAGGGGGCTGCGGGAGCCGAAAAGGCTGTTTTGAAATAGGTCTCCGTCATCGTCATCGTCTTCCTCGTCAACCCCGGAATGGTTTATACCATCATTGCTATCACTCGGTGGGGAAGAATCCTGCTCCTCGCTAGGCTCCCGGTCTTCCAGGTCTTCTTCCGCTTCTTTCATTATTACGTCGGCATTGGATCGAGTTGAGCGTTTCTTTTGTCGACGTTGGGGAGACTGGGTCGAGAGTGGATCTGTGATAGGAACTATGTGAGTAAGACAACACCAAATCGAATCAAATCTGATGAAGGAGAATCCCTCACCTTGGGACACCTTTCCATTTCTGCTGGACTTCCGCCTAGAGGCCGGAGGGGACGTAGTCTGGTTCCTGGAAGATTCCTCCGTGGGGCGCGAAGAGGGACTAGTCATACTGTGTTAGTCGATGATATGAGTGGCAAGGGCTCCATTGATACTCACCCTGGTTGGGACATAGCTGTGCGATTTCGAGTACCACGACGAGCGGCAGCAGGAGCGGCGGCGGGTGGGGGAGACGCTGCACGCCGCTGTCTCTTTGCTCTCCGGGGCGGGGAGGGGGGATTGGAGTGTCCCGGAGCGTCGGTCGATCGATCGGTTCGTGCAGGGGCTTTTCGTTTCCGAGCAGGGGCCGAGCCAGCGGCGGAAATGGGGGGAGAGGGACCGGAGCTAACGGGGGGAGGGTCTGCAACTAGTCTCGCAGCCGAACGAGTGACTCTGCGTGACATGAGAGTGTGAGCAGGTGTTGGTGATGATGCGAAAATGTGTGGGAGGCGAAGGAGGGGTGGGGATGGAGTTGAAGATCAAAAGACGCGAGGCAATTGCTAAGTGGCAAAGGCAGAAGGCCAATCCCGATACGTAGCATGCAGGAGATAGAGGGGATGCGGGTCAGCCCGAGCAACGAGCAACTCTCAGCAACGAGGGATTTGCTGTAATGCATGGGCCACACCCCGGCCGGGATGCTGTGCTACTGCCTTGTACGGAGCCACTCAGACGGACGAAGGGAAGTCGTCAAAAGGCGACGCAAGTTGCAGGAAAAGAAAGATCTTCGGGTATGTACCTGGCGGCAGAGGTAGAAGCTCCAGCGGAGGATGGCACAGCAGATGAATCCTCAAACGGGTCCTGGCGGTGAGAGTTGGGCCTTTGTCTGGCCATATGTTGATTGCTAGCGAGAGCTGGATGGGGAGGGGCTCGCTCGTCGGTCGCTACCGTTTAATCCGCCATCCGTGAGTCCGAAGGAAGACAACCGAGGGTGGACAGACAGACGGTACTGAGTCGGTTGGCGTAGATTGAGAAGATCGAGAGAGTGTGGGAGGGATGCAGTGAGAGAGATGGACAGAGCGGGATGGAGCGGCGTTTAGGAGGACGGGCTGAACCTCGAGATGACGCAGAGGGGTTTAAGGAGATTAAGTATGGAAGCGTATAAGGGAACGACGAAGCAGCAATACCAGAGTCGTCAAACGGGTCGTGCCGATGGAAAGAGGTTGAAGAATGGAGGGAGTTGGACGTTGGAGGATGAGGAGGAAGAAGATGAAGAAGTGAGGAGACCGAGACCAAGACGGATTTAGTGGAACTGACGTGGTTGATGCCCGGCAGCCTCAGGACGCAACAATGCGGAGATCATCAGACACCCGAAGCGCACTTCTCTTCCAACTGAACTCTTCATCATATTCACTCAATTCTTCTCTCTCGCTCCGTTGAGATTGTACAGCTGGCATTTGCCACCAGGGTTCTCCGTATTCCAATATCCTTTCCAATGTCCTGAACTCCAAAGATGAGGACCCCGCGGCGTGGAGCATGTCTTCGGAGACGGGCTTGGCGATTCCGATAAGACATGCTGATGTCAGTCAAGGACCGAAGTAGCATTCCGATGTTTGTCTGTCATTGAAATGGCCACTGAACCGGAAAGGGTAATGAATACACGTTTCTACATATACTGGATGAATCTCGTTGACTGCGTGCGAGGTCGGAATGTCCATATATATTGAACCACGCCCTCCCAATAGCATCCACATCCACGATCTCAAGCAAAAAACTGTGCAACCTTTCTCACCACCGCCAATACATCCTGAGGAACGCTCAAGAACGGTGCATGACCAGAATCTACTCGGGCGATGTCAAATCCCCCCAATCGAGCCATCTGCTCCTGGAACGCAGGTGGGACGGCCTGATCTTGCTCGAACAGAATATAAGTCTTCGGACACCGAATCTCCGACTCCATGTACTGTGGGAAATCAGTGATACTCTTCCGCGTTTGCTTCGTCTCTATCTTGGCCCATTCGACGTCGGCTTCTTCAGGGGTTAGATTGCTGAAAAAGAGCGGTTTGGCACTATTTTGGAGATGAGATATGCCGTCCTGCGTTCCGTATCACTCCGTCAGAAAACCAGAAAAGGGAATGGACTGTGTGGAGGGGTAACCTGGACAATGTGGTAGGGCGGCGGCGGGACAATTTGGTCGTCTCCCATGATACCCTTTCCCCGAGTAGGGAACACGAAGCCAGCGATGCTAATGACGGCGACGATGCCGCCAACAAGCCCCCTTTCAGCGCGTTCTATAACAGTTTGGCCCTCCACAGATGCCGTGGCTGGGAGCGATCCGTAGCTGTGCGACATGATAACAGCATGTCGGCCTTGGTCGGAGAGAGGGATTAGCTTCTTGCGAATCTCTGCTGCATCGTCGAAGAATGTCTTCTCTGGGTCGACCTTGTCCCCGCAGACGATATGACTGACTTCCAGCACTTCGTAGCCATCGGACTGCAGTAGTTTGGAGATCTTGCAGTAGTGGATTGGCTTATGGAATGCCCCGGAGATGATGACGATGATCGGCTTCTCGGACGTCATGATGGTGTGCTAGATAGTTCGTGCTTTTCTATGATAGTAGGCGCTCTTGAATCAGAGTACAAGGGGCTTGATTGATCCCGCTACGTATACTCAATCTTTCTACGACTAAACCCTTAGACAAGGCCTAAGCTGTGTACGAGTCAATGCTGACGCCTAACCATTTAGGATTCAACGGAGGCCAATGGAATTCATGACAGGGTCCAGCTGGGGGCCTAACCGACCAACAAATTTATTGTGGCACATACCAAGCTTTGACCGTTGTATAGCAAAGAAAACGCTACATTATTGAATTGCTTCAAGAGCTAATTGAAGTAAAACGTAGCAAAATACAAAATACAGTCAATCTCAACAGCTAGCAAGCTCCCACCATTCTCCCTTGTCCCTGAGAGGAACGGTCTAGAACTGAGAGAAAAAGTCCCAGATCAGCCCTCCAGTAAAAGAATTCTGGGCCCCCGCATCCGAAGGAGTCGGCTCATGGTCACCATCAAAAGCAACCCACTGGACCGGGTGTCCGTCAGAGCAGCCCGTGTAATCCGTGACGGTATGCGTGCCACTGCCGGCGGCCGGCTCCTGGGGGCTCGCAGCATCACATCCGTTGACCTGGACAAAGTGGTCCCGCAACTGGCGACCGAGGTCGATCGGCAGGACGCTGTCACTGACACCGTGCTGCCCGAAGTAGGCGATGGGGACGGAACCGCCGTCGCAGCCACTGATTTCGGCGCCGGAGAGCACGGCCACGGCGCGGAAGACGTCGGCACGGGAGCAGGCAACGGAGTAGCTCATGCCACCACCCCAGCTCCAGCCGGTGGCAAAGCGGCGCTCCTCGTCAATGCAGTAGCTGGACTCGACCGCCTCGAGGATGGCGTCGGTGAAGGCAATGTCGTCGCCGTTGCTGTTGGCCCAACCATTGTCAATGCCTTGGGGAGCAACGAAGATGGTGGGCACATCGCCGGCAAGGTAGCTCAGTCCGTAGAAGCCGCCATCCACGACATTGTTCATCGTACCGTCGCGCCAGTGGTAGCCGATCACGAGCTTGTGAGGAGTGCTGGAGTCGTAGTTGTCGGGGGTTTGGATGATGTATTCCCTGTTTTGTCCATTGACGGTGAGGGAGTTCAGCCCGCTACTGAGGCTTGGGGTCGTCCCGCAGCCAGCGCTGTTTGCGGCGACATTGGCGGCTAGGCCAGCCGCAGAGGCGGCAAGGGTGGCTGCAGAATAGCGCATTTGGAGGTGTAGGTGGGTTTAGGGCTGAGACAGTATGTGGATGAAGACCTGCTGCCGCCAGCTAGGATGATATCAAGATGGGAGATGAGAGGCAGGCTTGAAGATGAAGATTATTCCGTAGAGCGGAAGGGAGTACGGTTATATAGCATTTTACAGGCTATATCGAGACAAAGATACCTTAGGTAGATCAGGGTCTGTAACTACCCAGATATCCTGAGACCAAGGCCAAGAGGCCAAGAGGCCAGTCCGGGTATATCATCAGACGTCTCCTCCAGGTTCTGAAGTATAAAACTAGCCGTCAATCCTGAACAAGGCACATGGAATCATAGCAGGACGTAAGTGGACCAGGTCAGGGACACAAACGAGGCCTTCTTTTCAGCCTGAATTGACGCTTGTGTCAAGACAAAACCCCTTCCGACGTGAGGATGGCAAAGATCGACGTCTCAGGAGCCTTATAGGAAATTCCCCTGCCATCCCTGAACAAACTAATGCATGCGCATTGTGGTCGTCGGTAGTGGCTGGACGCCACTTTTGCCGGAAAGACAGGCTAGCTCGTGGACTGATATATGTACGGAGTACTCCGTATGCCATGCGCTGAACCTCCCCCACAATTCCCCCGAGACATTCCATGACGATCGTCGTGGTGGCGCCGACCCCTGCATTGCTGCTGCTCAAGTCCAACATGTACTGACATGCGCCAAGATTTGCTAAGGCGTCTGATACAGACCATCGTCGCAGCCACCGTCGCAGCTAAGATGAGACTCAGTACCCTCGGCTGGAGAAGAAACGGACATTTGCCGACTACATCAGGGTCTGTGAGGGGGTATGATGGATTCGATATAATAATTATAGACAGTGGTTGCACTCTTGCACCGTTTCGCATTATTCCCGTTCAAGCTCGGAGTTGTCTCCATGAGCCCCAGCAAAGACCGTCATGATGCCGATGCTCCGGTGGGGGTATCAGATCGGCAGAGAGAGAGAGATCTCGGTATAGGCTGGATCCCTTATACATACATACCTAGGTGCAATTATCCCGACAATCACAAAGAATGGTGGTCAATATAAACCTAGTGGTGGTCTTTGAACGGGAGGTCAACCACCTTTTCAGCCCAATTCCATTCCCTCAAATATTGCACCATGAAGGCCTCCACCCTGACCCTGGGGTCCTTGTCCCTCGCTCTCCCAGCCCTGGCTGAATTCTCTAACCCCGTCTTCTGGGCGGACTTTGCAGACCTCGACGTCATTCGCGTTGACGATGCCTTCTACTATTCCGCGTCCAACATGCACTATTCGCCCGGTGCTCCCCTGCTTCGGTCCTATGATTTACTGAACTGGGAGTTTATCGGCCACTCCATTCCTGAACTGGCCTTTGGGTCCGCGTACAATCTGGACGGTGGTCAGGCCTATGTGCAGGGCACATGGGCGTCGACCATCGGCTATCGCCCAAGTACCAAGACCTTCTATTGGCTTGGATGTATCGATGGAACGACCTATATTTACACGGCGAGTGCGGCCGAAGGCCCATGGACACAGGCATCGACCATCCCAAAATGCTACTACGATGCAGGCATGCTTGTCAGTAGCGACGACACGCTGTATGTGGCCTATGGTAATAGCGGCATTACGGTCGCTCAGCTGTCCGAGGATGGCTCGAGTGAAGTCAATTCTCAGGTGGTCTTTCCCACGGATGATGCAGGCTACCTGGAGGGCTCGCGCTTTTACGAGCGTGACGGTAAATTTTACATCTTCGTCACGCACCCTGCGAATGAGGAACATGTCCTCATGTCGACCTCTGGCCCCTTTGGACCCTACACCCGCAAGCCGTTGGTACAGAGTGCGGGCAACCCAGTGCCAAACTGCGGGTACCCTCACCAAGGTGGCATTGTGGACACACCCAATGGTGACTGGTACTATATGGCTTTTGTGGATGCCTATCCTGGTGGCCGTGTGCCCGTCCTGGCGCCCCTGGTCTGGGGCGACGACGGATGGCCAACGGTTCAGCTGGTGGATGGAGCGTGGAGCACGACCTACGAGACCCCGAATATCACGCCCTCCAACACCCCGGTGTCGTCCTTTGTGCCTGGGACGGATGATTTTACGGGAACAACCCTCAGCCCACAGTGGGAGTGGAATCACAACCCGGACAACGATCGGTGGTCGCTCGACAACGGACTGATCCTGAACACCGCAACCGTGACGAGTGACTTGTATGCGGCGAGGAACACGCTCACCCGCCGTATTCTCGGCCCTCAATCCGCGGCCACGATCCACCTGAATACTACATCTATGGCTAGCGGCGACCGTGCGGGTCTGGCGTTGCTCCGCGATTCTTCCGCCTGGATCGGAGTAGTCAACGATGGGGGAGCCTCTCACATCAGCCTCACGACGGGACTCTCGATGGACACGGACTGGAACACCGCGTCCACCGGGTCGGAGGCTGCTACGGCGGACTTTTCCGGGGATGAAGTGTGGCTGCGAGTGAACGCAAATATCGAGCCCACCGCCGCCACGGGGCAGTTCTCGTATAGTCTGGACGGAGAGACGTTCACCAACCTCGGCGATGCATATGCGTTGAACAAAGACTGGGAGTTCTTCATGGGATACCGATTCGGGATTTTCAACTACGCCAGTGGGGAGTTGGGCGGCAGTGTGAAGGTGAACTCGTTTGACTTGTCTACTTAGTACTCCATAGTAATAGGGAGTAAATCCATCCGATCTATCCTCGGTGAGAAGAATCGTGAATAAGCGGCAGTGGGAGAGGCCGTTCTCCGGTGACAATACCATACCCGATAATGACCGATGATGTGATCGCCTTTCCCCGCATGAACAGGGCAAAGTTTCCCCGCCCGATACATACGATACATACAGATACCACCCCCGCGCAGGTGACTAACGTTTTCCACAATCGAGCCGCGCCTACAACCGAGCCGCGCCCTTTCCACCAAAACTCCTATTTCCTAAGGCTTTTCAACCACCAACGCCATTAAATCTAACTAACTAAATACATGAAATTATAGCCATCTACTAGGGCAATTTCGAATTGTATGTCCGATTGTTCCACACCCACTACAGCGCTGCGGAGCTCGTCGACGAGGCGCTAGAGTAGATTCCGCAGGCTGCTCATTAAGCTGCGTATCAAGCTGCTGAACGCGGTTTTCACCTTCCTGCACATTAAGAAGGCGGTCATTACCTATCTCAGCACGTCTTCTTGCTTTTTTTTGACGTTGTCGTCCATTTTCAGCGCGTATAGCCCTAATTTCTTGCTGCAAAAGAAGGGTAGTTTGCATCGCCATTTGCGCTGCTTTCTCCAGATGTTGAATATGCGCAATAGGACTGCTAGAAAGCTGCCGCTTTCTATTAAGGCTATTCTGCAGGCTTCGAACCTTTCGATTCAGCTGGCGAGTATTCTGCGGAGTCTGAAAAGCAGAGGAAACTGAGCCTTCAACTAGTGGTGGTGTAGGCGTACGCAGTTGAAAGGTAAGCTTGGAAAGAACATGCTCTGGATCAAGCGGCTTAAGCCCTGCTCCTCTAAAGCCGCTGCAGATATTGGCCGAAGTAAAGATTTGCTTGTGGGCGTCCGGATATAGCGATAGGAAGTCTTCTTTATCAATATGGTTGTTGCCAGCAGCCATAAGGTCTTCAAGGAGCTTTCCGTACGCCTCTTTAAGCGGGCCAAAAACGCCCACATCAAGCGGTTGAAGAAGATGTGAAGTATGGGCAGGCATGCAGAGACATATTATTGCATTCTGCTTGCAGAAATCATCGAATTCAGCAGTCAAATGACTACTATGGCCGTCAAGAATAAGCAAGCGCTTTGCACCAGTCATATAGCGCTTAGAAAGCGGTTCAAAGACATTTTTCAGCCAGAGAAGGCCTATTTCATCAGTCGTCCAGCCATTCTGACTAGTAGAAATCCACCAGTCGCGAGGCAGCTTAGGTTCTTGGAACCAGGCAGCCTGTTGAACGCTTGCCTTTAATATAATGACTGGCGGTAGATATACGCCTCTTGACCCGATTGTTTCGATGATTGTAACCCATTCACGATTGCCCTGAATAACTCTGCGCGGTCGCTCGCTTCGCTCTACTGCAGTAATCACTTTTGAAGTAGAGCAGACTCCCATTGCAAAGCCAGTTTCGTCGAAATTCCAGATATCGTCTTCATGTATGCCGTGTTCTTGAATAGTCGCTCGTACGGTCTCAAACCACGGGCCTATAACCTTTGGATCTTCCTGCTTTGCGCGCTGATAGGTAATACGCCTTGTATATCGCGTACGGAGCTGAGGATGGCGTTTAACAAAGTTATAAGGCCAGTTAGTTCCGATAGCTGCGGTAGGGTCTTGTAAACGACTGCGAAGTAAAACCTGGGCCATTCCACGTAGAAATTCGGGTCGAATTGGAAATCCTCGCGTATCTGCATCTAATAATCGCTTTAGAAGTAATTCCTCTTCGAATTCGGTCAGTTTATGACCATTGGCGCGTGTTTCCGACCGTGATTTAGCACCATGAAGCCGGTCGCGTACAGTGCTTTCGGGGACAGCAAAAAGGGCCACAGCGCGTTTAATTGATTTAACCTGGCCTTTCTGATAAGCTGAAATAGCCATCTGAATGCGCGATTCTTTAGAAAGATGCATATTAAATTGTGGTGATGAGAAAAGACGCGTTGAATTTAGGAAGTAGGAGTTTTGGTGGAAAGGGCGCGGCTCGGTTGTAGGCGCGGCTCGATTGTGGAAAACGTTAACTGACTTCCCTTAAGTAATCCAAAGAATCAATCCGGTCAACTTCTTCGTCTCTTCCGTCCAACTCTCCCCTCTCTTCCTCCACTGTCTTGCTTCACGACCGCTGTCATCCATTCCGCCGCCATTTCACATTCCATCCAAGCGTATACCACTCGCACACCATGGCGGACATGATGGGAGGACGGGTGCGACGATGTCCAACCAGGCCCATGATGCTCTGCCTCCGGGCCCCCATGGATGACTACACATTCCCCCGAACTTTCGCCCTGAAGCGGAAAGATGGACGACCCGGAGAAAGACCCCTCTGTTGCTGGTGGCCTGTGGGCTCAATTCTCCCCCATCACCTACCTCCACCTGCGCATGTTCGAAATGGCCGCCGACTACGTCAAATTCAGCACCAACTTTTGAGATCATCGGCGGATACCTTTCTCCGGTGTCGGATGCCTACCGCAAGGCTGGCCTGGCCAGTGCAGAGCATCGGTAAGCCCCTCCTCGGGGGAACCCCGATTACTACACCCGCACGGAATTGGACTGACCAATCTATTCTTAGCGTGGCCATGTGCCAACTCGCTGTGGACCAGACCTCGGACTGGATCATGTGTGATACCTGGGAGCCAATGCAGAAGGCCTATCAACCCACTGCCGTGGTCCTGGACCATTTCGACTACGAAATCAATACAGTGCGGCAGGGCGTCGAGGCCGCTGATGGCAACCGCAAGCCTGTACGCATCGCCCTTCTCGCTGGGGCCGACCTGATCCACACCATGTCTACTCCTGGTGTATGGAGCGAGAAGGATCTCGACCACATTCTCGGAAAATATGGCGTATGTGCATGAACCTCCCGAGTCTCTTGACTGTGCGTTTATCTAACATGTCTCGTACAGTCGTTCATCGTGGAGCGCAGTGGAACAGACATCGACGAGGCGCTGGCCGCTCTCCAACCCTGGAGGGATAACATCTACGTCATTCAGCAGCTCATCCAAAACGACGTGAGCAGTACCAAGATCCGTCTGTTCCTAAGGCGTGAAATGAGCGTCAGGTACTTGATCCCCGTACCAGTCATCCACTACATCGAACAACATCATCTGTACGAAGATGACGGTGCAAACGCTGGCTCCGCCGCCGACAAGGGTAAATCTGCGCAAGAGCCCGGACGTTCAGGTTGATGCCATTAGGTGCCGACCCTGATCCACCTGGTCTCTTAGCCCTTGAGTTTGGTAGTTGCGAGCCGCTGCCGTCCGTCCTGTGGGAGAAAATACGCGAGCGACAAACAGACTGGAGAGCTTCCCTCCCCAAATTCAAATTCGAGGCTCAAGTCCTCGGTAGCCCGTGCAATATACTCTGGGATCTCACACCTCCATCGGTCCTGGTGTCCGATGGGACGGTACGCCCTTTGCACGATGAATATATGTGACGAACTGGGGCATCTTACCAGTCGACGCATGGGCTTCGGATACCGGCCTCCATCTCGCTTCGCTGTCTTCCATGTCATCCCCGCTCGAACTCCCGCAGTCCATCTGATTTCGCCTACGTTGAGTGTCACGAGTAATGTGTTGAAGATACCATAGAGCTGCCTCGTTTATTTGCGTTTGTTTCGATGGTCGTTGGACTTTTGGTTATGATTTATACCCCTGGCACGACAGCTGTATTGTTACGCTAGATGGTAGATACATCTTGATCGGCTTATGTTTTTTATTATAATTGCGAGATGCATAAGATATCACAGCTTTGCGAGTTTGTCTACCACCCCATACACCGGAATGTTTCCAAGATGGGCGCTCAGTAATAATGAAACCGCCTAGAACAAGCAACGGCATCCTCCCAGTAATATAAGAAATCTAAGCGCATGTTGAGTGAAGCAAGGAAAAGAGAAGGGACCTGCGCGGATTGGCTCTATGCAATATATAAGGATGAAGTCAAGTATTAACAGACGGAGAAGCAGGAGACAGCACTTCCAGTCAGAATGGACAAGAATGAATGGGCATTTCGTTCATAAACGTCATGGTCGGACAGATGCAGCGGAATGGTGGACCACATCTGCAAGGATGAATCGTGACGAGCAAGGGGACAATCGCCAACAAAACCAAGAAGCCACCGGTCGACTCATGATTCATTCCACAAGTCCTCCAACTCCAGTAATCCTACACAGTCATCAAGACCATCGTCGGACGTGACAGCAATAACGACTGCCGTTTCTCCAGCGGCTGCGCTCGTGTCCGAGACGATCTGGCGCGCGTCCTCGACAGTCACGGCACGAGGCAGCCGGATCCAGTCGTTTCGCGGAACAGAACACTGAATCCCCAGCTTGACGATCGAGGGCACATCCATGTCCACGTAGCTCGTCTGGGCGAGAGACCGCAGACGACGCGGGGGCACGACCTCCGCAGGCGACAGGAAGACCCACGATTTCGCATTCGGGTGCTGGATAGCCGTGAGGAGGATATCCAGCAGGCGCACGCTGCGGGCCCCAGATACAGTGGGAATCAGGTCCACAGGAACCAGGAGGTCCGCGAGACGCGTAGGTCCGTCTGTCACCGCGGGTGGCAGCTGCGGCGTGGAGAGATCATCGGGGCCAGTGGACGGGAACGAGGCGGTGGACATGCTCATCGGGGTGAAGACGCTGGACGCGGCTGCGCCGATGGCGCCACCCGGATGGAAGCTCTTGAAGACCTCTGCTGGACCTCGGCCCGGGGATGTGTGCAGTCGTCGGGCGGTTGCGATGGCTAGGGCGTCGCCTAGAGCGAGCGCGACGGTTGTTGATGACGTTGGGGCGCTCACGCCGAAGGAGGACTCTTCATCCTCGTGGATCGGGGCCGGGAGGAGGATGCACATGTCCGGCGGTGGGATGAGGAGTAAGGGACATGTTGAAGGATGGAGGTGCGCAGTGATAGCAATGACGGGGACTGTGGAGGGTATATGCGGGAGTAGCAGTTGGAGCTCCGGTGTGCGACCCGAGAACGAGATCAACAGGAGGGTATCATGCTGTAGAGTGCGTCGTTAGCGGGTGTGCATCAAGACGGGTCCGCAGGGCAGCTCACCGGACGGATCATGCCTAGATCGCCATGCAATGCTTCTGTCGGGTGGAGGAAGGCGCTGTAGACACCGAGACTGTTCATGGTCGCCTCCAGCTTCTGCGCAATCTTCCCACTTTTGCCGACGCCACAGCAGACCAGTTTCCCTCCATGGCGTATACTGTGAGCGATCTGGCCTACCGCGCGGGCGAGGTTCTCCTGTGCCAAAGGGTTCGTTTCGTAGAGATTTTCGAGATGCGCCAAGGCAGCGCGTTCGGTCGAAAGTACCTGGATGGCGGTGGTTACCGCGTCCCCGGAGGCGTCCTGGACCGGTGAAGGTGTTGGGACTGTCGCATCGGGGGGCGTCAATGGAAGCGCGCAAAAATCGTCGGGTATCGCATGATTCTTCTTGATCGTGCTTAGCGATCTCGTCGTGGGGATGAGGCCCGACAGTGGCGTCGCGCAGAGCGGCTGTTGGCGGCGATTATGGAGGTGCCCCATGATGCCGGTACCATTCTCCAGAATGCACGTACACGATCAAAGGGTCTTCTCCCAGGAGGAGCCCGGGAAAAGGAATCCCCAACAGCAATCCGGCACGAAACAGAGGCTTGATGGCGGGGAAGAGGAAGGTTGAGTCGGAACAAGAGGTGGGGGGCGAAATGTTCGGTTTAGTCAGGATGGAAGATCTCGGGGATAACTACACATCCGGGGCCGACCACAAGTCAACAGGCGAGAGACATCAGAGAAGAGACATATTGTAGTTAATTATCTGGCGTTTTGTCGCAAGTCAATAATGGATAGAGAAGGATTCGCTGACACCATCGGGGCCTATCTTGACGCACTGCCGATCCTCCTGATTGATAATCGGATCAAGTTCGGACTTTTCATCCCTCGATAAGATTACTATACACTGTTGTCTAGATCACACAAACTAATATACAGTTTTATTATTCTACCTCTCAAGAATCATTCCCATTCCACTTACTGCAGAGGCTTGATTCCCTTGTGGATCGCTGCAATGCCTCCCGTCAAATTCTCGAACCCGCGTCCCGGGATCATGAACCCGGCCTTGTGGATCATGGCGCGGAACTCCTCCTGGCTCGGGAACTTGTCGATGCTCTCCACCAGATACTGATAGCTGTCGCGGTCGCCCGCCACCAATTGCCCGATGAGCGGGATGGCGCTGAAACTCCATTGCTTGTAGACCGCGTCGAAGAGCGAATTGTCCACTTTGCTGAACTCCATGCACGCGAACACACCACCCGGCTTCAACACGCGGAAGGCCTCTTCCAGCGCCGCCTGCTTATCCGTGAAGTTGCGGATTCCAAAGACGACCGTGTAGAGGTCGACCGAGTTATCCGGGATCGCGGGCATGTGCTGCGCGTTGGCCTCCATGAATGACAGGCGGGGCGTGTTGTAATACGGCGTCTGGATGCTTCGCTTCTTGCCTTCGGCGAGCATGTCAGGGTTGATATCAGAAATGGTCACCCGGGTTTCCAGGTCATTGTTGATGTTGGTCGCGTGGTCCAGCATGCGAAACGCGATGTCGCCCGTCCCGCCGGCGATGTCGAGGATGTTCCAGCCTCGCCCCGTAGTATCGCTTTCGCGGGATGGGAGTGCGGAGCCAGGATTGAGGGAGCGTACAAAGTGGTCCTTCCACAGGCGGTGGATACCCAAGGACATGAGATCGTTCATCGTATCGTAGGACGAGGCCACCGAGCTAAAGACAGCGCCCACTGCAGTAGGATTGGAAGATTAGTTTCAAATTGCAGACCGCCAACTGTGCACAGCCTTCGCCTCGGAGTGGAACATACCGAGGGACTCCTTTTGCTCTTCAGGGACATTGCGATAGCCAAAATGGGTCATGCGGTCCTCGGTGGATTTGGACGACTCAGTCTGGGCCCGTCGCGTGCAGGAAAAACAGCGATAAGGAGTTTCCGAGGCTCCCACTCTCCTGGTCGTACTCGACCGAAGGGATCTCCATACTGAGCGGGAAAACATATTGTCTGTGAGGGGAATTGGCCGTCCGTGGGACAAGACGTGCAGGAGGAAGTGAATGTGACGCTGCGGAAAAGAAAGTCAAAGGCGGTGTCGGCCTCATCGGTCTCCGATTCCGAGCGACTCCAAGCGTTCATTCCTCCATCGCAGTCAACAACACCACACCATCTGTCGATTACTATATCCTCGACATTGGTGTACTCTTATTATCGATCTTTCTGTGCTGACGATGATCTAAGAGTTTGTCCTCAGTTGGAGAAGACTGAGAACCCCTTGTCATCAGCTGATATATATATTCGGAAGTACACAGGCTGATTGCGATCCCAACCAGCGCATACGTTGAAGTCGACGCCACCACTGTATTGAAAGTTATTTTAGGACCACTAGCTGTAGTCAAACATCAATCCTCCTACGTCCAGGGTCTGCCGATGTATACCTACCCAATCAAAGCATCATCGCCATTGAGAACCATACAACCTCTGCTAAGACATTCCAAGACATGAATCTCCATCTAATCATCTCTAATCTCATCAAAGATGGTGAAAGAGGAAATGGATACCCCGGTAAGCTTCCCCTGCTGCCTGAGGAACGCAGACGTGTTGGTAATTCCTCCTTCGTGGGACATGGCCGCCGCTACCCGACATAATGAGCCTCTGCTTTCTCTCCCTGGGGGCCCTTCGATTGACTTACGGAATGTCTCGCCCACCTCACAGCGCCATTGCTTCCAAGCCACCGCAGTCTCGTTGCGAACAACAGTCTGCTGGCCGATAATACTCGTCCACATGCCATAATAGACTCCTCCGCCAGGAACCTGAACGAAAGGTGGATCTGTAATGAGGTTAGAGTTGCTAATACGTATAATAACTATAACCTGATTCTTACTAGGACTCTGCTGGTACTGTTGGTTGAAAGACCCATCTGGCCAGGTCTTCCACCGTCTAAGCTTCTAGGTGTTAACGCCTATGTTAACTATCTGTTCGGGGAGAGGGACAAACCTCCTCACTAATCTGATAGTACCCCGCCGGACCTGAGAGGTTAAAGCTCCGCACGGCCCCAGGAGTATTGTCTTTTCCCTTAGTCCTGTAAGGGACTAGACCACCCTGAAAATGGAGGTCAAAAACTGCAGCTGTTAGTAAGGAGAAGGCTAGAGACCGAGGAAACTCACAGGACCCCATAATATCTTGCACATCGCGGGCCGGCGCACCAATTATACCATAGCTTGTTAGGTTCTTGAAGGTAGTACCTGGCGGACATTTGCAAGGGCGATCGATCATGCTGCAGGGAGGGAGGAAGGTTAGAGTAGCCGTAGCCGTCATTCCTACTGCGAGGAATGCGCAGATAATGCCGAAGAACTGCATATCGTCCGAGGATAACGTACAGTAGGTAAGGCTTGATAATAGTATTATTCACAAGACGAGACATGCTTCGGCGAAAACCATCGCCATTTATATATCCGAGTTTCTTGTGGGCCCATATCCAAACCCCATGGGAATCGATTTCACGGTCTATGCGGAATCCCCGCCCTGGCTAAATCACAGACATCTGCCTGTCTCCCAGCTGAAATGTTAGCTCGTATCGCTATTGCGTGCCTTCTTTCGGGCGTTGCTGCAAAAACCTGTTACTCGGTGTTTTGCAGGAGAACTACACTGCTGCTTTAAACCCCGCTGAAGGTGGCGTTACCTGGGACCTAGCAAACAGTGTTCATGTGAAGCCAGCAATGGATTGATAAGAGTCACGACATGACCAGCAACCTGTTCCGTATGACGAGGATGGTTGCAGAACACGGTGTTGGACGCCCGCCGAGGACGCCATCCTCCGCCATGAGGTGGACTTACAACAAGAACGATACATTCCTGCGTCCGAGGGTAGTGGTGGCACGCCATGAATTGAAGAATTCACTAACGCTGACAGCCCCATCCCGGGCACTCTCGTCACATCAGCTGGAATGCAATAGCTATAACTGTAAAATTCCAGGTCGTAGCAGCAAGGAACTGTCGGGAACTGCTTCATAACCAGTTTATGGGCGGGCTTACTGGTGGTGCAAGGTCGAGGTAGCGTCAGAGAAGATGCTCGTCTTCGAGGCTTGGTGAGAAGGTACCGCTGCAAGTAGGTGTTGATCGTTTAGAGGATGGATACGAGGACGGAACTCCTCGTAGTGCAAGCCGATTGGGAGCGTTAGTATGGCTTCATGCAGCGGAAAATGAGGGGAAGCGCCGAATACGAACCCGATTAGGCCAGGTGCCTAACGCAGTTAGAACGAGGCTAATCGTAACGCTTGTCGTGGCTGTATTTCCTCCTAGTGTTCGGCGAGAGGACTTTGCATAATAAGAGTAAGTCCTGCACCTGGGGTCTGTTGCAGAAGGGTAGCTTTTCTATCCCTGTTGTCGACATTACATTGTGTCATATGGCATCGAGCTGTGAATCATGGCCCTTGAAAAGGCCTTTGGCTCCTCTAGCTTCAATGCAAGGCAAGCATGATTTGGAGTTGATTTGGCAGTGGTATCAAGCTCACCAGAAGACTTACCATACGAGGTGCCACAAAGAGTCTTTACTTCAACTTCTACTATCCCACGTGCTCAAAGTGAATCAATTTGTCAATCTGCATCCTACATAAGGTGAATATGATCAGCTCTATTATACAAAACAGTGTGGGTGCATAAAGCGCTAGGCAGCCTGCTGAACGTGCGGATATAGGGGCTGGCAGTGACCATCACCGCGGTAATGTCCCCTCGAATAGACGTGTGCATATGGCTAAGAGACACAGATCCTGGGATACTGCACAGCCCATGTCATATACAAGGGTATCTTCCATCCCCTACGCCGCTTTCCGGGCCCGTGGACGCATGCGATATTGCGGCTTCCATACTTCTGCCGCTCCGGCAATGGCACGCTTCCATTTGACATGCTGGAATTCCACAAGAAGCACGGAAACATCATCCACATCGTGCAGGATGAGATCACCCTAATCTCCGTCAACAGGCTAGCCTACATGCTGGAGTGTCTGGACGAGGCCTTGCGCATGGACCCTTCCATTGCCAACGGTTTCCCCGGACTGCCCCGAAAGAGGGAGCCCAAATACTAGGTCAATCTATCCCAGGAAATGTAAGAATCAATTGAGTAGATTCCCCAGAGATTAGTCTTGAAAGACTGCAGAAATCTGTGTCGATTCATCAATCGGCACTGTATCGTCGGGGAGAATACTTTACTGATCCTGAGACCTACCACCCCGAGCGTTTCGCCGAGGATCCCAAGTTCGCAGATGATCGCCGAGATACATTACAGCCATTCCACGTGGGCCCTTGAAAATGTCTTGAGAGGGAGCATTTTTGCCAGGAGGGATTTCTCGTCGGTAGGTGCAGCGCCTGCTAACCGGTGTATAGTCTCGCCTACAGCGAAATGTGCCTGATTCCGGCCAAGACCATTTTCAACTTTAGTATGAAGCTTGCAGACAATGCGCATGACTGTATCCAGCAAACGGACTTCTTGATGTGGCAGGGGGGACTGTTCAATGTGCATCTGACGCCAGTTGTGCGATGAGGGCGTTCCTGTGACTTTGTATAGGTAATGACAACATCGCAGGCGGTGTTAAGGCCACAGCAACTGTCACTAGGAATCTATATCCACTCCACAGCAGCCAACGGGCAGGTCTGAATAGGCTTCCATTTTCTCAGAAAGAAAACCAGGCTGATGGCGTGCTCCAAACCCGTGGTAGCGTTACACCACCCTCCACCAGACACAAGGCTCATATCATGGCTTACCAGGCCAAGGAACGAGCATGAATCAGACATCGTGAGTGGCGAGTGCTACTCCTCCAAGCTGTCTGCGCCCCATAGGGGGTGCGACTACTCGCTTGGCAACCGGCGGAGAGATTGCAGACTGGAGCGCCAAGGGCACGATCACAGTTGCCAAGATGACCGGGCTGCGGAGAGGACTCAAAGGACGTCTTTGTCGACAACTCCAGGATAGAGATTGCATGGCCTGCTTAGGCCCTTGGCGGAGGCCCGCATGCAGCAAAATGTGTCCGGTGCGCTGAGCGCGTCTCAGCTGAGGCTTGTTCTTCTCACGTCTTTTCGACATATAGCTGTGCTGTTATCTTGTCTCATATGCGACTCCCTTGCGAATGTGAGCGCACGTTAAAGTGATTTGAACCATTTCTAGAGCGCACCCACGATGGTGCTGGTCCAGTACGTCAAGAAGGCTGTGAGCTGGCTGATCCCTCCTCCGCCGAAATCTGAAGATGGGCGGGATCAATGGCCGTCGCGCGCCGCTTTCCTGCTGGCTGCGATGGGAGGTTGCGCTGGCCAGGGAAACCTGATCCGCTATCCTTCGGTGGTCTATAACAACTATGGCCTGCAGTGGTTCATCCCGTATCTGATTGCCATCTTTGTCGTCGCCATACCTGCCCTCATCCTCGAGATTTCCATCGGCCAGGCGTACAGAGGGGGAACCGTCATCGCCTTCAACAAGATCAACAAGCGCCTGAAAGGAGTAGGGCTGGGACCCATTCTGGTCAGCTTTATCGTCACGCAGTACTTCACCGTCAATCTCGCATGGATTATGAACTATTTCCGCAACTCCTTTATCAGCCCGTTGCCCTGGGAAAACAGGATTGAGGAGTTCTACATGGGCGATGTTGTCGCCAACGTCGACCCTATCCCCGGCAATCTGACAGAGGGAAACAAGGAGGTCGCTGCCTATACCCAGTATCCTGGAGTGGCTGTTATCGGCGAGACCGTCGGCTGGAGCGCCTTCATCTGGTTCCTGATCTGGATCTCCATCTTCCGCGGAGTCGGTCTGACGGGACGTGTGGTCTACTGGACCATGGGGCTGCCCATCGTGACAACCATCATTCTGGTCGGGAGATCCGTTTCGCTCGACAACGCCGGAGCGGGCGTGCGACTCCTCTGGGCTACGTGGAGAGGCGGCGAGCTGGCCTCCGGCACAGTCTGGCAAACGGCCGTCGGACAGGTCTTTTTCTCGACCGGCATCGGTTTTGGCTACTTTACCTCATACGCCTCCTACAATGCCAAACATTCCAACGCGGTAATGGACGCACTGCTCATCTGCGGTAGCAACGTTCTGTTCGAGAACTTTGCCGCCTTTGCGGTATTCGGCGTCGTGGGCTATCTGCGCCGGTGGCCGCAGGACGGTGAGAGACTGGGAGCATTCGTAGTCGGATTCCTGACCCTCCCGGAGGCGGTTCTGCATATGCCCGGGGCGAATTTCTGGGCCTTCCTGCTCTTTTTCACCCTGGTAGTCCTGGGCTTCAGTTCGGCTTTTGTCATGCTCGACGCCGTGGCGACCTTGATCGTTGATTCTGGAGTTAAAGTTTCGCGCCCGATCATTGTGACGGCCTTGACGCTGATCTCGTTCTTGATGTGTCTGCCGTACTGCACGGAATTTGGCTTCTACCTGCTCGACGGTATCGACCGGTGGATCAACAACATTGGCCTTATCTTCGTCGTGTGGTCGGAGCTCGTCGGCGCGACTACCGTCTACCGCTGGACGGATGTGGTCGATCAGACGGGGCTACCGGCGTTCGTCGTGTACAACGTCGGGTATTTCGGAGGACAGATCGTCGGTGTCGCTGTCGCACACGGGCTCGAGTATCCCCCCGCGGGCGCTGGCGCAGGCTTTGGGCTTTACATCGTCTGCACGGTCCTCGCAATGATGATATCAAAGACGCCCGCCTGCGAAGCGCCCAGCATCTGGAACAACGTCCTCCTCAGACGGTTCTGGTACCTAGCCCTCTACTCGGTAAGACCCATCCCATCCCACTGTCCTTGGTCGCAATATCGACTACTAAACTGACACTGACACGCTCACAGGGCAATCAGCTCAGACGGGACCTCAATGCCGTCGTAGGCGGCGGCAAGAACTGGAATATCCCTCGCTTCTGGCCTGTCCTCTTGCGCTACGTCAGTGCGCCTATCCTGGCGATTATCTTCTCCTTTGCGTACCCCGAGTTCCATACCCTCCGGTATGACCCGCTCATGATCACCGGGTTTATCCTGACGCACCTGTGCTTGCTCGCTATCTTGCTCGGTCTGGTTATGCCTCGGTATTATGACGTGTTTATCCCGCCCAGTCGTCGGAATGACGGGGGCGAGGAGACTATTGTTAATGAGGCCAAGGAGGAAGAGGTGGTAGCTGAACGTTTGGATTCGAGTTTAGCCTGATGTCCAATGGATGCTCTGTTTTGCTTTGTTTTTGCTGGTTGTAGTTTGCTGTGGGATGGAAAGCGAGTGAAGAGCCTGCCGTAGTCAACCCTTTAATTGTGGCGATACTGAACGGACTGCGTTTAGCTCGCGGCACATCATCTAGACCAACTGCTGCGCAGGGAATGGAAGGATAACATTTGCACTGCACGAAGGTTGAAAATATATCTTTGCATTGCAGCCCTCGCCCTAAAGGACGCACAGATATAGCCTACGTCTTAGTCGTCTGATCCCAAAGGCTTCGCACCGTCACGTCCTGCACCCAATTTCCGTCAGTCTTATCTTCCTGCATTACAAACCGGATATCTCGTTTTTGTCCAGGTACCAAGACGAAACCGTTGTCCTCGAAATATCCCACAACCCCTGCTGGGTAGTCGAGCCAGGTATATAGCGAAACTCCGGCCTTAGCCTGGACTGTGAACGTGAGAGTCTTCGCATTGTATCGCAGCTCAAGATGAGGATCGACCAGCATAAGATCCTTGGGGAAGACGGGCGTAAAGTGGCCCTGGTGAGTGAGTGTGCTCTTCTTGTTCGAATTCGGAAGATGACCCTCAGCTTGTACAGACAAGATCAGAACGGAATTCTTCGGATCAGGCAGGGCCCGCTCGTTGATGTTCATGGAATATATCTTGGTAGTGTTGAGCGCTCCAACGACAAACGCAGCTGTTTTAGGTGTACGGGCATTTTGGGCGATGGGCTTGCCGGACAGATCCATCCATGCCAGATCAACCGTACCCGAGACTGGCTCCCATAAATCAGACGTAACGTACACATCGAGACGACGTGTGGTAGAGTTCCAGAAAGGCGACACAATGACCGGCTGGTAGATGTCTCGTGCAACATAGTGCAGTACCTTCCAGCGTCCATCGTATTCGATTCCCGCCCATGACGGAGCCTGCCATATATCCTCCAGCTGCCAGTACAACGAGCCGAGCTGGCGTTCGGGCATGCCGCTCCCGCGACGGTAGAACTGAATCTGCGATTTGTAGAAGTCGGCCTGGAAGAGCTGCGTTGCGTGACACCACGCGCTGAAATTCGCAATCGGGTCGGTCTTGTCTGGAACAGGATAATAATTCATCACTCCCATAGTCGTCTCGCCCATGCCCATCGAGGTGTTGTGGAAGTTGTGGGTGCTGAGATTCCCGGCAGGGTAGTGATGATTTCGGAGCATGATGACACTGCTGTTGAAATGCAGGTCTTCCGGGTCAACAGCCTGCTGCCACGATTGGAGACTTGGCATGCTGTGAAAGCCAAATTCGTTGGCAAATCGGCCAACAGGATATTGGGAGAAATCGAAAGCAACACTCGTGTCGTAGTTGTAGTAATCTGTGTCGCCGTAGTAGTGGCCCTCGGTAAGGTTTTGATATCGCTCAGCCATGACGATTTTGGCTGACAGGTTGACGTCCAAGTACCCTTCGGTTGTGCTACTCGGACTGTATGTGATGGAGTGCGTGTTTTCGTAGACAAGCGGCAAGATGAGATTGATGTACAGTGTCTCGTAGTCGCCAACGTACTTGGCGTACTGGTCAGGGTAGCTTCTCTCGATAGTGGGAAGGATCAATGACTCGATCTCGTTTCCGCCAGCCCATAATGCCAAAGATGGGTGATGATTGACTCGTCGCACATTGTAAACCACTTCAGCTGCGACATTATCCAGGAACGCCTTGTCAACAGGATACATTGCGTCGCTGAACTCAAACTCGCTCCACAGGAGGACGCCTCTCTCATCTGCCAGGTCGTACATGAAGTCAGGGAGATAGGCCCCAGATGACCACACGCGCAGCATGTTTTGATTGGCAGCTACCACAGAGTCAAACAATCGGGCCATTTTGGTTGTCGTAACACGCGCCCAGAACGCATCGGGGGGAATAAGATTGGACCCTTTGGCGTAGAACTCGTGCCCATTGACCTCGAAGTTCCAGTGTGCACCCGGCGCGACTCCTTGCGCTATTTCGGTGTCGGTGATATTGCGCTGGTTGAGGAAAATGGTACGGAATCCTGTTCGTTTGGTCACACGGGCTAAAGATCGGACGCCGTCGCTAACGGTGATTGTCACGTTATACAAGTTCTGTTCTCCGAGACCATAGGGCCACCAAAGCTTAGGAGACGCGTCCTTCAGGACCGCCACACCGGTGATGGAGCCATTCAGAATTGTAATATTTCGCAGAGACTGAGTGGTGAGCTCTGCACCTGAATTTGTCTCGCTGATGGCAATTGACATGGACGAATTGGAGGGTAGAGAACCAAAGAAATCGATGCTTGCATTCAGGACCCACGGCTGCGTCTGGTCTGGAGGGAGATAGTTGATCTGACCCTGGCGATAGATGTCCAGATCAGTGTTCAAGACATGGACATTTTGCTCGCTGCTCAGTTGAACCAGGTACGCTGGCTTCCATGGACCCGCGGGCGCAAACGCAGGTCCCCAGTCCCAGCCAAAGTCAGACTGCTCTTTGCGCATGAACCAGCGGTTTGGATACTCGTATGATTGTTGGATCCCGAAAGGCCATTCTAAAGACTGTTAGTCCGGGGCTACGCATGGAAATGGCGTGCCTTACGGGGTGATGCAGGGTCTGCCGCAATTTGATCCACAATTTTTGGGGCACTCCCAAAGTTCAAGCTTAATACTGGATCTGCCGTGCAGTCTTTGACAGCTTCAGATATATCGAATGCATATTGGCGGAATTGATTGTTGGTCGAAGCGATCTGCTTGTCACAGTATTTGATCGTTGCGAATGTGTCTAGTCCTTCAAATACTAGCCATGTTGAGTGTGTGTTGTTTCCCCTATCCTTTGGATGAGACGAGAATATTCAGTGATCTGTGACAGAACCTACAATCCTCGGATGGGGTCGCTGGTATAAGTCCAGTTCGCATCGGCGATCCAGCGAAGATTAAAGTCGTTTAGATCGTGGTAGCTTGATAATGTGTGTTAGCGTAACATAAAGACCAGCTCTTCCAGTATGGCATACGGATCATCTATTTATCGTGAGTTTACCCTGCTGCGGAATACAAGGAACATTAGAGGTGTATACCAATGACTCCCGCCCGGAGTAAATCCAAGTGCACCTGAGAAGGGAGATGACCAGGAACTGTCCTGTTCAACGCCGGACTGCTCAGGGTCCAGCCTAATTTACCCAGATCATAGATCTGCGGGTCATTGAGGGGAGAAGACACGGCTGAGGCCAGAACGGCTATAGTAGCCTGGGCTGGCACGCGCATGACGAAGGTGAATGAGGAATGAATATGACCAGCTAAAGACAAAGAAGCCCCTCTTGTGCGTTAAGAAAAGAGGAGGGATTCTTGTTCATACTGGACGGATCGTCGTGCGGAGTAACCCGATCCAATGTCAACGTCGGAAAAGCAATGCAACATTGGATTTCCGCCAGTGCAACACGACTTAAGCGTCCCAGTTCAGATCAAGCTGCCATTAAGTACCCTAGTAAATTAGCCAAGTATTCAAATCAGTCTTGTATCTGAGAACAAGTGTATGATGCTTACCAACGATTGTCGATAGTATAGTTTGGAGAGTCATGTTCCTTGAGAAGCGGAATTGAACGTGTCAAGACATATGGTGCCTTACGCGAACTTCATAGTCATAAATGACGATATAATGCGCATTTCAGTCGATATGAGCCGCAATGATTGGAATGGAGAGGGTGTCCAACGAGGTAGTAGGAAGGTAGTAGTAGGTGTCTGGGAGGAGGGCAGAGAGGATCATGTGACCGCAGGAGACCTGATACGTCCCAAGCCAAACACTCCAAACAGACCAAACCTGGCAAAACTTCCCCATCGGGCATCCACGGCTATTGACGGCGAGCGTGACGTCGTTCCGAGGCCAGCCGTCTTCCTCCGCATTCCCCAGGTATTCCTCCACTATCACCATGGGGGTCCATATGTATCGAGAGACCCCTCGCTTTGTCTCTTCCCATCTCACCTCCATTGTCGCTTCACGTCTTCTTCACACACGCCCACAATGTCGACGATTTTATCGCGGCACCTCTCCCGCAATGCGCGGCTCTGTACGCGCATTCCCCTCCGATGGAGTAGTTCCATCTCCCAGCGGCCCGGCTCCGATCGGTAGGTGATTTGCCATTGATAAGACTAGGGACGGTGTCTGACAATTGCGTAGCGTCCGCTTTCCTGGGGCTGTCAACAGCAAATTCACAACCGATATGACATTCATCACTCCCTCTGACCTTCCCAGCATCCCCACCTACCGTATTATGGACTCCGACGGCGTCCTCCTGGATAAGAATCGGGGACCACCAGATGTACCCAAGGAGGAGATAGTAGCCTGGTATAAAAACATGCTGACAGGTCAGTACATGCCAGTATTTGTCGATCATTGCACTAATGTTCATAGTGAGCATCATGGATGTGATTATGTTTGAGGCACAGAGACAAGGCCGTATTAGTTTCTACATGGTAGCACCCCTTACCATCGCGCAATTGCCCTTATATGCTCAGCCACTGACACTGGGCAGGTATCAGCAGGAGAAGAAGGAATCGGCGTCGGGACGGCGGCCGCTCTCACCCCCGACGATGTGGTATTTGCGCAGTACCGAGAAACAGGAGTTTATCAGCAACGGGGATTCACCCTGAAGGACTTCATGAGCCAGCTATTCGCCAATAAATACGACAGCGGTCGAGGCCGCAACATGCCCTGTCATTACGGTTCCAAATACCCTCGCATAGTGAGTCCCTGTTTATCCAGCCAAGCCAAGCAGCTGACTAACTCCACCAGCACGCTATCTCGTCCACGCTGGCGACTCAGATCCCTCACGCGTCTGGGGCGGCCTACGCGCTGAAGATGCAGACCTTACAGAACCCCGACATCCCGCCTCGCATCGTTGCGTGTTACTTTGGTGAAGGCGCCGCCAGCGAAGGTGATTTCCATGCGGGGTTGAACATTGCGGCCACGCGTTCATGCCCGGTGGTGTTCGTCTGCCGGAATAATGGATATGCTATTTCCACTCCGACGCTTGAACAGTATAGAGGCGACGGCATCGCCAGTCGTGGCGTCGGATACGGCATCGACACGATTCGAGTAGACGGGAACGATATTTTCGCAGTGTATGAGGCCATGCGGGAAGCGCGACGTGTCGCCCTTTCAGATGGCGGAAAGCCGGTGCTCATTGAAGCGATGAGCTACCGTGTGTCCCACCACAGCACCAGTGACGATAGCTTTGCCTATCGGGCCCGTGTAGAGGTGGAGGACTGGAAGCGCCGGGACAACCCCATCATCCGGCTGCGGAAATGGCTTGAAAACGAAGGCCTGTGGAATGAGGACATGGAGCGCGACACACGGGAGTCTCTGAGACGGGAGATTTTGAAGGAGTTTGGAGACGCTGAGCGAGAGTTGAAGCCAGCTATTCGCGAGGCGTTCGAAGGAGTCTACGAGGAGCTGACGGAAGAACAGCAAGAGCAGCTCCAAGAGTTGAAGCGCATCCTCCAGACATACCCCGATGAGTACGATCTACGTCAGCACGAGGGTGGGATCAGTGGAGTGTAAAAGGAAGCAGCCGATTGTTGTCTTCCGTTTAGTGTTATAGACTAGCACCGTACATCAATACCCATAGATCACTCCATACACTGCTTGCGCTTCCATCCGCTCGAGTAGGTGGAGCAGGTGTCTACCCCACCCATAGTCCAGGGTCCTTCATCACCTCTACCATCTACCAACAGTGCTTAAACTAAAACCTCCGCTGAACCTGGAAGCCACTGGTATCCCGCGGGGTAGCGAACGCCCATCTTCCGCGCGAGTCCATGCTTGGCCGAAGAGGCATCCAGGACTGGTTGTGTAGAACGTCACGCGAAATTTGGGAGCGAGCCCTCGCAGCCTGGCTTGCGTCCCAGTGTGTATTTCACGGATATAGCAGGGAGACATCATTTGCCCAGTGAAGGTCTCGTTTATGGTGCCGGACGCATCCAGTAACTCGACGGCCCACGCATGGACGGTCAAGAGATATAAAGTGAGGAAATACGAAATATGAGGGATCTTAATGTTTGGAGCTGGTAGACCTACAGGACAGAGCAACTAGCCCGTCCACACGACCTTTCCTGCCGTTGTGTACGAGTATAAGGATTGAGTGGGTACTAGTTACCAATGGTCGTAAATGCAATGTTGCATTCGAGGCCTAATCATACCAAGATAGCTACCTATTGAGCTACAAGTATCGAATACCCCATACATGTACATGCTCTGGTAGCACGCCCACCGCATGTGCAGACTCTTCAGAGCCTCACTGCGCATAACATCTCCTGACGCGAGGAGACTCATCAATAAATCTGCCAGCTCCGGACCCCAAATGGGGCTGTGACCAGGGCATTGACCCAGTAACTCCCACGCAAAGTAACGTTTCGCTCGTCGCCGACATATCGCCAGTGGGATCCCTGACAGTACTACGTGCCTCCCCGGCCCTATGCCTCTGACTCGGAATTGCTCTCCTTGGGAGATATTGTATGAAGACACACATGAGGATAGCTTGTCACCCCTGTAATATTGGCAGGAGCGACCAGATAGTGATCTGTCAATCTCCCAGCAACGGCTGCCCGACAGTAAACCGAGGAATACGAGGTTGATGTACTTCATTGCGAGGCACGATTGAGAGTTCTCTGGAGACTGTTTTCTCTATATATGAGCTCAACCCGGACGGGGCAGTAGTCACATGAGCTTACCTGGCACTGGTAAGAAAATATGATATTTGCTCAGGTGTATTTGAGACTGACGATACTGGAGGTTTATAGTAGCAAGACAAGACACGCCCAAAATCTGTTTCCTACTTGTGGGAATCCTGACGGTTCATTTTATCTATAGCCTGACTGCTTGTCCACCGAATCTACCGAGGTAGTACGAAACCTCTACTACGCTGCTGATCAGGTTCTTCATAGAGAAAAGTATCGTGCTGGCAGGCTACAGATTGAGCCGTGCCAGTCTTACGTTGCACTTCAATTCGGAATACAAAGCCCCCGAGCACGCAGCATCACCATAGATTCCGGGATTCTTTCACAACTGCCTGCGGACCCAGAAACTGTTCCACGTCTCCACAGCCACAATTTCGCCATCTGTGGAATAATTCCCGGTAGGATGTGTTCGACATATGAAGTCTGCGAAAAGTTCCACTGTGAAGCCACCGGCTATACCGTCGAGCCGGAACCTGGTTCCTTGAGGGATGGTATAGTTCGTGATGCACGCCCCCTCCAGGTCGCTTCCAATGCTGTCGAATCCTGATACCGCTGTGCTCGAAAGCTTCATCATCTCCCAGCCGTAGCAGGCTGGAAGACTGGTTACTAGAAGGGAAAGCGCCTCGGGGATCTTCATGATGAGTCTGGAGCGGATGGCGCTGCTGTATGGTTTGCTATATGCGGACAGGCAAAGTAAATCGATATGCCCAGGGGGTGAAGCGGTTAGCTTACCTGTTGATATTATGGAGATGGGCGTAGATGTTGTTGACTCAAAAAGCCTTTGCGAGGACTACTAGAATAAAGATTTATTTATGCTTCTTGAGCGGACTGTGGGTGGTCAATATGGTGGTGTTTGACGGGCGAGCATGGTGTCACTACCGGCTCTTTATATGAACAACATGTTGAGGTATAGAAATGAATTCTATCTGATATTGGCATCTACTTGTCACTTCCGATTCAGGACATCCATGTCAGTTTGGAATAAAGACGACAGTTGGTATCATGTCTACATGCTCAGAAGGTCAAAAATACGATGTACAGCAGTTAGAAAGTGATATTCGTGCTCTGTGAACTAAGTAGATATTGATATGACTTCATTTACCTTTGCTTTCTTTGCCTTCGTGGTTCTATAATCTCCATACAGCCGCAGCTCGTTCCGGTCCACGTCTACCTAGGGTTTTCTTTATATCATACTACCACTAGACAGTGTCCGGTATGATGCCTTGTCCAACAGCCTATTGCAAATGACAACTCTGCGACAGTCTACCCCGCTGAGTCCAACGGAAGAATCACCGGCGGAAAGCATCAGGCCAATCCAGAGTCGACAATGCCTCGGTCTCGGCTCAATCCTTCCAGCGCAGAACAGATGCGGGGGAACCCGTCGCCAGAGAAGCACCGCTGCGGATAGTAACGTAGGCAGGTTGCGACACTCCAAACTCAGCTTCGGTTCCACAGACGTGATCGACTTCTTGAAAATGCGCGCCGCGAGATTCTACGCAGGCCGTGATGTGCGGATTGAGGAGGTAAAACCCCCGGTGCCTAGCGAGGACAAGGTCCTCATTTCCGTAGAGTGGTGCGGGATCTGCGGGAGCGACCTGAACGAGTATATCCGGGGTGAGCGTCACATATACGGCCGACATCTGCAGGGGCTGAGAGAGTACAGGGCCAATGGCCATACCGAGCGAAAAGACAGGTCCGCATCCGCTGACGGGCGATGTCCTCCCTGTGACCATGGGCCATGAATTCACCGGCCGGGTTGTACATGCACCCGCTTCATCGTCTCTGAGACCAGGACAGGGGGTGGTGGTGGACCCGCGCTATTTCTGCGCGTCGTGCATACCGTGCTCCAAGCTGTCCACAAACTGTTGTGATACTATCGGGTTCATGGGTATCTCTGGGGGCGGCGGAGGGCTATCCGAGATGGTAGCCGTGGCACCAGAAAAGGTGTATCCGCTCCCGGACGATGCGGACCTGGCGGCTGCAGCATTGATTGAGCCGCTCACGGTTGCTTGGCATAGCCTAAGGCTGTCAGGGATTGATGATTTCAAGGACACGCCAGTGCTGGTTGTTGGTGCCGGGCCTGTTGGTGTTGCCGTGGTGTTTGCGTTGAGGGCTCGGGGTGCAAATGCAATCTTTGTGTCTGAGCCGTCTCAGAAGCGCCGGGAGTTCCTGGCTGATATTACACATGCTGTATTCGATCCCACGGAGACGGATCTTGGGAAGAAATGCAGGGAGTTGACTGAACTGAGGGTCAAGGGGTTGATGTTGTGTTCGACTGTGCCGGATCCCAGGTAGGATTCCAAACCGGACTGGATGCGCTGAGATTCCAGGGCCAGCATATCAACCTTGCTGTGCCGAAGACTCCGGTAAGTTAATCTGGGTTCCCTAAGCAGAGTGATCTCTGACTATATCACAGCTCACGCTTCCGTGGTACTTGGTCATGCGAAGGGAGGCTGTACTCAAGTCATCTTTGGCGTACGATGAGACGGATTTCAAAGAGGTAGTTGAAGCCTATGTCGAAGGTAAGTTGTCTATATATTTACAACGTCTACTGTTGACAACAAAAGGTCGATTCCAAGGTGTTGAGCGGATGATCACCAGAAGAATCCCTCTTGAGGAGGTCGTTGCGAAAGGATTCGAGGAGTTGTGCAAGCCAAATGATCAGATCAAGATTCTGGCAACCCCTACGACAAGATGAATGCTGCTGTCCCTACGTATATAGTTTATACACCATGCACAGGTTTCGACGCAATGAAGATGGTGTTTATTCGTTTCCACACTACTTATAGTACGGCCTCGGTACATTGTCATAGTAGGGTACAACCACCATATCTGGATCCTCCGTCTGCCCAACCATCAGAGTCGTCACAGGATGAATAGGTTTGCTGTCCACAATCAGGTTGATGCAGCTAGGGCCATCTACCTTCTGAAGCCTCTTCACCGTCTCCTGCACAGCGGAAATCGTATCGACCCTGGCACTTGCGTTCCCCAACCCCTCGCCGACAGTTTCATACTCTGCAACACGGCTTAGCGAACTGGCAGGACGAGCAGGATTCTTCGTGCCGTAGACCAGCTCCTGGCCATTTGAGCTCATGCCCCAACAGTAATTGTTCACGACGATCGTCATAATGTTGAGGTTGAACCGCTTGTAGGTGTCCAGCTCCATGAAATGGAACCCAGCGGACCCGTCCCCATGGAGGTTGACGACCTTTCGATCCGGAGCGGCAATCGCAGCACCGAGTGCATATCCAAAGCCATTCCCGAGGAAGCCGAGGTTCCCTGTCGACTTTAGTATAGCGCTCGGCGAGCACAGGTGCACCAGATCACCGGCCCAAGCGCCTGCCTCGCCGCCATCCAAGACAACGATGCTTCCTGGTTCGATCGCGGAGAATACCTGCTTGACAGTGTGGTACGGATGCAAGCCTCCATGGGCGTGGGAATCAGGATCCTTCTCAAAATTAGAAGGGAGATTTCTGAGACTCAAGGCATCCTGGACCCAGTTCGCATCTACAGCGCCATTGAACCCAGTGGAGAACTGGCGATTGAGGGCGGCGACAAATTGGTCGACAGCCGATATCACACCTAACTCAACGGGCAAGGTCCGACCAATCTCTGCCCCATCCACATCAACATGAATCAAGGTGCAGTTCTTCTGGGGAATGATCGCGCCGCTTCGACCGGCCAGATACATGCCGGTCCTGGCGCCGAGGAGCAGGATGAGGTCGGGGGCTTCTTTTCCCACGACGCGCAAAAGACCCAGCATTCCGGCTCCTCCTGCGTAGAACGCGGATTGGAGCAGAGCGAAAGATGTTGCACATTTTTGCGTGTCGAAGATAGGTATTTCGGTCCTTGTGGATAGCTGGATCAGCTCCCTGTCAGCCTATAAGATTCGAATTAGCTCCACTATGCGATAACCAATGGACCGTTGAAGTAGGAATACGGAGTCCATACATCTTTTGCCCCCGTTCCGATCAGTATCGCTGGCCGCACGGCAGATTTCAGCAGTCTCACGGCCCTCTCGACAGCCTCGGCATGCGGTCCAGGAGCATAAGCCAATGGCGAAGTAATGGAGCCCCAGGATATGAGAGGACGATGAACTGGAGAGAACAGTACATCGATGGGGAAGTCAACGAGGACCGGACCTATTGTCATCAAAAATCAGTCCATATAGCTGCTAACTATACCAGAGGGGAGTATACCTGGGGCACCAGACAGTGCCGTCCGAATCGCCAGCGAGATAATCCGCGGTGTGTCCTCAGGGTTGGTCATTCGATGCGCAAACTTGGTCAACGGGCGAGATGCGACGACTTGATCGATGATGCCTTGGAGAGAGTTGTTCTCCGCATCGCGAAGCGGAGGAGAAGAGGTGATGCAGAGAATGGGATCTCTGTCTGCCAGCGCTGTTGCAAGACCGGGCAGACCGTTGGAGAAGCTGCTTCCGTCAGTATAAGCAAGCAAATGTACACTCACTGCTCGCTCACCCGCTGTTTGCGGTCACAAAGCACACGCCGATCTTTGATGTCAGCTTCGAGTACGCCTCAGCCGCTTGAACGGCTACTGTTTCATGGCGAGTATCCACCAGCCGGATCCCAATGTGCTCGCATCCCATCAAGAAGGCATCCAGATGGCCGCCGTGCAGACCAAAGGCAACTTCTACTCCGCATGTCTTTAGCGACTGCGCCAGCAAGTCACCTCCTGTTAGCTCACGGGTTTCAGGATATTCCAAAAGAAAGCCAGCCATGTTTGTGGTATTGTTCGGAATGGGATAGATAGCTGTGGATGTTACGCGTACTCTATGTGTTCTATATAGTCCTTGAAGGTGCTGTTACCGAGGAACAGTACTCTAGCTTGCTTGTAGCCGAAGGACTCCTGTCATTTGGAGACATAATGCGGGGTTGTCCCATACTATCCCATACATGACTGTGATCCTACGAGGAGAAAGCAGTCGGAGTCAGTGCTAATGACTCAGTCGCACTGAGGATCTATCAGATCTGTCTAATGGATGCCTGGATTGCTAGTGGGCTCTTCCAAATCTCAAGTATCTTGGCTTTCTTTGGTGGAAAGACATATCTATTTTCACTGGGCGTCTGTATATGGTCATACTCGACTTCCAATACTAGGCAATCATTTATGTGTTCCAGTGATAGAATCATTGCAAATTCACAGGTTGACAATTGCCGATGCAAATAGCTTCTGATACTGATAGCGAATGGAATTCTTCATGTGTCAAAGGTTTCCGCTATAAGAATTACAGTAATCATAGCTTGATAAGGCACTCCGCTCAAGCTCCCTTCTCAGAGCCCTGGCCATGAGTAAAGCCTGGCCGATTCCCATGATACGCCCGATATACTCCAACCGTCCAACAGCCCACTCCCACAGCGGTGTGCCTGGGATCTGTACACTGACAGCCACGTATAGAGGCCAAATAACGTAATAAGCACCCAGGTAGCCGCCAGGACGCGTGTGATCCCGGCCGCGCTGCAACGACGCGAATTGCACCGCAATGGCGAAAGACACGCTGAGCAGGATATCCACCGAGAAGCGCTGTATATTGGACCTGGTCTGGTCCAGGAGGGGTTTCCACTCCGGGTACGGCTGGATAGTGAGGTATACCACCAGTCGATCACGGATCAGTAAGTTGAGGAGGACGCGTGCGTTTCGGTAGTAGTTCCAAATGTTGCAAGCCCAGATATCCTGATAAACGTGGTACTGACCATCGAACGCCAGTTCTGATATCACGCCTGGAAGGTTCGCGGGTATGTGGTGGATCGTGTATTGCCAGCGTTGAGGCAGGCCGAGACTCCAGGCTTCCAGTCTGCTATCAATCACCCAGGCTCGTCCCATAGCCTCCAACGGGTTGGGGATGCCGTTTCCTTTCACATCCGCCAGCAGGTCGGCCATCTCGGCTATTAATTCCACAAGGACTTCCACTTGGACATCTTCCTTTGACCTGCAGGATTGAACAAAGCCTGACAATCTCCTCACCGTGTCCGGCACGTGGGTTTGCGTTCTCAGGCAGTTGGCCATCTCCAGAAGCAAGTTAACAGTCTGTCCTGGGTTCAGTTGGAAGGATCAGGAACCCTTAGTACTTACCAGGTCTGTCCTGAGTTGCGTGAACAGCTGGATTCCAGTCAAACTGCAAGCCTGACGAGAACCCCAGACTTCAAGAAGCGCCGCAGCACCGGCGAGATGTCTCTGCGAATTCTCCAGCGATTTGGGGGTGCCGCCCAACATCACCTGAAGACTTCAATCAGCCAGCTGAACGAGTAGATAATGATTCTTTCGGCTTCGTTCACCTCAAACATGCCAAGGATAATCACCGCATTGAGTGTCGTATTCTCAAGAGCCTTGGCCTTGTTACTCAGCGCCACGTTGGTCAACCGCAACGCCTGGGCGTAATGTGCCCTTGCCTCGTCAGCTACACCAGGTGCATCTCCCATGTTCGCCAGCATGGCCAACCCAACTGCCGACACGGCATAGTGGACCGCCTGGCTGGATTTCATGTGGCCTACAACTTGGGACACCGTCAGATGGGCGGCTGCCCCAAGGAGAGCATCGGACAAGACATAGTGATGCAGGAATATGCAGATGGATCGCTCTGTCGACGGCACCGGCAGTGCACGAGAAACGCTGAGCTTCTCGTTTGCCTTGGATGGTCCCTTGACAGGGGCAGTAGATGACTGTCGCGTGCGTTAGTGACGGGACCTCTATAGTCTGGACTCTGTACGGCGGACTGACATCTTGCGACTGGCGATAGCTCCCATAGCCCAAGATTTTTCTCGAGCGTCCTCTAGCCCTCGTTTTCCTGGACTTTGCACGGCGCTCCATCCTTGACTACGCGACTGAGTCTGGCTGCGAAGCATTGTCTGTTTGAATCCTCTTGATCCTTTCTTCAGGGATGTTGACACTACACGAGGTCACGCTAGCTACCCCGCACATTTCCTCGCCGAGGTATACTTCGAACGCTCTATCAATATTCAGGGACTGCGCATGACGAAGCTGAAGAATGACCAGAAAGTCGACCTGACATTATCTATCGCTTGCTTTAATCTGTCTAATACCGAATGAAACCCAACGCCAGGCTCGTACAATCAATAATACTACACACATATCATACAACACAAATCCAACACCCTCCACGCCATCACTCACACCTCAACACTAGTGGTCAAAGCCTGCTGCGCCAGCTTCTTGTTCCGCTTGACGAGCGCGCTCAGCTTCTTATCAATCGAGTCAAGCTCCTTGCGCGACACCTCGAGCTCCTTCTGAGACTTGACGGCAAACGAGCGCAGTTCATCATCCGTCATACCAACAACATCATCCAAGTCCGGCATATTACCCACAACCACGCCCGCGGCACCCAACATGTGTTTAGCAGTAGCCGCCGCAAAGGACCGAACAGACGTAGCTGTCGCATTGACCAACTCGGCGGTGTTGGCGATGGCCCAGTTGTGGCTGCGAGTGCTGTCTGCTTCCATAGCCGAGAGGACGTTGGGAGGTGCCCCGGTCACAGAGACAGTAGGGCTGTCGGTGAGACCGGTGGACGAGGTCGTGCAGGCTAATGATCCAGCCGCTTCGTCCACCCAGCACACATTGAAGTTTTCAGGAGTAGCAAAGAGCGCGTCGAGACCACCGCCGCGGTTGGACATATCGGGCTCAGTGATCGGGACAGCAGGGTATTCCTGAAAAGAATCCATCGCCCACGCAACATGCTTCTCCAGTGCAAGATAGCGCTCTTCTTCCTCCGGAGTGAGGTGATGAAGCACACACCCGCGGGGACTGATCAGACACCGGTCCTTCAGCAAAGGAGAATCAGGGTTAATCCGAACAGGCTCCCCTCGGAGCAGAGCTCGGCGGTGCTCGTCGGTCAACTCGATGGGTTGCTTCAGGGTCTCATAGTCATCGGAGGTGCACTTCATGTCGACACGTTGGCTGAGGTTGGGCGGGTTGAACAATGGGTGGCTGTTCAAGTCCAGCTGGCCAGACTTGTGCAGTTGAGCAAGCAACACCTGAAGTGAGGAGGTCCGCTCGGCAAAGAGCTCCTTGATCGAGGTGCCAAAGGCTTCGGAGTCCTTGATCATCTGCTCAACCGTGTTCTTGGTCCGCCAGGCCTCCTGGGGCTTCTTGGGCTCCTCCTTCACCTCGACAGGTTCAGGCTTGGGATCCTTCACAGCTTTGTCCTTTGCTTTGGTCTTCTTGGGCTCGACCTTCGGCTCAGCTTTGTCACTGGTATCGCTTGCTTTTTCACTGGGCTTGGCGGGTTCTATCGTGGTTTCCGGGGTTGAGGGCTGCTCTGCCGAAGGGGTTGGGGCTTTCTTGGTCTTCCTCTTCCTTCCAATAATAGGCGCCTGCACTGGTTCTTCAGCCACCGAGGTCGCCTCCTGTTTTTTAGCTTCAGCTTCCTTGGCCTTCTGTCTGCGCTCTTTCTTGGCCTGGCTCTTCGTCACAGATCGGACAGGGGCGGAGCCAATTCTAGAGGAAGCAGGGGGCGAGTTGGCACGAGACACCGAAGCGGAGGTATAGAGGTCGGCCTCCGATCCTAGATCACCCGGAGTATCAGGTCTACTCAAGGACGAGATGCTTGGGCGTCTGGAACGGGCCTTATTGACAGCGGGCAGAGATGAAACAGACTGCGTAGCGGAGGCAGGAGGCGGTGTCTCCGCCTTGGGGGTATCAACGACCCGCAAGACTCTCGGTTGGCGTGGGGCGGAAGAATCAGACAGGCGAGATGCAGCCGTCATTGGGGTGTTTGGGCGGGAGCCAACTGCAGATGAGGGGGCTGGGTGATGGTGAGGTTGGCCCATCCCTTCAGGCTTCGTGACCTCTGACGCTTGCGAGGTGTTCAGATCCAGCTTTATAGGCTTGCCTTTTGCTAGGGACACCTTTTCTTCGGGACTGTCACCCTTCTTTGGCGTCTTGTCCGCAGAGACTGTCAACTCATCCTTCGACTGAGACCTAGCCTTGTGCGCCGACTTTGGCACCGGAGAGCCCAGTGAGATCTCTGACACATTCTTGACACGAGCTGAGGGGGAAGCATCCTCCGGCGTATCCTTGGAACCAGGGGACTGCTGACGAGAGGTTAATTCCTGGAAACTCTGAGACGGAGTCCCAAATCTGTGGAAAGGAATATTCAAGCCAGGAGGAGGTCCGGACACAGACAACGTCGGACTAGAAGGATTGATCGGGCTATGAAGCAAAGATGACGCAGGGTGAGCATGGGGCAAAGGGAGACCGGGCGGAAGAGTCGGGGTGCCAGCACGAGCGGAACTCTGCGAATCCGAAGGCAGATGCGAGCGAAGAAATCCGAAGCTGTCAACCGGACGTTTATCCTTGGGTGGCGCTCCCAGTGGCGGGAATTCTTCGTCAACTAGACCATTGCACGTTAGCTTTGTCTCCTGAGGCCGATCTGAGTGAGGTGAGTGCAAAACGCTGGAGCAAAAAGGACTGCGGCAAAAACCAGATAAGACAACGGTGCGAATAACAGCTAGGCGGAGACAAAGGTAGAATCGCAGGATGATACGCAAGGGCAGACAGAGTAATTACACCAAAGGGTCCGCCAGGCTGACCACAGGCCGACAAGGCACAAGTTCTATATGACCGACAGTTGTGAGAACTTTGTTTCGGATAAGAGGGGCCCTCTTCGGTGATCGAAGTCAGGGCAGGAGGGTTAACGTACATAAAGCCATGACCAGACCGAAGTGGCACCAAGATGCTGATATATCAACTCAGCGTGGATGCAAAAAAAAAAACACATACGAGGGCCACTGAAGCACCGTGGACCGCGAAGACACAAGGTGTCCATGCAAAGGCGACGAGGCCCCAGGCCATGCGGAAGATGGGGACGAAAAAACAAAACATGAGAAACAACAGATTGGAAGCTAAACGCAGGGTTCCATAAACATAACGCCAAAGGCACGCCTAGCCGGAGTATTTCGTTCTTTTCAAAGCCGAATGCTTAACGCTTCGTGGACGATGGGATGGATATTGCAGTCCCAATCAAAACCGACAACCGAGAACAATCATATCCTGCCCCGTCTAACAAGAAGAGTGAAAAGTGATATCATGTCGTAAAGAAAAGATGGAATGGACCGCAGCAGGGAAACATCAAAGGACATGCAAAATGGTAGGTAGTCTTCATAAAAACAAGCACCGAAGGGAAGGAGATCACGAACAGAAGGTATTATCAAACGAACATCAACGAAAGGGGGTCGAAAGGCAGCAGAGGGGAAGACAATCACCAGCGGCTGAGACCGCCTCCATACATCATGGCGTGATTGTACCCACCTTGACCCTGACTCCCATACAGTGCCTGCCCAGCAGCAGCATTCGCACCGACCTGGTGCATCCTCGCCTGCAAGATACTCGGGTCCGCAAGATCTACTACACCGCCTCCACCGGAGGAAGTGTTAGCGTGTCTCTGCTTCTTCCCCTTCTTCTTCTGCTTCTGTGGCCCCGCGTCGGAGAGATTCCCCGCCTGGGGGCCATAGAAAGAGCTGAGAAGGCCATTGGCGGGAGTCAGGGGAGGGGGGGTTTGGTGCTGTTGGAGGAAAGGAAACATGAACTCACGCTTAGCGGCATCGGGGCCTTGTAATCCACCTGCATTCGTGGCACCGCGGCCCCGCAGGAGCTCGCGCATCAATTCCGGGTTGGCGTCTTGCTTTCCGAGGTTGCCTCCTAATCCGAGATTGGCATTGGTGGTAAAACCGTGACCTTGTGCGAACATACCTCCACCGCTGATCGGGGGTGTGCCGGCCGTCTTCAAGCCGGGAGGGGGCCCTTGCACACCACTGGTGTAGAAGTTGCTGGCCAACCCGTGCTGGGGGCTGGGGGCGGCAAGAGGATTCGGGGTTCCGGACTGCATCTGACTGAGCATCCGGACGTTGGGAAGGTTCTTCGCCGCGGCCTCGGAGGCAAACGAGAAACGAGAATTCGGGCGGTTCTGAGCCTGGAGTGCACTGAACTGTGCCATCTGGCTTTGGAGGAGACCCTGGCGAACCTGCGCAGCCTGGTCCAAAGCGACCGACTGCAAGGGATCGACCAGACCCGGTTGTTGGGTGCCGGCAGACTTGAGAAGCATCAATTGTTGTTGTTGCAGAGGGGTGAGGCTGCGACTGGCGAGGTTCAGGCCCTGGAAATGGTGGCTTGCGGCGGATACGGGGGATCCCACCGCCGAGTTGGTTGTCGTGCCTTGCTGCGATGGGGGTTGGATCGCACCATGGGAATCCCGGCCGGTCCGACCTCGAGGAGGATTGGCATCATCTGGTTCACCGCCGAGTTGCAAGCTCCCACTCTCGCGGCGTTCCTCCTCCTCGGCCGCAGACTGCAGGAGCTCTTGTTCCCTCTTGACACGCTCCTGTTCAGCCTTCTCCCGCATGGCTCGGCGCTTGACGCCACCGTAAGGATCGATAAAGGACGGATGGTTCTCAATGCGGGTCACTTCTTCTGCTGGCAGACCAGCCGCCGAGAAGACAAACTTGAAATCTGGGGAATTCACCGCCTTGATTAAGCCGTCCAGCAAAGGTGACACGGGATCGGCCGCGGGTTGGGCTTCGGTCGTACGAGGGGTGCCAGGACGAGGTTCTGGGAGAGGCGTTTGGCGACGATCCTGCGTGCCTGCTGACGGTTTCTCGGTTCGTTTCGACTCGTCGCTGCCCGTTGCCACGGTCGCCGGTGCAGGCCGCGGGCTGTTGGACGCTTGGCTGCCCGACAAACTAGTCCGCCTAGTGCGATGCATGACGGCGTCCTTGTTCGCCCAGCTTGCCGAGGAAGGGAGAGCAGATCCGTCGGGAGGCCGGATGACGGCCGGATCATCCTTACTTGGCTGGCGACGCATGGGTTGCGACAACGGAACGGCGGAAGAGCGAGCCACATGTGGCGGGATCGAAGGACCGGGTCCACCAGGGGCGGTAGGATTCGACCGTTGACTGGACAGGGTGTTGATGGAAGACAGATCTTGACGGCTATAGCTCTCGCTCTCTTCGCCAGTCTCGTGCAGGAAGGTACAGTTTCGATTATGGCACTGCTCATTGCGGAGGAAGGAGGAACAGTATTTCGTCGTACCGTATTGGGCCCTATGGTGCGTCAGTATAATGATCCTCGGGACTAGGCGAGGAGACAGGATAGTAGGGATGCTGAATCGTACCTGAGCACTCGGTCACCGTTTACAGAACCATCCACCGCCGCAATACAAGTCGCTGCATCAGCCTTGCGAGCATAGGTGACGTAGACACCGATTCCCTGGTGAGGGTTACCGCCGGGCTTCGCTTTGCTGACGACAATCTTCTCGATGTCACCGTATTGGCCGAAATAGTCCTTGCCGCGTAAGGTCTGCAGAAGCTGGCTTTCATCGCGTATTGTGGGGTTAAGGCCGATCACGTAGACGAGGTTCTTCTGCACAACGCGGACACCAGCAAGGTTTTTGCGACTCGAGGCCTCGATTTCGCGTTTTTCGGCTTCCTTCTTCTTGGCGGCGGCGGCCTTTCGATGTTTCAGGGCCAGGTCGGCTTTGAATCTAAAGTGCGGGAGGAAGTTCTGTTAGCGCCAAGACCGGGTGGATCGGTTGGGTGTGTTGTCCTTGGGCAAACTCACTCGTCGGCATCAGGGACCTTGTACTGGATGGTGCTCTCATCGTAGACCCGTCGGCAGTTCGGGCACCGGCCTTCCTCGCTATGGGTTTTGATGTTGTTGTAGCAGAATTGGCAGATCTGGGGAAGGGAGCGGGTTAGCGAATGATTCCCGGCGCATATGCGAGATCGCACGTTGGTCCGTGGGCGCGAATCTCGCGGCAAGGGGCGACGCAGCGAGGCCTACCTGGTATCCGCAAGGACAGGGTTTGAAGTTTTTGTCGGACAGATCGAATTCCTCGATGCACAGGGGGCTGTAGGGAGAAACAAGTTAGCCTGGGAGAGGAAGAAAAGGTCGTCTACGAAGACATACCAGAACTCGTCGTCATCATCGATGACCGAGTCAATCTGTTGCCGACTGGACATAATTACGAGACAAGAGAGTAATAGATACAAGAGGAGAAAGAAAAGAACCGGGGTTGGCGTGACGGAGAGCCAACAGAGGATCGCAGGGGGGTAGAGGCGTATTTCCCGAAGAAAGCGACGCAAAAGAGCGTAACACGGCAAACACAAGGGATGCCCTCAGGGAGAAAGAAGAAGAGGAAAGGAAAAGGTGACGCGGGGGGAGTTTCGCAGTAGTTGACAACGAAGAGGCGAAAGAGAGGAAGAAGGAAGAGGAAAGATGAAGGGAAGCTCACTTTGCGCGCGTTTGTCTGGTTTGCACTTCTTCTTACGTCAGCCTTCCGCGCCTCACGTGATCTTGATCACGGGACGCAAACCTATCGCCGACTCGCGGCAACATCATGATACAATTCCCTCCCTGTCGTCCGCGTCCTCTCTCCCATCCACCACCACCTCCCCCTCAGTCAATTGCTCTCCGCCATGGCCTCCGCTCGCCCTCTGATGCGTCTGGGCTCTGGCCGTTCGCTGGCTGTGGCCATGCGGACTCCCCGTGCCAGCCGGGCCTTTTCTTCCACTCCTCTGCAGTCGGCCTCGAAGGTGCCGGAACCGCCCAACATGCGTCAGGCCCAGCGTCCCCGTACGTCATCCGAGCTCCCGCTGTTCTTGTGCTTTTTCGTAGTTACGGTTTAGGGCGGGATGTCGCCTCCAATGGGTAACGAACGACACTAACGAAACGAACACAGCCGAGGGAGCGCTGCGTGCCCCCGTCGTCAACCCCGCGGACAAGTACCAGGACAAGGCGGACAGCCTGCACAAGTACGGCCAGTACATCATGGCGTGCCTGCCGAAGCACGTGCAGCAGTTCTCCGTGTGGAAGGACGAGCTGGTGATCTACGTGCCACCGACGGGCGTGATCCCCGTGATGAGCTTCCTCAAGTACCACACGGCGGCCGAATACACGCAGATCTCGGACATTACCGCCGTCGACTTCCCGACCCGTGACCAGCGCTTCGAGGTCGTCTACAACCTGCTCAGCGTGCGCTATAACTCGCGCATCCGCGTCAAGACCTACGCCGACGAGGCCCGCCCCGTGCCCAGCGTCACCGGCCTGTTCGAGGGTGCCCTCTGGTACGAGCGCGAGGTCTACGACATGTTCGGCGTCTTCTTCAGCGGCCACCCCGACCTGCGCCGCATCATGACCGACTACGGCTTCGACGGCCACCCGCTCCGCAAGGACTTCCCCCTCACTGGCTACACGGAGCTGCGGTACGACGAGGAGAAGAAGCGCATTGTCATTGAGCCGCTCGAGCTGACGCAGGCCTTCCGCAACTTCGAGGGCGGCACTGCTGCCTGGGAGCCGGTCGGCTTGGGTCAGGACCGGAAGCCTGAGTCGGTATGTTTCATTGACTTTTCGTGATAGGTGACGATGCTAACTACCGCAGTACAAGCTTCCCACTCCCAAGCCCGAGGAAAAGGAGGAGGAAAAGAAATAGAGTAATGGTTTTGTTCGTGTGTAAATACCGTGAATGTTTTATTATCGTCATTTCATACGTAGATATCCATCCATCTGCCTAGGTACCTAACTAAGTACATGCGTAAATTCGTCTGCGGAGATTCTCCATCACCGGTCTTGGCGCGCCGCATTTTATTTTCTGCCGCACCCTGCTCCCCCAGCTCCCATCCCATCACCACCAACAAAATGCCCAAGCGCAAGCTCTCCGACCTCGACTCGTCCAGCCACTACGGCCAGGGCCTCCAGCTCACCCGGCTGTTCGCCAAATTCGACCACGGCGTGACCCTGCTCAGCCGCGCGCTCAAGACCGCCCGCGGCTTCGAGCGCCAGAAACTCGGCCGGCGCGAAAAGACCGCCAAAGCGGCCGGCAACAATGATACGCTGACGCGGCTGGCGGAGGAGGTGCAGGTGCTTAAGGTGAGTAGGGCGCTCGTTTGCCAGGACCTGATTCTTCTATCGACGGTCAACAGGGCAAGACATGCTGACGAAATTTTCTAGTCGCTCGATCCCGCCCAAACCGCGCAGCGCTACCTCTTCAAACAGCTCGTCAAGACGAAACGCATCGCCGAGGCGCCGGTTTTTGTGCAGTTCCGCGAAAAGAAGAAGCTTGCGCCGGAAGGGCCGCGGTCCACCGCCGAGGCGAACGTCACGGCGCGACTGTACAAATCTACCCCCGTCAAGAACGTGTTTCCTGATATTATGGCTGGGATCAAGCAGTTGCTTGGTGTGGATGATAAACCGGCGGGCGGAAAGAAGCAAGCGGACGTGAGCGAGAAGAAGCGAGACGCTGCTGCATCCACGAATAAGCAGCCTGCCGCTGGCACAGGTGCAGCGGAGGTCTCGGGGGAAGACTCGTCGGAGGAGTGGGGAGGGATCGAGAGCGGAAGCGACGCGGGGAGCGAGGACTTTTCGCAGTTCGACGGTCTATTGGCGCCGGGTTCAGACGACGAAGATGGGGACGAGGCAGCGAGCGAGGATGCGTCCGACGGCGGCGTAGACCTGTCGGCTGCGGCCTCGAATATGTCCATTTCGCGCTCTCCGTCGCCTGCAGCGCCGCCTCCGAAGAAACAAAAGGCCCAGGCCGCCGCTCCTGTCACCAGCACCACGTTCCTCCCGTCGCTGGCCGCGGGATACTTCTCCGGGTCGGAGTCGGAGGGCGAGGACGCGGAGGCGGAACAGCCGCGGCGCAAGAACCGCATGGGCCAGCAGGCTCGGCGCGCGCTGTGGGAGAAGAAGTACGGGTCGGGGGCCAACCACGTCAAGAAGCAAAAGGAGCAGGAGAAGCGGGATCGCAGCAGCGGATGGGATCCCCGACGCGGTGCGGTGGACCCGGCTGATGGCAAGAGAGGCCGATGGGGTGGTGGACGGGGTGGTGGACGAGCAGCTGGCGGCGGTCGACAAGGTCAGGACCGTCAAGATCGTGGAGGTCGTCCAGCACCTCCCAAGCCCCAGGATAACAAGCCACTACATCCGTCGTGGGAGGCGGCCAAGCGGGCCAAGGAGCAAAAGTCGATGGCTTCGTTCCAGGGCAAAAAGGTGGTGTTCGATTAGTCTACGTTGGTGTGTTACTGTCTTTGTGCTTAGCGTTGGTAGAGCATGTATCAAAAGTAAGCGTTATCTTGCAGATCTAGGTATCATTCAATAACAAGTCCGCCAAAGCCATAACAGCATGGCCTGGGAACACCAAAGTCAAAAAGTCATCACGCTAGAAACAAACCGTGCGCTCTAGAATCATCACTACGCCACCCGTAGAGAAGAAAGCACTGCTCATTCACTCATGAACTGCATCCATCCCGAGTCCGACCCTTTCATATCAGCAGACAGACCCTGTTGGTCGGGCTCAAAACAGGGAATGGCGGTGAATTCACCGAGCTCTTGCGGGAGGTTGGAGACAAAATGGTCCAACGCGAATTGCGGAATATCCGACAACGTGGGATGAGACGTGGAAAAGTCCGAGGTGGCCATATCCGTGCTCGCGACGTCCGCGTCCATCTGTTCGTGGCCGTTGGAGGTGCCGGTCATGGGCGTCACCGGCACATGCTGCAGGCCCGGTTGTCCAGGGCGGAATGGCTCTTGAAAGGGGATCGTCTCGGGCGAGATGGGACCGGTCTTCCACAGCATCTCCCAATTCTTGAATCGATCATAGGCCGATTCCATCATCCCGGTGGATCCCGGAGCCTGGGTTTCACTCCATTCTTCCAACCGTCGGATGGCCCTCTCGAGGGCTTCGATGACACTGACGGCAGACCGTGCGGAGCCCACTCCCATGGACATGATTTTGATCAGCCCCATGCCTTTCTCCAGAGCCTCGCGCAGTCGTTCGGTCCGTTTCGTGAGACTCTGGGCGAGGATGACCAGAAGGGCGGCGCGACACGAGCTGAACTCGGTGAAAGAGGCGCGGGCCAGGCCGGCCTCATCTCGGAGCAGCCGGCAGAGATCGATGATCTCCAGGGCGGCCTCGACACAATCGGTGACGAGAGTGGAGCGGTTTTTGGCGAGACCCGACGGAGTCTTGAACTGGAGGGTCGTCACGCTGATGGCTTTCATGTTACTGAAGAGGAATGGTCGGCCGAGGAAGATGCGCGTCAAACAATAATCCAGCTTCAGATGGACGTTGGACCGGAAGAGGGGTCCAGTTGGGGTCAGATCGCGACAATCCGTCTCTTCTGGCAGGCTTCCCCACCAGTCGACCAGCGATTTGCGCAGGTTGAGCAAGCGTTCGAGGCAATCCTGCTGTTGGCCCTTGGGGGATTTTCGAAGGACAGAGCTGGATGGTCAGTCGAGCCGGACAGAGTACAGGGGGGAATACGTACATTTCGTTGGCAACCTCCCCAAGTTTCAGGGTCAAGGTAATCAAGGCAATCATGTTACTATGGTTGGAGATCTGCCCATGGGGCATCAACCCGGGAAAGTCGACCGGCAGGGCCGCGTCGACATCGCCATCGTGCAGCGAAACGGGCCTCCCATGGAGAATACTCACGCGCCTATGACAATTAGCGGGGTCGAACACAAACATGAGCTATCAGGCTTACTTCTCAATGGTATATGCAGTCCAAAATACGCGGTTGCGAACTTCGATCATGCGCGGGGACAGCCCTTCTCCGAGGTATTTCCGATGCATGCCGTTTTGGATTGCCATTTTCAAAGCGAGGCCAAAATATGTATAGCAGAGGCCGGACGTATCAAGCGGTAAGAGGTATGTTCCGATAAGTAGACAGGCCTGTACACTGCGAATCGAGGCGGTGGCAATGATATCCGGCAAGAGTTTGGAGGCAAATTGGTAAAAGGTCAGTCCGACTTCATCTTCGGAGAAATGATGGTCTTCCAATGCGGCCGGGTCCATGGACAGTCGATTCACAGGGGTGGCCGACTCCATGTGCGCAAACTGGGTGCCAACAGCCAAAACCATGAGAATGGAGCAGACGGAGCCGGCGTCGTTGCAGGAGAGACTGGAGGGGTTGGTGTAGCAGACGTTGAGCTTCTCGCGCAACCAATCTTCTTCGACGTAGAAATTATTGGTCTGGGCGTATTTGAAGAAAATCTGGACGAGGAAATCGGCGACAAAACGGGGCGGGAGACAGGTAATGGAGGCGGAGACCTGGGAGGAGCCGGATTGGAGCTGGGTGGTGCGCCATCGCTCTTCAAAGGGTTCGGTTTCGGTGGAGGTCTGCGTCTCCGTGAGCGTCCGTGCAAAGGATGCGTGGAAAGGATGGTATGCAAGGGAATACCTCTGGAGATGTAGTCTTCATCCATTCATCAATCTTCTTGCGGATTTTCATCGAGAAATTCAGATAGGAAAATTCGCCGGAATATTCTGTTCGCATGAGCCTTGGTTTTGAAATGTCGATTCCGCCGCAGGGACGACAAAGACGTACGGGTGGTGTTGTCCGGCAAAGCCTTGATGGTAAAATCCTCATCGTCAATGGCCAGGTCCTCGAAATCCTCGTTCTCCAGACGGATAGAAGGGCCAGCGTCGGAATCGGAACTTCGGTGTTTCTGCTTCAGTTCATCGGCGGTCTTGCGCAGCGACTGGATATCGAAGGAGAGGTTGGGGACAAAATGGTGCAGGATGCGTTCCATGTAGCGGATGCGTTCGGCCTCGGCGAGGTTGTAGCGAGTGAGCCCGCTTCGCTCGGCGCTGCCATGAGGTGAGTTCGGCTGGATCCATATAGTCAATAAAACAAAAGCAGAGCTTACGAGACGGAGGACGAGCGAGCGAGTTTCTCGGCATGATCGGGATGGGTGAAGATGCATTGGCGGCGATAGCGGAGACAGCGACGACAGGGCACGCCGCCCTCACATTTTTCCTTGACGCGACGACAGCCGTCGCATCTGAAGCAGAATCAGTACTCTATTCACTTATAGACTGGCAGAATTGATTGGATCAGGCATACGCTCTCACGGCACGCTTGCGGTTTTCTTCCGAAACGCGGGGTCGCTTCTGATGGCCCAGAACGGAGGGAGTCGGGGGCAGCGGAGTGGTCGCATCCATGACGAGAGTAGAGATCAGGGAGGCTGCGAGGGGGGCATTGTAGGGAGGGTGGGAGACGTTATCGGGGGTTGTAAATTGTAGGTTGGAGAGAGGAAGAGGAAGATTGAAGAGGGAAGAAGATGAAGAGAGGAAAGGCGGGAGCGGAACAAAGGCGGAGTTGATAAGCGGAGGATTCTCGGTAGTATCGTGCATAGTGGTAGATAACGTGTAGTATAGTACTAGGATAGTATGGGGGTTCTAGAAATGTAATAGAATATATTATTAATATACTGTAATATAGGACCAGGTAATAGAATGAGATTTATAAATATACATCCTTGAACATACTCCATAATATGTATCCCTACTTCATAGTGGTATGATATATCCTACTGGGAGGAACATCATAGAGCTACAAGAACAGATAGTATCCTACCACCAGTCGAAATTCTTAATATATAACTGTAAACAGTCCGATCTTGATACTATATAGGAACACTACAATCCTTAACAATTATAATACCCTCAGTTGGCCCGTTGTTCTTACATTCAGACTCGCGTGCCAGGCTTCCCAATCGGGCAATGTCAGAATGTATACAACCTCATTCCAACCCTCTTTCTCTCTACAAGTAAACCCTCGCATGCCAAACTGTCCTACATACTTACCCGTCGGATTGTTGTCGAACATCCCTTGTGACTGTCTGAGAATGCAAGGATCAGCACAAACCATGTCTTATATCTCTCAACAAGCCGACACACTGAGCAGTCAACCACCATGGCCAAATCAGTGCAGTATATGCCCCTCGTAGGGCTTCCAGATCGCACTGCACCGACACGAGCAGGCCAGATATTTGTCCTGCTCTTAATCACAGCGATTCTTTACCTCGCGACGCCCTTCACGACACAAACCCCCCTACCGTCCGCCAATCCTCCTCTCGACAACAACATCTGGAGCAGCATCCCCCCCAGCACCTCCCTCACCTTCACCCCCTGCTTCGGCTCCCTCCAATGCGCCCGCCTCCTCGTCCCCCTGAATTGGAACGCCTCCACGACCGACAGTAACGCAACAGTATCTCTAGCCGTGATCAAACGCCCTGCCCGCGTCCCCGTCACAGACCCGCGCTACGGCGGCCCCGTCATCGTCAACCCCGGCGGCCCCGGCGAGTCAGGCGTGTACCAGGTTCTCTCGGACAGCGCGGCGCTGCAGACCGTGCTGGACAGCCCAGACGACAAAGGCAAGCTCTACGACATTGTCTCGTTCGACCCGCGCGGCGTCAACAACACCACCCCGCGCCTGCGCTGCTTCCGCGACGCCTTTGCGCAGCAGGTCTGGCAACTGGGCGCCACAGACTATGGTCTGTTGTGGGATAGCGAGCGGGTTGTCGGGCTGGAGTGGGCGCGCGCTGCCGCATTAGGGCAAAGCTGTGCGCATGGCGACGACGACGATGACGAGGGTATATTGAGGTACGTCAACACCGCGCAAACAGTTGAGGATATGCGGCATCTCGTCGAGAAACTAGGCGAGTGGCGCGCCGCAGAAGCCCGTCGCACCGCCTCCAACCACACATACGACGGCCTGGCCTACCGGCCAGGCCACGAGAAACTCCAATACTGGGGCCTCAGCTACGGCACCCTCCTCGGCGCCACCTTCGCGGCGCTGCACCCGCACCGCGTCGGCCGCATGGTGCTCGACGGCGTCGTCGACCCAGCCGACCACTACGCCGGCGCGTGGCGCACGCAGCTGCAGGACTCGGACGCCATCGTCACGCAGCTGAGCGCGGACTGCTTCGCAGCCGGCCCGCGGGGCTGCGCGCTGCACACGGGGTCGTCAAGCGCGGACGTCGAGGCGCGACTCACATCCATCCTGCAGACGCTCAAAGACGCGCCTCTGCCGGTCGACACCGTCGGCGGCGACGGACCCGTGCTCATCACGTACGGCGATGTACATCTGGCGCTGCTGTCGGCGATGTACTCGCCGTTCGCGATGGCGGCGCCACTGTTCCGGCTGCTGCCAGCGCTGGAGCGGCGCGATGCGTCGGACGCGGAGATTGTGCGTCTCGCGGCGAGGAAGCAGGGCGCGCTGGTGCCGGCGTCCGCGCGCAGCGACGAGCCGGTGCCCTACGTCTCGGCCATGGGCGCTGTGCAGTCGATCGCGTGCATGGACAGCGTGGGCGCGGCGCCGCCGCTGACCCGCGCCACGTTCCGCGCGTATCTGGCCGAGCTGCGCGCGCAGGGCCGCTGGATTAGCCCCAGCTGGGCGAGAAATCGGCTCGCCTGCGTCGGGTTTGATGTGGCGCCGGTCTGGCGCCCGGCGTTGAGCTTCGAGAGGCAAGAGTGGGCGAGCCCAGCGCATCCGCTGCTGCTGGTGGGGAACACGCACGACACGGTGACGCCGCTGCGCAATGCGCATCGCGTGGCGGGTCTGTTCCCCGGGAGTGTGGTGCTGCAGCAGGACGGTGAGGGCCACTGCTCGCACGCCATGCCGTCGCTGTGCACGGCGCGCGCCATCCGCGATTATATGCAGACGGGGACGCTGCCCGCGCAGGGCACGGTGTGTGCGCCGGACGTGCGCCCGTTTGTGGGGTGTCGTCGGCAGGCGAGTTGCTCGTTTCAAGGCGAGGATAGACGGCTGTGGGATGCGCTGGTGACGCTGGCGGATCCGTTCAGGCTGCAGATCAACTCGTTTCCTTTACATCTCTAACAGGAGTATCCGTCGTGCATACAGGATATAATATACAGCGTCTGTCAAGCGGTTTCGCTCTAGAAACCCTCCACCTCCATGCCTAACCCCGTCGTCTTGCCGACATCCAGCAACATCCGTCCGACCACCAAATCCATAATGCCCATACCCACACACTTGAACACGACATTCTGCCCGTCCGGCACATCCAGCGCCCCCTCGCCCAGCCGGGCATACAACTCCCCAATCTCCACGAGCTGCGCGGGCCGCACCCCCGCCGCGATCAGCTCCCCCGACTCCTCCAGACACGCCTCGCGGGAATCAACATAAACGGTGCCGCCGCCGCTGAGCAGCGTCTCCGTATCGATCTCGCGCATATGCGGCTTGTACGAGCCGATCAGGCCAATAAACCGGGGCTTCGCCGGCTGCAGCCACGCGTACGGGAAATTCGGCTCCGTAGCGGGGGTGCAGCTAAAGATGACGTCGCAGCGGCGCAGCGCAGCGGCCAACTCCTCGTCGTACCGCGGAGCGTCCTCCTTCGCCAGCGTCGCGAACTCGACATGCGGATAGGCAGTGCGCAGCTCGGCGATGGCGGCGCCCATCTCGTCCAGCCGGCGACGGCTGCGGTTGACGAAGGTGATGGTGTGCACTTCGTCCTGCGCCGTGAGGAGTAGACATAACCGGGCGTGCCATTCGGCCTGGCGGCCGGCGCCGAAGATGACGACGTGGCGGCGGGAGAGGTGGACGCAGCGCACGAAGAGGGTCATGATGGCTAGCGCGGTGCGGAAGGCGGTGATTTCGGCGGCGCTGAGGAGGCCGAGGAGTTTGCCTTCGGGTGAAAAGATGTTGATGACGCCGATGATGCCGTGGGATTGCGAGGCGGTGACGATTTTGATCCCCGTGGTGGTGGTGTTGGAGACGGGCATGAAGAGCGAGAGGTTGTCGTCTTTGGTGGTGATGGTGGTGCGGAGGGGCTGGTGCACCAGACGGTCGCGCTCAGGGCGGGAATCTTGCGCGGAGACCGTCACGACGGCGTCGGAGAGGGCGCGCAGGAACGAAAGGCATTCTTCTTGGGTGAGTTGGCGCAGGAGCTGCGCGACGGCGGGCTCTGGGAGGAGATGCATGGTGATGTTGAGGTTGGAGGATGAGTCCGACTCGGACGGGTACGGGGTATATACCCCACCATGCACTAGAGCCTCGGCATGGATATCGGATATGGGGATCGATAGATACGTGCTAAGTACTTGTAGATAGAAGATCTGGTTCTGATGTTTATTTCTGGTCTACGCTGTTCGTAGTACAAGTAAAAATAAGTATAGGCATGTCAAAGCAAAGGATAACGCCATTTATATGCACCGCCAAACACCAAACTGAATCCGAGAATCCGTGAATCGTAACCGTTACTGTCCCATGCCAAACACCCGGCGGACCCGGCGCTTCAGCTCGCCAAACATGGCCTCCTGCGACTGCTTGGTGCGACCGACCGCCTCGGTGTTTTCGACCGCCCGACGCAGCAGGAAGCCCATGCACTCCTTAACGCTTCCCCAGGTGAGCAGCTTGTAGACATTCGGGGACTCGGCGGACGAGCTGGCGCCCTGGTCCTGGAAGCCCTGGAGGAGCTCGCAGCTGACCTCATCGGCCATGCCCTGCAGCTGGGCGTAGGAGAGATCGACGCCGCGGTCCTCGCCGCGGACGGCCTGCTCCATGCGGATGGCGTGGGCCTTGCGCACAGAGTCGCGGTTGTGGGTGGCGATGATGACGTTGACCGGGGGGAGTTCGGTGTGGGTGGACGACTGGAGCATGGTGTTGTAGCGACGGGTGAGGAGGGCCTCGACCACGCCGTCGTAGCACTGGTCGGTCTCCTCCTTGGTGGACCAGATGAGATGACGGGGCTCGGTCTTGAGATAGGCACCACGCACGAGCTTCACGCCCAGCGTGTATCCCTCGCGGCGGGAGATCTCGAGGTGCTTGGCCAGGGTGGCCGGGGTGGAGCAGAGATAGGCCTGGTAGGTGTTGAAGAAGATGGCGCGGCCGGGGGTCTGAGAGTTGCAGTACTTCTGGTACTTCATGGTCCACTCCTCGATACCGGGCTGGACGGCCTGCTCTTCGGCATCGACGAGGAGACGCACGTTGCGCGAGATGGCCAGATCGCACACCTGCTGAATGGCCTGGTCCATGAAGGCGGAGGGCGGGGCCTGTTGCTGGAGGTGCTGGAGGGCCTGCACGCCCATGCCGGTGAATTTGAGCGCGACAAAATCGCCCTCGTGGGCCATATCGACGGTTTGGAGAGTGCCATCGAGCCACATCTGGATTTCCTGGCGAGCGGCCTTCTCGTCGGCGGGATCGACATTGCTTTCGCCGACAAGGACCTCCTTGGCATATCCGAGGAGGACCCCGCGGTAGCCCAGGCTCTTGATGTCGCGGATGGAGCGCTGGACTTCGAGCTTGTTCTCACCAGCGTTGAACTGCTTGTAGATGCTGTGCTTGACCAGGAGGTTCAACAGCGGATTTTTGGCGACATCCAAGACGGGGGTTTTGGGATGGGCCAGGACGGAGAGGGTGTAGATGCAGGGCTTGAGCAGGAGAGAGGAAGAAGACACCGAGAGGATCATCAAGGACCGCAGAACGGCGGAGAGAGGGAGCTTGGCGAGGGGAGAGAGGTTGTCTTTCTTAGACGGCGGATGTTGCCAGGTCTCTTTGGAGGAGGACGTCGTGGACGTGGTGGCGAGAGACGACTTTGCATGGCTGGTGCGAGAGACATAGCGAGGCTTGGGGCCTGCGAGGGCAAAGGCGCCCAGCGGACGGTGAACAGGCCGCATGATAATAGTGTAGGTGATGGAAGGATTCGGTGAGGAGAGAAAGCAAGGATGTAGAGAAGAAATAAATATGGTGGGTAGATAGGGTAAGATAGACTATTGAGGCTATGGAACTATGGAGAGCCGGTGGCAACCGCGCCGGTGCCGTACATAGTATGATAGGTACAGTACGGAGTACAGAGTGCGGTGTGTGTGTTTCTGTTAGGTGATGACCGGTAGAGAATCTGGAGATAGAATGGAGCTGTGGAACAGAACAGAATGAAGTATGGTGATTCTATGAATAATAGATTCATTCTGAATGTTCGATGAGGTATACCGGTTCACGGCCCGGTGGCAGCCACATGCTTGACCGGCCCGGTAGGCTGCCGGGATGCCTGAGGGCTCAGGCATAATGATCTGATTAGGGTTCGGAAGAGCAGCCGGGGGAGAATTAGCCAATCAGACTGGCTATGGATAAGCTTGTCCCGGTTAGGGTATTTTTTAGCCTGCCGTTTAGGGTAAGTGCCGATCGGGATTTACAACCGAGATTTGTCTGCAGGGAATAGAAGGACAGATGAGGATGATAGAACATGTAGATGTAGAGGAGATAGGCTGTATACTATGGTCTGATAGTCTATATAGGTGCTATAGGTACTATAGGTACTACGTAGCATCGCAGACTTTGGAGTGCAGTATGAGCTTACCCCGTATACTCGGTACTTCTTGACCCCTCTTCATGGACTCCCTATGTACTTACTACTACCCAGGTAGATATTATTCATACTCTCTCAAAAAGAACAGGACCCTCAGAAACCACCTCCATCCCCTCTAGAATAAATGCAAACTCCATCGGAAGATATCCTACCACTCCGGGCCGGACCAACCTCCGGGCTCCCACCGGGTCTCGACCGGACCGCTATAGAACTGATGATTATTACTAAGACGACCGGCTTCCCCGCGTGACTTCTTCCCCTCACCTTCTTTTCTCCTCATTCTTCACTTCTCCTACTTTTCTTCTCTTCTCTACCTCCTCTTTTTCCATTTCTCTCCTTCTCCTATACCCTTTCTCTTACACAGAATCGCCTCACCAACCATGCAGGCCCTTCTCCGTACGCGCCTCCCCGCGCGGTCTATCCCCCGCATCCCTTCCCGCGCCATGGGGTCCTACGCCACCTTCAAGGTCCCTCGCATCGACAACGAGCCCAACGTGAGTTCTTTCATGGAATATCCTCATCCCACGCTAATCAACTTAGAAACACTATGCTCCTGGCTCGCCCGATCGCAAAGGTCTCGAGGAAGCCCTCGCGCGTAGACAAAGCCCTCTCAACGTCCCTCTCGTCATTGCCGGCCAAGAGGTATGTCCTGGATCTCTACGATGCTCCTACGATCATCCACCTAACGAAACAGATCAAATCCTCTTCCACTCTCACTCAATCCAACCCCGCGACCCACGCCACTGTCGCTACCTACTCCAATGCCACCACCGACCAGGTCCAGTCCGCCATTGACGCCGCGCTGGCCGCCCGCAAGGACTGGGCTGCCACCTCTTTTGCCGACCGCGCCTCGGTCTTCCTCAAGGCCGCCGATCTGATCTCCTCAAAGTATCGCTACGACATCATGGCCCTGACCATGCACGGTCAGGGCAAGAATGCTTGGCAGGCCGAGATCGATGCCGCCGCCGAGCTGTGTGACTTCTTCCGCTTCGGTGTCAAGTACGCCGAGGACATGTACGCCCAGCAGCCCGTCCACCACGCCCCCGGCGTCTGGAACCGCGTCGAGTACCGTCCGCTCGAGGGCTTCGTCTACGCCATCTCCCCCTTCAACTTCACCGCCATCGGTGGTAACCTTGCCGGCGCTCCCGCCCTCATGGGCAACGTCGTCGTCTGGAAGCCCTCCCCCTCCGCCATCGCCTCCAACTGGCTCGTCCACCAGATTCTCCTCGAGGCCGGTCTCCCCCGCGATGTCATCCAGTTCGTCCCTGGCGAGGCCGAGGACGTCACCCGCACTGTGCTGAACCACCCCGACTTCGCCGCCCTGCACTTCACCGGCAGCACTGCCGTCTTCCGCAGCCTCTACGGCCAGATCGCCGCTGGCGTCGCTGAGGGCAAGTACCGCAGCTACCCGCGCATCGTCGGTGAGACCGGCGGCAAGAACTTCCACCTGGTGCACAAGTCGGCCGACCTGCGCAACGCCGTCGTCCAGACCGTCCGCGGCGCCTTTGAGTTCCAGGGCCAGAAGTGCAGCGCCACCTCGCGCGCCTACATCCCGGCCTCGCGCGCCGACGAGTTTGTCGAGCAGATCGTCGCCGAGACCAAGCAGCTCTCCGTCGGACCCCCGACCGACTTCACCAACTTCTGCGGCCCCGTCATCCACGAGGGCTCCTTCACCAAGCTGGCCCAGGTCATCGACGAGGCCAAGAACGATCCCGAGCTCGAGCTGCTCGCCGGCGGCACCTACGACGCCTCCAAGGGCTGGTACATCCAGCCCACCATCTACCGCACCAACAACCCGGACCACCCCCTGCTCTCGCGCGAGCTGTTCGGCCCGGTCCTCGTCCTCCACGCCTACAACGATGCCTCTGATGCCGACTTTGCCCGCATCTGCGAGAAGATCGACACCACCGGCTCGTACGGTCTGACCGGCGCCGTCTTCGCGCAGGACCGCGCCGCCGTCAACCTCGCCAACGACCACCTCCGCAACGCCGCCGGCAACTTCTACATCAACTGCAAGAGCACCGGCGCCGTCGTTGGCCAGCAGCCCTTCGGTGGTGCCCGCGCTAGTGGCACCAACGACAAGGCTGGCAGCGGCAACCTCCTGTCGCGGTTCGTCAGCTTGCGTTCCATCAAGGAGGAGTTTGTGCCCACGCACAACGTTCCCTATCCCAGCAATGCCTGAACGATGACCCCCTGTTTTTACTGTTGTATATGGGCTAAAATACGGTGCATGGATGGCGTTTCTTTCTGTTATCGTACCTAAGATATCATTGCTAGTTGTTACTATAGTCCAATCGAGTTCACCCAAGCTCTCTATGTGAACGCCAACTTGTCTACTCCCACGCGCTCCGCTTCCTTGTTTAGCGCCTCAATCTCCGCCTCCGTAAACGGAATCCCCTTAGCCAGCCGTTCCGCCTGTGTAATCTGCTCAATCTCCCCGGGATAGTAAATTCGCTCCACGCCCGCCATCTTCTCGCTCCCCACCACCCGCTGATACAGATAATCCATGCGCCCCTTGAACTCCTCCAACCCCATAAACAAATCCGGCTTGATCGCCACCAGAAAATGGCCTACATCCGCCGGCCGCGACGGGTCATACGGGCCCGTGACATGTCCCGCAAACGCCGACCCGGACAACACGCCCGAGAACACATCCATCATGATGGCGAGCGCCGACCCCTTCGGCCCGCCCATGGGCAACATCACGCCCTCCAGGGCCCTCGCCGGGTCGGTCGTGGGCCGACCCTCCCCATCCAGCGCCCAGTCGCCGGGGATATCCTCCCCGCGCCGAAGCGCCTTGTAGATCTTGCCCCGCGCCGCAACAGACGGCGCCATATCGAGGATGAACGGCGGCGCGGCGCCGGCGGGCGCCCCACACGCAAGCGGCGACACGCCCATCAGCTTCTCCGCGCCGCCGAAGACCGGCAGCGCGGGCGACGAGTTCGTAAACACCAGCGACAGCATGCCGGCGTCGAGCGCCTGCTGCACGATCCACGCGGCCATGCCGAAGTGGTTGGAGTGCTTGACGGAGACCAGCCCGATGCCGAAGGTCTGCGCCATGGCGACGGCGCGCTGCATGCCCGCGTGTGCGGCGACGAAGCCGAAGCCGTTGTGCGCGTCGACGCTCGCGACCACCGGCGTGATCTGTTGCACCGTTGGTGTTGCGGCGGCGTCGAGCACGCCCTGTCGGATGCGGGCCATGTAGGAGGGGAGACGCTGGGTGCCATGCGTGTCGACGCCGCGGAGGTCGGCGTGAACGAGGCAGCGGGCGGTGATGGCCGCGGACGCGGTGGGCACGCCGTTGGCTTCGAGGAGGCGCTGCGCGAAGCGCTGGAGGGTGTCGTGTGGGATGTTGTGGGTTGTTTGGGTGGAGGCCATTGTGGTGGGTTGGGGATGTGTGGAAGGAGGTGAGGGTGTTGGGGATGGGCGGTTTTATTATAGTTCTGTGCGGAGAACATCCGCATCCGTGTGGAGAGACGGAGTTATCCGCGACGGAAGTGCCCCGACATGCGTACGGAGTACCTACGGGCTGTCCGCCTGGTTGACCCGCTAGCTGTTGATAAACTCCCACATGAAACTGTCGATATCAGACATGCCACTCCATTGATCGCCCTGGAGCAGGTCGTCGAAGAGGTTGGGCGTCAGTGCCGTCGTTTGTGCCGAGATGGAGTATGGCTCCGGAATGCTCCCAGACTCAAACTCTTGACGAGTTCCAAGACGGTCTTGTCGTGGAGACTCCCCTAGATCGCGCAGGCCGCGATGTGTCGTGCATTCGGCTGGCTTCGACGCATTGGAAAACGGATGGCTCAGCAGACGCGGAATCGTGACACTTGCCAACTCGGCGAGACAGTCTCTCGCGCGAGTAGCCTCCGCCCAGTGCTCCCCAATACTGCTCAGGATATTCTGGGCGACGCCGAGCTTGGCGATGAGCTCATTGACCCGAAGCGTGGCAGCTGTGCCGGGCAGTTTCCAGATGCAGTGCAGCATGACCAGCGTGCCGAGGAAGACCGCATGGACTACGAGACGGCTGTACGGGAGATTACCCGCTGCATACAGCTCCCCAAACGACTGGATCAGCATGAACGAGTGATGGAAGCAGCGTTCGTACATTTCGTCCGCGGGATGTGGAATTCCCGGACTCGGTCGTAGGATTAGAATCATTGTTTCGTGGTACTTGACCTGGCAGTACTGCGCGAGGGCCTTGGCTTGTGGCGTGTCAACCCGTGGCACTTCGTTGACCCAGTTCCGCAGGGAGCTAATCATATCCTCTTGCCATGCAAGTATATTCCGAACAGGGGGAAAGGCGTAGGCCGGCACATCACGGCGGACGCTGTGCATGATGTATTTGATTTCGGAGTTGAGTTGCGCCAGCTTGAACAGATGGATGGAATAGGCCATGTGCGACGGTACTCGTCTGTGTGTTGATTGACTTGCCGTGTCGCTGACCAGATCGAGGTCTGTCATATCCAGTGGAAGCTAAACCGTCAGTATACACAGCGTCCATATATCCAGACGGCTACTCACCCTTCTCTCACACGCCTCGTCCCTGATTCCAATCGGACGTCCCATCATGGTGCACACCGTTCGATCGAGTGTGTACACTACCCAGAAGACACGAGTCCGCATTTCCTGTTCAAGTAGTGATATCCTTATCGCCGGTGATGACCGCACATCTCGCTGCAGACCAAGGTCGATCACGCTCGCAAGGCACTGGTAGTTGAGATTCCAGATGTTAATGTTGCACGACGGATGATACAGTGCGTATACCATGAGCAGTAGCAAGCACTGCAGTGCCGGGAGAGAACCGTGGTGGCAAACAAAGTCGACATGCTTCATCGCCGAGGCGTAGTACTCCTCGACAGGGAGTTGGATTTTGCAGCGCCGTGATAGCTCCAAAGACGCAATGGCCAGAACCATGTACACCTGGAAGCTGTCGATGGGATTCTCTTCCTGATCCTCATACATCCGGTCGATGGCCTTCATGTGCGTCTGCTCATGGAGGAAGGGGTACAGCAAGTGGACCGTCCGGAAATACTGGCTCGATAGCTCTATGGCTATCTGCTTCTGCGGTGGTAGCGATGCAGGAGTATTAAGTAGCTCTACCGGAAGATGAAGTGCCTCCCCCGTAGACCCAGACAACGTCTTCTGTCTACCATTCCAGCCGGTGTTGGAAAATATGCGCTTCGCAAAAAAGTATCCACTGGACGGCCCGATGTAGCGCGGATCGCCTCCTGGGGACAATGAAACTAGCCCGATTTCGTGCGCCTGGTGAGGTTCTTCCTGAACAGGTTGGGTATGGGAGGTCGAGCCTCCATGATTGAAGTAATTAACTTGGTTCGGCGCATTGCTGCCCCGTCTTTCGGTTGCTTGGGTGGCATGGTGGATGCCGGCAGCATGATCTTCAGCCATCTGACTGAGCGTATCGGACTGTATTGTGTCATTGAGCATTTGAGATTGTCCTTCGATGTCTTGGTTCAAGTCGACGTCGGAGCGCTTCTCCCTAACAATCGCTTCTAGCCATTTGATCCGGTTCTCCATGGTGGCGATGTATCTGTCACGTTAGCAGTTGATGCATGCTATAGAAGATCAACTCACGAGCGGTGGACTTCCTGCTTTCCGTCGTTGATACATGCTGTCCCTGCTCGTTGGCATGCACTGCATGCTGGGGTATTCCCGTCGCACTGTCAAGTCAGCCTCGGTTACACTCCACCAGGCGAAATAACCTACTCGGATTTTCCTTCGCTGGCAGCGTCTACAGGCGGCTCTATTTCTCGATCTTTGGCTCATTTTCAGGAACTTAAGACGGTAGACACCCCAAAAGTGCAATGCGACGGTGTTGGAAGATAGAAGAATGGAAGCAGGAGATGGGCGGGGGACATCCGCTTATCCGTCGGCGTTTCTCCGAACCCTAACTAATCTTCAACTCACGAAATATACATCCGGTGGGAAGACGGTTCTAATATCTATCTACGTTCACAAAGAAAACTGACACATGTATTCATCTTCAGCATCTACCTCAAAGTCGAATCGCACCAAATCCTCCTTATAAGGAAACATATATGTCGAGGTCACCCTGGTCGTGTCAGCTAGCCAGCCCATAGCTTTGTATACTCTACCACATACCAGTGATGTTCTTGACTCGCTTGATACTCTGCCAAAGCAGTCTGATCCTCATGATAGCTCACCAGCGCAACCTGGAATCCCTTGCTGCGTTCGATGGGGTTGGTGACACTGGGGCCTCCGACGAGAAGTCGTCCGGCTTTGACACAAGAGAGCTCCTTCAGTTTTTTCAGCTCTGTCACAAAGGTCCTTCGATGCTCCTCGCTGACATCGGAGCGAAATTTGAACAGGACTGAACTGATTGGGTTAGAGACGGTCCTTTGATCAGTGCCACCGAACACTTACCAATATGGACTAGAGTCATTGCACCGGTGTTATGGGTGCTTTATAATTGAGTAGAGTCGAATGAATAGGTGGAATCAGAATGAGGTGTGGAAAAAAGTCCAAGAATATGAAATAGCCAGAGGGAGGAAACTAAGAATGGCTCTGATCCTAGACTGCGGATGGAGGCCGACGGAGCGGATGCGCTCCGCACGGGACTTGTTCAAAGTCAGTGTACGGAGTTGGCTGGAGCATTCCTAATAAGGCTAACAATACTATTATCCTATCATTTGCTAAAACATGATGTCCTAAACACCCGCTCTGAATATCAATGGCTGATCCGGGCTAGGTTGCTTCACTTCCGCACCTGCGGAGGAACCCCGCCACAAGTCTACCGTTTTGTACCGGTATCAGCACGGCCAGGATAGGGCGGAGGAGCATCCTCCGGGTTCTGGTCTCCGTAGGCTGTGTCATTCAGCGGCTGCAGACTCTCCGCTTGAGCGGCGCTTCTCCGCCGTCGAACAAAGAACCAGTAGTAGATGCCCCCAGTGATCAACCCGACTCCGGCCGCAACCCCAATCGCAATGCCCACTTTCTCCCGCGTATACAACCAGTCTCGGGGCAGGCTCAACGAGCCTGATGGCACCGGAACAATGTCCGACTCGGAGGCTTTGAACCGTACCTGAATGGGGGTCGCCTTGACGTAGTCTTGCGTGCGTCGAGTGGAATACGTCTCGTCGCTGTATGTCATAGTGACCGGCGTGGCGAGCCGTGAATAACAGAATGTTTTGGCGATAAGACTGTAGCCTCTGTAGCTGGCGTGAGACAGGCCACCCGCAAGTGAACACAGAGTCACTCACCCCGGACAACAGTAATTGGTCGTTTCCTGGCGTTGTTTCGATGTTGGAAGCGGGTAGGCGTGGTACCCAGAAGGACACATGCCCGGACTATAATACACGGCCTCTCCCCAATTTTCGGGACAGCAGTCCTTGTTTGCCCCCTCGGCACAGGCGACTTCGAGTCCCGGGTATCCATAAGGGTGTCTGGTTGTCAGTTGGAAGCATGACGACGCAGGCGCAAACGCTGTGGTGAGTGGTCCAGCTGGAGCCGCGGTGGTATCGGGCAGAACGTTATCGACATATGCATATGTGTTGGTGCAAAAGGCAAGGGTGAGGAAGTGTACGAGAAGCTGTGATGCTGGTGCCATTTTCTCGCAAACTGCTGTCGAAGGAATGGCATCGCATGTGGCTGATTGGGGCTCTGTTGTTTATAAAGGCTTTGATCACGGATCAGACCTCTTGACACAGCCAACACTAATAACACTTGGGATAACCGAGACCAGCTGGGGGCTAGATGAGTAGCATGATTCGCCTACCCGTGCAATTCATCGAGGCGATGTGGATGTGCCAAGGGCGATTGTGAAAATCATCTCGTATTCATATTGCCAAGATGAATCCTACAACTAATTGTGGACATGGTGTGGGGTGGGACACGGCAGGGCGGAAGATAGTTGCAGGATTATCCATAGACGAGGACCAGGAGCATGGCTTATGGAAAGATATCAAAACATATGTAGATGTCCGTTACGATGATGCTGTCTCGAGTTGATGCACTTGTATACTTGTGACCCTAGGCCATTTTAGGAAGGGCGCTTACCCAGAAAGGAAATAAGGCCACTCACTCACGTGATTGAATTTTATACCGAAAATGCCCACGAGAATCACTGCACTTCGAACTTCCATCTGTCAATTCCTCCACGCCGCATCGGCGTTCAACAGGGCATGGACACGGGCACGGGCGCGGGCGAGACATCGAGCCAGTTCAAAGAGCTGCCGATCGAGCCCCGAGGAATCATCTGGCAAGATGACTTCGTCACGCCCGAACACGAGCAACGCCTGCTCTCCATCTTCCGCAACGAATTGACCTGGCCCGATCGAACAGGCCGCATATCCCTGCACTACGGCTACACCTTCGACTACAAGACCTTCGGGATCGACCCGGACATCCCGTACAAGGAATTCCCCGACTGGCTGCAGCCGCTCATTCCGACGACCGAGTCTCGCCCGCCGGACCAGGTCTGTCTGCAGTACTATCCGCCGGGCAGCGGGATCCCGCCACATGTAGACGCGCACGCCCCGTACGACCAGCTGTACGCTCTGTCGCTGGGTGCGCCGGTGTTCATGCAGTTTCGCAAGGGCGAGCAGCGCGTCGATGTTGATCTCACCCCGCGAAGCATGATGGCGTTCACGGGCGACGCGCGCCTCCACTGGACGCATGGCATTAAGAAGCGCAAGACGGATACGCTCGCCGATGGGACGGTGAGGCCGCGCGCCGACCGGTGGAGTATTACGTACCGTTGGCTTCGAAACGGGGAGTGCGAGTGTGGCAATGTTGAGCTGTGTGACACGGCGCAGCGACGGAACGGTATCGAGAAAGAGAAACGGTCGCTGAAAGAGTTGGCCGCGAAGGCTGTGGCTGATGACTCTGTTTGAGCATAAGATAAGAGCAAGCTGGATACTGGACCGATGCACAGGGCCAGGCTATTGCAATACAGCTTGTCTAAAGCCCACTTGAGGTGTCCGGACACACAACAAAGAAGTCCGCCAACATCTCCGGCGAAGTCTTGTTAGAGGGCCTATTCGGCTCCACGAGACAAGTTGAGCCGCTCTCCAAAGCGTTGCCAGTACGCTTTGTCGCTTGGAGATTGCTGAGCATTACAGCAGTGATTAAACATGACTTGATATAATACCAAAGCTCATGCCTCATGAAGCAGGTCTTTGAAGCTCGCACGAGCCCGTTGGAATGCGATGGCGTCGAGCCGATAGTTTCGAGCTACATGTACATACTGAAGCGACATACATCTATACGTCTGCACATCTATCCAGGAACGCGCGCATACTCCCCATAGCCTCTCTGGCGTATTCCCCCATATCATACTTCTTTCCCTTGCCCTCTGGCCCACTATCAAAGATCTCCATCGAGAACCACCCACGAAATCCGGTCTGCAATACGGCACGACCAACTTCCACGATAGGCAAATATCCACCACCTCCCGGCATCGGCCGGAAATCAAAACTCCACCGCGCGCGCGGCCACATCCCATCCACACGACGGTCCTCAATCGGCGACGACGGTCGGTACGCATCGGAGATCTGCAGTAGGTAGATCTTCTCGGGGGGTATGGTACGCGCGAGCTCAGTCATGCTGTCGGCGAACTGCGCATTCAGCGTTTCTTCCGGCAGATCTCTGACTCTCCCTGTGGAAGTGGTCGGATCGCCCCATTCTGACCCAGCAGTCTGGAAGGTATCCAGACACAGCCCGATATTTGGACGGTCCACGGCTTTCACGATGGACCAGACGTCCTTCCAGGTAGGGGCGTGGGTGGACCAACACCAGTTTTCGTAGGCTAGTCGCATGTTGTGTTGCGCGAGCTTGTCCGCTAGCGAGCGCAGGTCGGTGATGATATTTTCGCGGGTGGCCGACAGAGAGTCCAAAGGCGTGTCTGTTGATCCAACCTGTTTCAGTCAGTTTCTGTAGTCGATGTCCTCGGCACGGCCGGGACCATACCTGCAACATGTCGGTCCCGAGGGCTCGCATGACGGCTATCCAGCCGTCCGCTCTTTTAAATGCATCCGCTCTCTCTTTGGAGTCCCGTTGCCAGCCCTCAAAATTGGAGAACGGCTGGAGCATCATAATCTCGAGCCTCTTCTCCTCGCATAATTTTCGAATGTCTTTTGCGATATCGACAAGCTGGGTGTAGTCATCGGACGCGATCTGACGTCCCAGTTTCTGGGAGGCATACGACACTATGTCTGGGAAGGCGAGCTCAATCGCAGTGAAGCCAGCTTTACTGATTGCCTCGAGCTTTCGAGGGAGCGTATCATCGTCGGTGCATCCTATAGAGCAGGATGCATAGGAAAGGGGGATGTTTTGAAGCGAGTCTTTTCGTATAGTCTTGGACGACATCGTTATATACTGCCAGGCATTTGATGTGGAGCAATGTTATTCAATTGTCAAAATCACAACGACCTTGCGACCGATATTATATAGCTAAAGATTTGGTTATCATCATCTAATCGAGATGCAACACGCGTGGCATGACCGACTCGCCCGTTGATGTAATGATGACCGCGGCGGTGGACCCCGGGTTTGCCTGCGGTTGATCGTCCCGCCGAGTCAAGTCAAGCTTCGAGCTTGTTCAGACAGCCTCTTGCTGGCGAGCGTTCCACAACTAGAAATAGGAGCCTGATGTCATTTTGGCGTAGGTGAAGCAGAGGGTTTATCTTATTTAACAGCAATTTCAGATTGAACTGTCGCAACGAGCAAGTGTACCTGTATCTCGCAGCACATAGACAGTACAGCTACTTCAGCTACTTGTACAATGCCTTCAGAAATCTCCGATCAGCCATTCAAGCGCATTGGCATCGTGGGGGCCGGAAACATGGGCTCCATGATGACCTTGGCTTTCTCTGAGCTGGGGTTGGACGTTTCAGCCTGGGACGTCCAAAGCGAAAATGTCGATCAGCTGATGGATATGTCGAAGAAGATCGACAGCAAGGGAAAGATGGAGGGTTTCCATGACATTAATGAATTTGTCCACAGCCTAGAGAGCGCGGGCGAGCACAAACTATTCCTCTTCTCCATCACCCACGGCGATCCGGCGGACTCCGTGTTGGGTATGATCAAGGATAAACTGCAACCCGGCGACATTATCCTAGATGGAGGGAACGAACACTATCGTCGGACCGAAAAGCGACAGAAGGAATGCGCCGAAATTGGAGTCAAATGGATAGGCATGGGAGTATCTGGAGGGTACCAGTCCGCACGCCATGGTCCAAGTCTGTCACCAGGTGGTGACGCGGAAGCCATGAAACTCGTCATGCCACTGCTCAAGACCTATGCAGCGAAGGACTCTAAAACCGGAACCCCGTGTGTGGCGCCGATAGGGCCCCATGGCTCGGGGCATTTCGTCAAGATGGTGCACAACGGGATCGAGGTGGGCATGTTATCCACGATTGCCGAGGCTTGGTCCCTGCTTCACCATGGACTGGGAATGCCTTACGCTGAAATTGCAAACCTCTTTGAATCGTGGAACTCTCATGGGGAGATGCGCAATACCTACCTGTTGGAGATTGGGGTCGACATGCTACGCACTAAGCGTACCCCCCAAGGGGACCAGAAAGGCGAAGGCGCAAGCGAAAAGGGCGGCTTTGTCCTTGATGATGTCCTCGACAAGGTTGTCCAAGATGACGATGGGAGCGAAGGAACGCCAACGTGGAGCATTATGGAGTCGGCGAATCGCCATGTCTCCGCGCCAACATTGGCGGCCGCGTATTACTTGCGACTCGCGAGTGGTAATCGTGCAGAACGGCTTTCAGTCGCTCGGAATTTGCAGATTCCGGGTCTTAAGCCCATTGAGAAGGTGAAAGATCGAAAAGCCTTCCTGGAAGACCTGCGCCGCGCGGTGTACTGCTGTTTCCTGGCTTCGTTTTGCCAGGGACTCGAACTGATCTCTCGGGCTTCGGAAGACGAAGGATGGGACATTGATCTCGGACAATGTCTGCAGATTTGGCGCGCTGGGTGTATCATTCGATGCGAGGGAATCGCGGACCTCCTGCAACCTTGTCTGCCCGCTGATGTGCGATACACGAACATGAAATTCATCCACCAGGTAGCCGGCGAGCTGCATAAGAGTTTCAGTGCGTTGAAGGAGATCGTGGTCACCGGAGTTCGCGCGGACCATTACGTCCCTGCCATGTCGGCCACACTGGAATATTTGAAATACGAAGGAAGCACGATGTTACCGACGCAGTTCATGGAGGGCCAGATGGACTTCTTCGGAGGTCACGCGTATAACAAACCCGGGGTGCCAGGAGAGGACCCGGGGCCGACGAAGAAGGGAGCACATCATTACGAATGGCGTCCAGCATGAGATTTGAATGTATGAGTTGATTGCAGTGTATGTCAGGAAGAGGGAGAGAGAGAATCTGAATTGGATGGACACTATTGTATGGGGAGATATGTTTGTAGTGCCTTACTGCCTTATTGCCTTACGGCCTTGGTGCCTGAGCGGCCCCACGTGGGCGATAAGGATTACCCGATTAGGAAAGGCAACCCCGCCATCGCCATTTTTTTCTCCATCGCCGATTGATCGTCTTAATATAAATCCGGTGCAACCCAAGACTTCGCGTGTTCAGTCCGTCGAGAAGTGCATGCGCTTACTTCCCGCCCTCGTTCGCTCTCTGTCCTCTTCCTCTAGACCCCTGCGCAGGATCGAATCTCCCAAACAACTCGCTCGAAGAATGGCTGTCCTTCCTGATACCTACGCGGGTGAGTGAGCGTTCAGACGGCAGCGACGGACACAGCGGAGCCAGGAGACGTGATTACTGACCAAATACCACTTCCAGAGCCCGTCCGTATCGCCGTCATCGGTGGAACTGGTCTCCGTGAGCTTCCTGGCTTCACCCAGGTCGCCTCTCTCAACATCACGACCCCCTGGGGAAAGCCCTCCTCTCCGATCACCATCCTGCACCACCAGTGCCGCCATAACAACAAGACCGTCGCAGTCGCTTTTCTCAGTCGCCATGGCATGCACCACCAGATCGCCCCGCATGAGGTTCCTGCCCGCGCCAACATTGCCGCGCTCCGTTCCATTGGCGTCCGCACCATCATTGCCTTCTCCGCCGTCGGCAGCCTGCAAGAGGAGATCAAGCCCCGCGACTTTGTGATCCCGGACCAGGTCATTGATCGTACCAAGGGTATCAGACCGTTTACGTTCTTCGAGGGGGGTGTCGTCGCCCACGTGCCTTTTGGCGACCCGTTCGACGAGGGTGTCGCCAAAGTGGTGAGAGCCTGTGGACACAGTCTGGAGGGTGAGGGTGTTGTCCTCCATGACCGGGGCACCTTGGTGTGCATGGGTATGTAGCTGATCCTACCCATGTCTCTTCCGCTCTTGTTACTTCTGTTTCTGACCATCCGCAGAGGGACCTCAGTTCTCCACCCGCGCTGAGAGCAAGCTCTACCGTTCTTGGGGCGGCAGTGTCATCAACATGTCCTGTCTGCCAGAGTCCAAGCTGGCTCGTGAGGCCGAAATCGCTTACCAGATGATCTGCATGTCCACCGACTACGATTGCTGGCACGCCACCACTGAGGACGTGACTGTGGAGATGGTCATGGGCAACATGAAGGCAAACGCGGAGAACGCCAAGCACTTTGTCACGGCCGTCCTGGATGAACTGGCGTCCGACGAACACTCGGACCTGGTCCAGTGCAAGCACCTGGAAGGGTCCGTCAAGTTTGGCCTCAGCACCGCTCAGCAGTACTGGAGCCCTGAGGCGCGGGAGAAGATGAACTGGCTTTTCCCGGGATACTTCAACTGATTGACATCGCACATAGATACGCGAACTAGACATAGATGTCTACATCGTACATATGTCGGATAAAGGTTTATAGTTGGTCATGAACTTATGAATATAAGATTCCGTCAATGGAATAAGGGTGGACAGATTGAGATCATTCCAAGACGCGTTGTTCATAGAAAGCATATAAATTCCTTTACCTGCTAGACAATGCAATGCATCCCACTGCTGAGAACGGCACATAAAGCCTTTCTTCTTGACGTGATGTCTTTGTTTGAAACAATGCATATTACCTCAGAGGTATGGGCAACATGCTGATGGCAAGTCGTGGAGATTCCGACAGACCCTCTATTCAAACAACGTCCTCCCTCTGTAACGTCCTCTCTACATCCACTTCTCATCATCCATCTTCCCACTCGCACCTTCTCTCCTCACCACCTCCTATCCCGATCTTCTCTTCTCAACATGGAAAACTTCCACATTCTCGATCCAATGGGGGATCTGTTGGTCGTCGTAAAGAAGCCAAGTGATCTGTGCGAAGACAATAGTCTCGTCCTTGACCTGGTGACGGTCGGTATGTAACCACTTCATCCCCCGACCTCTTGTCATGGACCTGTACTGACCCAATCAATATAGGTGAAGACGCCATTCCAGGATATCTTCAGTATGAGCCAAGCCAACCCTCGTCTTCCGACAACGACAGTACGAGCACTGACCCCTCCGATGGCGAATGCAGCTATACAGAATGTGCTCGCTTTCTTGTCTCGTCAAAGCATTTGAGCCTCGGGTCTTCATACCTTAGTCTGGAATTCTGCTTGGATGAATACGCATGTACCAAGAAAATGAAGGTCCCGGCTTGTGTTCAGGATGTGTATGCTGTGTGGATTCTGTTCAGCATACTCCACTGTAGGGCCAATAACGTCCCTCGTGCTGTTGACTTGAAAATGCTCATCTCCATCACCGCTCTCGTCCAGTATTTCGACTGCATGGAAGCTGTCCAGCTGTATGCTCATTTCTGGATCGACCGCCTGATCTGGCCTATTATCTACATTAGGAATTTCCATGAGTGGATCTGGATCGCGCGGATCTATCGACATGACGCTCTTTTCGCAGAGGCCACGCGCATCGCCATCCGTGAATCCACCGGTCCTCTCGATTTGTGGGGGTTTGACGGATCGAAGTCGTTATCTGGTGAATCAATGATCTTACTCTCTCCATGCCAAAAGGTACCGGTTAAGGCTAACATCAGGACGGTCCTAGATACCATTGAGACTCTCCGACAGGAAGCCATCGACGGGATCGTTGCGAAGCTGTATGACCGCATCGAAGTCGTCAAGCAGGGCAAATATTGCTGCGGTAAATGCGACGCCCTCATTCTTGGAAGACTCATCCCGCTGTTACAGGACCATGGCCTTTACCCGCGACCGGTGCCGCCTTTTCAGGGGATCAGTATAGATGTTCTCGTCCGTACGGTAGCAGGTCTGCAGGCCTGGTCGTTTGTTGGAGTCTTCCATACGATCAGGGGGTGCGATAATGTCACCGGTGCCGCGGTAGGAACTGAAATGCAAGAGTTGGAGGAGCTGTGCGAGCAGGTTCAAGGGTTGAGTATGGAGGAGTTTAATAATGCTTAAGGTGACCATTTCCGATCCTTCTTTCTGTGCGGATCGTTCCCTCTAGTGGTTTGTTTTGTTAACATCTCACCAGGTTCATAGCGGTTATTATCAGAGATAGCAATGACACATCATTACCCCAGCCATGCAAGCCATAAGCAAGACCCCGATCATTTCAGTAGAATACTGTTGATCTCAAAATCCCCTTTCCCACAATCAACCCAGGATTAACCGAGGATTATCCCTAGGAACGGATATTTATGGAAACAATCAGAAGAATGCTGCCGAATTGCCCCTGAACATCGGGGCTGATACCCGAATCGAGCGCTGTCTCCATCGCTAACGAGGGATCGACAGGAACCATTTCTGCACCTTTTTCTTTCTGTCTCTCTACCCCGGTCATCATTGATCTCCTCCTTGCTCGCTGATGGGTCTGCCTGGGATACTCTTATGCCGAGGGCTCGGAGCGGCCACAGGAATGTATCCCTGGAGATCATCTGCGCCGGTCAGACGGAAGAATTACCCAGACTCCTCCAGAATCAACCTCGAAAGTGCCGATGTTTAGCCTGCCGATCGACAATCCCCGTTGCTGTTCCAGGATAGACTGGTTCCCCTCACGAACGCTCTCTGCATCCCAGATTTTCGCCCGATGACATCGACGGTGGGGATTCCAGCAATGATCAGCTTCGCTCGCGTTGTTTGCCTTGCCCTTGGCACGGAGCAGTGGCTAATGCACGACTCGACTGATCGCGGGGCCTCCGCGCCTGGCTCGGGGTTTTGATGGACGCGCAGCCTTGATTGCTATCGCATGACCCACGGTGGTTGTCTCACCTGCCGAGTTATATACTCCGTACCATCCCCATGCCCTGGACTAGCCCTACTCAGAGTACACATCGCGTGCCCCTCAGCAGCTGCACAACATACGTGAGCTGCGGATCGAGATGGCGCCTTCGTCGCTGAAGTGGACGCTCTTGTGCGCGTTGCCATGGACGCTGGCATCCCCTGCCTCTTATAATGTTCACCATGCTCGCGATTCCGACGCCCAGGCCTTTTCGCCGCCATACTACCCGACACCCCACGGAGGATGGATTGCAGACTGGGCGGAGGCCTACGAGAAGGCCTCCCAGTTGGTCCGCAATATGACCCTGGCGGAGAAGGTGAACCTCACCACCGGCACAGGCATGTACATGGGTCCTTGTGCCGGCCAGACGGGCAGTGTACCGCGTTTTGGTATCCCCAATCTTTGTATGCATGACGGCCCGCTGGGGGTGCGCAACACCGACCATAATACGGCATTTCCCCCCGGAATTACTGTCGGGGCCACCTTTGACAAAGACCTGATGCGCAGTCGCGGTGTCGCCCTGGGCGAGGAAGGCAGAGGGAAGGGAGTCAATGTGCTCCTGGGGCCGTCTGTTGGCCCCATCGGCCGCAAGCCACGCGGAGGACGCAACTGGGAGGGCTTTGGTGCCGACCCCAGTCTGCAGGCGATTGCAGGCAGCCTGACAATCGAGGGCATGCAGAGCACGGGTCTGATTGCCTGTATAAAGCACTTCATTGCCAATGAGCAGGAAATGCACCGCATGAGCAGCGTTGTCACTCAGGGATACTCCTCCAACGTTGATGATCGCACCTTGCATGAGCTGTACCTGTGGCCCTTTGCTGAGGGTGTGCGTGCTGGTGTTGGCTCTCTCATGGCTGCCTATAATGATGTATTCTCACTGCCGTACCAGATTTGAAGCTTTTACTGATCGGTTCTAGGTCAACAACTCCGCTTCCAGCCAAAACAGCAAGATGCTGAATGATATCCTCAAGGACGAACTGGGCTTCCAGGGCTTTGTGATGTCCGACTGGTTTGGTAACTACGGCGGCGTCTCAGCCGCCCTGGCTGGCCTCGACGTGAGCATGCCGGGCGATGGTGCCATCCCTCTCCTTGGTGACAGTTACTGGGGATCGGAGCTGTCTCGCTCCATCCTCAATGGAACTGTGCCGGTAGACCGTCTTAATGACATGGTAAAGCGAATCGTTTCTTGTCACCTACCTATGCTAACACGAACTAGGCCACCCGGATCCTCGCCTCTTGGTACAAAATGGGCCAGGACCAGGACTACCCTCTGCCGAACTTCTCTGCAAATACGGAGGATGCAGAGGGTCCGCTCTATCCCGGCGCTGTCTTCTCTCCGAAGGGCGTGGTGAACAAGTTCGTCAACGTACAAGGGGACCACAACGTCACGGCGCGTGCCATTGCTCGTGACGCTATCACGCTGCTGAAAAATAATAACAACATCCTCCCGCTGCACCGCAACGATTCTCTCAAGATCTTCGGCACAGACGCAGGCACCAACCCGGATGGCATCAACTCTTGCAGTGACAAGGGCTGCAACAAGGGTGTCCTGACGATGGGCTGGGGCAGCGGCTCCTCAAAACTGCCCTACCTTGTCACCCCGCAGGAAGCTATTGCCAATATCTCGTCGCACGCTGAGTTCCACATCACAGACAGCTTCCCCTCGGACGTATCCGCTGGCCCCAACGACATCGCCATCGTCTTCATCAACTCCGACTCCGGCGAAAACTACATCACCGTGGAGGGCAATCCCGGTGACCGCACCTCGGCCGGACTCAACGCCTGGCACAACGGCGACGATCTAGTGAAAGCCGCGGCCGAAAAGTTCAGACAAGTCGTGGTCGTCTACCACACCGTCGGCCCCGTCCTGATGGAAGAGTGGATCGATCTGGAGCCGGTGAAGGCCGTCCTCGTGGCACACCTACCGGGCCAGGAGGCCGGCTGGTCTCTGACCGACGTCCTCTTCGGCGACTACAGCCCCAGCGGCCACCTCCCATACACCATCCCGCGCAGCGAGTCCGACTACCCAGACAGCGTCAGCCTGATCCAACAGCCCTTTGGTCGCATCCAGGACGACTACACCGAAGGACTCTACATCGACTACCGCCACTTCGCAAAGGCGGGCATCACGCCGCGCTTCCCCTTCGGCTACGGTCTGTCATACACCAACTTCAACTTCTCCCGTGCCAGCATCTCCGCGCAATCTTCCCTGGACACGGCGTACCCGGCGCCGCGATCCCCCAAGGGCTCCACCCCGGAGTACTCCACCGCCATCCCGCCGGCGGCGGAGGCCGCCTGGCCGAAGAACTTCAACCGCATCTGGCGCTACCTCTACCCATACCTGGACAACCCGGAGGGCGCCCGCGCCAACAGCTCCCGGAAATACCCCTACCCAGATGGGTACAGCACGGTGCAGAAGCCCGGCCCGCGCGCCGGCGGCGGAGAGGGCGGCAACCCCGCGCTCTTCGACGTGGCCTTCTCCGTGCAGGTACAGGTGACGAACACGGGGGCTCGCAAGGGCCGTGCTGTCGCGCAGCTGTATGTTGAGCTCCCTGATAGCTTGGGCGTGGACACCCCGTCGCGCCAACTGCGGCAGTTCGAGAAGACGAAGATTTTGGCGCCCGGTGAGAGCCAGGTGCTGACGATGGAGATCACCCGGAAGGATCTGAGTGTGTGGGATGTTGTGGCGCAGGATTGGAAGGCGCCGGTCAATGGGGAGGGCGTGAAGATGTGGATTGGTGAGAGTGTCGCTGATATGCGCGTGCTTTGCACGGTTGGTGAGGGGTGTTCCACCCTGTGATTGCTTTCTCAATGCCATATTTACCGCTATAACTGCATATAATAATTGTTTACATTTATTGGAACATTTCCAGGTGTGTATAGCGACTTGACTAGAAATAAAACAGCGGACTGTTTCACTACCTAGGTACCTAGAATAGGGCAACATCAACGACGAAGTAGAAGCTCACTGTCTTCGAGATAAGGCTCATGAGCAAAATTCTAGGATATCAATCACTAGGCTCTCATCCTTCGCTACATCGCATACCAGATGATCTGATTCAACATCCAAATTCCCAAGTCAAAAGTAACGAAAAAAGATGTCCTCAGCACTTCCAAGACCAGTTCCAAATAAATAAATAAAAAAAAAAAATTGCGAAGGGTATGGATATGGTAACGATAACCTTTCTGGTCTAGTCAAGCCGGCGCAAAGGACTCCGTATCCCAACCATAAGCTCTCTTCAACCGATTCGCAAAGTAAAGCAGCTTGTAGCCTTCGATTTCTGACAGATGAGGCCGGTGGATGGTAAAAGCTCTGTTCGGCTTGACCTCCTGTGGAGGCAAAAAGGTGAAAACCGAGCCAAACTTGGGTATCACAGAGAATCCGACGTCAACCATAGCCGCTTCAAAGGCAGCCCAGGTAATCGACCTACTCGATTTCACCTTGGAGAACAATGCTGAGAACAGCTTCAAGGTTGAGGCCTTGACTTTAAAAACCGGTACAGGCTCCGCAGTCACCGGCTCCGCGGGCTTAGCAGGCTCTGGCTGGACGTCGGTGACGGATGAATGTACTGGACGGGTCTTCGCCTTTCCCGACCTCTTTCCTACCTGGACATTCCACTCGAAGGGGGAGAGAGGCTCATGTGGTAGCTTTGCTTCCGGGTCTGATTTTGTGGCTTGTTTCTTTTTCTGTTGGTATTGATCCAAGAATGCCGAAATGCAGTCATCATTGAGCTTCCGGTACAGAGTTTCGATATCAGAGCCAGTCTTGTCGATAAAAAAACCGGTCAAGGCAAGCAAAGGTTGCATCCGTCATACCAGGTTCTAACAAGTTACTGATAGGAACGGGAAAGTCCCCCAGGTCAACATCCGTCCTGAACGCATTGACATCTGTTTTGAGCGATACCAATCTCGAGACATAAAATTGCCCCTTCTTCCAATTCATGGGAGGAAGCGGAGTGGAAGTTGACAGAGACTGAATGAAGCTGGTGATAGTTGCGAGATTAGCCAGTGCCTCAGATTCTGGAGGACTTATAGAGTCATGCACGAATGGTGAACGACTGCTCAAAATATCGACCTTTTTGATCCACTCGGCTGTCTGGTTGAAGTTGGAACCTGCACTGCAGAGAGAAAGCAGGTAGTGTAGCTGTGGCTTGCTGACTCTGAGATGGTCCGGCCAACTTTTCAGTATCACTTTGGGAATACCATCGTCCAATACCCCAGGCAGCCGTTTGAAGTATGCCCGGTATCGCAGTTGCACGAATCGTCTGAAGACCTTTATCATACGATTATATTCAAAATGGGAGACATTCGCCAGTTCCTGTAACACACTGCGGCGATACAGCTTCTTTTGAGGTCCTTCCATGAGAGCCTGCAAAAGCCGAGCTAAGTAATCCCAGATTGCTGCACCGATGGTCGCGTTGTGGACTAGGTCGAAGATGTTGAAGCTGATGTATTTATCGGTATACAACGCAATAAATCGTCCTCTGTTATCAGGAACCAATTCCGGAGCACTGTGGTGCCACATGGTCGCCATAAAATAGAAAAATCAGGCTCCGTCTGACAGGTATTGAGGTAATCTTGCAGGTTGGCTTTCTGTTCAAGAACACAGGCATGAAGCTCCTCCAGCGAAAGCTTATCCGGCTTCGAATCAAGGCACATCGAGGACAGTGGCATCTGCATGGTTTCATCGAGCCTCTGCGAAGGCGGTGCTTGTCTCTCGAATGATCCGACTCTGAGAATCCAATTGGCAGCATTGTTCAGACAGTCCAACAACACCCCTTGTCTTATAAGAATGTGTTTGGCGGCAACCTCAATGACACACTCTCTGGCTTTCAGACGAGGTGCCAGTTGGGGCCATGCTGCATCAAATGCTTCTTGATCGACATAGGCGAGGCAGTTACCGTAGGTGTCTTCGTTTCCAAACTCATCTACCACATATGGAAGGGGGCATAGCATGACCTCTGGAGCGAAATGCTCTAGCTGCGTGAACATGAACACACCATCCCCAGGGCCTTCATTCATGCCATTATGATACTGCTCACACAGAGAAGTAGTCGCTCAATGTTCCATGAGTTCCAAGAGGCGATTAGAGTCGGGTTTAGTAAGGTCTCGCCGATTCCATTCAGGCACATGAAGTCGCCAGAACCGCGTCGTGGGCAGCGGTTTATCAGGAGTTTCCATGAGCTCTACTCCGATTTCGTCACAGCAGTGCTTTGCCACCCAGAATCGCTTCTCTTCATCAAGGAAGTGCCAAATCTCCTTGATCTTTGTGTGGTGGAGGCGATACTTTCGAACTAGATCGCTGTGAAGCTCTTTGACGTCGCTCAGATCATTATCCTTGATCTTGTACATGACTGCGCTTGGTATGGAGTGCTTCGCGAGGGGTAGGAGGCCAAGAAGTCCAAGTTGAAAGATGGAGGATTCAAGGGAATCAGTTCATAGAAGAAATGAAACGAAAGGATACTTACGAAACAGAAAGAAGAGTCGAAACACAAGGTGACCGCGCCACACGGACAACGTGGATGAAACGCGGCAATCTAGCGAAATTGCAATGCATGACATGCGATTGCCAGCCTTCGACCAGGTATTGCTCTGGACAAGAAAGATGGCCTGCCACACCTTGGAAGTATGGCGAGGGCATCGGCACAACTGTATGTGATGACTCATCCGCATAACTTCGGCCACAAGGATAACTAATGCGTCTTTGCACCACCACCACGACCTACCATCATCAAGCTTCTACCAGTCTCTCCACGCAGCAGTCTTTTCTAGACTGACCTCCATTTGGGAGGTCACCGGCCCGATACACCCATCAATTATAGACTCACCCGTTACAGGGCATACTTGCCAAGATGCAGGGCTTCAGTAAGTACTCATTCTATGCGCCCAAGAGTCTCGATAGCTAACCATCACAGACATGGGACGGTGCGTCTTCCCCCCAGCTTTCCCAGCACGCATCCTAACGCAATGAACCCTACAGATACGTCCCACCAGACCAGGAAGGTCTCACAACAGGCAACAAGCTCGCCGGGAAACACCCGCTCGGCGCGCGAGCGCGCCACCTCCACACCACGGGCGCCCTGATCGTGCGCTTCGAGATGCCCTTTGCCATCTGGTGCACAACATGCAAACCCCACGAGACGCTCATCGGCCAGGGCGTCCGTTTCAACGCTGAGAAGAAGAAAGTTGGGAACTACTACTCCACGCCGATCTACAGCTTTCGCATGCGACATCCCCCCTGCGGCGGATGGATCGAGATCCGGACGGACCCACAGAACACCGCTTACGTCGTTACCGAGGGCGGGCGCAAGCGTGATACAGGCGACAACAAGGAGCTGGGAGTGGGTGAGATCGCAATCAAGCTTCCTGGTGAGGCGAAGGACACGGCAGATGCGTTCGCGAGGCTGGAAGGGAAGGTGGAGGATAAGAAACGGACCGAGACGGAGCAGAGCCGCATACTGGAATTGAAAGAACGACAGCAACGTGATTGGCAGGACCCATATGAGAAATCCCGGCTCTTGCGGCGCACCTTTCGCGCTGAGCGGAAGGTCCTGGAGACTGCGGAGGCGAAGCGCGAGGCGTTAAAGGATAAGATGAGTCTGGGGATTGAGCTTGTTGATGAAACAGAGGAGGACCGTTTGCGTGCGGGAATGGTCGATTTCAAGACTGGACTGGATACTTCCGCTACGCGCACACGCCCTATGTTCGAAGCCAAAGCATCATCCTCGTCGATGAAGGGTACCCCCGGCAGCAATGAAAATGGGAAGAAGGGGAAGAAGGTCAAGACTGCGGATATTACGGCAGAACGCAAAGCCATGCTTCGCAGTGAGTTGGCTGGGAACACCCGCGCGGCCATCGATCCGTTCCTCAGCCATGAAGGTGATATCTGGCAACCGGTGTCCAAAAGGAGGAAATCAGGACCGAATAAAGTGGCCGACGCAAAAGCGGATACTGATGGAGATACTCCCGCCGGAGGTGAAGGTCCAGGAACGACAACTCCGAGTGAATCGTCCACGGAACCAGTAACCAATTCGACTGCTCCTACGACGACTGCGCTTGTTGATTATGGTTCTGATTCTGAGTGAATATTCCTTCGGTTATTGTATATACATGTTGCGTTCAGGCGTTTGTGGCTACATATGATACCCAGGAGCTTTTGAACAGTGTTCATTCCTATCAGGATGCATTTGCACATTCCCTTTCACTCAGTACTAACTGCATTGCACAGTCACATGACAGACCGCCACGAGAGCCTTTAATGTGCCTGGAACCACTGACCTCGCTAGCTTCCCAGGACAAAGTTGACAATGTGGACGTGCGATTTTCCAAATTGCGCCAGGCCCTCTGTACGCTCGGATGGAGAATGCATTATCTGTGACCGCCATCTCTGTGTTAAGCATCTTGATCACGAATGTCCTAGGTGGCAGGTACGCAAAACAAGCCATTCCAACCTCCCATGCGACTCTGTTAACAATTGACATGAAGGATGGGGAAGCATACGACTCTGCCTCCCGAGAAGCAGAACGAAAGGAGATCAACAGACTGCTAAGATCCCTTAACCTATCTGCGCTTCTGTCGAGAGCAAGCTACCTGCGAAACGGCATTGCTTGCTCGTCACCCCAATCTCTCATGTACGACAGATCGGTACGTTCATCTGTAATGGGAGGTATGAACTATCATATCGAAATCCTTTTCGATGACGGAGTCCGATGGTTAGCGCGTATCCGAAGATTCAACGCGACCTCACCACCGGCCGATCTACGTGATTATATCATGCGGTGCGAAGTTGCAACTCTTCAATTTCTAAGCAAGACCAGGGTCCCTGCGCCAAAGGTCTTCGATTATGGCCTACAAGGGCAAACTCCTATTGGAGCCGGGTACATCCTTATGGAGAAACTCCCGGGAAAGTCACTGCGCTGGTCCCTCGCCTCTCCAGAACAAAGGAGGAAAGTTATGACACAGCTGGCAGATATATACATTGAATTGGAGTCACACCCCTTCAATACTATGGGGTCTCTAGACCAACCCGGGACAGATCACGTTGGACCGTTTGCGCGAGAATCATTGACGGACTATGTCAATTCGCAGATGCTTCCTCTTGGTCCCTACAATAACCCCCAAGACTATCTCCGTGCCAGCATTGAACTTAATCTAGGGCTAATTATGAAAGGGGAAAGCTACGCAGGGCGCGAAATCGACGCATTCTTAGTCAATCGCTTTCTTTTGGATAGCGTCCCTGAAGTTTTGCTACATCATAGCTTTGATGACGGCCAATTCTACCTGAGACACGCAGACGATAAGGGAGACCATATCCTAATAGACAGCGACTATAACGTCACGGGAATTATCGACTGGGAATGGGCTCACACTGAACCAAAATCTGCAGCCTTCAAATCCCCTATCATGCTCCTTCCCGTTGCCGACTTTTACAACAGCGTCAACTGCATTGGCAAAGATGAGTCAACGTTTGCAAACACACTAGAGGACAAAGGCAACAAACGGCTTGCGGAAATAGTGAGGAATGGCCGACTACTTCATCGCTTCGATTTCTGCTGCGGCTACGACTTTGCTGATTGGGAAGGGTTTCTAGGCCTTTTTCAAGGTCTCCGAGACGCCTTAAACAAAGATGCCGGTTTGAGCTGGGAAGACTGGAAACGGAACGCCCTGGACAGATATTCGGACGACAAACAGTTGAAGTTGCTCTTGGCACGGACAGATTGAAGTATGAAGGATAGTGGTTTCATACATTGGTTCCGAATCAAATGCTCTGGCTAGTTATCGCGATGATCCAAATAAGGACCTGTATATTTGTCCACTATTTGATACTCATATCATCTTGCTTGCTATCAGAAATCATTGCTGTAAGCATATGACACAGACTATTTTCTAGGGCTGATTTTGTGTGGATAACTTAAATAAAGGCTAGGCAGTGGACTTGTTTCGTTAAGTTGGTATAGTGTTGGGAACCACTCGATTGTATTGTATGCCGGACAGTCTACAGGAACGCTGTTCGATAGTGACTTGCAAAGACTGGCCAAGCGCAGATGCTTTCTCGTCTCTCAGTCGTCATCAGGGTATATATATACATCACACTGATCAACATTCACACAGCAAAAGAAACAGTGTTATTTCGCCCAAGGAGCCTTTGTGGTCATATCGCTTGCGTTTCCAGGGGGCGCACGTCCTGCTGACTGTGGGTTAGCCCAAGGAGCCCGTGTAGGGGCCATCGGACCTGATGCACGCGATGCATCGGGGAGTGCAGGGCCTCTAGCAGTGGCCCAAGGTGCCGCAGTCCCCGTGACGCCTGGCGGACCTGCCGGCGAGGGGGTAGCCCATGGAGCTTTAGTGCCGGATCCTGGGGCAGAATCCTTGTTTCTTGCTTGCGGTGCCGACGACGTGTGAACAGTAGATGGTGGGGGAACAGCGTCGGGGTCACGGTCCCAGCTGAAAAGTGATCCAAAGGGGAAATGTTGGACCACCGGGAACTTGGACAGTACTTCAGCATTGTACATTTTAATCATTCCCTATGTCGAGTCAGTTTTTCTAGCAATCTTAAATTGAAGCGCAAATACCTTGTTAATCTTGGCCCAACCCGTTTTAATGCCGGAAATGTCGTACAGCATGGGACTGTGTTCCCAAAACGGACCTCTTTTGACGTCGTAGATGAAGCCAACTGCAGAGAAATACATATTCGCTTTTCGTTCTCGGTCAACTACATTTGCTTTGGCGACTCCGCTGGGGTCTGGTGCATCAGGCAGCGAGCCCTCTTCCGGAGTCGGGTCGGAGTCTGAAATGGCAGGTGCTAACTGGGCGGATCCAAAGATGTAAGGAATGAAGGAGTGGTCGTCCAAGCCCCAGACACCGTGGGAGCCGGCGGGCTCTAGCGTGTAGGTTTTGATTATTTTGCGGATTAACTCAAGGTACCTGATCACGTATGTTAGTGCCACTTGCATGCCTGAATGAGTCACTGGAAGTACGAACGGTTCTATCACGCCGAGGACTATCGCTCTCTCTTCCACCCCGGGGCTATTTTTCGGAAACCCGTTCAATTTCCAAATTCCTGCCAGGAATGCCAGGAAGCTGAGCTCATGTCCAGTACCGTAGTCTAACCGCTGAGCACTGCCCCAGCTTCCCAGGAAGTAAGCCTTTAATTCGACTTCAGCCGTTGGGCCATTTGGATCAGAAGACCGGGTCTGCAGAAGCTCCGGAGATAAACACTCCTCCAGTAAAGTTGACGCGCGGCTCTCCACAATCCGATGCCACTTGCGGAAGCTTATATTTCCAAATCTCCGTGGACCAGTATCCGGGGGAGCTTCTGAAAGGATAGCCTCGAGCTTGGACAGTAGCTGTTGCAGCTGTCGAACTGGGGCAGAATATTCGACGGCATCGGAGTTCAAAGGGTAGGTCTGGACGCTTCCGTCTGGGAGTTTCGAAGGAATCATGGATCGATTTAGCTGTAGAAGGAAGGTCATGATGTCCACGTATGCTTTTGAGCACAGGAATTCGGACACATCTTCGCCTTCGTTGATTCTCTTGCAGGGCTCGATGAACGTATGCCCCTCGGCGGGGTTGAGGGTGGGCAGGATGCGGACTGCAGGTGCATTCATGGTTAATATGGAGTAATGAGGAGACGAATACGTCCCCAGTGGAAGAGAAAGAAATCAACGATTTCGGGTTCGATATACCACTGTGGGAGAAGAAGAGAGAGTTGAGTGTTTGCGGGAGTTGGCCTATCGCTATCGATAATGACGTTGTTGATCACGGGAGACCCCGTCGGTCAAACCACCATCCATCCACAACCGCAACTTCTCCCACTTCGTTTCGAACGTCCCTCTTCCCACCGCGGTCACCCTGCTGGTGTCGCCGACTGTCCTCCGCCCTGATCCAGGGGCGTCGCATCGCATGCCGCCATCATGGGTCCGCGATCCAATGCCACGCGAAAGCGGAAACGCAATACAACATCCCAGGCACTCGACCTCCTGAACGGCGTCAACAGCACCAACAATCAAACCCGTCACTCCCTCCCTCGTATATCTCGCAATCTAAGGGCTTCATTGCCCCGGCCTCCGCGAAGTGATAACATTTTCGACATTCCGTCCTCACCTCAATTCGTCCCGAACAGCCAACCACTCACGCCCCGACGGTCCACGCGTTTACAACAATCTTCTCCGGCCGACCCTACTGCCGAAAGAACATTCTCGCAACACGTCTCAAACAGCCAACCTTTCAAGCCTCGGCGATCTGCACGAGCACGACAATCTTCTCCAGCCACCTCTACCCCTACAAGAAGGTCCTTGCGACACAAACATGCTGGACAAGCGAGTCACGGAACCGATGCGACATCGCATCCCCTGGACACGGGGGACCAAGCGGATCCCGATGAGGACAAAGGTTCTGATGCCTTTGATAAGGGAAATGGAGGCGAGGATGAGAATGTCGGGGTTGAAGCATTGAATGAGGATAATGCCCCCAGTCGATCATCGGAATCCCCACGCTTTCCTCCTCCGTCCGTTGTCGTCCATCAAGCTTTATCACGAAAATCAGTGGACCAAGAGTCATCCCACTATGATGACAGCAGCGCGGGTGCTGACGGTTCTGAGGCACGGTATCGCACACCGCCGCCCGAAAGACGCCGGGAATCTCCAGGTCCTAGGGCATCTCTAAATCCTCAGATGGTCGGCATGGACTCGGTCGTAGGCCCAAACGCTTATCCTAATGACAATGAGAGCAACGCTGCATCCCACTCTGACTCGAGGCACACTTCACCCGAGATGGACACCTCGTCCGTCATGCCCAACGAGAGACGTCAGTCTGTTGACGGAGATGATGAACTATACCACCCTGACGGAAGCTTTCAATCGCATAGTGATGCGCAATCCCAGGACGAATCAGACGATGCTGACCTTGACGACTTCTGGTTTACGGAAGCCAAAAAGCTGGGTGGGCATGAAGAAACGTGGCGCAAGTTGATAGAAAACAAACGCGAGATGGAAGAAGCTGCTTCGTCAGCCGGAAAAGAAACATTCCAGGATATCGAAAACATTATATCACGTCTAGGGTCCCTGTACAGGGATGGCATCGAACATGTCAGGGTTTCTCACCGGGTTCCGAGGAGACTTGATGCTCAATGGCGCAATGCTTTGGACACGATCAATGAATCTGGCGATTTGTTAATAACCCGGGTCTGCAATCGTGTCGAAAGGCGAAGGCCAACTCGTGAAGACGGAGAAATGCTGACCGACTTCGAAGGACGAGTCATAGCGAGAATGATTCATCATGCCCTGCTCCCTTCTTTCCAGATCTATTATCAGTCTCAGGGGCGATATGGTCGTTTTCCAAAGGTACTGGAAGTGCTCAAACACTTTGTTATGAGGATTTACTGTCTTACGGTTGGGCGCCGGATCATCTGCCGGAATCGAAGTAGAGGCATGCTGCGCCCTCTAAAGTTGATACTTGCATCGCTGAACAAGGGGCAATTGATGCCAGTGTCGTATTCAAGACCTGTTATCCAACATCAGCACACCAGGACCGAGGACTCCCAACGACCGTGGACTGATGATGAAGGGAAAGTGCTAATTGCGGCACTGAGGAGATATACAGGTAAGTTTGACTTCGTTGGGGGATGATGATACAGCGCCGGGGGCTGACAGACTATAGGATCCGGACGATACACGACCATCAGCACAAAATATCGCGACAAGTTGGGACGACGAACTCCGGGTGAGCTGCGTGCGGAAGCGAGACGCATCCATGATCGACTACTGCCAGGAATCCAGAGCAGATTGGATCTTCCAGGCATGCGTGAACAGTTCCAGTGGCTATTGAGCGTGCCATATGACTGATATTTTCTTCTTCTCTTTCTCTTGCTGTTCTTCTGGCGACTATACCCACTCTGTTCTGAATTTATCTCTTAACTACTCTTGTCAATCGATACGACGGGATACTCCTGCGAACTCAATGTTTGGTTTGAAAACATACAACTCATACATACTGGACGAGCTCAAGGTTGATACTGATAGGAAATTTGTATAGTCCACAAGCCTGATGCTCATGCACAGCAACATCAACACATCCGATGGTAGCAGTGCTCACTCTATGCGACAGCATTGCTTAGATAGACACAGGCTGCGGCATATCGGGGGTCGCCGCATAGGAGATCCGACCCGCGGGCAAAAAGAAAAGAGCAACAAGTGCACCTCCCCTGACCTGGGGATAATGGTGCGTGCCTGGACCCGGTGAAGTCCATCCAGCGCCCTGCCAGCCCGACATGCCCTTCAGCTCTGCCCCCGGCGTGAGCTGCACCACGCAATTGATCTCGCCATACGGGTGCTGATGGTACTGGCCCGAGTATTCCTCCACACTGTCCATATAGACACTCGTGATGCTGAAATACCGGGACTCCTCGCACGGCGACATGATCCTGCTGCGCCGATACTTCCGTCCATCGAGCTCGTCCACCGCTATCCAGTCTTCGTTGTTTTCGATGCCTTGGCGGACAAGGGAGCAGAAGGTCTCGTAGTATTTGTTTCCTGGTCCGTAGTTCTCGTTCAGGTATTGTTCGAGCTCCTTTCCGGGTGTGCTGCGTACTCCATGGTTAGAGGTCTTCATCAAACGAGGGGACGTGTCTGAAGCAAGAGGATCGGAGAAGCTCTTACAGATTCTCAACTTCGGCAAAGAATTCGCGAGCAGTCTCCAGAAGCCGGAGCTTGTTCGGATGTTGAGAGGCTTCTGCGCTTGATACTGGCATGTTGGCTATGTTGCACCTGGCTACCATCAACCGACCTGCCAGGCTTGGGACTTTCAGGGTCAAATGCAGATTTATACCAAAGTACTGGTCCCGGACTATCAATGCGGGGAACACCCTGTGTATCCGGGCTTACAGGCATCCGGATACGTACACGGATACGTACATGCTGCATGGTCTGGTACCAGCTACCCGTGGTCCAGCACATCCAAGCCAATAGCAGATTCTTGCGTCGGTATGGGACATGCCTTGCACCTAGTACGCCTGTCGGATACGTCTTGGGTAATGATCGTTCTATTACAACGCTCCCGCCCAGGAAAAATCCCAAATACTGGAATAGTCATCTAACTGCAACCAGGACCCGTATCCGACTGCCTCATCTGGAATAAGCGATATAGTGCCTTCGATGATGCTGCCTGGAGAATTAGCAAAGTCCTGATCGTTTCCGGGCAGCACTGGCTGTCTGACAGAATGCCTTGGCTCCTGGACACTTGACTCCGGGGCAGTCAGGCATGGAGATGCATCCCATGTTCCTCCTGTTCGCATCCTTCCAGACGAAGCCGCCGGGCCTGTGTCTTCTTGGGACGTGTCATCGGAACACCCGTCAGCGTTAGAGCCATGGGCCAAGCTAGTCGGATGCAATTGGAACAGCCTTGGGATATAGGCGCTACGAGCTTGCGGCATCCGTTGTTCAACCCGGCTCCAGTGATCCTCTGCAGCCCTGGAGAGCCTCTTTAGGATGTGTTTGTACCGTCTTGCTTGTGGGCTGTTCACAGTAAACGACTCGAAAATATCTTCTGCCTGACGTAGAGCCTTTGCAACGGCCCCCCGGGAGCCTAGTTGACCAAAATATGCAGAATTCAAAACAAGAACAGACACGAATGTCCAGGCACTGTGGAGGCATTAATATCGATCCAAGTTGCTGAGGGGGACAACGAACTCACACGATAAACGGCATGTTGTTGAACAACATATTCGCCGTCAGCAACTCATGCAGCAACTGCACCGTATACGTTGCCGAATCAATGCATGTCATGGCACCAGAAAAGATTTCAGATGAGATGCTACCTCCGACTCCGTTGTTATTGAGCCCGTGTGACTGTCCAGATCCCACATGCTCCATGGAGGATTTTGCCCTCAGAGACGTGATCAGGAATGGTCTGGTCAGAAGCATCATTGCAAAATAGTACGAACAAGAAACATGCGCATTCCGAAGGTTCAGTTGCTGAACGTGTTCCGGATTATATCGGGTGTCATCGGCTGGTGTATAGAAGGCCTTTGCTAGATTGATACTTTTTTCCTGTAGCTCGCGAGTAAGGGATTGCAGGATACCAAGGGATACTGTTTCCTTCGTATAGACCTTATTGACGGCACGTTCTATGATCAAAAAAGCCCGCAAAGACTCAGTCATGGATAGGCTTTGATTAAACTCGTCGTCGAGAATTTCTCGATTGGGATCGCCATCGTCAACTGCAGTAGAGTCTGTGTTGGATGTTGAAGAGCTTCGTCCCATCATGGCGGAGAAGAATAGGTCGTGGTAATGCAAGGTTTTCCAGACTTGGGCCCTGATAACGATAATTAGATTCTATCAATACTGGGAGTGATTATACTCCAGACGCTTACCTTCTATGGCGCTCCTTCATATCATAAGCCGAGTTTGTAGTATCCTGATGGTAACCGAGAGATTTGGCTGCGCTGATAGCAATTCCCAGATTCAGGGAGGCACCATTTCGCCACGAGCAACCAAGCATGTAGATACTTATCAAAGTAAAAGCTTGAATTGTCTCAGTGGTAGGATTGTTGGTAAGTTCAAGCAACGCCAACCGTCGGCCTTGCTGGTAGAAAGACTGTGCTCGTAGCTTATCAACGAGGCTGGCGCTACGAATCTGTGCTGCACATGCTATCACCAGGCAGAGGACTGCAGACGATCCACTATCGAGAGATTCAGGTGTTCCGGTCCAACAGTCTAACAGGGTCTCGACATGAGCTCTGTCGAAGAGATCGAGAATGCCACATGTCTGGTTGCTGGCCGTCAATGACCGATGATCCTGGTAAAAAGAAACTGGCTTACCGATATAAAGAAGACGTCCACTAAACGCTTCAACTCTCCCTTGTTCCGGGTGATATACAGGTCCAACCCACCGTCTTGGACGGGCGGCAGTTCTTCGACCACAGAGAGGTCCGAGACATCGGCCGTTTGGCCTGTTTTAGTTTCAATGAGCTGTTGGATATTCTGGAGAAAGGCTAGAGCAGCACAGTTCCCAAGATACACTAAAACCGCAGCGTTAACACCTGTCCTGTGTCACGAGAATGACCCTACAAACCGATTTGACCCTTGTTATCATAGAGCACTTGGGACAACCCAGGCACCGTGACTTCGGACTCCTTCACAGACGGCCTCGTTCCAGAGAGCTGGTTGGACCCCGCGGGACGGGCTGTTGCAGCGGGTGCGTTCGCCTCGACGGTTTCCGTATGCCGGATGTCAGTCTGACAATGGGCTGTCGGCTTCTGGCGACGCCGGCGATGCCCGTAAGATCGCTCATGCGGAGAATATGCACAGCTGCGGGATTCGTTACGCCGCGCACACTTTCCACAGGGCGTCAACCCGTCGCATTTTTGTTTCGTCTTTTGGCAATAGAGACAGGCCTTGTTGATGCGTTTGCGAGTCCTCTCGTCAACCTTCGGCCGCGGCATTTGAACGAGCGAGGAACGTGTACTTTTGACCAGATGAGAATGAGCTGCTGGCTGCACTGTTTAGATGCCAGTGGTAGATACCCCGCTCGGCGTTCAACCAACGCATCATCCTGCTGGGCTGCCAATGTTCTGGCTCAACCCTATCAGACTGCTCGGATACGTACCGGTTACGGACGTCGTATCGGATCTAGTCCACGGCAGATATGGAAGCCATCTATGACACCGCAGCTGTGAGTGCGGGTAGCATGCATAAGAGTCTATGTTATCATGCGTCGTATATATATCTAGCTTGGTATCGTAGTTGTGGTGTACATCTCCCAAATAGCTGAGTCTAAACGCATACACCATGGACCATGTCGATCTACTAATTGTCGGAGCTGGTACAAGACCCATCTATCTTTCCAAGTCTGATCTAACGTGAATCACAACCAGGGCTTCATGGTCTAGCAACGGCCAAAACATACCTAGAAGTCTCGCCAAACGCCCAACTTCTCATTGTGGATCAAGCGCGATCCGTGGGAGGGACATGGGCATCAGAACGACTATATCCCGGCCTCAAGACAAACAACCTCGTGGGCTCGTACGAGTTCAGCGATTTCCCTATGGTCCCGGAACGATACGGGCTGCAGGCTGGTGACCACATCCCGGGGTCTGTCGTTCATCAGTACTTCTGCGATTTCGCAGAGCACTTTCGCCTGCACTCCCGTCTTCTCCTCCGTACAAGGGTCGATTCAGCCAGCTCCCTCGACAACGGGAGCTGGAGCATATCACTCACTACCGAGTCTCAATCCGACCCAGCCCGTCCAACGACGCGCAGCATTGTCGCCGACAAACTCGTGCTCGCAACGGGTCTCACCTCGGACCCTTATATACCAACATTCAAAGGCCAGAATGACTTCCAACGACCCATCCTGCATTCAAAGCAGCTTCGCGCGAGAGCGGACGAGCTCGCAGAACTGAAAAAAGTCGTTGTCGTGGGAGGCAACAAATCAGCCTGGGACGTGTGTTATAATGCTGCAAAAGCCGGCGCGCACGTCGACATGGTGATTCGCCCCGGTGGAGGAGGCCCTAGCTATGTCTGGCCGTCTTCTTTCAAATTGTTTGGATTCAGAACTTCACTGGCGCGCCTCTCGTCAACCCGACTGTTCACCTGCTTTGATCCGAGTCTTCACGGAGACGCGGGGCCCTTAGCTCTGCTCCGGCGGTTTCTTCACCAGACCACCATCGGACAGACAGTCCTGTTAATGTTTTGGAGGTTTCTAGATGCCTCAATCAAAAAGGTCAATCGATACGACAGCCATCCGCAGTTGGCGAAGCTCAAGCCCTGGATAACGCCTTTCTGGATGGGGAACTCGCTCAGCATACACAACTACGACTCAAGCTGGTTTGATCTCGTGAGGGATGGACGGATCCATGTACATGTTGCAGACATAACTGCGTTGTCCGAAGCCGAGGCCCATCTCTCTAATGGGGTGGCTCTGAACGCCGACGCCATCGTATGCTGTACTGGGTGGAAGACTACGCCGTCAGTCAGATTCAATGAGACCGACCTGGCTGAGTTTTCCTCCTTGCATTTGTTGGAATCACCATCAACGCAAGAAATAGAAGCAGCAGCAGCGGAGTCTATATACAATCAGCGCCCATACCTACGCGCTCTTCCAAGGAAAGAATGCAATGCTCCCCCGGAGACTGACTATGACTTTTTATTGCCGCGGGAGCATCACGCAGGCCGGTACAAACTCTACCGTTTCTTAGTGCCCTGTGGGCGTCGGTTCATCGAACAGAGGAATCTCGCCTTCATCGGAGCACATTCCTCCATCCACGCCGCAATGGTGGCGCAGGTTCAAGCTCTTTGGATAACGGCGTTTTTTCATGGGCGGCTTCATCATCTGGAACTTCCTCGGATTGACTTTCAGCGCATAAATTATGAATCGATATTGCATAGCATGTATGGAGAGATCCGTCGGCCAAGGATAACAGGAGGTGCAGGTCGGAGATACCCCGACCTGGTTTTCGATAGCCTACCTTATATTGATGCGCTCCTACGAGATCTCGGCGTCAGGACCCGGAGAAAGTCGTCCTTGCTAAAGGAGATATTTGAGCCATATCGTTTGAAAGACTACCAAGGTCTGGTTGAGGAATGGAACACATGTACATAGACCCTTGTCCAAAACCGGCTGTACAGTGGCTATATATATCCAGGGGTTTACCAGATCCAAGCCCTCGCAAGGTCTAGCTGGGCGAGGTGGATTGTTGCATCCGCCAGATCCTCGAAGACCCGATGAGCAGATACCTGGCCGTCCTTTTCGGGCCTAATAAAGTACGGAACATCCACCTCGCACGTCGTGTATGACGATGGAAGTTTGCCGGTATACAGGAACTCGCGTATGTGTTTCGCAGCGCACACCGACGGGCCCGACACCGAGCAGTGTCCGTAGCCCTGGATTTCTACGATCTGCGAGCCCTCAAATGCGTTATATGCCGACCGGGCGGAACCGAGGGGGCAAACGGGATCATAAGAGGTCGAAAGGATTAGTAGCGGATGTGCGGTCTTCACTTTGCGTGGAACGTACGGGTGGGTTCGTGGTACGGCCCAGTGCTGCTTCAGGTAGAACATTTTGTTATGCCACGCCCCGAAGAGACTCTCGTTCATATAGGGCACGATCTTATCGAGTAACGATTGTCTGTCCTGTGGCCAGTACTCTGCACCATTGAGGCCGTCGTTCAGGGTGACCAACTCGTTTGATTCGCGGACTATGGTGGCAGGGCTCTTTTGATAAGCCAGGAACGCGTCTGTCGCGTTTCCTTGTATTAATGCGTATAGATGGTCCGCGAGGGACGCCCATGCGAGAGGGTTATACAGGCATGGGAACACGCCGTTGTACCAGATCTTGGTGTGATCGAGGAGGCCGTAGGCGGTGTTGTTGATGTAAACGGGGATGGGCTGCTCGCGGAGCGTCTCCATATAAGACAGCACTATGTCGCGCAGCTGCTCTTTTGACGTGGCGAGGGGCGCCAGCGCACACCTCTCAGCACCTGCCTTGATACATTCGTCGAAAAAGCCATGGAGAACTTTATCCGTATCTTCAAGGGACTTGGCTTCAAACACGCCTTCATACCACTGGAACTGATCTGCCACCCCATCAATGATGATGCGCTTCGACCGCTCGGGGAACAGCCCCGCGTATGTCTGGCCGAGCACCGTGCCGTAACTGAAGCCCCAATAAGCCATGTCCTGTTGACCGAGCGCATCCAGGATACTGTTCATGTCGGCGGCGGTCTGTGGAGTGTTGATATACTTGCCATACTCATCCATGGTGTCCGGACATGCTTTGGCGAAATTTTGGGCCCAGGCATAAACCTCGGAGCTGTCCTTCAGAATGTCATGGTAGCTGACGCGGGACAACTCCCCCCGGGTGTCGTCATCGGGATAGCATGAAGCCGCGGGTGTGGAGCTATTGACTCCGCGAGGATCGAACGAGACCAGATGAAAACCCTCGCCGACGAAGGCTTTCAACTGGTCGCCTATGCGGTAGAAAAACTCGACACCGCTTGCTCCTGGACCGCCGGGATTCGTCAGGAGGTTTTGAGTGGCATTGCTCCCACGGATGCGGATGAGCGGAATGGTAAATGTCTTGCTTCCTGAGTTGGAGGCATTGAATTGATCCATGGGGACATCGATACTGCTACACTCCAGGGCGGTGGACTTGAGCCTTCCACATGGCGTCCACCGGATGCGTTCTCCGCTGTACTCGAAGTAGGTCGGCTGGTTCGTGCACGGCGATAATAGTGGCCGGTTGTAGAAGAGTATCACGAAGCCGACGACGATCAGTGGAGCGATGGCCCAGTAATCTCGGCGAGTGGGATGTGGCTGCCGTTTGGGAACAGGTGGTCCCAGCCATGATTTCGTGTCCATGCCGTTGACTTTGCAAGTCGCTAAGGCCTGTCAAAATCGGAAGAGAAATGTGGATATAGGTCTTCTTTGTATATACTAGTCAATGAGGCTTCGAACTAGTCACCTGTCGGCTCGTTGGAACGGGTCTCGACGGGTCTCTGGCGAACCGTGGAACCGATGTTTTGAAACGCGAACCAAGGAACTGGTGGGATCGGGGCTGATTCAGGGGATTGTGTGTGTCCTATTTATTGTGTCCGAACTGAGAGGTCATATGTATACTGAGTATGTAGGCGTGCTGACAGACGTGAGGGGGAGAAGTTGTTAGTACTACTATAGTTACGTGATCCAGTGACCGCCTTAGTCAGTCGTTCTTCCCCTCCTCTTCTACTTCCCTCCCTCTCTCTCTTCACAACACTACTACTTCTTCCTCTTCTTCTCTCCAACTCCATCCTCGCATCTCTCCATTTTCCTCTCTGATTTCCTTCTCCTGTATATCCCCCTCCTCCTGTATCGTCTTCTCGTGTTCCTCTTTTCTTCCTTCTTCGTAATATTTACTTTTTCCCCTTCTTGGCGTTTGTTTACCTGTGACTTGCACCGGTCCCAACGCCACCAAACAAATAATCATAATAAAAAGACCCATTTCCGTTGCAACTGAGCCAATTCGATTCCTGACCATCGACCTGCATTGCTCAAATCCGTGCCTGGAGAAATCGTACGTCTTTCCATCTGCCCCTCGCTCTTCCTACCGTCTTTCCAATCCGGTGGGCCTCGGGATACCGCGAAAAGGAGAACCCTTCTCCATTTCCCCCGTGGCGCTTTCTCTTCTCTCCACCACCTCCCCGAATCTTCCCCATTTCCTATTCTCTCCCCCTTTCCACCCAAGACTCACCTCTCCTTCCATTGTCCATTGTCGGGTATCGGTTTCACCGGTTGGGCGCCCTTCTACCTCCTTTTGCTGTAGCCCAACCGACACTAACGTGGTCCTCATCCATTCGCCAGGAACTGTCCGCTGAGATCTTCTCCCTACTCCGTCCCTCCGTCCCTTCCAGTCGTACGACACACCCACTGTTCATCCACGCGCAATGGCTTCGACTGAAGAACCCGTTCCGGCTCCCGCCCCCGTTGAAAGCGAGGCGGAGAGCCAGGCCCCCGCTACCCCGGTCGATTCGACCCTCCTGTCCGGCAGTGAGGACCCGGTGACCAGCCCGGATGCTTCCAAGGACAAGGAGAACGTGACCTCCTCGCCGGAGAAGAAGTCCGCCACCTCGTCCGCGACCAGTACAACCACGAAGCGGCCGGTCGCCTCTACCACTACGAAGCGACCCAGCTCGATCTCTGGAGCCTCCAAGACTACGTCCACCGCGCGTTCCTCGACGAATGGAAGCACCTTGAGCAAACCCCCGACGCGTCCCACCACCACCTCCACGGCCCGCAAGCCGCTGAGCACCTCGACGACTGCCTCGCACCGTTCACGCGCCTCGATCAGCAGCTCGGCGGATGAGAAGGCTCGATCCGTGGCCAGCTCCGGGGATGAGCGCCGCGGGATCTCCAGTACGGTCAAACGCATGTCCATGGCTGGGACCTCAACCCCTCGTGCCCCAGGAAAGTCGACAACTTCCACTCTGGATCGGCGCTCGAGCATTGCTGGTTCCACGACCGCAGAGAAAAGGGGCTCTCTTGTGTCGCGCTCGAACACAGTGTCGTCGCGACCCTCGACTTCCCGCCCTACGACGTCCTCCACGAGCGCTGCACGGACCACTACCACCACCACCAGGCCATCCACGACCACAACGCGGCCAACAACCACAAGCACCGCCTCGAAAAGGCTCAGCACGGTCACGAAGAAGCCGGAGGAATCCGCCGAGAAGCTGCAGTCTCTTCAGACGAAACTCTCCGAGAGCGAAGCAACCGTCACCTCCCTGAAAGCAGAGTTGGAGGGTGTGAATGAGAAGCTGGCCCAGCTCTCCGTGTCCCCGGAAGGAGACAGCGCCAAGGATACCGAAGAGCTGAACACCATCCGTGAACAGCATACCGCAGAGATTGCCCGGATGGCTGCAGAGCATGAGAAACAGCTCAAGACATTGCGCGCTCAGCTGGAAGAGGCCGAGACCCAGCGGAAGGAGCTCGAAGAGAAGACTCTCAGGGATCTGGAAGAGGCGGCCAAGTCGGCGGCGTCTCAAGGCGACGAACAGACTGCTGCGACTCTCGAGGAACTGAAGTCTCACCAGGCCCAGTTGGAGTCCGTTAAGCAGGAGTTGGCGGAACAGAAAGCTGCAGCGACTCAATATGCAGACGAGGTGGCATCTTTGAGGGCCGAGCTGGAAGCGCAGAAGGGCAGTCTGGAAGAAGCCAAGAACGCCATTCTGGAAGAAAAGGCTTCGGCTGTAGATAGTCTCCAGCGTGAACTCAAGGGTCGCGATCAAGTGATTGAGGAAGTCAAGATGCAGATGGAAAAACTCCATCAGGCCAAGGAGGAAGAGGCTCGTGCTGCGGAGGAATCTGCTCGGCAGTCGGTGGCGGCATTGGAAGAGAAGGTCGCTTCGTTGGAAGCTAAACTAGCTGACGCCGAATCCGCCTCCAAGGACAGCGACCAGACCACTACCGCCCTCGCTGAAAAGGAGAAGGAAGTGGAGGGTCTGAAGCAGACCATGGAAAAGCTGCAGGCGGACCTCCAGGAGGCCAGGGACACCGCAGCCAAGGATTTGGATGAAAAGCTGAAGGAATTGGATGCCAATCATTCCGCGGCAATTGCCAAGCTGAAAGCCGAGCATGACGAAGCGATCGCCTCTGCTGCCGCCCACCATACACAGGAACTGAGTGTTGCGAAAGCGGCCGCGGAATCTGCCGGTTCCACTCACACCGAAGAACTCATGAAGCTGAAGAGCGCCCTCGAGGCCGCCGAGGCTGCGGCGAAGCAGAGCCGAGAGGATGCGATCAGGGAACTCAAGGCTGCTCATGAAACGGAACTGCAGACTCTCCAGCAGAAGCTTGATGCTTCTGAACAATCCCTCAGCGAAACCCGCCAGGCCCTTGAGCAAGGCGCTAACTCGGCCCAGGAGGTTGCCATCCAGGAAATTGGACAGCTCAAGGAGAAGGTTGGTGCCTTGGAGTCCCAGCTTGGCACTGGGCACAGCGAGATCAAGGCTCTACAAGATGCAATTCAGGGCAAACAGCAGGAAGCTGAGGCCCTGCAGCAGAGCCTGATTGCGTTCGAGAACAAGACCAAGGCCAAGGACGCTGAGCAAGAGAACCTACTGAAGGACCTGGAAGCGCGGGCTACGATGGGGGAGAACGCCCTCCAGCAGCATCAGCAGCAGGCTGCGTCTGTTGCCGAAAAACATGCGCAGGCTGTGGAAGCCTTGAAGGCTGAGCACGCTGCCGCTCTCCAGAAGGCTGTTTCTGATGCGTCCGGCTCGCATGACCAAGCACTCAGTGAGCTCCAGGCCAAGTACGACGAACTGCTCGCTACCAACCGTGAACTCGAATCCGCCCATGCGCAGAAAGTCCAAGCTCTCGAGGCCGAGCTTAAGTCTGCCCTGGAAACTCATGCGAGCGAGATCGCTGCGCAGACCGAGCTCCGCGAAAAGACCGTTGCGGAACTGCAGAAAGAGTGGGAGGTGACAAAGGCCAAGTTGGAGGCTGACCTCGAACATGTGCGTACCTCGAAGTCCGCGGAGACGGATGCCGAGCACAGCAAGGCCATCGAGGAGCTGCTGAATGCCCACGAAGCGAAGCTTTCCAGTGTCCGTGACGAGCTGGAGACCGCCAACAAGGCAAAGCTTGATGAACTCCAGAAGTCTCATGAAGCTGCCCTGGCTGAGGTCAACGAGAGATTGGCCCAGGCTCAGGCTACTGCTCAGGACACTTCTGCTGTCGATGGACTACAGGCAACCATTGCTGAGTTGCAGCAGAAGCTCGCCGATGCTGAAAAGATCGCTGCTGAGTCACGATCCGTTGCAGACACCCACGTCGCCAATCTGTCAAAGATGGAGGCTGAGAAGAAGGATCTGGAGCAGAGACTGAACGAGGCCACCAGCCGCACCCAGGAGCTGGAAAAGTCCATTGGTGCTGCCGAGAGCACCAAGTCCGAACTGGAAACCGTCCTGAAACAGCTCGCTGCATCCCAAGAAGACCTTGCCCAGTTGAAATCCAAGTATGATGCTGTCAACGGCGATCTCGAGGAGCTGAAGACTCAGAACAAGGCCATGGATGAGAAGCTCGCCCAGGGTGAGAAGGACCTGAACGACCAGATCGACAAGAACATGTCCCTCCTTAACCAGCTGGGGGAGGTCGATTCCGCCATCTCTGGTAGCCGCAAACGCGTCCGCGAGCTTGAGGCCGAGTTGGCCGCGCTGAAGGCCGATAACGCGATGTCCACTGGCTTGGAGGGCAGCCGGTGGGCGACCGAGAATGAGAAGAAATCTGGAGAGGGTGCTGGTGCTGGTGCCGTCGCAGGGGAAGGTGAGGATCTTGGTTCATCTATTGAGGGAACGGTGGGACCTCCCCGTTTAACGTTTTCAGGACTTCCTGGTTTCCATCCTTTTACCTGACAATGACTTGGTCCGTTCCCTCTGGAGATATTGTTACTGATGTGAATGTTCTTTGGTAGATGGCCAGCATCCAGGAGCAGCTTAAGCACATCCGTACTGCTAATGATGACTGGTACGACGAGCATCGACGGTGAGTGGTCCTACACTGGCTGCTAAGTTTGGGGCATCGGCTGATGGAAGTATTGCAGACTGATTGGCGAACTTGCCCAATTATCGCAACGAGCGACGCCCGATGCGAGAAGTCTAACCTCGACGCCCCAGCCGGAACGCTCGAACGACAGTTCGGGCGACAACCGCGCCAGTGACTGACTGAACCTCCCGATGAACGAGCGGTGGTAGAGGAGGGGTTGTCTAGGATAACCCTCTCGTGTCTTTCCTTTGTAACATGTTTGTGGTTGGATTCCCATCTGGTACTATAATGTATTGGTTAGGGTGTATGTAATATCTTCAGAGTTCAGGATACCCCTGTTCAGCTTCTCTTGTGACGATGACGGGCATTCATGGATATCAGCCATCACTGCAGCCGTGGCGTCGCCCTAGAGATCCCATTGGACTACGAATGCAGACGTGATCTTTGTCTTGCGAGTGTCTATTGATTTCCATCACTAAATGTGCTGTCGCTCCACGCGTTCGCGTGATCCCGAACTGAGACATGTTTCAACCTTACCAGCAAGCCATTCGTTTCCCTCTCCACCAGCCGCGGAACCCTTTCCACCCTCGCCCATATTGCGAGTCCTTCTCCATCGGATGTTTCTCTCGGGATTGTGTCCATTGCCGTTCCTGTGCCGCCGCCCTTTGGGTCTCCGCATAGATCGCAGGAGTGAGGATCCGCGGCGGCGGTGAGATAGGTGGCGGAGGGAGAGATGCATAATCGTATGCGCCGAGCGGACTAGACTGCGCCAAGTGGGGATCGTGATCCTCGTCAGATGCACGAACCGCTAGGTGTAATTGAGAACGTTCCCCAAGCCTGTCCCTGAGAGAAGACCCCTCGGCTGTAGAATGCGCCGCAGCGTCGAGCGCTCGGTCTTGCTGCATCCGGAATGAGCCCACGGGGCCATCCTCCTCGTCTGGCAGCTCCCCGTCCTCTCTGAAGCCCTCACAGTCCCCGGCGCGAAGACGAGAACGCCGTTCGCGGTACGACCCGCTGTGGCTGCGACGCTGGTGGTAGTGCTCGTGGTAGTTGTACTCTGAATGCCCCGCCGTGAAGGCGCGACAGAACGCCGCGTACGAGTCAGCCAGACCCTCATCGTCGGTGTCGGTACACGGCGCCGAGTAGTACGATTCAGAATCTGTATCTCTGTAGCCGGCGCGGGTCTTGCGTGCGCTGAGGCTGCGGACAGACACGCGGCGGGACACCCATGTTGCGATGTTATCGATGGTGCGCTGGCGGTGCAGCGATTTTGTCCTCTGCTCTTTGTCTTTATCTTTGTCGTCGGGCTGGAGACGTATGTCTCGTTTTCGCACGCTGGGTTTGCGGCGGCGGGGGGTGTCGCTGGCCGTCGACGAGGTTAGGGTTGATGCGATGGAGGCGTCGTCATTGATGATCTTGACGGCAGGCATGTTGCTTTCTTTCCTGTCCCTTTCCTTTCCTTTATTTAAGAAAAATAGGAGTCCCGACCGTGCGACGGGGGGTTAGATAAGAGGATCCCAGCGTGAGAGGATCCATGCGCAAGATATACGGTCAACGGCGCAGTGACTTGCTACGGAATCAGCCGACTGACTGCCCACACTGCCCACTATCTGCCAGAGCATGCGCCTCCCTGGGGTTCGCCGCTAGGGGGCCCGGCGTTGGGACCGGCAAGGCACGCGCGTGGTCTAGTAATAAAGAGAGTTTTCGTTTCTTTATCGGCGGTGGTGCGTGTCTCACCCGTGGCGTCGCACCGACACATGTGAAGAAGGGAAATCGCTGCAGTCCCCGGTCGTACAGCGTCGACATCGAAAAAGCGTCTGGCTCGCTGGCGGGCCGACTGACTGTTGGCGATGGCAAACGAGCTGTGCTACCGTGGATCAGACGGGTCGTATGTAAAGCGTTTTGGTGAGAGTGTGGTATGTACCTGAGTTACGGTAGGATGGTCTATAGATACATGTAGGGCCGTCTGCCTCGGTTGCAAGGATCATGCTAGTGCCCCTAACATTAAGAAGTTTACTATTATACAGAGTACGCCGTCTATCTAACTACCCAGAGACACCATCGCGGCCAAGTCCCCATCGTCCAACCTCGCGCATGGCGTCGTCACCGCCCTCGACCAGCCGTCCGTCTGCATTGGATGGGTTACCACTGCCCAGCACGCCAGCGACACAGTCCCATCCATTGCGGCCACCGCCCCAACGAAGCACCTCGTTCTTATAGCGTTCGCCGGCGTTGCGGTCGACCGACGCCTGGCCGCTCTGGAATACGTCCTCCCACAGCTTGTTGGCGATCGCGCGGTCGAAGATATAGCTGTAGTACGTGGCGCCGTAGCCGTAGAGGTGGCCGAAGAAGCCTTGCCAGGAGGTGGGCGGCTGCGTGTCCGACGGCTCGGGAAGGCTCGAGTGTGCCTGTGACACCTGGTGGTAAATTGCCGTGCTGTCGATCTTGCCGGCCGCCTCGGCCGGGACCGAGTGGTAGGCCTGGTCCACCAGCGCCATGAGGATCTGTGCTTCGTTCTCCACCGCCCCGTAGATGGACCCGTGCGCGGTGCGGTCCTGCTCCATGCTGCGCATCATGTTCTCCGACAGAGGCTGGTCCGTCTGCCAGTGTCGGGCGTACATCGAGAGCACCTCGGGGGCCGTCGCAAAGCGCTCCATCAGCACCGAGGGGAGCTCCGCGAAGTCGGTGGCGCATCGCGTGCCCGAGATGGATTGCAAGCGGGTCTGTCCGAGGATCGAGTGAAGCGCGTGCCCCATCTCGTGGAACAGCGTGCGGACGCTATGCTCGCTCAGGAGCGACGGGCGGCCAGCGCTGGTTGCAGGCGGGTCAGGGAAATCGCAGACCAAGGCGATGGTAGGCAGTTGGCGGAGGGTCTTGGACTGCGGGTCGACGGCTGTCGCCATGCCATCGTTAGGGTGGGCTGACTGATCCATGGATGCGCATTCGGCAACTTCCTGGTTCGAGATCTCCCGCGAGCAGCGTAAGGTAAAATGCGCCGGGTTCGGGTGCTTGTTGGGCCGCGAGAAGAGGTCGCAATAGATGACGGCGATGTGTCGCTCCGCTTCGTCCACCACGTCCAGTCGACGCACGTCCGGGTTCCATGTCTCTCCAGGCGCAGTTTCCTGGGGCACGAGACGTACGCCGTAGAGCCGGTTGAAGAGCCGAGAGAGACCCTGCATCACGGTGCCGAGGGAGAAAAATTCGGGTACGATGCTCAGCTCGCGCGATCGCCGGGACTGCGAGTATTGCATCACGCGTTGATGGACGTAGTATGCGTGATCCCAGGCCTGCAGAGGCGAAGATCCCTTCATACCCTGCAATTGGGCAAGCTCCTCGTGGACGAACTGCCGGTTGCTCCCCACCAGCGAGGTGAGGAAGTTGGACACAGCCTCCGGACTCTTGGCCATTTTGTCGCTGAGAGTCATGTGTCCGAAACTGGCGTATCCTGACAATTGGGCCAACTCGGCTCGCTTCGCCAGGAGTTGTTCCAATCGTTTGATTTGACGGGAACTGGAGGTCCTCGTCGCGAGATAGACGTCCTTCCGGACACCTTCGTCGTGAACAGACCGCAGCACAAGGCGCGGGATCATGCCCATGGTTGGGACAGACGCGGTGCGATTCCAACGTTTGATCTGCTGAACGAGGAGCGGATCCAGCCCCCGCAGGCTGTTCGTCCCGACAACCACATGGGATTTGGCCGGTTCGGCTGCGTTGACAAAGTTGGATCCCAGCTGACTGATCTCGTTGGAGAGGTTCACAAACCGCTGCCGCTCGTTCGGCGGCATGTGAATGGCCGAGTTGGAGAAATCCTTGATCAGAATCTGAGCCACAATCTTCTCCTCAGCGGACCAGTGCGACGTGACGTCGGGGTTAGCCGCGGCTTTCTTCAGCTGGTCATTAAGCCCGGTGGTTGTGTTGAGAACGTTCATATAGTCGAACATGAGCGCATACGCCTGCGTCGCCGCCTCCTGGACCTGCGGATCCGGGTGAATCACTCTGATGAAATCAGACAAGTCGATCACTCGGCACAGCAGATCACTCAGTCGGTCCAAGTCTCGCGCCATGTCTCGGTATTCCTCCAGAGTCGAAGCAGCGAGGACCTTGTGCACGATTGCCTGACATTTGTGCAGCGAGACATTGGCGAATGTGCGAAAGCCTTCCGGACTGGTCAAATACTGGTTCTGTACCAGTCCGGTGGGCTTCGTGTGCAGGCTACTCCGCTGGGAGAACTCTTTCCAGAAGGACGGGGAGTCGAACACTCGGCGAAGCGTTTCGTCATCGGTGGTGCTCTTCTGGGTATTATGTGCCGACCGGTTGTACTCGAAGGAGGTCGACTGCGGCGACGGAGATGCGGCTGTCTTCAACGACCGACGGGCGGAATGCAGACGCTGCAGACAGGTCCGACAGGTCCATGGCCGCGGGCGCAGCGGCATCAGTAGCTTGGGGCCTCCCATGACGGGGAGGAAAGGGCGGAATGGTAGGGGATATTAAGGGACATGGGAGAACTCGAGAGGAGGTGAAGAGAGAATAAGAAGAGTAGTGTAGAGATCGGAGTCCCGGACGATGACGGCAGCGGACAGGAAGAGCCGAAATGCGGCGAAAAAAAGGCTTGGCGCAGGTCACGCTTCCGACTCTCCTTCCAGCAATCTCCATCCCCATCAGTTACCTCTGCTTTCTCCAGCCTCATCTTTCTCCCCTCCATTGGCCCTGCCACACCATGTCCTTCCGGCCAATGTTGAACAAGGTATGTCTTCCACCTTTCCTCCATCCGTCGCTCGGCCTTTTACTCACCCTTTCCAGCGGGCTGTGGCCCCCCTCGCTGCCTCGCTTCTGGCGGGAGGTGTTGCTCTCTATCCTCGGCGCACCGCGTTCGCCGAAGAGCCCAAGGATTTGGTACGTGGTCGCATGTCGATGCTGAGACCAGCTCTCAGTATGCTCTCCGTCCTCCAACTGACCTCTTTCCCCTCTCCAGAGGAAACCTATCTACGATGACTTCCCTACCGACGTCCCCGAACTTCCCAAACCCGCCGCCCCGGTCTCTGCGCCTGCTGCTTCGTCGTCGCCTTCTTCCTCCCCCACTCCCACAGATATCTTGACGGCCCAGGTTCGACAAGCCCGTCTCTTCCTCTACTCCCATTCCCTTGCTGCGGAGAACTGCTTCAATGACTGGCTGTCCCGCGCCCTCCACATCGAGAACGCCTTCACCAACACGATCGCCTCGCTCGCCCCCTCCCCCGAATCTGGTGAGCGCCTGATGCCCGACGGCGTCTACGTGATTGTTTCCGCCATGGCCGGCTCCATCGTGGCGCGGAACCGTGGTATCGTCCTCCGCACGCTGTCTCCCCTCGCTTTCGGTACCGTGGCTGCCTGGACCCTACTCCCCGTGACGATGCGCAACGTCTCCGACCTTGTCTGGGAATACGAGAAGAAGGTCCCCGCCCTCGCTGACAACCACCTTCTCCTCCGCGAGAAGGCCGAGCACATCTGGACCACCGGTGTGGCACACAGCGGAATGGCCCGTGTTATGATGGAAGAGAAGATCGGTGACGTCCGGAAGAAGCTGGAAGAGGTGGTGAGCAAGGGCCACTAGACGTATCGTTTCCCTTTGTCGATTGCCCTTCTTTCTGTGTTTGTTTTTCCTTGTAGCGGATGTGATTTGGGCCCGGGCCTGGGAATGGTTTTACAGGTTCCCTTGCATATGTGTACTCTAAGAGTTAGATTCCAACATCTTAAAAAACTGAATATTGTGACCAAAGAATCCCATAGAATGTCCAGTGTTCAACGATTGGGACCGAAGAGGCCGACAGACGGGAGAAACGGAGGAATACTCGAAGGCTTACAACGAAAAGAAAATATGGTATAGTCACTATCCCATCGTAACTCCGGAGGCTCATAATACTATACAACGTCAAATACACACATATCAGTCCTTATAATCTAACTCTCCTGTGGTTCGCCCTCTGCAGGCGCCGGGCTACTTGTACTGGGCGGAGGAGACTTAACGCCCGCCTTGGGCGGAGGAGGCAGCGGCGTTCCCTTCCGGGACGGCGCAAAATCCTGCTCTTTGCTCTTCTGCTCGCCCTCGGCGAAGTAATCGTCAAAACTGTTGGGCGAAAGCGCCGCATGACGCGCCCTTCCCCCACGCCGCGTCCCGCGAGGCGGGTTCACAGGAGATTCGGTGCGCGCTTGGGAGGACAAGGGCGGGGGTGAGGTCATGTCCACGGGGACCATGAAATTACCCCCCGCGGGAGCAGGTACTCCTGCAGCATACTGAGCAGGATTCATCAGGGGAGCTGATGTGCCGTCGTCGCGCGTCTCGAACACCACCTCCCCCGGGCCTTCGACCTCCTCGCCCAACCCAACGGGTAGTCTGTGTAATGCGCCGAACCCCAACTCAGCACCCAGTGCGCCCTCGCCGCCCCAGCCACGGGTGGGCACCAGTTCCACCTCGCGTACAACGTCGAACTCGCTGTTGTACACCCACAGCACCAACGTCCTGTTCAGATGATCCTCCACTAGCTCCCCCAGCGCAGACTCGCCTCGTAACGTTCCACTAGGCGTTCCAATGATGTAGTCCGAATGTGGGAGCAGTCCTGCACGGTATGCCGGGCTGAGCGGAGAGGGAATGTTCAGCACATGCCAGATGTTCTGCGTCGACGAAAGAGGAGCCAACTGCAGTGCGAGGCCGAGGGTGGGGTTGTCGGGTGAGACGGGGATGGACACTCTATGCGTTTTTTGACCCTGTGGCGAGGCAGTATCAGCACGGTGAATGTAACAGAAAGGTGTTAGATGCGTGCTAACCTTTGCGCTCCAGATCTCAAAGGTCACATTGGACCCGGCGCAGTTGCGCACTTCGATGGCAAAGAGGTTCGGGTCTGGATCATCCTATTGAAGTGGATATGTTAGTTGCGGATGTGACTCTGGAAGGCGCGAGTTTAGCCCACTCACAATCAGTCGGCCGTTAATGCCAATTATGAAGTCAAACCAAGGCTCCAGAGGTAATTCGGCATCCTTGTTGCGGAGCACTTGAAACCCAAAGGCACCATCGCCGCCGGTAGGGGATCGGGAATGATGGACGGGCTCGGAATCCAGCCGGCCGATGAATCGATTGAGGGCTCCGAACATATTCTGTCCAGTCGAAGGGGGTCTATGTTAAGGATTGGAAGGTGAGCGAGTGATGTAAGGAGGGTAAACACGAGGGCAATAATGACGAGGACGAGAGCTGTCCAGATACGGGGAGATGTGCAAACAGAGCAAACTCGCCTATCAGTCCGTTTATCGCGATTGCATTAATTTCCTGTCTTCAAGACCATCGAACTGCCGCGTCTTCGTCCATGGATCCTCTGGTTTAGGCTATTCATGTACTACTTCTTCCTGCGTCATGGCCAGCGACTCAACTGCTGAACAGGCCCCTCCTGAGGTGCACCACTACAGCCATGTCGCTGAAGTTCCCTGGGATATCCAAAAGTACGCTCCTTCTACTGTCCTCGCTAGAACCATCTTTTCTAACCGTTTATTAGCTACTGGCGACAGAGATACAACATCTTCCACCGGTATGACGAAGGGGTTTGGCTGACCGATGATGCATGGTTTGGCGTCACTCCGGAGCCAGTTGCCAAGTGAGTGAAGCCTTCCCATTGATTCCGGTTCATGACCTAATAGGAGTCTGTAGTAAGATCGCAGAGCACATGGCCAGTTCAGCTCCTGATGGTCGGAGTGTCCTGATCGACGCATTCGCGGGTGCGGGTGGCAATGCAATTGCATTTGCGCGGTCCGGCAAATGGAAACGCATCTATGCGATTGAGAAAAATCCGTCTGTTCTGCTTTGTGCGAAACATAATGCAAAGATCTACGGGGTTGCAGACAAAATTACCTGGTTTGAAGGTGATTGTTTCGAGATTATAAAGAACCAACTGAAGGACTTGGCCCCGTACAGTGTGGTATTCGCCAGTCCTCCATGGGGCGGTAGGCTTGCTCCCACTTTAATCCCAGCTACACATTTTGCATGCAAGTCTAACTCGTTTTAGGGCCCGGATACCGTTCAGACAAAATATTCAATCTGCGAACAATGGAGCCTTACTCCTTGGCCACTCTCTACCAGGAATATTCGGCATTCTCCGAGCATATCGTTCTGTTCTTACCACGGACGTCGGATCTCCGGCAGTTGGCGAAAGTGGTCAAAGACGGGCATAAGGCGACGGTGATGCATTACTGCATGGACGGTGCAAGTAAGGCGTTGTGTATCTTTTACGGCGGGTTTAATTTGGGATGAATGGACTGCTGGTCGGCTTTTCTATTTTACAGGTCTTGTCAATATTACGTTTCACTGTCGATGGAGATTTGTATACTATGATTTAATTGATGATTCAGGAGACGAAATGGATCTACTGTTCTCTATAAATTATAACTGCCACGAACGGTGAATAACTACGTGTATTTGAAGCTGCTGAACATTGTCTCCCTTGCGAAGTGGAACTGAAGTAAATTGGAGAGCTGATTTCCCGATGCGGACTAGCGCCATCGGGGCGACTTCCGTCTGTGTCTCCCCATTCATCAACTTCGCTTCTTCATCACCCTCATTCAACCCCCACCTCATCGTTTCTTCTCCCTTCACTTCTCTTTCTCATTCGTACGTGACTTCTTTGGCTTCTTTTGCCTGTTTTGCAACCCGTCCTCGCATGACGCGTCTTCTTTTCGCTCTCCGGTAGCCGAACCGGCGACACGCGCCGCCCACTTCGACCCTGTCGCCTTTCTTTACGCTCGGCGCATATCCTCGATCCATCGACCGGCGTTCGTATCTCCTCTTCAAACCTTTCATTCTCGTCCGATCCTTATTTCGCCCATCATGCCTCACGCTACCGGTCTCGGGGCCACTGAGCCCGAAGACGTCGACTTCGAAAATGTCATGCGCCATCTGAACGCCACCCCGGCTGAAGGTGGCATGTCCTTTGAGTTTATGGAGCGCGAACTCGAGCCGGGAGAGAAAGCCGACGATGCTGTGGACTACGAAGATTTCGACGACGATGAACTGCCCGAGGAAGAAGAGAGGGCGCAGACCTCTGTTGAAAATGCACTCCCCGGAGACGATAAAGACAAAGGTCTTTTCGAAGCGGAAGAAGACGACCTGTTTGGCAGCCGTGAAGACGATCAGCACGCTCCACGCGACGACGACCTTGACGACCTTTTCGGCGGTCCCTCGTCACCTGGGGCAGAGCACGTGGATCATACCAAGGATCTATTCGAGGAGGATGAACAGCCACCAGCAGCGCCTGAGGCCGTCGAGATGCCTGTTACTCAACCTGAGCCTGTGAAAATGGAAGAAGATGAGGAACTGCCTTCGGATGAAGGCGCGATGAGCCCGACAGGCAGCGACATGGACCCGGCGTCTCTCCGCGCATGGAAGCTTCAACAGGCCCTGTTCGCCATGTCCGCCGTCGGTCCCGACAACCCCCCTGCTCCACCAGAAAATGTTGAGGAGCTTTTGCTCTCGCTCTTCCCAAACTTCGATCGGAAGGCTCTTCCTCGATTTCTTGAACTCATTCCCCATAAGAAAGCCTTCTTCCTCGGAAAACAACCTCCGAAACCTCCGAAAGCCGTGCTGCCCAGCAAGGTCCACATTGAGCTGGCTCAGGACCAAGAGAGGAGTTTCAAGTCAGGCGGTCAGGTGCATAAGCGCTCACTTGAGCTCGACCACCTGGGTCTCGTTACCATCACTGAGGCCGCCAAGGAAGAGGAAGAGGAAATAAAGGAAGAGTTTGATCTTGACGCTGATAACGACGAAGAACTGCCGGGGGGCATAACTCTAAATGATCTTCGCGTGGTCTGTACTGACTGGGATGTTACCGACGAGGTCCTAGACGACGCCATGGACTTGGACGAACCTCCAGTACAGAATACCGCCGGAGATGACGACAATGATTGGCTCCTTGAGACCACTCGCCCCTCTAAAAAACGCAAGCTCGGCCGAGATCCTGCGGATTTAATCGCCCTCTCTCATATCGAAGTGCCGATCATCGATGATCCCGAGCAAGTCACGTCTCGGGTGGCTCAAAAGGTGACGATTGATATGAACGACCCTAATCTTCTCCTCGATCAACGAGCGCCTGAGTCAGCCGCTCAGAAACAAAAGGCTCTGGGTTCCATGAACCGGGATGAAATGGACATCAATGTCACGCGCCGTCTAGCCTCCAGATACAACGTCTCCAATGACCAGGCATACGAAATGCTCAAACAAAATCACCAAAACAAGGTTCGAAGCACATTGGGCAACGTCACGCTGGAACACAGCATGCCGGCCCTCCGCTTGCAGTGGCCCTACTACAAGACGGAGCTCGCCAAAGCAGAGGCTCGGTCTTTCCATCGACCGGCTTTGTCCTTCCGGCCTGGCCAAACGTGTTGGTTCAAGAACATCAATGTGTTCAAACGCAAGCACCAAAAAGGAAAGGATATCAAGTCTCTCTATGATTCTACCAAGTCACTGTCATTGTCCGATAATTCAACCTCCCTTTTGGTTGAATATTCGGAAGAAGTACCTCTCATGCTCTCCAATTTCGGAATGTCCAACCGCTTCATCAATTACTACCGCCGGAAAAGCATGGATGACCCGACACGTCCAAAGGCAGAGATTGGCGAAACTGCTGTCTTACTTCCGCAGGATAAGAGCCCATTTTCGATCTTCGGCCATGTTGACCCTGGAGAGATCACACCTGCTATCTCAAACTCCATGTATCGTGCTCCCTTATTCCATCACGAAACCAAATCGACAGATTTCTTGATCGTCCGTAGCAGCACCGGGTCGGGTGGCAGTGACTACTTTATTCGAAACATCGATAACTTGTATGTCGCCGGTCAACAGTTCCCGTCTGTGGATATTCCTGGTCCCCATTCACGCAAGGTCACAACTGTGTCAAAGAACCGCATGAAAATGCTTGTTTACCGCCTGTTGAAGAAAAGCCCCGAATTGAGGCTCTCAATCAGCGAGGTGACCGCCCACATCCCGGGAACGACTGATATGCAGAATCGTCAGAAAGTGAAGGACTTCCTTCAGCACGACAAGGATTCGAAGTACTGGGTGCCTATCGAGCCAGTGCCGGAACAAGACGTTATTCGGTCATGGGTCCAACCTGAGGATGTATGTCTTCTGGAATCCATGCAAGTTGGACAGCAGCATCTTAACGATACTGGCTACGGAGGCGAGGGTGACAATCCCAATGCCCCTGGAACCGCAGGGGCTTCGGGTAAAGATGACTATGAAGATGCGGAAGGTGAGAGTTTGGAGCAGCAAATGGCTCCTTGGAAAGTCACTCGCAATTTCCTTCTGGCCTCCCAGGGCAAGGCAATGCTCAAGCTCCACGGAGAAGGTGACCCAACCCGTCGTGGTGAAGGTTTCAGCTTTATCAAGACCTCCATGAAGGGTGGCTTCAAGGCCATTGGTGAGAGTGTGGAGGATAAACTCGATGCACAACGGCTCAAGGAGTTGGGCGGTCACAGCTACAATGTCGCGAGGCAACAAAAATCGTACGAAACGTCCATTCGCCGAATCTGGGACGCTCAGAAAGCCAGCCTGTCTTCGACCGTTGAGCATTCGGATGAGGAAAGTGATATTGATCACGAAGATGAATTCAGCAAACCCACTCCACGTTCGGAGGCTCCCACGCCAGCTCCTCACGATGACGCAACCAGCCAATTCAGTAAGATGAGTATGGGCGATCAGAAAGGTAAAGTCCTACGCATTGTCCGTAGGTACAGGGACGAAAAAGGCGAGATATACACTAAGGAGTCCCTTGTTTGGGACCCTCGTGTTATTCGGCACTACATGCAGCATCGCCATAGATTGGAGGCCTTGACCACGAAGTGAGTGTCCTCCATACCACACGTTTGCTTCAACTACTAACACAGTATAGACTCGAATCACTCCAACCGACAGGCGATCCGGAAGTGGATGCCCGCAACAAGAAACTGTACGTTCATCCAACCTCCCCAGCCATACGACTCACCGCCAGGAGAACAGAACTCATCTCACATATTTTCTGCAGCCTCGAGAACGAGCTCAGTCGCCTCAATCGAAACAAAGAGCGCCGTTTCGCTCGCGAGAAGCAGAAAGGTGTCGCCAGAGCATCGGCTGGCGACTCCCCAGCCGACGGAGCCCCTGGTGGCAGCGGCAAAGGCGCAGGCACCCAGCGCAAATGCGCCAACTGTGGTCAAGTTGGCCACATCAAGACCAACAAAAAGTGCGTACACCACGGGTCGAGAGAAAACACTCCCGCGTCTCAGCCTGGCATCCTTTCTCCTCAGGACCCTCCCCCATTCTTTGCCTCAGCCTTCTACCCTTCAGAGGCTCAAACACCTCGGAAAAGAAGAGCGAGGCCATCTCAAGCCCCTTCCTCGATCCCTCCCTCAACTCCGCTCGTGGCTTCTACTGCAGCCAACATGGCCCCCAACCCCTCCACTGCCCCCCAGGATCCCGCAGTGAAGAAGCCGTCCCGGAAATCAAAGAAGAAACAACGCTGACATCTGCCCTCTTTGGCACATCCTACAGACTCTGTCCCCTTCTCAACGGCACGATGAAACCCGAAGATCGTATGAGCGACTCCGCCTTCGCGATGGGCGCTCCCCCGGCCATATAGGCCCCACAATTCGAATTCCATTGCGCAATGGAAGAAACAAAAAGGTGCTTTTGCTTTGTTTCCCGATTTCTCTTTTGACCATGATACCCATACATATTGATTTTATTCCTTGTATTGAAATGATATATTCGTTCCCTCTGGCGAGCCGCATTGATGTGATGCAACCCCAATGGCCCCATATATCCTCTCAACATTGAAGGGTTATGCACGAGATTGTACGGCGTCCGGTGCTTGTTCATAGATGGTTTGTCATGGGTCAACGCGCTTTTCTACCTTCATAATGATAACCGAAGGCTTTTATCCTGGAGAAAGCCAAGGTCTCATCATTCATATGCTTTCCTAGACTGGAATATGAACGAAAGTTTTCAATGGACTAGGGTATCCGATGTATTCGTAAGACTACGCCTATCGATACTGGACGAAAATATATCCACCGCTGGGGCTCGCGGTGCTCATCCACCAATGTTTGGGTAAAGACATATCTCTTCAATCGCGTCCCATAACCATACCAACGAAAATTTGACCGGGCGATTCATCCATACAACCCAAAGTCTTCACCTTGAGAGAACGGCGACCGGCCTCTTTCGGGAGCGAAAGCCATTGCGACGGGTTTGGGTCGTCGGTATGTGTATCCCGCGAAAGCACCCCTCTTGCGTATCTCAAGCACTGTCTTCCCGACCTGCTTGTCTCGCAACAACTTGTCACGGGGTCGCCTAGCCCCCTTATCCCTCACGTCCTTTGCAGTGAGTTTTGGTTTCGGCCTAAGCTTCGTAGCCCATCCTTCATTCTCGGACTGCGGCGGTTGTTCCTCCTGTGAGTCAGCGTCTGGCGAACTCTCCTCCGTACTCTCGCTCCATCCACCCTCGGAGGAAACATGTATGTCGTCTTTTTCATCATACGGCTCTCCATCGTCGAAATATCGTGTATCTTCCCAGCCCCTGACTTTAGGGATGAAGGGCGGAGATGATTTGTGGAGATCCTCCCATCTAATATCACGAAAAAACGGATGGGCTTTGATATCAGCCGCGTCATCTGGATATACGTAGAATCCCTGTGGGTTTAGACCATGGGCATCCGAACTGTAGAAGAGTTGTCTGGGTTCCGGTTTCAAATCATTCGATGCTCTATATTTCTCGCAAGACAGCCGGTGTTCTCTCTCATGCAGTAAGTTGGTGATCAGGTCGATCGCTTCCGCAGACACAAGTTTATCGGAGGTTCTCTGCGCTGGGAAATGCAGGGTCTTCATATGATGCTTTTGGACAGCTGTTAGTCCCTCCTCGCTCTCTGAACCACAGAATATACCACTTACATGAATCTTTAGCTTCGTCTCGTGTCGTTCCTTAGAAGCAAATGGAGTGAATCCATAGAGGCACTAAAGAAGATTAGACCTTTATTTGGCCAGTAACAAGGAAATATCAAACTTCTTCCGAGCTTACCTCGTAGAGAATGATTCCCACACTCCACCAGTCGCAGCGTCCATCGTAGGATTGGCCTCGGATAACCTCAGGAGCCATATATTGACTGGTTCCGACGATACTTTGGGCGAACCGTCGCCTTTCGTTTTGGTCCCGCCATTCCAGGACGCCAAACGAAGGAGGCGAATAAGAAGGGCCGGCTTCATATGGAGTTGGTTGAGACGATGTTGCTGTCCTCTTATCCTCTTTCTGGTCCTTAGTATCTCCGTTGATCTTGATTCCTAGCCTCTCGATCAAAGAATACCTGTGGTTGTTGTAGTACATCTGATCATGCGCCCAGTGTCCATTGAAAGCAAGGCCAAAGTCCGATATCTTCAGATGCCCGGAAGCTGAGATCAAGAAATTATCGGGCTTGACATCACGGTGGATCCAGCAAAGTCGATGCGCCTCTTCAATGCACAGAATCATTTCCGCAACATACCATCGCGCGGCAGACTCTGGCAAAATACACCTGCGCATCAACAATCCCAGAAAGTCGCCACCAACCATGTAATCAATGATGAGATAGAGGAAGTTGTCGTCTTGGAAGCTGGCAATCAATGGCACGATCCAACGTGATCTAGCCGAAGCAACGAGGAAATCCCGCTCAGCCCGCAAATGGGCTTCCTGGCAATTTCGTATCATCGCTGACTTTCGAATCACCTTCATGGCGAAGACGTCTTTCTTAACCCCGGTCATGACTCTCCGACGTCCCTGGATACTCCAGTCTCTGCTAAACTTCGCGGGATTGTCGCGGGAACCCGTCTGTGATCTTTCCCGGACCAAACGGACAACCCCAAAGCTTCCTCTGCCCAGGACCTTGATAACCTCGAATCCGGCCATGGTTGCATTTTGGAGATGAGAGCCTCTGGAACGTGCGTTGAGTACACGGCACTGACGTAGGTATTCGTGCTCCTGAACAATCCAGTTTCTCCAAATTCTAGACCGCTCCTCAGGTCCGAGTGGCAGCGCATACAAGTATTGTTCTAGTTCTCGTTGGCGCTGAGTGCGCGGATCAACACCGGAGTACACTGCATCGAAGTATTTCTCGAAGAACACTTTAGCATTGGCAGTGTTTTCAACTGTGATGATGGAAGACACCGTATCAGGGGGCCGATCTCTGGTCTTTTTGTCTTGGGCTAGAGAAATGCGCTCCAGTTCTTGCCCACCATGCTCTCTGACTGGAGGCTTAGTCGGAACGTTTGCCGCTAATAGTGGCGTAGAAGGTGTTGCTGAGGTTGGAGGCGTTGACAGAGCACTGACGGGAGAGCAGACGCAGGACGTTGGCAACATTGATGAAGGGTTGGAGCTGTCATTGGCGCTGTCTCCCTGTTTGCTGAGGGAAGAATTTGCAGTCTCTTGGAAGGGAACAGCTCGGACACTTGGTGGTGAGCGTAGATGCGAACGACGGATGACAGTGGGATTGCCGAATGTAACGGACAACTTGCGTGCGACGACCTCACTGATCCCGGCTTGCGATTGGGTTCGCTTTTTCCCAAGCCCCAGATGCTTATCGCTGGGCTCTCCCTCCTGCACTGTCTGAACCTGGGGCTGGGTGACTGTCCTGGGCCGACTCCTCCCAAGATGAACTTGGAGCTGTTGAGTTAAGTCCGGCAGGATACGCGAACTGCGATGTCCTAAATGGGGAGAATCTGGAGGAGAAACACCGCCGGCCTGGTCACTTTCCCCATTTCCATTGGTTGTGCATAGTGATGCATAAAGCCCCGTCGTTCTGGATATTGATGAATGGATGGAACAATGGCAATTCTCTGGATCTTGAATAGGCCCCGAATCCAAGGGAACGGGCTTGAGCACTATAGGGTATTTAGTTCAGTTTCTATGCGAGATGTTTGTAGGTTTGTTAAGTGACACACCACTGGGAGGATTTCGTAGACCAAGTAAGGAGAGTAAACGGGACCGTCGCTCTCTGAGACGTGTGCGTATGTTATCCCGCGAGGCGGGTTGCACTGTAGATCCAGCAGACGTTGAACTACCGGACATGGCTGAAGTGGATATATCTTTAACGATAGAGTCCTGGATGGTTCAAGAATGCGTGCGCTGGGTGGACTTGACAGGAAGAAAAGTAAAGAGTCGGCAATATGAAGAGAGGGGGAGAGGGAGAGAAAAAGAAGCAACGGGAAAGTACGCTGGGCTACAAGTCGAGTCCAGGCAGGAAGGAAGAATGCAAAAACATCCCAAGTCTAGTACATTCGGCATCTAGTCAACTTATTCAGACATACACATATCAAGACAATAGGACAAGCAATGGTGCTTTTGATTGAAGAAAGAGACTTGGATTCCCCGGCGATATCCTCATCCCTGCTGTCGGTATGCATCAAAGACTGCAAGAAATAAACAAGTCGGATATCACCCTAAATAAGCACATCCAAAAGAAAACCCCTAAAACACCGGTTTTTGAACCAAAGAATTGGAAACAAGATGGACAAGATTGCACTGCGCAGTGGCATGGAAGTTCTGCAGGCGAGGTGAACCGTGAATGTCAACACAGCTCCGCACACAGTGACTACACGGCACAAATTTATTTGATCTCAAGGAGCTTCACGTCGAAGATCAACTTCGAGTTGGCCGGGATACCGGGGAGGGCCTTCTTGCCATAGGCAAGCTGGGGAGGGATAGTGATACGGCGCTCACCACCGACGGCCATGCCGGCAACACCGATGTCCCAGCCCTTGATGACTTCACCCTTGCCGAGCTTGAAGGTGAAAGGCTTGCCCTTCTTGTTGGCTATAGAGAGAGTTGCATGTCAGCGAACAGGTTCATCTACGCCGGAATACGACAGTCGTAGAACTTACCATCAAAGACCTTGCCATCCTCAAGCTTTCCAATGTATCTCATGGCAACAGTGTTACCGCTCTTGGCAGCCGGGCCCTTTCCAAGCTTCTTGTCGTCGATCTTCACACCCTTGACCTCCTTGACACCGAGGGTGCCAGTGGTCTTCTCAGCGGCCTTCTTGTCCTGAGTAGAGGGAGTGGGGCCCTGCTCCAGGTTCTTCGCGAACTGGACCTTCTTGCCCTCCTTCTTCTGCTCAGCGGGAGCAGGCTCGCCATTGTTCTTCTTCACCTTCTTCTGCTGCTTCTTGCTCTCCTCTTCCTTCTTCTCCTCCTCAGCGGCGCGCTTGTTCTTTCCCTTGGTTTCCACAAGCTTGGGGGCCTCCTCCTCGTCGCTCTCAACCTCGGTCACTCTGGGGTTCTCCAGACCGTCGAGCTCATCGTCCTCCTCCTCTCCGGCCAGGAGGGCCTCCAGGTCAAGCTCATCCTCATCAGGGGAGAGATCGTAGTCCTCCTCGTCATCCTCATCCTCAGAATCCTCATCATACTGACGACCCTCATCCAGAGGCATGACATAGTTTCCGGTGACGTAGATAGTGTGGGTACCGGTGACCTTGAAGTAGATACGCTCGTCCTCAGAGACGGTGATATCAAGAGGCTGCTGGCAGTGCTGTAGGGAGAGACAAGGTCAGAATCGTGGGGTGCATCTTGCGCGATAAATAGAATAGGCACATACAGTGTCGGGGTTGAGAGTGCAGACGACCATCTCGTCAAGCTCGAGGCCCTCGTCGGACTCCTCGTCCTCATCGTCGTCGGTGGCCGGAGCCTTGCCCTTCACGAGCTTGGAGATCGCGGCCTTGAGGTCAAACTCCTCGTCGTCACCCTCATCCTCGTCGTCATCTTCATCCATAGCTTCCTCCATCTCCTTCAGGGCGGCAGCCTCCTTGAGCTTACGGGCCTTTTCCTTGTCGCTAGGACCGCCATTGACTTCCTCATCGTCAGAGTCGTCGGAATCTTCTTCGTCTTCGTACTCATCGTCCGACTCGTCCAGATCCAGGCCGGCCGGGGGGCGGACAATCTTGAGGGTAGCCCGGGGACGCTTGTTGGCCTCAATGCCATCAAAATCAGGTTCCTCGTCGGGGTCGATGGCAGCCATGGAGATGCGGAACTGTGGAAAGAGAAGGAGCGTTAACAGACAGTATATCAAGCATCAATTGACTGTTACATACCATGGCACCAGCCTCAGGAAGAGCCGGGACCAAGACGCCTCCAGCGGGCACCTTGATCGCGTAGACTGCGACAGGCTGAACTCCGGACATTTTTGCGAAAGAAGGGGAAATAGATCAAGGAAGAGAAGGGCGAAAGGATAGATAATACAATGAAGAGGAAAAGAAGGGAATGCGAACGGGGGAGAAAAGAGAGAAGAGAGGAGGATGGAAGACCGAGGAAGAAAAGAAAAGAAGAGCTCCTGCTTGTCTTTTTTTTTTTTCCTTGCGGACCCTCTAAAGAAAAAAAAAAAATTGGATCGCCGCTCTATCATCACGTGTTGTCTATCACGTGAGTATCAAAAAAACTCCCCATCAACATTCTCTTCACGACAATAATACTATTCCCCATCGCCTACATTCTTAATACTATTCAGCTCACGGGCTTTTAAGACCTCAAAAATGACGAGAATCCGTCTTGGAGTTCTATCCGACTTCACCCAGGCCCGCTATGTGCTCCATCTTTCAAACGGCAAACGTCTAGTGTTGTTCCGTTTGCCTTCGATCGAACCGCCCAACGGTCGAACTAACGTCGGAAACAATGAAAGCGACGATGGCTGGTCTTATTACTCCATGGAGGCTGAATGCCCCCATGCTGGTGGTCCCATGCAGGACTCCCAGGTGGATATCGAAGATTCCGCCTATATAGTGTCATGCCCGTGGCATGCATACGATTTCAATGTAGAAACAGGAGAGTCGAGTGTCGGGATCAAAGCCTGTACATTCCCCGTGGATGTGCGGGGCGAGTTCGTGACCCTGGAATACATCGATGACAACTGCCCTGATATGACTCTGGACCGACTTGAGCCCGTCAGCGAGAAGATGAAGTTAAAGAAGCATGACCGCGACACGCGCCAAGTTCCCACCCCATCACCTACCCAAGTGAAAGCCCAGGACATCCAGTCAGAGGCGCCTACGTATTTAGACGACAGTGCCACGCTTTGCGACTGGTGCGCCCACATCTTGAACACCTCTAACCCGGAGCACAAGATCGAACTGACGGCCCATTTGTTCGCCCTATTCGCCGAAAAGGGTTCTTCCATGCCCCTCGGAGACGGTAACGTTGCTCTCCCCGCCCAGCCGCCCCGTGAGGGCTTAGAGGAGGTGAAGCCCGGTGCTATGCCGAGGGCTGGAAGAGGTGGAACCTTGAAAAGCCGCATCTCCATGCTCCATGCATTGGCCAATATCGAACTCTGGGCAATCGACCTTGCGATTGATATCTGTGTGAGGTTCGCCGCGTTCGAAACGCGAAACACCTCACGGCCACTGCCACGTGCTTATTTCCACGATTGGCTCAAAGTTGCCAACGACGAGGCCAAGCACTTCTCCTTACTTCGCGCCCGACTCGAGGAGATGGGCTCCTACTTTGGGGCCCTCCCGGTACACCACAGCCTCTGGAACTCGGCCACTGATACAGCCGACGATCTCCGCGCGCGCATTTCTATCATTTGTCTGGTTCATGAGGCTCGAGGTCTGGATGTCAATCCCATGACGATTGATAAGTTCCGCAAAGCCGGCGACCCCGAGAGTGTCCAGACCCTCGAGATCATCCACAACGATGAGATTACCCATGTCACCACGGGCCACAGGTGGCTAACGTGGATTTGCCAGGAAGAAGGAACCGATCCTGTGCAGGTCTTTCGTGAGAACGTTAAAAAGCACTTTCGAGGACCTCTTCGAGAGCCGTTCAATGCAGAAGCCAGGATGCAGGCGGGTATGGACCGGCGGTATTATGAGAACTTGGACTCAGCCGGTATTCAGGTTGCTTGAGTCTACACACTGGTCACTGGTGTTCAAATATACCTTTTGTCCGTAACTGCACAGATGAATGCCCTTCGTGCACTTCTGAGTGAATTGGGACCCCTGCAAAGGGCGATCTGAAGGCACAACTATGCAGTGCAACCCGGCGGAACCAAAAGGTTCGACCGAGAGATGGTATCACACGTTACCGTGAATTTTCTTCGGCATTTGCCGTGAAAATTGTCCCATCCGATATGGGTCTGATCTTCCGGGTCTACCTACTTCCACGAAAAGAAGGGACGCACCTATCGCCAAGGCACCCGGTAAGCCATCCTACGGCAGTGCTCCTATCAATAATTTAGTGTGGGAAGTTGACACTCAGAACGAATGTACCAGCTACATGCCGGGTTCATCGAGTATTGGTCCATCTACATTAGCAAGACAGTGCTTGTAGTCTACCTCATCTTGGAAGTAAACGGGACTTGCATTCGCTAGTGATGAACCCAGGTTGGATTGATATTAAGAACAATTGCATCAAATAATACTGAACACGTGCCTGGTCATGCCCCAAATACAATGCAGTCAGGCTAAACAGCAAACCACCAACAAAAACAGACGTAACAACAAGAAATCATAGCCTCCGGGAAGTTCAGAATCCACATGTACACAGTCATTTCGTAGCGTTACCTATTTTCATGATCCATCACGTAAACATTGGTCTGATTAGGCCGGTGATTGATTATCGTGGGCAGGGTAACCACCTGCCTCGGCGTTAGATCCAGGGTCCTTCATAAAAAGCCTTTGGTGTTGCTGGGCATTCTTTGTAGGTCGCTGGAAGCAAAAGCGCCACTGCCCTTCCGACTTCCTATATCACTGTAAGCAGTGATATGCCCGCGTCCCACGGCACTTCCTCTTTCGACTCGAAGGCTCTTCCAGCCTTCTAGCTCACGTTCCAGCCGCAGGGACTTCTCTCTCTCCTCGCGCAGTTCACGCTCTGCGCGACGCGCTTGCAATTGCGTCTCAGAATCGGCGTGCTGAAGCTCCTCAATGTTCTTGAGCAATCGCTCAATCTTGTCGCGAGCCTTGTTCATATCGTCCTCGAGCTGAGAATTCATCTTGTCACGTCGCTCAATTTGGGACTGAAGGTCCTTGACCGTACGATCAACATTTCGCAGAGATCGTTGCTCGGAGCTATGCTTGTTCTCCTGTTCCTCAAGATGCGTCTCCAACTGTACGAACTTTGTTAGCGTTCTTGTCCATCAGAAAGTGACGGGTCCAACGTACCTCTTTGATCCTCTTGTGCAGGAATTTGATATCCTGGCTGCCGGAAGAGTAACTCTTAGTTTCCAGGTCAACACACCGCAGCTGGGCCTCTTTCAGCTGCTTTTCTAGTGCCGCCTTGTCCTTGAAAAGTTGAGCGTTGGTTTCTCTCTCTGCTGTGACCTCCTTCTGCATCTCTATGGCCAGGGCTTCGGCTCGCCTCATCTTTCCAACTGCAGCGGCTGAGACATCTTCTTGCTGAGCAAGCTTGGATTTAAGCTCTAGCAGCTCACGATCCATGCTTGCTGCATTGCGCATAGATGGGCTTTCACCTTTGGCAAGATCCTCTAGCCTTTCACCTGCTTCGGCCAAACGAGCCTCAAGCATCTTCTTCTCCTTCAGCAGCATGTCCCGTTCTGCTGCCACGTCATCCACCGATGTGCGTAGGCTTCTAACCTGAGAAAGAAGGGAGACAACCCTACTCTGGGCATCATTGTGGGCATTGACAGCCTCGTCACGGGAGTTAGTAACGTCCTGGAGCATGATGTCCATGCGTGCTTTCTCTTTAGCCCAGGTCGAGCTGTTGAGGACTTCATTATCCCACTTGCTGCGCAAGTCTTCAAGCTCTTCTCGAAGCCTAGAATTCTCCGTGCGAACGTTGAGCACCTTCTCTCGTTCCATCTCAAGCTCGTTGTTGAGTGTGGTGAACTCCCTTTGGTACTTTTGTCTCGTTTGCTCCATTGAGGTCTCCTTGTCTTCGATGTCGATAGCTCGCTGATTTCTGTAGTCCTCAAGTTCATTTTGAAGGCGCTGCTTTGCTTGTAGCGCTGCCTCCAGCTCAGCTGCCTGATCCTCCATCCGCGCCTCCAGGGACTGCGTCTGCCGTTGGAGATCATCCACAAGAGCATCCATTTGTTTGCGTTCGGACATGATCTGCGCACAAGCTTCCTCTGCCTCCTTGGCTTGCGATTTTGCAAATTGCTCTGCACGAGAAGCCTTCAGCACGGAGATCTCTGCCTGCTCCAGCTTGCTGAAATACTCGTCAGCCCGAGTCTTGTACAAGCTAAGGCTCGAGGCAAGATCGGCCGACTTGGATGTTTCCGCATCGAGACGGATCTGCAAATCAGAGAACTCCTGAAGCAGCTGGTTGCGGCTGACAGAATCCTGGTCCTTGGCTTCCTGCAGTTCTTGGACTTCGGAGCGAGCGTCCCGAAGTTCAACTTCAAGGGCAGCCTTGGCTCGCTTGAGCTTTTCGAAATGCTCCTTGGCGTCGTGGAAATCCGCAAGCGCCTCGTTGTGGACTTTGAGCAGGGACCGTCGAGACTGTTCCTGGGAGTTGATCAAATCATAAAGTTCTTCGTGAGACTTGGCCTGAACGTCACGGAGAGACAACTCGCCCGATCGAATGCTTCTCTCAAGGGAAGACACCTTCTTCGCAGAATCGTCAAGTTGATCATGGAGTCTACCATTCTCGCGCTCCAGTAATTGCATGCGACGGAGAGATGGGCTTTCGTCTTGCCACATCTCTCGCAAAGGATTCATCTGTTCGACTTGGCTTTGGAGGTGCTTATTCTGCATCTCACTCATCTGAAGCTTGTTCTGAAGCTCTTCAATCTCCGTCGCGAAGTCCATGCGTCTTTGGTATCCGACAGTGTCCACGGTCCTATCCGACCTCGCAGAGTTGGCATTCTCATTGACGTTGAACCGGCGATTCGGCGTGGTTGGTGTGCTGAATCTCTTAACGAAGCTGTTCTCCGAATTCTTCCTCAGATGAGTGGGCGTACGGTTGCCAGCGACCTGGTTCTGGTCAATTTCTTCCAGCAATGCACGTTTAGATGACTGGTAGCGGGCATCAAGCTCCTTCATCTCATCACCATGTCGACGGCGCATTTCTTCAAGCTGACTCTCGGCCCGGCTGTACTTCTCTTCCGTAACCTGCAACTTGCTGCGCATTGTGTCCAGCATTTGCGCAAGGTCAACCTTCTTGGACAGATCCGGCTGTACAGATTCCCACGACTCTGCAGGTTTATCGGCTGAAGGGTCGACAACCTTGTGTAGCAGAATGAGCTGGCGATGGAGATCCGCGATTTCCTTGTTCGCCGTGTCCAGAGAGCCTTGCAGTTTGCGTGTGTTCGCCTGAGCTTGAGTCCTCAGTTGTCTCTCGGTCTCCAGGTTCCTATTCGCCTCTGCCAGCTGGATATTTGCAGTGGACGCCGCCTTCTCGGCATTACGACTGGCTTTATGCTCCCTGCTGACTTCGTGATTCAGATCCTCGACGGTCAGCGACAACTTCTCCTTTTGCTTTTCCAAGGAAGTGATTGAAAGCTGAAGATCACCAAGCTGGCGTGTAAGCTTTTTGTTGTCCTCTTCAATCTTGGCTTTCTCTCTTTGAAGCGTTGTGATACGATGGCGCTGGTTGTCGCTCGCTTTCGAGTTGGACCTGGCAATATCGAGGTTTTTTTGTTGGATCTTCGTCAAAAGCGCTCGGTTGTCATTTTCGGACGCCGTGAGCCTGCCCTTGAGAGTCACAAGTTCTCGCTCAAGACGCTCCTTGTGCTGATCATGACGAATACGGAAGTTATCCGACTCCGCAATGGCATTAGTCAACTCCTGTACCCTAGTCGCAAGGCGTGATCTTTCAGCCTCAATGTCTTCCAACAGTTGAGTCTTTTCAATCAGCTCCTTCTGGACACTGTTCAGGCGCTGGTTGGCCTGCTTCATCATGTTCTTCTCAATCTCGGCTTCTGCGTTCAATCGAGCATTTTCGACGGCGGTGAAGCGATCTCGGAGTCGTATCAACTCTGCCTGAAGATCCTTGCGGGACTGCTCAGCGGCCAGTCGCCCTTCGGTAGCGCGACGGAGAGAGTCTTGCTGGATGTACATTTCCTTCTCAATAGTGATCTTGGATTCGTTCAACGAGGTATATTTGTCTCGCAACTCCGCAAGATTGTGCTCTGCGAGCATTTGGACATCGTCTCTCGACTGGCGTTCCCGACTAAGATCTGCCTGTACTTGGAATAACTCGTTCTTGAGATCCTGAATTTGCTGTTCCAGAAGCTTGCGGCCCTCGCCCGCTTGTGCATCTTCGGAAATCTTTTCTTCCAGGAGTTTCTTAACGTCAGCCACTTCCCGCTCGAGCTGAGACTTTTCGGATCTCATTGCATCAGCTTCGGCTTGGAGATCTCGCAGGCGCTTTTGCATATTGTCATGCCGCGTGGAAAGAGTCTTCTTCTCGTTCTCCAATTGTCGTTTATCCTCTTCATGCTTTCGTGAGTCCTTTCGTAGAACGGCAATCTCGCTCTCTTTTCGTCGAAGCATCTCTTCGTAACTCGTCGATGTCGAAGAAAGGTCTGAAATTTGCTGACGAATCGAACGATTCTCTTCGAGGAGATCCTTCACCTGCTTCTTTGACTGATCTAGCTCCTTTGATGTCTTTGCCAGCTTGATATCAAGGTCCTGGTCTGTCTTCAACAGCTTCGCTTCCAGATCTTGCAGCTTGCGCTCTTTCAGGCTCAGGTTACTCTGAAGCATCCGGACTTCTTGTTCCAGCTCTTTGATATTGGCCTCCTTCTCATGTGTAGAGGCCTCGGCTTCGTGCAAGGTACGGTCGATCTCTGCAAGACGCCCTTGCGTCTCGTTCTTCTCGGCTTCGAGGCGTTGAATGATTTCTCCCGCCTGTTCGAGTTGCGTGATTCTGTGACCGAGTTCGTCATCGACTCTCTTTTTTGCTGCTATGAGTTCGTCGAGCTGGTCTTCTAGACCCTCCTGGTCTGCAATTGCGCCAGCCAGCTTTTCACTCAATTCTACCTCCCGAAGCTGAAGCCTTTTGAAGATTTCCTCCTTGTCCAAGGCCAATGCCCTCTCGCTTTCCAGAGTTTGCTGGATCTTTTGCATTTCGATCTCAGTACGGCGCCTTTCCTCTTCAATCCTTTGACGATCAGCGATGTCCTGCTTGATCTTTAATTCCATTTGCTGAATCTTCTCATCTCGCCTCTTAACCTCGGTAGCAGTTCTAGTCTCGCCCAAGAGAGGTTTCATACGTGAGAATAAGCACCACCATGGGCTGGCTTTGAGGCGGAGGTACGCATGGAAATTATGCTGGATAATCCGGGTGGCTTCGGCACGATAGAGCCGCTTGTTGGAGATTCGCCGCTGCACGAAGCCTCTGGCAAGAGATTGAAATCTTGTCATGATAGAGCGGATAAGCTCGTCGCGCTTCTCTTCCAGCTCGGCCAGCACCCCAGCCCGGAAGAACACCTTAGTGCGCCCGACACGGTACCAGGTGCTATCGAGGCCTAGACTCTGGAGCATCATGCGTGCGACGTTTTGTCCATCCATATAACCCTTGGGTATATTGCGGCATAAAACCTCATATCGCTGACGGAACTCAGCAAAGGGAAGTCGATTCGGGAAGCCTGTCCGCGCGATTCTAATGCCCTCCAGAACACCATTGCATCTCAACTGGTCCAGGACAAGGGGTGCATTGAACATCTTGGGTCGTTTCTTGTGATTCGGTATGATGCAACGGACGAAATGGGGATGAGTCGAATGTAACTGTGACATGAGGCTAGATAGCTGCTCTTTATGCCTCTGGGCGACTGTGCGGAAGAGACCCTTCTTAACGCGGCTTTTCGGGTAGTCTGCCTCATCGTCGGGGTCTCCGCAGTCTGAAAAGAGGTTTGCGACGTGTTTCTCTTGGGAAGCAGCCAATAGTCGGGTAATGTTGTCATTAAGGGGGTCTTTGTTCTTTTCGAGCCAACCCTCTGTGCCATACTCGACCTCGGCAGCGTAGTGAGTAAGAACGAAACCCTGGCTAAGACGAGAGGCCCGGTACTTTGGCGTCTTCTTATCCCAAAGGGAGTGCAGCTTATCGGTGAAGGATCTATCCGTTGCCTTTGGCATGACACTGTCTTCGTCCAAACAAGAGAAAATACCAATCGGGTTCGTCAACTCGATCAGATCGATTGTCGGCTGCAGGTCTTTTCCAAAGTCAATGAACTGCCATTCGATTTGCTCCCTTGCATATTCCTCCTGTTCAAGGACGAACATGTGGTGGTTGAAAAATTGCTGGAGTTTCTCGTTGGTGTAATTGATGCACAGTTGCTCGAAACTGTTGTTCTCGAAGATCTCGAATCCAGCGATATCGAGAACTCCAATGAAATAATTGTCATCTCCAGTTACCGTGTTGCGGTCCAGTCTCTGGTTAATACGGTCCACGAGGTTTCCGAATCCACGCTCGTAAATACCCTTCGCTAGGGCGTCTAGGGCCAGTCGAACCTGCTCTGGAGTTTGTACCTTTTCAACCCACTCGCGACCTGCCTTCACCCTCGGATGTAGCAGCCCTTTCACGAAAGCGTCTGGTGCTATGCCCAACAGATGACACGCTCGCTCGACGCTATTTAGGGAGTCTGGACCCAAGGCCGCCTGGTCAGCTCGCAGGCTCTCCTTCACGATAGTCACGTTTCCAAGGTGAAGGACGGCTGCTATGGTGCGCAGGATACACATTTGGTCTTCTTCGGAGAAGTTCATCACATGAAAAGCCTCCATCAACGAATTCCATTCGGCATCATCGGAGACTCCTGCGATACTCTCGTTACCGTCCTTGGTATAGGCGAAGTCTTCAATCTGCAGGTCAGACAGAAGCAGATTTTTTCTGAGCTCGGCATCTGCTCCGCGCAATAACTGATAGAAAATATGGTAGTTCCGCTCTTGCTGGTTAGGCTTCACCACCCGAGACTTCTCCAGGAGATACCAATCGATAGATGCGCCTGAGATTTGACCGGAACGAGCGAATTCGATTCGAATAAACTTTCCGAAACGAGAGGAGTTGTTGTTTCGGACTGTCTGAGCATTACCAAATGCTTCCAGGATAGGATTCGCCCGCAAGATTTGTTGGGACAGTGTCGACAATTGTTTGGCCCCAGAACGCACATACGGCGTGTCGGAAGTTGCAACTGCTGCCAGATACTGGATAACTTTCTTCGTGTTCTCTGTCTTTCCGGCGCCCGATTCTCCACTACATGGCTATCAGAACATGTGTCATCTTGGTTGCTCAAGTTCAGGGGGACCTACGTGACGAGGATGCTCTGGTTTTGGCCTTCTTCCACCAAATTGCGGAATGCCTCATCTGCCATGGCAAAGATATGCGGCCGTGTCTCCTCTCTGCTGCGACCTTTGTAGGTCTTGATGTATTCGTTGGAGTAGATGGGTAGAGGGCAATATGGGTTAACAGTCACCAGAAACAGGCCCGAATATGTCTAGAGTCAACCCCTTAGCAAACGAGGTATCTCCTTAGCTTCTAGAGCGAGCTTACATATATCAAATCTGCCTGGTACCTCGTATGCAGGTTATGTACGACCGAGGCTTCGTTTAGGTGGGTAAGTTCGGCCATATCGTCGGCTTTGTCGAACTTTGCCGGATTGACCTTATCGACTTGGTCCGCATCGACTTCTCGTTGCTGCGAGCTGGTAAGCAATTTGCCCCGTGAATGGTAGATTCGCAGGTTCATACCTCGCCATCGTCGCTCTGCACTAACAATCGTCCATTGTCCCCCTCCTCCAAAACAAGACCTCGTATAAATGCTTTCTCGGGGTCACGCAGCCAGACGTATTTATTACCTGAGAAATCATTATCTCCTTCTAAGCCACGAATCTGATCAGCGCCTCGCCGAAGCTCTTCAGACTTGATAAACTCGGGTGCAAACGTGCCAGACGACGCATCATTCCTTAACGAGCTCGATCGCTGATGGTGTGAGTTTCGGGCAAGAACCGCTGGCGGCGACTGAGGTACAAAAGAGGAGTTCCGAAAATGCCCTTTAGCCTCTTCGAATTTACTTGACGTCGATGTCACAATCGCCGACTTCGGCCGGGGAGCTTTGGTTTGAGGACCGGGGGAGGGGGAGGGAGATGGCGATGCACGACTGAAGGGATTGGCCCGCTTAGGCGAGCCATTTAGCTGAGATGGGAGCATATTGTAATGCAATCAACGGGTCATCATTCATTCAAAGGTGGGCGTAGGGGCGTATCTGGACGGTGACACAGTCATAGGTAGGAGCTCAAACAATGGTGAGCACGGTCGGATCGGTCAATGTGGAGAACATGAACGTGCCGGTGATATGGAGGATACCGACGAAGATGATGAGTATATGTCAGATGTCAGAAGTTCGCGCCGACGGCGAGGTGCATGGAAGAATGCTGTCGGTTGTAGTGGAGAGCAGTATATACCGTGGGAACAACTCCGCTGTTTGTTTACCTTTTGCCCACAATAATGCTGCCGTTCCTCAGGCTGCGGACGCCGATCATGCTAGTCCCGATCTGGTCCCGCGCCTTGTCACGTGGGTTGACGCACGGACGGACCTCGAACTGCAGCAACTTTACATTTTTCCTCCCGCTGTTCGTCTACACGCGGCATATTCCCCATCTCTTCGCCGATGAGCATACCGACATCAACCCTTCACTTCATTTTTCTTATGTAGTTGTCTCTAGACTCTTCTCGCTTCGAACTTGTCTTTGTTGTCTCTCCCTAGGGCTTTTCTTTTCACTTATCCTTCCCAGTTTCGGACGATGCATGACGCATAATCGCATATTACGGACTTTGACGCGCTGCCCCGACTTTGCTTCATTTTTTATCGAATCAATACCATACAACTGAGGCTCTGAGACCCTCCTATCATCATGGCTCAGTATCCGCCAACACCGCCATCATTCGGGAGCCATCCGAGTAACGCCACGCAATGGCTTCCCTCGGGGGTCTCTCATAATACTCCTTTTCCTCAAGACCCGTCGCCTAATTATCAACAGCTGCCGAATGGGGCTACGGATTCATTTGAGTACAATAACAATGCATTCAACTTTAATGCGAATGCACGTATCCCGGGGTTAGGGGCCGCCGGATCATTACCACCACCGCCCTTCCCCTTCTTCTCGCCAGCGCAGTTTCCTCCAGTCCCTTTCCCGGGCGCCCAAATACCTCCACCGAATTATCCAACAATGCCTTTACCTCCGGCGACCATGTTCCCTCTATCTGGGCATACCCCTGCGACAGCGTTCCAGCAACGCAACCACATGGGTATCACTCACAACGCTCGACCCGAACCCTCGTCACGCATAGTCGACGATATGGATCGAGAGGAAGGCGAGCTCACTGATAAAGAAGGTGTAAATGTTCCGCTACAACGCGAACCAACTTCTGGGAGTCGTCAACTTCCGCTCAATGGTCTAGGCCAGAAATCCTCGGTTCCACATGTGAGATCCAGCCGGAAGTCCTCTGAACTAGAGGAAGGCGAGGCTTCTCCCGTCCGGTCAAGGTCTTCGTCCAGAGAAAGCGGCTCCCGTAAGTTCCCTGCCTTTGAATCTTCCTTTTCCCGCCAGATACTGATTTACTATAGCGTACAACCCACCTCTCTCGATCGATGTTGCCCCAGTTGCGTCTCCACATGGAACGGACCTTGAGAGCGGAGACTCGTCAAAGTCACGCCCTGATCACGTTTCAGAAAGTGCCGGCTCTGTGCCTACTCGGAAGGCAGATCAGGGAGTATCAAACGGCACGAAATCGCCTACGCAGCTCCGCGTCCAAGCCCAAGGCGCTCTGCTTAGTTTAGCGCCTCACAACATCCGTTACCATGAGCTAGTCGGGGAAGGGATTAATCCAGCGGTGCTTAAGCGCTTGTATGATGAGATTGGCATCAAGATCGCCTCTCCACAGCCGGATGCGTCAGCAGCGTCTGGATCAACTCATCTGCTTAACTCTACGACTGGCTCTGCTACTCCCATCGATGCCACGAAAGAAACGAAGCACTCGAGTGATGTCAATACACAGCCCGATGGGATGATCCTGAACGAAACACAATCACGATCTGCTCAGGATGAGCCAACTAAACCCATGGAAAGAAAAGAGGTCATCGCGCGCATGCTTGCAGCAAAGGCCGCAAAGTCAACAGTGGTACCCGGGGTATCGAATGCCGAAAGCGCGGTGCAGATGCCCGCTGAGCAACCAGCAACACCGGATTTGCAAAAAGGTGCCACGGCCAGTTCGAGCGAGGAATCTGCTAAGGAAAAGGAAACCCGTGTCAAGGAAAAGAACAGAGCCAAAACTGAACTAGCGCGGCAGCGAATTGAACAGCTTAGAAAGCAGGGTCTCATGAGGGCCCAGCAAAAGGCACAAACGGATCCCGTGGCCTCCGACAAAGCAGAATCAAGTGCTACGGCTACCGAGGCCTCAGCTATGGGTTCTGGAAGCGCAGTGGTCATTCAGCATCCATTACCGGAACGTCCCCCTGCGCCTGAAACCCAAGCCTCAGCCCGCATTCCTGGCTTGTTCATGATGGAGGCCGGGCAGCTCCCGTCTCAAGAATCCTTTGTCACACCTGTCCAGGGACTTGAGGTCGACTCAACTCCCCAACCAAGAGTTCATCAACGCAAGCGTCCTCGTGCATCGGATTTCGATGAACCTATCCCAATACCAAAGAGGTCATTAAGTAACGGTGCAAACTACGCTGCTGCTGAGGAAAGGCTTGTCATTGACATCAGTGATGACGAACTCTACGACGACGATAACGACAGCATGGACATTGACAATTCTCCGGAAAGCAATTCCCAAGATGCCGCATCATCACATGCAGAGAACTCCGTCAGGCCCTTCATCACGCCATATCCCCCTCAGAGATCGATGACATCCTCTACCCCTTTGTATTCTTCATCTGCAACGCCACATTATTCAAGGAATAATGACCCGGAGGACCTTCGGAGGAGGGACTTGGAGATCCAAGCAATGCACCGTAGGATTGCAGAGCTGGAGCAGAGGAAAAAGGCGAAACTGGCGGCTAGTCGTACTCAGTCACCTCGCGCGGCGGACTCGTCGGCATCAACACCCGGCACCACGTCCATGGATGTGGAAATTGCCGATGCTCCTAGCCTTCCGCAGACGTCAAATCCCATTCCATCGACCGCGTCTCCCAATCAGTCAGCCCGTCTCTCTTCATTGAAGCCCGATGAGCTTCAGAATATGAAGGCCAAACTGCTGCGGAAAGAGGAAATCGAATCCGGGATTCCCGCCCTAGATGCCGAGATACAGAAGTTTGAGTCAAAGTTAACCGAGCTCAAGGGCGAAGAAGGGCTTGTGCTACTCGAGATCTCCAAAGGCAAGGAAGGACGGCAACAGCTCTTGCAGGAACTTAACGATCTCAACCTCGAGCTCAACGGACTAACTCTGAAAGAGGTGGAAGAGGAATTACAAAAGGTGAAGGTCGATGGGCGGCCGCAAGTAACAGAAGAGGGTATGTTTGGACGAATCCCATCGATCATCGGCTTGAGTGTTCGACTTACGAATTTTCTACCATTAGTTCCTGTCGGTCAACAGGATATGTTACGTGTGCATGAAGGCCCAGAAATCCAGGAATCGGAACCCGATACAAGCACACAAGCCACGCTCGATGTCAAGCCACCATCTACGAATGCACCCGCTCCAACAGTATCGCCTAGTGCTGATAACGACGCGGATGGAGAGGCCGATTCATCAAGCGAAGTGTCAACAACTTCCTCCGAATCCGAAGGGTCGGCAATGGATGAGTCTAGCGATAGCGACAGCAGCAGCAATAGTGGAGACTCCGATTCCAGTTCCGACTCGGATGGTCCCGAAGAGGAACGTATTCCGTCTCCAAGGCCGTCAGCACTTGAAGGCTTGCATGAAAGCCAAGCGACTGCGCAGGCTCCATTGGACGAACCGGCTACGGAACACCCCCTGCCGGAACGCCCTCCCTTTACGGATATCGTCAATGAGGCCAATGTGGTCTCGAATAGTCATGAACACGATGTCGGAAAGACGCAAGATCAAACGGCAGCAGATGAGTCTTCAGATTCGGAGGCCTACGAACCTCCTGAACCGGAAGCAACTGCAAGTTCGGCAGATTCTGACTACACCCCGCCTTCCAATCCTCCTTCTCCAGGTCCAGTGGATGCCATGGATATATCCCAGTCTCCAACAGACCAGTCACAGAACGTTGGTGAGCTACTAACGGGAAAGGAGCAGGAAGGGGAGTCCAGAGATACTCCGCAGAATGGCCTTCTGGAAGTGCGATAATTCTTGCCTCCCATCCAGGATTCACCGCTGACGCAGGCTTAGAATCCGCCAGTGCAAGAGGGTTTGCAGCATAAGTTCTCGCCCTACGTCAGTCCTTTGAAGAACTTCAACGCCTACCGTTATCATCCGGATTACACCAGCGAGGTTACAGATGGCTACCGTTCATTGACTTACAGCCATAATATCGATGCCATGAAATACCTCTGTCCGTATGAATCAGCCGGAGGGGTCTGCAATGACAAATCCTGCGAATTTCAACACTTTCGTGACATGACTCTTAGTGGTGCGTCGACAACATGAAGTCAGAACTCCTTTCCATTCACCATATGAAGCCTGGTCACCCGTTCGGATATTCATTTTTGATGGTCGCCTTGCCTGTTGATACATATCTGTCTATCCCAACCAATGCCCCTGCCATCCCTCTCTTTGCCTCGCACCAATTTCCCAGCCTCTTTCTACGGTCGTCGTATTTGCGTTGTGCGGATGCTGACGGGCAGAGATATTAACCTGAACAGATGACAAAATCCTCGTTCAGATGGGATCCCTCCGGGAGGGGAGCACGCCGGAAGAAAAAGACCACTATGTCGCTGGCCTGAAAGAGATGGTCAACGATCTACGACGCGACAAGGTGAAAGACTTTAACACCGTGGCCGCGGAGATTGCCGCATACCGTAGACGCTACCTGCAGGACCCCTCACGCATCTTACCCTTGTAACCAGCTGAGTGACTGCCTGTCGGCTTCTTTTTGAAGGTGAGCTGTTCTACAGACCGACATGGACGGATCCTACCTTCTGGGGCACATGCGCGGGTGTGCACCTTGTTCCTCTCCGAACCGCGCCCTTCCTTCCATCTTTCTCTTGATACCCGCGACTCGTTCGCTGTTCTTGTGGGCGGAAGCTCTTGTTTCTTCTGTCCTTCACCCTGTTCCATTAGCACGCGCGACAAACAATTTCTCTTCACTTTTGGAAGAGAGGAAAAAGAGAGAAAAAAAAAAATCGATTGGGATCAGCGATCTCAATTGGGCCCTACTCGGTCACGACCATTCTAGCATTTCGATTGTTGTTGCTTGGTTTAGAAAGGAAGCGTGGAGTTCGGTGGGCACGATGACCTTTCGAACATATGGCGTAAGCGGATTACCCACGCCTCGACAGCAGCATCGACCATAGCATCACCCTAAACTAGGGATCATGGTTTTCTGTGCATGCAATTCAGTTCCCATGGCGGTTGTCCAGCGATGGTGTTACGAGGTGCCCTGTGCATTGGGCTTGGACCATAGGTACATAGCATAGTGACGTATTTAATCGTCTTTTCTTTTTTTGCTTTTTCCTCGAGAATAATAGGAGTGTAGGCGTCACTTAACATGATAGAATTGGAAGAATCACGAGACTTGCTCTAAGTCCATCCGCGAACGTGCCCAACTACATTGCGCTATCGAGACATCCCTCGATTCAATTGAGGCAGTGTAGCGGAAGTCGGTCTAGACCTGAGTCATCCTCAGGTATCTGCAGTCCATGAAGACCACTGAGTCACAGCGTTCCGGTGACCTCTTCTGACTCAGGCTGTACGGGTGCTTCGAGAATGAACCTGAAGTTATCTCGGTTATCTCCATGCGTGGCATGATGGAGCGGGTTTTCAGCTGAGGGCTGAGGGATGGGGCCGGCGGCTAATTTCTTGGTCCTCGTTTTGCTGCTGACTCTGAGAACAGGAAAGAGGGATAATAAGCAGTAGTTAGTTAGTTAGTTAATTACCTATATTTGTCTGAGGTAATCCGACCAAGCCTTTCGGGCCGTTGTTCATTTATCACGGTGGGTTGGTGGGGGTCGTTTGCATCAGCTGAGCTGAGTCTGATGCGAACACGGGATGCGGAAGATGTTCGAGAGGTACTTTTATTCTTCAGCGGAGGGTTCGTTCTTGATGTGTTTGTTGGGTTATGTTCAGAATATTGTACGTTCCGGTTGATCGGGTGGATATATATTTCCTACCAGTATCCTATTTAGTACTTCATGCCGAAGATATGTACTCTATATACATACACACTATCCCACATCATTATTAAAGAACAATATTGGTACTTTGTTAACAAGACACTACCCCCCACCCGTGCTTATCAATGAGATCATGCCAAGGTGCCAAACACCATGTGGCGGTTCATTTCCAGACCCTCGTCAGTCTCCCAGGGATGTGAGCCGTTCCACTGGGATGACAGGGACCGGCCGACGCGGTGCCTGTACCTGGTCGCGGCAACGTATTCCTTCAGGGTGGTTGCAGACACGATGAGATCATATCATGACATGCTGACGGACGGGTGGGGTATCAGCAACTCCGTCATGACAAACACCAATAAAGGGTTGCTGCAACACCGCCCTGTACGCCATCGTCGAGACAATGGAGGAAAGGGGCGGAGAAGACGCCTGTCCACCGGGCCCGACGGGGGGCCATTCCCTGGCGGAGACCGCCATTTGGACTAGGAGCGTAGGGCTCATGACATACAGAAGCCGGGGAAAAGGGCGGTGGGCACGCAAGCAAGCAGCAGCCAGAGCCTCCAGCTCGGACCCACCGCCCTGCATTGCATGCCTTGCCGCCTTTGCTCCTTTCGGGCGTAACGCGTCCATCCTACCAGGCTGGTGGTGTCTAGTAAGTATACTGTCGGGTTTTGTGGATCTACTTGTTGTTTCTGCTAATTATTGTTATAATTATTGCACGCGATTTACCCACGGTCGGGATGTCGTTCGGACGAACGCTGGGATTAGGGCTATTTTGGGATTCTTCTCCAAGGCGTCCCGCGTCCCACCCGGGTCTAGGCGAGTCAACCTTGGGGCGGGTTCTACATTGTTCGTCGCTTGGGGCCGGACTCGACTCCGGAAATAAACACGAACACACCGTTCAACCAGAGCTGAGTAAATTAATGCGTATCATCTAGAGAGGACAGAGTTGACAGTCTCTTGCAAGTAAGCCAGACAACCAAAAATGACCAGAACAGGCAAAAATAGAAAACAGCATTATGCCCCCACCGAGGGCTCTCTGACTGCAGGAGAGCAAAAGTCCGGCTCGTACTCTCCTGCAGCCTTGACAAAGACTGAAGACATGCTAACACAATAGGAAGAAGAAAAAAAAAAAAAAAGAAAAGTAATAATCCCAACATGATGATTCCGTCATACAGTCGATCATCGTCTATTTCGTCATGCATCACAAAAAAGAAACCCAGACTCCATGCGCGTAAATGATCCTGTGTCATGCCATGCTGCTAATGATAAAGATCGCTCCGAATGATTCTAGAAAGACAAAAAAGAATAGCGTGAAATGCGGTCGTAATTTTCGGTTCAGCGACGTCTAGCAGAGTTAGTCGCAGTCGAGGACGTATTGAGGAAGAAAAGTCCAACCTTGATGAGACGGCATCGCTGCTTCACTTCACATAGGTGCAGTTGGAGCAAGCTGAATGGTGGCAGTTGACGCACTGCGGCTGCACGTTGTATACTTTGGGGCCGTCATGGCACTGGCAGCAGATGTACATGTATGTCTGCGTGTAGATCTTGTTCGCTCGAATTTCCCGGCTGGGACGGCCGGCGAAGTAGTGGTCTGGTTCCGGTTCGTACGCCATGGAGGGTCTTCTGTTGTAGGAGAGATTGTCCATGGTGGATGTGACAGGGCTAAACTGGCAGGAGGCCTCGTAGGCGTGGTGGACGTGCATGCGAGCGGGAAGAGGCATTGTGTAGTGATGTTTATGAATGGTTTATGAATGTTTGATGGTGCGATAGTAGAAAGTAAAGCACAGGTTGTATGGATAGGCTCAGGACAGATAGATGGAGGAGACAGAGAGAGGAATCTGATTGTTGGATGGAGACGAACAACCTGAGGAAGGAGCATAGTGAGGTTATATAGACCTCGACCGACATGGTCGAGACGGCATGATTCACAACGGTCCAAGGCATCATTCCGCTGAAGGTGGCTTGTCACCAGGCAAAAACGCCCCTAGGCAGTCGAGTGCCCCATACTGGGGCTAATTTGCCCTATCTGGACTCGAGGAAAATGATCTCTGATTAGTATGAATGGGGCGGGATTAGCGTGAGCAGGAAGAAGATCACGGTGGCTTGGCGAGCCGGCATGATTTGCTTTTGCGCTGAGGAAGACCACCGTTGCATCTAGACCATGAGGATGGATGACGGCTCTGATTCATGGTGGAATCTGCGAGTTGGATGACCGCCAGAAATGTATGGCGGTTGAGTCAATCGCTAGGAATGGACGCGCGAAAAGGCGGACTTTGCATGGCTTGGAGGCCTGGTTTTGCCCTGTGAGCCCCTTGAGCCTCCGCCTTTAGTAATCTGATGTTTTACAGAAGGGAATTTATTTTACTTATTTTATTTGAAGACTTTCATTATGATGATTATTATTAATATGATTATTCTGGTTGATTCGATTTCTTATTATTCTGTAGTTTTGTTTTATTGTATTTGGATCTTTGTTTGCTGCATCTCGGTACTACAGTCTACTGTCAGTTAGTACCAGTATACACGGTATGACGAGCCTTGAGTCTAACTAGGCAGCGAGGCGCCCTTAACATTGCTGGGAGGTGGTGTAGACCGTCATTCTGGGGGAAATCGCCTAACAAACCGGCAAGAAAGCGTGGAGGAGAGTCGGTCAACGGGTCCGAGGGGGTGGTGCCCGGGTCCAAGTCAGTCAGGATCGGCTCCACTCCACCCAGGCATCTTCCCTGCGGCTGCCTTGGCCCATGACATTCTGTACTTTTGCTTTATTGTTTGATGGTGGTGATGATTATTATGATTATTATTCTCGTTCAATATTCAATATCATTTAGTTAGCATCTTTATTTTCTTTATAATACTTCAGTGTTGCGTTTGATTTCCATTAGTCATGCTCTTCTAATCCAGTCTGCCATGCTCTCCCATCCAGAATCGCATCAGCGCGCCGTAGTACTAGCACGACGTACTCCGTAGGTCCTACTTCGCATAGGACTCGCCTACTCCTTTTCTTCCTCTGTCCTTTCCGTATACCGATGAGTCTAGCACATGCGAATTGCCCGGGAGACCCATCGGTCAACAATCGCCCGCTGCGGTTGGTCCTCGCATGCCCGCAACAAGGCTGGATCATCATGTCTTGAAACATGTCGTGACTGCATTCCACTCTGAGCCCGCAGATGATGCTTCGGCCCTCGTATACAATTTCCATCTGCATCGGCGACCCCGATCCTGAGGTTACAGGCAGAAATGTTGATTCCTTATTCCTGGAGACATGAGATTGTCACCAGACTCGCAGTCCGAGCGAAGGAAGAGACTATAGTGCGTTAGTACATTAGTACCTGTCTAAGGCGAGCCCGATGCGCTTCGTAGTTAGAAATGGGCTTTATTGGACACGCTCAACCGTGTTCTCCCGACAGGTCATGAGAAGACGTTGGAGTCATCAACTTCAGCCCGACATTGGAAGGGAACAGTGGATGGAAACGATCTAGATCTAATCATATCTCTTGTCGATCGCGGGTTGCCGGCCATCACGTGCATGCACATGACGACGTCATCCCCGACCCATCTTTGTTTCCATCTCCGCTCTAGCCTCTTCCTCCGTCCGGCCTCATCGCCTCTCTGTCAAACCTCAAGGGGCGTCGGCCCGTCATACCATCTTCTTTGTGGTCCCTGTATATACTATCATTGCTTAGATGAACATGGATGGCCTTACTCTGACCTACCCCTGAACCTCAACCGCGCTCTTCCACCCGACGGAGACGCTCGCAACATCTCCCGCGCCTATCTGACACCGAACTCCGATGGCTCGTCCAGACCGACGTGTCAACTTGGCCGTCGCGCGAGTGATTCCTCCGGTCCTTCTGGGTATCGTTGCCTACGCCTGTTATGTCGTCACCAAACCCCTCTGTAGTGAGTGTCCCTGTATTCCATTTTGACCGGAACAACCCGTCTGACGTATTCCTTCAGTCGACTACCTAATTCATCCTCTCCCGAAATATAGTCATAATCCTCGAGTGGGCGCTGGCGCAGCCATTATTGTCGTCTATTATGTTTTACTAATACCCGTCCTCGCCACCTATCTACGCTTGCTGTACAATGTGGTCTGGAATCCCGGCTTTCTACCTCGGAGTTCCCTGGCCCAAGGGAAAAAAGACACCGACCCCTCAAGCCACCATCGTCATTCAGGTCGTCATCGAAGGAAGAGAAGTCGCCGGAGAAGCCACACACATCACGTTGAAAAGTCCGATGGCCAACAGGATGGCAAAGCGGACGTGGACGTTGAGAGAGGCCCCGATTACCATGCTGCCGGTGCCGCGTTCCCGCTAGATTCGGCCGGACTAGAGAGCTTCTACACCAAAGATGTCTTTGTCTGTCAACCGGACGGCAGGCCTTTGTACTGCTCCACCTGCTGTCAATACAAGACAGACCGAGCGCATCACTGTCGTGAAGTGGATCGGTGTGTGCGCAAGATGGACCACTTTTGTCCCTGGTATGTCGACTTGGAATAACATCAAAGCGCACGGCAGTCACTAACGCTGACAGGGTTGGGGGTGTTGTTTCGGAGACGTCTCTCAAATTCTTCATCCAGTTCGTTTTCTACACTACAATATTTTGCGCGTTTGCGCTCATTGTCTGTGCCATCTTCACCGCTGAGCTGAAGCGAGAGGTAAGGATATTGGCGTCTTTAATTAGGTGTATGCTGATTCATCATGGTAGATGGGCACTGCAAACGTCCACTGGGCTGTTGGTATTGGACTGTAGGTCCTCTGAGTCTTCGCGGTTAGCACAATCTAACATTCTACAGAAGCGGACTTTTTGGATTATTTACCTTTGGGATGACATTGAGCTCCGTCCAACTAGCAATGTACAATGTCACCACAATCGAGAACCTCAATCGCCGGTCAGTGGTGTGGACACTCGCCATTCGCGTCCCCCAGCACCTCCTCGCCAAGCTCACCCCGAACTCCCAATGGGCCCCGACCTTCCGCACGATCACCTATCCTCTCCCGCCCATGCCTCCAAATTTCGAGGCTATGACGGGAACGGGACACCAGCAACAGGTCCCGCCACCGGGCGAGCAGCACGTCTTCGCCATCCTGCAGACCTTACCTGGCGAAAACCCTTTCGACTTGGGCAGTCCTTTAAAGAACCTCCAGCAAGTGATGGGCTACTCCCTTCTGGACTGGATTTTGCCTCTCAAACACAGCCCCTGCGCCGACCACAGCAACATGGAAAGCGCCTTTGCCATGGGGCCGGTTGTGTCGCGCTTGAAGCAGGAGGCTGGTCTAGAGGCCCGACTAGACGAGACTTCTACGGCAGAGCAGCCCCCGTCGCACAAGCGCAAGCGGAGACGTAAGCGGAGACAGCCTCAAGTTTGATGATCCATTTTGGGAATTCTCATAGACTTTATTGATTTTGCATTGAGCGGGCTATCCTTCATTCTGGCTAGGCATAATACTATCATAATCGCCCATTCCAACCCAACAGTATATGGCGCATGATCTAGCAACGGGTGTTTCTCCCTGTGTTCTGCGCCCGATAAGGCCCAGCCGCATGGTAAGATGGCAAATCTATTCTAAGCGTTGGACCATCCACGAAACTGTATACTTGAACCCACTCACAATCACAAGAATCAGCTTGTAGCCGTCGCAAAAACAACCAAGTATGCACTACGCCCAACGTGGGTCGCAGCCGGCCGGCACTAGCACAAAGGCTGCACTAGCGCGGCGTTGGATACGAACACTGCCCGCAAGGCTCGGAGCCTCAGGCTGGTTGGGGTGGGACTGCGGATGCGGCTGAAGGAAGTGAGAATGTATAAAGAGGATGGATGTATCCTGCTCATGGGAGATAGAAGATATGAGAGTTCTCGTGAGGTTTAATAATAATGTGATTCATTGAATGAATGAAAGACATCCTGCGAAATAACTGCCTCGATCCCAATAACCAACCCGCATACGCTCCCGTCTACCCCGAACACCGAAGCTAAACGCATACCAGTCCAACAGCAAAGAATGAAAGCATAGCCGAACATCACAATGCACCAAGATAAATCAAGAGAGACATAAGGAAAAGCAAATGGACCGCGGCGGTCAAGAGGGTCAACAAGGACCACAGTGATCAGGGATGGTCAAGACGACCAAGAGGGGTGAGAGATGACCAAGAAGGTCAAGTGGAGGAGGCCTTCGGGTACAAGGAGCTGCTCTCCGCAGTGGTGCAGTTATAGCACTTATTGTGATTGCAGACCGGGCATGTGGTTAGGTTCCAGGCTGGGTTGACCAGGTTGTCGCAATTACAGCACTTCCACCATCCGTCCATGGTCAGGACCATCGGAACGGCGACGAACTGGCCGGCGGGTGCCTTTGGAGACATGATTGCGTTGGTGGGGTGGTTCGAGGTTGAGGGGAGAGTATGGAGATGGACAAATATTCGAGGAAGAGCCTGGTAAGAGAGCCCTGAGCGCAGAGATGTGTGCGGAGTGGAGAGGTTCAAACAGACGAGTAACTTGAAGCTAGGAGTGTCCTGGTCTTTCGCGCTTGTGCTTGTCAATGAGGTGGATGATGAATTCTGAGTGTGCAGTCCAATGTCCCTCTCTATATATACAGTGAAAATGAAATATATTCAGGTTATTATTTCCGGGCGAACCCAAGGCAAAGAAGAACCAGCATCTTCGATTTCCAGCGGTCAGTGATGCAAACCAATAGACAAAGAGAAAGGTTCGAGAAACAGAGGCGAATGTGGCTCAGTGATTCTGTGCCTGAACAGCGAAACAATGCCCGCCCAGTCCGGAATGCCTCAGGGCTTGCAGCCACGGGATCGGCGAACTGAGGCGGCCCTGCCGATGTTCACGGGAAGACAAAGGCGGATTTGCGGACAGCCATGACGATGTCTGCCTGGGGGCGTTGTGTATACCCAGAACACGACCGGACCGAGACATGGAAGCATACTTTCGAGGGACCGAAGGATTCACCCAAGGGCATCACGCCGGGCGTGATAACCCATGATTGTGGCTGAGGGGTCTGGATAATGCATGGACAGGTGAACGCAACGCAGATGGTGATTTTTGCTGCGTATCTACCTTCGGGTGCTGCAGAATCTGGACGAAATCCTCCCGGGGAATGCGAGGTTCATTAGGATTTGGTCCGCAGCAGTAGATGTAGAGAGAAGACCGCGAGAAGAAGCTGAATGACTAAGATCATCTTCGGGGACGATCCCAACTCGGAGGGGACTGCACTGCACACGGTAGAGCGAGACGGGCGAGGAAGAGGCGAAAGGCAGACTAGGGCTAGTACCCAGCCAGGGATAATCACGCATCTCGCATCATACAAGAATCCGTCCTGAAGCATCGTTTCGAGTGTCGGGTTAGGACGTTTCATGCACCGTCTTTTCTGCGTCAAACTGACGATGGAGGCCTAGTTTGGCGTCGGTGTAACCCGCCCGACGGCGGAATGAGGTTCCATCTCATGGGCAAGATGGGGCCCCTCGGGAATGGGGGCGATCGTTTGTCACTGCCACTGCGACAGAAGGCGGATGGGAGAGAAAATGCCGCACTTTGCATGGCCCGAGTTGAAGGTGAAGCGACTAGTGGATACGAAGCCAACAGCTTCATGGTCCTTTTTGCGATGTGGTGGTTTCAAGGACGGCGATTCCCGACAGAATCCCTCTGTGTCCCACCAGGGCAGCGGGAGAGGAGGGGGTTGCCTCCTCCTCTCCGCCTGACACCCAGGCGACGGGCAAAGGCGGGCACCCTGGTTTGCCTTGGGACGCGAGACCGAAGAATGGAGCGGTCTTTGTAGCGGTGAGCCCAAGCGTAGTGAGAGTGCAGAGGAAAATGAAGGAGGCGGTGTTGAGAGGAGGACAGGGAGGCCATAACAAGGTACTTTTGGTTCTGACGGTTGAGATAGGAGTGCTTCGTAACAGCATCCATCCGTGTCGCCGAGACCAGATCGACGTTGCATGCATGTATGCAGGTCATTAGAATGGATTCGTTTTCTTTGTTTTATTTGATTTCTTTCTAGAAATTCGAAGACTCCACTGGGGACCGTTTGGAGTTCCTTAATTTCGGCGGGAGAATCCACCAGCCGAGAGGCTCCCAATCAGTGATGTCATGCGATCTCCTCGGGACGGATCATGACGCTGATTCTTCCATCTGGGGCTTCGGGCGTAGAGATAGTCGCCACGATTGGACGGGGAAGGGCAGCTGGTCATACCATGGCCCGAGTGAAGCGGACGTCCGAAGAGAGATGGAGAGAAAGAGGAGAGAAGTGGGGAAGATCGTCAGCACGAATGAGCAGAACACCCGAAGGACGAAGGAATAGTTACTCGGTATCTAACTAGTTGGGTATGAATGTCAGGTGGTGACATGGGGCTGATCCGAGTGGTGGTGCGTCACCCTTTTGGGGCGATTGAGTTCACCATTTGATTCTACAGAGTACCTCCCAGGGCGTGGTGGTATACTCTACCATTGTTTGGTACTCAGTACCGATGGGGCGCCATCTGATCACGGATCCATGGATCCCCTTGCACAGGATCTATAACAAGATCATAATAATCATAACAATCATAACAATACTCCTACAGAAGTATAGTACAGTGTATATTGGTCTAGTATTGGAGGATGCAGGACTCCACTGCACAAGACTCCATATATCCCTAGGCATTAATCTCTTTAATTAATGTTTTGTCAGCTCGCTGTCGTCACAGCTCTGCAACATCTTCGTTTCTTCATCCCAAATCCCATCCCAATACTACCCAATATCCTCATCTCATTGATTTCATTACCATTCTCCGACACTCCTGGATCCACCGGTCGACTCCCACTAATCTCGTCGCCCCGCGGCCACTTTTTTTCTGCTCTTCCGCCACCACTGGTCTCACTCGGCTCTAATTATAAACCTCCCGAAGAATCCCCATTTCTGCTCAATCCCACAATTGGCATCAATCTTCTATCCTGGTGATCATTTTTGCCTCTCGCCCTCCCGACTGGATCGGTGGTTTTCTTCGCCTTTCTGCCCTTTCTGGCCCGGTGCCCGAACCTTCTGTCCCACCCGTTTCCTCCTTCTCTTCTCTCTCCTCCCTCCTCTCCTCTCTTCTCTTCTCCCTCACCAACCTCATCCTTCTCCCAACTCCCCTTCTTACGCCCTCAATCTCATCCCTCTGCTTCTTTGTTTGAATACTCTTCCTCGACCTCCAGTCGGGTTCGAAATGAATCCCGCGGCGCGTCCCCGTCCCATGTCACCTACCACCTCGCACACAATGGACCCCATGCGCGCCTCCACCGGGACGGTGCAGCTCAGTTCCTCCTACGACCCCTCCGCCTCCGGTCGATACTCGGCCTACCCCTCCGATCGACCGTATATCTCCTCCTATGACCCACGCTACCTGCGCGATCCCAGGTTGGAAGCTCAGCCCATCTCCTCCACCACCTACCGAGACCCTGGCCACGGCGCCAAACTGCGAACCGAGTACGCCATTCGCCCAAGGACGCGGAGTAGCACTATGTCCGTCGTCTCAGACAACCACCTGAATGCCAGTCAATACAACAAACCCGTGTCCCGACCTCCTCCCATCATCACCTCCGGCAACCACCGCCCCATGAGCCCCCTCCCGGGCCAGGACCCTTATCTGGTCCCAGCCGCGTCGCCTCGGCACCCGCGCGACTCCAACTACGATTATGCCAGTGACACAGGGCGACTGGATCCCCGGGAGCGCGCACGGCGTGCCCACATGGCCTATAGCGCGTACCGGCGGTACCAACCGAACCATGGCCCCTGGCGGTATCCCCCCGCGGAAGGTCTTCGAAAGGGCGAAGACCTGGACAAGTACGACGTCTACTCCTATACCAACCCCAATGAGCTTTTCGAAAACGAATCGGTCGCGCGCCTGCGCTATGAACAGGGTCGCTACCGCAGGGAACGGCCCTTGAGTTTGAACGGGATCGACGATAGCCAATTGATGTTGAAGAAGGAACCCAGATCTATGGGTCCCCCGCCGTCGCAAAGAGGGTTTGACAAACTAAGCCATGCCGCGCGCCCACGACGCTCGACCCAAGGCTCGACGGATAGTGACTACGGCGCGGCCAGTGGTCCACGGCGCTCCTGGCACCAGGCCCCGGTTTCCCTGCACCAGGATCCCGACGAAGGCTATTCATCTTACCGGGAAGGTTACGAGGGCGGTCGCCATCGCCATCGCCGCCATAAGCGGCGCGACGATGATGTGAGCAGTCGTCATTCCTACGACGATCGCGCATCGCTGAAGCTCCGGGAGCCCGTGGCCTCCGGCGCGCTTGTCGCCGCTGCGCCGGCGGAAGAACATGACAGTGATTTCCACCGTCGATCCCGCGCCTTAGAGCCGCGGGAACGGGAACGAAGCGGTCGCTCTCGGAGAAGGGTCTCCCGACGACGGAAGGAGGATGATTCCGATGGGTACACGTCCGACGAGGACCTGAAGAATTACCGTCGGGAACCGTCTGCGCGGCGTAAACTCACGGAATCCGACGCCTCCAACAGCAGCAGCGAGCGCTCCTCTCCGTACCTGACCGTTGAGCGACCGCGTCGCCGGCGATCTCACTCGCGCCCCCGGCCGCGGGACCTGTCGCCAGGGAAGTCGACGAGCCCGAAGGACATCCCAGGTCGTCCGGATAGTGTCAAGAAGCCGGACTCGGCGTCCCCGGACGCACCCCCCAAGGGGATCCTGAAGCCGCCGCGGGACAAATTCCCGGAGGAGCCCAACCCCATCCGCGAGGGCGTCGCGCCGTTGAAAGACGCGCATAAGAAGGGAATCCCACCCGGCGCGAGATGGACCAAGATCGACCGACGCCTTGTCAACCCCGCCGCGCTGGAGGCTGGTAAGGAGCGATTTGAAGAACGGCCCGACTGTGTGATCGTCTTGCGCGTGCTCACGAAAGAGGAAATCCAAGCGTATGCGTTGAAGACGCAGGAGATTCGAGGTATGATGTGACGCTTGTTTATGACACCGCGCTCTGCAACTGACACAAGGCAGACTCCCGTTATCACGAGTATGTACGCGAACGGCGACGACGTCGCGAGGAGGATCGTCGCCGGGGTCGCCCGACGGCGGACTCTTCCAGTGACGATGAGGACGAGAACGATGATTCTCTGGCAAGTGAGGGCTCTGCGGAGTCAAAGCTCAATCTTAAGGGCGGCCAGGGTGCGGAGTCTGGGAAGGCAGCTTAGAACTCTGGATGTCGATTAAACTCTTGGTGTTGGTTGTTTCGATATGTTACATAGATTTCATATGTTATGTAGTGTTAGATGGCTCTATGCAATTAAGATATGATGATGATACGATAATCGAGGACTGGACTGTAGTGTAAGTGTTTGTGGTCTCGACGATATATATCCACACCCATACTAGGTATGCCCATGTTACTACAACCCCCTTCTCCGAGACCACGGACAATATCAACATATTGAACCGGACATGGGGGTATAGTGAAGTAGTTTTATGTTTCACATCTTACCAGAACTACATTTAAAGATGCTCTCAAATAAACTGTGCACGTACGTATGTCCACTACATCTCACCGGACCAACGGCGTCGACCCAACGACAGATAGACATGTAGACCATATCTACTTACCAAACACGCCCGGTGAGTCTGAAGGGACAACCGCAAACAAAACATATCATCTGGCACGCTCAATTTGGCAGCAGCATTATCCCCGTCCTGCGCGCAATCCAGCGAGCCAATAAGCCCCGCGCTGACCAGATAATCCCCGTGAACAACTACTGCAATCAGTATAAGCTGTTCTGCGAGGGAGCACCAGCAGCAGCAGAAGAAGCAACGAGACGAGAAAAGTCAACAGTCTCCTGACACTTCGCCAGAACGGCGGTTACACTGTGCGACGTCTGTGGCCGTCAGAGTGGCTGATATAATACGAAGCCGGGCATCGCATTGGCTATTATTCATTCACTGAATGAAGCGCAAGTCTGCACTACATACGCATTGAGCCAGAGGACCAGATCAGCGGCATGGTTGTCATCGCTCTGTGCGACCTGGACCCGGATTGGGTATACTTGCCTGCAGACAAGTCTCCGGATGGTGATTCGGTTCTTTGGTTCCTGTCTGTCCATGTTATACAGCGTGCGTCTATCTCTGTCTCTCTCTCGAGAACGGAGGGCAGGGCCACGCTTTTCCTGTCGTTAGGATCGACCACTATCCTATCTACTGCGTATCTGAGAGCCGATGTCAGCGACAGGGGTCAGCGGATGACTATGTCTCCATCGTCGGCACGTCGTAAGGCAGCAGGGAATCGACGGGAAGGCATGGGTTCCTTGATCCTTCAAGACACGGGGTTTTTCTTCCCTCAATTATTATTATTTTTTTTTTTAAAAAAAAAATTGAGTATTGCCACCTGTCCAGAAGATGATCACGGTATGACGACGGGAACAATGGGAGTAGATTGCACCCTCGTATACGGAGCACGGGAGTGCATTCTTCCAGAGTCGACTCCCCTTTACCCTATTTTGCCTATTAGCCACGGCCTCGCACCCGTCACGGTACGGAAGACGGAGGGACGGGGACTCATCACGACAGTACCGAGTAGAGTAGGCCAGTATGATGCTCTTCGCAACCGCCGAACAAACCCAGATGGGCAACCCGCCATGCCCATCAGCGCCAGAACGAACAACATGTCAAACTTAAACCGCTCCCGACGTCCTCGTTCCAAGACCCGCTAGCCTAGCGCTGCCGGGATGACGACTAATGGGGGCCCAATCGTCGGCCGAGGGGCTGGGGAGAGGAGTGTTGGATCGGTTTGCTGGAGGAAGGTTAGGGGTGATCCTTCGGGACTTCGGCGGGATTTTTCTTTTTCTTCTTTGGTCATGGTGAATTTACGGAGGAGGCCATCAGGGCACAATGAAGGGCTAACAGTGTGAACGGACATGACAGGCTGAACCGGATAATGAGGATGTTTGTCCTGGTTCCTCTAGTCGCTGTGGGTGGCAGATCCGGGAGAAAAGGAGGGATGAGAGGCGTTGAAGCTAACGCTTCTGCGTCTTGATGGACATGGACAGGGAAAAACTGTCCGGCAAGCTTTTCCACTGCTCACATTGTCTGACATGTCGGTGAATATTAGACTTTCTGATGCGGTGCCTCGTTGCTTTTTTCCTTCATCAACGGTGAGTACGGAGGAAGGACGTGCTAACCTCGGGACTGCTCCTGCGCGAGGGCTGCGCTGCGGACCTAGGTAAGCGTTCAAGTGCCGTGTGCAGAAGCATGCCTAGGTACCCAGCCTGGCATCTAGTCGAGACTGCAACCGATCGCAGCACGGTACCGGAAAGGAGAGCCCTCGGATGTCCACATCGCCCACTAGATACTAGAGGAGCGATAATCACCCGTCGTTAGTGTGCGCCGGCACCAGTGGCTCCTCTTTCTGCGAGTTCACTGCGCCATCGGTCAGAAAGACCTGTCTGGATCTGACTCTCTCTCTGGTCTGATTTCGAGGATGAATCCGTCGTAGGAATAATAGCCGTGCTAAGACGTCTCTCGACTAACGGTGCAGCGACCACACCCACCCACGACGAGTCAGTTTGATTAGGACCGACAGCCACTATGTATGTTCTGGGCCATTCAGGTGCGGTGATATCTGCAGGTTGTGCGGCACCAGTCGGAGGAAGTTGCGTCGCGGGCCTCCGCAACAATGCATTCTTATCCTGTCTGGACTCGGAATGTTTCTGATCGGTCTGTCTGTCTCTGACAGAGGTACCTACGTACGGAGTCCATCGTACGTGCCCCGAGTAGTCCCCCTACAGAATCGATCCTGTTCTCCGTCGGCGTCGGATGGTGGGGCCGCGGAGCCGGTTGGCTTTAGTGTCTACGGAGTACGGAGTACAGAGTAGGGCCAGGCCAGAACCAGAACCAGAACCAGATCACATGCTATCCGGCCCATAACTATCAGACATTAATAATAATGAGGTGGTAGTAGTCACGTCTTCACGCCTCCAGGCGTTACGTATGCTTTGTCTTCTAGACTAGGAGACAGCTCCGACCTCATTGGCAGCCCGGGGTACATTCGGAGTATTCCGTACAGCCAAGAGCCTAGGAATCCGGATATCCGTCGAGTCCTGGCGCGAATCCTTCCTTACGATCATAGTGCCAACCCAATATGGCCAGGCCAGCTGGGGGGGTGCGTTGCCCGGATAGCCCCTCCTAAACCCGACCCGGTAAGCGGCTCTTTGGTCCGTGTTCCATACTGGGATGGATCGGCTGGTCACTGGTGCGGAGACAACACCCCTCTTTGTGTTTGGCGATGGTCTGGAGTTTGTTGATGGAAAGTATGGAGTATAGTCGTAGGAGTTCTTGCACGGCCATGGTTCATTGAGGATAGTCCAACTTCAAACTTCCGCTAGGAATACGCGAGATTGAGTGCACGGTGGAAAGTCTCTTCTCAACTTTACTCCGTAGAACCGAGTTGGCACCGATCAGGTCTGGATCCATGGGACCAGAGACCAGATTTGAAATCAGAGACATGGAGAGAGGTCGACGCCGTTATCCCACGATGGGACGGCCAGAGCGTGGTTCTCCTGCCAAGACCCGCCAAGCCGATCAAGATTTCGCCCTCTTCCACACGGAGATTATCCACTCATAAACGCTCGACGGATGTACTGTATGTATGTACTAACTATACCTACTCCGTAGGTACGAGAGGGGGTTGGTGTGATGACCCACCGGACAAGTGAGTAGTAGTATTACTGTGATTATTCTTAGTACCAGTACTCCGTAGTACTAGTATGGATATTATTATTATTCTTCTAACCGTGCAGCGATCTTTTCCTCTCCGGCTGTTCTCGACCACCCTCGCCGATTGGGCCCTCCAGCTAGCGCCCCTTAGGCCCCCGACGCAACCCAAACAGAGCGCATTGCGCTGATGATGTTATTCTGACTCCGGGCGACGGTGGAGTCGGCGGGGCATGGCTTCTGCTGTTCAGCTGGTCGGTCATCTTGTCCGGATTGTTTGCTCGGAGACGATGGGAGGGCAATCATCTGCCGAGATGAGGACTCGACAGTCATGCGAGCATGACGGATTCGTGACATCAAATGGATACTGTTCTTGTTTCTACCGGTAGGTGTGCAGGTTATACAGAGTACTATACTTGATGGAGTGGTGCAACGATCCACTCGATCGTACTGTATCATATTTAAATGCTCCTCATGTTATGTATCCATCCCGGACGATGCAGAACCAGCAACAACGTGCCGGATGATCATTCCACCGCCCTTCCAGAGCCACTCATCGACCAACAACACGCCGTCCAACCGGCGCGATGTGCATGACATCCCCAGCCGCCGATCACCCCCCTAATCCATGCTAGCTGGTCTCCCCCCGGGAGGATGCGCACAAAGACAAAGAAATCTCTGTCCTCAGCTTCTCGGTTCGTGGGGATTTGCCAATCCTTTCCGATTGTATTCACGGAGTATATCCGTCAATACTCCGGTCCTGATGCTCGAGGCAACTGAATTAATCCATCAAAGATAGTTTGACGAAATCCGAACCAACCTCTACCTACATAGTATCGTACTTCGTAGGTATCCATACGGAGTAGACGGACGGAGACTAGACGGCATTATGGAGACGTATGTACAGGTACTAATCAAAAGGCCCCATCGGAGGATCCCTCCGTTGGATAGCACCATCGCGCCCCATACCAAGTCTTGTCCCCGTCCGATCCGGAGAGGGGAAATCGAGCCCACCAGGCTAACTAACTAGTTAACTAGCAGTCAGTCCGCCGGACATAGTAACAGGTGGTCCCCTCGAGATCCGCCCAGGGGTGGTGTCCGTCGGACTCGGGATCAGTGCCCCCCGTGGTTCGTTCTTGGGCGATGGCTCCGCTCGAGTTCCTGGCCTATCGATCGTCGTGTTTGGCCGGAGCGTTATTTGTCTTTTGGTTGTCATTGTGATTTTCACAGAATAATAATAATAATCATCGTAAACGAATATTATTTAATTTTGTACTATTAATAATAGAATAAACCCAGAAAAAAAAACCTTATCTGTCTGTCACATTCTCTGTGCAACGGTTCGTATCGCCCCCAGGTAACATGGCCACTGTGCATCCATCCTACAGTAGGTAGGTACCTAGGTAGCTCCATCATACCCACTGAATCACTGATCCAGCAATGTACCTGCTGTAGCCGCCGCGCTCCCCCTGTTGGCAACCTAATCGACACGCATGATCCTTTCCGCGCACGGCCTTCCGACGCGATCTTGACGTAGTAGCCAGCCAGCCAACGGACATGACGAGATAGAACCGTCCACGACGCCGTAGATCAGTACCCCATGGGATCAGGGTTCTCCCTCTCTTCCGCCGACCAACCTGTTAGGGCCGGTATCCACGGCGTAAGGTCTGGTTACAGGTGGTCGTCTCGGTGTATTATCGCTCGTCCTATGATCTCTGGCTCTGAGATCCTTCTGGAAATGCCGTTGGACATTAGGAGAATTCTGGCTAATCAGGTAGGCACATCCGTTGGATCTGGACGGGAGGATTCGTCAAAATTAGAGATTCCAAGCTGAAAAAGAAAACAAGAAAAAGCAAAAATAAAACAAAACAAAAAGAAAAGAAAAGGAAAGGACAGCCCGGTGAATGGCAAGCGACCGGGGCCAGGAAATTACTTCTGGCGGGTGAGAGCATCCTCAGCACCCTGCATCAGATCATAACAAACCGCCCGTGCCAATGACAGGAATGGCGAAAAACCGGCACCGTTGCTTGCGTTCAGCCCAAGAGACTAACTACATCCCCCCCACCGACCCGGACGGGCCTAAAGGCAGCTAAGATGGTGAGCATGCCATACACATGGCCTCCCTGCCATCGCGACTGGCCGGTGCGGTGACAGGCGCCCCCGACTAGTATCCAGGTACTAACTACAGTACTACTTCGTACGAGGTCGCTAACCGGGGGCGAATGTGCTGAAACGGGAGCTCCGATTACGACGACTGCGCTCGCTAGCCTTGTTGGGTAAGGCGCCAGCCTCTCCAGCTTGTCTTGTTGAGACTTGCATGATGACGAGAATTATCATCATGCTTTGGTACTCGGTCTCATGGTAGTCTTGTGGTAGTGGTTTGATGCAGCTGTCGCGGTGTCTCGCGTGCGCATGTTGCTTGTGCTCGGGGGTTTCTTTCCTGTTCTTGGAGAGGTGACGTTTCCAGGAGCTGCACACGGCGCATCGTAAGGCGTAGAGTACATCAGAATATTTCTTTTTATTTTTCGACGACTGACAGACACGGAGAAATACCCTGTGGACTCGAGGCGGCAGCAGCCGCCCCCAAACCGCCGCCAAACCACCGAACAATGCAGGATAAACAATCAGGACGGCGGTGATCTTAGGTGCAAATCAGAGACAGTTTCACATGGGAAAGGACGCACGAGCAAGCATCAAACCACCCCAACAATCACAACAATAAAAATAAAATAAAATAAAATAAAAAGTCTCGGTAATAATAATAATGGGGCCGAATAAATGCCTCTGTTACAATGTGGCTGATTGACCTTATCACCATCGAGTTTGTCTCGGGAAGGCTGGAAGCGTCGGCTTGATCGAGTCCCAGCGCGCCAAGAGCCGCTAACCGGTGGGGCCCAAAGTCTACCTAACATCGGTGGAACAAGCCACCGAGCTCTGACAGGCTGCCACTGCTTAACGACCTGTTGGCCCTCCAGTGGCTACGGTGGCTACGGACTCCGGCAGCCTAACTAGTCGCATCGTGCGAGCGGAGGGTCTGCTCTCGATCGTCGGCCGGGACTTCTACATTCATCCCGTTCGTGGTGATGCCGCCGCGGTGTGCAGCTCGACGACCGAGAGTCGGGAAGTAGCAGCAGAGGAGGTCTGGAGGTTATTGCAATATCTGGCTCTCGTTGACCGTTACGGCGAACGAGGTTACACAGGGAAAATGAGGACGCTCCTCGGCATCATCATGACTGCGGTGATGTTCAGCGTGAGGTCTGGAGGCGAATCATCCGGCCGCCCTTAGTCTGTTTCGAGTTGATTCACACGGGCCGAGGAGGGGAGGGTGGAGGGGGGTGGAGGCGCATCGCCCAGCCATGCGATGACCTTTGGCAACGAGTTGGGTGGGATTTTGGCGTGGATGGGGGCAAGATTCTCTGGTGATGACGATGCGGATGATAATCACCCGCATGGTCATTAGATGCCATTAGATTAATAGTGGTGCTATTATTATGGTTAGTAGCAGTCCTCCGTATGTACAGTAGTGCTGTAGTCTGGTTTCCACCTCCTCCGAGCGCTCGATGGCGGTGGGTTGGCGTGTGGCGCCGGTGGACAGAGTGGGAACAAGGCTGACGGCAGCAAGTTAGATCGGTTCTTTTCATACCGGAGTGTAACCAGATCGAGTCGTGTATTACCGATGTCGAGCGTTCAAGCACAACGAGCACTCCAAGCACTCCTCCTAGCACTCGAGAAACGGGGACTGATAGGAGGAGAATGCGAGTCTGTAGTCGAACATATCAGAAAGGCAACTATTTGAACTCCAATTCCAAGTGTCAACGAACAGCCACACAGTGTCCGTAACAACTCGTCTCGATGGCTTCGAGCATCACCATCTCGGGTCGGGTAGTGCCTGGACGATCCTAACGAGACAGGTCCATGCACCCCAAGTGGAGAGGTGATGGCGATGGCGTTTTACCCCCTCTTTCGAAAATGAAAATGATTGTCTCTGGCTTCTGTAATTAGCATCATCTGTACGGTACGGAGTAGACTCGCAGCTCTTCAGTTCATGGGCCAAAGTGGATCGGAATGGACCACAACGGATAGGACATGGGCCGGCAGGCAGGCGTGGTACCTGACGGCCGACATTACTACTGCGAGATCCTCGACGGAACATGGGCGTTACGGAGTACGTCGGAAATTCTGAAGGGAACGACCCAGTCCCACGATGAACCGACTAAGGACTGTTGCTCCCGGCGCCAATCTTCGTTGGGGACTAGCCTTCCAGACCATCCAAACCTAAAGGAGATTGGCAGTGGGGATCGGACTTTACTGATACCAATGGGGGGTTTTGCTGGCTGTCGCTCCGTTTCTTTCCCAGCGGGAATTTTCCAGATAGACTCGGATGGAAGAATCAACAAGCTCTAGCGTCGTTCATGACTATCATCCACCACGCGCATTGACTGAATACGTTTTAGTCAGGTTGTGCTTGATCATGATTGTGCCCAACTCCCCCGTCGACAGCCTATGAGCATCTACCTCGAGGGACGTACTCCGAAGTACGCTACCAGACCCGAGTAGAGGCAGGTCAATCCGGGAGAGAATCAGAGCAGGTTTAGTCCTCCCTAGCTGCATAGTCTCTGACAGAGCTCATCTTACAGGGGACAATGATAGTTGAAAAGGCCGGATAGTGGTTGGCTGTGGATCCCACCAGAGAGTACATACATATTTCGTACAGTCCACTGCCTAAAGAGGCACGAACTACTACTACGCCTTGCCAGGATGGTTGATAGAGGAGAATATCATCTATAAGACGAAATACTTCTTGAACGCACGCCCTCGAGTTCTCTCTTTTCTTGTCTCTGTCTCCATATCAAGTCCTTCTGGGATCTCCTCGATTCGACCGTTTGGGACTTTCTTTTTCCTCCCCTCCCTGTCACCGTTGTCACGTCACTGGCGGGCCACTCCGATTCTTTGTCTGGAGTCTTTGTGTCCCCCTCCATCCGGTTTTGTGAGATTTGCCTGGTTTCCTTGGATCATTTGGAACCGAAACCCCAATCGTGCTCAAAGAGACACGGGAGCAAAATAAAATATTGAAAAATTTGTCACGGTGGTGGTGTGTGGTTCGAGATACACGACACGACACCTCCAGTTCGTCCTATCTATCAATTGCATATTGCACATCCTCACGATCCGCACAGCCGCTGCAGTTGATCTGGGTTGACCCTGGAGACCCCCCAAATTCCCTGAGGTTCGTGTGAGATTTCTCTTTCTCCCCCCCCTTTTTTTTATTATTCTTTTTGTCTTTTCCACGCACCGTCGATGCATGCTGCAAATCATCCTCCGCCAGCGGACGTCTAGTCTAATCTATCCTGGCGGGTGGCATCGCTCGGCTACAGGGTAGTTAGTCTAGAAGAGAGGCTGTCTGGTCGAGTCCCCAGGCAGCTAGGACTAGCGCTACTCGTTGCTGTCACATTCGCGTCTTTTTCCTCCTGCATCCTGCACCCATCCTAGTCAATATTACACCACCTTCCCGCTAGTTACAAGCTCTTTCTGGTCTCCCCACCATTCCGAGCGTCTCTCCGCTCAACGTCTAGGGATTTCTTTTATGGTCTTTTTTTATTCTTTTTTTATTTTCTTCTACTTTCTATTATTTTATTTTATTTTATTCTATTCTATTCTATTTTATTTATTCTTCTTCTATTTTCCTGCTCTGATTTATTTTATCTCTCTGATTTATTCCGATCTTTTGACAAATTCCTTTCTTCATTTTTCCCTTTCATTTCTCCATTGGATGACTATATTTCATCTTCTTATTACTGTGCTCTCTCGCGTTTCTTCTTCGCCCCCCTCTCCATTGCCTCACGATGGGTCTCCCGTGCAGCTAAATAACGACCCTGGACCCTCCACATTACACCGTTCACAAGGCCCATCTTCAAAAGAGACCCAAACTCCTGCCCCCTCCCCTTCTCCTCCTTCTCCTCCACCCTGGTCTAGGGCCCCCATCCACGGAGCCACTGCCGTTATCTTTCAGCCTCTCGTCCCAAGCTTCTCAGCCCTTTTGTTTTCTGTCGAGTCGCCATATTTCCTCCCCCCGCATCCCAGTCCTCGCTGTCGTCCCCTTCAGGCCCTATCCTTCCTCCTCCCGCCATTCATATTGGACAGTTCTTAACCGTCGTGCTTCTCGGCCTCAGGTGGGGAACATCCTGTCCTGGCTGTAGGGTCCAGATCGGCAGTCTCTCGTAGACTTCTGGAGGTCAGTCATGACTGGCATGGTTCAGACTGACCTTGCTCATCCAACCGCGCCCAAATACAAAGACGAACCTGTCGAAGATCCGGTGAGTCTGTCTTTTCTTCTGTTCGCGACCTCTTCCATGAATTGCATTGTCCAAGGACAACCCTGCTGCTGTATAATGTCGAGGGGACACCTGTCCGCGTTGTGTCGCACTCGGTCTTCGCTGGCTGCCTGAGTGTGCGCGATGGGTTTTGAATGGGAGTCTGAGTCTGTGTTTGGATCAGAACCACTTGCGCTTTGATGTATGGCCTCAATGTCTTCTGTCTGGCGGCTCCTCTCCTAGTCCGCCGGCAAGTCTTGCGCATCACCAGTGGTGCGCTCGAACTCTAGCCATATGGGACTACACCGCTGTTCTTCACACATGTGGCTACCGTCCGAGTCGCAGACCGTTGAGACGGTCCATGCGCTGTCATATATTGCTCTGCATGCCTCCTCATGCAAGGAGCTTGATATCCTGGAGCTGTCGTCGATTGTGCGCAGCTATGACCCTCACTGCCTCACCAGGTGCCTCACGGTTCAAGGCATTGGGTCGCGTGCACGGTGTCATGACGCTGAGTGTTGGGACCTGACGTTGTTTTCTCCTACTCTCGCAATTCACATCTTGTTTTCGGATAGCGTGCGTGACTACTACTAACTATGTTGACATGTCAGTTGCGACATTCTATATCCAACCATCCACCCCCGCACCTTCAACACCCTAGAACGCTTCTTCAGCAACAGAAACAGCCCGAATCGCCTCATCAACCCAACACCACCATCCCCACTGCATCATACACTCCTCACGCATTACCAAACGGCCTTCTCCACAGTCAACATTCGTACGGTCAGACTACTCAAGACCAGCCCTATTACACGACGCACACTTCATATACCACCGCCACCACCCCAAGTCAATACCCTTCAAGTGGTACGTCTCTTTCCGGTCCTTTTAACCTATTCCCTTGCGGAAGTTTCAATGACCACATCCAAAACCAACTCTGACGTCCTCCAGGTCCCCAGGAAATGATGGCGACCACTCAAATGCAGAGGCCATATCCGCCTATCTACCACACTCCGCAGTCCAACTCGCCTGCGTCGGTAGCCTCGCAGAGTCATGAGCAGCACAGTCGCAATCTGTACACCCAGTCGCCCCAAATGACGCAGCAAATGTACGGATATCAGCCATACCCCGCAATGAACCCGGTGCAACCGTCTCCCTACGCTTCGCAGACCTCGCCTTCACAGCATCCCCTTACGACACAGTCGATCATGATGCCGCATCAGACCAGCACGGCCCAATTGCCCCATCAGCCACATTCATCCACCACGATCCCCAGTCCGAGCACTGCGACAGCACAGCAGCCGACTCCTCCCCAAAGAACCGTCTTGAACCCTCCGCTCCCAGCAACGACCGGAGCCCCTCTGTCCTCTGGTAGTGTGCATCATTCGAATTCGTCCAGCTCGAGTGCCGCACCAGGCCCTATCCCAGCTACGACGCCGCTGGTGGTCCGACAGGACAGCAATGGTGTCCAATGGATTGCGTTCGAATATTCGCGAGACCGCGTGAAGATGGAGTATACCATCCGGTGCGACGTGGAGTCCGTGAACGTGGACAATCTCAGCCAAGAGTTCAAGACGGAGAATTGCGTGTACCCTCGAGCGTGCTGCAGCAAGGACCAATACCGGGGCAACCGGCTGGTCTACGAGACTGAATGCAATGCCGTGGGTTGGGCGCTGGCAGAGCTGAACCCCTCGCTGCGCGGAAAGCGTGGTTTGATCCAGCGCGCTGTCGACAGCTGGAGGAACAGTAACCAAGACCCCCGACTCCGAAGCCGACGCGTACGGCGCATGGCGAAGATCAACCGTCGCCAGACCATGCCCCCGCAGCCCCCGCCGCATATGGCTACTGCCGCCCCTGTTGCGCCAGGCGTCGCGAGCGCTACCATGGCCGCCCCTGGCCCTCGTCCTGGATTGGGTCCTCTCAGCATGGGCCCCCCGCAACTGCATCACCATCATGCTCAGCCCGAAGGAAGTGCGAGTAACGAGGAAGTTAGCGGTATGTTCCACCACGTATGATGTGTCGTTTTTGTTATTCGCAATCAAGGTGGTATGGCCTTGTGTCAGTCCTTTGTATGATTCGTCTTGTTATGCCCTCGCATGGAAGGATGCCTCAGGTGCGCGAGGAGTATCTTTCTATCATTGATGATTGTACACCTATGTATTTCTATTTGATGCTTGGGGGATGACGGGTTTTCTTCTTCTACTACTTCTTCTCAGTTTCCCCTTTTGGCCACACCGTTACCTTCACCCATACCCTGATGTGTTTTCTTTACTTCGACGCTCGACGTTATACCCTCTTGCTGCTGGAATGGTTACTTTACGTGCACTTCTGTAGGCTAATTTATATTCCTGTCCCTCTGTCCATAATATAGGTCCTGCAGACTTCGGGCATACTACCACTCGCCCTCCTGTCTCCGAAGCTCACCCACCCTCAGCTCACTCACCAACCGACATTCGCACCGCGCAGGTGTTCCATGGCTACCCTGCATATCCTCCGCCTGCGAACACGGCGGCCGGCGCCCGCGGCCCTTCCATCCCTCCTCTGATCCGCGACAGCGGCATCGCAAGCTTAGGGCGACACCAAACCGTGGCCACCTCCACCAGCAAGCTGGACGAGATGGACACCGACGAGGTCGACGACGAAGAACGCAATCCGTCAACCGACGCGCTCTTCGGCACGTTCCCCGAGGGTAAACGCCGCAAGTTCATCCTCGTCGACGACACCCAGCGCAACTGTCGCGTCCGCGTCAAGGTCATGCTCGACCAGGTCGACATGAACGAGATCCCCGACTCCTACCGCAAGGCCAACTCCGTCTACCCCCGGACGTACTTCCCTGTGCAGATGAAGAACCCTCCGGGTCCTGTCGTGCCCGGCAAGCGGTACATCCGCGACGACACCGAGACTGACGATGGCGACGCGACCATCGGGCGGATCCTCGTCCCGGCGCCCCAGATGGACGGCGACAATGAGGCCACCGTCCCGCGGCTATCCCGGGCCCGTCGCCGCAAGGACGTCTTGCTGAACGACTTGGGCTGTCGGATGAGTTGGAGCCAGAGCCGTGTCTTTTCAGGCCGGATGCTCTTTTTGCAGCGATCATGTAAGTGCCGTCCCATGCTTCTATTTCCGACATGCATTCCTCCGCCCCCTTGCTTCCCTTGGCGCCCCCTTCATCCCTTGCTTGTGACGTCTGCGGATCGGGCAATCAGCCCCGTGGCACGTCGATAACGTCGATCAGCCCTAGTTCCACGCGGCCATCACTAGGAATGCTCTGCTCCCTGCTCACCGCTAACGCCTTTTTCTCCTTTAGTGGACGCATACCGGAACAAAATGCGCAGCACCATGCTGGCCGCGGGCCAGGAACCATCGTCCATCCCTGAGCATTTTGAAACCCGCGCAGGCAAGCGGAAATTCCTCGAGCGTCGCCGAGGAGCTGGTGCCCCGGGTCGCGGTGCGCATGTCTCTGCTTCCCGCCGCAGCGCGGAAGAGGTGGAGGCATAATTTCTTTTCTAGTGTCTATTTTTTTATTTTCTTATTTTTTCTTCTTTTCTTTTCCCCTTCTCTACTTCTTCCTTTCGTGTTCTACATCTTCCACCCTCGGTCGCATGCGAGACCCCGCAGGCACCTGGATCACGGAGACCGCTGTGTAAAGTACATAGAAACAAAAGCCGGGACTTGTTCGAGTATCGGAGACACAGGCGGTTGGGGTTTAGGAGAGTCGGTGTTGAAGGTGGATTTATGATGGATTTGATTTGGGCTTTGATGATTGGGGTGTTTTCTTATGGCGATGATTACGGCAGTTATGGGCAGAATGAGGAACGAATCACGATGGAATTGCTTTTGTGGGTTTGATAATGACTGATGTATGTATGGGTGTATGATGGAGTTGAATCTATTTATATTTGTCTGTCTGCGTATGTGGGTCTGCTGGAATGGGGGATACAGTCGTGACTGTCAACATAAGCTGTTGGTTTCCTTACCTATAATTATATTGTCAGTGAGATCCGCATGCGACACGGCTGTTTCAGAACAATCAAGGTCAAAGGAATCTGCCGGTCAGCACTAGCCATCGCGAGTGAGACATGGCAATGTAATAATATCAAAGACACTCCGAAAACGCTACTCCGTAGACGAGGCTGGTAAAACAAGCTTCAACCGATCATGGGACGCTGACGTAGGCCTGATCTGACAGATCCGAGCGCGGGAATACCGATACCGAGTGCAGAGCGATCGATGAAGAGTCCAGACAGGCAACGGTGGGGAGGTTTTAAATCATACGACGAAGGCGAGTGCTACTTTGGCCGCGGGTTGCGGGTTGTTCTATCCGCATCCAGAGCGTTGCGGTTGCAAGAAGAAATCGGGAAGAATGTTGGCCCTGCCAGGGTTCAAGGGTCCGATCTTGTCATTGGAGAAGGGTCTGCCTGCGCCCCACGGACCACGCGGGGGAAGCCAATGGTGTTGTGCGTTGGTGCGGGACTTGCCCTGAACAGGTTTAAGGTGGTGGGGGAGATATTTTTAGGGCCTCCGCTAACCGAAAGTCACCTAGGGACGCCTCTTAGGTAACTTACCCTGGCAAGTCAGTGCTCTCTACTACTAACTGAACATGGATCTCATGTGGTTGTCGGGGACACAGCCGCCACCAGGTTCATTTACTTCCTCTACGGATGCAGTCAAGCTTCCATCGCCAATTCGTCCCGCTTATCTTTTCCTCCTTCCTCCTCGGCTCCTTTGTCTCTTTTCTCTGTTTTTCCTCCTAGTCTCTCTCCCTTGTGCTGCTCGTGTTCTCGTTTTCCCTCCTCACTTCGCTTCCACCATACATACATACAAACATACATACGGCGACCGTTGAAGGTGTTTCGGTGTGGCCTTCCGTACATATACATCCTCCCGCTGCCACCACGGCATGCTCCTGCTGTAACTTCCGCATCCCATCGTCCCTGAATGCTTTCCACGGTTCTCGCCGTTTGACTGGGTCGGTTCGACATCGGCGATCCGTGGTTCGAGACCGGTGATTTATCGTCTCTGTTTCAGAAGCCACCTCATTCCCCTCGCATTAATTAATTCCTGCCGTCGACATCGCTCCTTGCCGGCTCTCGACGCTACCACGCCATCGCACAATCTCTTCCCTCCTCTTCCCCTTTCCTCTCGTGACGAGACCTGACGGGGACGACGCTGCTCGAACCGAATCCTTTGGAGAGTTGAATAACTCCATCGACGCACAATCCCCATGTCCGGCGACCCCCGGTCATTCAGCTTCAACCAAGGCGATGATCATCCGATAGACTCTTCTCAACAACCACTTCATCCTACAAACACCATGGCCGATTCTTACAGCGACCGCAACTGGGGCGCCCCCGGTGGTTTGGATCATACTCACTCCATGCGTACGCAGTCCACGGCAACCCCGGGGATGGATAACCTGGGCCCTGCCGCGGTAGGCGGCGGCATCAGCGGGATCGCCCTGGGGGTAGCCAATTCTCATGACCGTCAGAGCGGAGTTGACGCTTTCAGGGACACAGACGGAGGCAATTTCCCCGCCGAACGAGGCTACAACGCCCCCGGCTCCGACAACCCCTACGTGCCGCCGCCGCCCGCCGCCGCCTACGATAGCTCCGACAATCTGACCGCACGCAGCGGCGCCTACGGCTCCAGCGCCGCTCTCGCTGCCGCCGCGTCCGCCCCCGCCGGCGCCTCCAACACCTCCCGCCGCAGCTTCGTCGATAGCCCGTACCAGGGTGTCGGGGCTCTCGATGCCGGTCCCTACCAGCGCCAGTCCGTCTACAACAACGGGGACTACCCGTTGGTCATCAATCCCGACGAGATTATCGACGACGGAGACGACGGCTTCGCTCTTCCGAATTCGAAATCAGCGGGACACAAGTCGCGTGCCGTGCCCGCGGCTGCCGCTGGAGCGGCCGGAGGTGCGGCTGCTGGCGGCCTCCTGGGAGGTATCTTCAAATCTAAGGCCGCCGCGGAGGGTCCGTCGTACGGTCCCGTTCCCGGGGCGGGCATCGAGGCGGCGGAGAAGGGACAGTGGGCCAAGCCCAAGCCCGGTACAGGGAGTCGGAAACGCGGGTGGATCGTGGGTATCATCCTGGCCGTTGTGATCGTGGGTGCGATTGTTGGCGGCGCGGTGGGCGGGACGCTGGGCAATCGCGAGAAAGAGAGTCCCAGTTCGTCGGAGACAGCCTCTGGCGATGAGAAGGTGAACGGCGATCTGGGTAAAGACTCGGACGAGATCAAGTCGCTCATGAACAACCCGAACTTGCACAAGGTCTTCCCCGGCATGGACTATACTCCGTGGGGTACGCAGTATCCGCTCTGCCAGAAGTATCCCCCGTCTCAGAACAACGTCACCCGCGACATCGCGGTGCTGTCACAATTGACCAACACTGTCCGGCTCTACGGTACCGACTGCAACCAGACCGAGATGGTTCTGCATGCGATTGACCGTCTGGAGCTGACGGAGATGAAACTCTGGCTGGGTGTGTGGATCGACACAAACAAGACCACCTGCGAACGACAGTTGAATCAGCTGTACGACGTTCTCGACAAGACCAAGGACCACTCCATCTTCAAGGGCGCCATTATCGGAAATGAGGCTCTCTACCGCGCAGGTTCCAGCATCGCCGAAGCAGAAAAGACATTGATCAGTTATATGACGGAGGTGCGCGACCATTTCAAGAAGAACAACATTAACATCCCGATCGCCACGTCGGATCTCGGCGACAACTGGAACGCAGAGCTCGTCAAGGCCTCGGATGTGGTCATGGCCAATGTCCATCCGTTCTTCGCGGGTGTAAGCGTGGACCTCGCTGCTAGCTGGACCTGGGACTTCTGGAACAACCATAACCTAGTGCTCACCAAGGGCACGGACAAGAAGCAGATCATCTCGGAGGTCGGCTGGCCCAGCGGAGGAGGTAATGACTGTGGCGATGGAGGCAATTGCCCGAACGATTCGGCGGGCTCTGTGGCCGGCATTGATGAGATGAACCAGTTCATGTCCGACTGGGTGTGTCAAGCATTGGACAACGGCACGGATTATTTCTGGTATGTCATGTTATTGTCTGCGTTTCTTCGCGACTTGCTAACCGTGATTCAGGTTCGAGGCATTCGATGAGCCATGGAAGATCGTCTACAATACCAAAAACGAGAACTGGGAAGATAAATGGGGTCTGATGGACCCGGCGCGCAACCTGAAAGACGGCCTGAAGATTCCCGACTGTGGCGGGAAGACTGCGACATAATCGACTCGTCCGGTCGTCTTTCACGTTCTATTCTTATGATCCTTCTTCCTATACACAGTCACTCTTCGTTTCTGTCTTTCTCTCCCCTTGATGACCACCGATTGGGATTCCCAATCTCCCTAGCATGTTTGTCTGATGAAGAGCGTCTATGTGAATGGTTTGTCCTTAGGGTTGGCATGTGGTGTTTGACGTTCTTGCTTGGATTGTATTTTAATGGCTTGACTTTCGATGTTTGTTTTGCATGGGTGTTGCACTGTTCGTTTCCCTCCTTCCTGATCACTGCACATTCATCTGCGCGTCTGGGTTTATGGTGCGTTTGGTTGTATATATGGGTTTAGCGATGTCGCTTGTTGATTCGAGAATATACGACTTCACGGTGTTATCGTCTGTATCGAAGGCCATCATCATTAATCGTAGACTGGACCGTTGATCCTCCGCAGATCACGTCTCCTCCGACGTCTCCGCAGGATAATACACCCTCATATCCCAGAACGCATGTTCCTGCTCCTCAAACCGGGGCAACCGCACCGACTGCCGCATCCGCGCAAATTGACCAATAACCTCCGACTCGGTATCCTCCAACGGCCCGCCAAAAAGCACCGGCGGGGTCCGGTCATCCGCGCGGAGCAGCTGCTCGAGATGCGCGCGCTCCGCGCCCGGACAGAAGAGGAGCGTGCGGGAGGAGATCTCATCAAAGGCGCGGGGGTGCTGGACAACGGTGACGCCGAGGGAGTCGAGGAGCGATTCATCGAGGGCATTGAAGACGGGGTCCTGCGCGTAGACGGGGGTAGGTGTGGAGGTGGAGGGGTGCGATGCGCCTGCTCTCGTTAGCCTCGCCCTTCACTTCCCCGCTCTCATTGGGACATATAAGGGTATGTAGGGGTGTACGCACGACATTCCTCGATGATGGTAACCAGCGCCGCAAGCTGGTACATGGACACACTGCGGCGATCGACCCATCCGCCGCGCAGGAAGCCGCTCGGACTGCCGAGCCCGATGCAGACGATGTTGAGGGGTGCGGAGCCGCTCGAGCTCGAGCCGAGGTTCCCCAGCACGCGGCGTAGAGTGTCGCGCACGACGCTCGCTGTCGTCGACGCGGTCCAGCGGCGCTGGTGGGCGGTGAATTGTGTCTGGAGGTCCGGCAGGGTGAGCGCGGCGGGCGCTTCGGCGGGGAGGATCTGGTCTGGGTTTGTGGTGCGGAGGACGCGGCGCGCGCGCGGACCGCCGGTTGTGACGTGCGTCCAGCCTGCGTCGTCGGTTACTTGGAGACGCTTTTGCGGGGGAGGGTGTTTTTTGCGGTGGGTGTGAGGCATTGTGGTGGGTGGTGGTTTGGAGGATGTGCGGAGAGAGGAGAAAAGTTGGTTGGAGTGTGGTGGGGGAGAGGGTTGATAAGATAACGAGGTGGATTGTATGGAGTACGGAGTACGCCTTGGTCATGGAGCTAGTTCTCTGGGTATAGGTTCAGATATGTTTCATTCTCAATGCATTCTCGTCAGTTGAGCTGCCAGGCATCGCTGTCGCTATGAGATTGTCGACCTGTTTCATGATGTCAAAAATTTCGCAAACTATCAACCGCATGGCAAAGTGGCCGAGTGGTTATGGCGCACGGTTCAGGTGTGTACTTTTCCTGTTTAGGATAGAGTGCTTCGTGTCCGTGTTTCGAAAGATACCTGGGTTCGAATCCCAGCTTTGTCAACATCTTTTTGTCTTTTGTCTAGGCATGTATGTACTCCAAAACAAATATACCAAGAGAGTGGGAACTACCAAGCTTTTTACGCCATATGTGTCCTGGGAATAGACACCTACTTACAAACAATTGGAGCACGCGTGGCTCGCGAACAGGTGTTCATACAACACTCTAGCTGCGCTACAGTTATGGCCGAGTACTCATAACCCACCCAGGCGAAGCAATCCTGGTCGGTGGACATACTGGTCTTCTTCCTACAAGACCTTCTGCGCCGACATAGACCGTATGTAGATAGGGCAGTGTCAGTAGCATCCCCCTATCTCTGAGTCCGAGGTCTGCGATTAGTCTCTAAGTGCGGTTCTCTACCTCGCTGTGCTCTACCTCGACCATGCCAAGCAGGACAAATCTCAGTGTGAGATTCCGCCAAAGCGCCACCATGATCGCCGCCTATCGTCTGTTGGGCACTCCATAACCAGATATGGATAATCTCCTATATAAGATCGACAACGGGGTGAGATCCTCTTCCACCGCTGACTGCCCTCGATGCCTCAACTCACAGGCCCTGTCGTTGGATAGATCCTGGCCCGACTTTGGACCACGTCGCCTGTTCGCTGGGCGCTGGCGGTCTTAGCTGGATAAAGAGGCAGGCTCCCACCAGGCTGAGCCTTTGAATCCAGCACCGAACCTCATCACTCCCCTGCTAAGCACGAGAGTCGTATACCCTTTTCCGCTCTACAGGACTATAAGCCTGCGAAGCGCAGATAGGAGACACTTCAATATGTCATTTCTAGGGACGCATTAGATAGCTGGCCTACCGGTCACCCAAGACAAGCATCTCTTGTTGAGTTGTAGACCAGTCAACCTGGTTTAACGGGTAGAAATGCCTGGGGTTGTAACTAGGCCAGATGCCCCGTCCACGCGTTCATGCGGATGGATGGGGTGCAGGGTTGAATAGAAGACGTCAGAGTGGTTTTCTTATCGAGATCAACAATATTGAGCGCTTCGACTGATTCATCTTGTTGACATTGTATACTGGGGTAGAGGAATACCCGCCATCTCCACTCCTGCAGAGGCCCCCGATAGGACAGAGCTAAGCGCCCCGAGTGTTAGTGTAACCGCGGCCCACCAGTCAGCATGCCAATCACCTGCTTGTGCTGGTGATGCCTCGTGCAGCGGGCGCTCTCATACACCCAATCACTCTGCTGAATCCCACCTTCAGTCTGCATCCTCCATCACATCCAATCGCCCCCCATGCAACCCGGGCTCCTGTTCTTCCCCTCTCGCCCCTCAAAAAGCCCGCGGCGCCCGTCTGCGTCCGGGAAGCTTGTTTCGACAGGATGATCCTGCCGCTTCAAGACCTCCTGTCGTTCAGTCGCAGACACTGCTGTGGTGGTCTGTTCGTGCTTTTCTCCCCTTGAGTCGGCTCACTTGTGTCGAACGTGAACATGATGCGGTCGTCTCTCCCACACTGGACGGTCTTTCTCGCCCTCCTGGGCCTGGGCCTGGTTCATGCGCACACCGTGATTGTCTACCCAGGCTATCGAGGCAACAACCTCCATACGAACGGCACTGTCGAGGCCGCAGATGGCTTGGGTGTCGCGGCCGACAGTAACGGGTCATACATCTATCCGTATGGCATGCAATGGGCCTATCCTTGTACGTTTCTTACTCTCCCCCGTTCCATGGAAAAACGAAGCTCACTGATTAGGCGGCGGTATGCCCACCTCGACAAATCGCACCAAATGGCCGGTCAACGGCGGCGCCGTCTCTCTCCAACCTGGCTGGTTCCAGGGTCACTCGACGGCCTTGATCTACATCAATCTGGGTCTGGGCACCGTGCCCCCCAACATGAGCCATCCCATGGTCTCCCCGTTCCAGATCACCGGCCCGACCAACAACCCCTACCCCGGGACGATCTGTATTCCCCAGGTCCCCTTGCCGGCCAATATTAGTGTCAAAGCGGGCGACCACGCCACCATCCAGGTGATCGAAACCGCGAAGCATGGGGCTGCATTGTACAACGTATGTCTGGCTCCGCTACGGACTGGAATTTGGCTAACGCAGGAATTACTAGTGCGTGGATATCGAGTTCGCGGAGCCCGAAGACGTCGCCGAGGTCACCCGTGACAACTGCTTCAACAGCAGCGACATCTCCTTCCAGTCGCTGTTTGCCACCACCTCGTTGCAGTCTGCGGCTCCCGCCTTCGACTCGTCGAGACGTCTGGCGTCCGCTCTGCTGCCGGCGGTGCTGATGGGGTGGTTGTTGATGTAGATGTAGTCGTGTCTGCTGGTTTATTTCATGATGCATCCATACATACCCTAATGGGCGACATTCCTCAGTCCGTCCTTGACTCATTTGGCGTTGGCGTAATCCACTTCATCTGACGCATAGTCTAATTCATCCAATTCTCTCAAGCCTTCAGCAAATATATTCCAACGTAACAAACACGTCCTCCCATACTCCCCACCTACAACCCACGCACCAGCTCCAAAATCACCTCCACCACCTCATCCGGACACTCCTGCGGCGCCCAATGTCCCACGCCATCCACCAACCGCATCGTCCGGAAGTCACTACACACCGTCCCATCCGCCATCTTCTGCAACGCCCCGGGCTCCTGGTAGATGCCCCAGTCCAGCTTCCCCGACACAAACGCACACGGCACCTCGATCTTCTTGCCCGCAAACACCTCAAAGTCCCGCGTATACCGGCCCCCCGCCGCCGTGCGCACCCGGTACCAGTTCAGCCCGCCCTGGAAGCCCGTGCGCGCATACTCGCCCACATACACCGCCAGCTCCTCATCCGACAGCCACGCATGCGACCGCCGCACCGCCTCCGCCGACTCCCCCGCCATATGCGCCGCCACCGCCTCGGGCATCGTCGCCGCCGCCGGCATCACGTAGTAGTACGGGAGCTGCGCCAGCTCCGCGGCCGACCACGCAGCCAGCGGGCGCGGCTTGTTGCCCGCCCACGCCCCGCTCTTGAGGTAGAAGTACCCGCGCAGGAACGTGTGCAGATCCGCAGCCGGCAGGTGCATGTCTGCGTTTGCGGACTCCGTCGAGTAGTACCATTTGTAGTGCTTGCGGCCGCGCGCCGCCAGCTCCGCGTGCACGTGGTCGCCCGCCGCGGACTCGGTGCCCCCATTCCCGGTGGCCGGGTCCGGGGTCTCCCCCGTAGGACGGTTGGCCGTGTTGAAGGGCACGGCGGGCGTGCCGTTGAACGGGTGGCTGAGAAGCACGAGGCTCTTGAAGAGATCCGGGCGCACTAGCGCGCACATGGCCGCCGTCACGGCGCCACAGTCGTGGCCGACCACGCACTGCACCGTGCGGTAGCCGAGCGCGTGTACGAGGAGCACCATGTCGCGGACGAAGGTGGTCAGCGAGAAGGTGGACAGGTCGACGGTGTCGAAGGGGCGCGTGTCCCATCCTGTGGTCTGGCCGAACCCGCGCTGGTCCGGGGCCACGACGTAGTAGCCTGCGTCGGCTAGCTGGGGGATCACTTTGCGCCAGGAGAAGGCGATCTCGGGGAAGCCGTGCAGCAGGAGCAGAAGTGGACGGGAGTTGTCCGGGGTGTGGCCGGCCTCGAGGATGTGGAAGGTGAGGGTGTTGGTGGGGATGAGACGGGAGCGATACATGATACTGTTGTGTAGGTATATTTACTTGGTAGGTTAGGTACTGTTGAATATAGGTGGAAGTTATACGAGTAAGTGTTGATGTAGATTCATGGAGTCGGGGTTATGTCCGATGAGTCGGGACAAAGTATACCCAGAACACCTCGGCAGATCTTTCCTCCCTCATACAACATGCTTCTCGTTTAACTCGTATTCGGTGATCTCATCTATATGGACTGGAATGATCTAAGTGAAAGTGCCGAAAGCTTCGCAAGATATCAGATTCAATCGACCATTTCCTAACAAGCGGTTTTTCTCGCTTCGGCCTGCGGCTTATGTTTACGGGCCAGTAAGTCATGCAATAAAGGCCTAGGAGGTAGCTCTTTCGGTATACTACCTGCCATACCGCCTGTTAGTCTAATTAATATATCTACTAAACTATCTACTTATCACTTACTTGACAATCTGCTTAACCACCTAGTAAACTACCTACTAAACTACAAGTAGACTATCTATTAAGTAAATAGTTAAATACGTAGCCTAGTAGGTGGTTTTATAGGCAGTTAGCAGTCTTGCAGGTAGTCTCGCAGGTGCTTTAGTAGGCAGTATAGTTTAATAGATAATTTAGCAGATAATTCAATTGAATAATAGGCGGTATGGAAGATAGTACGCCTATAGAGCTACTCCCTAGACCCATATTGCATACTAGCAATAAAACGATATAGATGTCTGAAAAACACACCCTCATCGTCTCGTACTCTGCCGTTCAACCTTCCCCATTGCTACCACAGCCTTCCACGCAGCCTCCCTCGCCTCTTCAGAGAGCGTTTCGGCCGTGTGCAGCACTTCGAAGCGGTTTTTCCAAAACGTCCATCGACCTAGGACATCTGCCGATCCAGTCCACAGGTCGCCGCCAGAATCCTGCTGCATTAAACTAGTCCCACCCGGACTCTGAATATGCTGCATGATTACCCTTCCCGCGGTGACCAAGTATTGTGACGCAGCGACTACATCAACGCCAACCAATACAGCGTTACTCGCGTCGACCCGCGTCTCGAGGGCATCTTTCGTCAGGACAAACACGACAGAGAGATCCGTCAGGATCGCGTCCCGGACACAGCCCGCACTGAAGGCATGGAAGTTGATCCACTGGCGCGCGCTCAGATCCGACGCATCCCGCAGTTTAGTATGTTCCGCCCATAGATCTAGCCGACATCAGTGACAGCCCACCAAAGCCCAGAAGGGGCCATACAGTCATGGAGGTCTCGCCAGGTGTACCCGAGCTCGTTTGCCAGAGCGTCGTCGGCGCCTACAGCCGCGGCTTGCGACGCAAGGAGCACCTTGATCAGTTCGAGGAGCGCATCGTGCGGGGCGGACTCCTCTTTCGCCAGCGAGAGCATTGCCGCCCAGAGCAGGTTGATGGCGGGAGGGGTCTGGTGCGGGGACTGCGGAGTCAGTTGATGGACAGCTTCGTCGAGCGCCACCGTCTCGTCCAGGTATGCACCTAGAGTGTCGAGGGTAGTATCGTCGAGGAGATGGTCTTGTTTGGCGCGGGCGATCCAGGTCCAGTGCGTAGCCATTTTGGTGTGCTGCGGGCGTTGCGGTTGTGTTTGGGATGGGATGGGATGTGATGGGCTGACGGCTGAGGGGTGGCTTTATGACAATCAGCTGGCGTTAGGCATCTGTGTGTCAGATGTTAAAATGCCTGTTAGGCTACCAAAAGTGCGAGTAATCTGGGTTTGTGTTCTGGGGTTGTTTCTTTGTTTGAGGAGCGGTTGGGCGGGGGTGGAGGTAAGCGTTATTGAAGCTTGTCATGGGATATTGGTGTTTGGCCTGCTGTGCGGCTGACGCGCAGCCCAACTATTTGATATGATGCATTGTGTAACAGGTCTAGTTGCTTGTATGTATGCCCTGGTTGGATGATCACTGTGTGATTCAGCCGCGTATGCTGTGATAGAATGAGCTGTGTAGTACAAGGTATCGGGTGACTTCGAGTCGATATGTACCTGTATAGTCCGGCAAGCAGTCTGGCATACAGTCTGGCATACAGCTTGGCATACAGTTTGGTATACAGTCTGGTATACAGTCTGGTATACAGTCTGGTATACAGTCTGGTATACAGTCTGGCTCGAGGATATAAGAATGACAGTCCTTCAGGTTGTTTCCGTTCTCTAGTATAGCTACCGGATCATATACATCTTGCACACTGACCACCCTCAATAGCTGCAACCTGCAACCACTATGAGAGCGTTCATCTTCCTGGCTATAGCAGCGGCATTGTCAGCTGTGGCTGAACCCATCCCAACTCAGGATGGTGTCGAAGCACTGGAGGGCTTCGACGCAAGCGCATTGAAAGACGTGCGATGTGGAAGTGAGTACGATCTTGAGGCGTTGTTGATACATACCTGAGGTAGACATAGGCAACTCTAACGCCATACAGAAACCACAATCAAAGCCAGGCAGATCTCCAAGACCTCCGATAAGACACTGGAGTATCTCCTGGACCCAAAAAAGAAACGTAAGGCAAATCATCACTTATGACAATGCCCAGATCCCTATCGAGAATTTATCTATGTATATGTCTTATAACAGAGCCTCAGGCTTCTGAGTTGTCTCTTTAGGCCTAGCGCCTGCCTGCTGCCTACCTGCCTACCTGCCTGCCTGCCTGTCTGCCTGTCTGCCTGCCTGCCTGTCTGCCCTAGAGAGGCCTTCAGGGCCTCACCCACAATCAACCACCTTCAATCCTCCTTGACCACTTCCCTTGACACCTTATATATGAGCCTCACCGCAATTTTAATAACATACTGCAGGCCCAAAGAACACCTCTGGCGTGGAATACCCTCACGAGTTTCGCAATGACCCAGACCATCTCCCCTTCCTGAACGGCTGCACCGACGATACGCCCCAGCATAAACCACAGGGCACGCTCTATGAGTTCCCCATTTTTGCCAATGGCATTTTCACTGGTGGCCAGCCGGGGCCGGACAGAATTGTCATCAAAAGAAAGGGAAAGAACAAGGCGGTCTATTGTGGACTGATGACCCATACGGTGAGTGATTCTTCGTAGGCTCTTATGGAATACTGACAGATTTATAGGGTGCGGTTGGGAATGGGTTTGTTCGTTGCTCTGGTTAAGATAGTGTGCTATGTATCTGTCAAGGGAAGTGATCAAGGAGGACTGGTGGGTTCGATTGTGGGTTGAGATCCTGAAGACCTCTCTAGGGCTTAGAGCTCTACAGGTAGATATCAGGGCAGGCAGGCAGGACTTAAGATACTGTCACAGTATCTTAAGGGAGGCTATCTTCAACAGATAGACCAAGGGGGTGTTACTGGAGATAGGAATGGACCTGTGTGTTTCCTTTTGTTGATACTTCATTATTGTCCTACTACTACTATACAAGCCGTATTCCCTCGCTTCGCTCGACGGCTTGCGTTTAGGGGACAAGTCATGCAATAAGGGACTAGGGGGTAGCTCGATAGGCATACTACCTGCCATACCGCCTATTATTCTGACCAAATTACCCACTGGACTACCTGCTGGACTACCTGCGAGACTGCTAAACTGCGTAGTAAGCTACCTATTTAACTATTTACCTAACAGATATTTACTAGGTAGTTTTGCAGTTTTAGTGGGTGGTTAAGCAGATGGTCAATAGGGTGATCAAGTAGATCAAGTAGTCAAATAGATAGTTCAGTAGGTGCAGTAGCGGAGATATACATAACTTATACTTCGGTCGTGTACATGCAGGCAGATGAATTACCCGAGGTGCATTTGACATTATTCTTATGCTTACTTATTCGTATTAAAATGCTTATTATTACTTATACCATCTGGCTACTAGACTACTTACCTACCTAATTTCTATCTATGTACTTCGTACAATACCCAGTCCGATCGGCCAGCTCCACATGACGCAAACTCCCGGTACTTCTTTTTCTCGTGTACTCCACATTCCACTCACTCTTCCTCTTCATTCTCCTCATCCTTTCTTCAAAACATCTCTTCCCTCCATCCCATCCCTCCTGCCTTCTCTCCATCGTGGCCTCCCATCTCCTAGTGTCGCCCTGACGGCGACCGGCCGCCATGTTTCGCCGACGCAGGAGCACTTCGCATCATCAAGTGAGTTGACCGGTCATATTTCTATCGTCACATCAAGCTAACCAATGCCTTCAATCGCGACGAAAAGCCCCTTTCCTCCTCCGCGACGCAATCTGCTCAGTCCGCTGCCTCCCATGCCTTTCTCAACTCCCAACCCTCCTCGTCGAGTCTCTCCTCCGCCGCTGCGGCTGCTGCCTTGCGCAGCCTGACCCCCACGCCGACCCCGATCGAAAATGTCCAGACCAAGCGCATGCTTCAGCGGCGGGCGTCCGTCATCTCCCAGTCTTCTGGTCTTGCCGGCGCCCTGCGTTCCTCCAGTCAGAATGGCCTCCGACGCGCTCGCAGCTCCAGTTCCATGAGCAACCGCACCTTCCGGGAGCAATCCCCCCATCGTCCCGTCTCCAGCACTGGCCCGGTGACGCATCCGCCGCTCCCGTCCATCCCTCCGATACATGGCTCGAATAACCTCCCCCGTCGGTCAGTCAGCGTCGGTCCGCCATCCACACGTTTCACATCGCCGGGGCGGCGACCGGCGTCATCGGGGGGAAGGGGAGTGGGTGTCGACCTGGATACTCGGTTGGCTACGGTGCCAGAGCTGCAGCGAGCGGGTAGTCGGAATTCCATCAACTTCTCTTATCCCATGAACTCGCGCCCGAATTCCCCTAACTGGGACGCGGATCGCCGCGATGCTTCGACGGGTGTCTCCTTGGCCGGCCAGCTGGCCTCCGCCGACGCTCCCCGTCGTCAAGAATCTGTTTCCTCCCAGCCGGCTAATACCTCTGTGCGCAGGAAGACGCGCGCACCTGTCGACCAGGGAAGCCCCGGACGTGCGATACTTCCCGTGGGCACCGCCATGGCGGCGGCCCAGGCGGCGATTGTGCCTCGAACTGAAGACTCGGTGCCGTCTTCGTCCCCATCCTCCTCCCCTCGTGCCGCTGTACGAGGGTGCCTCATGAGGGAGCCCGGGCCTTCCGCGGAATACAAGCATGGTCCTCGTTCAGGGCCAACAGACGAACCGGCTGAATCCGGTGTCCGCGAGAAGGAGGTTAACCCTGTTCGAAACGGGAGAGTGACGCCTGATGCTGCGCCGATATCGACGCCAACGCTGACTCCTGATCGTACGAGGGAAGCCCCATCCAGCTCTGTTGTGAGCTCGCCGGGGTCGCCGCCGTCGAACAATCTCAGTCCGGACATCAAGTCGTCCCCTCAGCGTCAGCCGAGTACTAGTCCTGGGAGATCCACTCGCTTTTCGTCCCACGTCGCGATCACAGGCCTTGCAAACGAACAATTACACCAACCGCCACCGCGGTCCGTGTCTCCCGCCAAGTCTGCGATGAAAAATTCGAGGAAGAGCTCGCTCTCTCCCAATGGGAGGACCGCGGCCACAACGGTACTGCGGCCGGGACCCCCACTCAGCGAGATCTCCGATGCCACTTCGGTGGGATCAGACGACGTCGGCAAATCGACCATCCGCCGGAGACCGGTCAAGGTTAGTTTCGACGATGAGGCGGAGGTGGTCGGAGTCGCAGCAAGTCCCCCGACATCCCCGGAGGATATCGCTCCTGAGCCGTCGCTTCTCGGAAAGCCCCGATCTCGGACGGGCTGGTTTGGTGTTGTGAAGCGGAAACCTGCTTCTTTCAAAGCGGACGAGCTGGATGAGGTGCTAACGCCCCGTCCAGCTCTGCCTTCATTTGGAAGCATCCGGGGTCGGAATGGACGGCCGCCGGACGTGTCTCAACACGATTTCAGTGACAACGAGTCTACAACTTCGTCTGAGTCCAGTCCACTGTCGTTCTCGAATGATCGCGTTATTGGCGGTATACTAGCGAATGCTCAATCGAGAGATGCTTCGTCGACCACGGGCCACACCACACCACCTGCAGCTGCAGCTCCAGCTGCGACGGAACGCGAAGCACATGTGGTTGACTCGAGGAACGGGATTCCTGCAGATGCAGGCATCGAAAATATCCGACGCGACCCCGGACCCCCACCAGATGTGCAGCAGACGAAGCAACCTCAGGATGCGGAACTGACAGTTCCCGGGATTGCGGTCCAGCCTGCGACTCCCGAGCTCGAGCTGGGTAGATCAAGTCTCGAATGCACTGTACCAGGCGGATTTCCGCGCTCATCGTCGGAGTTTTTCCATGGGCCTCGCAGACAGTCGGACGACAGCCAAAATCATATTGCGATTCAGCAAGATTCCACGCCTGCAGTTGATGGTACTGAAGCCGATGACGATTCTGGTGAGAGTATCTATAGTGATGCAGAGGAGGGCTATGATGAAAAAAGGTTCGGCTCGATAAATGCTATTGTCGATGGTCGCTCGACGGCAGGACCGCACAAGACCACAGCACAAGATGATTCCATCAACAGCAAACACGCCATTGAAGAAAAAGATAACTTGCCTAAAATCCCAGAAGCAAGCCAAATGGCTCCGCCAATGTCTCCTCGACATGATGTTGTTACAGACATCATCGAATCTCCACCGCAACCACTTCCGTTTCCGGCGACCAACCAACCCCCTTCGGCCCTTCGACCCTCTGCCAGGACAACCTCCACGGGGCAAATTCCACGTTCATCGACCGTTACGAACCTGGCCCGGCGTTCTGTCTCGGTGGATACCTACGAAGGCCCTACAACAGCCGATGCAACCTCCTTCGCTGCCACTGATCTCGTGCAACCCGACTTTACGCACAGGACGTCCTTTTTGCGACAGAAACAGGGCAAAGAACAGGCGAAAAAAAGACCACTTTCGTTGGGCCCTACTCTCTTGAAAGGTGGAAAAGTCAGTCCGGAACCAAGTCTCAACGGAAAGACATCCCACTTTCTTCAGCGGCGCTCGTCCAACGGAAGTGACTCCTCCAGCAGCTTCAAGCGATCGCATCGTCCACGCGCAGAATCTCAGCATACCATGCGTCGCACCCTTCGCGCTGCCCCGCCTAGCGCCCCGGCTCAAGCAAACAGCTTGAAGCACGCACCATCTGCAAGCCGGCCCCTGTCCTCCGGCTCGGGAACAGGCACACTGCGATCGACTTTACGCACAGGCGAGCCACGGCGCGAGAAACCATCTTTCTTTTCTACGGGAAAGGTGCAGAAAGCCAGGACAGGAGCTTTTACATCACGATTTGCCGACTCTGATGACGAGACTGGCGAAAACCATAGACCCTCACGTTGGCGAAGTCGGTATGCGGATTCGAGTGACGACGACCAAGAGCGTGTGGCACAGACTCTTCGGCCTGTCCGCGGCATCCCACGTCGCCAGGGCACGCACGATGGCGACTCGACGGAATTGGAGGATAGTTCAGACGACGATCGCCGAACGCGCACCGCTACCACCCCTGCACTTTCAGCCAGGCGACGACTCTTGAATAAACGCAGCGGCCTCAGCGACTACAAAACCGATGCTACCGGTGTCCGCGACCCGGCGTTGGCGGCCGTGGCTAAATCACGTGGCATGACGGAAGACGAGTTGGAGGAGTTCATGCATCAACCCAGCACGAGCCGTCGACCCGGTCTGCTTGGACGGTTGAGCCGCCGCAAATCGAAGCCCCGGCCGGGGCGGAGCTTGAGTAACAGCGCTGCCCCTCCGAGGAACGGCTCGGTTAACCCTGCAGCTCCCGTCTTGGACGGGCGCAACGGCCATGGGGTCACGACCACGATCACCGCTAACAACACCGAGACGTCATCGCCGAAGCTGCTCAAAAAACGGACTGACAAGCCAGGCGGTGAGGACTGGCCACTGCCATCGGGGCCGGATGACAGATCCGCACAAGTGCCATCATCCGCATCTGCGAACAACCCGGTGTCGAACGGCGTGGAGCGGAACGGAACCACGGCGGTGGAGTCGGCCCCAGAAACAGCGGAGAAGCCCCATGATGAGTCTCAGAGGGCCACCGGAGAAGGTCGACACCTGGCCAGCAGCCGTTCGGCTGGGGTTCTCGACGTGGGGTTCGGACCCCCCCGAAAGAAACGATTTCCTCGACTGCGAAGGGCGTTTGGCCTGCAATGAGATTTTGGGTATAATATATGCAAGGGTTCGATTCGTTGATCTTGAGTGATCTCGTTGATTTATACACGATTTATTGATTATAATGTGTGATCTATATGTCATGGCATTGTTCTTGACTAATTCTAATACGGCGGGCTTGGTTGCTGTCTGCGATAGCAGCGAGACTAGAAGGGTATTATGAGATATGGAATGGGATTGGTTATGAGGGTGTCTTTTCAGTTTGTCTCCAATGATACGGTTAGAATCATGGCTTAGTATTCATACGGAGTAATGTAGCATCTGAATTTGGGGTGCGTGGTGATAATGGGATCCATGGAAACGACCCGACAGTACCAGCAACAACCTCGGGCTGGAGCAGATGTGGTTCTCCACTCGGATCGCTGGAACAAGGACCGTAATTACTCCACGCGGCCCAGCCATGGTATTTCGACCTATGCGGTCAACTGAACATGATTCAGAGGGGAAGAAAGTACCGAGAAGAAGAAAGAAAAGGCTGGCGAGGTCCTCCGTACTGTCCAGACCACCGGCTAAAAATAATGGACTGGCTGAAAACGACCGCCAGTAGTAAAAGCTGGCGGCTGGCGGCGGATCGACAAGAGTGAATCTGGAGCAATCACCATCGAGCATCATGGCACCATCGCTCGATAGGTCGCCTTGCACGGGCTGGCTGGGAGACGCTGACGGTGGAGACTGGGCAGCCGAGGGTGAGACGAAGTGGGCGGGAAAAGACCCAGCACCGGTCCAATAATGCGACTCCACGAGGATTCGTGCTGTAGCTGCCTAGTACTGTCTCTGATCACCTGTAACAATCCAAGAATGAGTTAGGGAGGTTATGAACCATTCCTGTTGAGATAAACAATGACTTCTCT